CAGCATAATAAGACGGAGTCCGACAAGTATAGGGAGGCTTATGGACCAGATAACCTCATGCAAGACGTTTTGGACTTCCGTAGGTCGGAGATCGAACTGCGGATGCGTGAAATCAATTCCAAGTTGAATGCTGGCTATTAGCTCTCGTATCATCATACGGGTCGTTGCTGCTGCTCCTGCTATTGTGTTTGATGTGTCTGGTATGCGTTAAGGTTCAATGCTGGTTGGGATTGTTGGTCACCGTGGTATCTGTCATGGAACAACTGCTCTACACTTATGCAGAGTTACACTAGGAATTGGGGGATTCCTAAGTGTGTAACACCATATTGCATGAAGGATGTGCAGTATTTTATGGACACATTGATCGGGGACATACATCTTTCTGGTACAGAATCTCCAGGGACACAAACATATAGTGAGCAAGCATAAAATTGATAAGGGTTTGTGGTTATGAATGATGATGAAAGGTGATGAAGGGAGATACGGTTAAGGGTTGCAAAAGTTTATTGCTTAGGTTCTATTAGGTTGGTTTGGTATATTGGTTTAGGGTCGTGAAGGTTACTTGCTATAAATAAATGATATTGTTCCAAATGTAGGTCGATGGAGCCGATAAGTGATCTAACGTCTTTCGAGCTACTTAGCTAGTCTTGCTGGTCTTGATGGGGAGTTGACTCATCTTGTCCCTCATTGTACTCTGTTCTCCTGTAGCTTGAAATGTAACAGATGTCATCTGATTAATTAGAAGGTCATGACCTGTTGAAAAACTTCGACTATGCTTTTGCTTGCTGACTATATAATAAGTTGGCACATTCAAGCATCCCTGGCTGTGTGGGATTTTCTGACTGGTCGTGGATTATCGATTGCGAGAATACAATTTTGCAATATCCCTACTGCCATTTATCTGCTACCACATGATACTCAATGATAGAGAACATTGAATGGAACAAACTAAACAATAATTAGATGTATACCATAATTGCAAAGTTCAACCAACAGCTGACTAATAGCAGGCGCCTGACGATGAGATAAAAGTATGTGTTTGTACACTATTGTTTGATCATAAAAGGTCTACAACTACTTAATATAATGTTCAAACACAAAATTTGTTTTGCCATTGCTAGTCCCAGCGTGGAGAAATGGTCTATGCTGAAGAATTCACGAATATGAAGGCAGTTATAAAACAATCATGTGTGAAAAGAACATCGAGTTGTTATAAAATTGCAGACAATAGAATACACAAGAGATGGTAACCATCGATGTATCTCCATCTACTCCCAATCCTCTGTGGTCTGTGATTCCTAGCTTACCAACTCAACATGACCAGGTCCTTTTATCTAATCTGGTCACGTGATGCTTTTCGCAGCCAACAGCAGCCACAAGGATCTGTAAGAAGACATGGTTTACAAATTTGAATGCTTCAAACAGCAACTTTAAGGGCTAGTCGACCCTAAAGAGTTCCATTAGTGATATAGCCTGACATTTTGTACTAGTATTTGTCTCCTCTGTAGCAAATCAGTAGTTCTTCTATTTGTGTACTCACCTTGCAAAATTCCACTAGCTTTACATTTTGTCTCACCCTCCTAGAGATTTGGATTCTTTTCTTCATACTATCTTTAGTATAAACTCGAACAAGCTCAAGTGAGAAGTCTACGAAATCAATTAACCGATTACTCAAGCATGTTCCGTGATCTTCTTTCCAAGTTCAAGGCAATTTTCCGTGGCAAAAAGAAAGATGAAGGCCCATTTGTGGCAGTTCCTGAGAACCATTTGGTTGTTAATAATTTTATTGAAAGCCTTCGTGAATTCCCAGAAAATCAACCAACCGATGGAGAGATTCATAATGACTCTCCTGAGAATGGTGGATCGAGGAGAAGGCTTAGTCTTACCAGAATGAAGCAAGCTATTAAAAGAAAAAGTACAAACACAAAAGCACGCAGTATGAGAAGATTGAAGCATATGTTATCTAGTACTTCAAGCAAAGATCTAGAATACAATCTGGGAGAATCTTCGCCAATATCGTCTCAGTTTTCCTATAAAAGTGGTGCTCAATCCAATGGTACCTCTGTTGCTCTAGGATACTCTTCAGTGTCAACACTGAAGAGTAACCGATTTTATAAGACTTCTCAATGTCTTTCGGTTTACGATTTAAGGTCAACTTTGGAAAATGACCAGACCGATGAGACTGAAGACTCCAGTCCTGTTTGCTTCGATTCAAAAATTAGGGAAGTCGATGAAGAATTTGCTTTAGTTTGGAATGAGAATCCAATTCAAGATAGCTTTGGTTCTTCCAGGACTGCTGACGTTTGCTCTGCTGGACCTAAGCCGGAAATTATCCATTTAGATGAAGCATCTGTTTGTGCTTCCAATTCGGCTGCGAATGCCATTCCAGAGATAATTGGTTCTACCAGGGCGTCTGAGTGTGCATTAGAACCAACACCAGAGTGTGTGGCTGATCTCAAGAGAGAGTTGGAGGAGTTGTACAAGAAGCAATGGCGTAATCAGGAAGAATTGGACCACTTGATGCTTGCTGGTTTAGATCATCCTTATTACCGTGTTGTAAACTCCCATAGATTAGACCTTGAACTGCAGATACGTGTAATCATCTGCAAATTAAATCCCGATCAAAATATACCTGCCAAACTCCACAAAGAGGATCAGAAAGAACCAGAGCTACCAATTGATGGTCAAGATCTGCCTGATAATGTCCACAAAGAGGACCATAAAATGGTTCAAAACGAACCTGAGCCACCGAGTGTGAATGATGCACCTACATATGTACCCAGAAGACGCTACAAGAGGCTTGATCACGTTCACAACACAGAATTGAAGGGGTTTATGCATCGGTCGGGAATGTGGAGGGACATTGAGATGAGAGCTCGATCTATGAAGCGTTATACTCCAGAGAAACAACCAGACCCATTCATATTTAAAGTGCTTGATGTTCTTGGTATAGAGTAAAGATACCATTGACAGAATGTCAGTTGGGGTTGATAGTCACCATTTTTCAGCCTTGGGACAATTGTTCTATACTTTTGCAGAGTTACACTAGGAATTGGGGGATTCCTAAGTGTGTAGCGCCATGTTGCATTACGAATGAGCAGTATCCTTTGCGCAGATTAATTGGGGACATGCACCTTACTGGCGCAGTATCTACAGGTTTTCAAACACCATGGTATATTTGTATTTGGCGTTTTTCAAGGATATGGTTTAGTTTTCCTTATGGCTATGTTATTAAAAGTTTTTAAAATTAGTTATTGGTCGCTTCTAGTTATGGATTGCTGACAATAGTTTATGTTATTGATGTTTACGAATAAAAAATTATGATTTAAGTGTAGGATGTTTGATCGAACATGCAAAGGTAAGCTGAACTTCGCTATTAGTACAGTAGTTACTGGATACGAACGAAGATTTATTCATCAAGATAGGAGGTGATCTTCCATCTGGTTGATATCATTGTAGGAGTCATCGAAGTATTTACTGTTGTTTCAAAAAGTGACCTAGCTATATTCGTATTGTTGGATCGAGTCGCCTGTCAGCGCATTTTATACGCGTTATTCATACCAAGAAGTCCGATCCAGACCACGCCTTTCAGTTACTACCTCCCCTCGTAAATGCTCGCGTTGGGATAAGTTAAGAATTTACCACTTGCGTGCCCGCAAACGTACTTAATAATGGTGGTAGATTTGTGGTGCTGATCGTGAGAAAATTTGATATGCCTGTCAAACTGATAACATGGCACATTAATAACTAGGCTATAGAAACTGAAAGGTACCGACTACACTGCAATTTGGAAAGTAAAACAGAGATTTAGAGACTTACATCATCCATCACTATTCTGATACTAAGGGCAAAAATTGTACAACGGAAATTCCAGGAATCTAAACTACAGTACTTCACGAAGAATCATATTTGTAGAAGGTCTGAGCAATGTAGGTTCTGCATAAATTTGGACTCGAAAAATTTTAATCAAACGGACCCCATCGACTGTATTTTTAAAACTTTTCAAATGCGTGACTGAGCCTACTGCAAATATAATTGTTTTACTGATATTAAGGACCAGCGCCTGGTGTTTTGTAGATCGGGGTTGGTGTGGTTCGAATACTTTAAGTTGGGTCTCTAATTTACTTAGATACCATATATAAAATCTCGCACTGAGTAAATTTGGGAATAGCGAATTTTTTCAACCAAAAAATGGTTCTTCGATCTTAGCCATTGCATATACGATAGATAGTGATGTCCTTCTTGAAGAGTATCAGTGGACTTATACGTCCATTAAATGGACAGGGTAGCATTCTCCACACCTCATCATTAAACAACATTACTCAAATCCGTACTGCCACCAAGAAGGTTTCTGGTTCGAAGACTAACAAAAATGATTCGGCTGGTAGAAGATTAGGGCCCAAAGCATACGAAGGTCACTACGTTCAACCTGGTCAAATCATCATGAGACAAAGAGGTACCAAAATACATCCGGGCGAGAATGTCAAGATAGGTGTTGATCACACAATCTATGCTGTGGAACCAGGATACGTCAGATTCTACTACAACCCATTTCACCCATTAAGAAAGTACGTCGGTGTTGCCTTAAAGCAAGAGTTGAAATTACCTACTCCTCACTTCTCCCCAAGAGTAAGAAGATTCGGGTATGTTGAACTTACTGATCCCGTGAAGGCTCAACAAGAAGAAGACAGAATGTCTAGAAAAGAGTACGAAGCTCAATCAGAGCTTACAAACGAGTTCTTGAAGTCCGAAGAATACAGACAAAACGTTACTAAAGAATTTGCACAATCTTTGAAGGATGAGTTTAGCATAGATTTGGATGAGAACAAGTTGCAAGTTGTTGCTCACAGATTTTACGAGATTTCACAATTAGTGAAAAACGGCTTGAGCTTAGAGGAAGCCAAGGTCCAAGCATCCTACAACCATATCTACAATATAGAACTTGCTGCCAGAAGGGGCGAAGTCTCGAATTTTGAAGAAGCTAAGAAAGAAAACTTGAGTGTATTCAACGATATCGATAACAAAGTTCAATTGGACGCCCAGGGCCGTCTTTGCAAGTACTTGAATGCTCAAGAAAGAGAGTCTCTTCAACAAGAAATCTCAACCAAGTTAGCGCCATTTGCTAACCGTATTCTTTCTAAAGAAGATAAGAAAACAGTCACTAACTTGATTGAAACTCCCGGTGCTTACACCACCAGTGAGCAAAGCTTGCTTAGAGAACAGTACTTACCAGAAATTGTTCCATGGACTGTGCCAGGCTCAGTTATTGAAAATATCGACCCTGAGAACCCACCAAAAGACGTGGTTGTACAAAGAGTATTCGATGGTAAGACCAGATCCACTAAGGTCATCGGTAGACCAAGAGATATTGTCGCCTAGACTATGGGCTCAATGTAAGCATCACAACTGGTCTTCAGTAGTCTCTAAATAGCTTGTATATATTACGAAATTATAGTGAAATATCTATCCACCGTGCAGTAGAACGTCCTAAAAGTGACCACCGCGTCCATTGTTACGTAAGCACCATAACACATTTTGTGTCGTGTTAAACTGGTTTGTTTTTTCACTGAACACTTCTACATAGTAACGGTATCATTAGTAGCCATCATGCCCATTGAAGTACCAGAAAGCGTGGCCAACAGTGCTGCGTATCAACATGTTAAAAAGATCGAAGTCACATATCAGAAGTACTTGGATCAGTCTGTTCCATACACCCTCTACAGATGGATCGCCTTAGGTGGTGTGCTCTTGATCTTCTTCGCAAGAATAGTCTATGCACAAGGCTGGTACATCATATGCTATGCGTTGGGTATCTACTTGTTGAACTTGCTTTTGGCCTTTTTGACCCCTAAGTTTGACCCATCGTTGGAGCAAGAAATGAAGAACGAGCTGATTGAGGAAGGTGTTCAGGATGAGGAGCCTGAACCAGAAGACGAGGAGTTCAGACCATTTATCAGAAGATTGCCTGAGTTCAAGTTTTGGTACAACGCAGCTCGTGCAACCACTTTGTCGTTATTTTTGTCCTTCTGGTCTATATTCGACATCCCAGTTTTCTGGCCCATTTTGTTGATGTATTTCATCATCTTGTTTACCTTAACCATGAGGAAACAAATCCAACACATGATCAAGTACAAGTATCTTCCGTTTGACATTGGTAAGACCAAGTACAGAAAGTGAACTACTTGATTTCTGCAAGTGAAGAAGGTTGATGCCAATTTTACCACTTCCTGCTTGCGATAATGTGCCAATATTTAATAGAAATATGTTCAGACAATCCAGTCTGATAAATAACAATCAGACTGAGAATCGTCCACCATCCATGGCTGCGTGATCCACGGATAATATCGAGGAATGCCTTCCACAACACATATAGTACCTGTGAGTGTAATCAATACCGAATTTTACTAGCGTAATTTGTTTTCGTCAACAATAACTGCAAATTGTGACTACCCATTTATTCTGTTTAGGTTCCATTTTCGCTCTTTTATTATCACTTTTGAACCTAAAATATGGTTCCACCAGATGAATCAATAGTAGTTATCCATCGCGGAATCTTAATGAAGCGGGTACTTTTGATAGCTAAGCTATAGATTACTAATACTGATAACGATAGTACTTTCAAAAGCCATTCTGTACGCGCCACTGCCATAAGCACCGTAAATACGCATTGTAGCGTCTACATAGCCCGAACGAATAAGATCGGCATGCACCACCTCCGCCACCGCCGGTGACCTCGAGATCACATGACCTATTTTTTCAGCACTCCCCCTTTACCACGAACTTGACGGACAACTCCAACTTCACTCCCCCTATCCGTGAAACAAGCTTCCAGAACTCAATCAATAGCCTACTGCCACCATGAGTCGTGCTGAAGTGGATTTGCAAATCAGTGTGAAAAAAGCATGCAATACGGACGAAGTACCACCAAAGAGAAAACATGTTAGGGCCTGTATTGTCTATACTTGGGACCATAAGAACTCTAGAGCATTCTGGAATGCCGTGAAGATCCAACCATTGCAGAGCGACCAAGTTCAATCGTTCAAGGCTTTGATAATGATCCATAAGGTCTTGCAAGAAGGACATCCGAACACTCTTAAGGATGGGTACCGCAACAGAGACTTCATATCTTCGTTGGCCACCATCTTCCCATCCCAAGGTACCGCTTACGGAAGACTTATCAACCAGTACGACAAGTTTATTCTCAAGAAATTGGACTTTCACCGTAACAACCCTGGTTTCAACGGTACCTTTGAGTACGAGGAATACATTTCGTTAAGAGCAGTTCATGATCCTAACGAAGGTTATGATTCTATTTTGCAATTGATGGATTTGCAAGACCTGATTGATGACTTCCAAAAGCTCATCTTCGCTACCATCCATCAAACACCTAACAATTTGTGTAAGGTCAGTGCTTTGGTTCCTTTGATAGCTGAATCTTACGGAATTTACAAATTTTGTATCTCAATGTTAAGAGCGTTGTACCAGCAACTTGGCTCTGATGAAGCATTGGCGGGATTGGTTGAGAGGTTTGAATCTCAACACTTTATGCTTAGAGACTTCTTCACTGATTGTCATGGAATCAAGTTCTTGACCAGCTTGGTGACTATTCCAAGATTGGCTAACAACCCTCCAAATGTGCAGGCAAGTGATGGAGGTAGTGCCCCAATTTCTAGACCAAGATCTGTGAACACAAATGAGGCATTATCTGCTCAACAAACTTCCAGCTTCGAACCACCCGCTAACCCACCACCAGCTGTTGATCAATTATTCAATGATCAATCCAATCTTTTGCAGCAGCAGCAGCAAGAACAGGAAAGGATTCAAAGAGATCTAGAATTGCAACAGCAACAACAATTGCAAAATCAACTCCAACAACAGCGTCTTTTCGAGGATCAACAAAGACAACAAGAAAGAAGATTTTTGGAAGAGCAAGAAGCCTTGAAATTGCAGTCGCATCAACAGCAGCAATCAAGGGTTTCAGAGTTGGAGCATGACTTATTGATGTTCAAGAATCAATATGACAATGACCAGCTGTTATTGCAACAATATGACTCTCGTGTTAAAAGCTTAGAGACCGAATTGATGAGCTTCAATGATACTGCTACCCAGCAAATCGCCTCCAAGGACGAACAAATCAAAAACTTGGAAGACCAAATCCAGAACTGGATCAAAAAATACGAGGCTTTAGCAAAGCTTTATTCCCAATTGCGTCAGGAACACTTGAACTTATTGGCTAAGTTTAAGAAGATTCAACAAAAGATTAATTCTGCACAGGAGTCGATCCTCAAAAAGGAGAAGTTCGAAAAGGATTTGAAATCTAAGAACGTCGAATTGGCTGATTTAATTCGTGAACGTGACAGAGCAAGATTGGATGTGGACAGAGTAAGAGCATCCAAGGACCAAGAGATCGAAAAACTACAAGCCGAAATTAGGGAACTTAATGCCCACGTCAATGAATCTGGAAAATTGCAAAACTTGAACTTGTCCACCATCATTTCCAAGCATGAAAAGGATATGGAGGAATTGAGAAACCAATTGAAGAGCAGGGATGCCCAGTTGGGTGAATTAGGAGGTGCTACTTTACAAGACAAACTCAAAGAAACTGAAATTGATTTGGAAATTGCGCAAGAATCTTTAGATAGCGCTCTTAGAGAATTGGCTATTTCAAAGGAAGATCAAGACGATGTCATAAATGCTCAAATTGATCATATTCTTTTACAAAATGTTGAGAAGATGAGAAGATTGATCGATATCTTCTTGGAGAATAATATAAAGAGAGTTCAAGATTCAAAGCGTGACCTTGACTCTTCAATCCAAGCAGGTAATTTAAATGCTACCCCAGAATTTGTATTATCTATTGTTGAACTCTGCTCAGATACTGCAACTGAGTTCGCTACTACATTTAACAGTTTCATTGCTGAAGGTAGGAGAACCTATGATGATGAAGATACTACCTACTCAGACTTGATCTTGTCAAGTTCTGAATTGACTACTTCTATCAATGAACTCATGCTCAACTCTAAGGGATTAACTAGAGTGACTGCTAGGGATGAAGAGGAAAAGATAATTAATCTTGTTTCTGAAATTTTACACAGTACTGAGCAATACTTCTTCGATTTGAAGTCCGATAAATTGAATACCTTGGAGGATGATGACGATAAGATTGATAGAGTTATCGATGGCAATTTGCAGCTTCAAAACACTTTGCAAACATTAGTCAAATTTGTGGATGGGTTGCGCTCTTCCAGTGGCATTAACTTTAAACTGGGTAACTTAGAAGACCTCTTGAGAAATGAAATGGAGGAGGCAGCAAAGGCTGTCTCATCTGCCTCGAGCTTTTTGTCCAACCTTTTAAGAGATCCTAGCATTCATGGAGGTGATGTTGTTGTTCATGAAGCCTTATTGGAAGCGGCCAAGGCAATTACTGACGCCGTTGCGTTGCTCATTACTGCTGCCACTGAATCACAAAGAGAAATTGTTAGCAAGGGAAGAGGAGACCAAAGTAGAACTGAGTTCTACAAGAAAAACAACAGGTGGACTGAGGGTTTGATCAGTGCATCGAAAGCAGTAGCAGGAGCAACCAATGTATTGATCCAAACAGCTGATGGCGTGCTTAAGAAAACCAATTCTCATGAACAATTGATTGTTGCATCTAATGAAGTTGCAGCTTCTACTGCTCAATTGGTAGCTGCCTCTAGAGTTAAGGCCAACTTTGTTTCTAAAACTCAGGACAACCTTGAACAGGCCTCTACTAGGGTATCCAGTGCATGTAAGTTGTTGGTTACAAGAGTTCAAAAGTTGTTAGAGAAGGAGGACCAAACCAATGACATTGACCTTAGTAAGCTCACTCCTTACGAAGGTAAGACGGTTGAGATGGAGCAGCAAGTCGAAATTTTGAAACTTGAAAACAAATTGAATGCTGCCAGAAAGAGATTGGGCGAAATTAGAAAGCATGGCTATAGAGATGACAACGGTGATGATGAGAGTTAAGTACTAGTTCTGATTTCATTTCTGGCTGAATCTAGTTGACATTGCCATTACATACAAAAGTATATTGCGTAGTTCTGTATTGAATTATATTTTAAATTGAAATTTGAAAACGATGAACATGAAGTAGTATTAATACTTGTAATCGAGGTAATGGATTGTATTGTTCCATAGAGAGGCAACCTTGGTTCGAAACTGCTTCAATTTAGACCGTATTCTTCTTCCCTTTGGCCCTTCATAATAAACGTTGATTTTCAAAGTAACCCTGGACTTTTTAGTGGGGAGTCTCCATGTAACAAATCTGGGATAGTCCACACCACGGAAATCGTGCATGTAATGACGAGAAATCTGATAAACTTCCCCGAAGTTACATTCCGTTGAGTAGCATTGGCAAACTTGTCGGTCAGAGGTATATGGAGATTCTCTTCGCAAGGACAGCCCCGTTACAGAGCGAACTAGCTCTAACGTCGATTTATCATCCTCATTGATAGAAGTTTTCAGGGAAATTGCACTAGGAAGATTGTTTCGCAAATCGTTACCTGTCGTTGTCAACCAAGGTCCTTCTGCAACATCCGAAACTTCAATCCTGGCGTTAGCAGATGAGAAGCTTTCTGGAATATTCTGATCTTGGCCAAGTTTATCAATTTCCATACCAGTAGATAAGTTTAAATTTTTGAACATATGAGTTTGGTTCTCTGTATTGAGGTTTGGTGAATTCTGCTGCTCTGACGGTGATTTTAGAGGACTTAGTTTGACAATAGTAGCACTCCGTTTGAGACTGTAATAAACTGAAGAGATTGCCGAATCGAGGACTAGCAGGGACTTTACTTCTGGATGCTCTTCATTAGAGATGCTCCAGGGGTTTGTCGAAGTCGGTGTAATTGTAGCCATGGGATGTGGCCAATTCAAATCAACCTTAGACTGACTCACTCTGTGATCATCCCAAACATTTTGAGAAAGAGTGTCAGACATATCCACAGCTATGTTCCACGGTTTACCCTCAGAATAACACAGCAGCAGAGTCTTTGGCAGATGGAGCATAGGTTACTTGACCCCAGGTACTGTTTTTGGTGATGCAATTCTCGGAACTGTCCGAGTGGCTGTGGTTTTGCGACTTTGGTTTTGCACCCATTCGGAAATGGACGGAAATTGGCAAACGAGCAATTGCAGCAGACCACCTCAATACAGGCACTTCCACTTCCACTTAATGTAAGCTGATATTAGCAGTCTGCTTTGACGCTAGCCAGGCTTATCTGCTAGGGCAGAGGCAACAGAATTATTTTGGGGCCAAGAATTCTGGTTCTCCGATCCCCGATCCGCAACTACACACCGCCCACTGGGGCCACGCTAGACGTTAGAATCTTATTAAGCCTATAAAACCTTGGGGAGAAATGGAAAATATAAATATAGATGTAAGCAGTCTACTTTCCACTCGATGAAAAGCGTAGGAAAACGGTCCCGAAGCAATTAGTTCTTGTAGTGGGCGGGAGGAGGCCCGTCTGGTCTTGAGTAATTGGCTGTTGCATCCAGAGGACCGTAGTTGTACCCCTCCTGCGGGTGTGCAGTGGCGTTGTAATCTTGCCCAGTGTAACCCTGCTGGGGCTGGGGATACTGTTGGGACTGATTGAACTGTTGAGGCTGTGGAGGAGGGACGTAGCCAGCCTGTGAGCCACCGTAGTAGCCTCCTGTCTGCTGAGTCTGCTCGTAGTACTGGCCGTTGTTGGGAACGACTTGGGCGGTTCTTCTCTTTCTTCTGCGAAGGAGTATCATTAAGATGACTGCTATCACTGGGATGATCAACAATAACCAAAGGTACCACCTGTGGTGGTTCCAGTGGTTCCGGGAGGTGTAGATGATTCTCTTGTCGATGGGCACAAACATGTCGACAGCTATCTGGAGGAAGAAGCAGTGGGGGTCGCTGAAATTTAAAGAGGTGGGTTGCTGGTGGAGGACTACACAAAAGAAGTGTACACGTGACCCGATAAGGCCTTTGGGGTCACTGGTGGTGAGGGAGATGACCGTTTGCGAGGTGGCGTACATGAACGGCTTGCCCTTACCTGCCGACTGTATGCAAGCCTTGGCATGCCCAGGTGTTTCGGGCAACGGGTGCCCATTGCGTCATGATACTAGTGTACATTTCTCCCTGCTTCAGCCCTGTTCTGGTCATGTGCGCTGCGGCCCCAGAAGCTTAGTTAGCAGGCCACAGCTCCAGGCGCAGGAGTAAACTGCACAACATCGCCCCATGACATATTGCGTGGGGATTAGCAGTGGCCGGTTTTTGTTGGCCGGAGGCTTCCGTTTAGCTGCCACGAGACAATTGGTTAGGAACCGCTTCCTAGTGGTGCCTCGGTCTTTGTTCTGGCCTCGCGGTGTTTATCCATCCAGAACTAGCACCCATCACTGGCGGTTGTTCGCGGGTTACTAACGCTGGCACCGCACCTTACGGACCTACTGTAGATCGTCATTTTATTTGGCAGACGTAATCCTAAATTGACTTTTTTATTCTACTATCTTCCCTTGCCTAGCTAGTGTGTTCCTGTGGGCGTTATACATCTTATGGGCAAAACTAGCACCATCCGTCAACTTCCGTCAAACTCGCAACATCTATCTGTGATCGCCACAACAAGCACGCCTGTCAATTCTGCCACTCCTTGATAGATTTTATTTCTCAACAACAAATCTGACAGGGGCATTGAATTCGGGAAAGTCATGAGTTTCTTCGTAGTTCCGCTGGTTCTGTATCAAACCAAGAAGAAGCTTGACGATGCAAAGAAGGATAAGGACTCGCCACAACTGGAAAATGCCTCGTTGAGAAAGAAGAAGCGGGTCAAGAAACACAGAGACAAGTACGGGGGCGACTTGGACTCACTAAACTCACAAGCCACTGATGAAATGAGCATTATTCTGAGAAAGAAACACTCACAGTCCTCACACTCACAATCAACTTATTCCCATTCATCGGGAAATTCGAACCGTCGTCTTTCCACTCACAGTGATTCCAACCCCACAACCCCCACTGCACCAGTTCCCCCCAAATCCCTTACACACCCCAAACATGATGCCATTAACATTACCAAGTTGGATGATAGTTTGAAAGAGTTGAAAAATTCTCAGAATCAAGATCCGGGGAATCAGGATAATCGCCCCCGCCTGTCGACAGCGGGAATGCAAAGCATCTTATCAAATGAACAAAATACAAGCATTTCCCCGATACTACCTCCATCCAAGCCTCAGCTAATGAGCTCCTTAACCACTTCAAAATCGGAGAATCCAACCCTCGATAAGAACCGGAACAATTCAGAACTATCCACAACATCTTCTTCTTCTTCATTGAACCCTCAGGCTTCGAAATTTAGACGTAACAGCTCATTCTCATCGATGCAATCAAGCACGGTTAATCCCCTCAGCCAAGTCTCTTCTGCCCATCACAAGGGATCTACTTCCTCAAGGTTTTCAAGAAAACTTTCCAGTATATTATTGGGGGGTAGTCCAAGTCCCAGCCCAACTATTGAAAGTAAAATCGTGGAATCCAAATACCCCCATCCATCGTCCCAAAATGAATCTAAATCGAGCTCAAAACAAAGCTTGTTCAAAGCTTCATACGACAACTCAATTCCTCTGCATTCAAGTGAAATCGATGTTACTCCGTCTCTAGAGATAGAACCACATCGTTCAATTAACAGAAGGCCATCAGAGCTAGGTATTACAAGGTTTGTTCCACTCATTAGTCTTGGCTACTTGAACAGCATTCAAACCATGAAAGAAGTTTTATTCACACCAGGATTCCAGATCTTCAGATACAACAATTTTCTTTCCTTACTTTCTGATCATAATCATGGAGATCCAATCAATTTTGCCAGTATCAGACACCATTCCATTCAAAAATTCATTAACAAGTACCGCGTTAGCAAAGACTATTCTAGTGATTTTGATATTACAGTTGACCATGATTCCTCGTATTTTGAGGGTTTATTAGCTCATAAAAGTCTAGAGGCCAGAAGATTCTTACGTGGTTTGATCAAAAAAGAGCTGGAGGCTTCACATACCAAGATTGGAATATCCAATAATGAGGAATTGATGCAAATCAACTTTACCAACTATGTACGATATGTGCTTGATTTGCCTTCCAGTATTGACTCAAAATACTTGAACAAAACGGAACGTAAGCATTATGAGTACAAGACTTTATTTTCCAAAATTTCAACTGCGCTCTATTTGAAGAAAAAGGAAGAAGTTGGAGGCGAATCGCTTGGGACAACTGGCGAAACTGAAGCAAGTATAAAAGCTGGCCTTTTAGTCCAGTTGATAACAAAGGTTTCATACGAATACATCTTATTGGAGAAGTATCACATACAAATCTTGTCCAACTTCAATAACAACTCAATCATAGATGGAAGGGTTTTAGCAGAGTTATACAGCAAACATCGTCAACGTATTAAAGAGGGAAATCCTGAGCAATTAAAGGTTCTTTTTTACAATGTCGCTTTCAGTGCACAATACGCTTGGTACTTGTCTGTGACAATTCCATTTGTGAGAGTTTTTGAATCAAACGTTTACGCAGAAAATCACAAGCTTATTAAGGACGGAAAACTATATGATGATCTCGAGAAGAAGACAGTAAAGAATTCGTTTGAAAAATCAGACAAGGAATTATTCGATACATTCACGAAGAAGCTTTACATTAACGATTTCAAGCAATACAAAGTAACTACTCCTGACAAACTTGTTAAATTGCATAAACTGCTTGATAACAATTCTCCAAAATATGCACATGTGAACCGGCGTCAGATTCCAGATCCATCAGCAGTATACGGTCACAAACCAATGAACTTTGAGTATTACGACGACTCACTCTCAACTTTGGCAGATAATACATTTGATTTTATCCAGAGTAGGGACCTACCATTCCAAATCACATTAGATAATTATTTGACAACATTCAGACAATTGCATAGAGTATTAAAACCAGGTGGTACAATAGAAGTACCGTTCATCCATATTGGACAGGACTGCGTTAAGCAATACATCGATGAGGCTATAAATGGAACTTCCAAGAAAGAGCCTCAAATTCAAAGCTGGCTTTATGAAAAATTCGACTGTATTCATGACGTAACTAGGGTGATTTTGCAAGGACTCCTTGAAGTATTTGGAAAGTCACAAGTCAAATACAGCATTGTATTGTTGAACAATAATAACGAAGTGAATCACTTCCTCTATAAACATGTCAGCTTGATTCTGCATGAGATGGTTGGTCACATGAAAGAATGCTGTATGAATTTCAAAGATTCGGATGAAATTAGCACTGTTGATGCTGAAGATGTTCATTACTTAATTAATATTAAGGCCCATAAAAAGCCTTCCGACTAAACTACAGTACTAGGATCGATTGCAATAGCTATAGATTGCTAGAAATCTATGACCTAGTCACTCTCCACCCATAAAGCATGACAATTCATTTCTCTATAACTAATTAATAGATTTCGATTCTTTTGTATGATAACGTAATCTCACTTTTTGATTGAGTCATAGTTAGCGGCTATGCGAAAATGCGAAAATCAGGTATTCACGATAACAGTCTTATAGAGCAATGGCACCAAAAGTTTACATCATAGACGTCGAGAGTGGCAATTTAAAGTCACTTGCCAATTCAATTAAGCGCATTGGTGATTACGAGGTAAAATTTATCCACAATGCTGAGGAATTCAAACAGTTTGACAAAGATATTGAGAAGTTGATCTTTCCAGGAGTAGGAAACTACGGTCACTTCGTTAAGGAAATTTACTCTAGGGGTCTTGTTGAAGAAGTCAAGAAGTACATTTCCAGTGGAAGATCTTTGATGGGAATCTGTGTTGGGTTACAGGCATTGTTCAGAGAGAGTGAAGAAAGTCCGGGCCTCGAACATCAAGGCTTGAAGTATTTGGATTTCAAACTCTCTAAATTCAACAAAGAAGACCAGTCCTTTAAAGAAAGAGGGATTTTGAAATCTGTACCACACATTGGTTGGAATAGTGTTCAAAAAATTACTAGTGGAACTCAGAAATTAGCTGATGAGAAGTCTTTATACAGTATCAACACCATCAACAAGTATTATTTTGTCCATTCATACGCCGCCATACTTAAGAATGATGCCGACGAAAAAATCATCCAAGAAGCAGCATCCAACGGTTGGGATTTTGCATTCAGTAGATATGGGTCTGAAACATTCTTGGCTGCTGTGGCATACAAGAACTTTTTTGCAACACAGTTCCACCCTGAAAAGTCGGGAGTTGCTGGTCTAAAGGTAATCAAAAGCTTCTTGGAAGGAAAGAAATTCGAAGAGTTGGAAAAGAAGGACATTCAAAATACTGAGGGGGTTGAAGCAACTCTCAGTGGGCTTACGAAGCGAGTTATCGCATGTTTGGATGTGAGAACTAATGATGCAGGTGATTTGGTGGTTACTAAGGGAGATCAGTACAACGTTCGTAGTTCTGATTCTGAAAGTGAAGTTAGAAACTTGGGTAAGCCAATCGAGTTAGCAACTAGGTACTACAATCAAGGAGCTGACGAAGTTACTTTTCTCAATATCACCTCGTTCAGAAACTCCCCAATAAAGGACTTGCCGATGCTCCAAGTATTGAGCAAAGCTGCAGAAACCATATTCGTGCCCTTAACAGTCGGCGGAGGAATCAAAGATTTGATTGACCCGGTGTCGGGCGAAGCCGTCCCTGCTGTCAAAGTTGCTGATTTGTACTTCAAATCTGGTGCCGATAAGGTGAGTATTGGGTCTGATGCTGTCAATATAGCTGAAGAATTTTACAAGAACAATAAGGTTCCAACCGGAAAGTCCTCCATCGAAACGATATCTGCAAAGTTCGGTAATCAAGCGGTAGTCATCTCGGTTGATCCAAAGAGAAAGTATTTATCACTGCCTTCCGAAACCTCCATGCGTACAATCGAAATCACCGATCCCACCAAATTCGGTCCAAATGGTGAACGTTTCTGCTACTACCAAGTCACATCGCAAGGTGGTCGTAAAGTACACGAGTTAGGGGCACTCGAGCTCTGCACCGCTTGTGAGATATTAGGCGCTGGTGAAATCTTGTTGAACTCGATTGATCACGATGGATCAAATAAGGGCTTCAATCATGAGCTTGTGAAGCAAATCAAGAGTAACGTTGCAATCCCAGTTATTGCAAGCTCGGGTGCTGGCAATCCACAACATTTCAAAGAAGTTTTCGAGTTGGACTGTGGTGTTGACGCCGCATTGGGGGCTGGGCTTTTCCACAGGGAAGAGTATGAAGTCAATGACGTCAAGCGCTACTTGCAGGAGCACAAGATAGATGTGAGATTAGACGATACTGTAGAGTTATAGTTGTATCAAATAGAAACAAGTTCAAACATGGATCAATATTCTAAGCTACTATGACCTCGAAGCTCTTCAGTGGGGTAGGCATCCTGGCATTAATACATTCCTATCCTGGCTATCTTTAGTGTGTATATTTAGATCGATGCCCGCTCGCACCTTTAAAAATGTTACACGAAATCGGTACTATCAGATATGTTCATCTAAAGATGACCGCTGAAAGATGAGAAGTGAAAGTTATACTGCAAGTGACAGCGACCTGGTGATGGATCTGCAAACCATTCACACCTCCTCGGATACCGAACTCGTATCTAGCACACCTCCGTCATCTAAGTTGGTCTCACCTATTCTGTCCAATCTTCCAAGCCTACTAGTCAATCTCAGGACAAATGACGGCAAAAGCGTTGGGAATAGCAATGAACAAATCTCCAAAGGTCCAGTTAATCCACTAAGAAAGTTGGTACAAGCAAACAGATCTCATGAAGATTTGGAGCGAAGCAAGTCAGACGGAAATTTGGAGATGGAGGTCCCAGTTGTGGACAATCACACGCAACAACTAGTCAGTTCAAAGAGTGCCCCTTGCCTCTCATCAGAAAATCAACCACAAGTCAATCCGGCCAATGTGTCCACTCAAGCGCCAGAATTGCGTTCAGATCTGAAAGCTCTGATAGACCATCCTGGTCGTATAAAAGTCCCAAATGTGCTACTCAAAGACGGACTATCCCTAATGAAATTATCACATAAATCGAAGAAGAGAGTTTTTCTTAAGGTGGACCCATCAAATTTCAGCATTAGCTGGAAGAACGTATCTTCCAATCAATCCATTCATTCCAATAGTCTTCACAGATTATTGATTTCAAAGACTGCATCTCAGAATAATAGTACACCTAACAGTGTTTCATCTTATAACTCAATATCCACTTCATCCAAGAAAGCTATCGAAATATACTTCGACGATATAAAAGACTTGATCTTCCAAGAAAATGCCAGTCCATATAGGGAAGAATTACATATTTCGAAGGATTTCGAATCCAATTGGTGCACTGTCATATACTTCAATTCTAAGAAAGGAAAATTGAAGACTCTCAATCTCATTGCAGATACAGAATATGATTTCAAACGATTAACCCTAGGTTTGAAAAACTTGAAACTGTACCGTGACGACATTAGAGATAAATTTTTAAACCTTCCTGATGTTGACATTCCAAACAATATGGACTTCTTGGAGGAGAATAATAAAGATACAAAGGAATATTTGAACTTCCAAGACATTCTCAAATACACAAAGAGGTTAAATATCAATATTGGCCAGAGGCATTTACAACAAATTTTCGATGAGGTTATCGAGGGACTGGGTTCTAAAACTCCTCAATCTAATTCTGCTACGGAAGGTTCTCCTCGAAATTTAATGGAGCAGCTTGATTTCGAACAATTTAAGACTTTTGTAACGATCTTAAAAAAAAGGGAAGACATCGAAGAAATTTGGAAGGATTTATGTGGGGAAAGTAATCCGATGACATACGATGTATTTAAAATTTTCATAAGGAATACTCAAAAAGAAAACTTTGACGATGAATTTCTTTCACGGCTATTCAAAAAATTCTGCATAGGGAAACGGGACTCTTGGATTCCAGAAAGTTTGAATAACTTTTTACTATCAAAGTACTCTCCATTCTTGAACTCTTCTTTCCACACTAATCTCGACCAGCCACTCAATGAGTACTTCGTTTCGTCCTCACATAACACCTATTTGATGGGTCGTCAGGTTGCGGGAGATTCATCAATTGATGGGTATGTTAGGGCCTTGCAGCGAGGATGCAAATGTGTTGAGATTGATATCTGGGATGGAAAAGATGATGCAATTTCTGACACTGATAATGGCAAGAACTCATTTGGGAGCACCAACTTAAATAGTGATGGTCCTATTGTGAATCACGGAAGAACCTTTACTTCCTCAATTTCATTCGTTAATGTCATAAAGACGATTAAAAAATATGCATTTATCAGTTCACTGCTTCCTTTAATTCTAAGTCTTGAGATACACTGCTCTATACCAAACCAATTGAAATTGGTAGCTTTGATAAAAGAAATTTTGGGAGATCTTTTAATCACAGTGCCATTGGAAAGCGATTCATATATGTTGCCTTCACCAAATAAATTGAGGAACAAGATTTTGTTGAAAGTTAAAAAGAATAGTGGCCCATTTCAATCTAATGAAAATACAGAAATCAGTACCACTTCTTCGACCACAACTTCTTTCAGTGAAGACAACGGGATTCAAGTGAGAAGGAGCTCATTCTCATTACGAAGCAAGGCCGAAAAACCCAAGATTGCTCCTGAACTCAGCTCTTTAGGAATCTATGTTCAAGGAATTAAATTTCGAAACTTTTCGTTACCTGAGTCCAAAACTTACAACCACTGCTTTTCTCTCAGCGAGAAATCAATCAACTCTATGTTAAAGGATGACAGCAAGAGAAAGGCCATAGACAAACATAACAGGAAATACTTGATGCGGGTATACCCTTCAAAGTTCAGATTGAGGTCATCAAACTTTATTCCTATTAACTATTGGACGCATGGTGTGCAATTTGTTGCTACGAATTGGCAAACCTATGATTTAGGTCAACAGATTAACGAAGCACTTTTTCAAGGTTCACAGGACCAGGGATATGTCTTGAAGCCTGAATCTTTGAGAAAGCCGACTTTAAAGTCTATTAGGGCAGTTGAGACAGAAGAGAGGATTTTGAAATTCAGGTTTGATATTGAGATAATCAGTGCTCACCAGCTCCCCAAATCTAAGAGTTCGGAAAGTGCCATCAACCCATTTGTGGTGTTCGAAATCATAGGGGCAAATTCCATTGAATGGGACGCCCCACATATGTCGAAAGGCAGGACACATTCGATAAGTGAAAACGGATTTAACCCAGTGTGGAATGAAACATTCTCAGGTACTATTATAGCACGCAATGAGTTGGTTTTCCTTAAGTTTACTATAAAATCATCGTCTGCTACAGATGAGATTCCCACCATTGGTATTCTTGTTACCAAGTTCACCTACTTAAATCAAGGTTATAGGTACCTCCCCATATGTGATTTGTTGGGAGAACAACTCATCTACTCTAGCCTCTTTGTGAGGATAGCACACCTGCAGATTAGTTAGTTTTTTTTATTTTTTTTTTGAAGTCATCTCGCACCAACCGAAGTTTATAGGATTGACCTGGCTCTCAAAACCTAACCACAAGCTTGTAAGAAAACATCCTCACAATGGGAAAGATCACAGTCAACGAAGCCAAAGGCAAACAACGCCATAACCCCTTGATGAAGGATATTTCCTCGCAGAAGGGGAACTTGAGGACTTTACCTAGATCTTCCCGTGTTACGAAGGAGAAAGAAGAAACAGAAGAAGGCTTCTTAGATGCAGCCTCCTCGAGAAGAATCTTACAGTTGGCTAAGGAACAACAAGAAGAGTTGAAAGAAGAAGAAAATGTTGTACCTCCTACCTTTGGTGAATCTCTTAGATCAAATGACCAAGATGACCTCGAAGAAAGCGAGGAAGATGAGGAGGAATACTCTGATTTTGAAGAGGAAATTTTGGAAGAAGAAGTCGAAATTGATGAAAAGGATGCAGAGTTATTCAATAAGTACTTTCAAAACAACGGTACAGGAAATTCCATCAATTTGGCTGATAAGATTTTGGCAAAGATTCAAGAAAAGGAGAGCCAGTCTCAGGCCACGGAAAGACCTGTTGATGCTGTTCTTTTGCCACCAAAGGTTATTGCTGCATACGAAAAGATCGGCCAAATCTTATCAACTTACACGCATGGTAAGTTACCAAAATTATTCAAGGTCTTACCTTCGTTAAAAAACTGGGAGGATGTTCTTTTCGTGACCAACCCTGAAGCATGGACCCCACATGCAGTCTATGAAGGCACAAAGCTTTTTGTATCCAATTTGCAAGCAAATGAAGCACAGAAGTTTGTTGAAAACGTATTATTGGAAAGATTCAGAACTTCCATCGCAGATTCAGAGGATCATTCTTTGAACTATCATATTTACAGAGCATTAAAGAAATCTTTATATAAACCAGCAGCATTTTTCAAAGGATTCTTACTTCCTCTAGTGGACTCTTTCTGTTCAGTTAGAGAAGCTACCATTGCTGCATCGGTTTTGGCAAAAGTCTCTGTGCCAGTCTTACATTCCTCTGTTGCATTGACACAATTACTTCAACGTGAGTTCAAACCATCAACAACCGTATTTGTACGTGTTCTTATTGAGAAGAAGTACGCATTACCATATCAAACCATCGATGAGTTAGTATTCTACTTCATGAGATTCAGAAATGCTGCACAAGATCGTGACGCCATGGACACTGAGGCTAATGAGTCTGGACCACAACTCCCTGTTGTCTGGCACAAAGCTTTCCTTGCATTTGCTCAACGTTATAAGAATGACATCACTGATGACCAAAGAGACTTCTTGTTAGAAACGGTTAGACAAAGATTTCATCATGCAATCGGCCCTGAGATTCGTAGAGAATTGTTGGCAGGACAACCAAGAGTTCCCGAGGTACCTACTAAGGAAGCCACAATGATCGATGCATTCTAATATTGTAAAAAATTTCTTCTTACATGTATACTAAATTAACGAAAGAGAATAACAAATTAATAACTAGTCTATCTAATAATGATGCTCGACAGTAGTATTCTTTTTAGCATTTTCGCATAACTGCTCGAAGTCAGCACATAAGGCGTAGTAACTTTGAACTACCCCGATGACGGTCAAGGCAACAAAACTACCAAACCAGAGCCCATGTAAAGTACCTCCAAATCTAGAGTAGAAGGTGATGTAAATTGACAAAGGAATTCCTAGCATATAGTAGGAGACAAAGTTCACAATTCCCCCAATCTTTGTTTGGCCCTGACCTCTTAAACAACCAGCGGAGTTTGCATTCATGGAATCAGAAATTTGCATAATAGCAATAAGCCACATTACACCACCAACTGTTCTGATAACGTCTTCGTCTTTGGTGAAAGCTTGGGCAATTTGCGTTTGGAAGCAAAATAAGACCAAAAAGTTGAGTATGGAAATCACCAAGCCAAAACTAATTGAAACTTTTGTAGATGTTCTGGCTGCAGATACTAAGCCTGCTCCCAAGAAATTTGCAATACGAGTGGAAGATGCAATGCCAATTGCGAATGGCACTTGATAAGCCAATGCTGCCATTGTCGTACCAATGGATTGAGCTGCAAGGGCAACAGTGCCCAAATATGAAGCCATCAAGGTCAAGATCTCAAAAGCAAGAAATTCGGCTTCCAACATAACTAATCCTGGAAGTGCCAAAGATGCCAACTTTTTCCAGCCTGTAAATGCCTGTCTAACGTTCAAACCGCCCCAACAAGATAATGGGTGAATTCCACTAGGGGTTTGATCTTTGTCAATGAAGAATACAATTGATACAATCAATCCCAATGCCATGATCCAGTAATTAATTGCCACAGCAATTGGTGCACCCAAGTATCCGATTCTGTTAACAAGGAAAATGTTCATTACCAAATTAGATGGAGCAGCAATAAGTAAGACATAAGTGGAGATATGGAAAATACCCTGAGCCTGTAAAAATCTCTTACCACATTCGAAAGCAATGTATGCTGGGATTCCTGGGGCAATGTACTTCAAGTAGACAGCGGCGAGCTTTGCCGTCTCTTTATCAGGCACAATAAGGCAAATGAGCCCATAACCGAAAAAGACCCAAATCACAAGAATGGGCAACATGACAACAACGATTAAAGCTATGCACTTTTGAATGTATGCACCTACTAAAGTGTACTTCTTGGCACCAAAAGCTTGTGGACACAACGTATCTAAAGCAGTTGATATTCCCTGAATTGTAGCGTAACCAGTGATATTAGCAGTCATAGATCCCATTGACACTGCAGCCAATTCTGTTGCACCTAAATGTCCAACAGTGAAAACAGATACGGTAGAAAGAGACATTTGCAAAAGAAAGGTAACAACCAAAGGAATTGATGCCTTGAATAACGAAACAAGCTCAATTTGCCAAGTTGTTTCCTCGAGTTGCTTGTTGATCACCGCATTCTCGAATGCATCAATTACTTCATCTTCATCGGCGCCCACATTGATATTATGACTCTTTAATAGTTCTCTTTCTTCCTCTATCAACTCTCTAGCAACGCTTGATTTACGATGCTTGCTGAATTTCCGTCCATTGGGAGCAAGTAATGGTTCAGTCTCACTGAAGCCGACTGCTGACTCTTCATCTCTTCTTATAATACTTTCATCTTCAGCCCCATCATCTGGACCAGCGGTGATGAAATCCGAAGGAACGAAAATACCTCCTTTCCCATCAGATCCATAAACAACAGAAGCCCTCCGACGGGTATTTGAGTGCGTGAATTGATGTTTCTTATCGTTGCCCATAATAAGTTAATTCATAAAAAGTGATGCCCAAATAGCTATCTAAATACATTATTACTATTTACCCATCGTGTACGACATTTTAGGACATTTCTTTTTTTTCAGAATGTCTTGTGTCTGAACCTCGCCTCAATACATTTTTGGATTATTGCTGCGTCGTGAGATTGAGGCTGGCAATCACGTTATTCAGTTTGAAGTTTATTATTATACAGTAGTTCGTGAAATGTGCGTATCAGACTTGCGATAACCGGTTCTAGCACTGAGTTCAACACTATCGGGCTAAATTGATTAAAATGGAAATACCAAAGATCAAGGTAATTCTACTGCTGGTCGGTGATGTTGGATAATAATTGCGCCAAACATCTCTTTGTAGCGACGTCATCTTGCAAAATAATAGAGAAAGTTCCATCTCTCAAAGGCTCAGGTAAAATATTGGCCAACGCTTTCCTTGCCTCAAGATTGTCGGACAAACGCATATAGCATCTGACAACATGCTTTAATAATCTTCCGGAACTACTCGAGGTTTGTTGGGAATTCTGGTTGTTAATGTTTGAGCTCAATTGGTCTATCATTTTTGATAAGACAGATGCAACAGTGTGGAAACGTTCATACGTAGTGCAGATGTAAGACAATCCTTGATCATCAAGTAATATTTTTTGTAAAATGAAGATAGCAACAGTTTTTGATAATTCGGATGAGATCTCCATAATGTTCAAACACAAAGGAACTATTTCAGTGGTGAGCAAGAAATTGATAACCTCAGGAGTGTCATTCTTCACTAATGCACCAATGACTCCTAAACTGGTAAGTCTTAAGTATTCAAAAGAACGCTGCCTTGCATTGGTAGACAAAAATGGATACAAGTACAATGGCAAATTTGCAGTCAAAAACAATCCACGAGTTTGAACATTTGAAGCAACACATTGAAGCAATGCTAATGCATTGCAGACTCTATTCGAGATCGATGCTGTCAAAACTGGTGGGTTCAAATATGGATAAACAGATATGATCTCCTCAAGAAGAACAGTCATCACACCAAAAGAGTTCCATAAAACCAATGCCAAATCATCATATTGTTCCCTCTTCTTTCCCAACTCTAGTAATGCACGCTCTCTATTTGCTCCTGTGACCAATTCTGACACCCATTGGTAAATTTGTTCATCACTGAGAGCCTTGTTGCTTAGAGTTTGAGGCTCTTCGCCTGTATTTGCACTTGTTTTGGTTGATCCCTGTCTCTGTGTTGACAATCCATTGTGATACATTATGGATACTTTGACATGAAGCTTAACAGTCTCATTGCACCTTCAAGTGATTTTGTCAAGTTGTTGGAAGTTGTATGCAGGTGGGCAACGAAGCAGGAGGCAAAAAAATAACGACCTCGGTGAGGGTCGAACTCACGATCTCAAGATTAACAGTCTTACGCCTTAACCAGCTTGGCCACGAAGTCGCTTGATATTTGGTTAATATATATTCAAAAAACCAGTCAAGTTTTTATCAAAGGAAAATTTTGATTTTTTGGCATTTCATAAAGGGATATGTATAATGCACTAAGGACATTTACGTCCCAAAGGAAATATGCTGCTAATTAAGCTTTGAATACTTTAAGTAAGTATATAGACGTGAAGGAGAAGTCTTTTATCATTTTCGTTTTTTTAGGAAGTTTTACATTTTTCTCAAATTTTTGAAAACAGATTAGTATTTAGCATAAGTTGATCACCTAAGATTCTTGTGTTAAAGCCAATTATTTCGATTAGAGGTGTTTAGAGACTTCTTAGAGCCTTATGTAACAGCGGGTTATTGGCCAATCTCAATAGTTAGTCCCTTTTAGCTGGGGACGTTACGGGGATAATTTAGAGGTATTTAGTCACATGACACGGTCCATGAATCTAACAACCACTGCAAAATTCATCTACTTCAGACGGTACAGGAACATTTCCCACCATTCAAAATCCCAATAAGTATATAGTCAGTAGATTATAATATACTTCCCATTAGCAAAAAAAAAAAAAGCATTGATTATATTTTTACATCGATTATTTACTTTTACAATGTTCTATGTGAGTAGTAGGCTGATCACTCTTCAAGTTCTTCATACTTTTCCAATCTGTCTTCTGCCTTCTCCTCATCTTCGATTTTTTTACCTCCACTAACAGAAAACTGTCCTCCTGCACCAATTAACTCAATATCGTGATACTTAGTGGCAGTATTCACAATTCTTGTAGGTGTTTCAACATCTTCGTCCAATGGTCCCAAACCAGGTCCATATGTATCTCCAAAACCCCAAGCGTACACAAATCCGTCGTCCGTAATGGCGAAAGAGTGATGAGATCCTGCACCAACAGACTTGATTTTGATACCACTGTCATCTTTAATGAATTTTAATTTGGTTGGTGTGGGGATAGACCTAGGATTACCATGTTGATCCTTAAAAGTTGATTCTGGCAAGTCGTTTTTCGAGATTCCAACTTCTTTCATATCGTAACGACCCCAGGCTAAGGCGTCACCGTTTTCAGTAACGGCCAAAGTATGATGCTCACCAGCAGCAATCTCAACAATATTCTTATTAGATAAAGAGTCAACAACAGTTGGTTTGCTAATGGTAGACCCATCTTCTAGGTCACCATTCTCATCAGTTAAGGCGCATTGACCGAACTGATTCAAGCCCCAAGCATACACCTTATCATCATGATCAATCGCAAAACAGTGGAAATCCCCACTGGCAATGTACTTAATGTTGAACAAACCGAATTGTTGAGGTTCTAAAGTACGATAACGATGTCTCTCAAGTACACGACGACCCAACTGATATTGTTGACCGTTACCCCAAGCGTAAACAATACCCTTGGAATCTAAGGCAAGCAAATGGTCCTTACCAGCAGCTAGCTGAACGATATTCTTGAGTTCTGCAATCTTTAATGGGGTTTTCTGTATCTTAATTTCGTTTCTCAAGAATCCCAACAAACCTTCATTACAACGGAAGCAACCCCAAGCATAAACTTCTCCATTGTCGAACAATGCTACACTCAAGTTGTCCGTGGCTGCTAGCTGAACAATCTTGCCATCTTTTGGCAAGCCCGTGACCAAGCCAGGTGTCGATTCGGCTTCATTCAAGTCACCATCTTCATCATCTTCATCCTGGTCATCAGCACTTTTCAATACTTCTTTTGCTTGAGATGTATCTCTACCTAACACACCACTATCATTTCCGCCCCATGACCACACTCTGTTTAAGCCATCAAGAGCAAGAGTATGCATACCACCAACAGCAAAATCGACTATATGAGTTCCACCCAATTTTTCACTAGTTAAGAATGGATTAAGTCTTGGTCTTTTGACCTCCTTTGTCTTAGCAGAAGGTCCTAATCCAAGTTCACACATGGAGCCTGTTCCCCATACAAAGATGTCCAAAGGTTCTGATTTTGCTTTAGGAAATGCATTGAGATCGGGCAATTTTGAATACGAGTGCAAAATGAATGAAGAAGTGGCATTCGATTTTGCCTTCTTTACTCCATTTGATTGGGACGAGCCACTTTTTCTTTTTCTATCCAAGGCTACCATTATTTATCAAAATTCAAATTTGTTGACGATAATGAATGATCGGATTTATACTTCATCTCTAAAAGTAAACATGTCTGAAAAACGACAATCGAATCAAAAAGTGCGACAAAGTGCGACATACATATGGCCATTACAAATGAGATATATATTGGTATACGGGTATTAATTAGTTTAATGCGTTGGTTCCGGGCAAAGAATAACCTTGACCTCTTTTATGGCTCCATTTGCTCTTTGCTTCAACAAAAAATCTCGCTGAGTTTTGAATAAGGTAACCAAATGAGCCAATTGCCCTGAAGAGAGATAAGAGTGCCACCGTCCACAAAATGAACGCAAGGTAAGCATTCTGCTTCGTTTCCCCAGGTTCATACACTTGTAACATGGTCAAAATAAACACCAAGTTTGCAAGGAGCCATAACAAGACAACTCTCGTACGGACATCTTTGGCGTAATCTTCTCCATCCATTGGGGTAGATTTTGTCTCATTGGATGAAACCTTTTTGCTGGATCTTTTAGCTCTGATATTGTATAAAGTTTCCAAGTATAACTCATCCACGTTAACATCTACCACCACTGCTTCGAACTCGCCTTTATCATTCTTTTGAATGATATATTGGTTGCTCTTGTCCTCTTTTGGATTGTTATCACCTTTGGTTCCCCATGAAACATCGTGAGTGTTACAGAATGCAAAAATCTGTAATGTACAGGTGTACGAGGGAATCATCAAGAAATACTGCGCGGAGCAAGTCAACATGTGCCAAGGGTCTAAGTACAAGATTGACATCAAGGCGTACAATCCGTAGGTTGCCAATAAAGAAACAACAATGCTTACCATGACGTACGTTGAGGATTCACCAAGACCGAAGTTCTCAAGAGTACTGAAAACAAAATAGAACCCGACAATTAAGGCATATAATGCACAGATCGTCAAGATGATTATTAATGTTTTGAAGATCAAAGTCGACGCTTGTGGTCTGTTACCAATGGAAACAACGAATAAGGAAGTCAACACACAAATGCAAAGGTAGTTGAAAATTGTGAAAACCCAAAACCCACCATTATGACCCATGTGTTTGTTGTGGATTAAGGAACCAGTTAAAAAGTAGAATGTAAGATAGAAATTACTCAAGGAGAAGAATGAGAAGACCAAATTGATGAATTGGTATACGAATTCGACGTGCAAGAAGAATTTTCTTACAAATGAGTGATCAGTCTTCCAAATTCTGTTTGAGTGGCGCAATGAGTATAATGCAGCGAAAAATGCACCATTGATCCAACGTCTTCTCTGGGAGAGAAATTCGGCTATAGTTTCAGGAACATCTGTTTCACCTGTTGCCAGTTTCACAAATTTTAAAACCCAGTTTTCATCCTTCTTGGCCACTAGTTCCCAACACAAGATACGATCTTCGGCTAAGTACATGTTAGCTTCGAAGAAGTTTGATTTGTTGTTCTGCTTATCTTGTCCATCCCGCAACAAATCTTCACCTTTAAAATAGGATGCCAATGGTCCAGTACCATCATCATGATTTTTCAACGCAATATACCTGTACGCTGACAATGCACCCGGTAACACGGAAATGTAACCAAATAATGACTCTGTTGGTTTATCTAAAATGTTAGACATTTTATATTCGAAGTTTTGAGAGGCGACTAAAGGGTTAGTCAAATTTATCCAACCTTTTCCCTTCATAGCCTTAATTTCTCCCGCTGCACCCGCAACGTTAGAATCGCGATCAAAAGCTTTCCATAAGTTATAAATCGCATGGTTATCTGGTTTGGTACCAACATCCAACAAAACCACGACGTTGGGATCTAAAATTGGACAGAATGCATTGAAAAGCCATCTATGGGAATTGATCTTTTTCTGGTTTTGTTCCTTCAAGCAAAACAACACTTGAACAGGAGCCAAGTTTTTTTCATCACCTTTAAACTTGAGGTTTTCATCAATTGATATCTGTGTGGTGTATTCAAAAAGATGAGCTTTCACGCTTTTATTGTTCACGTATGGTCTGGCTAAGTTATCTTGGTAACATCCTGTAGCTGTCAATAATTGTAAAACCGATTCATTAACTTTATTTCTACCGTCAGCAACGATTACCACTTGAATTTTCTTCCATGAGTCTTTACCCCATTTGGATGACTTGTGCCTTGAGCACAAATGAGCCACGTTTTTCATAACACCATGCATTGTTCTAGCAAATGCATATTCATCTTCGTTATACATAGTGATGCAAATAACAATTTCGGTTTCCCTTCCATATTTTCCACTTCTCAAGTTGAAGCCGTCTTTGACAAAGTCATCTGGCTCCGAAGTGCATGCAGTGTATGTCATATGTGTAAATTCACCGAAGGGCGATTCAGTCCTACTTAATACTTTTCTTAATTCTTCTGGCACTGGATTCTCTAAAACAAGATTTCCGGTCTTACCACCAACCAATCTCACTTTACGTTTTGAAATAGTTTTCTCCCTTTTTGGTTGATAGCCGTTGCTGATGTTGTTCATGATGTTGCCATCAATGGACTCACTGAAATATTGACTCTCATGATTTGGTATTTCCGAAACATAAGATGATCCACTGTACGCGGTTGATTCAGAGTACATTGATCTTTCTTCAATCTCACGGGCCTTTTCATACGAGTCATAGTCATAGCTATCCCGTTTTTCGTCGGTAATGGTGTCCTGGTCATCGTGAGTATTTGCCTCCGCAAATGTTTCTGGGGAAAATATTGGTTGAGGTGGTTCAAGAAACCTTCCACTTCTGGTGGAGCTGCCTCCAAAGTTTGAACGTCCGGGTGATCCATCCAAGCTTGAACTACCATCATACTCATCATCAATTGTAATTTCAGTCTTCTTTTGGCGCTTGGGTGACTCTCTAGTAGTGAAATGTGCTCTGGCAGTTCCATTGCCGTATTGAAGATTGGGGGTATTCTCAAGAGGTGTTCTTGCAACCGAAGGCTTCACACGGGCGGCACTTCTAGTGAAAATATTAGGAGACTGTCTTTGATTGTTTTGCATTGATTGAGGAAAAGCAATGAAGTCGTTCTGGTCAGCTTCATCCTCGTAACTTTCTATATTGTGAAACCTGCGAGGAGATGTCCTGTCACTGGTAAATGCTGCATTGGGTAGCATAGGGTGCGTCTCTTTAAAGGGCGAGTCTTCAGACTCATCGAATGGATTCATTTGAAGAGATACTGTTTAGGGTTGGAGAAAGCAAAATAGAACTTTCTTTCTTAGTTATATACCTCAAAACATGATCGCAGTACACAGCCAAACCGTTTCTTGAAATGTGTTTACATTTCGCATACTTGTTTTGGTATCGACCAAAAACGGCAAATGGGCCTGTGATCTTGCTGCGGCGTCCTATTTGTATACGTCTGTAATCAGCCTGTAGCAGTTATATTACAACATGAACTATAGCATAACATTAGTAAACCAAATCCTCCATCACCTTCTAGATAAAAATCACACTACAAGTTCAAATTCTTCCCATGCTCTTTGACGAATTCGTCTACGCACACTTTCAACGACAAGTTAGGATAGCATTGATCAATGGAGAGCTTTTGTCTTGTAAGTGGGTCGTAGTCATGCAACGAAAGATGATGCCATAACCATGCCTTCTCATATGTATGTCCTGATGGGGTGACAACAGGCTCATGAAATAAATTGAACGAAATTGGATCGCATAGATTATCAGGTGGGTCAATTCTCTTCGTATCCTTAGCGTAATTGTAACTGCTGGAAAACACTTTGATGAGATCTTTGATATCTGAAACATACTTCACAGAGACTTTGGTAACACAGTAGTCGATTACAGACTTATCTGTTTCCTTCTCATGAATGTCCTCAAGCTCCTCATTGTATTTCTGCTCAAGAAGTTCTAGTACTGATTCAAAAAGAGGGTGTGAATTAACTATACGGTCCTCCTCTTCTTTCTCCCGTTTGGCTTTTTTCATCCGGAGTATTTGATGATATATCTCTTGAGGAAGCAGGTATTTCTTCAGTGATTTCGCGTGTTCAAGCGATTTCTTGTATGCTTCCTCCATCAATTTGAGTGCCCTTTCATAATCATCTAGAGCACAAAGTATGTATAGAGCATGGTAAAACATTGCATCGTAGTTCCTCTTATCAAGCAGTAGTGCCTTCTGGCAGTCTTCTGTAACCTTCTTCCATTGTTGCATGGAGGCATTGGGGAGGTCCTTAGTGTTCATATAATATGCCTTTGCCCTTGACGAGAATAGAAACGAACTAGTTGGCTCATTCTTGATTGCTAATGTGTAGTAATTGATTGCTTTGGAATATTCCTTATCTGCTAATGCTGTATTTGCACTCTCTTTGTACAGCATCTTGTAGTGGTAAGTTTGACGCCCAGTTTCTTGATCCGCGTGTAATATATTGACTATTCGCACCACTATTTTGGAGGGGGTTGGAAACAGTATCCGTTGTATCCCTAACTACTATATTGAATGCACTTAAAGCAATCATGGATGAGTCCCATAATACCGAAAGAACCTCACCATTCTATATTCATGCGAACAACTCTTCTGCTTCTAATTTTCAGACTCAGTCCAATAACCTCGCTTCAAATGTTTCCAGTGTGGGTTTCAACAATCTCAAGAAGATCATGACTAATTCTTCACTGGGATCCAATGTCAGTACTAGCACCTTGAAGACAAATCCACTAACAAGATTGTTCACGAAAAATCGGTCAGTTACTAATATCTTCCAACCACCAATTCAGTTTGACACAAGTTCCCAATACAACAATAGTGATGAGGAAACTCAATCGACAATATCTAGTTTGGATACTAAGAAGCCTCAAAGTACGTCCAAGTTTCGACTATCTAAAAGTAGATTATTTAACAACAAAAGTAACAATGTCAAACCCGAATTGACTATTCAAACCAGTGGTCATCATGGGTTGAAGGTATCAAAAAAAATATTGAGCTCAAGTCTGTTAAACGATAATACAGGTGTAACTGGGCGAAAGAACTCTGTGAGTTCTCCTGGAGGAACATTTCATAATTTATTTCACAGGAATCAAGCCATTACACAATCCAATCCAGATTCGGGAAAGTTAATGAATCCAAATGATTTCAGCACGAAGCAGAAAACTAGCAGTGCATCCAGAACTTCTTTGAGTCTCTCATCAAATAATTCAAACTCGTATGTTTCTGATATCAAGTTTGCTCTGTTGTATAAATTTACCGACCCCGACTATTCTGTCGAAGAGATTGAGGCACCGAATGATCACACTATGTTGTTGGATATACACAGGAAGTTACTGATGCCAACAGATCAATACTTACAAAACAGAACTCAAAAAGGTCAAAGTCAAGAATTAGGATTAGGTATTCTGGGGGATTCTTATGATAACGAATACAGGTATCATAATGGTAAGAACAACGCAAAGTTTTTTGAAAATCTATTGTACATCACAAGGCCAATATTTATGCCCTCTACACAAAAGACTTTGAGTAATGGGTTGCAGCATCCTTACACTGGATTTACCATTGAGGATATTGCAAGTATAATCAAAGAATACTATTGGAGAGAGCCCTCTTCCATAGTCCAGCCGAACAAGTTAACAATTGAACCAGGCCAGCACTCGTCTACGCCTGCATCTTCTACACAAAGAATGACAAAATCCAAATTAAAACCACTAAGAACAAATAGAAGCAGTTCTACAGCATCGATCACAACACCCAATGAGTTGTATGAAAAATTTGATGAATTGAAGATCAGAGAAATCTCACTAGATTTGTTTACATTTTTCGTGAAATGTATGAACATGTTGAAGAAAGATTTTGATATGGAAAGTGGGGATGAAGAAGAGTTAAGAACACCTTCGCCATCTAAAGTAAATAATTCTTCAAGTGTCATTAAGCAATGGTTGATTTTATCGACAATTTGGATCTATTTCAACAAGAAAATACGATTCGCTTTGATAGGAATATTCCAACCACTACAACACCTTTTTCATGAGATTTCTTCGCAGGGCTTACGATCTAATATAATTATCGATGTTGAGATAGAAAACACAATATTATTGGCCTTCCGTGATGTGATAATACATCCATTCTTGCTACAACACAGTATGATAAATGAGTCGTTCGAAGTTTGGGTAGATTCCAACGATAAAGTTAACAATTCTCATCCAGCTTTAACAAATTCAGAAGAGCAGACCATGCTTTCTTCACATAAAGAATTGTTAGACAATTTGATAGAATGCTTTGGGGAAGTATTATCCAATACTAGACTGCACACTCCACATGCGGATAGCGAGCAGTCTTTCAAAAATCAACTATTCGAGAAAGCATTTGCATGGCTCATAAAATTGAGATAGAAATGTTCTTTAGTTTATCAGGACCAAAAATGACGAATATTTACTGCTTCAATATTAGGAAGTACTAATTTATTTAAACAGACGTATTGCATAGCTTTGTCAATCTGTCTAATACTCGATGACATTTTGCAGGTGATCGCTCTTTAGTGTACCGATTTTGTAGATTAATGAAAAGATAAACTAAAAGTACTAGAAAAGAAGAGAAATAAATAGTAGCCAGGACTCCTTTTCATTCAATATAGAAAACAATAAAATCTTGTCACTTTATTTGGTTAAAACAACATAAGTTTTCATGAGATGTCTCTTTTGGTCAGTTGATTAGTCCTCATACTAGACCAGGTCTGTCATAAATCCACTGGGTAATGTTTCAAGGCTTATGCTAGTTACGGAGAGTGAACACTAAGTAGGAATGTCAACAGTCCCTCAATTTTCTTCAAGTCAGGACATTGTAATTTCTGTAATGTTAGATAAACATTCATCGCAAACACTATGTAGCGTTCCTGGAGTCACTAATTAGTGAAGTGATGTACTCAATGTCCCACCACATACTCCAACCGTAACAGGCGACTGTTATTGTGCTAATAACAGCCACAAGAGCTTCTAAGGTGCCTGGGTCCAAGTATCTCAGGCTTAATGAAGCTTATGAGAAGTTTACTTAAGATGCTTGGACCGAAATTAATAACGTGGAGAGCGGCAAATGTCACCTTAGGGTTGAAGTGAAAACTCTGGGAAGATTCTTAGGGAGTTACTTCTGTTCTGACTACTCCGAACTCTTCTTAACCATGTGACTATCTTTGTCGGATTGAGGCATAGCTGGGCTCTGGGAAGGAAACACAAATAGAACCTATTATGGTATCATGAAGGTACAGGACACTTCTGGGTACCACGGGTCTACTCTGATTGCAAAGACAAGTCATCTTGGGGGGGAGAATTCCTATCTTTACTATCAAAAGTTAACTCTGTGAAAGATAAGTCGTCTTGGGGGGGGAGATTCCTTATCTTTCAGAAGTATTTCCAACTCAGAGCAAAATACCATACTTAAAGACAAAAATAAATCACTTCCTTCTTTGTCGGATTGTGGCATAGCTGGGCTCTGGGAAGGAAACACAAATAGAACCTATTATGGTATCATGAAGGTACAGGACACTTCTGGGTACCACGGGTCTACTCTGATTGCAAAGACAAGTCATCTTGGGGGGGAGAATTCCTATCTTTACTATCAAGAGTTAACTCTGTGAAAGATAAGTCGTCTTGGGGGGGAGATTCCTTATCTTTCAGAAGTATTTCCAACTCAGAGCAATATACCATATCTGTGGACAAAAATAAAAGAAGAATTCAGAATTAGTGAAAATTAAGCAGCAAAAACCTTGGAAAACTTCAACAACCCATGGACTTGAGTGACTTCGATTGATTTGAGGGATCCATTAGCAATCCATCACCGCATTCCCTTTATTGCATAATTAACAAAGATTTTTTTGTTCGGATATCTGGTGGCGCCTTCCAAAGTATCCGTTGAATGCGTTTAGGTGTAATAACTATTGCGGAAATGATCATCAGTCGAGTCCTGGTAGAATCAGTATAATCTTGCTTGTTGCAAAAATTTGCATTTGTGCACACGGTGGCAAACACAAAAACAAACACAAGTAATCCAACATAAGTGGTACTCTTCAGGCGAATAAGTTCTCAGAACTCAGTGGGTCCCTTTTGACCTGTTCGATATGGTTGTCAACTCGGTATTGTCGTAAATTGACCAACCTTTGCACATATGATACAACAAGTTCATTGTGAAATAAAAAAAGCATCAAAGAACTTAAATCTTATGGGTGTTTAGCAGCCATTAATTAGAATTCTAGCAGGAAAAACCTTGTCTTTTACCAAAGCCTTGTGTTGTTTCAGATTGAGAAGGCGCTAATTGTAGGCAAAGCACAGCCCTATCTTGATTCAAATTGAACGGGAAACAAAGCTAAAATTAATTCATAAGTGAGCAACCATTTCATCATTCATCGACTTTGAATCATAGTCTCGTGAAGAAAGATAGGTAAAGCAGTATAGAAAGTGGGTACTAACAAGAAATTTGTTTTGTGCACCACTTTTATCCCAAGCGCGTGTGGTGCTCAGATAGGGGGTTGGTGGTCCTGATGTATATGTAGATGACGTGGTGGAAATTGAGCGTAAGACTAATAAGGAAGATTTTGCAGTTGGGAGGTAATAAGCCTGATGATTATGTGTCCATGGTATTTGCCATTAAGAGTAGCCTCGATGTAGTTCCTAAGGCCAATTTTACCTATCACGTGACATTGTTTCGCAGCCAAACCAGAGGATGGTAACTTGTTTTGCGGTAAAAGCCTGCTGACACGGCAGTTAAACGCTCCATAGTAGTATCAAAAGATTTCAACTATTAAGATAAAACTATTAAATATCGATTCTGATGTAAATAGACAGAAATCAAATGTATTTCCAGCCAAAATATCCATTTGTGCACATCCTTTGCAAATTTTGCAACCTGTACTTGCGATCCTATTTGTGCACCAGCTATAAATTCAGCCTTTGTCATCCTAGAGATTTAGAATCTTTTCCTCATACTATCTTTTAGTTTAAAATCGAATAAGCTCAAGTAAAACGTCTACAAAATCAACAAACCGATTACTCAAGCATGTTTCGTGATTGTCTTTCTAAGTTCAAGAAAAGTGTCCGTGGAGTTGATTGCATTGATAGCAATTTCCTTCCATCTGTTGATAATGGACAATTTCTACGCGTTGAGATTAAAAGAAAGGGAAGAGGCTATAAGCTCAAGCAAAGCATCAAAAGAAAATTAAGTAAAGTCTTCCCTAAGAGTTCAAGAGAAGATTCTGGAAGCAAAATGGAAAATACTTTGTCATCATCTCGTCAGATTTCCACCCAAAATACTGGGGAACCTTGGAACACTTCGGTATTCACTTCAAAGGCTATCTTGGGATTTGACTTTAAAAATATGAAACATTCTTTTGGATTATTCTTTGGTAGTACAGAACAAAAACCGAAAGATCAGACCAAGAAAGTCAAATCCAAGCATGGCACTCCTGTCAAAAAACCCAAGCACGAGTTTGATGATAACGTGAAAGTTCAAATTATGCTCAGAGGCATTGGAGTCGACTACATCCTAGAAGGTTTTGACGATGCAAGCTTCGAAGACATCATTAAGACTCGGACTAGTGACGAGTTAAAAAGAATGTATTTAATTTTCGAGGTTGTGTTGTATCACTTGAGGAAGGGCCGACATGAAAGCTCAGAGTTTTACCAAAAAACATCCAGCCGTTTGATGGCGATTGAAAAGGAGATACGACTCTATATATGGGGCCACAAGAACGGAAGTAGCAAAGGAACCGATGAGATCAAACCGCTGGTCGACTTTGACTTGGATAAAGATTCACAGGTCAGGTTTAGAACCAGAGGTGTAATCTATGACATGGAAATGCTTGACGAGCGGGGCTTCGAATACCTTCTTCATAGTCGCACTAAAAGTGAGTTGAAAGATTTGAGAAAACAGTTCATGAGATCTGTAGAGTTCTTGATACTGCGTGAGAATGAAGGTTCTAATCTTTACGCTATAACTTGCAGTCGTCTACAAGAAATTGAACTCACATTGAGTTCAAAGTTCAATCAAGCTGAAAAAGTAAGCAAAGCCAGTGATGCCAAATCAGTTGAAGCCAATAAATCCAATAAATCCTATAACGGCTTAATGACGATAATGGGTTTTTTTGCACAGTTCTTTGTCGTAAAGCTAGGTTAGTTAAAGATGACCGTTCTTTCACCAACTTGGAGTACGTTATTTGTCGACGTGATACCAGGTGCTGGCCATCAACAATCATACTATTACTTTGGCGTTGCTATTGTTGCCGCTGATGCTGTTACTGTTGTGTCTGTTATGGTATAATGATACAATTGAAAGAATACAGGTTAGGGTAAGGATTAGAACTTACCGTTGCATCTGCCTTAGAAAAATTGCTCCATATTTCAAAACATGCAGAGTTACACTAGCGATTGGGGGGTCGCTAACTGTGTAACGCCATATTGCATGACAAATGAGCAGGACTCTGTGGGCGTATTGCATGACAAATGAAAGGACTCTGTGGGAGTATTGAAATCAAACATACCTCTTGTGGTACAGAATCTCAAGGGACACAAATGCATAGTGGGCCAGCATAAAATTGATAAGGTTCGTGGTTAGAATGATGAAAAGTGATGAAGGGAGATGAAGGTACTGGTTAAGGGTTGTAAAAGTTTATGGCTTACGTTCTGCTAGGTTGATTTAGCATATTGGTTTAGATGCGCTAAGGTTCAGTAGCTACAAATAAAGGATTCATCGTCTTTCGAGCTACTTACCGAGTTTTGGTGGTCTTGATGGGGAGTTGATTCACCTTGGTCCTCCTATTCCTTCGTTCTTCTGTAGCTTGTAATGCAACAGAAGAAAACTGATTAATCGGGAGGAATTGACTTGTTGTAACATTTCGACAATGTTCTTGTTTGCTGACATATTAATGAGTTGGAATATTCAACAATCCCTAGCTGTATGGGATTTTTTGACTGATTGTGGATTATCGATCGTGAGGATACAACTTTGCAGCCAAATCGAACATCTTAAAAACTTAAATAGAGAACATAGATTGAATACATTAAGATTAACAAAAGTTTAAGGTCACAACTAGCAGCAAATTAAATTTCACCACAACTACCTTAGACGCTTGTTAAACACCACCACTTCTCCTTCAAACATCCAATCTTGCTTGTTATTAGTGTTAAAGTAACCCTCATGTCTCAGCAATCAATCAAATGCAAAAGAAACATCAAGCTACAATATAACTAAAGAAATAAGAATACATATAAAAAAACATCCTTCCTCATAAATCCTTGTAGGTTCGTAAAAGTGCTAAAATGGAATCATTTACAGATAAGGTTTTGCTCTCTTAAGTATTAATTATTTTCATAACAAGAGTAATTAGGGCAAAAGCTAATAGAGTACCAAGTTCTTGAGCAAATGGAGTGAGCTTCAGTAAAAATAGATCAGGCGATTTAATGAAATGATTCATTTCATACCATTGTGGTCCCATTATAAATTACGACGTCATACATCATTAATGCACACTGTGTGTTATGAATACAATAGACTTTGAAGAATAAAATAATTATACCATGAAAAACAAAGTGTAAGCATCACAGCCATTAGAATGAGGATGAAATAATGTAATATCATGTAATGTCTAGGTGGAAGGAATTCACAATTAGCAATATACCTCAGCTATGACTGACTTCGGTCAACGCCAATTGAAAAGATTCACTGGACACAGACGCGGAGAAGAAGATGACTATAGAGAACAAAGGTTATGAAAAACCTTGAAATACTAATGGAGTATGGAACGGATACAGGGTCTTACTAGAATATTATGCTTGTCACTTATCTCACAAAAGAGTTTGGCTTGTGTTTAAAGTACTTTATAGGTAGACTCGATTTAGCATCATGATTTGCTAGGTGATTATTGATTACATTTTTGTCCAGAATTCTGATTATTCAACCCCAAATATGTGAGATGTTTTATACCTGATGCAATAGAAGTACTGATTATAAAGATTAAGTCTCATTTATTGTACAAAATCTTCATATCAACATCATCTTCAACTTTAGTTTTACAGCAGTTCCTGATAATACGTAATTATTCTTCGGATGGATTATTTTCCCGTAGTTTGGTTTTATTAATACAGTATACCTATTTAATGAGAGCGTCATAGTCGACACCTTTGATCGCGTAGCAATTTTCACTAATAGTTCTTCGATGATGATTACTTTTATTTACACAGGCTTTGAAAAGATGTTGGGAGATTGTTGAAATTATGTTATAAGACCGCAGGAGTAAGTAACAATCTAAAAGGTATCTGGTACTTTGAGATTTTATCCTACAATATGTAAGTCTAGAACGTAATTTAAATATGCTTATGACCTCGATTAATGGGTTATATTTTAATTTCGCTGTTGCTTTGTAAATAGTTTGTTTATACGAATATAGATTTGCGGGTGTCTAAATGATATCAGGCTGTGTATATTGTACTGGTCAGAAAGTTCAGCTTCATTTGTCCAAGTTTGTTTGAGTGTGCTGGTAGGGTTTTCCAACGATTTCAGAACTGGGCAAACTTCTAGATTCTTTTTTGTCCTAACAAATTATCAATTCTCTAGATAATAGGAAGAAAAGTAGAAGATTATTGGAAGGAAGTCTACGAAGTATTCATAGTAAATGGTTGTTTGATATGTCTCAGTTCTTCATGCCAATGACGTTGAAGTTGTCGATCATGGATATTTTTTTACTCTCTTAAGATGATTAATCCTTTTCAAGAATCCTCAAATTTCGAATCATAGGAAGTCCATTTCTCTTCCGCTTGGGGTAAAGCCCATTATTGAGTTCAATTAATGTCCCAATTGTATATCCATGAAGTAGAATTGCCAATGTTTTTGTATTTGGCTATGAAGTTGGTTTAAGTATTTTTGTTAGATTTATGGACATCTTAGATCACTTCCCGCTATTGAATATGGATATGGATAGTGCAAGTACTTAGAATAATCCTAGTATTGGTTGGATTATTCCATATAAATGGTTCATTTCTTGTTTTTGCACTGATTTTCAACTCAACAGAATTGAATTGAATAATTTTGGCATTAACTACAAAGTAAACGAAGAGATAATATTTTTGCATAAAAGAGATTCAGACAAGAGTTGCAGAGGTTTTAAATGTGGTAGTATAATCGGGGTATGAATGTTATTAGGAATGCAGACGAGAGTTGATATATATATCTGCAATCCTGTTAGCGCAGGCAGACAATCATCTTGGAAATACTGTACACGAAACTGACTCCTTCTGTTATACGTATTCAATTAGCTATAGAATATTAGAACTATACTATCCAAGAACTTAAGAGCTTCAAATGCTGGTAATTCGACGATGAACCTTCCATACCTAATGCAAGATCCTTGTAATAAGTAAAGCCTGCGAGTATTAGAATGTATGCCAATGTGTAACATAAATATGAAATGTATAATGGTGCTCGTTTGTAGATTACACTTTCCATGAAAAACCCACTGACGAAAATAGCAAAATATAATGCAGGGACGTAATGATGCAAATACTTGACTCTTCCCATTAAGATAAAAGGTATGTAGTGAAACATCCATGCAAGGAAGGGGATAATACCTTGAATAAGAAAATCATTCCAATAAGAATCCAAGATATCGAACGAAACTTTTTGCCTTCTCATCATATAGACAACTATTGTGAAATAAAGTATGAACGCAATCAAAGTGAAAGTTGAGAACCAGGTAATAAACGGGTGGCCAATCAAAAAGTATTTGACATCGTCAATTGACCAAGAGCACATCCTCAAACCAGTATGCAATATTGGCCATTCCCACCAATCAGAGCTTAGCTTATCAAATTTATCAGGATCTGGTATCAAGGCATTATTAGAGGCCATCATTCCATAGTTTAATAATACGAATTCCTTCCAAAATTTGGGCCTAGGAGGCACGTACTTTATTGAAGGTTGAGGAAGCTTATCATTTTCATGATCTTCAATATTCCACCAAGTACTTTTATCTTTCAGTAAAAATGACTGTTTGCAGACTACTTCACCTTGTTGAAAGCCCCATGCTGGGTAGGAGGCACCTGTAGTTGCGAGATAGCACCCTAATACCTTATGGCGAAGTCGAAAATTTGTAGATATTGGATGAATATGTGTTGGATCTTCATCATCGAAATCATTTGATGGGGATACTTCTTGTGTTTGAACTTCTATTATCCATTCATCCTTGATATCACTTCCCTCCAAATCCGCATAACAGGAAACCTCATAATGGGATTTCAGTATAGCAGCAAGAATAGGGTGAGAATGTAACAAACACCCAGAAGATTTGTGTACTAAGCGAATGGTGTCCTGATCATTAATTACCCGCTGATAAGTCTTGGTGATATTATCATTCTCCAACGGTTCTAAAGTTGCAAAATTTCCATTCAAGCTTTCTTCAATGTTGAATTCAACTAGGAATTCATTATTCTCATCTTTGAAGCCATATGTCGTAACTTGCTGTTGTTGTGAGCCTTCAGGATATGTGTGAGGATGTGAATGAATTAGGTTAGGTGATAAACCCTGAGACCTCATTGTAATTAATGAACCATAAGCAACTGATCTAGGTCCATTTTTCAATGTGTTTCCATCTAAGGTTGCTTGCAATAATGTAGAAATTGAACCATCACCGGGCCCCGAGCGGCTTAAGATCGTGAAATGTATTTTGAAACAAATTGAGTAGATCATGAACGGAACTAGTATCAATGTGATAATTCGCACCGCCCAGTGAGCAAGATATTTACCAGCTGATAGTGTTTTCGTTGAAACAACTTGATACGATTTGATGGACAAGTCATAAATAGTATACAATCCAACCAAAGCCGTAACAAAGAGACCAACCCACTTCACAGAGCACACACACCCGATAGATATTCCAGTAAGTAATGACCACTTTATTCCATGATAACTCAATAATAAATTAGAATTCCGAAGTACATGTATGTTTATCAAGCAATAGTAAGACAAAACGGTGAAAAACAATAACATGCTATCAAGGAGAATGAATTTGGAGAGAGTAAGAGAAATCATTTCAAAAATCACCAGCAAGCAAATGAACCAAGTAGTAGGCTGACTGAACCCCAACAAGAGGGATGTTTTGTATGCCAATGGTGTACAAAGAATACCAAAAATACAGTTGAAACATCTCATCAAGACGTAATTGCAGTTCTCGGGAAAAGTTTCACCAGATTCGAAGCTAAAATTTCCATCATAGTTGGCCAAATAGCCAGAGAGGCCAACTAGAAGTTTCCCCAAAGGAGGGTGGACATCGAAATAAAATTCATTCTTCAAATAGTAAGATCCGAACTTTCCAAAATGAGCTTCATCCCATACCACCTTATTTGATGTATGAATCCGGTAAAGCCGGACAAATGCTGACAATGAAGTCAAAAGTATTGGAAATGCATACTTTATAACCCAACTTGAGTTCCTCTTCCACCACAATGATATGTGAGGTTGATCTCTGATACGAAGTGAATTAGTCTTTGTGATGATCTCGTCTAACTCATCTTCACCCAACTCACCATCTCGAGCACCAACTTGCTCATGATTGATAGTTTTTGATGTCCTTAGGGAGTTGATATGGTTACGATTGCGTAGATCACCATCAATTCTTTCTAATCCACTCGAGAATTGTGAATCGCTCATATTTTTTGCTTCATGAACGAACCACCAAGGACATAATCCATGAATGTTCCATTAATTTCAGAAGTCACGTGCTACGATTTGGCTCTATAACCCTTACAACGATTATTCCGCGCTAGAACGGAAAGATCGCCCTTTTCTTCCAAATCTTTTTAGGAGGCGATCCCGACATTTGGGCTACTAATACCCTCTGTGTTGTAATAAACACAATTTAAATGTGTCGAGACGCGTCTTTAAAAATTCGAACCATAAGGGTACCTTATTTTGTGTGAATTGGTACCGGAACTACAATACTACTCAACTAATTAGTAGTGAGCGAAGAAATAACACAGCTTGTCGTACAGCAGATTTTGAAGTAAAGATGTGGGTAGTAAGGGCCACAATAACAAAGCAGCAAGTATGCACAAATCTAAAACGCGGATCTGCCACAGTTTCTCTGGAGACAATTCTTCATGCTTCTGCAACCTCAACCACGATGTTAATGTGCACAGGATTACTATATTGTACAACTTATTCGCTAGATGAATATCTTTGTTTAATTCGAAGATGTGCATCGGGATCACCACAAACCGGCATATGTGTATTTTATGCGGACCCCTAAGATGCGCCACGCGCCGCCACTCATGTTGCGCGACGATCGTAAATTTTGACCTTATTCAATACGCTTAGACTTGTGATTGTTATCAATATAGCAAATAATGTTTCAGTCTGGCCACGGATATGTCTCCAAAACTAATCCAGGTATAGGGCTCTATACTATCTGTTGCTAATGGGTACTCTCGTATAGGATGCGTCGCGTTCTCTAGTGTCGCGCTATGGTGGGCTAGCCCAGATTTTTTTCTTGTATTTCTTTTTTGCAAAGTGTTGTTCAGCGTTCATTATTTTGGTTAAAAATTTGGTTTTGTGTTCCCAGAGTTAATTTTATATATATAACGAAGCGTAACAGTCCTGTGCGTGGGAATCGCTCGTTATCGTCTCTAATTCACTCTTCATAGATACCAGTCATGTTGAATCTCCCCCGGATGAAGGTGAGGTTGGCACTCTTCTCTGTGATCGTCATCTTCACTCTTTATGCACTTTATAACACCCAAGAGCTATATTCATCAACCATACCGATCAATAGAAATGTGTCACTTTCCATCAAAATAATCAATAATAATCCAAATCAAAGGACGATAGCGCCACCGCCAGCCTATAAATCAATAATTGGCCAGCCAAATATCGGTATTATGCCCGCCCAACCTTCGCATGATTTCTGGAATCGCATATTCACAATCTTCGACAATAATAAGTTCAACATATCGGAAGCTGAAAGAGCGGATCCAATCAGTTATATAAAACAAGTGTACAACGGTCCTGGCGTTCCTACTTCTAAGCATGCACTCATGACCAAGGCACATTTTACCCAAGATACTTATGACGAGCTCAGATTAAAGCATGGTGCTGTGTTGAAACAGTTGCCCAATGGTCTTCACCAATCCACCTATAAGAAGAACTCGCGTGGTATCGTGCTTATTGGCGGTGGTTGGTATTCCTGGTTGTCATATCTTTCTCTTGTATCACTCAGGGAAACGGGCTCTAAGTTACCAGTAGAGTTCATTTTACCTACATTTCATGATTACGAACAGGAGTATGACTTCTGTCACAATGTGTTGCCAAAGCTTGATGCTTCGTGTGTCGTTGTGGCTGAGAAACTCGGTACCGCAGTGACTAGAAAGTGGCTGTTCGGAAGCTACCAATACAAAGCTTTAGCGATAATTGCATCTACCTTTCAACATGTTATTCTTCTTGACTCAGACAATATATTGGTCAAAAACCCAGACTCAATATTCACTTCTACAGTCTATAAGAAACATGGTCTCATTACATGGCCTGATTATTGGAAACGTACCATTTCACCTTTCTTCTATAGTGTTGCTGGATTGAGGGTCAATGAAAAGTTAAGAACAAGATATGATAGATTTCCTTTGATTACACCAGTTGCCGTTAACGAAACTGAGCAGCTTCAAGTTCCATATCATGACTTGGATGGGGCTATCCCAGATTTATCTACAGAATCAGGTCAGTTGATCGTGAATAAGAAAACACATGGTAAAGCCCTTTTGGTTGCACTTTATTACAATGTTTTTGGCCCAGGGTACTTTTATAAGTTATTCTCATTGGGTGAATTGGGTGAGGGTGATAAAGACACTTTTGTTACAGCTGCTATGGTTGTCCGTAAACCTCATTACCAGGTTAAATCATATATCCGAACAGTTGGCTACAACGATGATTCTAGTTTTCACGGTCTTGGAATGGGGCAGAAAGATCCAATTATGGATTACAATGTTTTTACTGCTGAGATGAAAAATTTGCTGAGACTTTATCATAAGAAAGACTTACCTATGGATAAACAAATTTCACTTTTGAAGAACCTTGAAGACAATGTCTTTTCTTCAAGCAGTAACATTCCATTGTTTGCAGTACATTGCAATGTGAAGAAGGTTAATCCTGTTGACTTCATGGAAAGCAAAGAAATTTACAACAAAAAAGAACATAGACTTAACGTAAGAATGTTCAGCGGGTTGACATATGTGGATGACAGAGGCGACCAACCCCGTCAAGTGGATTTCGAATACATGAGATGGTCATTCATGGATAGAATTTTATGCGAAGATGAGGTCAAGTTCAGCACATTCGAGAATGCAAACATGACTAAGCTTTGTCTGTACCTTAAGAATACAGTCAAATGGTTAGCACAACCAGCTCAGATATAGATGTTTACGTCGTGGATTCATTCTTGTACCGTGTGATTATTCCATAAATCCTACAATGTCAGAGAGCAGTTCGAAAGCGAGTGTTATGTTGATGCTTTCAGGTCTAGCACAAATGTATATCATGTATATTAAGATCCCTAATATCCCATTCCCATAGTTCCATCGCTTTTTGCGTCAAAATAAACATTAAAATTAAAATCTGGTCGTTTCTCATAGCCCTGCTATGAGTCCGTCGAAATAGATCCCCTTCCCAAAAGATCACTGGGAATGAGGAAAATGATTAAATTGACTGTAGATATAATTCTCCCAGCCAATTTTAGCACATTAGATTAGCTCCAATTTTTTCTTCAAAACGGATAATCTGTTCCCAATGCTTACAATGAATTTCTCAACCATTGCTTTATCTTCATTATCCAATTTTTCATCATTTGAACTTACATCAAAATTTTGATTATCTTCATCGTCGTCAAGTAATGCTTCCAACATCCAAATTGATGTACTGTATGCCAATTCACATCCCTTTAAGTCCTCCTTTACTAATTCATTAACTGCCGCATTTCGAGACATCTCTAAAGCCCTGTCAAAAATCAATTTCTCAGCCATCACTTTATTAGATTCGATAGGCTCAAGGGCCACTTTAGAGTTAGTGAACCCTTCCTTATTTCCCATTTCATACTCCCTATTGAGTGATGAATTTGCCTCTTCTAGACGTAATTTGATGAACTCGGCTCTTTCCAAACACTCGTTGAATTTTTCTCTAATCCATTGAACTAATTCATTGATTTTCACCGATGTTTCTAGTGTTGTTTGTCTATTGGAAAACCCTGAGTCAGTATCAACCAATCCTGAATCTTCTCTGTCATATTGATGATACCACCAATCACTTGCAACCGTCATTCCCTTTGCTAAACAAGACAAAGTCTTCACATATAGAGCCACGCCTTCTTCACTAATTGTGCGAACCATCCTAGGAGGTAGCATATCATTCTGATGCAATAAATCATCGTCAATCCCTTCAATTGATGGAGGGCTTGGTATCAATTGACTAAATTTAACATCTGCAAATAAATTGATTGAATGAGCTTTTGTAGCAATTGATTCCAATTTGCGAAGCACAATTTCATCCAGCATTGGTTCATCGGTGCTTGATGCTTTGCGTAAACTTGGAATCAAACTCGTTGAGGTGGGAATATTTAATTTGTCGATTAAGAGGTTATTAGCAAAGTTGGGATTGTTAATGACAGCTGAGAAACTAGCATTTTCCTTTGTTTCCAATAATTCTTTCCTGTCAGATTCTTCTTCAACTAACCTCCCGTTAACATTGCTTCCAAAGAGCCTGTTTGAAGCTAAGCCAATAGCTTTACTCAAAGCATTACTTGGGGATATGGAAATAGATATCCTCCTATCAGTAAAGCTGGGTCGACGTTGACTGTTGGAAGAATTTGACCTCAGCGAAAGTCTTCTTCCAGTGGTTTTAACGCTGTCCATGTTCCCAACAGTTCCATATCTATTAGGAGTGATCGCAGCAGCACCACTGCCTGCATGAGCAAGCTCATCTGCAATTGCATTCACTTCTACTGCTCTTTTCTCCACAACCACATAACCTTTTTCCAAAATGGCATCATTGTTGTTTGGGCCTTGGAAATGGTTGTTTATCAGAATACCTTCAAAGTTTCGACTTGGATTTCCTTTTTGTACCGTATCAGGACCGGGACTGTTGTTGATTATTATATTTTTGATCTGTTCATCTCTCGTGGTTTCGGGTGAAACCTCTCTAGAGTTTCGCGTTTCTTTCTCCATTGTAGTTGCTGATGCCATTTCTTCATTCTCGTGTCCGTTATTCAGTTTAGGAGATGAGCTGGTGATGGTATTCGTATTTTGTCCTCTTGTAGGATGCATCGGTGAGATGTATTCGCTAATGAATAAATTTTCATCCATGTCCGAAGTTTCGAGTGGCATATCATTGCATTCCATATCCTGCGTGATTAAGATGTCATTGAAAAATTCATTGAACGAGACTCTTTCAGTAGGATTGTATCTTAGCAAGGATCTAATTAAATCTTTTAATGGTTCTGGTACTTGCGCGGATGACGGGAACTTTATCTTATCGTGGGCCTTTTCGATATTCTTTAATAATTCAATATGATTTCCAGCTTTAAAGGGCGGTTTTCCTACCGTCATTTCATAGAGTACTGCACCAACAGACCATAAATCTGCTTTCGCATTGTACTTCTCATAGCGCAATATCTCCGGTGCCATATACAAAGGTGAACCACATAAAGTTTCCGCCATTGATGTCGAAGGTAAAAATCTTGCAAAACCAAAGTCCGCAATCTTAAGTATGGGCATTTCCCAAAGGCCCACAAAATGGCCATCGTTGAATTCTTTTTTTGAATGAACCGGAGGACACAACAATAGATTCTGGGGTTTGATATCCCTATGCACTAAACTCTTATCTCTCAAAAATTGCAATGCTGAAGAAAGTTGTTTCAAAAAATGGAGCACAATTTTCTCATTTAACCCATGTGAACCTTCTGGGGATGGATATCTCTCTAATAAAGAGGAGATAACAGGATGTGTTTTGATTAACTGGTTTCTTCTTCTTATGAAATAGGAGAGATCACCCATAGAACAGTAATCCATAACCAAATGAAAGTGAGAACTTGTTTGATGATAATCAAGTAGCCCAACAATATGAGGATGTTTCATGGTTTTTAGAATGGACACTTCAATCTCCAAGTTCTCCAACAACTTCTTTGATTTTAACTTTGAACGAACAACAGACTTTATGGCCACCGACTTATGCGTTTTCTAAATGTTAGTATGTCCGATTTCTCTGAAAGGCAATAATTACTTACAATGTCTATACATTTGTAAACGGTGGCGAAAGACCCTCTTCCTATTTCTGGTCCTTTCTGATAGACTCCAATCACTTCGCTGATTCCTCTTTGTTGTAAATTCGAATTCGATGACATGTTGTCCAGACGTTTTGATTAAATCAAGAATTAGCTTCAATCGTTGTCAGTATTCAATATTGATGCTTCTTTACCTCGACTCCTAGATCTAGACTGGCAGATATAGGTAAACAAACGCCCTGGTCTGAGATCACTTTTGTAGAATATTTGGAAGGCTCTAAGAATATTGAGTATAGCCCCGAGATTTAAACTAGAATGAACAACTATGCAAACAGACAACGTTTAATCTGAGTTAACTATTCGAAGATCTCAATTTGCCTCCTCTCCTTTGGACTAAGCTAGACAAATCCAGACTTTCCTTAGATATAAAACTATCTTAGTGGTCTTTCGTTAGATTGGCCACAATACAACCAGTGGAATTTTGTTCTTATCAAAGTCTTTTAGCGATATCAATTAATTGATTACAATTAGTCGTGACTAATGATCCCAGGATATGTGAGTAATTACTCTTTTTAACCTTATCACGGGTATTCTGGGGCGCACCCTTGTATCATAACCTGCAAGGGGTGGGTTACAGGTTAGATCGAACAACTAAACCGACTCCCTATGTCGTTTTTCACATTTTGAATGTCGCGTTTGCGACTGAGAACTATGCTTGCTATATCAGAAAGCATTAGAAATATTGAAATCAACTAAACAATTTCTTCTCCTAAGCATTGACTCATAAGTATGTTTGAATCTTTGGTCGCAAATGTGTTGAATCGGTTTTTAGGTTCGTACATTGAGAATTTCGATCCAAAGCAGTTGAACATTGGTATATGGAGTGGGGATGTCAAATTGAAGAATCTACAATTAAAAAAGGAATCATTGGATAAATTCAACCTTCCCCTTGATGTTAAATTTGGTCATTTAGGAGAACTCACACTTCAGATACCTTGGTCAAACTTGAAGTCCAAGCCCGTGCGTGTGATTATTGAAGATGTGTACTTGTTAGCCTCCCCTTTAATTTTGGAAGATTTCGACTTGGATGAGGAAAAGCGAAGAAATTTGCAATTAAAGAAGGATAAATTGGATGACTTAGAAGCAATTCAATCTGCTAAAGCACAGAATAAGAGTCTTTCAAATGATTTGAGTTCGAATGAAACATTTACTGAGTCACTCGTAACAAAAATCGTAGATAATACCCAAATAATTATAAAAAATATTCATATTAGGTATGAAGATGATTCTACATTAACTGAAAATCCTTATGCTGTGGGTTTCACATTGAATGAGCTTTCGGCGGTCTCAACTGATGAATCATGGATTCCCAGTTTCATTTCTATAACTCAACAATTCACAAGAAAATTATTGACCCTTAAAAACTTAAGTTGCTACATGAACACAAACTCAAAAACAATTTATGTTGATAATCACGAAGAGCTTCTTAAGAGTTTTAAGGAGTCCATAGTTACAGATGATTGCTCGAATGACGAGTTGCAATTCTTGCTCAAGCCAGTCACTGGTAATGGTAAAGTTACTGTGCATAAAAGTGGAACAACTGATTTAGTACCTCATATAAAAGCTGAATTGTTTTTCCAAGAGTTTGGCATTGAATTGGACTCCCAACAATACCATGATCTACTTTGGACAGCATCTAAGTTTCACTGGTATAACAAAACTCAAAAGTTTCGAAAATTTCGACCAAAGGTTTCTGTCAGCGAAGACCCAAAGGCGTGGTTTAGATATGCAGCTAAATCCATTGTTGATGAGATACATGAAAGAAACTATAAATGGAGTTGGGGTTATTTTGAGAAAAGAAGAAATGAGAGGATTTCGTACATTTCATTGTGGAAAGCTAAATTACTCTCTCCCACCAGCTTCCAGAATGCGGATCATAAAGCACTAGAAGAGTTGGAAGCTGAATTATCGTTTGAAGATATTAAGTTCTACAGATCCTTAGCCCGCAGCGACATTAGAAAAAACAATAGCAAAGCTTTGACAACTAACAGCCAACAAAGTTCGGCGGATAATAAGTCAGGATGGTTGTCATACTTCTGGGACTCGAAGAAAGTAGAAACACAACAAGCTTCTAATACAGAAGGTGATGAGATTGATTTGCAGCTATCTGAAGATCAAAGAAAAGCGCTTTACGAAGCCATTGAGTACGAGGATAACCAAGAATTAATTAATTCAATAGATGTTCCTAGGGATACAATTAAACTAGAGGTTCAAGCTTCTTTGGAGAAGGGGGGTATTTATATTAAACTGAAGAACCTGACTAATTTGGCGGAGATTGTATTTGAGGGATGTACAACTCAGCTTTACCAAAGACCAGACTCATTTTTAGCCAAATTTCAGCTACAGGAGTTCAGAATCGAGGATGGAACTCAAACCTCATTGTATAAGCATATTGTGAGCGTAAAACAAGTGAATAACTCAGGTCAGAACGGAAATACAAAATCAGATCCTTTCTTTCAGGTGGCATATGAACATAACCCCTTGAATGACTCTGCGGATTCCCTATTACTCGCTAAATTGAGATCTATTACTGTTTTTCATAATCCTAAATTTTTCGAAGAAGTCATGAAATTTTTCAAGCCACCGAAGATCCACCTCAATACCATCGGGGCTATAATGAATGCTGCGGAGGCAACCATGGAAGGACTTAGTGAGCAAACGAGAATAGGATTACAATACGCCTTAGAAGAGCACAAGACTATTGATGTCAAGTTGGATCTACAGGCCCCTCTAATCATTTTGCCTTTAGACCCTGCAAGCATTGTTTCTCCTGTTGCAATTATTGATGCTGGTCATATCAGTGTTGTAAGTGATTTAGTCGAAAAATCAAAGATAGAAGAAATCAAATCGAAGGAAAATTACTCAACTGAAGACTGGAAAGAGTTGAATACAATGATGTACGATCAGTTTAACGTTCACCTTCAGGATGCTCAGTTTTTGGTCGGATCAGATATCAAGAGTACAATGGAGCAACTACACACGGAAAGTCATGATAGGCCAGCCCTTATATTAGATAAATTGAATATTAACCTATTGCTTGGAATTTCTATTTTGCCTGAAGCATTCAATTTACCCAAGTTCAAGATTGGTGGTGATATTCCCAAGATTGGCCTTGCATTGAACGATTTCCAATACAAAACAATAATGCAAATAATTGACGTCGCGATCCCTAATTTGGACATTCTGGATACAGATGAATCAAGTCTTTTCAATGCATACGGCAGTTCCGGAGGTGATATTCCTCTGATTGAGGATTCAACAGATGACATATCTTCACTCCATCGTGAGGAAGTTCCAAATCCTAAAAACCAGAAAAATTCAGAAATGCAGAAGCAACATATTTTTGAGTTTAATCTCAACATGGGAGTTGTTAATGTATCACTATCAAGATGTATAGACGGTGTTTCCCTCAAGGCCGAGCCTTTGGTAGATTTAATTGGTGATGGCCTAGATCTTCAATTATACAAAACTCTCGATAAGTTACATCTAGATTTATCATTGGAAGATATTAATTTGATTGATCATATTGAAAGATCGAGTGCAAATGAGTTTGATAAGCTCATATCTTCTAACCATTTCTCGAAGCAAGGTATTGAGAGAAGGAGACTATTTAAGCTTGACTATGAGCGAACCAGAAGAATTGTCGAATTCAATGGCCTGAATATTGAGGTATTTGACCAGGACATGGTGGTGGACATTGCTACAGTGCAATTTGTGGTGTCACGCAAGTCTTACTTGAGTATCTTGAACTTCATTTTGAATACATTCACAGATCCAAACGCCGACCCTAGTCCAGCGGATGAATTAAAACACAATGACTCTGAAGATGAAGATAAGTCACCACAAAGGATTAACGTGGACATCAAGTTAGATAGTATCATTTTACTTCTTAGCGATGATGGTCTTACTTTTGCTACATTGGAGTTGAGCACAGCGAATATCAATGTATTCCTAGTTCCAGAAGAGTTGGAAGTGACCGGAATTTTAGGTGCTTTGTCATTGCATGATGAGGTAAATGAGGGCACACCAAAAGATTCAAGTTTACGGAACCTAATCAGCATTGAAGGAAATAATCTAGCTGAATTTAAGTACAAGACTTTTGATGCTGAAACCAATCGTGAACATTACGACTCGTTAATTGAATTTAAGACGGGCTCACTAGCGATTAACTTTGTGGAAAGCTCATTCAATCGAATCATTGATTATTTAAGCCAATTCTTGAAAATGAAAGCAATTTATGACAGAGCTAGAGAAGCTGCAGTTAACCAAGCAAGCCTGATCGATAACGCCGACAAAATTAAGTTTGACATTCTCATTAAAGCACCTACCATTATTTTTCCCAGACTAGTTGAAGGATTCGATAATTCATTTGATACCATAACTTCTCATTTAGGAGAACTTTATGCATCTAATGAGTTTGTTGCGGGTGAAGTTAATGATGCTAGGTTCAAGAATATCATCACTGCAGGAATAAGAAATATTAGCTTGAGATCACAATTTCACTTTGTTAATGATATTAAACAAGTTTCAGAAATCGTCAACAATTTAGATATGTCATTCAAAATTGAATATTCTGATGAATATGTTCAAGATCGTGCTCTAATTGCAGTATGCGGTAACACTCCAGAAATTGACTTGAACCTAACGGAATTACAGCTTAAGTTCCTTATGAGTCTAGTTGATTCCATATCTCGTGCTTTTACAGTTTCTGATGATCAAGAAAACTTACAAGATGTCGAAAAAGATGCCGCTAACGCGAATGCGGTGGTCAAACACAATTCTACTATTCAGGGTCAAGACTCAAAAAGGGTACCAAATCAAATACAAGATCTGAAAATTGATATCGATCCAGGGCACAACAAGATTCAGCTCGTGTTCGAAGTTCCCAAGGTGTCACTTACTATTTTTAACAAAACTTCGGGTTTAGCATCAATTGATGCAACTAGACTCGCTTCATTTTCACTTAATAACTTGAACTTGAATTTCACCTTGAGACAGGATGGTCATTTTGAGTCCAATATCACTGTGCGTTCATTTATTGTCAAAGACGTTAGGCATGCCACAAGCAGTAAATTTACAGAATTGATTCCACCAATTCAATCTGACAACGACCAATTTTTATTGACAGCATCTACAGAAGGTCCTGTTGAGAACAGAAATATAGTTGTGTTCTTGACCGTTGATAATCCAAAAACAATTTTGGCCTTGGACTATATTTTCGAGTTACAGAATTTCTTTGATAAAGGATTTGAAAGTGATAGACCAATCGTTCAATACAACGAAGAGGATGCTTTTGACGATGAATTTGGAATAGGATTAAAAGCAAATGATTCAACTAAGAAATCGAATGCAAGGGCCGTAATGGATCAGGAAGAAGACGAGAAGCTAAGCGACAGAAAGCAAACCGTGAGCTTTTCGATAAATATAAAGGAACCTTCAATAACTTTATTGGAAAATCCAACTAGAGAGGATACGCTCGCTGCGGTTTTTAAGGTTGAACAATTATTGATAACCAGTCAGCAAGTGTTGTCTTTGGCTGCAAACAATATTGGATTATTCTTGTGCAAAATGAACGACTTCGGTTCAAATCAATACAGGATCATTGATGATTTTTCAATCTCATTTGCTCATGACTCAAGGGGTAGCTCTCCTGTTTCATTCTTGACAAATATTCAAGCATCTATAGACCCTATCCTTATTCGTGTTTCCTTGAGGGACATTCGTTTCGCCTTGAATATATTCAACAAAGCCTCAGAGCTATACAAGCTCGCTCAAGGAAATAATCTGTCTCGTGAGGGTACTGGATTTGATTTCTCTGAAGATTTCAAGAGAAGGTTGTCCCAGTATGCACCTAGTATATTAACTGACAAGTCAGCTAAATCAAATAAGCTGAGGGATGAACACGACCAACAAGTTGTGGTCAAAGGCGAGGAATTTAATGCTAGTGTCGGGGGAGTAAGGTTCGTGTTGATAGGAGATGTTCATGAACTTCCGGTACTTGACATGAATATTAAGCCCTTCGAAGTGAAGGCAATTAATTGGTCTACCGACTTGAGTGCCGAAATGCATATTGAGCAGTACGTGAATATCTACAACTATTCAAAATCATCATGGGAACCTTTACTTGAATCATGGCCAATTGCTGTCTACGTGTCAAAATCACTCGAACCTAAAGTCAGCTTAGTGGTTGACGTTGTATCCAGAAAATTGGCTGAAATAACAGTTACTTCGAGATCGGTAGCATTATTATCACAGATTTCTAATTTGATCACCACGGGCCTGGAATTGAAGCCAAGAGGACAGGACAATCCTTACATCATTGTGAATGAGACAGGTTTTGACATCGAGGTGTGGGCCGATAATGAGGATGAAGATTCAAGTCGGGCAATAATAAAGTCTCAAGAAAGAATACCATGGTCTTTTGAAGATTGGAAAAAGATTCGCCAAAATTTGGACACTAACAATGAAGCTGGAATCCTCGGATTGAAATTGTTAGATTCCCCATACGAGAGCATTCACAAAATAGCTGCTACTGGCGAGGGTGAAATGTTGTTTATGTTGTTCCCACCTATCAAGGGGGTTCATAATAGATTATCGTGTGAAATTGTACTTGGGGATGATAATGTTAAAACAATATGGTTGCGTTCAACCGTAAGAATTCAAAATGATGCTGATGTGGGAATTAAGATTAAGTTTTCAAATCAAGAAAATTCTAATGAGGATAATAATACGATTGAGATTGAATCAGGTGAGTCCAAGTCTTTGCCAATTGATGTTGTGTATTCTGAGAATTTAAGAATCAAGCCTTTGGTGAATAGCTCCTATGAATGGTCCAATGAAACATTCCATTGGAAAGATTTCCTAGATCACGGACATTCATTGAATTGTCCTGCAACTTCGGAAAGGGATACGTCATCCTATTATTTTCAAGCTGAAGCCAGTTATGATGCAGATGAGCCTTTATCAAGAATCTATCCCCATATGACCTTGATAATTTCTGCGCCAGTTGAGATTGAGAATTTGCTACCATTCGATTTTGACTATAGAATCTATGATAAACACGCAAAAAAAGATTGGAATGGCAGTATTCCAAAGGGTATAAAAAGTTATGTGCATGTGGTGAGTTTGACTAGCCTTCTACTCCTTAGTGTTGAACCAAAGAACTGTGGATATGGCAAATCTGAGTTTGCCATCATCAACACCCCTTCGGGAAGTGAGTTTAAGAGAGAGCATACTATTTCATTGAGGCATTCAGACGGACAACAGTTAAAACTTAGAATTCATTACCCAAGAAATTCCTCTAGCAAAAGTTTGAAAATCAGCATTTACTCACCTTATGTCATATTAAACAAAACAGGTAAGGACTTAGTGATCAACGAAAAGGGAAATTTGCTTCAGGTGCAAGGCAAAGCACTGTTTAAGCCGCTTGCTCCTTGTATGTTTTCTTTCGAGAATCACGGTGATCGTAAGAATAGGGCGATTCTTAAAGCTGATGATTCAACCTGGTCCTCGCCATTGAGTTTTGATGCACTAGGACAAGCATCTGCTCCAAAAACACAAATAGCAGGAAAGCAGAAGGAGTACAACTATGCACTTTCAATTGCTGAGGGAGAGGGAAAGTACATTTTGTCAAAGGTAGTAACCCTCGCACCACGCTATGTGATTCAAAACACATTAGATGAAGCTATTCAAGTTGTGGAAAATGGTACGACTAATCAGATTACCGTGGAAGCGAAACAGCACATTCCATTGTATGGATTGAGACGGATTGACCAAAAAAGTCTTTTGATAAAATTCACGAATGCATCGAAAACATGGTCCTCCCCCTTCACTTTGGACGACATAGGTCAGGTGTTTTTGAAAGTTCATAAAGAGAATATAGGTCAGATTCTACTCAAAGTCAACATCATTATCGAGGATGCTACCATTTTCATTCAAATTGAGAACGCCAATAATCATTGGCCATACTCTATTAGAAATTTCAGTGATTCGGAATTCTTCATTTACCAATCCGATCCTAACATAAATGAAAATGGAGAAACAGTGAAGAACGATACGCAGTACAAGCCCATTTACTACAGAATCCCACCCAAAAGTGTTATGCCCTATGCGTATGATTATCCTAATGCTATTATAAAGGAGTTAGTGATTAGATCACATGGACGAGAACGAGCAATAAATCTTGCTGAGATTGGTAACCTAAAACCTTTCAGGTTACCTCCACTTCAAGACTCTGAACAGAAGATTGTTGACTTAAATGTGGTTGCTGATGGGCCTACTCAATCACTTATAATAACGAACTACGATCCTTCCCTTAGTTTGTATAAGGTTCAAGGAAGTAAGAATAATTCCAGCGTTAACATGTCACAAACTTTTGAAGCTACTGAAAATGATGAAAACTACCATACTAAGATAATAACTAAAATCGAGGGATTTGGAATTTCTTTGATAAATACCAGACAACAAGAGCTTTGTTATATCACATTGAGAGGGTTAGAATTACGATATAATGAATCAGACTTGTATCAGAATTTAAGCCTTAAGTTGAAATGGATCCAAGTCGATAATCAGTTGTATGGAGGGATCTTCCCGATAATTGTGTATCCAAGTGTTATTCCTAAATCTGGAAAGGAAATGAACAATCATCCGTCTTTCTCTGGGTCGGTATGCAAGGTAAAGGATGATAGCCATGGGGTTATTTTTATAAAGTATGCAACAGTCTTATTACAAGAAATGACAATTGAAATAGATGAAGACTTCCTATTTGCATTGCTTGACTTCGCAAAATTTCCTGGTGCTAGCTGGAACAAAGAGAAAATTAACAAACTATGTGATGAGTCCTTAGAGTTACCAGCACCTGAAACATTATCTGAGAGCAGTGACATTTATTTTGAAGCATTACATTTGCAACCAGCACTTGCAAATTTGTCATTTGTTAGAACCGAAAGAGTTAATGTGGATGACAAAACATCCTCTCAGAACACATTGATGTTTTTCTTCAATGTTTTGACTATGGCCATTGGGAACATCAATGACGCTCCTATAAAGTTAAACGCATTGTTCATTGAGAATATAAGAGTTCCAATCCCTCTACTTGTTGAATCAATACAAACTCACTATGGGCAATCATTTTTCTATCAGGTGCACAAAATCCTTGGCTCAGCGGACTTCTTGGGTAACCCTGTTGGTTTGTTCAAGCACTTGTCGTCAGGTGTTCTTGACATATTCTACGAGCCTTACCAAGGCTTTATCATAAATGACCGTCCACAGGAGTTGGGTATTGGTATAGCAAAGGGTGGTCTTAGTTTTTTGAAGAAGTCTATATTTGGCTTTAGTGATTCTTTTGCCAAAGTAACGGGTTCTCTTGCAAAAGGTTTATCAGTTGTCACGTTGGACAAAAAATTCCAGGAACGCAGAAGACTTAATCAACGTCGAAACAAGCCAAAACATGCCCTTTATGGTATGGCTTCAGGTGCAAGCTCATTCTATGAATCTATTTCATCTGGAGTCACTGGAATTGCCTCGGCTCCGATAGAAGGTGCAAGCACGGGAGGTGCTGCTGGATTTTTCAAGGGACTTGGAAAAGGGGTTGTTGGTTTACCAACAAAAACTGCAATTGGGTTATTTGATTTCGCCTCGAATGTCAGTGAGGGAATACGTAACACCACAACGGTTTTTGATGCCGAAGGATTAGACAAAGTTAGACTACCAAGACATATTGCCAATAATGAGGTTATCAAACCATATTCACAAAGGGAGGCACAAGGCCAGTACTGGCTCAACGCTGTTGACGGTGGTATTTACTTTGAAGAGAAGTACTTAGCCCACTTACTACTATCTGGAGAAGAGAAGGCTGTGATGGTTACTTATAGAATGTTGATTTTATTTGAAACCAATACCTTAACATCCAAATGGGTAATTCGACTAGATCAAGTCAAGTCCATATCTGTGGAGCCAACAGGTATTAATATTGGGTTGAAGAAGAAATCAGGACCATTCCTCCCTATTCCAGAGAAAAGTAACAGAAATTTCCTCTACAACAAAATTTCTATTGCAGTTGAAGAATTCAATAAGCATTGCCAGGTAATTTTGTAAATTTATCTACTTAACCTTATTAACATAGCTTGAATAATAATGACTATTTGATTTACTATATAATTTTCACATTTTTTGCAAAAATGTATTAGAAGTTGAACCAGCCCTCTTCGTTAAAGCACTGGAAAACTTTTCTGGCAGCTCTTCATTGTAACATTGGAATGTAAGTTTCTGTATTGCTATAAAACCATCGATAGTTTTAACAATTATTCTTGGATTTGGGTGGTGTTCAATAGTGAAGTCGCCTTCACCTTTCAATGATTTCACTGTCTCCAGACTTAAATCTTTTATATCGACTTGTGAAATCTCACGAAAATTGACCTTTTGGAGTTCGTTAACATCAGCTTTCTTCCGTTTGATACAAACCTGTTTATAGGAAAATAATGTACCTAATGCTTTAGTTAAAGATATAATATGCAGAGTTGTATACTTCGACCACAAGATTTCAGCTCTTCCTGCAGGGATTTTAGCAGCTAAAGAAAACTCATACTTTTTCTGAGGAACCCGTTCCTTAGGAGAAAGATACATATCCTCAGATATTACCTTGATAAGCAAATTGGCGCCTATTCGTCCCAATTTGTATTGCAAAGAATCAAAGTTATCCTCGTGTTCTATCGGAATCTCTTCAGATTGGATTAAAATATCTCCTTTGTCAAATTTTGTTGGGTGTAATGTTTGAACTGTACATCCCGTGTAAGAGTCATTTTTCATCAATGCATATTGAAGTGGTGAAGAACCCGAATGCCTAGGAAGCAAAGAGGGATGTACGTTAATTCCACCATATTTACAGTTCTCAATGAATTTTTGAGGTATCAAGATACCGTAGGCTACTGCAATACTCAAATCAAACACAAATCTGTCATTGATGTTGGAAATTTCCTGCGCTGAGTCCGCTCTTATTATTTCTATCGAAGGGTTGTTTCTCAAAAGGTAAGTTGCTATTGGTAAGTCTTGGATTATTTTGCTTTTCCTTCCTCTGGATTTGATGCTTCGAGTTATAACATGTATCGACTCAATCTTCAGTGGGTGTTCTTTTTGAAACTTTAATAGTTTTTCAAGAGAATGAACACTAAACTCATCGGATCCAAAAAGTGCTATTCTAAGCTTTTCCGGTGATAAACTCAGGATATTCCTGAGTCTCACCCCGAAAACTCTCTTTGTTTGGCTAATAACATCCAATCTTGATAGAATGAACCGCATTAGATCATATCCTGTAGAATACTATGAGGAACTGATTTGAGTATTTACATGTCACGTGATGATTAGCACAAAATTTGGATTGATGGCCTGTTCAAACAATCAGCTGTGATGAACCAACAATCCCAATTTGGGTTATCTACAACCCTGAACAATAATCTTGTTACCGAACTTGCCAGGATTCTAAATGTTACCGAAATTGATGAATCTACTTTACAACTTTGCATAAAGTTGCTAGACTTGGGTATCGATCCTGAAACTTTGGCTCTCAAGATTAAGAGTGTTAATCAAGAAACACAAACTGCGTTGTTGTGAATTGAATATAATACAGTATAAATATGATACAAGAAATAACTATGCAAACCCTCCTTTCTTTTTCTTCTTTTTGTGCTTTGTCTGGCTTCCGATTTGAGAGGATTGGAATCTTTTCTGGGAACCTAATCGAGCAGAAGAAGGAATATGCTGGGTATTTTGTGTGTTTAGGGTCAATGAATCGCTTCCGAAATCATCTTGGGAGTAATTTTGAGATCGATATTGACTACCTGCTTGAGTTGGCAACGAACCACGTACTGACAATTGTGAGTTTTGGGTAAAGGTCTTTTTACGGCGGCCACTTGATTTTGATGTGGCCTGACTTCCAAGTTTGATAGAAGGTATGGAAGAGATAACGTTGGTATACTGTGTCTCAACTTGTGATTGTTCCGTTTCTGTATCGGCACTATCCCATTCCAGAATCAACTCCTTGACGCTGCTTGAAGCTTCTTCGAAAGATTTCTGGTAATTTGCCACAAAAATAGGTGTGAAAGTATCAGATTTTGCTTTGATGAGAGCGGAGCCAATTAAAACTGAAGCCTTCTGAAGATCGCTGAACTCATTGATCTCACATAATGACTGATTAGATAGAAATGTTGTCTTCAATGCAATATGTAAGTCTTCAATATTTTTGTTCTGCGTATCTTTATGGGATCGATCCTTGAATTTTGATCTGTTCAAGAAAGCACTGTTGATTAGACTAGATAAGCTGATTTGTTTTTGATCAAAAAATCTAGTTAATTGTTCTATCATTAGGTCAATTTCTGCTATATCGGACACGTTATAAGGAATATTCTCTGAAATGTCTAGTAATGAGAAGTAAGCGGGTAAAATGGACACATCTTCGGAATTCTTAAGTTTGAAGGCACCTTCACCCAATGAAAACGCATAGTTCTGAATCGCCTCAATTTGTTCGAACTCGGATTTGCTGTTATTGTTCAAGAGTGAGCTTATCAACTTTAATTGCTTGCTTGCAATCTGTGCGTCGTTTGCACCTGTAGAGGAAGAAAGCTCGTCTTCTAATTCTTTTGACCCTGCGCGAATGTATTCTGTCTTTAAAGAATTTATTCCAAGATTCTCGATTTCTGAAAAGGACACCATTGATAAACCTAATGAGGTTGTTAACTCGAACAAGCCAAATTTTCTGCAGATTAAATCATTTTCATCACCTATAACCAAGTCATCTTCAGATACTTTCTTCATTGATCGGTACATACCTTGATTCAATTCTGCCAATGTAATTTGTTGCACGTTTCCAAGTTTTGTGTTCCTCTTGATAAAGTAAGGATCCCGTAAGCTGTAAGGTCTATCATCATCAAATCCAAATGTATATACAAAGATCAACGGGTGCATTTGAGAATATATCAAACACTTGAAAATTCCCTCATCTAATTGACTTACACTCAACCTTAGCGTCGGGTCAGAATCATCAAGGAAGTGCTTCCAAGACATTATTCTTTCTACGCAATTCTTCAAATTGACCCATATTAACTCCTTGGACGTTAGTAAGAATCCGGATTCGGAAGTTCTGACAAAATCAATGATTTTTGACCATGTGTTGGAGGACACTATCTTTTTTGATGACCAAATTTTACCAAGTTTAATTTCTGTTATGCTTGAACGAGTTACAATCAACATTGTTTCAGGGTTGTAGGACCAACAGATTCGTTTCCAATTCGAGAGTTCCGAAGGGTCCTCAAGAATGAACTTTTCTGATCCCACGGGTGCCTCTAGTTTCATCATGTCAGTTGTATTCCTTACCGGTATTTTCCATATTCCAAAGTTTCCCTTAATATCAATCACTGTAAACAGTGTAAAGTCATAGGGATTAAAAGCCACATCGACGAAATCGAAACTCTTGAAATCCGCAGACAGTATTTGTGCTACCACATCAACTTCCAAATTTGAATTCCATGCTGAGGTAACATACGTGCCCGATCTAAAGCATTTCAATACATGAATCTTACCACTTGTCCTCACTAAGATAAGCGGCGAAACAAAGTAAGGCAGTACTGGTCCTATCTCTATTTGCTTGATCGATTCAGTGAAACTAAGTTGATATGGACATAACAAATCAGGCAACAGTATATCTGACTTCTTTTCATTTTGTAAATGAGTTACCTCAATCTGTTGTGGCTTTAAAATAGAAAGATTTAAAATATTTCCAGTTTCTCCGGTCACATATGCAGCAACTGTCTGCTCAAATTGATAATGTGAGCTTCTTGTTCGAGTACGAAACATTGTGAACAAATTTCCATAGCTTGGATCATATACCGAAGATGAAATTATGGAATTGGCCTCGACCATGCAAGAAGTCAATATATCACTTGGAACATAAATGCCAGGTACTGCTATCTTTCGTGAATTTCTCAACAAACTACCATTTTCAGTTGTTTCATACTCTTCATTAGAGTCATTTATGGGCTTTTGGCTCTGGACTAAATGTAAGGTAGATCCTGAGATTTCGTGTAGTTGAATGCCATCATCTTGATGCCTAGGGAAGTCAAAATGCACACTATCGCCATCTTTGAGAGCCAGACTATTCTTATTCAACAACGGCAAGCCATTACCATCCACTCCATAACTTAGCCTATTGCCTAACCCTTTTTTCTGGGGCCACATCGACAATAGTGCTTGCAATTCCTAGTAATACCCAGGCAGATTTTTTAGGTAGTCAAGCACATGACCTGTCACGTTATCAGATCTACGTTCAAACTGTTGCGTATTTGATTTACAGTACAAGCCTTAAGAACGACAAATACCAGGTACAATTGTCTGAGTTGTGTTTCAGACGAAGCTGCTAAGCAATGTACACGAGTTTTATCATAAAATGGATTGCTCTTTTGTCAATTTGTATGGCACTGCAAGTTAAGTTCGACTTGTACGAAGATGACCACGATTCAGATTCCTTAGCTCAATCGTATGAGAAACTTTCAGACGAGTCTTTATTATGGGGCCCTTATAGATCTGGTTTATATTTTGGTATCCGGCCAAGGATTCCAAAATCATTGCTTTCAGGACTCATGTGGTTTAGCGTTAATGACTACGAAGGTGTGGCAAACATAAAACATTCTTATGAACAAGCTGACAACATGCGGAAGGCAAATTGGATAAGTTATGATCCTAGAACTGGAGGAAGACAAGTAATTGATGATTTGGAGAACCACGTTACATTAGTAATTGATTTTGTCAAAAGTAGCGATGGTAAATCTTGGGGAGTAACTGTGAAATCAAAGCCTCATAAGGGATTTGAATCTTCCAAGATTTCATTTGTGTGGTATTCCGGCCTCGAAGGAGAGAGAAACGAGAATGGTGTCACTGAAAGGACTGGCCACATAAAGTTAGACAATCCGAAAGATTCGAGGGGATATGACGAGACAGTGAAGATACTGGGTGTATCAGAAGAATTGGGACTATTCGAAGTAGAGATAACTGATGGACCTTCTACGAACAAGCATCCAGAAGTTTCCCGGTTATTAGATCCTACTACTGATCCAACTAAGACCCACCACCTCTCTCTAGTAGTTCCTGATGATAATGTTTGGAGAGCAAAGGATATCTTCATGACCTTGTTGCAAGAATCTGTGAAAGATTTGATTGAGAGGTATGAGACTTTGGAGTATTTTCCTCCTGAGCAATCTTACTTACTAAGGGATCTCCAGGATTTTGAGGGTAATCTTCACTTCGTTCAAAAAACATACGAGGGTAGGGCTGAATTTGACATTTTCTTCAAGAGTTCGCTAACTCCGGCAACCGAACAAATAACTTCTGAGAATATTAGGTCCAAAGTTAAATCTGCAAAGAAGGAGTTTAATGAGAAGTTCAAAAGCTCGTTCCCATTGAGTGCACCATTTAACAACTCGAAGAAGCACGATTTATTCGCAAAGGAAATCATTTCTGGCTTACTAGGTGGATTATCATACTTTTACGGTGATCAATTAGTTGATAGAGAAACTGTTTTTGATGAAGATTCCTTTGAGTCTTACGAATTGCATGGAACCTTGGAAGGCCCTCGAGAGTTATTTACATTGGTTCCTTCCAGACCCTTTTTCCCTAGGGGTTTCTTATGGGATGAAGGCTTTCACTTATTGCCTTTGTTGGACTACGATTCAGATTTAGCATTGGATATAATGAAATCCTGGTTTAAGTTGATTGACGATAATGGGTGGATCGCACGGGAGCAAATTTTGGGACCAGAACTGAGGTCAAGAGTACCTGAACAATTTATAACGCAAAGTCCGGAGATTGTTAACCCTCCAACATTAATGCTTGCATTTACGTTCTTGTTAGAAAGTGTGCAAAACAATGAGATGGACATTCTTGATCCATCAAAGGTGGAGGACTCGGGCTCGTTTGAAGATGCGAGGGTTCTTGGTCTGACACTCGTGTCTAACCAAGAACTCTTAAAGAGTTACACGAAAGAATTGTATCCAAAATTAAAAGCATATTATGAAAACTTTCGTAAGTCTCAACAAGGCTATATTGCAGAGTTTAATAGAGGTGATAATAGAGAGGGTTATAGATGGAGGGGTAGGACATTGACACATTCCCTCGCCAGTGGTCTTGACGACTATCCTAGAGTACTTCCTGCAGACGTTGCGGAGTTGAATGTGGATTTGTTGTCTTGGATTGGGGTCATGACTAGATCGATGAAATACATCGCAGAAGTATCTGGCTTTACGGAAGATTTCCATCATTATCAAAATATCGAACTGGACATCATTCAGAATATTGAGCATCTTCACTGGTCTGAGGAAGAAAAAACATACTGTGATGTGTCTGTGGACGATGATGATGAAAATATCTATTTCTGTTCGAAGGGATACGTTTCTTTATTCCCATTCTTAACTAAAATGATCCCCAGCAATGACACGGAAAAGCTTACACATATTGTTGATCTGATATCGGATCCCGAGCAACTTTGGACTGATTTTGGTATCAGATCATTATCCAAGTCAGATGAATACTACAAAACGGGTGAAGACTATTGGAGGTCTCCGATTTGGATCAATATAAACTATCTTATTTTGGATAGTATGTATCACTACAAGTCTAGGCTACTTAGATCTAGTGACCAGGAGCTCAAGGACAAGTTATCAACAGCATACGAGCAATTAAGATTAAATTTGGTCAACAATATAGTCGATAAGTGGGAAGAAACTGGTTATGTTTGGGAACAGTATAATGATGAAACAGGAAGCTCGCAAGGAGCAAAGAACTTCTTAGGTTGGTCTTCTACAGTGATATTGATGATGAAAATGCCTGCAACTATTTAGTCCACTATATATAACGTATAAATTCACGCTTACTTCGAAGGATCGTCTTCAAATCTTAAATCCCAGTTAATCGAATCACCCAATTTTGGTAATACTTCAGCGACTGATTGCACATCCTTATCACCTCTTCCAGAAACATTGATAATGATATGTTCTTCCTTTGGTAAAGTCTTGGCCAATTCAACTGCTCCATAAATTGCGTGAGATGATTCCAAGGCTGGAATGATACCTTCCAACTGTGACAATAATCTGAAACCGTGTAAGGCTTGCGCATCAGTAGCAGCAATGAATTTGGCACGTCCAGTGCTCTTCCAGTATGCTAACTCAGGACCAACACCTGGGTAATCCAAACCAGCCGAGATAGAATGAGTGTCTTGGACTTGACCATCATAGTTTTGCAACACATAGGTTTTGACACCATGGAAAACACCTGGAATACCTTTGGACAAGGTTGCTGAATGACGTTCAGTGTCCAACCCATCACCAGCAGCTTCGACTCCAATCATTTGAACTTCAGTGTCATGTTCGAATGGAGAGAATAACCCAGTGGAGTTAGAGCCACCACCAACACAAGCAACGACATAGTTAGGCAACTTACCGTTGTTCAATTCCTTGAATTGCTCTTTAGCCTCATTACCAATGACACTTTGGAAAGTTCTCACCAAAGTAGGATAAGGATGAGGACCGATAGCAGATCCAACAACGTAATGGGTAGTTTGTAAGTGGGAGACCCAGAATCTGAAGGCTTCGGAAGTTGCATCTCTCAAAGTTTGTGTACCGTTAGTAACGGCAACAACTTTGGCACCTAAAATTCTCATTCTGAAGACATTTAAGGCTTGACGTCTAACATCTTCAGCACCCATGAAAACGGTACATTCCAATCCAAATTTGGCACAGGCAGTAGCAGTGGCGACACCATGTTGACCTGCACCAGTTTCGGCAATAATTTTAGTTTTACCCAATCTTTTGGCAATTAATACTTGGGCCAATGCATTATTGATCTTATGAGAACCGGTGTGGTTCAAGTCTTCTCTCTTCAACCAGATCTGGGCACCACCAGCATGTTCAGTTAATCTTTCAGCCTTGTGGAAAGATGAAGGTCTTCCGATATATGAGTATAAGGATCTGAACTCTTGCCAGAACAGTTCATCAGCAACAGCACTTTCAAACCCTCTTTCCAATTCAGCTAAACAAGTGTGTAAAGCCTCTGGGACATATTGACCCCCAAAGTCCCCAAATCTTGGTTCATATTTGTGAGATTCGTTAAAGTCAGGTTCGTCAGTTTTGACCAAGTTGGATAAATTTGATTTCGTATCTCTCTCTGGGGCCTTACCAGCGTAATCTTCTCCCAAAATGGATCTAACAAACTTGAAGGCAGCTTCGCCTCTTTCACCCTCTTTAGCATCGCCGACAGTGGTAATGAGCTTTGAACCAATAACAACACCATCAGCGGATTCACCCACGTTCAAAAAGTGTTCTCTAGTAGAAACCCCGAAACCAACGGCAATAGGGGTATCGGGCACATACTTCTTAACTCTGGCGCATAACTCTCCAATACCCAGTTCAATTACTGCCAAGGAACCAGTTGGGGCCATTCTTGAGACCACATATATAAATGAGTCTGCAATCTTACCTAAAATCTCCAATCTCTCGTTGGTTGTAGCTGGAGCAACCAAAGGAACGTATGATAACCCGTGCTTAGTACAAGTCGATCTGAACTTCAAAGCTTCCTCAGGTGGCAAATCAACGACAATGAAACCATCAGCTCCAGCTTTAGCAGCATCTTCAATCATTTTTTCCTCCCCATAAGTCAACATTGGGTTGTAGTAACCCATCAAGATGATTGGAATGGTAATACCTTGGGCTCTAGCTTTTGTCACTAATTCTAAACATTTGATAACATCCACGCCATTACTCAAGGCGACATTATTGGAAACTTGGATAGTTGGACCATCAGCGATAGGGTCAGTAAAAGGAACACCTAATTCAACAATATCGACACCTCCTCTTTGCATACCTTCCAAGATTGGCAAGGTGTCTTCAACAGTGGGGTAACCTGCGGTAATGAAGTTGATCAAAGCATTACGCTTCTCTCTCTTACACCTCTCGAATGTTTCTTTTAATGCTGCAGACATATTCTGATATGGACAGTTTATGAACTTTTCAACGTGATATCTTTTGAATATTTCGCGGACGTACTGAACAATTATATAGACCAGCGAAATGAGTCAGTTCAGGGTAACCCCACGATGAGATATCACGAATTACAGACAGCAAGAGTTATGACGCTGCAAGTCCCAAGTGAAGCACATCAATGATATACGGTGCTACCGATGATAGTGTAATAGGCACTTTTTTATAAGAACTGATGTAAATTGGATTCGAAAAATCGTAGAGAAATCGAAATTGAGGCAACTCCACATTTGAACATGTTGGCGTTCAGAGTGTTTACCTAAAATGCTACCAGGAAACTATTTGATTTGTAGAATTACTACTTTGAACTACTGTATAGCTGACTCAGTACCAAAAATCGAAAACTGGGGTACCCCATATGAATGTTGGTTATACCCCGGAAAATGAAACCAACATAACCCTTCGCTAATATGCTATGCTAGCATAAAAATATTGACCCTACTTAGCCTTGATGTTACCAGCCTTGAAACCAGCCTGTGTTATCTTACCATTAGAGTTGCTTCTTTTGGTCTTTGCACCGACAGTCTTGCTTGGACTGTTGGCGGAGCCTTGTGAACCATTTTGATTAAGGATTTCCACCTCATGTCCCAATTTTATCTGGGCAAGGTTGATTATAGGTAGTAACTTATTGTATTGAATGCAGTATTCTTTGATGCTATTTTGTACTGTCTTTAGTCTCAGCAAGACAACCGTATAGTATTCTTGTTGGCTTTGATTTTGTGGGATGGTAGCAAGAGCTTTTACAAATAGAGACATATCATTCCTCAAGATGTTAATCTCTAGCTTCAAGCGGTCCAACTCATTATATATCAAAGTGGGGTCTATCTTTCCTGACGTAACATCATCAATCCTGATTGGATCTGGTAACTTTTCCATAGTATGCTGAAAATAGATTGAACTGGATGGTTGTATAACGATGTATGACTTAAGTTTAGATTGCACGCACTCTCAAGCGATTAGGGTGCTTATATCTGTATATGAGTTCACTCTCCAGTAAATTGATCGAAGTTCTGGTACTGTTTTAAAAAAAGACCACATAAGCAGTGTGCGCGCGTTCACTATATAAATTCTAGAGTGTTTATGGGCCCAACTATTTAAGACCATACTATTTTAGCGACCAGAGTGCTACATACGTAATCTCTATATCCTTAACATTCACGCCACAATTCATCGCCTCCGTTCCCTAATGACAATATTAGTGGCCTCATGCTTCCATTTAACATCATATTCCCGCACCAAAGACTGCCAGTCCAATCCATTTGGAAGACTCGCCTCCAAATCCTGCAAATCGTAGTTGTAGAAAGAACTACCAATTCTCTGTATCATGGTTCGTACCATTTCTGACAAACCGTATTGCATTAACCTAAATCTTGAAGTATCGGATTCTTTGTTATAAAATCTAATCCAGTTGTAATAGTCTTTATGAATCCAACACTTCAACATCAGTAATACCTCCACGCCTGGGGTGTACTTGAAATAATAAGCTAGAGCATTGGTGTTGTCATTGTTGAAATGTGATAAATGGATTATCAATAGAGTGGATATTTCAATTATCTCGTCCCTGTCCAACAATTCCAGATCAAGTAGAAACATTATACTAGGCAAATATGTATGGTAATGGCCGACCATAGTGCTCACCCTAATTGAGAATAAGTACACTTTCTTGGTAAATGCATTGGCAGGTAGATGCAAGAGAGCTTCTCTCAACTTCCTGAGGGACCTAAGTATAGAGTCGACATCCGCAGTCTCTTTACCAGAATCACCATTAGAGCTTAACTCTTGAACATCTGTATCTTTTACAAGCATCGGAAGACTCAGCGCTAAGGATGAGACCGATGTAGAGTCACAATATTTGATGAATTGCTGTAGTATCTGATTGAAGAAGTCTTCTCTTTCCTTGGCACTCTTTTGTAAGCGTGAGTCCTCTCCTCTACTGACGTATCCATAAGTGTTAGAACGGTTACCCTCCATGTTAGAAAATCTGGCCCTCCTTTTCTCAGAAAGTTCATCTGAGTTCTCAGTGAATAAGCCGATGGGGGGCCTTGTTGATGTCTTTTCATTGGAATTAGATGATCTATCTCGATGACTTTCCCGGCCCCTTGGGGACCATGTTCCTCCTCTCTCCATCCTGTTGCCTCTACCCCTGCTCCACCCACCGCCTCTCTGCTGGCTATTCCTTCTACTAGTTGGGACTTGAGCATCTGTCTCTAAACCATCCGATTGATCATTCTCACTTCTCTTTTGTCTGCTGTCTCTAGGTTGAGTCCTTTTATCTTTATGGTCTACCACCATGGAGTCTCAAAATCACAAACAAAAATTGAGGAGCCTACAGAATTACATTTATAGCAAAGATTGGTGAGGACAATTTTAAATCTCGCTCTATACCTTCAAAATGGATCACTTTACTCTGGTATTACTGAAGATATAAATTAGCATATAAACAAAACTAACGAGCTAGTCATAAGGTAGGATTGTGAGATGATGGAACATTATGAAGATGACCTAAAACTTACTTGGCAGCTAACAATTGGGTGAACTCTTGGATGTCAATTTCTCCATCGTTGTTTGTATCGGCTTCCTTGATCATTTGATCAACATCAGCGTCGGATAACTTTTCTCCAATGGAAGTCAACACATGTCTTAATTCAGCAGCACTGATTTTACCATCTCCGTTTCTGTCGAACACCTTGAAAGCTTCAGCAATTTCAGCTTCAGAGTCGGTATCCTTCATCTTTCTGGCCATCATGGTCAAGAATTCTGGGAAGTCAATAGATCCATCACTGTTGACATCAACTTCGTTTATCATGTCAGTAAGTTCACTTTCAGATGGGTTTTGACCCAAAGATCTCATGACGGTACCCAATTCCTTGGTTGTGATCTTTCCATCGCTATCCTTGTCAAACAAAGAGAATGCTTCTTTGAACTCGGCGATTTGCTTTTCGGATAATTTTTCAGCCTTGGTGTTAGTATTAAACATAGTTGATGGTGAAAAGGAAGAAACGAATACGAGCAAGATTTGAATTTCCCGTGTTGATTGTTATTGTAAAGATTCTTGCGGTCATTCTCGCCTAATGGTATTTCCAAATTTAGAATGGTATCAATTAACTAACCGGCTAATATATAGATCTCCATTCCTCATTTCACTTCACTTCTCATTTCACAACACGGTACAGAAGACCAATGTGCATTGCTCGTATGTTGTACGTACCATCTTTGGTTTATTGTAGTCAGTTAGAAGACACGATTTATGTTTTGATCGGCTGGAATCACTTTCCATGTGATTAGTACACGACCACACCTCATGATAGAGGCAAAAATGCACGCTTCAGCTGCAAACCATAATGGATGCGCCCTAGATGGCAGATCAAGACGAAAATGCGTTACTAGATAAACTGATAGAATATAGGAGCTTTCTCAGGTCACTAGATAATGAGCTGTTCATATCACACGTCAAACAGGTCCAACTTCTGCAAGATAATTACAAGAAGTCTGATTCCTTTGAGTTGCCTGCCCCAAAGGGGATCTCAACTCCTCTCAACTCATCCAACCATTTAATTAGCCTGTTGAGCTCTGATCCCTTCAATGACGGATTGGATGAAGTACTATTAAATGTTGGGTTAAATACAGACAAAGTAGACAATCTAAATGAGAAGATTGAGGTCCAACAGAGTCTGACTGCTAAAAATGGTTCATACGTTTCTGATGATCTGAATGATCTGACGGACGAAGATAGCGTGGGGATTATCCACGAGTTTGGTGATTACTCCACTTACTTTCATAATAAGCATCTCAAGCAACAGAAAGCTGACGAAGAATACGTACGGTGGAACAAGAAAAGAAGAGGGAGTCAAGATGATTTGACACCTATTTTTGAAGGATGTATAATTCACGTGAATGGACACACAACTCCTTCGATCAATGAGATACACCGTCTCGTTATCTCATATGGGGGGAAATTCATCAGCTACTTGACTAACAAAGGAGCAGCTACCCATATAATTTGTGATAAATTGACTCCACGGAAGAGAATTGAGTACAAGAACTACAAAGTTGTGCGGGCACAATGGATTGTAGACTCTGTCTCAAAAAATCGGCTACTTGACTGGCAAAATTACCGCTTGATTGAGGAAATTGAATATGGTCAGAAAAGACTTGATTTTGCAGCAAAAGTAGATGCTGAGAGCCTGGACGATGATCTTCCACTAATGACTCAACATGAGCCTGAAAATGAATTAAGCCAAACTAGTGATGACAATCATCTTGCCGAGCACCTTCCCAAAGATAATTCGAAAGATGGCAAAATCATGGATGCTAAGAATCCAGAATTTTTGAAGCATTTCTTTGCTAATTCCAGACTCCACCATCTCAGCACTTGGAAGGCCGATCTTCGCTTGAAATTTTTGAAAAGGATTGTAAAAGAAAAGAAAATAAAGACTAATATACTGGAAAAGAAGATGATACTACATATCGATTTCGACTGTTTTTTTGCAACAGCATCTTGCCTCAACTTTCCGAATTTGAATATAAACACAGATCCTATTGCTGTTACACATGGTGGTAGAACTTCAGATGTTGCCAGCTGTAATTATGTTGCAAGAAGTTATGGTGTTAGGAACGGCATGTGGATGGGCCGTGCAAAAGATTTGTGCCCTGAAATCAAAACATTGCCCTATGACTTTGATTCATATGAAAAGCACTCCAATGAGTTCTACAATTATTTACTCTCTTACGATATTTTTGATTCTATATTTCCTGTTCTGATAGATGAAGCTTTGGTGGATATATCAACATTTGCACTTTTGCCATCGGAAGATCCAACTCAAAGCATTGTGGAACTATGTCGCAAAATAAGAGCGGATGTATTTAAGCTTACCAGTTGTACTGTCAGTGTTGGAGCATCGCATAATGTGCTTTTGGCTAAGCTTGCTCTCAAGAAAGCTAAACCAGATAATCAACTAATCCTAAACGAAAACATTGCAGAATTTCTTAAATCTACTCGCGTGCAAGATCTTCCAGGTATCGGTCGAAAAATCAAAGAAAAGCTTCTAGCACAACTTCATAAGTCCAGCAACGATGAACCAGTTATCGAAGATTTGCTAAATTTTGACAAGCTGAAGTTAATGAAAATATTTGGGTCCAAAACTGGGTCCAAATTGTTTGAGTATGCAAGAGGAATTGATCATACGAGTATCGCAATTGATACAAGTAGTCCTGAATCCTTGTTGGGGAGGAAATCAATTTCTGTTGATGTTAATTTTGGGATACGGTTCGATTCTGTTGAACAAGTTGAAGTCTTCTTGATGAGAATTTCGAAGGAGCTCTATTCCAGACTAATCTCATTAGGAATTTGTGGTTCTCACCTCACTTTGAGACTAGCAAAAAGGGCACCTGGTGCACCTATTAATCCTGAGAAATATCTCGGAATGGGTATTTGTGAGTTTATCTCTAAGTCATCCCGACTCGGAGTTGCCACGAATGACTGGGGTATAATAGGTTCTGAGGCTAAGGCGTTATATAGAATGATCAATACCCCGGTTAAGGATTTAAGAGGTATATCATTAACAATTACAAAATTGGAAGATGTTGATGCAATCAAGAAAAGCAGACAATCAAGACTTCAGTTTACAACAGCATCTGTGCTTGAAAAGAATGAAGATACCAGAAGTGAACTAAATGATGCTAATAAACCTATCCGTTCTCCAGTTTTAGGAGCTCCTAATGTGAAAAGGCCATCTCTGGATACGGTCCAAGGGCAAATTGATGTACCGGATGATCCCAACATTGATTGGGAGGTCTTTAATTCATTACCATGGGATATAAGAAGAGAGATCAAGCGTGAATTAGAACGTCGTCATTTAGGACCGTCTAGATTACCGTCTCCCATAAAACCTCGAGGCAAATTCAAGGAAGGTAAAGGTTTCTTGCAGCAGTTAATACCTTCACAATCGAACTCGATTCCCAAATATGTCAGAGTAATTGAGACTCCCAATAGATCCCCAAGTAAGTCCCCTTCAAAACGACAACGAACTTCAGCACTGCCAGTGAAACAGTCGAAAGAGAACTCTTACAACGAGTCTGATTCATACTCTAATACAATCTTGAATGAACTTCCTTCTTCTATAAGAGAAGAAGTTCTCAAAGATATAGAATACAAAAAGAAGATCAAGAAGTTTGATCTAGTTCCATTGAGGGACAAGGTTGCTGCAAAGTATGAGGAGCATATGCCTTCAACAGATTCCGTTACCTTAAAATGGTTAAATCAACAAGAGAAACGGAATCCAATACCTCATTTTCTCAACAAGGAGGCCACTTTTGAACAAATGAAGTTTAACATTGATAATTGGATAAGAACTTCTTTGCTGCAACAGGGTCCTCATAGGGATGATGTATCTGCCTTTTTAGGGTACGTTTTTTCTCTATTGAAAAGCGGCAATTGCACTAGGGGACTTCTATTAATAGAGCACATAAAGAAAGTGCTCTCATTTCACGAAGCGGTAAACAATGTTAGTCAAGTATCCGAGTCAAAGCTCTTCGTAACGGAAGGTATCAAGGATTGGCAGCATTGTTTAAATCTGATAATGATTCCCCAGATCAATACCTACAGACTCAAAATAGAACACAAAGAGGACTCTCACGCGGTCAACACAGGATCAGTTCCCCGTTAACCAAGTATTCTAGCCATGTCAGGCCCGGAGCCAGAAGTGAAGAGAAAAGTTTGGATTACCAGCGATGAGTTCGCCAAGCTAGTTGACTTGCTCCCTTCCAATATCGGAAGGCAATCGCTCGTGATGTCTTTGATCAAGGCGTTCGGACTCCACTTGAAGTGTGAAAGTACCATAAGCATTCCTATGATCCATCGAAGTGAACTAGAGTCATATCATGATAGCAATTTCATAGATTGTCTTTTTCGGAATAGGCCAAACCTAGATCTTCAAGCTGAAGGTACAGACGAACTTTTAAGCATCATTAGCCCATACAAAGGCACCAAGCCTGCTGGGATAGACACGGAAGCAAGCGACACCGATACCTCCGACTTTGAAGATGAAGATAAGATCAGCGATCAGGACTTATGTGAGCAATATGGGCTTCTGTATGACTGCTATCCCTTTCCCTTCATGCGGGAATATGTTAAAATTGTAGCATCTTCAACTATAGCATCTGCAAAGACTCTAATACGAGAGAGATCCGAGAAGCATCAAAATGTGGTTATTAATTGGTATGGTGGCAGACATCATTGCTTCAAGAGAAAGGCTGCTGGCTTCTGCTACGTCAACGATATTGTTTTAGGTATTCTGCATCTACGAAAAAGTTTCGGCAAAGTATTTTACCTTGACCTTGACTTGCACCATGGCGATGGGGTGGAGAATGCTTACCAATTTTCCAAGAATGTTCTGACTTGTTCTATTCACCGGTATGACTTAGGGTTTTACCCCGGTACTGGTTCGCTAGAGTCATCCACATTAGGTAAGTACAACATACCAACGAAAAAGGGTTTGAGTGATAAGAGTTTGATGCAAATTGTCGAAGAGATTGTTCTACCTATAGTATTGAAGTTTAAACCAGATGTAGTGGTAATTCAATCAGGGTGTGATGGCTTGGGTACAGATAGTCATGGAGAATGGAATTTGACTATCAAAGGTTTCACTTCGGTTGTAGAAAAATTAATGCAAGCATTGTCTCCAATTCCTATCTTGGTACTAGGTGGTGGAGGATATAACCACATAGAAACTGCAAAATGCTGGACATATCTAACAAGAAATGTACTTCAGGTCCAAGAGGAATGGGATCTAATTCCTGAACACACAATGCTAGATTCATATGAGAGCAGTGGCTTCCAATTTTGGACTTCTGAAAACGAAGCCCCTAAAAGAATGAAAGATGAGAATACAAACGGTTATTTGAGAGGATTAAGGGAATCATTGCTAGCAATTATATAAGATACATCGATAATATACATGGACTTGGGTAAAATCTGGGTAGAACATTTGATGGCCTAGATCAAGAGCTCTCATACTCGAATCTTTGGCCCATAACTTCTTTCCAATTGTCATCCCATCTTCGTTTACTCTCCACCAATGCCCCTTCTTTGAGTGTCCGCAACAAGTCTTGATTAGTGAAAGCCTTTGAAATTAATCTATAGATCTCCCCTGCTTGGTCAAGACTTTTTTCGTTGTCCCCTGTCACCAATCCATTGATGCCGTCTTTCACCAATTCTCCAATAGCGGGAAAATTCAATGAGACCACTGGAACTCCACACCCGAAGAAATCAACAATTTTCATTGGCAAGTCAATCCCACTTGAGGAAGTGTGTAACGAAACTGCAAGATCTGCCATTGATAAAATAATTGGATAATCCTCTGATGACAACCAACCTGACCTTATCACAATATTTTTGGTGAAACCAAGATTTTGAGCTTTCGCCAAAAATTGTTGCTTTAATGGTCCCTTTCCAGTAACAATCAAAAGAATAGGAGGCAATTTGAGTGCAACATCTGAGTCATACTTCACCAAAGCATCTAACAAAATATTGAAATCCTCATCTGGAGTAAATGAAGTTGCTGTCACCAAAATTTTGTAGTCTCTGATATTATCGATTCCTCCAAAAATTTCGTGATTTCTGAATACTTCTTCTTTCGTGATATTCAAATTCTCGAAAGGTTCGAACTGTTCAGCGGGCCTATCGTGAAGAGTCAAAATTGTGCTCCTTTTGAAACCAAACTCCTCAACTAAAAATTGCTTCATTTGTGCAGTTACGGTGATGTTCACGTCTGCAAACCTTCCAAGAAATTTTTCGTAAAATTTAATCAATTTGACCACTGGATGACTCAAATTTCTATAACGAAGGTTCATAATTGTATAATTGAGATTGTGCCAGTCTATAATCAATTTTGTATTCTTGCTGAATATCTTAATCACAATTATAGCAACCAATAGAATTGGAATCGAAGGAGGATTTTGTATCATGATGAAATCTGATCCACGGAAGTCAAGGCATAGTTGAAAAAGTTGATATAATTGCAAAAGTAACTTTTGCAATGCAAATAACAAGTAAGGTAAATCTGAATTATTCTTAATTGGTTCAATATCATGAATTTCAACATTGGGATCATCGAGTAAATCCACGGGTGGTTGAGTCTCCACGTACCCCGACAAATTGACGTAATAGTCAAGTTTTGAAAATGATCTTGCGTGATAGCACATCCGAGGTGAGTGGCCTATGTCCCCCAATACGAAGATAGAAATTGTTCTCTTCTTACCTGTGTAGGTTCCCTTCGTGTTAAAATAGGGTAATATCTTGTATGCAATTACAGGGAGACACAAGTAAATCCCGAGAAGCCACCATACCCATGGGCCTGTGTAGTAGAAAAGGTGGTCGAAACCTTTATATTTGATAATGTGATCAATGTTAACCATGATCAATTGAATTCAGGTGGTCGATACGTGTTCAGCTCTCTCTGTATTTTCAGTCTCAACTGTCCTCCAACAGCAAGAATGCTATTTTCTTCAAAAGTATGTAGCAATCTGCCAAATAGTCTAATTCCCTAATGCAAGTAAGCACTTCGGTACTTGTCTCTATTTCACCGTTGAGATAAATGATAGTGGCAACCACATGCAACTCTGAAAGCTTTTGTTCTCGCTAGACGAAATGCGACGCAACGCTCGATTCGTCTGTCTGGTAAGATAATTTCTTTTTCTCTTTCAAAATTCAGGCTTACGCCCAATTTCTAACGGACGGTTGGATGGAGAAGTGTCTCAATTCAACCAGTGCCAGTAGGGTATAAAAAATGGTAATTTTGATGTACCAATGGTAACTGTGGCTTTTAACCATAACAAACCAAAAAAAAAATTAACGACAACTGCAGGACTCGAACCTGCGCGGGCATAGCCCAAAAGATTTCAAGTCTTTCTCCTTAACCGCTCGGACAAGTTGCCTTATTCTAAGGAAAATTGTGCAATATATTATACTAGTTATCTAGGTTTAAACAAAAAAACAGGGTTCTTCCCTTTTCAGCAAGCTTTAGGGATCAAAATTCCCAATAGCATTATTTGAATACAAAACAATGTCGCATGTTGCTCAAAAATCATCAAAAATAATATTTACCCAAATTATCGATTACGGTTTGACCGTAATTTATATCCATGTATCCCCAAGTGAGCAAGAAGGGGACGCGACACTTGATACAAGGTGTCAACTAACATTATTTGCTCCATAACGGTGCCCCATGTCGAGTATCAAGATGCAAAGAATTCATCTAAAAACTTTATTTTTTAATCATTTTACGACGGTTTGACCACAATGGTGCGGTTTTCATTGCAATAGGAATGGAAAACGCATTAAACATACTTATTATTGACAAGAAAGATAACTTCACTCCATTCTTAAGATGTCTATCATGAAACTATTGAGTAATTTTAGCAAAAAGTACGCTAAATAGAATAATTTAGAAATAAACTATTTTTGAGTAGCCTGGATTCATTTCAACAATTTGTACCAACTGTAATACTCAGAGACTCTTGTCTTGCATCTAATTAACTGTGTCGGTATTACTCTTACTAACTGGTAGTTTCTCTCGAGGCCACACTATATGCAGTACAGACATATAGGACAGGATATGGTGCGATAACTAGAATGCTTGGTCTTTGTATACAACATCCACAATGTACCTTCTTGATATTCTAATCTGGACTGACAATCATTTGACTACGATTTTATCATCTACTGCATACACCTCCAACTTAATAACCACTCCTATCAGTAAGTTCATTACTGAAGTTTTGATCCTTGCAGTTGTTTCGGTCATAAGTTATGAAGTAATATATTGGAGCGGAATTTACCTCAATCTTTGGGAATATCATGCAAAAGACATATTCACTGAAGTACCAATTCATTGCGCCCATATCTACACGCGTGTGAACGTCGTGAAGAAGGATGATTTGGTACAATTACGAGAATACTATGCTTTGAAACACAGTTCAAAATTCAATTTATCTGCGTGGAACAAGCTGGATAATATAGGAAGAGAAATCTTCAAATTGAAACAGTTTATCAAGTACCACCTTGAATTCAGCCCCGAAGATTTTGAAATGAATGATGACCCCGAATATGGATCAAATGTTGAACATTTGAGGAACAGAATTGCAGAGCTAGTTAACAACTCCGATGTTCTTAAAAAATATCTTCCAAGCAAAGTAGATCACAGAAGTGTCTTTATTTTCAACAACTGCAATGATGAAGTGTCTACCAAAGAGAATGCTCAATATTTAGTGAAGTGTCACATTGAAACCGGCAATGTGATTGATTGCATTATTGTTACATAAACCTATAAAGAATTTTTGTTCATCAAGTATCGTTTTTCTTTAATCAGATTCAAGTCTACCAATCTTTGTTCGGTAATGGTCCATAACTTTATTACCCTTTCCAATTTAGACTCCAAAGACAAGCTTTGTAACTTGTTTAGTTCTTCTTCTAGTGATTCATCCTTTGTGGAATTCTCCTCGGAATCATTACTTGTAGAAATTAATTGGTTTATGCTCTTATCGTTGGACTTGTTATACTCGTAATCAACTTCTTCTTTCATTTCAGTATCGTCATTATCCGTCAAATTATCACCGTCAGCGAATTTATTGAGATCAAACTCAATGAATTTTGGACCTCTATACAATTGATCGTTATCGGTTCCAGTATCTCTTTCATAAAGATGGAGAATTTCCTTGTTTACCAATCGGTAACATTGGTTTCTCAAGGAGAGACTAAACAAGCTTCTCAATTGCTCTGGGAGATCTTTTTGCTCTTCGATGTTCTTGATTGTGGGATCGAAATTGAAACATAATAAACTCATCGTGATCTCTAGTTCTTTCAACAACTTGAACGAATTAGATACTTTATTTATCAAGTTTTCCCTAACAAAAGTAAGAATTTCATCAAGGAACTTACGTTCCTCATCCAAACCGCTTACGTTATGGAGCTTGTGATTCCTAATCATTTCGATTAGGTTCAATCTCAACAATTTGAAGTGAAGCAAATTGTTTGAGTCCAAGATGGTGGGAAAGTTGTCACTGATCTTTTTGATTGCTTCTGTTATCTCCCCCTTCAAAATGAGTAACTTGATCTCTTTCCTTTCCTTGATGGTGGGATAGCCCGCGACCAACTTCGAGTTTTCATGGACATTGCTTTTGCGATTAGTACCCAGCAAATCGCCATCAAAGTAGTCTTCCACCATCGATGAGAAATCCTCATCCAGACTGCCGATTTTGTCGAAACCCACCAGGTTCAACCGATTAATCACGGGCGATTCCTGGAACAAATCCACCTCGATCTCCTTGGCAAAGGAGATAGCAGCCTCTTGATAGCCTTCTTGGATGAAGTAATTTAGAATCAAGTGGTCAATTTTCTCTTTGGATAGCATCTTGGACTGGACCAGCTTGGAACTGTTCGTAATTATCTCCCGGTGCAATCATTATCGCGCTACCCCCACTCACCACCTGCATACAGATAGGGTTTTCGGGGCCAGTTAACCACAGGCCCAAATGACGTAGGCACAGTTGTTCTCTGAAGTTTGTGCTTTCGACGGATATTCCCCTGAAAAATGGCCCTTTCAAGACAGTGGAGGCATCCACCAATATTGCCATTCCATCTCGCAAAATGTAGAGACGACGGCCCCACGGTGGATGATCCCGATGGGATTCCGGAGTTGTCATTGCAGAATAACTGACACCGGTCTACTCCTCACTACGTAATATAAATAGCATGCACAGTGTCGGGGGAAGATTTACTTTGTTTGCCTAGCCCAAACGTATACAATTGGGAGCCCTCGCCAAGAACCCCTCAACGTCCCGCTCGCGGAAGAAAGACCAGAAACAGAGGAGGTGATAGTTGAGAGGGCCAGCACGCTGTGTACAGAGGAAGCGTTCAATCATCTCTGGAGGGAGCAAAGGGGTCTATCGTGAACTGTCTCTAGGTAAAAAGCCGAGGTTAACTGGCAATTGTGTATTTGTAGACTTCGATGTTGTACGCGCCAATTTCTCGGGATCAGAAGTTACGAAAACATTTGTCAATTCATAGCAAGTCGGGGTCCAAACCATGATCGAAAAATTTTAGACAACACCGATCATACGATTATTTACTTCATTGAATCTTTTACTATCAATACTTTTGTTCCATCATACAATTGACACACGGAGGGTTACGTGTCCATTCATAGATTCAGGACCGAGGCAATAGTGATCCGTCCATAGTTTTGATTTCAACAAGTTTGGAGATGACAAATGGTGTATGGCTCTCTCCCGTAGTCCATAAAGTGTTTGTGCTTTTGTCGTGCACATTCTTGGGGTTGATTTGCGGAACGTTGTATCTCTACTCCTCCTACAGTCCCCAGTTTGCACATCGTTTGAAGTACTCGGTGACGGATGCGTCCTCCATAGCACTAATGGGAACGTTGGGAGTGGCAGTCACAGGCCCCGTAGCGGGTGCCGTGGTGGACAAAACTGGCTATACGATAGCGCTAGTAATTGGTGGGCTACAAATCATTATAGGGTACTTGAGCATGAAGGGTCAGTTTGATAACGAATATGGCAGCGTCAAGCTCTCGGCATTCTTGGTGTTTGCAATTGGATCTGGATCTACATTCATCAACTCCGCCTGTTTGAAATGCTGTGCTGTCAATTTCCCTAGCATTCGTGGTGTCGCCACATCCTTACCTTTAGCATTGTATGGCTTGAGTGCCATGTTCTACTCAGTGCTCGCTTCCATATTCTACCCGGGGGATACTTCAGGTTTCTTAGGCTTCCTTGCCTACTCGGCCATTGTCATTTTCGTCATCTGTGCTCCATGTGTTATATCCTGCGACTGGAGCCAGGAATCAAAGTCTCTGGTGACGAAACCTCATCCTGCGGACTCAATAGAAATGTCAAGCTTGAAGCCGGAACGTACTCCTCAACTTTCTCCACATGTAACCATTGCCAGATCCCCAGGATATCAGCAGATCGAGAGGGAATCGATGGAAATAAGTGGAATGAAATTGGTCAAATCCAGTAAATTTTGGTTGATATTTGTGGTCACTGGTACTTTGGCATCGTTGGGCCAAATGTACATCTATTCAGTGGGATATATGGTAAAAGCAATTGTCAGTTTTGAAGCAAATAACCTCGAGCCTGGGTCAATATTCACTCCCGAAGTAGAGGGATTAATCCAGAGAGATCAACAATTGCAGGTAGGTTTGTTGTCAGTAGCAAACTGTGCAGGTAGAATCTTGTCAGGTGTTATGGGTGATGTAATTTCTCAGTCTTTTAAGAAATCGAGAACCCGGTTATTATTTCTACCATGTTTTGGCCTAATGTTCACCCAAATATTGGGGTTCGAGATTACCAGACCTAATGATTTGTCATTGGATTCCCTTTTGACTGGGCTCTTCTATGGATACACATTTTGTATCATGCCAATGATTGTTGGTGACTTGTTTGGAATGGAGAACTTTTCTTCTAATTGGGGTATTGTTGGCTTAGCGCCAATTTTACCAAGTTTTTATTTTACCAGTCTTTTCGGTAAAATCTATGATGCGAACTCTTCACCATTGAGTGGAGTTGATGAAGCCAAATCTGAATTAGTTTGCCTAATCGGAAAACATTGCTACAACTCGATTTTCAAGTTGACTTTGTTCATCACTTTTATTTCTTTGGTTTGCGTTGTATTCTTGAACTCCGATATTAGGTTGAGAACAACCAGATAAGCATGTATTATCACTTAAACCTACTTAGTCTCTAGACTAACCATGTTGTGGCTCGAGAGTCGAGGACTTGCATAGTAAATTATATTTACACTGTATATTAATTCTATCTATATAAAATTTGCATTATTCTTAAGGACATTATTCTTATGCCTGTATGGGGAATCCGGATTTATCTTCTCAATGAGCTAAATCTGTTTATTTTGGAAGATGATGAAGTCTTCGATATGTGGGATGGTGCCGAGCTTACTCTTTGTCTTGGGAAAGCATGGCGTTCAGCAATATCAAACATTGGTTCATTCACTTTCGAATTAGAGTCAATTGTCTTATCTTCTTGAGCCCCATTGTCAGTATCAAAGGTCAAATCATCAACATTTCTGTTGATCAAATAGCGTAAGGCATTAAACCAAATATTGTGACGCTGTCTTGTAGCACAAGTAATCTTGATACTTCTGTCTTGGGAATGAACAATGATACTCTTGTGGTACAAGCCAGTCGGCAAGGGATTATTGTCATCTATGCTCTCAACACTGACAATAGCAGCAGCCCTAGTTCTAACAGATGAAGGGTTGGACAACACAGGATTAGACTCTGACCAATAAAGTGTCAAAGTGTAAGGATGTACCCAGAAGTATCTCTCATGACGATTCTCGGAAATGGCACTAAATGGCCCTAAACGACGATAGTACTTGAACAAATACTCACCAATGACCACTTGAGTGATCGCTGGAATCATAGACTTGTCCGTCAACGAAACATTGGTGGCCATAGAAAAGGCACCAGTTGTTTGGAGAGATTCATTCAAACTGTGAACCTTGGAGTGATGTGACAAGTTAGACCTCACTGAGTTTGAGGCAGTCATTCCTCCAATGGTTCTTGAAAGTGATGAACTTCCTGATTGCGGTGTACCTCTTAATCTAGCAGCAGTAGTAGGTGGAGTGAACTTATTGATCAGACCACTTTCCGTGATACGCTCAGGAGGAGTTCTATTAGGTAAATCCCCAAATGTGGAAGCCTGAGGAATCACTGGCGTGATAATATCATCCTTGTGCTTGAAACCACGTTTTTCTGCATGTTTCTTGAAAATATCATCTGACACTCTTTCAATTGACAAGCTCTTGAACTTAAGTAATTGTTGATAGTAACTATTTGGAAGAACTTTAACGCTCTTCACATCAGGAGTAGGCGAAACAGTAGTTGTGATGAACTCAGTAGATGGGATACAAAGTAAGCCCAAGTTGCGTCCAACAACTGTAAACTCATCCTTGTTCTGGATCATTTTTGTTAATTCCTCATACTTATTAAGTTGATCATCTGAGATAACACTCAAGCCCAAGTCTGATGCTCTTTCCCTAATTTCTTCTTCATTGTAAACTGCCCTGGGTGGGTTCTTACCAACCAATGAGAGGGCTTTCAATTCTTGGTATTCTTCCTTCTCCAAGAGCACCAATCCATAATCGCTCAGCTTCTCAACAATATTTTCCTTACTGATCTCTTCTCTTGGATTTTGGCTCAAATTATAAATTTGAGAATCTTTCTCGGCTAGTGATTGTTTCATTTTCAATAGTTGAGATTCAGGAAGAAGCGCAAGAGAGGCACCTTGCGCCATCTTCTGCAATTTGTCCTCATCGGTGCGTCTTAATTCGTCATACTCTGACCTTGAAATTACCACCATACCTAACTTGGAAGCACTTATACCAAGCTCTTCCTTGTCTAAAATGAATGACTCTTCCGCATCTGCAAAGTCATCACCAGAATTGTGAGATAATCTTCTTGCATTGGCAACTTCACTTTCCAATTCATCAAATACATCACTAGAAAGTAAGACAAAACCAGAATCTTTCAACTTTGCCTTGAGATGTTCTACCAGCTTCTTCTTCTCAAAGTCAAGTAATGAAACTTGATCTTGAAGTGATCTATTATCTTCAACCAATTTGGAATATGTTGTTGCGTTCACAACTATATTTCCTTCTTCAGTTGCCTTTTGACTAGCAGACTTATTAGCTTCCGTTTCAAGCAATTCAAGTTTCTTAGCTGCAACAACCAGCATTCCAAGAGTTCCAGCTAACAAAGTAAGTTCACTTATTGTTGGATTTTTAGATTTGGATACCAAAGCATCATAATCATCCTTTTCGAGCGCTACTAATCCTTCAAGCGCAGCTCTGTCACGAATGTCCTGGTCGGCCTTTGATTTCATTGATTCATAATCTTCAATTGAAACCACTGTCATACCATTGTTTTCTGCGTTTTTCTTGATGTCATCAATTGAAGGCTTGTTGGCCCTGATCAAAAGGTGATCATACTCGTCATTTTCAATTAGTTTCATATTCGAGTCTTGCAATCTTTCTTCTAAGGTGGCATTTGCTTTGGATCTCAAAATTTCCAAGTCGGAAACTGGGATTGTTGTAACATTGAGCTTGGAAGCACATTCATTCAAGTGTTCGATAGATGGATTGTAAGCAATATCATTCAATTCTTGATGCTTTTGGTGGGACAATAGAACCATGTTTTCACGCTTAGCTTTGTCTTCCAAGTGCTCACTAGCAGAGTGTTGTAATGCTTCAAGTTCTTCAGTTCCAACGAGCTTTTGGTTGAAATGAAGTGCCCTCTCCTTCAACATAGCGAGAGTGGGGCTCTTCAAGGAGTCATGCTCCTTAACATCAAGAACAATCTTATTATGATCCTTAGCCTTTTCTTCAATACTTCTATTAGTTTCTTTGATCAAATCAGAATAATGGTTAGAGTCAACCACAACATGTCCATGTTGACTTATTTTTGATTTGATGTGTTCCAAAGAGGGCTCCAGAGCTTTGCTCTGTATTTCCTTGTAATGCGCACTAGGTAACACAATCATATTCATAGCAGAAGCCCTTGACTCAATGGTTTCTTCAGCTTTAGAATTCAAGTCATCGAAATTCTTTCTTGCAATCACAACGTGATCAAGATCTTTAGCCTTGGTCTCAATGTATGTCAAAGTAGGCTGTGCCAACTGGGTCAACAATTGTTCATATTCATTTGTTGGAACCAATGCCATGTTCAGTTTTTCAGCCCTAGATTCCAAGGTTTCGGTTGCGCTCAGAACTAATTTCTTATGCTCATCAGTACTCAAAACTGTCAATGACTTTTCTCTAGCAATATCCTCAATTGATCTTCCAGCCTTCTCCTTAAGAGCACCGTAATGTTCAGATTCGACGAGTACATGATTTTGACTTTCCGCATGTTGCTTAAGTTCTGCAACTGTAGGAGATTTCAATTTCGCCAATTCTTCCACATTTATGATCGCTAATCCTCCAGCAGAAGCCTTTTCAACCAAGTAGTCCTTAGAAGGGTTGTGCACACTATTAAGAAGCTCTCGATGATCTTCTGCCTTCAACAAAATCTGTCCTTCTGCAGCAGCTTTACTCTCTAAAGATTCATTGAGTATTCTTTGAGACTTTTCATACTCCTCGATAGGAACTAGGATAGAATTGAGTGTTTTGGCACGTTTAGTCAAGAACTCCAATGTTGGGGAATCGACCTTTTCAACTAGAGAGGCAAGCTCGGTTTCAGGGATAAGTGCCATCTTATTTCTTCTTGCTTTATCTTCCAAGCTTTCTTTGAATGAAGTTGTCAATTCTTCATGCTCCTCTCTAGGTATGATCACATGGTTGTGTTTGGCAGCGTTTTCAAACAAATGAGGTAGGTCAGGATTATTTGCCTTACTTTCGATAGTCTTATACTCATCATTTGCAACGACCAAGTGTCCATGATTAATGGCCTTCTCTGAAAGATGTGAAATCAGAGGATTTGAACTCAACTGTTTGAGTCTTTCAAATTCCTCCTTCAGTATAACAGTCGCTTGAGATTCCTCAGCAAGATCCTCTAATGACTTCGCAGCCTTATTTTGAAGTTCTCTCAACTGGGATTCCTCTATCAAAGCGAATCCCAACTTCTTCGAGTTCTCAGTAATGTAGCTTATAGATGGAGTATCTATTTGCTTCCTCAACGCTTCGAGTTCGACAGAACTAATAATCGTTTTACCTTCCTCCTCTGCCTTTTCCTCAAGAGACTTTGCAACTTGAAGATTTAAATTCTCAAGTTCAACACTTTGAACCAACTGGTAGTTGAGCGAGCTTGACTTATTCTTGAGGTATTCCAAGCTTGGCTTTTCAAGCTTGCTCTGTAAATCTGCCAAACTTTTGGTATCAATTACTGCCATATCCATATTGTTTGCATGATCTTCAAAGGTTCTATTGGCCTTTCTCTTGAGATCATCATGCTCAGTGGCAGGAATGACCAAATGGTTATGTGACTTGGCCTTCTCAACTAGGTGCTGGATCGAGGGAGATGTTGACTTAGCTAAGATATCATTGTGATGTCCTTCTTCCAAAACTACTAATCCCATCAAACCAGCCGCCGTCGTGATCTGGTCCCTGCTTGGCTTATGTGCAAGTTGCTTCAATTGAACAAGCTCACTCTTGGGTAATAAAGATAATCCCAGTGCTTCGGCTTTCTCATGCAAGTAAGATTCCAGTGGTGATTCAATATCTTTTTGCATGGACTCAAATTCTGACGTGGAGACCAATGTTTGTCCCACAAGTTCAGCTTTTTCACGCAAGTACTCAGAGGTAGGAGAGTCAATTGAATTTTTCAACAAAGTGTATTCAGTTTTCTCTACCGCAATCAATCCAGACTTGGAAGCTTGCTCAATAATCGATTCGCGACTAGGATCGAGTAAGCTGTCGTAATCTTGATCAGATATCACTGCCATTTGGATTGCAGCAGCCTTTTCCTTTATGTAATCGACATCAGGATGATCAATTTTCTCAAGTAGATCCGAATATTCATCGTTGGGTACCATGACATGATCAATTGACTTCATTTGCTTTTTCAAATGATCCACAGTAGGGTTTGTAGCCAACTCTTTCAAATTGTTATACTCAGTACTTGGAATAACTTCCAACTTTTGAATTCTTGCCTTTTCAGCTAAGTATTCACTAGTTGGACTTTCTATCAGTCTCTTCAAAGAGCTAATCGTACCACTCTCACTCAATTCAAAACCCAACTTCTTAGAATGTTCATCAAGGAAGTCTTTGCTTGGATTGTTGAGATTAAACTCCATCTCGTTGAGTTTATCATTCTTTATGACTTGAGAATTCAAACTCTCAGCATACAATTCAACTTGTTCTTTTGTTGGGTTGTTGAGCCTTTGGATCAAATCCTGATGTTCTTTCTTAGGAAGTACAACAAGGCCAGCAGATTCAGCTTTCTCTTCTATATGCTCTCTAGATGGAGATGAAATGACATCCGTCAATTTGCTATAATCATCCGTCGAAATGACAGAGAAGTTTTGTTTTTTGGCCTGATTTTTCAAATACTCGATAGAAGGATTCTTGAGTTTGCTTAACAAATCTTCATGTTCCTTATTGGTAATTAATTGATGACCAGACTTTGACGCCTTTTCCCTCAACTCATCCATAGTTGGCTCTTCTACCGATCTTAATAAAGATTGATGCTCTTCTGTAGGTAACAAGATCAAACCCAACGCAAGTGCTTTCTCAGAAATATACTCTTTCGATGGACTTGATACAGCTTTGTTGAGGGAATTAAAGTCTGAATTTCTGACAACCATGCAATCATGAGTCTTGACATTCTTAGATAAGAATTCGAGGGAGGGAGATTCTTGCAATTGTCTTAATTCTTTCAATTTATCATTTGGAATAATGGAGTAGCTCATTTCAGCAGCCTTTTCTTTCAAGTATTCTTTTGAAGGGCTTTCAATTTTATTGAGCAATTGTTCATGTTTATGATTAGGTATAGCAATCAATCCAACTGCACCTGCTTTGCTGATAATATGATCCTTGTCTGGATCGTTGGCTTTGTTTAAGAGTTCATTGTGATCCCTGTTTGAGATAGCAACAAGATCATGTCCTTTAGCATGTTCAATGATAAATTCCTTAGTTGGAGAATTTGCAATTTCTCTCAACTTGTCGTGAGTTTCTTTGTCGATCAAATCGTGGTTCAATAACTTGGCATGCTTTTCAAGTGCTTTCTTCGAAGGATTAACCAACGAATCATGAACTGCTTCTGGCAATGTGACCAAACCCAACGATTTTGCTTTTTCATTTATGTGGTCAGAAGTAGGATTATGTGCCAAACCTCTGATTTGATTAAGCTCCACTTCAGGCACAGCTACAAGGCCAAGTTTGGAAGCAACCTTGTGAATATGGTCCACCGGAGGTTCGTTAGCGAGCTCCTGAAGTAACTGATGCTCCGAATTATCAATGACAACATGACCATGTTGTAAAGACTTTGCTTTAACATGGTCAATTGAAGGTTTGTTTGCATTTTCCTCAAGAATAATGTAAGCAGAATCTTCAAGAATGGTATGTCCCTGCTTTTTGGCGTGTTCACGCAAATGCTCTAACGAAGGATTCTCTGCCTTTTGAACCAACAGATCATGTACAGGGATTGGTAATGTAATCAAATCCAACTTTTTAGCCGCTTTTTCAATGTGTTCACGAGGTGGGTTTGTTGCAAGTTTGTTTAACTTGTTGAACTCTTCTTCTTCGGACACAATCATTTTCAAGTTAGCTGCTTTTTCTTTGATATGATCCACATCTGGAGTTGAGGCTTGAGTCAATATAGTCTTGTATTCCTCTTTGTCAACAAGAATACGATCATTTAAGCTTGCTTTTTCTTCGAGGAAATCTATTGATGGTGAATTCACCGTTCTTGTCATTGCATCTAATTTCTTAGTGTCAACGAGTGTCTTTTCGTAAGTTGTTGCTTTCTCGGCCAAAAATTCAGCTGAAGGCTTCTCAATAGATTGAATTAATTTCAAGTGGTCTACCTTAGAAATAGTAACATGGTCAAGATTTTCAGCCTTCTCACGAACCTGATCAATTGTTGGATTGTTAGCATTCTTTAATAATAATTTATGCTCCTCATCAGGTATAGCAATAAGACCATGTTTGGTAGCTTTGCTATGAATGAAATCAACTGGTGGGGTTTCAAAGTGCTTTGTCAACTTATCAAACTCGTTAGATTCTACTGCAATCAAGCCCGCAGAAACAGCCTTCTCCTTCAACACTTCCTTAGTTGGGTTATGTGCCAATGAATGTAATTCATTATAATCATTAAGTGGAAGCAGAATCAATCCAATATTCTTTGAAACTTTAGTGATGTGGTCAGCGTCAGGAGAGTATGCTAATTTGTTTAAAAGTTCATAATCCTTGTTTGAAACGACTTCGTGATGCAATCTATTAGAATGTGACTTGAGCTGTTCAATACTTGGATTGTCCGCTCTAGATTTCAAATCATGAAGTTCTTTCTCATTCACAACGATAGAATCATAAAGCTTAGCCTTAGTTTCTACGTGCTCCTTTGAAGGGTTGTTGACTGTTTGACGTAAGTCCTCCAAATCGTCGACACTTATCAAGTCATGCTTCAATATCAGGGCCTTGGTCTTCATATGGTCTAAGGATGGAGAATTTGCCTTTTCGCTCAAAGTCTTGAACTCTTCGTTACTAATTAAAGTGTGTTCATGCTTCTTGGCAGCGTTGGCTAGCTCATCCACCTTTGGATCATAGGCCAATCTGCTCAATTCTTCATGCTCTTTCTCAGCCACAACAACATGCCCATGTATGGATGCAGTCTTTCTGATATGCTCTATAGTAGGTGCATTAGCCCTGGAAGAAATGTCAGAAAATTCTGTTTTTGATACAATAACATGCTCGTGCTCGTCTGCCTTCTCCTTGATATGTTCGAGAGTCGGCTTGTTAGCCTTCGTTGAGATCTGCTCAAAATCGTTTGCGGCGACAACGACGTGATCATGCACAGCAGCTTTAGAAGAGAGATGTTCTATTTCTGGATTCTCCGCTAACTTCTTGAGTTGCTGCAAATCTTTCTCAGGGATAGTAACATGACCATGTGATATGGCACGATCTTGAACATGCTGAAGGGTTGGTTCGTGTGCTAGAGTTTTCAATTGTTGGTAATCTTCGGATGGTACCACTACGTGGGCCAATTCTTCCGCCTTAGCACTCAAATGATCCAAATCAGGCTTGTGTGTCTTACTTCTTAACGTTGCTAATTCTGAATCAGGTACGACTTGATGATTATGAGCTTTTGCACCCAAAATGAGATCATCAACAGTAGGACTGTAAGCTTTGTCCATTAATTTCTTGTGCGCATCCTGTTCAATGATAGAGTATCCAATCTTACTTGATGCTGCCTTGAGGTCCTCCACTGTTGGGGAGTTTGTCTTTTGATACAAGGACTCATATTCACCAATTTTAAGAGTTTTCAAGCCCTTCAGTTGAGCCTTTTTGGAAATGTGATCTATGGAGGGATCGTTTGCAAGCTTGTATAAATCGGTGTACTCAGCCTTAGATAAAGTAAGCAAGCCATGCTTTTCTGCCTGCAACTTAAGATGGTTCAATGGAGGCTCATGTGCCAATTTCTTCAATGAATCAAACGATTCGTTTTTAACAACCAAGTGGCCTGCTTCGCTTGCTTTAGAAGTTATGTATTCCAAAGTAGGAGAATCGATAGTCTTCTGCAAAGAAGCGTAATCTTCTTCGGAAACTAAGCGTTGCTTTAATTTTGAAGATTTTGATTTCAAGTATTCCAAGGTTGGATTCTCTTGTGATTCCTTTAACATCTCAAAATGAGATTTAGGAATTGCTACCATGTCAAACGATTCTGCATGCTTTTTGACAACTTCTGCGGATGGACTCAACAAAGACTGATACTCTTCTTCCGGTAAAACGATAGACCCGAATCTCTTTGCATGGTTAGCCAAGACCTCTAGTGATGGCTTTTGAAGGTTGGAATGATCATCGGTAGACAATGTGACCAAATTCTTCTCCAATGCTTTCGTGTTGATATGCTCTATCGATGGATCATGAGCCAATTTGACTAGCTCATCATAAAATTTAGCGGAAGATAATATGAATCCGAGTTCATTAGCCTTATTGGTTAAATATTGTTTATCAGGCTTCTCATGTTCAGCAACCGTCTTTTGTAATTCCTTGTATTCATCTTCGGATAAAGCATGTAATTTTTGTTCTGCACACTTTGCGATTAAATAGGAAGTTGAAGGGTTGGAATAGTTTGAATGTGTTTTATTCAACTTAGTTAACTCAGAAGACTTGATCACTTCATGTTGCTGAATTTTGGCCTTTGATTCCAAATACTGAATGGTTGGAGAATCAAAAGATTCCTTGATTTTTCTCAAATCATCAAGTTCTTCACTAGGTAAGGTAACCAATCCACTAGATTGAAGTTTCTTTTGCATTTCCTGCTCATCAATAAGCTCCTCGTATTGCAGTTTTGTCAAGACAGTATAACCCTTCCCTTCAGTAAATTCTATTAAATTTTCAACTTTCATCTCATTGATATTATTTTTAGATAATTCTTCATACTTTTCAAAAGGTATCATTATAAGGTTATTGTCAGCTGCATAAGTTTCTATCTGTCTCTTTGAAGTATCCGAATTCAATTCTTTTGACAAAATGGACTTCTTCTTAATAGTGGTTGGAGAATGTTTGTCCAAATCTGAATCAGACGAATCTGAATCAATTAAGTAAGGAATATTAAAGTCACCGGTGATTGCGGTAACATTTATTCCTCTACTATGGGAGGACTCAACATCAGACATTGTAGGATCTTCGACTAATCTTGGCTTGGTAGGGGTATTAATATTATCGCCAATAAAGTCTTCCCACTTTCCACTATCTTTGGTAAGATTTGACTCGGTTTCATCATCAATTATATTATATTTTGAGCTTCTCTTTGCGGGAGACATTCCAGACGAACGGCTCAAGTTAGCTTTGATCTCACTATTGGATTTCACTTTTTTATTGGATTTCAAAGGTTGCAACTTCATAGGGGTCTTCAGACGTTGCTGCTGGAGTTGGTTTTCTTCTTTTCTAGACTTCAAAATTGCAGATCTCAACTTGGCAATAGTTCTATTCGAATGATTCAAGGTTGCCCTCAATGTCTCAATTTCAAGTTGAGGGTTTCTTGGATCTATATTGGGCAATTCCATTGGTTGGGAGTCAAGAAGGATGCTGTCAAAATCGACAGATTCATCATCTGAATCATCTCCAATAGTTAATGCCGATTGTGAATTAATAGCTTCTGATTCTGATTGAGCAGAGAAAGATTTGTTTTCCTTGGAATTTGTCAATTTTAAGTGTAATTGATCGTTTTCGTCATTCAATTCCTCTATCTTGTCATTCAAGTCATTTATCTCTTTGTTGTATGTCAGTTTTAACAGATCATAGTTTTTGGACACAGACTGATGTTTGATTAAAAGATCATCATTTTCTTTCTGGATGGCATTCAATTTCAATTGCAAGTCTTGATTCAACTTATGCAATTTTTCTTTGTTAGTGCTAAGAGAAGACACTTGATCATTCAAGTTCATCAAGTTTGATTCTAGCTCCCAGTTTTTATCCTTCAAATCGCTTTCGTTATTGATTTGGGAAGCCCTGGAATTTTTCAACTTGAATATTTCATCTTTGAAAGCCTCAATGTCGTCCATTGAGGTCTTCAACTTAGCTTTATATTTCTGGTTTTCAGCTGTAAGTCTCCTACACTCTCCCAAGAGATTTTCACTCAAACCAACGACAAAATTCATGTCATTTCCCTTAGATTCGGGTCCCAAAGTGGGGGTTGGTTGTGTAATAGCTGAAATGGCGGGAAGAGAGGCGCGTTGGCTCTTCTTGCTTGTTGAGCCAACCTTTGGCAATGGAGGCAAAGAGAACAAGTTTTCTTGATCATTTTTGGGCTCGTTGATGTTTCGTAAGGACTTGTCACTTTTCTTGTGGAAGAGTCGCTTCTGGATGTCGGATAACTGTCCTCGAATATCCTCCTTGGAGGGGCTATTGTCCGACGACGACATGGCTAAGGGGAATACAGCTCAATTTGGGGACGTCAAGAACGTGCTGCAAGTATTGGGCGATGTGGCGACTTTAAGGACCCTTTCACAATGTGTGGTGTCTTGCTAAAACGGGTGTGAAACTAGGATGAAAAATGGGTCGTCTGATCTGTGAGATCAAAACAAACATGAGGTGACAGTCGTGCGCAACCCAACATGTCAGTTGGGAGTCACTCCAGAATACAAGTAGTTGCAACGGGGTTTCGGGAGTATTACAGTGGCATGTACCTCTACAGACCCCATGGCCTCCAGTGGGGTTGGTGTGCTTTAATTACGGCGCTAAATAGTTTCCAGTGTAGAATTTCGGCGGAACTCCTGTGGAGTGATTCTGTTAAGTACCTGCGCATGGTTGGTAGCAATAATAGAATATAGGAATAGAATGAAAAAAGGTCCAACTCTTGGCTAGATGTGGGCAGCTATATCGCGAGAATATGGAACCCTGAGTAGAATTAGTCTGGCCCATTACGTGGCAAACCTATACAAAAGCGCACTGCTATATTACTAACCAGTATCGTGCTTACCAATATATAATTCTTCAATTACAGGTACATAGTGTGGCCTCACAGGGAGTCTGAGCTCTGTCTGCGATGTTGCAATAATCCCACCGTAACCGAGTTAGAACGGTAGTAATTAGGTCTATTCCTGATCTGCTTTTCAGTACTTGCACTCACGATTTCGTCCTTGTCATTTCCCAAATGTACCGCATTTGGAAATGGAGAGAACACCGGATCTTTCTTGTAATGGTTATTGAACTGATTGTTGAAGATGTTCTTTCTCAAGCAAGACGTGTCCCTGGGCTTATCTGTGTGACCAGCCTTTTCGGCTCGTGGGACTAGTGGTGATGATGCCTTAGCCCCAACTGGTGCTTGGAGAGATGTCATTCCTGGTGGCTGCCCGAAGTTCAACCGTGGTTGCTCACCTCTAAGGGTAACGTTGGAGTCTGTGCTGGAGAGTGACACTGACGGAGCCATGTTGGACGAGCCAGAAACACTGGTGCGGGGGACACTTGAAATTAACGAGGCAGGGACATCTTCAAATTCGGGCAACTCGTCGGTGAAGATAACCGGAACATCATATGTAGGATTAGGAGCGCCAGGATTTATTAGCCGTGGTAAGTTGGAGTCATGCGACTTGGCACGATTATTCAATGAAAGGAACTTGGGCCTAGAAGGAGCTGCCACCTTAGAACTGAATGCCAACGTTAAATTACCCTCCTCATCACTTTCACTTTCGCTTTCGGAATTTGAGCTTGAGCTTGAAGAGTAGCTGCTATAACTGTCTCGTGAGTACATACCCAGAAAAGGTTTTGATTTAGGAGCAACTCCTTCAAACTCATCTTCGCGTTTGCGCTTGTCTTCAGAATTCAAATTAAACTTGATACCTTTGGAGTTCATCAGATTATTGAGATCGAAATTCCTGAACTTGTGATTGATACTTTCAATTGGATCCTTTTGATGTGCCACTAAATTACTGTCAGACTGAGACAGAGCACTGTCTCTTCTATTTTGATTGTGACCACTAGATGCTCCACTCGTCTGTTTGGAAAATTCCTGATATTTTAAAAGCAAATAATTGTCGTTGATACTATCCAATGATGCGAAACTTTCTGTCAAGGGTAAAGACATCACTGAAGATGGTCTATGCTCCTCAGAAAATGAAATTGGACCAACCTTAAGTTGACTTGATGCATTTTTGTTATTTGGGCCATTAGCATTTTGTTGGTTGAGGCTGAGTTTAGCTGATACTGGAACAGGTATGGGTGCAGCAACTTGTGGTAGTTTTGGCATTTGAATCGAAGTAGGAGTTAATATTTCATCTTGACCGCCCTGAGAAGAGATGGAGTTTTTCGTTGCTCCAGGAGTGGAAGCGTTGCTCGAGAAAATGCTAGAAGAACGGCGCCTTTTATCATCTTCTTGCTGTATTCCTTTGAAAGTATCAACTATTGATTGATTTTTGAGATAAAGGTCACCGCCAACGTTTCTTTTTGTCTCAATTTGAGGTGCTTCACTGACACCTGCAGAGCTTCCTCTCCTGCTGGATGCGGATGTTTCGGAATCTAATACGTCCTGCAACATCAAATTTGGATTTCTTCCTTCCCTTATGCCTGCAATAGAGTAAGATGAAGATCTGGAGGGCTTTTGACTCAAATGTGGATGTTGTGGTTGAGACAAATTAGATGACACATGAGGAGCAGTACTGAAGTAATCGGTGCCTTTTGAAGGCACTGGTGGAGTACCCGAAGAAATTTGTAATGCTTCAGAAAGAATGAGAGAGTGGCTTCCACTGCTATTCAACTTTAATGAAGAATTCATGTTCGAATTGCTACCAGAAGAGTCCTCACTGGAAGTACTTCTAGAGTGCTCTAATTGCAATGATGCGAATTTTTCCTTGAGATCCAAGTCTTTTCCACCACTTGCACGGATTGCTTTAACTAAACTTCTCCTGATCCTACTTCCAATACCCACAACTGCATTGTCAATTTCATCTTTTGAGACAATGTCATTCTTTTCGTTTTCGTCGATATGGAGGTCCAACAATCCAACTTGTTCTTTATCGTTTAAGTAAAGTAAATCATTCAACAGCTCTAAGTCTTCTTCAAGACCCATCAAAGTAAATGGATGCTCTTTAATTTCTTTTATCTCAATTCTGGTGGCACTATTTTTGTCCATCATTTTGGTCAACAAATCTTTTGCCAACTCAAATTCAGATTCAGTCACTTCGCTAGGGGAATTGAAGTCTAATCTGGATTTTGGAAACTCCAACTTTTGATTGACAATTACGTGGAATAACTCAAATTCTGAATCAGCATTAAAGGGTACCTTTCCGAACAACAAACAATAAAGTGTTACACCCAATGCCCAAATATCAATCTTGTAGTCAATTCTTTGAAGAACTTTGCCAAGCGTGGCTTGTTGATTTTTGAGAGCCTCCAAAGATGAGGCAGAGACAGAGTTATGGGTTCCATCTGAAGAGAAATTTGTTTGACACAATTCGGGCGCAAAGAATGCTGGCGTTCCGGCAGTTTTTGCCAATTCTAGTTCATTTATAAGGTGCCCTTCATCTTTTTCACCAAGTGATGAGGCAAAGGAAACACCAAAATCACTTATTTTAACCACGTTTTCAGAATTGACCAACAAATTTGCAGGCTTGATATCTCTATGAACTATTCCTTGTAAATGCAAATATTCCAAACCGAGCAAAACATCTCTAAAGATTTTTCTCGTTTGTTTGAAAGTCAAATTAGGCAAAAACTCATTTGACAACAAGTAATCTTCTTGATTGTCTTCGTCATATTCATAACCATTTATGGAAATCTTTCTGTGGCGATTGCCACAGCATGGGATATCGTCGGAGCCAGCCAGATGTTTTAAATCCAGTTTATCTGAACCAACCAGAGTTCTTGTGCCTGAACCAATCAGGAGTTTTGCATCTGCTTTCTTTGAACGCTTCCAGCGAATCTCGCCCTTTTCCAAGTATTCAAGAACCAAGTATATCTTGAAGGAGTTCAAATCATCTAAGACTTCTATTAATTTTACAATGTGTTTATGGTCACATTTTTTCATGATAGCGATTTCCCTCTTAACTTTCAATTCGGATTCATTGAGCTGAGCTTTAGTGGAGTCTCTTCTGAATCTCAATGCAGGTCTGTCCTTTTTAGATCTTCTACTCACAATTTTGATTGCGACGAGCTGGTTATTAATCAAGTCCTTGGCCAATTTGACTTTACCATGTTCACCACGACCGATTTCTCGCAAGATTTCGTAGGTGTTAAGAACACGTCTCTTGCTGATAGGATCATACTCCAAGGAAATGCGGTTAGTTTCTTTTACGGGGCGACTATCGGATCTTTGCATTGGGGTCTTGATGGGGCTGGGCGATCGCAACTTGGAGGTTGCAGATGATGTGGAGGATTTTCTGTTGATGGTGGTGTCGGATATGGATTTTTGGTCGTCGTTGTAGAGGTCTCGGTGGGAACATACCGACCCGGATCTGGAGTGATTCGACGAGCGATGCAAAAAGCCAGTTACCTTTCCAAAGAGGTTGTGCCTCAAGTCTTTGTCATCGTTTGGCTTGGGGGAGGCGAGGGGGGAGACGGCAGGGCTATGGTTTCTGTCGAAGTTGAACAAGCCTATGTCGGACGACGAGAGGGTGGGAGTGATTGGTTCGCCTGTGGAGATGCCTGTGGTAGCCGAAGCCGGTTTGTTGAACACAATCGAGTTTCTGGGAGTGCTGAGGGACCTGTCGTGGGAATTGAACGACGCCATGATACTGGGGAGTGCTAATGGGATAAGTCCATCTGAGGAATAGATGGAGGGAGTGGCGGATGGGGGGAGGAGTCACTGGAGCACGGAGGCTTGGTGGTACGATGGAGGGGGGGGACTCTGTAGTGGCGGAGACGGGGGACGGTGCACGGAGATGGGCGAGCTGGTGGTGGAGTGGATGGCACTGGCCAGATTAGCAAGAAAATCACGTCGAGGCGGCTCACGTGATTGCCTGATCGCTGGCGTCGCGGAGTTGCGGCATGACAATAGATCGGCCGCACCGAATGGGGACGGTCTTGTGAGAGATTGTGTTGGTAGGGATGAGGGGTTATGAAATGGTGGGGCGTGGCGCCACACCGGCCGTTATTACCGGCGGGGAGGGGACCTCCTGAAGGCTAGCGAGGGAGTTTTTCCCTAGAGTAATGGTAGCCAGGGAAGATAGGGGAGGTCACCAGACGCGCTAGGGGAGGTCACCAGACCCACCAGGGGAGGTTCATTCTAGAGTTATCGCTAGCAAGCGAAGTCTACCCACCAGAATTACCCCAGAGTGGTCGCCAGGCAGTGTCCCAATGCCCCACCTTACTGTAGTCTGACACCACCGAAATCACCGAGCGAAGTCCCACTTTGTCCCTACACTTGTTGGGTGCGATGTGGTGCGACCGTTTGCAGCGTGCCAGTGCGAGTTTGCAGCGCTTCACTAACTGCAGTGAATGCCAGAGGATGCTGCCATGGTGAAGCCTCTCGAATTGCACCAGCGAGTCTCAGTAGATGGCGACCTTGCCACGGTCCAGTACGTGGGAACACTTCCGGCGTGGGGCACTGGCGTGGTGGCGTACGGACTTGAGTGGGACCGTCCCGAACGAGGCAAGAACGATGGGCGGCTAGATGGTCATCAGTACTTCCTGGTGGAAGTGGCAGGCTCAGGCTCGTTCATCAAGGCAGCCAGCACCAAAATCGATCCAGCACGACATACCTTCGTGGAGGCGCTCTTGCACACCTACGACGCCCACCACGAGTTCCAGCACAACATCCACTTCGGGTCCAAGACCGTGGAGGGCTACGGGTTCGACCGGTTGAACGAGCTCCAGTCGGACCTCGCCAACGTCCGCACGGTGTCGTTACAGCGCAAGAACATCGCTGCGTCATTCGGGTCTCGACCTGCCGATTCCACAACCCTCGCCAGCTTAACCAAAGTCGACCACTTGGACTTGAGCTACAACCTCTTCCCCAGCCTCGATCCAGTGTGGGCAATCGTGGACCGATTGCCCCTGCTCCAAACCTTGGTGTTGAACGGGAACCGGTTTCCCATCCCAGACCGCATGTCAAACTCCTACCCCAATCTAGTCACCTTGAAACTATCATCCACAATGATCTCCATAGATCGCCTCAACGCCATCCTCCCCAACTTCCCAAGCCTAGCAGAATTGTTCTTGGCAGGAAATAGATACTCCGACGAAGATATATCCAACCTCCACATTCCCAGCACGGTGACAGTTCTTGATCTTGCCTTAAACAACCTCACGACCGTCCCACAACCCCCAGCATCCCTCGAATCATTGATCCTATCAGATAATAAAATAGCCACCGCACCCTGCATCGAAAACAAGGGCTTGAAAGCACTAGACTTGGGCCATAACTTCATCGAGGATTGGGCAGTTATCGACACCCTCAGCTTGTGTTTTCCAAATCTTCGCCTGCTCCGTATCAATGGCAACTACCTTTTTGACGCCATCTCCATCGACGAGATGACAATTAATCTCATTGCCAGGTTTAATTGTACCGACGCCAAGTCAACTACCGGATTGAATAAGTTAAACGGTGCATATTTGACCCGGGAAGAGATTTCGAATGCCGAGCTATTCTTCATTTCCAAAGTCCAACAACATTTCTACAGCTACAACAAGGATAATAGGCGCTGGAAGCAATTACTAGATAAGTATCAAATTCAAGAGCAGGAAAGCGAGAACACGTCCCCTAAACCTCCTCTTGCAAACAAAAAACTCAGTTTGATCATCAATCATTCTGAATCTAAGCTTCAAAGGGTATTTTTAATCGATAACACGGTACTCAGACTAAAAGGAGTGATTTCCAAATCGACAGGCCGGTCAGTCTTGGACTTTCAAGTGTACTACTACGTCAATGAGTTTGAAAATACAACTATCAAGCTCAAGATGTTCCTCGAAGACAACCTGTCTCTTCTAGACAGCTACGGATTTCATCAAAACCAAAACATTTATGTATGTTGACCCTATGTACAACACCATACTGAAATACGAAGCAAAGTCAAACTAACTTAGAATCCCATTTATTCAGTATGGTTCCATAATCCATCGCCCAAGTAATGCAACAACTCGATACCATGACCTTTGTTAATAGATTTAATGTCATTTGTACTCATAAGTAACTTACCCACAGCCAAGGCAGTTTCCTTACCTTCGGCGTAGATTGTCACAATTGAACCTTCTTCCAAGTTCTCTTCCGGTAAATCAGCTCCAGCAGATGTCAAACCTGGACACATGATATTTGCTCCCGACAACACGAACTTGATAGCACCTCTGTCGACTTGCACTCTTGGGAAACATTGGGGGTACTTGTGAACGACCTTCAAGGTGGGAATCAAGTCGTCAAAGTGTTGGAACAACACGACTTCGTTATCAATCAGATACAACTGGATCTTGTCTTCACATTTGATAAGAATGGCTTGGGACTTTTTCGGTATGATGGTATCAATCACTGGCTCGAGGGCCTCGAATTGTGATACAAAGTTACCCTTCAACCCTCTTTGAGCAGAGGACTTGATATTGGAACGAGAATGGACGTCTTCCTTGGAGAATTTCTTGAACATGATGTGCTATGAGATGTCAAAGTAAACGTTTCTCAGTCACACAAATTTTTCAGTCAAACATCGGAATTGCACGAAAAGTCAATAATCAATCAAACATGCATATTGGAGGATCACTGAATTGCTCCTGCTACGGCAAGCAAGATGCTGATGTACATATAGTCTACAGTGAATGTGAAGATTTATAATTACAATGCCACCATCCGGTTCTGACCTTGGTGTCATCGCACTCAAAGGAAATCTTATCGATATGGCCCATTACGAATATTCGTAGAATAAAGTATCCAGCTCAAGATCTGACATAGAGAGTCAGACCGAGCGAGGCACAAGGCGAAACAACTTGAGTTCAGCTCTAGTTGTCAACTAGGCTCGGTGTCGGGTATATCGTCAATGCCCTCACTGACTTTGACCTTCAAAGAAGCGTCAAAAGACCAGGTCAAGCCCAAGAAGACGGAACATTGCCACGAGTGCTTGGGATAGGTACCAGTCAGATAATTCCCTTGTGTGGGATCCCAACTATCGTTGGAATACCAGAAAACATAAAATTTGCCAAAAATTCCCTTAAGATTCGTAACACAAGGATACAATCAGAAGGAGCTGTCAGGTATAGTTTTCAACCAGCAAAAACATGATCTCGGACGAATCCTCACTGATACACGTAATGCCCCTGCATAAAGATGAAGAAGAAAAGGAAACGCTTTGCGGGCGGGATTGCGGTTCTTTTATAGTACCTGCAATTTGGCCGGGTAACAATAAATCACGTGACATTTGATAGTTGCAAATTCACCTTTCACCATAAGCTCTAATCTTACTTCACGAGGTGCCAGACTCTTTTTGTTTTACCGTGTCTCATACCTCAAATACTTTGAGCATTGAAAATAATGAATTTAATCGTTTATTTGTCCTAATATACAATGGCTATATTCCCGGATATTGCTGTATAATGCTACTCCACCGGTGGTTACATATTAAGGAGAAGGTTGGTCGTTTTACTATGACCAATTCTGCCATGCGAGGCAGTCTTTTTTTGTCCCGGGCTCTGGTGGATTCCATGGGATGGATCAAAATGAGTTATTTGTTCTTCCGGAGGAATCGTTGTGAAATATGAAGTGTATAGTTCGATTTGTTCTTCCTCATTCAATAATCCTTCCAGCGGTCCAAATTCGGTTTTGAAGATTTCTGGATGCACACTGGTTTGAGAAACTGGTGCTGAGATCTGAGTGTTACTCTTGGAATTTAGGTTGTCCTCTGAAATCAACGCTAACTCTTCATCTAGTCCATCATCGAACATTTCCTCTTCATCGGAAGTATGCAGTGACGGATTGTTGCTGTCACTTTCCTTAATGCTGTTAACACGAGACACTTCATAGTCGGGTAATTCTAGGTCAATATCCACTTCAAGGTCTGTATACTGTTTTTGTTTCATGTGCTGTTGCTTGATTTGCGCTAGTATATCATTGGGTTTCGGTTTCTTCACTCCTAAGGAACCCTTATTGCGAGTATGTTTCTGAGAGTATTCAGGCGCCCTCTTTAAGCGGGTAGAAGGGAGAGGATCATCAACGTTTGTTTCGGAAATTCGTGCTTCTTGGGCGCTAATACTGGATTTTGTATTTGACTTTGTGTGTCCCATTCCTAACATTCGGTCTAATTCTTCATCACTACTGAATTCGTCAGAATCATCTGGAATGACAGGTTCAGTTTGGTCGGAGTTCTGTGGAAATTGTTCAACATCGGTCTTTGATTTTGAAGGTGAGTTCGCAGAATTCAACTTACCGGTGTATGAATAATCTTGTGCATTCTGAGGAGCTTCAACATCAGGCTCGCTGTCCGAATCGAGAATTTTGTCGAGTAAATCTTTTTCCAACGGTTTGTGAACTCCAAGATCAGTATTATCTGCTTGTAACATACTGGTAACGCTTCTGAAACCAGTTTCTACGTCATCGGGCATGTTGAATCTTTTCTTTTGTTTTGCAGTAGACGACGCTTTTGACTTTTTGGACTTCGATTTTCCGATCATATACTGAGTGGCTATTTTTATAATCTCATCTTCGTCATCAACTGAATTAATCTCGAGATTTTCATCAGGCAAGTCAATGAACTTCTCCACAACTTGCGGTTCATATTCATCCGGAATAATCCTGTTTCGAGCTGCCAAGGTGATTAGATTTCCCTTCATTATATGTTGTTGGATATACTCGTAACCCCCCATAGCTTTGTCAAACTTTGTTTCCTCATTTCCAGAAAATAGAAGAACCACTTTACCATCTCTTTTACGGCCAGTTCTTCCCATTCTCTGAATATTTTTAATTGGAGAGCTTGTAGAATCATAACAAACGATAAGGTCCACCTCTCCGATATCTAAACCTTCTTCACCAATAGAGGTTGCAACCAAGATGTTGTATTCGCCTCCTTTGAACTTCTTAATAATTTCTTTCTGAAGTTTTTGATTCATTCCTTTGATTTGAGCATCTTCAGAGCTGGTTCTTGTGCTAGGCCCCAACTCGTCAATTTCGGTCTTCTTACCTTTACCCTTACCTTTCTTCTTTGTTTTACCGACATTTTCCTCATCAAATCTATCCTTCTCTTTCGCTTGTCCAATGAAAATGTGGGGCTTCAAACCTCTATCGAAGCGTTCAATTGACTGCACGATTTCCAATGCAGAGTCTCTAAACTCGGTGAAAATGATTACTTTAGAGTCTTTCTGCACCCCATCCTCAAAAAATTCTTGCAATTCTTCCATCAATGCCTCAATTTTGGGATGACTGAACACATCTGGATCATCTAAGAATTTTTTAGATCTATCAATCAACATGCGAATCAGGTCGCTCAAGTAAAAATCGGCAGCAAGCTTGTTTTTTGATTTTTTCTTACTCCATTTGCTGGTAAACTCAGTATACTTTTCGTTGAAGTAGTGGAAAAATGATCTCAACCCGTATATGTTTAATCGTTTGAAGCATTGGCCGACTACTCCAAGGAGCTGGAGTATGAAAAAGTTTGACCATTTCAAGCCTTCGGGAATCGATTTATTCATCACCAACCTTTTGGATGCATCCATGCAATGAAAAAAGTTGATCTTCAGGGGATCGGTCATTTCGTAGATTTTTCTTTCATTGGCTGTCTTTAACACTGGCTCGATTGCCGTGCACAAGAGGTCGATACACTCTAGAATTTCGGGAGATTGGCCAATTAGCCTTCTCTCGACCTTTTTTCTCTTCATGTACTTGATGATATCTATGCTTCGTTCCGTCCTCACCTCCACCTTGGAGATCAGCAAATTATCTATGATTTCTTGGACCCCTTCCACGTCGGATGCCGGTGTGGCAGTTAAGGCTAGGATTCTGAACGATTTGTTGAACCGGTTCAAAAACTTGACCACATTGTTGTAGGCGTAGTTGCCTTTGGCACGATGGGATTCGTCGATCACCAACAACGAGATGGATTTGGGGTCCACAATGCCTGATGCCAAGTCATTCTCCACTACTTGTGGAGTGGTGAAGAACACACGTTTCGAGTCCCAGATGTCGCCTCTGTTCTTGCGGGTCTTATCAAGAAGAATGGCCACGTCGCTGGAGGGGAGACCAGTGATGGAGCAACACGCTTTGATCTGCTGGGCTACCAACGGCTTAGTGGGTGCCATGAACACGATTTTTGACACCGGAAACCACCTGTAGAAGTTCAACATGACGGTGGATGCAATGAAGGTCTTGCCTAGACCAGTAGGCAACGCCACCAAGAGGTTATCATAGAATGCTCGTCTCACCACGTTGTACTGATAGTCACGGACCTCGAAATTGGTGGGGTAGATGTAGGTTCCTAGCTCTGCTGGGGAGAGCGTGTGGTGGGTTGGGATGTTTAGGGCTGGTTTGGGGGCTGGAGCCAGAGGGAGACGTTCTGAAGTGTCCGCAGCAGAGACCAAACCGTCGAGGGTTCGCTGGGGAAGATACCGCCTGGAGGATGTTAGCATGGACTCCAAGTCGGGGTCGTCTTCATTGTCAAATACAGAGTCCCCTTCGTCTAGAACTGGGCTCCCCATTTCTGTCTTCTGGAGCAGATGCAAACAGATGCTGGAGATCCACGGTCAGGTGACCGGTGATGCAACCGCGTCAGATGTATCCAAACATAATCAGTTGACATTGACAGCCACGATGGACGATCCCTACAAGGTGTTGACGCAGTCAGTGAAGGCTATTGCGAAGCCACTACAGGCACTTTTGGACACACACGATGAGTTCATGCTCCAGCAATTGAGCATCGTCAAAAATACCTCCAGCGTGGCCAAGATCCGTGAGGACGTGGAAAGGGGCCTCGACGAGGCCGCAAAGAAGTGAGCTCGTCCATGCCACCACGGCGAACCACACCAACCGTCTCCACTGCATATGCTGGCCCCTTTGAAATGACTCTCCCGTCTCAAAAGTCAGTTGGTGAATCCTGTCAGTCTTCTCTCAACTAGAATGATTGATCTCTTAGCCTACAAACTCGTAACTAATTTATAATTCACAGATCACCTACACCGTTTGACAGTGAGTGTAGCATCCCATGGCGGGAGGGGGATCTGGTAGGATCAATGCAGCACGTATTCGCTGTAATTTGGTGTAGCTGTCGCAGACCTCCCACCCGTGATACCTAAGCGAAAAAATCACCAGTGGTGCCATTGGCACCGTTACCAGACAAATGCTCAGATCGTTGGGTTCACTCAGACCACCAGCACTTGCCTTCAGAAGAATGTCGACCTCCGTTCCCGAAATCGTCAAGTCGTCGGAAAATCCGGGCCCCATCGAGTTGACCATCATCGACAAGCTTGTGAGCAGCTTGAAGCCCTCGTACCTCAAGATCGCTAATGATTCCCACAAACATGCCCACCATGCTGGCTTGAGAGGTGCCAGCAATGTCACCGAGTCCCATTTCCGCATTGAGGTGGTGAGCAGCGAGTTCGAAGGAAAGAATATGCCTTCCAGACACAGAGTGGTGTACCAGTTGTTGGACGACGAGTTCAAGAACAAGGGCCTCCACGCATTACAGATGAAGACCAAAACCCAGGCTGAAGTGGCCAAATGAGCAGAGGCATGATCTACTCCGATGTGACTTCTAGATTCTGTGTTGGATACATCCAGCTCCTCAGAATATCATCCTTACTATACTCTCTCAATAAAAATTCGAAATCCACCAAGCTACTTCGACATGCCACGAGACTCGAGTGTATCACTCATAACTGATATCTTTTGTCTAGGCAATCTGGATTCTTGCATGCCAAATCGAGTACACGAAGTTTGCTGAAATAATACTTAAAACATTTACATATATAAACAATAAACTAATTACCATTAGCGATGCCGTTGACTTCTCCAGTCTCAACCTCCTCTTCATTGCTTGGTTCTTGAACAGAGGCATTCTTGGCCACCAACTCCACAATTCTTCTGATCACTGGCAAGTTCAACCATGCGGGAACGTAGGCTTCAACTCTGGAGAATGGTCTCAAGTTGATAGTTCTGAATGGATCATTGAAGTGACCATCAGTGGAAACTAATTCGAACAAATCATCGCCGTTTGTGGAATCGTTAGCCTTGACCTTGTCTGCAACAGCTTGCAAAACGTTGGGAGCAATTGGTGTTTCATAGTCAGCAACGTAATACTGTGAAATCAATTTCTGGATTTGAATTGGCTTTAATGCGTAACAGATCTCGTAAATGATCTCAATATCATCAGGAGTGTTCTTACGCAATTGCAACAACTTAGCAGCTTGCAACAAATGACTTAAGTATGCAGAACCTTCCTGTATTTCATGGCCCTTACACCATTCTTCCAATCTGGTGACGTTGTAGTTCAATTGCAAACCTCTCTTCCAGGATAAGAAGTTTCTTCTCATAACCAAATCGTTGAAACATAATGCATCGACGAACCTCAATAATTCGATTATTACTTCATTCATGACCTCATGTTCAATGAAGTATGATTTCATTGACCAGTAGACCGAGTTGAAGAAACTCAAGATATCGTCCATCTTATATTGGATACCTGGAGAGAACACCTTGGCCAAGAATGGAGAGTTTTCTGGTGCCATGAATCCTGGCAAAGATTGGGACAAGACAACAGCGGACACTGCCTTCTTTTCCAAGTCCTTTTCCATTTTCTTCATCCACATATTGTAAATGTTGTATGAAAGTGATTCGAAATCTTCTTTGACAACAGCTACCAACTTCAAATATTCGTCAAATTCCTCTTCGCTCATTTCGTGAGACAAAGTGTCATTGGCAATGATAGTTTGCTGGGCGTATGAAACGAACGAGTACAACTCATGAGTGTTGGATAACCAGAATGCACCATTTGGAATGACATCATCATCCTTTAAGGTTGATACAATTTGCTGGATAGAAGATAAGACTTCACCCAAAAATTCCTCACTCTCCTTAGTCAATCCTAATCTCCACATATCAGACAAAATGATGATTATGATTCTGGCAGGGAACAAGACCTCCTTTCTGGTCAAATCTGCTGCGACACCAGATGGTGGAATCTTCAATCCCTTCAATAAACCTTCAACAATTTCTCTATGTAACTGCCTAGAGTCCCTCAATAATTTGAATAACTCATCATTGATGTCATCAATGTTAGCATCTTCATCGTGAGAAACAGCGATAACAGAGACTGGGCGATTAGAATTATGATCAAGTGAATTAGGAGAATTCCAAGCCAATGCACTACTGTGACGCTTCCCACTTATATTTCTTGCTTTGACCCCATTTCCTACAACCAGTTGTTGTGATTGTAAGTTTGCAATTTCTGATTTTAATTGCTCAATATGCGATTTCAAATCAACTTCAATTGTATCACGCTTGACTAAAGCATCCTTGGCCTTGTTCAATTCATCGATGTTTCTTTCGACTTCTTGTCTTAATTCGGCTTGCTCCTTAGTCAACTGTTCAATCTTTTGTTCAGCAGATGTGTATTCTGCCTTGATGTTTTCCAATTCTCTGTTCAAGCTTTCAATTTCTTGTTGATGTTCAACATTCTTGGAGTCAAACTTTTCATTGTATTCAATTTCTCTTGTTTTCAATGCTTCTTGGGCAGCACTTTGTTGTTCCAACAAGTTCTTCAAATTAGTGATTTCAGTCACCAACTTCTTGTTATCTTGAATCTTGGTGGTTAATGATTGAGTTAAGTCGATGACCTTGTTTTCCAATTTGTAGGAAACTTCCTTCAATTTGTTGACAGATTTAGCATCGGCCTTCAACTGTTTAAATTCAGCAACAGCTAACTTTCTTCTGAAGCATGATTGAATAAGAACAACTGACTTCAATTGCTTCTTGTAGTTTCTTCTTGCAGTGTATCCTCTCCATGCGTTCTGAATAGTTAATGCAGATTTTTCACTTCTCAACTTGGTGAAGTTTCTTCTAGCTTGTAAACCTCTAATAGATCTCTGTAAAACAACAATAGAATCGAAGGTTTCTTTCACTTGTTTTCTAACCAAGTGTCCTCTGATACTAGTTTGAATCAAGGTTGCAGCAGCATTCTCTCTTTCACGTTTGATTTGAGCTCTCTTAATATGACCACGAATCAATGATTGAGCTTGGATATGAGAATCTCTGATTTCCAAATACTTTTTACGGAAGTAATGCTTTCTCATGTTCTTTTGGATCATGACAGCAGACTTATGCAATTTGTCTGATCTCAACTTTTCGAAATGAGCCAACATACCGGCTTTGAAGAAAATCTTAGTGTTACCTAATTGATATTTGCCCTTGTCTTCAATGTTTTGATTCAAAATTGTGTTACACAATTCACTCACAGATTCTTGAGTGGTATCACCACTCATCACCTTAATCCACAAATCAGAGTGAACCAAAGTGTGATATCTGTCGGCAAACTCAACATATGACCACCTGGTTGGGAAACCAGCACAAGAAATTCTGATAGTTTCCAAAACACCACAAGCTCTTAATTGAGATAAAACCATTAATGAATCGAATTCCCAAGCCTTCTTCCTCTCATTAGGCTTGATACATCTGATGTAATGAACATTAGTGGAGTCAATAGTCTTCATCAACTCGATCAAAGAGTTTTTAAACATTGAACCCAAGGTAGGTTTCTTGCTAGCAATAGATCTAACCTTAGATTGTGGTTGAGCAGCTTCGAGAGTAGCAGCATTTTTCTCAATGATAGCCAAAACTGATTGTAACAATTCATTAGTAGTGTTCTTCATAACGTCGAGATGACCCTCTCCAACTGTATCTCTGTTCTTCTCAATGAAACCATCGATGTCATAGCTGACATCAAGAGCATAATGACTAACAATGAACTTAGTTTGACCAAATCTTGGCTTCTTGAACACCTTATTGGTAGGTTCCTTATCCAAAGTTTGGTACATCTTTTCAATCCAGGATTGATCATTTCCTGCTGGCAATCTGGACTCTTCATCTAACAAAGCTAAGATACCAAGTCTGTTTTCAATCAAATTAATACAAGGCTGGTTGTCTGCGAAATCAATAAAAGACCATTCAATTTCTTCCTTGACGTATTCTTCTTGTTCCAACTTGAAAACATGCTGGTTGAATTCTTGCTGCAACTTTTCGTTAGCATAGTTGATACAGAATTGCTCAAAAGAGTTCTTTTCGAAATGTTCAAAACCATAGATATCTAAGACTCCAATAAAAGACTTGATATGGGCTTCCACCTCTGGAGGACATAAATCGGCATTCACATAATCAACCAACCAATCGAATAATGCAGAATAAATATATTTGGCAAAAGAATCTCTAGCAACCAAGGCTTGTTTGTGATTCAAGTTACTGATAATTTTTTCAGATCTGGTAGTAATTTGCTTCTTGGTACACCACTTGCTGAAGTTAAGTGGATCGATTCCCAATAACTCACAAGCTTTAACCAAGTTTGGTTCGTCAGAAGCCAAGTTGGCATCGTTTCTGGTAGCAGCAATTTCAATGTTACCGATATGCAAGAGACCAGCTAAAATCTTATAAATTTCAAATTGTCTGGTTTCGTTAATACCTATTAATGAAAGGGCATCTTTGGTGATGTTGAATTCTTTAGCATCATCAACACCTTCGATAACAGGTTTACCACCTTGGTTGGTGTACTTGTAGTCCTCTGCAGTGGTCAAGCCCAAGTTTGCCTTATCATCTTCATTCATACCAGCCAATAACTGGTAGAAAATATGATAATTTCTTTCTGTAGATGGCTGGAAAACCAATCTTGATCTTTCTAAAAGATAAGTTCTGATTCTAGCACCAATGATGGCAATCTTGCTGTCGAATAAGATTTCCAAATATTTACCGAATCTAGAAGAGTTATCGTTTCTGGTAGTTTTAGCATTACCGAACGCTTCCATAATAGGATTAGTCGCCAAGATCTGTTTTTCAACGTCAGACATATCTGACTTGTGCTCAGTGCCGATGTTTTGTTCCAATTCAGAATCCTCTTCAACGGAAGCAAAGTATCTCATGATGTACTTGGCACTGACGGTTTTACCAGCACCAGATTCACCACTGACAACAATGGTTTGGTTCTTACCGTCCAATTTCATGTATCTGTAAGCATCTTCGGCGATAGCGAAAAGATGGGGATCTAACTCTCCTCTTCTTTTACCAGCATAGGCCTGAATAATATCCTGCGAATACAATTGGTCAACTCTTTGGAAGGGATTGGTGGCAATCAACACAATTCCCGAGTAGGTATAAATGTTAAGTTGAGCATAACGGACTTTGATTGCATGTAAAACGGCAGGTTCATTCAAGTATGATAAACTGGTCAAATCTTCAGCTGCTTCCAAGATAGGAGGGTTTCGTAAAGGAGGCAACTTTTCATTATCTTCTGATAAGTCTGTTGTTTCCACGGTGAACACTTGTTCTTCGTCGGTTTCCGAAACAAACTCCAAAACGTGCTTGCCGGCTGATTCTGTGTTGGACTTGACAGTAACGCCTATCCAACCCAAAGCCTCATCTGGGTACCAACAACGGGTTCCAACATCGTATACGGATACCATGTTAGCCAATTATTGTAGGTGAGATCAGATGCTATTAGGGGGGAGTAATCTCGACAAGAATCAATGAGTTACTGAGTCAAGAATGTTCAGATTCGTTGATCCTGATGGGGTTCGCTGTGATTGGATCGCAGGAGTTCAAATCACTTCACGGTGTCAAAATTTTGAACTCGAATCAGTCCACGCTTCGTGTAGTATGTGATCCCGGTGTTTTCGAGTACTTGATGTGATGAACGCTAGTTGGATGAGCCACTTCCACTCGAGACGATTTATCTAAGAGCAGTGGTTCAGCTGGATATGTTTGGAGGATTCCAGTAGCTGAAAACTATCCTTTGGGAGCGTCCGTAAATAATTCGTAACAACACTGGGCGCCTGTTTGGAATCGAATTTTTACAGATCGTCGTTTGTGGGACACGCGAGAATTACAGGTTGGATGTGGACACCTAATGCGCGGAATGGTGTTGACAGGCGGAGGGCAAGGGAGAGGTGTGGGTGGATGTGGGTGGATTTAGCCGGAAAAAGAGAGGAGTACGGGGGAGAGTGGCACCACCACCACCGCGAGGCATGCACTGGGCTGAACAGAGGCTATCTCCTGGCCAGATCATCCCCTGGTGGTTTCAACTTACAACCTGTTGCAGGTTGGTCCCAGGCCCAACTGGCAGCTTGGGTATGGACGCGTATAACATGCAATGTCGCGGGCCCAGTGTCGCACTAGCGGGCGCGGCGCGCACGTGATGTTTGGTGTTTGTTTCACTGGCGCAGGTTGGGACCGCTGGTCTGGTGGGAGGAGCCAGTAGTTTTCGAGGCTTTTCATGTGGGAAATGTTGGCCCGGCTTAGGTTTAGAGTGCGGTGGAGTCGCCGAGATGACACCATTGAAGCAGTTCTGAGACCGATAGAGGAAGTGTTTCCGTACCCAGCGGCCATGGGCCCGTGCCGCCCAGGTGTCTGGCGACTGTTTGCAGGTTGGTGTGTACATGGATGTCGCGCAGACGGGGAGGCCGCCAGTAGAAACCCCAACAACGGCCGGCCAGGGTCTGGTCACCTGACATGCCCTCGGATTGTTCCCCCTCGCCCCGCTACTGCGGAGCTCGAACCACCCCCTCCAGCGACCCCCCAGGAGCATCAATTGATCGGCAGGTACGGAACTGGTACCGCCCTCCGTCCCGTACCACCCCGCATCCTCTCGCAGTCCCTTCCTGATCAGGCATACGTCCGACCTGCCAGGGGCTGGCCCGTGACATTGATGTCACCGGCTTATCTCCCAGTGTCTCTACCCAGCGCAATTCCAACCCAATTGCGGGGTCGACACTATAAGTTAGCCACTATTTCGCCAGCAATTAACGCTGACTCATAGATCAATTTGCAGGCAAATCACACCGTCTCACAATGCTTGATTTCGAGGAGGTACAGAAGCACAACACCAAGGACGACTGCTGGGTGGTTATCCATGGCAAAGCGTACGACGTCAGCAAATTCATCGACGAGCATCCAGGCGGCTCCGCCATCATTTTGAAGTACGCCGGTAAGGACGCCACCAAGGTGTTTGACCCTGTCCATCCCCCAGATACCTTGGAAAAATACTTGGGAAAGGAGTTCCACTTGGGCGAGGTCAAAATGCCAGAAAAAACCCCAAAGAAAGTGGCTGCAAAATCGCCTCCTGCCAACCAGGCCCAGACATCCAATGTGGTGGACGAGTTCGACGTCGAATACGACGAGCAGGACGCCAAGGACCCCATCCCTTTCCCGGCACAACAGCCCATGCCAGCAAAGGCACCAGCAAAGGCACCTTCCTCAAGCAGGGAGGTGGCACTCTTGCGAGCAGAAGACCTCCCAGGCGAAGACCAGTTTGGCCAGGAGTACGACGACGACCCCGACGAGCCACCCTCCCAGGAAGAGCTCCAGCGTCGTCTCAACATCGCCAACATGCCTGATCTTGCCCAGATCTACAACCTCAACGACTTCGAGTTTGTGGCTCGCTACACCATGAACAAGATCGCCTGGGCGTACTACCTGTCGGGATGCGATGACGAGATCACGTTGCGGGAGAACCACCTAGCGTTCCACCGGGTGTTCTTCAAGCCCAAGGTGTTGGTGGATGTGACCAATGTCGACTTAAGAACCAAGATGTTGGGTACGGAAGTGGAGTTGCCGTTCTACATAACTGCCACGGCTTTGGGAAAGTTGGGCCACCCAGAGGGCGAAAGGGTGTTGGCAAGAAGTGCTGGCAAGCAGGGAGTGATCCAGATGATCCCTACGCTCGCGTCGTGCCTGTTTGATGAGATCGTTGACGAGAGTCTCCCCGACCAGACCCAGTGGTTCCAGTTGTACGTCAATAAGGACCGCAAGGTATGTCGTGAGATCGTCGAGCATGCGGAAAGGAGAGGCATGAAGGGGTTGTTCATCACGGTGGATGCGCCCCAGTTGGGACGTCGTGAGAAGGACATGCGGTCGAAGAACTTCGAGGATCTCAGCCATGTCCAGGGCGACGACGAGGAAGCTGATCGGAGTCAAGGAGCTGCTAGGGCCATCCTGTCGTTTATCGACACAGCATTGCAGTGGTCTGATCTCGAGTGGTTCCGGTCCATCACCAAGATGCCGCTAGTGCTCAAGGGTGTCCAGCGCATCGACGATGCGTTGAAGGCAGACGAGATGGGCATCGACGGAATCGTGCTCTCGAACCACGGAGGAAGACAGCTTGAATTCTCGCCCCCACCCCTCGAGCTATTGATTGAGTTGATGCCCATCCTTAAGAAGAGGGGCCTGAAGATGGAGGTGTACTTGGACGGAGGGGTGCGCAGAGCCACCGATGTGCTCAAGGCTTTGTGCTTGGGGGCCAAGGGCGTGGGGATCGGCCGGCCATTCCTCTATGCCATGTCCACCTATGGAGATGAGGGTGTTTACAAGGCCATCCAGGTTTTGAGGGACGAGATGATCATGTGCATGCGGCTCATGGGAGCCACCAAGATCTCGGACCTTGACGAGTCCATGATCGATGTTAGAAGAAGAGAGGTGGTAGAAGACAAGCTCTTTGGCAAGGTTTACGAGGAGCTTGAGAGCCCTGCGTTCAAGCTGAAGTTGTAGAGATATGTAGGAGCTTTCTTTGCAAAGACTTCTCGATCCAATCTTTGACAGAACACCATTTCAAGCAAGGATAAAACTACTTCTCAATAGATCATTGGTTGGGACAATTTGGTCTTGATTTCAATGACTGTTTGACGTAAAGACCTTGGGAATTGCAGGAATCATAGTTTAAATTAAATACATTTTATAAATACCTGTCATTAGAGTCTTGTTCCTGACCCAATTGTACAAGTTAGTGGTACTCAAGTAATTGGTGTAAACCAATCTTAGACTAAGAAGGTAGTGCCCACTTCGTGGAATAGGTCTATTGGGGCTGGAGATACATGATTGATAGTCAGAATCCGGCCTGATAAGAGAAATATCGGGAGCTTAATATAGCTAGATACTTCAAGTCCGAGAGTTTAATGATAAATAATAATCACATACTATCTACTGCGTGAAAATACAGAATAGGAGCACCAGCACCAGTTTTTGGACTATCATAATTTACTAATATGGTTTTTTAATTCCAAAGTGATAGTTTCGAAGATGTAGCTAGATTGCAAACAGTTGAGAATATCTATGGGATAGAGCCTTGACTTCGATGTCGAAGCATATTTCCAAGGACTTATAAAAATGGAAAGATAACCAATTTTACGTTTTCAGCTAGTGTTTAGTCATATATAAATTTATCTTAGGTGAGTTTAAGTAGTGGTTAATTTAGGACGGTGATGGTGTCCTACGATACATTAAAATACGGTTTACATTATTGGTTGCTATGTACACATCCCAACATGGGGAGTTTCGACTCATTACAAAAGTTGGTTTACTTGTTCGGTGGCCATCCCTATAAAGACACATCAACAGAATATGGTGTATCAAATAGACGGGAGTCCAGATCTTGCCAAGTCCATGGCCACGCTTCAAACGATCAAGGATTTGAGAGCAAAATGGTGGAGGACTTGTGTTTTATAGTAAAAATTCGCTTCATTCGGAGAGATAGCTTAAACAGGGTATGCCTAAAATACCCAATACCGTTGAGAGGTAGTTATGAAAAAGATAACATTTTAAGAAAGTTAGCTATTGGTATTAGAGGAATTGTCCAAAGAGATTTAATTAGTGCTAAGGGATGTTAAGGATTGGTTCAACGGATTAGCTACTGCTAAGAGAACATAGAAGAATATTAGTTCAAATTCTGCTAGAAGAGAGATACGAGGATCAGTCAAAGAAAGTTAGTTCGATCAGGATATTAGTAAGTATTTGTTTCAAAAAATAAGCCACCATAAGAGAAGATCCTAAGGATTCTAAATAGCTTTACCACTGATTGTGCTATGTACAGGCTACTAGCTGCCTGATGGCAGGTATCCAGGAACTGTGCGTCACGTGCGCTGCACTACGAAACCAACTGGCACCAGCAGTTTATGCACAAACTGGCATCAACGGCATCACCGCACCAACAACACCAATCGGCACCAACTGGCCACACCAACTGGCCATCCACCTCCAACTGTCCTACCACCAAATGGCCAATCCACCACCAACTGGCCAATCCACCACCCAGCCCCTTTGAGGGAATTGTTTCCGCCCCAACGAGATGAGACGTAGCCACGATGATTTCACCACCTTTATGCAAGATACACCAATAAAAAATTAGGGGTACCGCGTGGATGCCAGGTTGACGTGGAGAGCCGATATTAGCCACGGCTGCGCTGCACCACCATTGGTCGGACTCCAGAATGTGCCCATTACCCGGAAGAAACCCATCCGCCAGGAGCCAAAAATAGGCGGCTTTACCCTGCACGACTGGCGTTGACATGCAAGCGAGGGTCGGGCGCAGCAGGAGGGCGTTTGCCGCACAGGCAGCGGGGGCACCACCCACACACGTGATGGGGGTGGGTAATTGGTGAGACTAGCGCACGTGACGGTTGGCTCCTAGAGCTGCCACCGCCGCCGGAGGGCCAGTAAAAATTTTAAACAAGCCTTGCAACCCCCATCAACACCTGTTCTTGCCAGCGTACCAGCATCGTCTTTGATTTGTCGTTGCCGTCGCATTAGTCGTCGTCTTAGGACTAGTTTCGGTTCACGTGCCTGTACTGCTTCGGTGTGGTATCGGCTTGAGGCTGGTTAGGGAGGAAAAGAAAAGGATCAAGCAGACCCACCAGGACACATTCGGAGGACCACCACCACCACCACCACCAGATTTACCGATTTATCACCGCCATCCAGATCAAAAACACCCAGTTTTTGAATTACTAAGTTAATACACAGCTCTGGTATTGACTAAATATTCATAAGTTAACATCCAATACTCTTGGGTAGCTTTTGACTAAACATACACATCCGACATCCTTACCACAGTACTTGGAGTATTGACCTGTTAAGCTTTCATACGCTAACATCCACAATCCTCTGGGGTCAGTTTATTCACCACCAACCATCCGTTTCGCCCCGCTGTTCCACCATTTGATGCACCCCGGTGCACACTATCAATAGCCACCTCGTACCATCCCACCCCGAATTCCCTCCTTTATTAGCTTGGTCGGTTTCCTTTCATCATGGTGTTGATCAACGGAGTCAAATACGCCTGCGAGCGCTGTATTCGTGGCCATAGAGTCACCACCTGCACCCACACAGATCAACCTTTGACCATGATCAAGCCCAAGGGCAGACCCGCCACTCAGTGTCAGCACTGCCGTGATCAGAGGAAAATGAAGAACCTACATACCTCTTGCACCTGTGGAAAGAAAGGCAAGCCCGCAGGCTCCCATCTTGCATCTTGCCTTTGCCACAAGAATTCCCACTGTACTTGTTCCTCCACCTCCAAAGCACAAAACAACACTTACCAGAACATCCATCACCTTACTGCATCGGAAAAGGCCAAGAAACAGTCTTTGATATCGGCCGCCAACGCAGAGGTCAAGAAGAGACTGTCGGTGTCAAGCACCGCCAGTAATGGTACAGTGGGAAGCACACCTAACCTTGTGAAATCAGTATCTCCTGCTATGGCACACCCTCCACATACAAATTATGTCATTGATGATGTATTACCTTTTGATTCCGCCAACGGCTTTTACGATCTTGTGAACTCGCCTTCGTTGTCGGAAAAATACGTCAACGGTTCGAACCCCAACTTCAATGAAAATGTTTTCAATTCGTCAAACACTCCTTCCCCAACCACCGGAAGGACAAGGACCTCGTCCTATTTAACGAACAACGATATACCACATGATCCGTATGGAAACAACCATTCGTTCAACTACGCAAGAAGTTTATCTGAAGAAGCAAAGCATACACCTTCACCAAAGAAGAATGTGTCTAATCCTCCGGAAAATAATCAGTTTGATATGAATGATTACGCTTCGTTGGGCAACCCTCAATTATCGCCAACTGAAATTGATTTGGTGGACAATATGTTCCCCTTGTTTCCTTTAGTGGGTCAATTTAGTTTCGATGATGATAGGAACAAGCCATTACTGGCATTGCCCGATCATCATCAGACTTCTTTGGGAAGATCCCAATCACAATCATCACGTGTATCTTCACTGCTAAATCATGTGAGCAATGCTCTTCCAGAGGAGGACGAAGAATCCTTCTCTATTGAGGGTCACCAACCTGTTCCTCTCCCTCCACAGGTGCACTCTCAAATTGCTCATCAACAAGGAACTTCGAGTGGCACAAGCTCAGGTATTATAACACACAATAGTTCTACCGAAAACTTCACTGTGAAACCAAAGCCTCCACATGCAAAGACTCAACAGCCTAAACCACTCAGGCCATCGACCATACCACATAATTCGTCCTCTTCAACTCCTTCCATGAATGGCTCGACTCATTATCAACCAATACGACCAAAAAGACCGGAAAGTGTGTTGTCAATTACATCTAATTCTTCTAACAGGTCATTTGATGTAAATCACAACAGTCACCAATCTTTTGTCAATGGGAATGGAAACCTTCCAAATTCTTCGAATTCATCTGCCTTTCCACCCAGCGCCCCATTTCCTGGTTATGATGCAGCTGGAAATACTAGCTCATCATCAGGTGTCTTGGGTGTTGATGATTCAAGAAATTTCTTGAGTGACGAAGGTAGTGCTCAACATTTCGGTAGGACTGGACTTGGTTCGGTCTTTTCTTCGACAAATCTGGAAACTAATGTTAAGACAGAAAGGGAGGAAAGTGCAGATTTATTGTTTGGTGATAATATCTTGAATAATGATACTTTGAGTACATCATCGTCCTTTCTCAATTTCCCCCACTCAAATGGAATTTCACAGGCCAAACCTCCTAGTGTTTCTGGGGAGAAGGTGAATAGTCAACCAAGACCCAGTCAGCTTGTTTCAAACTCTTCATCGTCTTCTTATCTCCATGATTACATGCATGGAGATAAACCAGTTGCAAACGACTTCAATCCAATACGAAATGGGCAGAACTTTGAAGAAACCGAACTTAACAATGTTAATAATTCGAGCACCAACGTAATTCCTCCAGCACAAATTCCGTTTGAGTACGATTTATCGATGCCAGCAATGCTAGACTTTGGGTCAGCGATGTTTGAAAACAACAAGTCTAACCAAGATTTCCTATGAAGGGTAATGTGAGCTTAAACCATGAATGGAACCGGATTCATCTCTTTATTTATTGGTATTTACTTGTTCGATTACAAATTTTATATTTAAGCTTTGGTTTGTTTATTAGTTAATGGGCACGGGAAACGTTATACTCCACTTATGAGGGTTTTTGTTCTATTTATTATATGTAACACTATCATTCCAAATCTAAGGTTTTTAATCTTCGAATATTAGACTCCATGCCAAGTAGTTGTTTCTCTGTCGATTTCTTTGCAGCATTCAATACCTTTTCCTGGCTTGTTTGCGGAACAATAGGTAGATTCGAGGCCTCTTCGTCCTTCAAATAGAGAGCTAACACCTCATCCTTAATGTTGAGAATGGATTGTTGCTCAATTTGTTGCAATTTGGAAAGCCTTAAAAGATATTCAAGTAACGATAGGGAGGTATTCTTTGCAGCCTTGGACTCTTTCTTGGCTTTATTCCCATCTCGCTCATCCTCATCATCGTTTTCATCTTCATCTTCCTCGTCGTCATCTTCTTCGTCAAACTCGCCAGCATTCAACTCCCCTAAACCGATCCACTCTTCATTGATTCCCTCAACTAATTTAATTATCAACACTGGCGAGTTCCTTCCTTCCAACTTCAATAATTTGCCAGATGCGCTAAAGAACATGCGTTCGATTTTGCTCACGTCATAAATCTTAGAAGTAGCCTCCTCTTCGTGATACCTTCCATCATTCAAGTCTTCGTGGATTTCAAATTTGAAGTCAAAATTATTGTTTTCCAGCTTGGTAATCTTGACCAGAGCCCTGGCATATGTTTCTTTCCAGGTAATACAAGAAAGCTCATCTGCTCCTTCCACACTCTTGAGCCTGCTAGGGTTGTAAAAGATAGTGTACATCACCAAATCGAACGTAGGGCCCACCTCGGAGTTGTTTTCGGAGTTAATTAGGTAATTGCTTGCCTGGAGCAATCTTCCAGGGGATATGCCTTTGCCTAAAGATCCATTCATATTGACACCTGCGGTGATGAGCGATAGGTTAAGAAGAGGCACCAAATCGTTTATCTGATTCTCCAACTTCCTCAACTGATCTTCCACCCTCTTGACCGATTCCTTTGCATTTACACCCGTCAATTGATTAGCTATCCCATCGATTCTCTCTTGAAAATGATCGATGTCTTCGGTCAATTCTTGGATCATGCTGAGCGTCGACTCCAAGGTGGTATTTCCACGAGCGGAAGCCAACCGGATCAAGTCAATTGACACTGATACCACATCAATCTTTGTTTGGAGTCGGTTCCTACCCTTCTGTATCCTCTGCTTCTCCTCTTCGGGGAGTTTATCTAAGAGCCTAGTGATGGTCTTGATGGCATACCCCGAGGCCAACGAGATACCTGACCGTATGGCAAAGGTGACTGCTTGGTTACTTGCTTTTGCTAGTATTTGATCCATCGTGATTGCCTATAATATACTAGCTTATCCTTGGTGTGATCTAGAGTCCAATCACGTGATTTATTAATAAGGGCCACTGGAGTTCAAATTAGATCAAAGTCTCCAATTTGAAGGTGTCGAGGCTCATTCGGGCTATGATTGAGTTCTATACATTCACCCCCCACAACAATAGCCAATAAGGGCCCTTCCTTCCACTAAAAGATTCGAATCATCGTTGGGTGGGCACGTGATCAAACACGTCTGAGGTATGTAAACACAGCACAAACCAAATCATTACCTCTTAGTCAGCATTATCCTTATAGAACGCCCCCAAGTACAGCAACACTCAACCACGTAATCATGGCTGTGAGAAAGCCTTTGAAAGAATTCACCACTCCTCTAGGTTCTGGAGCAGGAGTGCCAAAGGACAAGCGTCCCCCACGCGTCACTGACAGTGATCAGAGACTTGCCAGACCGTTTAAGGTGCCTTTTGCAAGAAGAGGAGATGGATCTGACAGTTTAGGACAGAAAGGCTTGCAGCGTGCAGCTCGCAAGGTTACAAGCTATGCCATGGAAGGAGAAGCAGAGGTGACCATCCCTGATAAAGATGACATCGAAGAAAGAAGAAAGAGAAAGGGAGCATTATTGCCTCGTCTGATCCTAAATGGCGATAATATTGTGCATACGGAACAGAAATTACGGCTGTCTTTCAAGGTCCCCATGAAGAAGGTCGATGAGTTTGGCAGGGCCCCTCCGCCACCTTTGGGAAACAGACAGCGGGCATTTTTGCCACCACGGGCCCTTCACGATCCTATGAGTGAGTTTGCCATCGTCCTATACGACCCTACTGTCGATGTGATCCCCAAGATTGCAGAAGAGAAGGAAGACAATGATACCAAGGAGGAAGAAGAAGACAAAGAGAATGAACCCATAAAGAAAAGGCGTACGCACAGATCACTCGCAGAAATGCTTGGAATAGTCAAAAATCCCGAAGAGGCATTAGCCAAGTTCCCAGATGTTCCTGTCGTTATTGATCCCAAGCTAGCCAAAATCTTACGGCCCCATCAGATTGCTGGTGTTAAATTCTTGTATCGATGTACTTCTGGTCTCCTTGATCCTAGAGCTAAAGGTTGTATCATGGCAGATGAGATGGGTCTTGGAAAGACATTACAGTGTTTGACTCTCATGTGGACGCTTTTGAAACAAAGTCCAAGAGGTAAGAGGACTATTGAAAAATGTATTATTGTCTGCCCGTCGTCATTGGTGAGAAACTGGGCAAATGAAATAGTAAAATGGCTAGGAGAAGGTGTGTTAACACCTTTGGCCGTCGATGGTAAGTCCACCAAGACGGCTGACTTGGGGTTGGCCTTACAGCAGTGGTCTACAGCCCAGGGTAGAAACATTGTCAGACCCGTCTTGATCATTTCCTACGAGACATTGAGGAGAAATGTCGATAAATTGGCAGGTACAGAAGTTGGGCTTATGTTGGCCGATGAAGGTCATCGTTTGAAGAATGGTGACTCATTAACATTTACTGCGTTGAACTCACTCCGGTGTGACAGAAGAGTTATTTTATCAGGTACTCCGATCCAAAATGATTTATCAGAGTATTTTTCCTTATTGAATTTTGCTAATCCTGGATATTTGGGTACAAGAAATGATTTCCGGAAGAATTTCGAGAATATAATCTTAAAGGGTAGAGATTCTTTGGCCACGGACGAAGATAAAAAGAAGGGTGATGAAAAGCTAGCAGATTTATCTCAGTTGGTCTCTAAATTTATTATCAGAAGAACCAACGATATTCTCTCAAAGTATTTGCCTGTCAAGTACGAATACGTTTTATTTACAGGACTTTCTCCAATGCAAAAAGCCATCTACGAGCACTTTATAACGTCACCCGAAATCAAGAAATTATTACGAGGAGTTGGGTCGCAACCATTGAAAGCCATTGGATTGCTTAAGAAGTTATGCAACCACCCCGACTTACTCAACTTGCCTGATGACTTGGAAGGAAGTGAGAAGTTTATTCCTGATGATTACTGCTCATCAATTGGTGGTGGAAGAGGAAAAGAAGTTCAAACATGGTTCAGTGGAAAGTTCATGATATTGGAACGGTTCTTGCATCAAATAAACACAGAGACAAACGATAAAATCGTCCTCATTTCAAATTATACCCAAACCCTTGATCTTATTGAGAAAATGTGTCGCCACAAAAGATATGGAAGCTTGCGCTTGGACGGTACCATGAATATCAACAAGCGTCAAAAGTTGGTTGATAAATTTAACGATCCGGAAGGCAAGGAGTTTATTTTCCTTTTGTCGTCCAAAGCAGGAGGATGTGGTATCAATTTAATTGGAGCCAACCGGTTGATTTTGATCGATCCTGACTGGAATCCTGCCGCTGACCAACAGGCGTTGGCTCGTGTATGGCGTGATGGCCAAAAGAAGGACTGTTTTATTTACCGGTTTATCACCACGGGAACCATCGAGGAGAAGATTTTCCAGAGACAGTCTATGAAGCTTTCGTTGTCCAGTTGTGTTGTGGACGAAAAGGAGGATGTGGAGCGTCTTTTCAGTGCCGATAACCTCCGTCAACTTTTCCAGTACCAGCCCAACACCAACTGCGATACCCACGATACCTTCAATTGTATCCGATGCGATAAGGACGGCCAAAAGGTGAAGTCTCCAGCTATGCTCTACGGGGATTCCACCACCTGGAACCATTTGAACCACGCATCCTTGAAGCACAACGAAGACTCGTTAATTGTTACCGAAGCCAGCCACCAGGACGTGTCATTTGCGTTCCAATACATATCGCATTAATGTGGGGCAACAAAGACTCAGGCCATCTGCGGGATCGAGTTACGGATGTTACCCCAACATCCGGGCTGATTGACATCCCTACGAATACTCCGCAATGCGGATGGAAACCGATCCGATCCGAAACCTGCCAAATACAATTCCCAGGCTACATAACTCCCCCACACGATAGAGGAGACCAAAGGGCCTGGCTCATGTGAAACCCTGGGCAAAGCCCCATTACCCATCAAAATGTCTCTCGATATAGCAATTGAAGGGTGCCTGCATAGTTCCACCGAGACAGCTATCGCGTCCCCCGCAATTTCCAGCCAATGGGCAGGCGGTGGCATAAGCACAAGTATATAAGCACTAATACACTTGGATAAGCCTAGAAGGACAGTCCACAGATTATAAAGCAGTCTCTGAGTCGAATACACCAATCATTGATCCTCAGGAATTTGGCTAAACACTGCGTAGTACTAGAGCAACTCCTACTATTGAATCAACTCCGAAGCGCTCCTGAACGCTAACTTACTCCCCACGCAAACTGGCCAACCACCTACGCAAAAGTGGCGAAATAAGTCCCCAAAAAGCCATTACACCTAACACAGGCTAAATTGCTCCTACTACTACTCAACACCCTCCAAAACGTTTAACAACTCCTTTCCCAAGACTCCTTATCAATCACCAACTACTACCCCATGAGCGTTCCCTCCAACAGCATCATCATCGTGGGTGGCGGCTTGGCAGGCTTGTCTGCTGCCCACCAGGCGTATCTCCGCGGAGCCAACGTGGTTCTTGTGGACAAACAAGGGTTCTTGAGCGGAAACAGTGGCAAGGCCACGTCGGGAATCAACGGGTCGTTGACCCGCACCCAGGTGGACCTTGGCATCAAGGACTCGGTGGACCAGTTCTACAAAGATACCTTGGAAACTGCCAAAGACCGCGCCAACCCCGAGTTGATCCGGGTATTGACCCACCACTCGGCAGACGCCATCCACTGGCTCCAGGAGGTGTTCGAGTTGGACCTCAGCGTGGTGTCGCGGCTAGGGGGGCACTCGCAGCCCAGAACCCACCGCGGCAAGGACTCCAAGTTTCCAGGCATGGCCATCACCTACAAGTTGTTGGAGTCGTTGGAGCGGTTGGCAGAGGTGGAGCCCCTGCGGGTGGCGATCAAGAAGAACTGCCAGGTGCTCGACTTGATCACCGAGGGAGATCGCGTGTTGGGAGTCAAGTACAAGAACTTGAAGGATAAGTCCAAGCACGAGCTCCGTGGACCCGTGATCATGAGCACAGGAGGCTACGCTGCTGACTTCACCAAGAACTCGCTTTTGCGGAAGTACAGGCCAGATATCATCGATTTGCCCTCTACCAACGGGGTGCACGCCACAGGCGATGGCCAGAAGATCATCATGAAGAACAACGGCGTGGGCATCGACATGGACAAGGTCCAGGTGCATCCCACGGGGTTGATCGACTTGGACGACTCCGACACCATCAATGGCAAGCTGAGTCCGCGGTTCCTCTTTCTTGGAGCCGAGGCCTTGCGTGGCGAGGGTGGCATCATGTTCAACGCCAAGGGCCAGCGGTTTGTCAACGAGCTAGGCACACGCGACTACGTCAGTGGCGAGATGGAGAAGCAAATCAAGCAAGGAAATGGCCCCATCAGGTTGGTGTTGAGCGAGGAATGCGAAAAGAGGTTGGCGTTCCACGTTAAGCACTACAAATCGCGCAACTTGATGAAAACCATCACGGGAGCAGAATTGGTCAACGAGCTCGGAACTGACGAAAAGTCGTTGGCGGCCCAGTTGCACACTTACAACCAGGCTGCCAAAGGCGACATCGACGACCCCTACGGAAAGAAATACTTTCCTGCCACTCCGTTTGTGTTCGACAGCCACGCCAACTACCACGTCTCCTACATCACGCGGGTGTTGCACTTTACCATGGGAGGTGTCAAAATCAACGACAAGTCGCAGGTGTTGTACGAGGCCGATGGCAAGTCGCAGCCGTTCCAGGGATTGTACGCAGCAGGCGAGTTGGCTGGCGGGGTCCATGGCCACAATCGGTTGGGAGGATCGTCACTCTTGGCGTGTGTGGTGTACGGTAGGCTTGCAGCCGACCAGGCGTCCAGCTTTAATTTGCAAAAATTGAGCTCGGCCAGCCGCGACGATGTGGCTGCGAATAGATTGAAGATGGTCCATCTCCACATTGACCCCGAGGCTCCAGGAAGAGTGACTATTGAGTGGGGAAATGGAGCAGATGGCTCGCACCCACAGACTGGCTCCAGCTCCGAATCGAGTACTGGTACTGATTCCGGCAAGGGAGCATCCAGCCTGGCCAGTCCACCACCCGAATCTTCGGGTGGTTTCAAGCAATTCGAGATCCCCTCGAAAGAGTTCACTCCTGAGGAGGTTGCCAAGCACAACACGGCCCAGGACTGCTGGGTGATCATCAAGAACGTGGTACTTGACTTGACGCCCTTCCTCAAAGACCACCCCGGAGGTGAGAACTCCATCATCAACTATGCTGGCAAGGACGCTACCGAGAGCTTCGAAATGTTACACGAGGATAACTTTATCCAAAAGTACACCCAGGACTGTGTCCTTGGAAGAGTCAAAGGAAAAACACCCGCTTTAGACCTCTAGCTAAAGTTTATGGAATATATAGTATGTGACTTAGTGTAGCCACCCAACGTGGACCAGGACTCGAATCAGCCAGGCTCGACAATGCGATTCAGCCAGACTCGGCAGTTTGATTGTAGTCTGGGTTACACAATTCAGCAGCCAGGTTCATGGTTCAGAGCCAGCGTGGATGCCAGCACGGCTAGTTTTCGCTCAACGAGTTTTCGTACTCCTCGGCACTCAACAATTCCTCGGACGACTCGATTGCTGCTGGGTCGGACAACTTGATCTGGGCAATCCACCCGTTTCCGATAGGATCGGTGTTGATGAGTTGAGGCTCACTCTCCAACACATCGTTGATGGCAACAACCTCTCCAGCAACTGGAGAGTAGATTTCTGAGGCGCTCTTGACCGATTCAACAGAGCCAATGGTGTCGCCAACCTCGACCTTGTCGCCGACTTCTGGCAATTCCACGAAGGTGACATCTCCCAATGCCTCACTGGCGTAGGTGGTGATACCCACGAACGCAGAGTCGTCCTTGAAGATGGCCAACCATTCGTGTTCGGCAGTGTACTTGATGGTGGAAGGACCCTCCTGCAAGTACTTGTAGACATGTGAATCTTTGTTCAACTTGTGGCTGGTGCTGTTGAACACGGCTCTGGATGTGGAGAAAAGACGGGCCGAAGGTCTGGCCACAAGTGGCGAGGTTCTTAATAAAGTTCTGAACATGATGTGATGGAAAGACAGTCTATGGAGAAGGGTGGAGCTGGCGTGAGTTTGGCTGCTTTTGTAGTGCACGAAAATTTATGCTGGTGTGACTCTGGTTGACTCGGGGGACCGCGCGCGAGTCAGGGAGCGCTTGCGGGCCCCGGCAGAGTGAGGGTAGCTGGGGCGAGCAGCAGGAGTGTTTCTAGCGGGAGGGAAGGCTGGCCGGGCTCGGCAGGGAGAGAACGGTGGTGGTAGCGAGAAGTGGTAGCGAGAAGCGGCAGCGAAAAGTGGAGAGGCCTCCCTAGCCGCGGTGGAATCTACTGTGTAGGCACCCTGGAGACAAGAGACTCAAGGAGGCCTTGGAAGTGCCAGTACATCAGTAGGCTTTGGTAGGCATCAATGCCCTCCAGTACGCCCTGGTGGTTCTAGTGGCTATTTCCGTCTGCCCAGGCCCCACAGAGACTACACCATACACCTTTCTCCAGCAGCTGCGTGCGCACCCTCCACATGTCCTATTCCCAATCAGGAAATTTCGAAATGCTACAGGATGCCGGTGCTGGCAGCACCAGAAAGTAAATAACACACTTCATTGACAAGTATAGACTTGGTTGCAAGATATAAATATTAGAATAGAGCGCCTTGTGGAGCCAAATCTGGATCCGCCGGACGCATTCACCACGCCATCAACGGGTAAACTGTAGAAGGAGAACAATTGGGCGTCCTAAAGGACAGGTGTCGTAAATTGAGAGGTTGGGCCATGATTCATCGCGGGTCGGGGTGGAATGAAGAAACGGAACGCAATTGGAACCGACGTCTACTTGAAGTGGACGGCGATTGGGACGATGATCACGATCAACACAATGATGACCCCGAAAATCAAGCACAATCTCATCTTGAAGTCCTTCCACCACATATCTTTTCTGACCCTGTTGGCGCCTCTTCTGAACCCCTGGGCGCTGATGGCCAAGTTGTCGGTCTTGTTTTCTATGGAGTCCAAACGCTCTCCACGTTCGGCAACCTTGTTGATGTTGTCACGCATGATGCCGACAGTGTCATCGATTTGCTAGACGTTAGTAGGGGTCCACGGACTGGTGGCAGCTGGTACGCTGATGAACATTAGAATAAGTTCGCCGCTGGTGGTGGGTGTTGTAGCGCTGCTAGATGCTTGTACTTACGGCCTGGATGGCGGCGGTCCTGGAGTTGGACTGGTCGCCTGTCGTCTGGTTTGGAATGTATGGGTCGTATGGAACGGAGGATGACATGATGGCTGGTAGGAACTGGGATGTGCTGACAATGTAGATCGAAATGATTTTTTGTCTGAGGGAGGTGCACGAGAAAAGAGGGTGGAGGAGGTTCAGTGCGAGGCGACGCTGGGACGACTGGGAGAGCTCTCGCTGTAAGTACAGGGCCAGTGGACGAGGGAGCGTGATGCCAACCGGGCCAGGGGGCTGGGGTTGTTGCTAAGAAGACCTGGCTAGGTCCGCGGCATCCGAGCATGCCTGATCCACCGTCAGTTCATCACAGAGCCGGCTTGGGGGGTGGCATGCCTTCTAGCTACTATGAAATGTCCAGTACCACCATCACCACCACCACCACCACGACGCTCGGTGCCCACTACCGCCACCTGCACCTCCTCGGTGGCCAGTGACACCACCTGCGTCTCGGCAGCGGGCTCCCCTCGGGCCACGTCCCGATCTCAGATCTGCCAGTGCCTACTAGGGCAGTGCGCGTCAGCGAAATCCGACAAATAGGAGCGGATGGTTCCAGCAATAGTTGCCATAGCCTCCTTGATTGCGGAGAAGATTTACGACACCACGCTGGTGGCGGTGGTGGTGGTGGTGCCACCACCTGCTCTGTAGTACGAATCTGTCTAGTATAGATCTGTGTACTGATGATTGGCCCGTAGTGCCACCAGCAACGGAGCCTACATCGTGGAGTGCCGGCTGGCCACCTTACCCCCGGCCCTCCTGCGTCCCTGCCTGGTGTGACATCAGCGATTCAGGGATCCACGGTCACTGCCCTCGTGACCGTATAGCCCACCTGGGACAATTCCGAGGCCAGGCCCAGACGCGTCGCCACCGGCCAGTCCCCAACATAACTTCCCCAAAAAAAGACCATAGCCACTCCTACCAACATCTAGTCCCTACAGGTCAGTAGCACCACCGTCCACCACCCTCCTACCTACCGCTACCTCTGTGTTGTGCTCTCCTCCACCTCGTCTAACCCTCGTATTGTCTGGTCGAAAATTTTTCTTTTTTCCCCTGTTCACGCACTCGCACCCGTCGTGGTTTAGGAGTTCGCACCGACGTCCATTTAAAACCAACAGCACTTTTGAATTCGTTGTTCTTTCTTTCTCTTTTCTTTCTTCAGTATAACTTTATACATTAATCAAATAGACATTCAATATGGACGGTGGTATGTATCCCAGAACACCCACAGGAGCTGGCTGTTGATTGATTGACGTGATAGCCGCGGCGGCTGCCGCGATCCGCCCATTGCCCGCTGGCAACCTTGATCCGACGAGCCTGAGTCCGGAATCATCCCACCAGTGGCGAATCCTTCCCTACTGGCCAATCGATCAAGCCTCTGGCGTCATGACCCGGGGCACGATGAATTGCACGCCCAACGTGTGCTTGACGTCGGCTTTTTCAGATTTTTCATTGCCACTGGCGTGCCGTTTCGTCGACGTTCGACGACGCAAACTCGGAGTGGCGCCCGTCGTTGCGCCTGCTCAATCAATCGAAGCATCCTTCAAGATCTCACACCAGCTCCCTCCAATTCCGGCTTTTGCCTTATTGCCGACAACAAGGAGCCTTATCATTTGTTGTTGGATCGAAAGTGGTTGTGTGCCGCACGACCACCCGCAAGCCAGCCTCGATTACGCCTGAAACCATACTAACACATTTACAGAAGAAGTAGCTGCTTTGGTCATTGATAACGGTTCCGGTATGTGTAAGGCCGGTTTCGCCGGTGATGACGCTCCACGTGCCGTTTTCCCATCTATCGTCGGTAGACCAAGACACCACGGTATCATGGTCGGTATGGGCCAAAAGGACTCTTACGTTGGTGACGAAGCTCAATCCAAGAGAGGTGTCTTGAGTTTGAGATACCCAATTGAACACGGTATCGTTACCAACTGGGACGATATGGAAAAGATCTGGCACCACACTTTCTACAACGAATTGAGAGTTGCCCCAGAAGAGCACCCAGTTTTGTTGACTGAAGCTCCAATGAACCCTAAGTCTAACAGAGAAAAGATGACTCAAATCATGTTTGAAACTTTCAACGTTCCAGCCTTCTACGTCTCTATCCAAGCCGTTCTTTCCTTATACTCTTCCGGTAGAACCACCGGTATTGTTTTGGACTCCGGTGATGGTGTTACCCACGTTGTTCCAATCTACGCTGGTTTCTCCTTGCCTCACGGTATCTTGAGAATTGACTTGGCCGGTAGAGACTTGACCGACTACTTGATGAAGATCTTGTCTGAACGTGGTTACGCTTTCTCTACTACTGCTGAAAGAGAAATTGTCAGAGACATCAAGGAGAAGTTGTGTTACGTTGCCTTGGACTTCGAACAAGAAATGCAAACCTCTTCTCAATCTTCTGCTATTGAAAAGTCTTACGAATTGCCAGATGGTCAAGTCATCACTATTGGTAACGAAAGATTCAGAACTGCTGAAGCTCTTTTCCGTCCATCTGACTTGGGTTTGGAAGCTGCTGGTATTGACCAAACTACTTACAACTCTATCATGAAGTGTGACGTCGATGTCCGTAAGGAATTGTACGGTAACATTGTTATGTCCGGTGGTACCACCATGTTCCCAGGTATTGCTGAACGTATGCAAAAGGAAATCACCGCTTTGGCTCCATCTTCTATGAAGGTCAAGATCATTGCCCCACCAGAAAGAAAGTACTCTGTCTGGATTGGTGGTTCCATTTTGGCTTCCTTATCCACTTTCCAACAATTGTGGATCTCAAAACAAGAATACGACGAATCTGGACCATCTATCGTTCACCACAAGTGTTTCTAAACACGGTCATCCAATCCTCCCTACAATTCTTCACCATCTCTATTTTCTTTCTACCTATTTATATCTAATTATATAAAGATCTACTAGTTCAGTATCCTTGTTTTACCTTGTTTTATGTGTTCTTGTTGTTTAACCTAAAAAGGATATCCAGAAGAATAAAAAAGAAAAGATTTAATAAATGATAAGTTGTCCAAAGAACTTGAAAGAAAGTTGTTTTGTGAGGTGAAAGAATAGTTTGGTGCTTGAATATCTTGATGGTAGCTGAAATATTACGTATGAAAAATTCTTGGTCATATAGTGAATGTATAAGTATATGTTCGATTCTGTAGAATTAAATAGCAAGTAACGCAGGTGTGATAATATGCTCGATTCAGAGAAATAGCAACTTGCACAGTTGTGAATAGGATCCCCGATCGATGCTGTAGAATCAACTAGAAGATTGTAACAGTTGCAATTAGGATCATGTTGATTCTGGTGTCTGTATAAGTCACACACTTGTTGTGATTAGGATCATGTTGATTCTTGTGTTCATTGTGCTTCTCAGCACTGTACTTGGTGACTCTGTCTCATGCTGAGATTTTTGTTTGGTTCGCTTCTTCATCGCTGTCTTCCATTTCTTCGTCTTCCTCGTCTTCGCTATGAAGAATCTGGGGACTCTTGTCTGTAGTTGCTTCTTCAGACGCGTCACGTCTTTGTTTCAACTGGTTCATTCCGTCATAAAAATGGGACCACAAGCGGCCCACATCATCGAATTCTTTTCCCACTTGGATTGACTCGTTCAACGACCTGTTTAAGATGTCCAAGTTGTAGACCACGGAGTCCATGGAATTGGATATTTCTTGGATGAGCAAATCGCGTTGCTTTTCGAAATAGGCCGAGCCGCCGCTGGAGGATGAGGACGAGGGCGGCACGCCGCCTGTCGAGGACGACGGCACTGGCGTCGCTTTTGATGGGGTCGAGGACATTGGCTTCCGCTGGCTGGTGTTAGGGCATTGTGTTGTGGTTAAGATGGTGAACGTGAGGGATGTGTCACGTGAACACGCATCACCTGAAGCATGTTGACTCCCTTCTTCCTCAGCGTGTGATCCCACACGGCGGTGCCAATTGGGCCAGCCTTGCCTCCATGTGCTTTTCCGCCCAGCAGTCTATGCCAATAAGCCATCCTCATCCATTTCCACAACCTTCTCGCAATTGTCCTTTTCCGTCATGGTGCAAGGCCCTATGCTCATAGCGCGCCGGTAAGGGTGCGCCAGCACAGGGTAGAGCTCCATAACCAACAGGCTCCTGAATCCCAAATTGCTCAATACAGCCCAAGAGGTCCATCAAGGATGCCATCTTTCAATTGAGCCGTTTCCGCCAGCTCTGTGTAATCGTAGAGGCCGGTTCTGGTCTAATATTTTTGCAGCCTCCCACTACCCCCTAACAAGTTAACAACAACATCCTGGCCTCATTGGGGCCCCTGACTGGCCCTTGCTCTCCGAAGAAACCAAAGAACATCAGGGGTGGTGCTAGAACCTCCATGGAGGCTCCAGAAGCTAGTCGTTCGTGGCGATTCTATACGTTTCCATTCCCTTCCACAACCTTCTACTGGTTCGATACCCTTCCACGGTCACCCCATTAAGGGGTGCGGGGATCGCAACCGTTTAGCAACTAATGGGCGCAAACGCCAACTATAAATTGCAGCCAGGGGAAGCAAGATCTCACTTCCTATTCAACAAACTCGTTTAGTAACCATCACATCACAACTGAATAACTACAAAATGAGTAAAGCCGTCGGAATTGATTTAGGAACAACCTACTCCTGTGTGGCCCACTTCACCAATGACAGAGTGGAAATTATCGCCAACGATCAGGGTAACCGGACTACACCCTCATATGTGGCCTTCACGGACACTGAGCGGTTGATCGGTGATGCTGCCAAGAATCAGGCTGCAATGAACCCTTCAAACACTGTTTTTGACGCCAAGCGTTTGATTGGACGTAAGTTCAACGACCAGGAAGTCCAGAATGACATCAAACACTTCCCTTTCAAGCTCATTGACAAGGGTGGTAAGCCCAATATCCAGGTGGAATTCAAGGGTGAGACCAAGGTTTTCACTCCAGAAGAGATCTCCTCCATGGTGTTGACAAAGATGAAGGAAACCGCCGAAGGTTTCTTGGGAGGTGCGGTTACTGATGCTGTGGTCACTGTACCAGCATACTTCAACGACTCTCAAAGACAAGCTACCAAGGATGCAGGATTGATTGCAGGATTGAATGTCTTGAGAATCATCAACGAACCTACCGCTGCTGCTATTGCTTATGGTTTGGACAAGAAGGGTACCAGTGAACACAACGTCTTGATTTTCGACTTGGGTGGTGGTACTTTTGATGTTTCGCTTTTAGCCATAGATGATGGTATCTTTGAAGTGAAGGCTACCGCTGGTGACACCCACTTGGGTGGTGAAGATTTTGACCACAGATTGGTCAACCATTTCATCACTGAGTTTAAGAGAAAGAACAAGAAGGACTTGTCCTCTAACCAAAGGGCATTGAGAAGATTAAGAACTGCCTGTGAGCGTGCAAAGAGATCCTTATCTTCGTCTGCCCAAACCTCGATTGAAATCGACTCTTTGTATGAAGGTATTGATTTCTATACCTCAATTACTAGAGCCAGATTCGAAGAGTTGTGTGCTGACTTGTTCAGAACCACCATTGACCCTGTTGAAAAGGTGTTGAAGGATGCCAAGATTGACAAGTCCCAAGTTGACGAAATCGTTCTCGTTGGTGGTTCCACAAGAATCCCAAAGATTCAAAAGTTAGTTTCTGACTTCTTCAACGGTAAGGAACCTAACAAGTCTATCAACCCCGATGAGGCGGTCGCTTATGGTGCTGCTGTTCAAGCTGCCATTTTGACCGGTGACACATCTTCTAAGACTCAAGACTTGTTGTTGTTGGATGTCGCCCCATTATCGATGGGTATTGAAACTGCTGGTGGTGTTATGACCAAGTTGATTCCAAGAAATGCTACCATCCCAACAAAGAAGTCTGAAACCTTCTCTACTTACGCTGATAACCAACCAGGTGTTCTCATTCAAGTATATGAAGGTGAAAGAGCTCAAACCAAGGACAACAACCTTTTGGGTAAGTTCGATTTGACGGGAATTCCACCTGCTCCAAGAGGGGTCCCTCAAATTGAGGTCACTTTCGACGTTGATGCCAACGGTATCTTGAATGTTTCAGCCTTAGAAAAGGGTACTGGTAAGACTCAAAAGATCACCATTACGAACGACAAGGGTAGACTTTCTAAGGAAGATATCGAAAGAATGGTGAGTGAAGCCGAAAAGTACAAGGAAGAGGATGAAAAGGAGGCTGCAAGAATCCAAGCTAAGAACACCTTGGAATCTTATGCTTACTCATTGAGAAACTCTATCACTGATGGTGAAATTAAGGATAAGATCGGTGAAGATGATAGAGCCAAGTTAGACAAGGCTATTAGCGAAACTATTGAATGGTTGGATGGTTCTCAAGCAGCTACTACTGAAGAATACTCTGACAAGCAAAAGGAACTTGAGGGTATTGCTAATCCAATCATTTCTTCTGCTTACTCTGCAGCGGGTGGTGCTCCTCCAGGTGGTGCTCCCCCAGGCGGCGCTCCAGGCGGATTCCCAGGTGCAGGTGCCCCAGGTGGTGCTGCTCCAGGCAGTGAAGGTCCAACTGTGGAAGAAGTTGATTAAGCTTACGATGTTTTTCATGTGAATAATTTATATTTGGGTTTTTAGGTTTTGTATTAAAGGAATATATCTTTATGATTAAGTCAACAATTCATTTGACAATGAAAATGTAGTAGCTAGTATCCACATTAGAATTAGTATTAACCCGATTCGTCTATCGAATTTCCAGTCATTAAATGGTACTAAAGCCAATATTAAACTGATATTGACGATCAAGGCAATAGTTGTCGATCTAATGGTCTGGGTATTTTCAATTCTGAATCCTCTGCTATCTAAGTCCCTGTCCATTAATATTAATCCACTGAGTCCCATTGAACATAATGCCAAAAGTGGTCCACCAAAGCATGCACCAAATGCCATGATCGGCATACCCATCCTAGCAATTGTGAAATTTGAAATCAAGTCTCCTACTGAATTTCCTATTGCAAAAACAGTCACCCCTAAGATATCATCATTCAAATTATAAATGACAGCAACAGTTTTTAAAATGCTGATAATCTCTGTGGCAAACAAGGAAACCCATGACAAGGAAATGACAAATCCAAAAAATGCAGCCGAATAGTTGATAACCTTTAGCTTCTTGATAGCGGCTAAGTCAACAACACTTGAGTTGGTTATTGAGCCATCAGAAAGAACTCTGGCATGATAACTCTTTTGAACCACATAAAACATCACATATGCAAACAAAATACTGAATAAAGAAAAAATGAATCCGTGAAAAGGTGAAATAATAAGCAAAAAAATAGACCCACAAATGGCTTGGGTAGAGAGGAGTGAACGATCTAACTCAAAGTTAAAATCGTCATCTTCATCCGAATCTTCATTGGACGAAGAACTAAATGGTATTGCAGAATTGTTATTTAGATTTTCTCTGTCCTTCAAAGCCTTCAAAGTTGCCTGATCTCTCACTGGATTGGAGATTCTTAAGAAAACTGAAATTGGGAGCAACAAAATAGTGCTGACTTTTGTGTTTATGTCTTGATCTGGGAAGTCCAACAATTGGGGAGCTAGTAACTTAGTCAATGACGAGTCTTCATTTCTCAACAAATAAACTAACCTCATACTTAAAGGCACGTTATTGAATTCAAAGCTTTGTGAAGGCTGGTCGGTTGCCTCCTCGTAAGAATCGCCCTGCGTTTCTGAATTTCTATATGGCATGGATGTATCTGGAAGTGTTTGAATTTCTCTATCGTTACTGCTGCTTGAATTGCTTGAAAACGTGATAGGAGCAGTAAACGGACGATCCAAGTCTAGCTTGATTCTGCTGTGTACATGAGAATGTTTGGTCAATTCTTTGAGAAGGACCTTAAGTCCAAAGGAACCGGGGATATCAGACTCCACGTCCTTATCTCCATTGTCTGGGGTCTCGTCTTCATCATTTTCATTGAAGTTCAATGACTCAATGCCTGGTAAATTGGAAAAGGTATCAAGAAAAATGTCGTCATCTTGATGATCTTCATCGGGCTGATCATTGAGTAGAAAGTTGGCTCTCGTGCGCTGATCTTTCAATTTCTTCTTTAGTTTAGCTTTCAGCATAGAATGAGTGGACAATGCCACTACCACATACAACAGGTACGTTGCAAGCAAAATTATGCAATTGGACAAACTGAGATAGGAATCCAACAAGACGAAATATATGAGAGTTGCAACCACCAAAAAGAAACCAGCATCTCTTAAAAATAGCTTTTTTGAAACCTTGAAGGGATGGATAATTGCCATCGATCCCAAAACCACGGTGGTGATAAAAAATGCTGCTCCCAATGACTCTGAAAGTGCCAAGTCGCTGGAGCCCACACTCATGGCCTTGTATGTGCTTAACACGTCAGGCGAGCTGTTACCTAGCGCCAACAACGTGAGGCCCGCAAGGTTATCTGATAAGTTAAGGAATTTGGAAATGGTGTATAAGTTTGGACACAAGTAATCGGATGCCGTAAGCCCTAAGGAAGCGAAACATGAGACTAAAAGCACAACCAAGAAGCCCATTGACATTGTTCCAAAGCCTGAGCAGTAGTACATCGATAGGTAGTTGATTCTACCGATCTGGTACTCGTCGTCATTGCAGTTGGCCCTCACAAAGGCACATTGTTGGTCCAATGGGACCTTGTAGACTTGCCCACAAGACAACCCGTTTTCGATGGGGCTATCTGTCAGATTCCGTCGAAACACGCTGCCACCATTCCATGTGCCTGTGGTCGGCGAGGAGCTTGCGGCCGTGGCTGCTATCAATAGGACTATTGTCGACCTAGATAGCTTCATCAACCGTAGATAAGATCATACCCAGAACTTTGTCGCTAGATGGTGGAGATAGTGCGACATAGATCTTAGTCCAGCAGTTAGACATGCAGGAGAACCATCACAGTGGGGTCCCAAGTTGCACATAGTTGTGGTAGGCACTGGCTGGCACTGGCTCAGCGTGACCCGAGTCACCCTTACCTGTCCTATTTAGCTGGTTGGCAAAAGCAGGAATCTGGAGTTGTTTGAGCAGGTCACTTTATCTTGTTGGCCAATTCACCAAGTTTACTATTGACACATTGGCTCTTAGACCTTCTACCTTGCTATCTTCATGGTGCCATGCAAGAAACTGAGGGCTGGTCATTGAGGTAGTATAGTCGGGTTCGATAATTAGAGATATCCCTAGTCATATTCATGACATACTGGGCACAATTAGGTCCACTGTCTACACGGAACCCGATTCTACAGATGAAATGTTTAGCTGATCATTGCACCACTTCCCATACGGGCACACGAAGGTAATCCCTTAATAACAACAAGGTTAAACATGAAATGCTGCACCCAAGATCAATTAATTTGTTCTCCAGTCCATCCCTAAAAGCGTAACAATATCCCGTTGGTCATGGGTCAGAACGCCGTAATGGGTTCAACCTCAAAGGAATGCTTTGGCGTCACGAATGGCTGTGATTTTTGCGTTAAGGTTCGAAAAAACTGGCGGGCATCGCGCCTTTATATAGTTTACAAATTCCGGGTAACCCCGAAAAACTGGGTTGCCTATACCTAGCAGCTACGCATAGTTAAGAATCATTCTATTAAGAGAACTCTATGGGCTGTAGTCATTGCCGTTCCACTCGAAGTTAGTCAACTTCTTTTGTGATATGTGTTCTCCATTGAGTGCACCCATCGAGGTGGTTTGCTTCTTAGAGTTGTTCTCCATAGCTGCAACTACTTTGCTGAATACCTTTTCGTAGACATCATTAGCCCATAACACATCCATATGTTCGTACCCCGAACAGGCTACCACTTCCAATTTTGATTTCATTCTATCGTTATGCTCCAAAATGAGCTTTTTTGTTTCCTCAATATCCACCAATATATCCGAATCTCCGTAAAAGAGTAACATAGGGACATTAAGGTGGTGTGCAATTGGGAATGGTGCAGCATTGTGCACCGTGTATTGTGGAGATTTGCACATAGTGGACAAACTAGTTAATCCAATCCCACATGTTTCATCGAACATTTGGAACCGTTTTGCAGTAATGATTTGAAACCAGTGTACCACAGTTTTGACAGAAGTAATGGAAAACATGTGGGGGTACCCGATTTTCATCTGGTCCTTTGAAATGTTTTGCGACTTCCAGTTAAAGAGTAGAATTAATGATGCATTAATTACCCTCTCATAAAGATTGGGTCCCATAAGATACGCCCAGAATGATACCGAGGGCAATATTGCTCTGTAGCCAAAAATGCTATGCAAGAAGGTGTTATCGTTAGCCGAATAATCACATATAGTTTTGAATACGGTATGGTTGAGATTCTTGGGTATCACTGCAGGAGATAAGCCCACAAAGTAATTAATCTGGTTATTCAAGGTAGGCTTCAAACTCAAACTGGCAAATAACTGGGAACACCCCTGAGAAAATCCAAGGTAAGTGACTTTGTCCTCATGAGTATAGAAGCTTAAAATGTACAGGATCGTATCGGGGATATCGTAGTATGCAAATTCATCTAATGAAAAGTCCCAAAACTCGGGGTCAGACACCGACAACTTTAAATGTTTTCTGGAATACTTATTCCCACGGTTATTTCCCAACCAAACCTCCCATCCCAAGTCTGCCAACAAGTATGGGAGATTTTTGTTCTTCTCTGATCCCAAAACGAATAGTTCTGAGTTAGTGCACAAGCCGTGGTGGAAGTAGGCAATCTTACCGTGTCCGTTGTATACTGAGTCTCGCTTTTCGAGCTTGTGGACCACTAGTAAGTAGCTATCTTTTGTTGTAACCACATGCTCTCTTATCAAGTAGTCGGATACTTTGGCTATTTGTGTTATATCTCCGGCCCTGATTATGGACTCTATCGTGTCCTCTGACTTGACATCTTTCGGCTCACTCGTTCTACCTGTGATGGCGTTGAATATGTGTATCAAGTAGTTGAGTTGAAGCTGGATCACTATGGCCACCAAATTGAAGAGCGTTCTTAGTATGGATACGCGTTTCTGGTATACCATTCTGCAATAGTGTCGATATACTTGTGCTTGTGCTAATGACGTATGGGCGAATGCTCTGTATCCAGTTATCTTTTAGTACCTTCCGGGAGCTACTTTCTTCTAACACTGTGTGGACTTGGTTGAATGTTTTGACGTGTATATATATCAGGTACGATGCTTTTTCGATTTCATGTGCTATTTTGTCTGCGAGAATTCCTATATACAAAGAGAAGAACTATACTTGGTTGATTTTACTAGATTCTACTGTGAAAAAGGGAGATGACCAGATCAATGCATGTTTTGGCCACCAGACTGTGGCATGATCTAAAAGGGAAATTCTGAGCTCAACTCGGCCAAGTCACCCGGTTTTTACCAAATTCCAAACCACTTCTTTTTCTTGTCAACCTGAGGGACATAATCTCCGTCTCTGATGAGCTCTGCGGCGAACTGCTTGTGCATATCATATTCTCTCAACAAGTTCTCCTCTTGCTCTTGTTGCAATCTCTGGGCCTCCAAAACGTGTCTCTCCGAAGGTCTGTTTAAAGCAAACTCATTTTCGGTGGTCTTTCTGATATCTTCGGGAATATAATCAGTATCCCTGACATTTTTTATCACCACGTTAGAACCCTTGGGGTGGTATAAGTCGTCGTAATCTTGGTCAGTCAAGCCCACTAGTCTTTCCTTTATTCTCAATCTGAATCTGTAGAAATCCGACATCACGTTCTCTCTGCCGTCATTCCAACGGTGGAAGAATGCAAAATATACCACAATCGATCCTCCCAAAAACGAGCCAAACCATCTTGATCCAGTGTTCAATCGTTGATTGGTGTCGACTCTTCTCAACACTTTATATTGTCCAGGGTACAATTCCGAGGCTGGACGAGGGGTGTAATTCAATCTTTTCATCGTCTCGTTGACCTTTTTGTATTGGGTTGGGTTCTTTGGTATGGACGAGAACCCTTCAGGTTGATTTCCTGGAATCTTGAATTCGGATGGATATCCTTCGGGAGGTCTTACGTCTGTGGGGTCATATGGGTTGTAGGGAGCTTTTGGCGGAACCCAACCTTTGGGATTGGGTCTTCTTTCGAATTCGGATTCTTTATCTGACATTCTATGTATAGTTACACCGTGGGGTACTTCTATAGATATGGTTCAGTTCACTCATCGATGCCTGCACCCAGTATTTTTGTAACCTGTAGTTGTGTCGCAGCACCTTACAGGTTTTGTGCCCACATATCAAACACTACACGTCTTCATCATAGCTGATAATGACGTTCCTATCAGAATTCCTTTCCTTCTTCTCGTTGGAGGCATTGGACACGCGGTTGTTGCCCAATGAGCAGAAGAAGCAAGCTGTCCAAAAGAGATCGAATCCAGTGTCAAAATGGCACACCTTGGAATTCAAGTTTTACATGTTGGTGTTTGCTATCACGGTGCCATTGATGTACAAAACAGCCATGGATGCTTCCAATGAGACAAACCCTAACTACCCCCGTTTCCAGCATCTCCTCAGCGATGGCTGGTTGTTTGGTAGGAAGGTTGATAACTCAGATCAACAATATGCATTCTTCAGAAACAACTTTGGCGTGTTAGCAGCATTCATTGTGATCCACTGGTCGTTGAGACGACTTATAGGTAAGTTCTTTCAGGTGACCAAGAGAACTTACTACGATTTCGGGTTCGGGGTATTTTTCTTATTCGCAATCCATGGTTTCAATACACCCAAATTGCTTATTCATATTGCCATCAACTATTCGATAACCCATTTCATCAAAAACCATCGGGCAGCAATTGCGGTAACCTGGGTATATGGTTTGCTGACCTTGTTTGTCAATGACTGGTACTGGGACTATCCAACGGGGATAAGCATTATTGATCATGGTTTCAAGGGAATCGTGGAGAGATGGGACGTCTTTTATAACTTCACATTACTCAGAATGATGTCATTTAACATGGACTATTTGGAGAGAGCCAAAGAGATCGAGAATGCAAAAGTCTCTCTTGATAAAGATGAAACCAAGTTATCGACCCTTTCATATCTCGATGATAGACAAAGGTTAACCGCTCCTCTACCAATTGTCGATTACAATTGGGTGAACTACTTTGCCTACCTCACATATACCCCACTTTTCATTGCAGGTCCCATTGTGACATTTAATGATTTTATTTACCAGTCCAACTATCAATCGTTGCCATCAGTCAAAGATTACACCAGAACTTTCCGTTACTTCTTAAGATTGGTGTTTTGTGTATTGGTCATGGAATTCTTGCTTCACTTCATGTACGTGGTTGCGGTGTCAAAAACTAAGGCCTGGGAAGGAGATACACCATTCCAAATCTCTATGTTGGGAATGTTCAACTTGAATATCATTTGGCTCAAATTATTGATTCCGTGGAGATTATTCCGGTTCTGGAGTCTTTTGGATGGGATAGATCCACCAGAGAATATGATCAGGTGTATGGATAACAACTATTCGGCACTTGCATTCTGGAGAGCTTGGCACAGATCCTTCAACAGATGGGTTATCAGATACATCTACATCCCAATGGGAGGCGGAGGAAAGTACAGAATCATCAACAGTCTTCTTGTGTTTAGTTTTGTGGCTATTTGGCATGACATCGAGTTGAAACTCTTGATGTGGGGCTGGCTCGTGGTAGTGTTCTTGATTCCCGAAATTTCTGCCACCATCTACTTCAAGAGGTTCGAACACGAGTGGTGGTTCAGGCATTTGTGTGCAGTGGGTGCGGTAGTGAACATTTGGATGATGATGATAGCAAACTTATACGGCTTTTGTCTTGGAAACGATGGCACCCTTGCGCTTCTTCGGGAAATGTTCAATACCGTCAGTGGCATTGAGTTTTTCATATTCTCTTCGGGAGCTCTCTTTGTGGGTGCCCAGGTGATGTTTGAGTTGAGAGAGGCCGAGAAGAGGAAGGGTATCGACGTGAGGTGTTGAGCCCGAGTGTGCCAGTAGAGCTGGCAAGCCACGGTTCTCACCAAGGAAATACATGCATTGCAAGGAACTAAATAACTGTAGCGAATGGGGAAGTACCCACGGTGGAGTACAGACGGAAAAGTGAAGGCTTACAAGTGCAATTCCATATGTGAACGGTATTCTAGTATTAGCCTAATCATTAGTTAACCCGTGGTTCAGGTTTTGCACCATTTAACTCCCGTAAGCGTGAGCACTTCTCGCGCGACATCAAATCGGACCTGGAATACTTCCTCCCTAACCATGGCTCCTCCAGTCCCCGTATACAATCACAACGAGATACGAAGTCGTTTTCGTGAACAGCTAGAAAATCCTGCCAAGTATGAGTGCCAGTTGAAGTCGTTAACTCAGCATGAATGCACATTCCGTACATTTGCAGACAGGTCCAGACCTCCAGAGTTCATATGCCTTCCGTTCAAGCGGATCTTCCAGAGATGCCTAGTGCCCTCGATAGTCAAGGAAAACGGAAAGAAGAAGCATGTCGACAAGTGGGTCAACATAGAAGTCACCAACAGTGACACCAACCGCGATCTCTTTCAGGACAAGAAGTACAAGTCAGTAGTGGCTGAATTCTTGAGTGCGGAAGAAGACTTTCAACGGATGATGAAGGAGGCAGAAACTTTGAGCGAAACAAGGGCAAACGAACAATAGTCGGGGCTCGGAGCTCCTATAGACAACTAGCACGATTAATGACTTTAATATACTATCATTACATGTATTACAGTACGTATTATGTAGATGCAAAACCACTTAGATCGCCCGGACCTCAAGCATCTAGTAGGTTGTTCCTTCGGTAGGTTGTGCCAACTTCTTGTTAGCAGAGGAGGCCATGCTTTTTCTCAATTCCAAAAGCACGGTTTCCATGGTGTATGATCTCTTCCAGTTCTTCAAGGTGTCGAACTTGTCAACCACAACATGACCCTGGGAATCAACGCAAGGTAAGTTAATCTTGGACACAAACTGGACCTTTGGAGGCTTGTCTGGGTAATTCTCATCACATACAATGCTCAATGAGTAGATACGGTTCTCGTGGGTAGAATGAGGTGGTCCCAAGATAGTTCCGTTCCAATTGGTCATGGAGATATCATCTTGATTGGTCAATCCATACGAGATCAGCTCAGCACCCAATCCTTTTTCTCCCTTTTCTAATTCCTCCAATAATTTGAAGTTTCTTGGACTGAAAGTTAGCGATGGGATGGTTCTTATGCTTTCCGTGACACTTACATTTTCGACATCTCTATTTGTAATAGTTGAGTCTAGTGGTCGTGAGGATCCTTTAAGGCGCACCGATCATTGGGGTCACGTGATACGTTTCAAGGACGAGGCTTTACCAACTATTCCATCAAAACTCAATATAGGCGTGTTGAAGTTGGATCCTTGTATTCTGCCAGCAGTTACATGCTTTGGGGTTTTGTGTATATAATAAAAACCTGATAGCAGAATTGTTTTAAATTTATACAGATTATTCAAATTCTAGCAACAAACGAATGATGAAATTGTTGAAGCTGCTTTGACTCAAAAATGCTTTCCCGGATCAAGAGCCACAATCCTCTGGTTATCACGCACTGTTTTGAAGATGCCACAATAGAGAATTCATCGTTTGGATGCTTGCCTTACTGATTGATCACAATCACGAAAGTCACGTGATGACTCAAAACAAACATCGTAACTTGAACTCAAACTGCCACCACTTAGACCACGCAGAATGGATAGCGTACATTCGTCACCATTTGTGGAAAATCCCCGGAGGTCTCTCAGTAGGGACTCGGAAGGTATATTGAATGAAGATTCAGGCATAAATCACCGTCAAATAATATCAAATTTGAAGTTTCAATTGGAATCAGCAAAGATCGAGAAGAAGCTCCTTGAGCAGGACAAAGCGTCAATAGAGAAAAGATACAACGAACAACTTACCAAGAAAGGTGAGGACTACAACAAACTAAAGAAAGATTTTGACTATTTGTATGAGGAGAAGAAATCGGCCGATTCGAAGTTCGATAATCAAGCTCAGATATACTCCACTAAGATAAAGGAACTCAATGATACAATCAAAACATTAAAGCAGGATAGATCTAGCAATTCAAGTGAATATCGAGAACTTGAAGGAAAGTTCAATCGAAATATAAGGAAATTTGAACAGCTAAGATCAGATTTAAATTATCAACTTCAAGCCAATGACGAACTAGTTTCTCGAATGAAAGGAATGCAGAGTACCATTGACAAGCTCCAAACCTCAAATGACGAGTTGATTGATAACTTGAACCAAATTTCTGCTAAATCAAAGGATGTGACGTCTAGAGATAATCATTTAGAAAACTTACAGATAAAGAACTCAAACCTTTTGAAGACTAACTCTCAATTACAACTAAAAATAGACAAGTTACTACAAAACAAAACATCAGTCGAATTATTGAAACAAAAGAATATCTCTTTGATGAATAAGATTGAATATCTCGAAGGGATTGAGGAGAAATGTTGCAAATTAGAAATTGAGAATTTAGAAGTAAAGAATGAGTTTGAAAAATACTTCAAGGTAATTGTTGAAACTATCAAAGATGAAGGAGAAAGTGACGCAAGCTCAAAGATAAGCAAGTTTTTATCTAAATTCAAAGAACTTCAGTATCAATCTGTTGTTCTCAGAAGTGAAAACGAGGAAATCAAGGGAGAATTAGATAATGTGGCACAATTGATTGATTCTCTAAAAGTTGATATAGAGACTAATGAAGGCATCACAATTGAGCTCAAATCAGACATCAACTTGAAGGATGAAAAAATCCAAAAGTTAGAAAAGCAGAAAATGCTAAACGCAAAGGAGATAGAGTTTTTGAGAAACCTGTTAGCACAACTAGACAAGGAGTTTAAGGAAAAAACTGATAACAAGGCAACTGAACAGTATTTGCAAAATTTGGAAAAGCTAGTTGATGAATATAAGGGCGAAATAAACAGTTTGCAAAAGCAAATTGAAGATTCAAGGAAAGAGGTACAATTGCCACCCAATAAGAGAACCAAAACTGATATTGGCAGATCTTCCTTCAAGATGAATGAAGATTTGTTAAGGGAAAATACACAGTTGAAAGTTTCTATCCAAGAATACGAATCCAGGATTAAATCGTTAGACCAAATCAACAGCTCTTTGCAACAACTTAATACCAAAAAACAACAATTACAAGTACTTCAACTTAAGTCAAATCTCTTGAATAAGGATCAGGTGGTTAAGCAAGCTACTCTCGATGCTCTCAAGAAAGAAAATGAAGATATGATCAAACATTACGTCCATAAAAACTTGCCAGAGAATCACATGATACCAAAATCAATATTTGAAAGACAAGAAAATGACAAGGCACTCTTGCAGCAAAAGATTGAACAACTTACCAAGCGGATCCAGCGACTCACAACTGCATACACACAGAAAAGTAAGGATATTTTGAATACTATTTCCAAGTATTTTGGTTATTCATTAGAGTTCATACCAAGTTCAGTAAATCCTAATGATACCTCGTCCAGAATAAAGTTGACTTCAAGATTTGCCAACAAAGAAAGTACCGGTGGGTCTTCCTATGTTGTCATAGATATTGATACCAAATCATTGAAGGCATATGGAAACGCTGAATTCAAGGAATTGTACGTCGAATTACTGAGCACGTACGATAAGAACCAAATCCCCTGTTTCTTGAGTGCGCTAAATTTAAAGCTTTCTGAGAGGTATAGGTCGAAGGCTGAAGGTGTATAATATTATACTACTTTACACTATTGTACAATTATATGACGTATTTAATTGGGAGATGAATTAATTTGACCTTGACGTCTATTAGCTTTTCAATACTTCTGTCTCGGTCAACTGTAGCAAGTCTTTTGAAGTTTTGTCAAAATTATCTATTTTTTTGGCAACTTGACACCATACCCTTCCTTTATTGATGTCTTCGGAACTCTCTTCAAACTTCTTCAACATTTCTTCAAGTTCATTCTTCGTCCCATAACTTTTCAAGAAGCAATAGAGCCAAGTCCAAGAATCACCATTCTGATTATCTCTTGCCAAACTTCTTTCAAACCATGACCTTGCCTTGGAAAATTTACCTTCATACCAGAAAAATTTTCCAATACTTAGTAAAATGAATGAGTCGTTATCAGTTGCTTTCAAAGCATCGAGAAATGCATTCTTCCTTTGGGAAGATTTTGTGATTAAGGATAGATACTGATACCAAATTAATGATGAGCTCGGCAAAATCTTTAGTGCCTTATTGGTTAATTGTCTGGCAGTGATCAAGTCATTATTTCTTCTTTCAAGACATATTTTTGTATTCCATATCTCCTCGCTATCTGGAATAGCCAATAATGCTCTATCCAATGTGGATCTGGCTTTGATAAGAACTTTCAAATACACCTCATCAATATGAGCCATAGATACCCATAGTTCAGGAGAAGGAGGACAAAGCTTGATACCAGTATCTAAAGTCTCTCTTGCCTTGTCAATATCATTATCTTGGAGTAGAATTTGTGATCTTTGAAGATAAAGCTTATAGGAATTCGGAAATAGCTCAAGTGCCTGTTCAGAAAGTTCTAATAGCTTTTGAGATTCGCTTGGTCTGAGAAACCTCAAGAGATGAATGTACTTATACCATATTCTTGCGTTAGACTTTGGGATCTTATTAATTGACTCAAGTGATAATCTCTCCGCGTTATTGTAATTGAATGTCTTTACTTCCAACTTAATGCTTGCCATCCAAAGCTGTTCATTAAAGGGCAAACGCTCTAAACCTTGCTTGAGAGTTGATCTTGCTGATTCAATATCATTCTTGAGTTTCCAATAATCTTTGGAGCACATCAATGTGAGAATTTCCTCCTTAGGATTCAACGCTATTGCTTGCTCATAAAACTCAAATAACTGATTTAAATCATCCGATAATTTTAACGCATCAAATAATTCTATCCAGTTCTCAACATTATTGGGGTACTTTTGGATCAAATATTGATATATGAACTTCGCAGTTGCCACATGAGTGTTTTTGGTTAACAAATGGGCATCCTTGAACCAATACAGAAATTTTTCTGGTAAGTCTATTCTTTCATCGTTGCTTAGTATGTTGGTTACGATAGCCTTGCACGTCTTAAGATACCCTTCTGCTTCTGCTTTTGAGGCTTCATTTATCCAATCAGACCTTAATATTTTATTCTCACCTGCAGAAGTCAACCATTCTTGTACATTGAGGGAGTTTCCGTACATTTCTTTAAATGACTTGTCAACCATTTTTATCAATTTCTGATCTTCAATATTATCACTTTCTCCTTCCTCAAGTTTGCATGCAGTTAACCAAACATTGAAGTTACCTTTCAAAGCTTTTCTTGCCTTATTTAAAATAGACTTGGACTCTGAGTAGTCTGAAAGATTGATAAGCAACAACCAGAACTCCCACTCACCTGGACATAATTCTACTGCTTTTGTTAACAACTTCTTGACATCTTCGTTTTCCGTTTCGAAGTTGATTAACTCTCTCCATAATCGGACACTTGTGGGTATGTTCTCCAACCCTTTCATTAATATTTTTCTTCTCGACATTATATCAGAAGAGTTTTCCAATTCAAATGCTTTCAACCATAGCTTTTCCGACTTGGGATTGAAGTTCAATGACTCAGTTACTATTATCTTTGATATCTTGAGACCATCATTAGTTTTTAAATGAATACGAATATTCTCAAGCCAAATATCCTCATTTCGGGGACATTTTTTACAGCCTTCCACAATTAAGTTTTTGGCTAGTTTGTTATTCTTTGCTTGCTCCTCTAAACGTGCGGATGCGATCCACGAATTTGGTTTATTAGGTTCTGTCTTTCGCAATGAGGAAAGAATCAATCTCCCTTTCTTGATATCTGCAAATTGTTGATCAGTCTGTTCAGGCTCAGTCTCAACTAAGTCTACGGTTTCATGTACAGTGCCAATCAACCCGTCGAGCTGCGTACTCAACACTTTATCTCTGGCTTCAGAGATGGACTGGAAATCAGTAGGCGTATTATTTGCCGAAGAACCTGCTATCACGCTATCGGGAACTGCGTAAAATCTTTGTTGTTGTTGTTCCAATAACCTGGTTCTCTTGTTCCTTCTGGTCAAATCTCCTACTTCAGGCAAATTTTCCCATTGGTCGTCAGTAATTGTAGCAAGTCCTCTTTTCAAATCAGCAAAGTTGCCCTCCACAATTGATGAGTCCTCAAGTGTAACAATCTCATTGTTGCGTTTGTTTTTTGTTTTCAATCTTCTCTCGACTTCATCATATATTCTATCAGCTTCTTCGTCCTCTTTATCTTTCGATGCTCTGGTAAGGAGACCATCCTCTTCGTTAAATTTTCCACCTATCTCTATACCATCGTCCTCATCATCACCCTGGTTGATTAAAAATCCTGGTTGCACCCTTGAGATCGCGGTATTTGCACTTGTTGTAAATCCAACTGCACCACGTCCCACGCCAGGAACGTAGCCAGGCGGAGGCTCTTGGTCTAGAAACGCTCTTTTATCCATTGAATGGGTATATAGATAGAAGTGTGCTTCAGTTTCGAAGTATATCCCACGTGAGAATGGTCACATGACCAAAGGTGCGATGGGTATATTCGTGATGTGAAATTTTTTATTCTAGTCTTTATCATACAATGTCTAAAAGATCGGCCTCTGACGATTTGGCTGGCGAAGGCAGCAACTCTGCCATCAAGACCAGCAAGGATTCCTTGCCAAAAAGCAACGGTGCTCAAGGAGAAAATGACATAGATATGGGAGAGTTCGAAGACCCCTATGGAGATGACTTTGAAAGTGATGGAGAAATCATAGAATTGGACGATAACGAAGACGAAGATATGGATGAAGAGGCTGCTAACAAAAAGATTGAGGAATTGGAAAATGCTGAAGAAGCACAACCGGAACCAACCATCTACTTACCTCATAAATCTAAGCCATTGGGTCCAGATGAAGTGTTGGAAGCTGACCCTAGTGTCTATGAAATGTTGCACAATGTCAATTTGCCATGGCCATGTTTGACCGTTGACGTCTTGCCAGACAAGCTCGGTAACGAAAGAAGAACCTACCCAGCTTCTGTGTATCTTACTACCGCCACTCAAGCATCTCGTAACAAGGACAATGAGTTGATCACCATGAAATTATCTTCTTTAGCGAAGACTTTAGTCAAGGATGATGATGACGAAGACAATGATGAAGATGAAGACGACAACGATGACTCAGATCCAATCATGGACAGTGAATCCATCCCATTGAAGAACACCACAAACAGAATCAGAGTTTCGCCTCACTCCCTCGAGACTGGTGAATATTTGACTGCTACCATGTCTGAAAACGGTGAAGCATACATTTATGATTTGAGCTCTCAAGTCCAAGCATTTGACACTCCAGGTTACATGATCCCAAAAAATGCCAAGAAGCCAATCCACACTATCAGAGCTCACGGCAATGTCGAAGGCTATGGTTTGGACTGGTCTCCATTAATTAACACCGGTGCTTTATTGACAGGTGATTTATCCGGTAGAATCCACTTGACCTCCAGAACAACATCCAACTGGGTCACCGATAAGACTCCATTCTTTGCATCTCAATCTTCCATTGAAGACATTCAATGGTCCACTGGTGAAAACACTGTCTTCGCCACTGCAGGTTGTGATGGCTATGTCCGTATATGGGATACCAGATCTAAGAAGCACAAGCCTGCTATTTCCGTCGTTGCCTCCAAGAGTGATGTCAATGTCATCTCATGGTGCGACAAGATTAATCACTTGTTGGCTTCTGGTCATGATGATGGTTCATGGAGTGTTTGGGATTTGCGTAACTTCAATGGCCAATCTACTCCAACTCCAGTTGCAAACTACGACTTCCATAAATCGCCAGTCACCTCCATTTCTTTTAACCCATTGGACGAATCTATCATTGCTGTTTCTTCCGAGGATAACACTGTTACTTTGTGGGATTTGGCTGTGGAAGCAGATGACGAAGAAATTGCAGCTCAAAGAAAAGAATTACAAGAATTACATGATATTCCTCCTCAATTATTGTTTGTTCACTGGCAAAAGGATGTCAAGGATGTCAGATGGCACAAGCAAATCCCTGGATGCTTGGTATCTACTGGTGGTGAGGGATTGAACATTTGGAAGACTATTTCTGTTTAGTAGTGAGGGGTGCATAGAATGTATATTAGTTTAATTGAACAAGTGAGCTAGTAAGCTAGTGAACGATCTTGAAACAGCCGTAGCAACTGAAGCAGTGTAGTGATGCAGTCTTCTATCGAGGCATTGAACAATGAAGTTATTGATTGCATCTTGAGTTGATTGTGAACTGTGAGTTGCTTGATATACTTCAGTCAATAGCAGAATTCCCATTTGGTGAAGTCGGGACAAGATCTGATTAGTACCTGCTAGATCTCGCCTTTTCGAGCTGGTTGACTTTAATACTCAATTGCCTCAACTTTTCGTTTGAATCCAACCAAAACTTGTTCTCCTGGTTCATTAGATTCACATATTTTTCTAGAACTACCATACTTTTCAAGGTTAAGAGGTATACCTTCTCAGAGATGGCTTTGAGTTCCCCCTTCCGTTGCTGTATATGCACATAAATGTCGTTGAAGTTGTATACTTTGTCTTGACTGGATTCAATGTAGTTGATTAACCGATTGGTGTCTAGGGACGCTAGCTGCATATAATTATTGTATGCTTCTTTGATGGCAGGTTCTTTTAATAGAACCACTCTTTTCTTTATTTCATACTCGACGGAATCTTTTGTTTCTTTCTCCTGTTCTTTAAAGAGGTTGTTTTTCAATCCGTGCTCAACTACTAGCCTGTCTAGCTGAAGTAGCTCTTGATTCTCCTTATAAATCTTCGATAAATGTACCTGTAATGCCAGTATCTGGTGCCGTATCGTATCTTTATTACCGCTTTGTTCAAGGACAACCTCGAGCTTGTCCACTCTATCTATGATTTCCATGATGGCTTCTGATTCTATGGCTCTATGACAAGACAGACGATTGCAGGGTGTAAAGCATTTGCAGTAAGGTAATTGTGACAAAATGGTTGTCAGCTGGTAGTATTGGGGTCGTCCTTCTTCTGATAGTGGCCTTGGATTGAAATGCTGAGGGTGTGTTTACTTCTGCTCCGCGAAGTTGATCTACAAATGGATTTCAAGATGAGACGCAGGTAGCGCTAGCTCATGTATACTCCAGTCAAACACCCATTCTTCTACACCAAAAAGTGACCAACACTCAAAACAGTTCACACCCAATGTCCAAACGCCAGATTGAAAACACCAGTGATAGTGACTCCGACTCCGACGATGTTCTAGGGCCGTCATTACAACCATCAGTCACCAAGGACGCGAAGGGCCCTACCACCAAGAGGAAAAAAAGAACAGTGGTTATCGACGACTACAACTTATTCAACGAGTATTACAACTACTCATACAAGAACGAGTCCAGGATCACCAGTTTGGCAAAGACCCCCGATGATACGCTCATTGTCACCGGATTCCGCAATGGAATGGTGAAATTCTGGCAGAAGGATCAGCAAGATGTCAAAAGTTCGGTGGTGCAGAAGGACAACGAGGACGAAGACGATAGATATGGGCAACTCAAATGTGTCAAGCAATTTCTAGCCCACCCCGACTGCGAAGTGAGGCAGCTCCTTGTAAACCAAGATGGCCTGAAGCTAGTGAGTGTGGGCGAAAATGATGCAACTCTCAAGGTGTTCGACCTTAAGTCATTGGATATGATCCAAGTCTTGAATACTGACTTCATCCCGAACACCAGAACCAGCGAAAGCAACTGCTGGTTTTATACGAACAATGAAGAGAAGTTGTTAGTCAATGATCAAGACTCAAATAAAATGGTGGTTATGACTGAGGAAGAAATCGAAATGATTGACTCGCCACATAAGCACCCGATCCATTGCATGTCCTTTAACTCGAAGTACCAGTGCTTCTTATCTTCAGATATAAGAGGAATTCTAGAGTATTGGTCTCCTTCCACTCGTACTCTACCCGATGGTATCAGCTTCCAGTACAAATCGGAGACTGATTTATTTGAATTGGTAAAGAGCAAATCGAAGCCCTCCTCTATTTGCTTCAGTGAAGACCAACAAATGTTTGCGACTATCTCATACCCTGATAACTTCATCAGATTATTCAATTTCAAAACAGGAAAGTTAATCAAGAAACTAGACGAGTCGCATGTTTCTACTGTAAAGATGAACCCTTCCAGTTTTGATTTTGAAAAATATGCCAATTCAAGGAATATTTTGTTTGATAAAAACGACAAGGTTTTGATTTATCCTTCACTTCAAGGCATTAAAATATTGAACCTACAAACAAATAAATTATTGAAAGTGATAGGAACAATTGACCAAGATTCGTCGTTTTTACAATTCAATCAACTACGTCTATTCAAAAGACTGAATGTTGAAAAGTTTAGTCTGGATATGATCTCGTCTAATAATTCTATTATTCAATCCCAATTGATAAGGAGACCTTTGATCATATCATCTTCCATAAATTCCAACTGTCTATACATTTTTGGCAACAAGAAGAATGTTACGGAAAGAGATTTTGATTTCTCAGTAAAGAACAAATCCAAGAGTAGGAATTCATCACCAAAAACTGAATACTCCAAAGTTGTTCTCCACACCACACTTGGAGATATCAAGATAAGTCTTTTTGAGAAATTGACCCCCAAAACAGTCGAAAACTTTGTAAAGTTGTGTCAAAAAAAGTATTACAATAATGTAATCTTCCACAGAGTAATAGAAAACTTCATGATTCAAACAGGAGACCCATTAGGAGATGGTACTGGTGGTGACTCAATTTGGGGAGGCCACTTCAAGGATGAGTTCAACCACCTTTTGAATCATTCCAAACCGTTCATGGTAAGCATGGCCAATGCGGGGCCCAATACAAATGGTTCCCAATTTTTCATCACTACTGAGCCTGCCCAGTTTTTAGATAACAAGCATACCATATTTGGAGAGGTTATTGAAGGGTTTGACACGGTGAAAAGTATTGAAAAGGTCCAGACCGATGAAAGTGATAAACCGCTTGACCAAGTGGCTATTCTATCAACTTCATTAAGCTGAAAAAAAAAAAAAAACCAGCTTCAAAATTAAGGATAAAGTTAGTCTGAAGGCACTTATACATATTGAATGCCTACTTTTGTAGTATCAAACATTAAATAATTCCCCGAGCCCAACCATTGCTTGAAATACTCATTATAACCTTATAAAGTGCATCTCGTTCATGAATAAATAATTTCCGATACGTTTACTTTTCTATTAACCTATACCGAGAACCATTCTTGATGGACTCATTACGTACTGCAGTACGACAAAGAGTCATTGTAGTTATTTCTGCATTCAATGCAGACTACAGAAAGCCTCTCCGGAGTGTAGGAATACACTCCCTACCAAACATGCACTATTCCTCTTCGCTGCTACTCATATCATCGTCTTGTGATTTCTTTCCTGCCCCAATGAGGTCTCTTAAGCTCATAGGCTTTTGATTTGATGCTGAGTTTGAGTAGGTATCTGAATATGAACCTCGAGAAGGTTGGGTGTCGTTCTCTTCCACATTAATTTTGATACCTGGAAACTGGTAATCGTCAAAATCGCTCTCATCCGAGTCGAATTTGATACCGTTGTCCGCTTGGGGCTTTTCTTCGAAGCTGAGTTGGTCCTCAGATGATTTGGACTCTTCTTCTAAAACTTCCTGTAATTGATCTTCAAGATCTTTAAAGTCGTCATCAATATCCATCGAATCATCCCTATCTGCCCGCTCGATGATAGGTGCAGATTTCACTTTCTTTGAACGCTTTGTTGGGGCTTTAGGCTGGGTTTTTTGCCCAGCCAGTATCTTCGGCCTAGTTTCCTTATCAGGAGTTGGCTTTGAAATCTTTTTCACGGGAGGTTTCTTACTGGCTCGTGGTTTTGGCTCGTCGAATTCAAAGTCATTCAAGTCGTCGAAGTCGCTCTCGCTGATTATTGGCTCGCCTTTCTTTGGTTCGGGTGTGTTATTCGCGGTGGGCGGTCTCTTTGCCGATAGAGACGAACGAGATGAAGGATTATTGGGGGTTGTGGGAGCTGCCAGGGTAGCAGGCGACTTTTCTTTCTTTCGGTTCATGCGTTTTGTCTCTTTCTCCACCACGTCCTTCTCCCACTGATCAAGCTTTGTCTGTAGCTTGGATGCATTTCTGGACTTGCTAAACCTGATGGTACTGTTCAACCGTTTCAACAGGACGGTACTGGCTTGTGCAGGGTTGTAGGTGAGGTAGAAGGCGTCGTTTCCGCGATGTTTCTGGGTCAAGCCCTCAAAAATGATCGGCTTCTCGGGGCCCTCGTTTGAATTGGCTTTCAACAAGCACTCCTGGTCATTCTGGTATAATCGCAACGGCTTGGTCTGGTCCATCAGATCTGGCACGAAGCCGTACCGTATTGCGATGTTCTCCGACTCGTTGATGGGCGCTATGGTGGAGATGTTGAGGAGCTCATTTAGATCTATCTCGTACTCTCCGTCTGCCAAGGACATGGTAGGAGGGGGTTGGTGTTGATGGTAGGCTGGACTGAAGATGGGATCTGCTTGGGTACTCCCTTTTAGTGTTGGGCTATTCTGGTGTTGGGCTATTGCGTAAAGTGGGAGTTATCTGATTGCAGTGGGATCTTTTTTGAGAACCCCATGCAAATGGAAATTCTCACTATGGCACACCATGGGAATATTCACCAAGGATGAGGGAGAAAACGGCAATAAGACGGCAGCTCGAGAGCTGCTGCCGCCAGCACTGCCAGAGGTAGGCCTATTCCATCCACAGGTGCTTCTTTTGACGGCAGGCACCACCACGTCGTTGTTCGTGGGGTACCAGCTCTTTCGTCGGTTTCTGAGAATCCGAACATACCTTGATCTTACCTCCAGCATCATCGAGAAGCAGCGTCCACTATACGGAAGAGTCACCAGGGTAGGAGACGGTGACAACTTCAGGTTCTACCACACGCCTGGTGGAGCGCTACTTGGCTGGGGCTGGTTACGAGAAGTGCCCACTGGCAGAAAGCTCAAGGACGAGACGTTGATGATAAGACTCTGTGGCGTGGATGCCCCTGAGCGAGCCCACTGGGGCAATCCAGCACAGCCCCACTCGGAAGAGTCGTTGCAGTGGCTCCGCCAGTACGTGATGGGCCGCAACGTCACCATCACACCGTACCTGATCGACCAGTACAAGCGGGTGGTGGCTCGGGCACAGGTGTGGAAATGGACGGGAAGGAAGGACGTGAGTGCCGAGATGTTGAGAGGTGGCTACGGCATGGTGTATGAGGGTATGATAGGAGCTGAGTTTGGTGACAACGAGTCGTGGTACCGTCGACTCGAGGCCAAAGCCAAAAAATCGAAAAAGGGAATATGGGGCTTAAGCAACCTAGTGACTCCAGGCGAGTATAAGAAAGAGCATCGAGCATAGATTGTATAGACATTGAGCAATCGCCAAATGGTGGTGTTAGGGTCCGTTACAATACCGCATAAACAAAATAAGAATATTGAGCAATCAGCCTGATGGTTGTGCTAGCACTGTAGGGTCTGTCGCTACAATTCCGCATAATCGAAATAAGAACATTGATCTACACGTACCTATATAGAAGATAGAAGAATCACTTCACCAACTCGCCGACGAGTCTGGACAATTCTTCCACGTTCTCCTTGGTGTCGGCTTCCGCATACACTCTGACGGCGTCCTCGGTTCCCGAAGCCCTAACGAAGGAACGACCACTAGCATACTTGGCCACCAACGCGTCGATCTGGTCCTGAACACCAGCTGGCTCGACCAACGTTCTCTCGGCATTAGTGGTCTTGAACGCAGATCTATCGGCAACAATCACCTTGGTCAACTTGTTTGGCAAATCCTGGTAAGACTTATCCCAATCTTCTGGCGACAAGTCCAAATAGTGCAAGATGACTAACACAGCCAACAAGTCCGAAATGGCATCACCCACAGTTTGGTTGATTAATTGAGTAAATTGTCTCAATACCTCAATCGACTCCTCTTCCTTAGGTTTGCCAGCTTGGTAAGCAAATATCTTGGCTTCTGCTTCGGGTGAGAAGATCACAGTACCATGACCGTTAGCTTCAAAGTAGACCCCAATGTCGAAGTTTTCAGCTTCGTGGTGCAAATGCTTGACACCAGTAGGAGTACACCTGACTGGGATCTTGAGCACATCTTCAACATACTTCGTAGAAGATCCATTGGCATATGCAGTTTGAATGACCCCGATGTTCAAGTCCAAACTGTCGATATTCTTGAATAATTGTTGGAAAAACAAAGCAATCAAGGTAGACAATTTATCACCGTCCAACAATCTGAATTGACCAGTTGGAAGTTGGTAGTATGCAATCAATCTATCAGCATCCCCATCGAACGAGGCGTATAACTGGTTGGCCTTTGGGGTGTCAACGTTCTTGGGCAATCTCTGATTAGTCTTGACGTAATCGGCACCACAATCGTAGTTCAAAAGATTGGGAGTCTTGTAATCAGCGTTGACCAATGTATATGAAATTTCTGCAGATAAGTAGTTGTCAATCAAATCAGCCACCTTTGGCGCACCAACACCGTTGGCTGCGTCTATGGTGATGTCTATTTTTGAGTCCTTAAGTTTGAAGATGTTCTTGAAAGCCTGTGCCATTTTGGAGTAGTAGCCAGTTTCAGATGGCTCGCCAAACTTGGGATCATTCAATGTCCTGGTGATGTAGTGCAATTGGGGAGTGGTGAATAATCCATAATCTTCGACGCTACTGTTTGGCAAAGAGTTGACACCATCAATGGATGCCTTAGTTAATGCGGGACTGGACTCTCTGGAGTCCATGGCAATCACAACGTGTGCCTTTTCATTCAAATCAATATTGAGTTCCCTACTGATCTCGTTGATAGTGTTCAACAACTCACTGTGACTCAGGTTGGCAATTCTGGTGGCATAACCTTCCCATTTGGTTTCTAACATACTGCCATATGGATCCACCACCTTGACACCATTGTCCTCGAAATGGTTGTGCGATGCGGTAACCATTACTCCAATAGTTTGGCCCTTGAAGAACTTTGATCTTAATGCTGCAACAATACCCACGGTGTAATTGACGTAATCTAAGCTAGTTGCCTTCATTCTGAACCCTGCGGTTCCGTAGACGAACTTGATTCCATCTGGCTTAGGGTGCGATGGAAGATACTTGTTTAACAATTGTTCAGTAGACATAATGGTGATACTTTGTAAAGCGGCAGTTCTATTTTAGGCAAATGGTTTTGTTGATCGAGAGGGGTCACGTGGTACAAACATCCATGATTTCTCCTGGTAAAACCAGAACATTCTCACATCGAAACTCAATCACGTGGTTTGCAAACACTACCAGATCTTTCCACCAACTGGAGAGCCTTATTTCACATTCGTATCATTCTCAACCATCATTTACGCATATGTCTAGAAAACCAAGCAAGTTCGACAACTCATCATTCCACAAGGAAGGTAAGATTGTTTCCATGACCACAGGCGATGTGGAATCTCGCCCGAAACCGAAGCCCAAGGACTCCGAGTTCATCCAGGAACTTGTGGAAACTGGAAAGGCCAACTGGAAGAAGGCCCCGGCAGCCGTCAAAACGAGATACAGAGGAATCTACTTGATTCTCTTCTCTATTCCGTTCATTGTCATACCGTCCATCGAAATGTACAGAAGACTCGAAGGTAAGTCTACCAAGAAGATTCAGCAAGGAGAGTTATTGGAGGGACAAACCGTCCGTAAATATGACGAATCAGAAAAGTGGAAGGTAGAAAAGGAGAGCTGGATGTACAAATTGTTCGGAAGGGACTTTTTCTTGGATGGTTTCACCAGTAAAACCATGACCAAGGAAGAAAATGCTAAGAAATAGTCAGTGGGTCTATTTATTTACGAATAAACGAAGTAATGAGAACTTTGGCCAGGGCCTATGTAGTTTATGCAGTTTGAGGAGCCATACGACGAGTTCATATCTGTTTATCGAGAATAGACCTCACCAAGTTATGGTCATCAAATCGTGACCCTAAGGATGAAAAGGGCCTTTCCACAGATATATGATAATTCTTGTCGTATGTTAACTTAGGAACTTTCATCTCCAGTAAAGATGGAGATATTGATGTCCGATAGTTTCTGTGGAAGCCACCCAATAAGCCTTCTTCGTTATCAAGAGCCCGCTTGAACGTGGAAGGAGACCGTAAGGGCGATCCGAGGTGTCTCGATTCTCTCTTCGTATGCAATGGTGATTTAAGTTGTTGCCTTTCAGGTGATTGAAATACTGGGTGATCAGGGCTAATTGTTGGAAGCATACTTGGCTTTTCGGAGTATTTCTTTTTGAGTACCCGCAACCCACTCTGAATGTAGTCCGATTGTATCATTGGTATTCTACTAGCCTTTTGCGGTAAGTTATTGCAAAGGTCACTTAAGAACCTCTGGGCATTGAATTCTCTAGCCAAAGTATCCTCCTTTTTGACTTTTAGTCTGGAAATGCTGGAGTTTAATGAGTCAATATCCATCTTGAGGTTTGGAGACTTAACAACTAATGTCAATTCATCGTCATCCTCATTTTCGTATAAGGGAGTGTTAGTTAATGCTAGTGAGTATCTTAATTTCTTCGTCCTGTAGTTGTTACTTAGGTTTTTGGTTCTATCCTTCTTCTGAATACTGAATGGAATTGCCGTAGTTTCAATATCAAGTCCAAGGTCAAGTCCCAACCCCACTTTTTCCCTCTGTGGAGGTGTACTGGGTCTGTTATTGCATTCTTCATTTCTAGGATTTTCAGCTCTGGGTGTACTGGATGCAGAAACAGATCTTGGTGTTCTGCTTCTGACTGGAAGGGCCAATGCATCGTTAACAGACTGCCACTTAGGAAGTAGGATATCGTTGAACTTGGATGCCAATGGTTTCTCATAAATAATCGATTCTTTGAAGGCTTTGTCAATGAGAGTGATTGCATTGGAACACAACTTGTATGTGCTATTTAATTCCTGTGAAATCCTAGGAGATTGATTTTTGGGGGTACCAGTGATCATTAACTCACACTTAGTGTTAATTTCATTTATCAAAAACTCAAACAATTCGTGCCACTTTGTGTCCAAGCAGTCCCGCTTTAATATTGATATTTCCTTGTTCATGGCTTCCCACTTAGAAACCAAGTTGTCGTGTTTCGTGCTAATATCTAGTCTAGCTTCAGGAAAGGAAGTACCTAACATTTTGTTGAATTCCTCTATTTGAAAAGGTAAAATTCCAAGTGAGATAGAAAGTGGCTCAAGTCTTTGGAGAAGAGCTAAGTAATTATCGTAAAAAGTGTCATCAAAGTCGTTAAAAGTTGGTAGTCTCATTGACCTCATGGAGTCATTAGAGGTATTAAAAGCTAAGTCATTAATCCTCATCTTGGTGATCACATTCTCTAGGTCATATTCTGGTTTGCTGGACGATATTTTCCACTCGGCAAGGCCAGAAAAGGAAACCATGCACAGATCTATTTCGGCCTCCAAGGACTTTATAACCATCCTATCAATTTCTGTGAATCTTACAGCAAAGTTAACGTGCTTTCTCAATGTGGATACGTGTTTTTTGATATCCACCAAGAGGTTACTTGTATCTTCAAGTTTCGCAAGCAATAGAGATGCAATGCTTGGGTCCTCTAAATGGCCTGTCACGTCCAAAAGGTCGGCAATGAGTGAGTCGATTTCCTCCATTTTCTGAAGTAGATTCACGACTGCCTCCTTACCATCAAAGTACCACCTCAATTGCTTTGAGGTTGGCGAGTCATTCAGGGGTCCCACTACCGCCATCAACTCCTCCAAGTACTGGTATAAGTCATCCACTGTCTTGTTGATCTTGAAGAGCTCATATTGTTTGATGGGATTGTCTGCAGATGGTAGGGTGACTACATCCATAAAGGAAAATGAGATTTCCAGTAGCTCAAGGGATAAACTGTCAGACATAGGGGCTGTTATTCATAGGGAGGTGCCTCGTGGCCTGCGGAGGTTCTTAAGTGGCCTGTTGATTGCTGAAACGGCTAGTGGAGTCTTGTGAAACACACCCTTCACTTATGCACGCCACAAATAACAAACGCGTTAATAAGGAGCGGAGTTAGGAATAAGTTGCCTCGCGCGTCTTGCAGACCCGTAATTTGATGTAGGAAGGGTTGTTGTACCGCCTGTATCGGCTAGATCAGGTCGTCTAAATCCAAACAATAGTTCCAATCACAACCAGATTTGTGACACATGCATGACACGTGACCCTTCTCTGCTGTTGCCGAGACACCCCAAGTGGGCGCACACTACCCTCCATCTCGATCAAAATTTGGCGATGAGATCAACCTCAGATAGCCAGGTCAATATGCCCAAAGCACCCAACAAGAAATTCACCACATCTTCGAATGGTGGTGCCACCGTGTCTGCTGAAAAGCATATGAACTCTGTTTTCAAGTTTAACACCAACTTGGGCCAGCACATCTTGAAGAACCCATTGGTGGCCCAAGGTATCGTGGATAAAGCTGGCATCAAGCCCAGCGACATTGTGCTTGAAGTTGGTCCAGGTACCGGTAACTTGACTGTGAGGATTTTAGAGCAAGCCAGAAAGGTTGTTGCCGTGGAAATGGATCCCCGTATGGCAGCAGAATTGACCAAGAGAGTCCATGGAACTCCTCAACAAAAGAAGTTGGAAATATTATTGGGAGACTTTATGAAGACCGAGTTGCCTTACTTCGATGTCTGTATCTCCAATACCCCATATCAAATCTCGTCCCCCTTAGTGTTCAAATTGTTGAACCAACCAAGACCTCCAAGAGTGAGCATTTTGATGTTTCAGCGTGAATTCGCCTTAAGATTGTTGGCTCGTCCTGGTGACTCCTTGTACTGTCGTTTATCTGCAAATGTCCAAATGTGGGCTAATGTCACTCATATCATGAAGGTCGGTAAGAATAACTTCCGTCCTCCACCTCAAGTTGAATCTTCTGTGGTTCGTATAGAAGTAAAGAACCCAAGACCCAATATCGATTTCAATGAGTGGGATGGATTGTTGCGTATTGTTTTCGTCAGAAAGAACAAAACTATCGCCGCCGGTTTCAAATCCAATAACGTGCTCGAAATTTTGGAGAAGAACTACAAAACTTTTTTGGCTACCAACGACGACGCCATGGTCGATGACAAAGCATCTATGACCGATGTTGTCAAGAGCAAGATTGAACAGGTCTTAACTGAGACCGGCTTCTCTGACAAGAGAGCATCTAAGTTGGATCAAACTGACTTCTTGAAGTTGTTGTACGCTTTCCATCAAGTTGGTATTCATTTTGCATAGCCTCAGGCCCTATATTTCTTTGTACATTAGTTAATGATATCTAATAAATTATAAATAGACCGAATACCCTTTATCTTCTCTTTGTGGCCTTGGTAAGGTCTTTCTCAACCACTTCACCAACACCTCCCATTTCTTCCAAATTGTCTTCGGCAATGCTGACTTGCTCCCTTCTTTCCCAGAATCTACCTTCGCACAAGTCGAAAGCAGCCTTCTTCAAGTATTTACCCCTGGCCTCTCTGTTACTTGAAATGGCCCATTCTAAGAATTGGGCACCTGTTCTCACGTAGAATGCCCTCAAGCTTTCGAATGGCTTAGGATGTGGCAACCAAGGTCTTGGATCTGGAATTTCATCTTCCTCTTCCTCTTCTTCTTCTTCCTCTTCTGGTTCTTCATCGTCGTCGTCTTCGTCGTTTCCTTCCTCATCTTCCTCGTCCTCGTCTTCTTCGTCATCCTCTTCATCATATTCATCGTCAGAGTTCACTTCCTCCTTCTCTAACTCAGATAAATCTTCCCAGAAGACCTTGACACCATCTAGTTTACCCAAGTCAATCGCATAGAATGAGTCCAAATTAAACTCGGAATTTCCTCTTTCGAAAATACCACCATAGATGTACAAATGATCATCGACCACACATGTAGTGGCATTGAATCTAGGATGTGGGTATTGGTTCATCATCGGATACTCGACCATTTCTTCATCGAACTTTTCTTCTTGCTCTTCTAATTGCTTGAGCTTTTCGATCTGAGACAACTCACCAGCATCTTCCTCGTCATCTTCATCATTTAATTTGGCCTTAGCCAAAATGCTATTCAAGATGTCTTCCAAATCCTCGTCACGAGACTTGTTTTCTTTGACTTGTTGTTTCTTTGCTCTTCTTGGTTTCAATGTCAAATTGTACCATCTATTGGTCTCAATTTGGTAAGAGTACAATTGATTGTAAAACTCGGAGTCCAACTGTTCTTCACTTTCGTCGTAATCGTACACACCGCCGAACATTATTCCTCTATTCTTGTGGTACACTAAAGAGCACCCAACTCTGGGTGTTGGTGTTGCACCTTGTTTTCTTCTTCTTTCAAATCTTATGCTCTTTGGATCTGACTTCATCTTCAATAACCAACAATCGGTTAAAACCTTACCCTTCTGCAATCCCTTCTTGGCCTTGACCTTACAGTATCCACCGTACAAAACGACACCATCGGCATAAGGAATAAACGAATGACCGGATCTGGCATCAGGTATAGGATGGTTAGGTGGGAACTCGACTTGAGTCCATTTATAGGAAGTTATATCAAATAACCAGATGTCATTCAAATAAGTGGTTGATGAACCCAAATCACGGAATCCACCCGACAAGATGATGTAGTTTTTCCAAACAGCCAATCTATGACCTGATCTAGCACTAGGTCCCCTCTTTTGGTCGATTTTGGTCCACTCTTTGGTGTCCGCTTCCAAAATCCAAGTATCACCATAATGGTAAAAGGTAGACTGCTTTGGAGAAGAGAATTCTCCTCCAAACATCAACATAATACCAGATGGGTGAGAGCACATAGCATGGGACGATCTTGGCAATGGTGCATTCTTCGATACGATCTTTCTCCATGTGTCGTTGTCAATGGTGTAGGAAAACAATTCATTGTAGAAATGGGACTTGGTTCCATCATTACTTTCTCCACCAAACAAGATTAATTCACGCTTTCCGTGAGTAGGATTGGCAACTAATGTGGGATTCAATCTTCTAGAAGGTTTGCTGCAGACATCGATGTGAACTGCTTCGAACTGTTCTTGCTCTTTGGCGTATTGTGCCAAGATCTCATCGATATCTTGATCGTCTTCGTCTTCACCCAATTTTTTGGCGAGTTTCTTGTCCTTAGATTCTGCCTTAGATTGGTTCTTTTTCTGCTTTTCGGCAGTTCTGGCCTTCTTGGCCTCCTTGGACTTCTTATCTTTCTTGGCCATAATATCCGTTGATAGTGCTTATTCGTACAAACTTTTTCATGTCTGCACCGGACTATGTACAGGTGCGCTTTCGCAACCATTCAACCATAAATGCGGAGCCATGGGAAGGGAGGTATTACGGACACAGACTACGATACACCGATTCCGGAAGAGACTACAATTCAAGTCGTCGAAGAAAGTGAACCCATGGGCACAAAGTGAAGCGATACGGAAAAGATAAATTTATCAAACCAAGGACGGGTTTAGAAACAATCGCCTAAAGAGTAGGATTTATACCATTTCTGAATCTGGAGTTATCCACATTAAAGTACTCGTAACATATTAGTAGTCCAATACTTAAGGGAAATTTAGCTCAGAGGTTGAGTGGTTACTCCACTGGCGTAAGGGTTTAAAAGCACCGCGGGCCCAGAAACTTGCGTTTCGTCTGTTTCAGTAGGATGATGAATATTGCGGTCCACTTCAAATCACCATCCTTTTATTCCCCACAAGTGACAAACATATTATCTGGAGAAAGTGTCAGATAGAGTCACAAATCAGACTGTGCTCCTACAACTCTAAACATCCTTACTACAACTCTAGCACCCAGCTTGTTGCCGATTGGCGGCCCGCGTTGCTTCCGAAGTTGGTCCTGAGGTTAATTATGCTTACGCCCTGCATGCCCAGGTATACCTGATCCCAGATTGGACTGGTTTTACTGCCTTACATTGCCCCACTTCCTACGGAAGTTTTGCGATGAGCATGCAGGCGGGATCAAGTCGCGCCTCCACCCCGCGTGGAGACAATGACAAATCGAAAATATTTACGGAACTCTCTCCCGCACCATTTCTCTCGATACAACCAACCTATCGCAATCCATTGAGTAGTACTTCCCTAGTAGACAGACTCTTCGAAGCAACTCTACGGGGACTTGGCTCAAGTCCCCAATTTTTTGCCCTCCGGACTTTGTCCCCTCCTTCCCCATTTTCTGGGTATTCCATGCAACGGTAGGATTTTCGGTTTTCCGCAGTGAATTAACCCCACCAGCCGCCACCAGCACTTCAAGCATGTCTAGACTGAGGCGGGTGCAGGTTGTGCCTTCGGGAAAACCCCCAAATTGCGACCTGATCCCGAAAGGCACCCCACAGATTATAAAGCCGTTCGCTGTAGCATGAACTCAGTATAAGTACCTATAGGTTTCCGGTATTATCTGTGTCGAGTATGTCCATAAAGTCTGATAAGAAAGAGGACCAGGTGCATTCTTCCACCCAAGAGGTGGTGGAGACACCAATGGACGAAGCAGAAATATCCACCATGTCCTACTTCGAAAATACCTCTAAACCAGAAAAAAGACCACCTTTGGAATACCGTCCCAGTGAGCTTCACTTGGCTCCCAGACCAGAGAAAACTGCCGTTGAACAATTCGAACTTGCAAATGACACCGAAGCCGATGTGCTGAGTCCAGACTCCAGTTCAGAGCCGAGAAAAATGACGTTCACGTACCCATCCAAGAACTTGTACCGGTACATCACTGCCTGTTGCTGGGCCTTTTGTGCGGGATTCAGTGACGGTGCGGTAGGGGTGCTTTTACCGTACATCCAAATGCAATTCCACCTCTCCTACTCCAAAGGGGCATTGGTATGGCTCTCGACCTCCATCGGATACATCTTTGTGGCACTTCTTGCCAACCGTATCCATCAGACTCTTAAAAGAACGGCACTCGCTGTCGGATGCCTGTCCATGGTAATCATGGCGATCCTTGTCTCCTCCGGCGTCAACTATCCAGTGGTGGTGTTAGGGTTTTTCTTCAGTGGGGTCGGAACAGGTATAGTTATAGCCCAGCTAAACGTATTTGTCAGTAGTTTTGACAATTCGTCTGTAGCATTGGGATATTTCCATGGGATATATGGATTGGGGGCGTCGGTGTCGCCATTGGTTGCAACGGCATTTGTTGAGGCCGGGATCAGGTGGCATTATTTCTATATTATTTTGGCGATAGCCGTCTCGGTGTGTGCTGTGAACGCCTACTTTGCATTTGCTTATGGGGAAGACCAGCTCAAACAATTCGAACCTCCAGAAGCAATTGTTTCGGCGGTGGAAGCAAAAACCTTGACCAAAGAAGCTCTCAAAAACAAGGCCACCTGGATCAATTCGTTGTTCGTGTTATTCTACCAGGGCGCTGAGGTTGCCATGGGTGGATGGACCACTACCTATCTTCGTGATTACAGACACCACACCAGGGCCTCGATCGGATACGTCACCTCGGGCTATTGGTTCGGGTTGACGCTTGGCAGAATCTTCTTGACCAATGCAATGCACAGATGGACCGGTGCCAGAAGAGGAAACGCCATTCTTGCGTTGGGCGCCATCTTGTTTGTATTGCTCACATGGGTGATTCCTACCTTGGGGGTGGAAATTGTCACCATCACCTTAAGTGGTATTTTAATTGGACCCATTTATCCCTTGATGATCACATACGTGGCTCTGGAGGGTTTGATCCCTAGAAAGATTCAAGTCGTCTCGTTGACTATCACTTCGGCATTTGGGTCCTCGGGCGGTGCCTTGTTTCCCTTCATTGTAGGTTTGATTTCCCAATTTGCAGGCGCCTACGTGTTATTGCCTTCATTTATAACCATGTTCTCCATAATGTTGGTACTTTGGTTGTCCTTACCAAATGTAGCCTATAGAGGCCAAGAGAAGGGCATGGCTGGCTTCATCAAACGGATCTGGTGATATATAGATTAATGATAATATGATAATTATGACAATTTGCTTGTACTTCTTTCGCAGGGCAACTGGCCCAAAACGGAAGGTTGCGATTCATGATCCAAGAGTGATTCCAAATCCATCGAACATGATATGGCACCACAGATCGTCAAGCTAGATGACGCGTTACAGGAACTGTTACAGTCACAAGTGACAATCAGGACATATGAAGACGCCATCCGAGAGTTGGTGGAAAACAGTGCCGACGCAGGTGCCTCCGAGATCATCATCAAGCTAGACTTCCAATCGCTAAGTGTTTTAGTAAAAGATACCGGCACAGGAATTGCTCCAAGCGACCTAGCCAGTGTTGGAAGTAGATACCATACCTCCAAGTTCCACGAGAGGGACCAAATAATTACGACATTTGGGTTTCGGGGCGAGGCATTGCACTCATTACGTGCCATCAGTAATCTCACAATTGTCTCAAAACAAAAGGGCCTGAAGCCATACAAGTCATGGGATGGCTCAGTTGAACCCTTCGAAGAGCTCGAGCTTGCCAATTTCTTCCAGATTGGCGATCTCGGTGAGTCAGGTACCTCCGTTACCGTCACCAACCTCTTCTCAAGTGTGCCTGTCAGAAGAAAGCAACAGATGCAAGTACCTGAGTATAGGACAATTGAAAGCATCAAGCAATCTTTGCTTCGTGTTTTGTGCAGATACTCGGGTATTCGCATGGAAGTCTACAAGACTAACTACACTTTAAATGCCCTTGACTGCATCATTTTGATTGACCTGGGTATTAAGTCATCAGAGAAGTACTCATCTATAATAAGGAACTTGTTTGGAAAGTCAGTTTTACCTTCATTTGAGTCCATCAATTACACGTTCGATCCCTTTAAGCTCAGTGGAGTGATTGGAAAATCATGCATCAGTTCGAAATCTCATCAGTATATATTTATCAATGGAAGAGGCGTGATTCTTCCCTCAAATCAGTTGAAAGCGATCAACAGATGGCTCACTCAGACCATGCTTGATGCCAACGATTCAAGTCCGACGAAATCGAAGCGTCATTTTTACAAGTACCCCATTTTCTTGTTAAACTTCATCACCGAGACCAAATTGGAAGACTTGATTCATGACGATATCAGGGGCTTTTACTACAAGAATTCTGATGTGATCTTCAAAATGGTGGAAAGGGTCTTCGAACGTTTTCTTTCTTCACAAGGATACCAAGTCGAGAGGTTAAGCACGAGCATGCTTTTAAGTCCGGACCCCAGGGCAAAACGCACTAGATCTAATCCGACCTCACCCACTCGAAGGACTAATCCTAAAATTAGTTCTCCTAGTCGGCAAGGGTCTCCAACAAAAAATACGGTTTCAAATTTGAAGTATTTCCAAGCTTCACCTTCAATGAACCTTAAATGCAATCTGTTGAATCTTGCCCCACCAATGCCTAATTTTGAAAGTAGCAATCTTGTTAGCCCCAATCACTCTTGTGAAGATGAAGATGATACTTTGTATCCTGAGATACCAGTGGGATTTCAATTAAGTCGAAAAGATCTATTGCAAGGATATCATATTGTAGGTCAAGTTGATAGAAAATTCATTTTAATCAAGATCGATAACCCAACCTACAAGGAAGGTTCTTCACATTCACCAATTTTAGCGATTCTTGACCAACATGCATGTGACGAACGGGTAAGGATAGAAGGTTTACTTAAGGACTTTATATTGCAAGCACTAGACCCAAGTATAAATATACTGTTGAAGTTGGTCGATTCTATTCAAATTCGAGTCCTTGAAACAGAGCAGGAGTTGTTCACACGATTTGAGAAGAACTTAAACTCTTACGGAATTCGCTACCGTATTGTGGGTAATATGGTGATAATAACCCATTTACCTCATATAATCATTCAGAAGACTATGGATAATGAGTTCCTTAAATTCTGTTTAATTCAACACTTGTATGATTTGGACAATCAAATCAAGCAAGAGGACATAAATGTATCGAAAGATGAATGGTTTCGAATGGTTCAACATCTTCCCCGAATTATTGTTACGCTATTCAATTCCAAAGCGTGTCGGTCTTCAATTATGTTCGGCGACGAATTGAGCAAAAGTGACATGAATAACATGATACAGATGCTACAGCAGTGTCATTTGCCTTTCCAATGTGCCCATGGAAGACCCTCAATTACACCGCTAACAAATTTGGAAGGTCATGGATCCAACAGTAACCCTAGTATATAGAATTGAATTTCAAAAGAAACGTAGCATTTAAAAGTCTATAGGTGCAAAAACTTAAGAAAAATGGACGAGTCCGGAGTCGAACCGGAGACCTTTCGCATGCTAAGCGAACGCGCTACCAACTACGCCACACGCCCTGGAAAGAAATGGTCCCTAGCAGGATCGAACTGCTGATCTCGGCGTTATTAGCACCGCGCCTTAACCAACTGGGCCAAGGGACCTGTTTCTTGCTTGTGAAATTTTTGATATTATTGAACCGTATTACAACTATTGATCAATTACGTAATCATTAAAGTTTTATACAGGATCAATTGGTGGTTCTGTTGCAAAAGGAATAAGTCTAATCAGGTTAAAAAGGTTAGTCCAAGATGAAACAATCATGTTAGGAGTCATATGTCATGACTTCTTAAGGTCTCACTTAGTTTCGCAACTTTTCACCTTTCATGTTTTCACGCCAACAAACCCTTTCGTGGGAAATCCTCAGGATCCCAGAAGAACTTCGCAACATACGAAGCTTAGTCGCCCCACTGGTGCAGATTATAAATGATACAACTATTTCAAATTGGACAAGTTGATTGAGACTCTTTGGAGGTTATGGGTACAACGACGAGCACAAGGGGAGGCCCATGCTCGTCCTCCAACCACCAACCAATTGTCTTTCCTCTTGTCCAGCCAAAGTTCCTAATGAAAAATTTTATCTAACATGAGCTGCTTCTACAAGGTGCCCTCTGTTGCGCACCAAGTTGCAAAAAATCATCAAAAAACAAAATTGAATTCAAAAATTAATTAAATTATAACAGTTTGACCATAATGGTGTGCTACCCATTGCAATAGGTATATAGTCAGTAGATTATAATATACTGCCCATTAGCAAAAAAAAAAGTTGTATTCCATCTGGAATACGGTTAGTTCGCCACCTCCCAAACGGATGAACGATAAATCTACTCTGAACTTAATAATTAACAAGTTAAATACCAGTAGCTTTGGGTTCTGTGCAAAATAAGTGAGCTCTACTACGTGTATTTTCACTTCAAAGTTAGAAACTCTACTTAATTACACACATTGGATTACAAGCTAAGTATGATAATTTCTAACTAGATACTCCCTCATGCATACTGATCTCAGATGAAGTTGTTTAATATTTAAGCATATCATGTTCCTCCTTGTCGTAATTATACTCCCTTTTTAGTTTGATTATGTGAGATATTTTGATTGAAAAAATAGTTAGGTCTGTAATTGCTGATGTTTTGTGAATTTATATAATTATTGAAAGTTTCGAAAATTTTGAAAATTTGTTAACTATCCGAGTAGAATCAAATCCTAACATTGAAACTTGTCAGTTTTCGCCAAACAGACAAATTTAATAGTATTCACTAAGCTTCAACAAACTTGTTTCAAGAATTATGTAAGATAGATATAGTGATAGTAGGTTCCTATTCAAATTGGTGTAACACCTATCAAGTGTAATGAGGCAAAAACGATGAATGGCTAAAACAACAACTATATCACTTCATACGTGAAATATCTTGATCCTAACCTCTACACTTCGACAATAAATTACTTTTAATTCTATAATACACAATCAAATATCCAGCGGCATCGAGGGGATGGAACGAACGATGCTATTTCCTAGACCAGACTTAGCCGAAAAAGTTTTATCCATCACATTGATTCTTCTCGTTCCAGCCAGACTAAGATTTTCATTCGATGTTATCTCTTTTTTCAACACACGGTGAATCATGGACATAAACGAATAATGATATTCAAGTGACAGTAAAGCATCTAACGAGCTTCAAATTGCACGACTCTTCTAGTTCTAGCCTTGTAAATGACTCTGTGACCACATTCCTTACATCTGATGGCATCGTTCTTGCTCAAAGAAAAAGAAGCGGCACATTGAGCACAGTTATATCTAACACCTAAGGACTTGTTTGTAACTTGACCGAGAGCAGCATGGGAGATGGAAGCTGGGATACTGAACCCTTCTCTTTGAGGTGAAGACATTGTAGGTGATAATATGATATGTCATCGATGATGTTGAGAGAAAAAATAGCGGTGGATAACATCGATCACGTGATAAATAGATCACCTGACAGATAGGCACCTGAAAAGTTTTCGGGTCATAGCTAACTGTACTATACCTTACATGAATTCTATACGAGATACGATCTCGCGTATAGGACGATCAGCACGGCAGATCAAATCGTTTACAAATAACCATGTTTCTGCATCAAAGGTGAAACCTCTGACCAAGGATCAATCTTCAAAAATCATCAATAGACCTAATTCAAAGCATATCGAAGATCCCCAACAATACTTGCATAAATACCAAACAAAACTATATCGAGATTTTCTAGAGCCCTTAGGGATACCCAATTTAAAGATTTTTAACGACGATTTGCCCAAATACGATGACGACACTGCTATCCTCAATTGGACTCGAAAGTCTAACTCTAAGCAGATCAATGTATTTTTATTGCAAGATAGGATGCTCTTCGAGAAGATGATGGATACATTGATTCTGCTTACACCTAGCAAGTTAAGGGGGGCGAACAAGGATAATGCACTTAGTAAGAACCATTTGCTACACCAACAGGAACATGAAAGTAGTAGGATGCAGAGCTCATGGCCAACAGATTATTATGAGGAGGTACCACCAATACCACAACCCTTAACAAAGCAAAGCTTTCAAGAGTATATTTATGTCTTGACTCATACTCGATTTCATTATAAGAACTCACTGTCCCTCTCTAGTGGAATCATTGCTGAGATCTTACTCTACACCCATAAGTTGACCAATGAGGAGTTCAGGCCATATAGGTCAGTGCATACGTATAATTATCTCATTAAGTACTTTGGGTTTGACAAGCACCAGAGTTCGTTTGCAAGAGAGTTGTTATTGGTCATGAATAAGGATGGCCATAAACCTAATATCGACACAATCAACAATCTATTGAAATTGTGTCAAATACACTCCAGAATTCGTTCTAACACCAATACATACCAGATAATCATGAAGTACTTGAAGTTGTGTCGAGATTTGAACATTGAAATCAACCTTTCTACATACAATAGGGTCTATGACGCTATTAACAACATTTTCTTAAGGGAGATATTTCTTACCAAGATCCAGCTGATTGATCTTTTGATTCTGAAAAATTTAATTATTAAAATTCTCGATGATTTTGCTAGCACCACCAAAGACACCACAGAATTGATAAAGTTCATCAATACAGATTTGAATCAAAAGGCATGGCATGACGACAGTAAACTCTTGAACAAAGTCATATATCATAGGGGGCTTAATTTGAGGCCCCTCAACAATCTCCAAGATAATGGAGAGCTTGAAAAATTGTGGTTATTTGTGGGGGCAAGCAATCTTGCCATCGATCAATATACACTCAAGGCATTGATCGAATCAATTAGGAAAAATAACCACATAACTCACAACAAGCCATACTTGATGTTGAGCATCTACTTTAATTTAGTACCCAAGATACAGGGCCCTGTTGATTCACCCAGAATCTACAAGGATATGATTGAGGAGATGATTACCTCGGCTGACCTCAAGTGTTCGGCTTTCATGATCAAGGGAATGATACATGAGGCAACCATGGCGTTAAAATTGCCACGAGAAATCACTCATTATGATAACGAGAAGCAAAGCATGCCGGAAAATTACAAGATAATCAGGAGAATTGTTGGCGATAGAATGGATGTAATCGAAGCCAAAATCGAGTATTCGAACAAGTATAGCTCAAAGATAGCACCACTACACACGGAGATGACGCAACAAGAGAAGATCAAATGGGATGAAATGAAAGCAATGTTGGCAATCCGTCCTACACACAGGCTTCTGGCGATCCCACCTCAGGAGATATTGGACTTTTTGGGGGATCCGGAAGAAGTGGAAGTACCCACCGATTACATTCTTCGCTACAAAAAGATCCAACGGAAAAAATACCAGGGCGCCCGAATCAAGGCCAGAGAGAACAAGATCACAGAAGGGATCGACAAGCACACCCGCAACCACATGATAGAGCGGAGCATCCTAGCTCGTGCGCTTTGACACATCGATGGATAATATAACGATTTAACGACCAAACGGTGTCCAGAATGTAGTTCAGACGCATACCCAATTGCCACATTTTGCATCCTAAACTGTATACCCCACAGCAAGGACTGCAACTTTAAACACGAATGTGGTCCCCTGAAACCTAACGACCCAGTAGTTGTTCCAGCGAAGCCTAGGTGCATAGCAATGGTTGCGAGCCGCGCCCCAGAGATATAAACACTTCAATTACATTTCCGCAATGGGCAGGGTCTGAGACATTGTTATTGGTCCGGACAGGACCCAGCAGACGGTTTGGGAGGCATCGGGTGTTTGTGGAGCAGGACCAAGAATCTGATGCGCCACGGGTGAGGTGGTGCCATTTACTGGAGGCTACCCTGAAATTCGCACTTGGACCAACCTTGCCCCTCCTTGCACCCTCGTAGTCTCCGAGATCATCCCCGTAGAAGCGCAGGCACGGACCAGGAACAGTTCCGAAGCCACACCCACGACCCCGTTGCACAGAGGGCTGGGCTTCCGTGCTCCCTCGGATCACGGAGTTTCACCAGGGTCTTCCAACGGGCATGCCAACCCCCTACCCATCGGACATAAGGCGGTGGCTATTTTTCATTGTCCTATAAAGGAAATTCATGTTTGGTTATCGCGAGCAGGGTGCGGTCGGATCGGTCGGATTACGGTTCCAGGACGAAGATCACCGCATGCTGCCACTGTGGGACCACAGACTACACTTGGATTGTTCCCGATCCCACTTGTGGCCCCGTTTGGCACCTGCCCCTGCCATTATAAACCCGGTGATATCTCGCAATTAAAAAAATCCAACGTGCACTTGAACTCTGTGCTAGCTCGCATTGCATCTCACTGGTTTCAGTAATAAGGTGGTAGAGACAGCCGTGACATTTTCCATCCTTGCCATCCTCGACCTCCACCGCCAGCGTCCTTCCTCCCGGCAAACCAGCTTATTTAAGTGCTAGCCACCCACTTTTCTGGCAACTACCCTCCCGGACTGCATTTCGCATATCATCTGATCCATCCCTTCGGAGCTATTTTAAGAGTGGTGGGATCTTAGTAATTTTCATTCTAAACACCTCAGCCGTGGTGATCTTGTCCACCATCCCAGGCACTCACTAGACTCCTCATGCTTTGGCTCGTTCTCCTCCATGCCGCCTTAGCGTCGGCTCTTAGCCTCAACTTCTGTGCCACCCAAAACGTGGGCAGCTCCCAGACCTCGGATCAGTTCATGTCCAACGGGTTCTGTAACACCTACTGCTCGCAAAGGAATGCTGCCGTGGCCATTGTCCAGGGCAATAACTGCTGGTGCTCCAACCAGGTGGTTCTGGATACCGTCTCTAGCTCCAACTGTGACGATCCGTGTCCAGGGTTCCCAAGCGAAAAGTGTGCCAAAGACGGCTACTATGGCTACTTGGTGATCGGCTCCCCATCAGCCACCGTGGGTGCTTCTTCCAGTACCTCCACCTCCACCTCGTCCACATCCACAACCTCAAGAACGACATCCTCATCCACATCCTCCACCAAGGACAACGATGACACTACCTTGGTGACCCGGACCACCCAGGTCACCAACACCAGGGAAACTAGCAGAACTGTCGAGAGCACCATGGTGTTGACCCAGTCACCATCATCCAGCTCATCCAGCTCATCCAGCTCCAGCTCGTCTAGCTCGTCAAGCTCATCCAGCTCATCGAGCTCCACTTCATCCTCGAGCTCCTCGTCCGAGTCTTCCTCGTCTTCTACATCGTCCAGCTCGTCAAGCTCCTCGAGCAGTTCGTCCTCAGAAAACAAGATTTCCGCAACCACCATCTATTCGATCAAAACCGTAGATGGTGCATCCCAGACCCAGGTGGTCAGGACCGAATACGTCACCCTGGCACCTACCTCCAACAACTCGTCACCATCGTCCCTGACGCCTCCCGCACAAGACAACAAGAATTCCTTCTTCGATTCTAAGGGTAAAGTTGCAGGTACTTTCACTGCTGTTGGTCTTGTTGTCTTGGGATTAATTTCAGGAATTCTCTACTGCTGCTGCTGCGGAGCAGCAGGCAGGCGCAAGGATGACGAGCATGATGGATTCACTGACGAGGAGAACCAATACTCGTCAGACGAACTTTCTATTGGAAATGCCAAAACAATTGCAGGCTCATTTCCTCATTCCAAGAGTGGATCGGTTGGGTCCAACTCCCAATTGAAGAGGGACAACTCCAGCAAGTCCATTCTTTCGCTCTTCAACTCTGTCAATGTCTTGACCGGTGGAAACCATACCACCGACGATCCTAATGGGGTCGGGAGAAGCTCATCGAGAAAGAAGTTGATCCCTGGCAAATATGCCGAACCCAGCCAAGGGGATGTGACCATGTTCCCAATCGACGAATTGGACACCAGGTTAGATCCCAGAACCATGTTCATGACCACCAACAACGACAGCAACAAGTCATTAAATGACGATGTTGACTATTCTCGGCGGATCTTGAAGATTACCAACCCCGAGTAATACCCCACAGACTGGAGCATAGCATCCTTACTTCGCATAATTCACACAAATGGTTCTACTACAATCGATTCTTGTGGTCCATTCGTTGATGTCCGTTCATTTCTAATACATACTTGCATACTCATTTAACCTGGTTTGGCTTTTATCGTCCCTAATTTGATACCCGACCAAAAGTTAATACACATTATTAGGATATTTTTAGTTACTGGTGTAGATATAGTTCAATTGGTCGACTCGTCGGAGGACGACGATTCGCTAGGGGATGGAGAGGCAGACTCCTTGTTTCTTTCGTCGAAAGGAGTCTCAGGGTGGAATATCGTCACCTTTTTCTTCTTCTTGTTCATGTCTTCATTATCGATGGTGTCGTTGGTGAACCTTACAGGTGGTTTCTTCTTGATCTCTTTGTGTCCGTTTGCGTTATCATTGGATGGGGAAAGCGAGGTGCTTGGGGTGGTCTGTGTCGTCTGCGTCGTCTGCGCCGTCTGCTTTGTCTCTGTGGTTGTCTCAGTTGACATACCTCTGCTGATGCGGCGAGGGCTTCTGTGGTACTGGGGTAAGATCAGGTGAAGTATGGGGTGGCGAGAATGCGATTACGTAAGCAGACCCGAGCAACCCACGAAATGAACCACGGGATTTGACTTAGATGGGATGATTTGTTTATCTAGTTGGCTTCATGGACTGGACGGAGGGTATGCGCTGGGCCAGAATAGACTGGAACTGACACCATTCATGTGGGCATCTCCAGACAAAAATCAGATCTCAGTGCACAAGGGGAATTGGTAGGTTTGCCAGCCGTATCGGTGGTAGGTGCCCACCAGCGATGATCCTCAGATACGATGGGTGCAACGACCCGACAGTATTATACTAGCGTTATTGCTCTATTTCTCCGCCCTAGCTGGGAGGAGTAACAGTTTTGCGGTAGCTTGGCACATCCTTTATAAATGCACTGTCAAGAGCTCGGCTTTGACATTGACACTCAGATGTGGGGGAGGATTACAAGTTAGAAGGCACGGGATCTAGGTTTAGAACCGATGGACACATTGGGATGTATCCTACATGTCAAACCGTGTAGCCGGTGAGTGTTCCCGAAATAGCTGAGATGGCCGAGATCGAGCGTTGTCCGTTAGCCCGTTAGCCCGTCCAAGCCACAACTGTGCATGCTGGTGACTCGCCAAGTGATTGTAGTGGGGCGGTCCTGCAGAGGCAACGCACGTGCCACGTGGCCGCGTAGAATACAGAGAGCATACTCAGCCGGAAGAACCCTAGAGCAAGGCGTGGGACGCAGAGAGCATACCTCAGCCAAGTAAACTGTACGGCCAATAATATATACTTATTACAACATTACTGACTGAGTATCATTTAAGACGAAATAAATGGTAAAGGAGAGAACATACTCAAACAGACAGATTTTTGCATTTTTATGTGGGAGCATATCTGATCTGCTTTACAGTCTTATTTGTGTTGTTTAAATGGCTCTGATTGAATTCACCAAGATAAGGCTGGTGGATGCTGTAGAGAGAGATCTCTAACTGGACCCTTTTGAATACGCTTCTTCAAGTGGGTGGTGTAACCAGCGATCTTATTTCTTAATCTCTTGTTGGTTTCGAAGCCCAAAGTAAACTTTGGGTAGAAACGTTCAATCAAAACCTAGGTAGATTTGGTATCCTTTCGAAACGGGCCCTTCTTGGTAAGCGATTAGTAAGCACACGTTGTACCCATAATGGAAGCTAAGCAAATCTCAGACATCAGAAATCACTCTTGGTGGCCAAGCTGGCTAAGGCGCGAGACTGTAATGTTAACTCAAAGTAATCTTGAGATCGGGTGTTCGACTCACCCCCAGGAGATTTCCACTTTCCCTGCCTTTATGGCCAAGTTGGTAAGGCACCTCACTAGTAATGAGGAGATCGTCAGTTCGAATCTGGCTGAAGGCATTCTTTTTTTGGTTTCTATCCATACTGAACCTCCCACCATCCGCCCCACATCGGTGGCTATGGCCAAGCATCGCTCCCCAGCTGGCCGTGACGGTCATCTCCAATTTCTTACGTAACACTGCCACCTTCGCGAAAAAGAAATTGACGGTTCCACAATTCTTGGCGCTAAGAAACACATGATGGGGAGGACACGACCAAGCCATAAACCCTGGCAAAAACTCTTGGCTCTACCATCATTTGGGTGGTGCCCACTTTATAAGGATCAACAACGCCCATATTGTAATTTCCACATACATTCCACTATACATTAGCGTGAGGTTATAGATTAGCCTTCCCAGAGCCGCCAGCACTTCCCTTGCCCCACATACCCCCAGCCCCGTTCTGTAAGTAACGCTAATAGGGTAATAGTCATCATTGCGAGCAACACCCACTATGAACTACAACTTGCACCCAGTGTCATACTTGAACGCTTCGTCGTCGGTCATCAACCCAGACGCAGAGAACTCCTCCAAAATGGTTGAGTCCGAGTTGGATATCGATATCGAGTCAAACTCCCCTTCTTCCTCGGGTTCTTCCACCTCGTCTCCCCCTAACAACCATGAAGGCAGTCCCCACTCCTCATTCACCTCCAACTCGTCAGCAAACTCGCCCATCAACGACTTGAAGAGACACACCGGTTCCGAATACAACCAGCAGCCAGTCTATGGCCAACTGTCGGTCTTTAACAACCAACAGCAACCATTCGGCACCCAGCCCCAATTTGGTTACCCCCCCTTCAAGTCTGAGAGCGACACCCTGGTTTCCTCCATCTTCCCCTCCGACAAGCAGCAACCCAAGGCCGTCCTCGACGACTCCGAAGACAAGCCTAAGCCAAAGAAAACATACAAGAAGATAAAGGATGAAGACTTGAGAGGCCCTTTCAAGTGTTTATGGGGAAACTGTGCCAAGATCTTCGAAACCCCCGAAGTCTTGTACGACCACTTGTGTGACGACCACGTCGGTCGCAAGTCCTCCAACAACTTGTCCCTTGTTTGCAACTGGGATGGTTGCGGTACTCACACCGTTAAGCGTGACCACATAACTTCTCACTTACGTGTTCACGTTCCATTGAAGCCTTTCCACTGTGAATTATGCCCAAAGAGTTTCAAGAGACCTCAAGATTTGAAGAAGCACTCCAAGATTCATGCTGATGATAACCCAAAGAAGTTGAAGAAGCAACAAAAGTTGTTGTTGAAACAATTGCAAAGAGAAGCCAAGGAGAGATCCAGATCTGGTGTCAAGCCTATGCCATACCACGGTGAAGTTGCCTTGCCATACCCTGGTCAATACCCAGGCTACGGTTACCCAGTTGGCAACTATGCTCCTGAGGCAAGCGCCTTCTCCTATCCTACCAACCAACACCCAGACCAGCTCAATGATGCTTACTCTAGAAAGAGAAGATTTGACAACAACCAAGACAACATGTATGTTGTTAATTCTATCTTGAATGATTTCAACTTTCCTGGTGTCAATGGTAATGCTCCTGGTGCCGAATACGGTGCTAAGAAGTTCAAACAAGGTGATTCCAGTGCTCAATACAATATTGATATGTTCAATAAATTGAATCACTTGGATGAGCAATTGCATCAACAACACCCACAACATTCAGTGCCTTCTAATGGTGCTCCTGTTGCTCCTCCAGTACACGCTACTCCTTTGAGCAACGGAGGAAACAACGCCTCGCTTTATGAAGCTGAAAAATTCTTCAGCTCCTTGTCCAACTCCATTGATGTTCAATATCAAAGCATGGGTGGTCACTATTCTCAAGGACAACCAGTTTCTCAAGCACCACCACCACAACAAGTGTACCCATCTTTGCCACAATTGTCGACAGGCTCTAAGTTTAATGATGGCTTGCAACAGAACCATTACAGCCACAGCCACAATGTCAACAATAACTTTGCTCCAAGCTACCCTCAAGTTAACAGATCTATTGGAAACTCTCTTGGAAACCACCCATCGCATCTTTACCATAGCCATCCTCTTGCGCAAGAATTTGGTGGAGTCTCGACTTACCAAAAATCAGGACAATCGTTGGATGAAGATTCTTCCGAGTCTGAATTGTCTGATTCAGAGTCCGAGCTTGACTCTGAATCTGATGCTAGTGAAGAGGAGGAACTTGACGGTTTGTTCAATCAATTGTCTATTAAGAAAGACTCTGAATTCAGCATTGCTGATATCGAGAAACACAGAGAGATGGTGCAAATGGTGTGTGCTTACTTGAGAAAGTCGATTCAAGAATCTGAAGCTAAGAAGGAAGAAAAACCTTTGGAAAGCAGCAGCGGCATTTATCCTTCTATTACTGCATTTTAATCAGGCAGTAACTCTGCTTGAGGTTATGGTTGGACTTGGGTTTTACGGATGTTTTTAGGTTCTTTGAGTTTGGTTTATTTTTGATGATATTTTTAGGCCCGCAAGCCTTTTCAATTCTATTTATGTGTCAATAAAACAATGTTCTATCTATTTACAGTAATGTTCGGGCTATTATTCCTGAGCCCAAAACTTGATTGTGTTTGTATAATACAACGTTTTGCCCTGGAGCCATTGCTCTTGCGCTTTCTTCCAATTCAACAACGAGCGATTTAGTTGAATTAGAAGTAATTTGTTTAACTTTTAGAGGTGTTTGCAACGATCTGTATTGCAACAGAATTTCATTGTCCTCATTGAAGGCGAATGGTCTTGAGAGCCACTCCCAATCCTTGACCATGATTTTGGAGTTGAATAGTTTAGGATTGTTTCCTCCCTTTACAATCACCAATTCATTTCTTTCCACATTTTTTTCACTAACAAACCATACTCCCTTGTAGTTAGGATCACCTTGAGGCATCGAGACAGTTGATTTTTGGCCGATGGTACAATGCCACAACCCTTGGTGTTTGCCCCAGACCCGGCCATCCTCTGTTACAATATTTCCAGGGTTTGGTTCGATGTATTCATTGAGAAATTCCCGGAAGTTTTTCTGATCTTGGGAAACAAAGCATAAGCCTTGGGAATCCGGCTTATTGGATACATGTAAATTTAAGTCATGTGCCATCTGGCGTACAGCAGGCTTCAAGTGGTGGCCTATAGGCATCAACACCCTTGCTAGAATATCGCTTGGAATGCTCGATAAGTAATAGGACTGGTCTTTTCCTTGCGAATACCCTCTGAGCAAATGAAATTCTCCGGTGCTCTGGTCTTTCATAATTCGAGCATAATGTCCCGTTACTAACCACCACTTTTTGTCTTGATTACGGAACTTCTCTGACAAGTGTTCGATCATCTTACCAAATTTGACGTATTTATTGCAACCAGTGTCTGGGTTGGGAGTTAATCCTTGTTCGTACATTTGGATCATAGGTTGGAATACTTCACTCCAATACTCTTTCTCAAAGTTCACCCTCTCGCAGGGAATATTCAAGGATTTGCATACTTTTTGAACGTCGTTCCAGTCACTCTCGGTGCACTTAGCCGTCTGTGACCAGTTTGCCATGTATATTCCTCTCACATTACGATATTTTTTGGCGTACAACGCCGCTGCCACAGATGAGTCCACTCCAGAACTCATTGCGATGATGATTTCGTCGTCGGGACTTGGTTCTGCTTGTATATATCTTGGTGGTAGTTCATTAACAGGGAGTTTATTGGATAATATATCATCCACAGAAATTGCAGCTGGAGATGAGTTTGATGAAGATGCAGAAGTGGTGGAGTAAGGATTAGTTGTAAATTTGAATTTATGGATGGAGAGTGCCAGCGAGACTGGTAGCACCCTGCTTGTTATCCAAGGCGTCCATCTGACCTTGGTAAGTAAGCTTCTAGACATGAGTAATGCAAACTTTGGTTAAGGGTTCGAGAAGTAAGATCAGGTCACGTGCCATAATTGAGATTCAGCTCATGGCTGGGGCCATACGTCAATACTGAATCCCACTCTTATTTATTGGGTTGCGAACCCAAAAGTGTTTCCAAATTGCAATTAACAGTAGAGGAAAAGAAAACTATTCTTCACTGTGATGTGATTTTAAAAATAATGATTTGGCACTTATTAGAGGCCAATGAGACTAGTAAACTGTGACTCTGAAGTTCGAAATTACTAGTGTTTCCATGGAAGCTTGATGGGCAGCTACTGAACTCATGGAAATTCAATAGATGAGTTTGAGTCGGGATTCGGTAGCTAAAAAATATACTAAGTGACAGAGTTGCAAAAGTGATGCAGAGGTCGAAGAGGTCAGAGAATATGATGATAAGTCTGTAAAACCCATCATAGCAAACCAAATTTTAGATAAACAGGAGAACCATGGGGCGGTGCTGAAGCAATATTTGTTAAATTTTGAATTTACCCACTATTAGTCCTGTGTTAAAGTCATAGTGGAATCTTTATGATGGATCGAAATCAGAGCTTCTTTTAATTATGAATTGTAAAATCCGGTGATTAGTAGTATCCTTAGCTCCCAATAGTCATAAAAACAAAGTTTTATGACTCCAAAGTTACTCAAATAATTTATTTCTTTCCAGTTCCAACTACAATGAGTTAAAGTCAATCTTAACAAGGTCCACCCACCAACTCGTAAATCTAATCGGGAAAATTTGCTTGACAGGTGCCTAACATTTGATACATACACAGTCTATAGTCTATAATTGTAAGTTAGGAGTATATGAACAACAGGAGCCACCCAATCTTCGCAAAGTGCAAATGCGAGTGTAATATGTGTGTCTATTTACTTGCCGATATTTGCCAACAAGAGCTCATAGACTTCTTGATTTTTATAAACTTCTTCGTGGAGCCCCCAGTTGCCCTTAGCAACTTGGTGGTTGGCACCAATCTGTTTGAGGTACTTCTCAAGTATTTCTGTTTGGCGTACCGAAATTAACTCATCTTGAAGGGAGAAAATCACCAAAATGTGAGGTGGCTCGCCTTCAAAAGGAAGAGAATTGGTCCATGAGACCTGGAGTGCTTGAGTGTATGACTCTTCCGAATCAAATGCCTCGGATACGAACGAATTGTAGGATGGGTACTCTTCAATCAATTCAGGAATATGGTAGATTCCATCTATCAAGACTATCGATTGGATTTTCAATTCCTCTCCTCCAGTGACTCCAGCTATGGATCTGACATTCAAGAGTTCTAACAGCAAAGTTGCACCCACTGAATGTCCCACGATCAGCATGGGACCAGGATACTTTTTGGCTATGTACTGAAGAGCTGCCCACACATCTTGCAAATGGGTAGGATGCTTCACTTCAGGTGATAAGCGATAATTGATACTGAAAAGATTGTGGTTGGTCCGAGTCTTGAAGTAGTTGCACATGGGTTCAAAATCATCGTAGGTATTGTTAGGATCTCTCCATCCTCCACCATGAATAAATACAATCGACAGATTATTGCTTGGGTCGCCTTTGAAGACCTTTATAGACTGAAGAGGATGTGATCCGTATGTCTCGAGCATGCTGGGATAATAAATTGGCGTGAAGGAAGGTATTGTTATGCAATGAATTCTTATCTGGCGATACGAATGAACGTGGTGAGCACGCGAATTTTTCAGTATCAACCGTATGATTAGGTAACATAAATGAGTTCAACTTGTGTCAATCGACTATTGTATACTTCGAGTTACTAATACATGACACTTGTATAAAATAATAGGGTAGTTCACAACCAAGTACAATAAATTCTTGATGAAAGCTGGGTAGTTGACTAAGTTGTTAATGGAAAAGCTTCCTGTATATTTTTAGTCGTTACCCAATTCTCTTTCATTGTAGCTAATAGACCCAAAATTGGGTTGATAGACCCCCCCCCAAACCAGTCCACTGGTGATAAGGAATGACTTACAGATTCACTCAAGCTACCAGGATAATTACTACAACTATTCGATTATTGCGGAAGAACAACATATTCTTTTATTTCATATATGGATCCACCATTCACTCGGAATTTAATACATCATAATTACAATAAAACAAACAAGAATTGAACTTTTTTCTCTATGGTACAATAAAACTTTTGTCAAGTCATCTCCCACTTAGTATTTCTCTTGTTCCTTTTGATCCACCACTATCAACGTCCTTCAAACTGGAACACCCACAATTACATTTTTAGAGAAACACTTTATATTTAATCAATACAGGTTCTTTCTTTACCATTAGGCAACTTGTCAAAGGAAGGAAACACTAATTTCTAAAATAATAACACACTGATAAAAAAACATTTTGATCATACGATTCATGTTAGGAGTCAAACTTAGTAACGGGTTGGAGATCTTTCACGAGTGTAGGAGTCTCTGTCGTCTCTGCGGTATTCACCACGGTCACCACCTTCATGACGGTCACCACCTTCATATCCACCACGGTCACCACGGTCGTAACCACCACGGCCACCTCTGAATCCACCACGGTCACCTCTGAAGCCACCACGTTCGAAGCCGCCACGGCCACCTCTGAAACCACCACGTTCGAAGCCACCACGGCCACCTCTGAAACCGCCACGTTCGAAACCACCACGGCCACCTCTGAAACCACCACGTTCGTAGCCACCACGGCCACCTCTGAAACCACCACGCTCGAAGCCACCACGGCCACCTCTGAAACCACCTCTACGTGGTGGAGGTGGGATGAATGGAGAAGTGTCTTCTTCAGCACCGATTTCGGTACCTTGGAAATCGGCCTTGTCCAACAATGGGATGGCGGTTTCCAATTCATCACCAGAACCGAATTCTAAAGCACCGATAACTTCACCACTTTCGTAGTCTCTGAAGACCTTGGCGAAGGTAGGGGTGATGCTGGTTTTGTCTCTGACAAAGTCTTTGAAATCTTGCCATGCGGTACCGTCTGGCAAGTTGGTGACCTTGACACGGAACTTACCACGGGTATCTTCCTTTCTTTCACGGGCGATTTCAACGAGCAATTCTTGGCCGTTGAACTCGGTCTTGTTCAAGGTGTCGACAGCAGCAGTAGCTTCATCTGGAGTCTCAAAAGTGACGAAGGCGTAGCCTGGCATCAATTGGACTTCAACCACCTTACCGGCGGAGGCGAAGTGCTCTTCAACGGCTTCGCGTTCAACTTCGAATAAAGGTCTAGCAAAAACCTTGTTTAACTCAGACATTTTAGATATAATGTTATAAGGAGAGTTATGTGTGGATTAAAAACAATGTTCCTTTTGGCTGGCATCGTGAAATTTTAATCGGTAGGCACACGCCGGTTGCCACCTAGGGCTGGGAGGAGTTAGCAGTGAGGATTGGGATGTGTCCAGCGGCAGAACAGTGGGGAAAACGTGGACCATACCAACTGGAGCGGGGCTTCCAGGGTTCTTCAGCCAGTCCAGGCAGTATGGATGTTTCTTGGGCTTGAATGGGGGGTTTGGGGTGGCCCAAATCAGGGTAAATTCTGGCGTGGAGGAATGAGCCGCACCGTGGCGCCAGTAGTGGACCGGGATGCGATGGGCGTGCGATGGGCTTAGATAAGTGGGCCAAGTAGCTAGAGGTGGTGGTGCTTGCGCTCACCAGAAGGAAACAGTTTTCCAGAGTATTGAAGTATGGGTTGTGTCGTTACATCCATAATAGCATGGGAAAACGTGGCGACTCCTCTGGGTGGTGACTCCTCTGGTGGTTCGTGAACTGGTCTGCCACGTTTGCCCGCACATGTGCCCGTAGTGTGGTCGCTGGCACGAGCTACCACGGAAGAGCCGCAATTTGGTGGAAATTTCATCCAGTGCGGGTGCAAAATTTGGACTACCTAAACGCAGAAAATTAACTAGTATTAGACTATTAAAGAGGAAAAGGAATTAAGGAAATGAACATAAGGAATACAACATGAGCCATGAATATCTAAGGGTACAGATCAGGTGAAAATCTTCTTGAAGAATCTAGAAACACGACCGGACTTCTTCTCCTTCTTGGCTTCTTTTTCTTTCTTGGCTGGTGCGGCAGCAGCAGGCTTCTTGATATGGGCTTCCTCAGTCAATCTGGCAGCCTCAGACTCAGTAGGCTTGATTTCTTCAACGATAACGTCGTTGCCCTCGCGGGCAACAATGGCAGCCTCGATGTCGTCGGTGTTACCCTTGCCTTGGGCTATCAAGATCTCCTCGTCCGATTCGTTGTCTCCGGCACCAGCAACAACACCAGAGGCTGCGGCAGCACCAATAGCGCTAGGAGCAGCGTTCTTGGAGACTGGGGCAGCGTCGACTTCCTTTTCTTGGGCCTCGGTGGTACTGTGAGTAACACCAGGCACGTCGTCAACGATGGTTGGTTCTGGGTCGGCAACCTTGGCCTCTGGTACTGGTTCAATGTCACCAGCTGTCTTTGGAACCAATTCGGTAGCAATAACGGCAGTTGGCTCTTCAACAGGCTTGGAATCCTTGGCAGTATCTATGGCATCAGGTACAGGAGCGACAACGGGCTCTGGAACCGATTCAGCAGCCCTGTGTTCTGGAATGGTGGTGGATTCAGCAGCCTTAGTCTCAGAGGCTTCAACAGCGACAGCAGCTGCAACAGGAGCAGCGATGGCGGCAGCAACAGCAGCGGTGGCAGCTGCCTTTGCGTCCTCGTGTTGTTGTTGTTCTTTTTCAGCCTCTCTTGGGTCCAAGGTTCTAGCATCAGTGGTGGAATCAATGACAGGTAAAACTTCTGCATCGGATTTAGCATCCACTGGAGCTTCCTTCAGGACGGGCTTGGCGTCGGCTGGGTGGTCGACTGGAACGTTGACGATGGTGTTCTTGTCCTCGTCAGCGTGAACGACTTCATCTTTGGCGACTTCGTCCTTGGCGACTTCGATGTCGGATGGATCGGTGTCGGTAGATTCGGTGGTGGTAGAAGTGGCAGTAGCGATGGCAGCACCACCAACTGCAGCCTCAGCAGCCTTCTTCTTCTTCTTGGCCTTGTATTGCGAACGCTTCACCTTCTTCTTTTGCTTCTTCTTTTCAGCAGCAGACAAGTTTCTGGAATCAACATCTTCCACATTGGCAAAAGCTGCCAATTGTTCTTCGCTGCTAGGAACAAAAATTCCTGGTTCACCGGCAACGGAGACACCCTTGCCTTCGGCAGAAGGCAAGACGGTGGTGGAAACGTCGTTGGTGGTGGTTGCCGCAGCAGCCAAGCCTCCAGCTTCAGGGATCTTGGATGTGGTGGCGGTGGAGCTCAAAGCCTCCAAATCAACTGGCTCCAAAACGTTGTTGTCGATACCAGAGTCATCTTGGGCAATACGCTGGGTTGGAGAAACCAACCATTCGCCATCAACGATGTACTTGTACAAGATGCGGTTGGTCTCGAAGTCAGCGGGAAGTGGAACCGTCAATTCGAATGAGCCGTCGGCCTGCTTGACGAGCGGAAGGGACTTGCTCCAGTTGTCGAAGGTACCGGTAAGGATGACGTCAGAAGGACCTTTTGGCCTAAATGTTAGAACTGTTCAAGTGTCGGACCAGGAGGGAGAAACCACCACAGTAAAAGTGTTTTAGCAGCGTTTTGCCACTGGCCAACAGATTAGCCACGAGGGTGGAGACCAGCCCAAATTGGACCCGGGTCAACGGGAGAAACATACCATTTGAATGTGTACGAAGACATGATGTTAAACTATAAAGAAACAACTAATTAATTGCGTCCTTCTCACGAATGTCATCAAATTTGCCCAGTTGCCCAACCTGTGTAATGGTTTGCCCAAACAGGAAACAAGTCGTGACCTGGCTGAATTCGGATAGTTTGCGCCGTAACGAGGCTGGCCAATAACAATGCCCGGGCTCCTACGCCGCGCCGCACGTGAGCAGGGCTGAACACCAGCTAGTTGCAAAACCTGCGGAGGCTGCAAATCCTAGAGGTACGATAAGAGAACAGGCAACAAGCACAATGAATGCGCAGCAGCCACCGCCACCAATCCGAGCCACATCCGGAAGTAGTAGATCTCGAAGATCTTCGAGCTGGTAAACGCGAGCACAAAGATTCCGATCAATTTCGTCAAGGTGATGCCGGTGATGGTGGTGGGCCCCACCGTGGTCAACGCGTGGAACGCACTTCCATGCTCGCTTGTGTGGTCAAGAAGCTCGTCGGATCTGAATTCTTGCGACAGGCCAGCGTTCTCGGCGTTGGAAGACGCCTTGGTGATGTGGACGGCAAATTCCACTGCCAAACCGCCACAAATGACCAAATTGACTAACGAAACGGCATTCAACGAGATGCCTGCGATGGCCATGACTCCCCCCATATCAATCAATACAGAAACAACAACCACTCCCAAAACCGCTGCCCGCTTCCACCCCAACATGAACGAGCTGATTGCCACGATCACCGCTACCGCCCCGCTCAACAACAGGAAAGTCTTCTGGATAATGGTTTCGTATTGCACAAAGAACACGTAAAAGGGTGAAAACGCAAACATGTCGATGTCATTGTACTGTTTGATCTCCTTGACTATCCGAAGCGAGTTCTGGTACGCAACAATAAAGTCCTGCTGCGACTTCAAGGGCTTGTGTCCAGCACGGAAGTAGCTTGCAGTAATGTTGTGCGCGGTTCTGGCAATACTGGTGTCATATGGTGCCTTGCCTCCTAAGGGGCATGGGTCGCTCGGGGACTGAATCCATTGGTTGAAATATGTCATGAACTCAGCACCCGTGGGAAATCCTTCCATGGTTGTGTTGTATGCGGGAGAATGATCCTGGTAGCATGGCTGACATTGACGTGCCGGCGCGTTGGCAGAACAGAATTCAATTTCTAACGGCGATGACTTCTTGACCCTGCAACATTCATCCAAATCTGGATTTAACCACCCCAAGAAGTCATCTATCCAACTTGAGGCAGGGTCTTGGATAGTTGAAACATCCTTGCGCTTATACTCTTGTTCCAAAATGTTAGCCACCGAGTATCTATCACACGCAGAAAACTTTCCACACACCCGTTGTTGGTTCTCACGTTGGGTGACATCCAAGTCCTTCATGACAAAGAAAACAGGTGGCCCAACGTTGAGATGCTGATACATCGCATCGAAATAGTCAATCAAGTATGATCCTTGAGGAAGCGCGGTTCTTTGGTCCAACCCCATTTGGATCAGAGGCATAAGACTAAGCGAAACACCTGTCCATAATACAAAAAATGTGATAACTTTTCTCTTGCCCGATTTTGATAAAACGGCAGGGGCATACTTTTCTTTGATAAATTGAACAAGGTTCCATTGCTCTTTTTCTTCAGGTACTTCGTCTAGCTGGATCCATGGAACACAGTCCAATCTCCTGTTCTCCACCCTCTTCTGATCAACTGACAACAATGCAACAAAGGTGGTCATCTGTAATAAGAAGTTGATAAGAATTGCCCCAGCACTGTAGTATGCGAAGTTCTTCACAGCAGGCATATCTACTCTTGTCGCAATTAAGAACATGAAAAACTGCAAGGTGGCACTTAATAGACAGGAGGGCCCAATATTTCCCATAGCCAGAGCAATACGCGTTTCTATAAGGGCGTCAGGTAATACAGCACTAATATTGTTCAACTCGTGAACAATTAAGAAAATGTTATCGACACCAATAGCCAAAATCAAAAACGGAATAACCTCGGCAATAATAAGTGTAGATTTTAAGCCAATGACAGCGCAGAGTCCAGCGGACGACAGGATGGACATCAAAATAATTGTAATACCCCCCAATCCCAACAGAAATCTAGTTCTGATTAAGAAACTAAGTGTGGCTTTTGGCCACTTTCCTCCCAAAGCCAAGGAGGCATATAAGAACATGCAAATATAAGAAATGACCACAATTTTAATATCAGTGTTCGTCGATTTGTTGAGCTCTTCGGTCAAGGAGATTTCAGTACTGTATGAGATAGTAACATTTGAATTTTCTGACTGAACCTTCGTAACCCAATCTTGAACCAGGTGCTCAAATTCAATTGCAGACTGTGTATAATTTTCATCACTCAGGTTGCTATTGATCAAAATGGTTACAATAAAAGCCTTGGAATCCAAAACACTGTCATTATCAAACAAAATATTTGGCTTTAAAGGTTGTTGGAAACTTGGCAAACAATTCACAGGAGAATCAGTACAGCTTTTCAAGTTTTGCTTCCAATTATTTTCGTTTAAGTAATTGATATCACCTTGAAAGTATTGGGTAAAGGATTGAATTCCACAGGTTTCGCCCAATGGTTTGAAACAAATATCTGAAAGTGAGACATTTGCATTAAGCGTTTCAAGTTCGGCCTCCTTTTCAAACCACCATTTGATGTTGTCCCAGTTTAATATGGGTTCATCATTCCTTGAGCTCACTATAAGTTGTTCGATTCTAAACCACTCCCCAAAATTAGACTCAAAAAATTGCATATTCTTGAGAGCTGGTTCTTCAGGGCTTACCCAAAGATTGGTTGGATCTGTCTCTAATTCTAGTTTCAACAATCCTGAAGAAAGCAAGATAACAATCACTAAACTGAACCCAATAGTTACTCCAGGAAATTTAGCACAGTAATAGCCAGTTGTTTCAAAGACCTCTTGAAGACCACTAATAATATTTTGCTGGAAAGATGCAGTTGGTGACACTGATGGAGAATTAGTATTCACCAGTAAGCTATTGATGGAGTTATCTTCATCAGGAAGTTTTAGTTTCTTTTTATGCAAAAACATATGGTAAATTCCTAGGGCAAAGATCAAGGCAGCCCATATGATTATAATCGAGAAAGAAAAGCAAGCGAGTGGACCAATATGACATGATTCAGCGTAGCCATTGAATGATGGAAGCTGTGGACAAGATTGGGCACAATCAGAACATGCACACCTATAAGTCTCATCATCACAAGATTTCATATCACCCGACCTTGGAAGAAATAGTTCGGATTTGTCTTTTTTGTATGAATAGTTGATCTGGAAGGGAGAACCTCCGAGTAAAGGCTTTTCGTCCCCCAAGAATTTAAGAAACTGTTGATAGTTTTTAGCACCACCTCCAATTAAATCCATGGCAAATCCATTAGTGGCTGAGAATTTCACATTTTTGCAGGAGTCAAAGAATGCTTCGGCATATTTGGGGTCAACGTACTGAGTGATCTCAGTCACTATGTCTTGCTTTGTATCTACTGCTTGTGAGGTCTTGGTGACCTCAACAAATGAGGCCTGATTTGGCGAACAAGTGAAATCACAAATGAAATCATAAAAGTTCCTTCTACAAGCAGGACAAGAACTGATAAGAGGATCGACCCTTTTCAAGCTTGATTCCATGTTTAACAATTGGTCCATAGAACAACAAGTTTTGTCAAAGCTCTTGCCACATACTCTTTGGAGAACTATGAGTTCTTCCAGGCTTGGGGCTTCAGCTTTTCTATCTGTTGGGCATGGTAATTGGCCACCGAATATGCTTCGTTTCCCACAACTTCCATACATTGAGCAATATCCTTCACCCGTCGATAAAGAAGATGCCAATGCCAACGATGCACTGATTGCTGCAAGCACCAATCTCAGGAAATGCATCTTATGATACTCCAATAAGCAAAACGGGCAGATTATACCCTGAAAGTGGAATTACTCAGATAGAAGCAAGAACTGGGTTGTGGACTTCTTATAGCGTAGCACCAGGATGAATTATCTATCGAGTAGATAGTGTCTTGGCTTGAATTTAAGGTGTGTCAATGAATCACTAGAGGTTGAATGATTAAGTTGCTGATTTGTACTATAATGAATGCCGCTTATCGGAAGGTGGAGTTGGTGCACATATACGTCATGTGACTATTTACACGTGATTGGATATCCCGTTGGTGATACGCGTGTATTTCACGGTTTATCACCAATCTAACCTACAATGTTGATCGGGATCTCAGGAACAGCAGGATCAGGCAAGACGGAGGTGGCCAGGTACTTGATTTTTCAAGGTTTTAAATTGTTGTCATATGATTTCTTAGGGGACTCCACACCAGAAACAGAAGAGTTTGACAATCTGACTCAAGATGAGATACATTCAACTCAGTTCGATGTCCACAAAAGCTTTTCAGAATTGGGGGACTTGGTTGAGTTTGTAACCCAGAACTGGAGAGAGAATTATGTCGTAGCGAATCTCAATGATATCGAAATGTTGACGAGTTTACAAAAGAGACCTTTCTTCTTGCACATTTCCATCGATGCTCCATTGACTTTGAGATACGAACGTTACAAATTGAAAAGCAGCATGGACAGGGTAAGTTTGTCTGAATTTGTGGAAAGAAATGATAATGAGCTTTTCAGCTTGGAGAATCCATTAATTGAGATCAACAACCAGGCCCAAATCAAGATCATCAATACATCTCGTTCCATCAAAGATCTTTACGTGAAATTATCAGAGTTGAACTTACTCAACCATTCCAGATTGAGGCCTACCTGGGATTCGTACTTCATGAGGTTGGCAGACTTGGCTGCCTTGAGATCTAATTGCATGAAAAGACGAGTCGGTTGTGTTCTCGTCCGTCAGAACCGTGTCATTGCAACAGGTTACAATGGTACACCCAGGCACTTGACCAATTGCAATGAGGGTGGTTGTCCAAGGTGTAATAAAGGTGAGGGTAGTGGAGCAGGTCTTTCGACCTGCTTATGTTTGCACGCTGAGGAAAATGCTCTATTGGAAGCGGGAAGAGATAGAATAGGAGGAGACGGGGTGTTGTACTGTAACACATGCCCATGCTTGACGTGCTCGATCAAGATAGTCCAAAGTGGTATCAAAGAGGTGGTTTACGCGCAAAGCTACTCCATGGACGAGTTGAGCCACAAGGTGTTGAGCGAAGGGAAGATCATTTTAAGACAATTCCAACCACCTTCAGAGGGGATCTTTATATAATTTGCATTTACAAGACAAGGATATAATGAACAATACTAAGACATATCTTGATTTAGTTTGAATTTATTTAAAGAATATTAAAGCATATCTTGATCTAGTTTTCAGTATCTTAATATTACAAATACTTAATATCTTGTATGGGATTGACGAGTGATTATATCTCCTTGTATTCATAAGGTCCATCCTTTTCGGCAACGTCGGCCTCGATTCTTTCGATCTCTTGACCATCGACGCTCAAGAATGCTTCAACGCGGTCGCCTGGTTGGATTTGTCCAACACCCTTTGGAGTTCCAGTCAAAATCAAGTCGCCTTTCTCCAAGGTCATAATGGAAGACATGTGGCTCAAGATCTTGTGGATAGGGAAAATCATCAAATCGGTCTTGTCCTGTTGCTTGACTTCACCGTTGACCTTCAACTTTAACTCAACGTTGTAAGGATCCTTGATCTTGTCCTTTGGAATGAAATTGGATACAGGCAAAAAAGTATCAAAACCCTTACCAATTGACCAAGGCAAGCCCTTCTTCTTGGCCTCGTCTTGCACGTTTCTGGCAGTCAAGTCGATCGTCAAAGCGTAGCCCTCGATCGCCTCCAATGCTTGTTCGTGGGTGAAGGTGGATGGAAGGTTCTTCAACTCACGGTTCAACGTGAATGCAAGCTCAACCTCATAGTGCACAACCACGCCTTTGGGAGTCAAAATAGGACCCTGTTGAGGCTTCAAGATCGACGAAGAAGGCTTCAAGAAGAAGAAAGGCTGTTGGGGTTTAGCGTTGTTGAGCTCCTTGATGTGGGCAGCGTAATTGCGGCCAATACAAAGGATCTTTCTGGCGGTAGAGAGGTAATTGAGCGACATGGTGGTCTGTGGAGGAAGTGGTGGAAACTGTGCTACTTTTAAGTTGTGGGGGAGATCTGACTCTTACCGCGGCTGATTACATAACCAGCCCGGAGATTTAGGGTCTATTGTAGAGGATTAGAGTGGGGGTCATGGTTACTGTCAATACGAAGAAGACCGTGATGTGACCACAAGAGACGATCTCTGCACTTTCAGATGCTGCTCGCGTTTTGTTAGCTAGCCTAAGAGATGTTTTGTTCCCAAGTTTCAGCAGATGGTGAGAGATGAGTAGTGCCCTCATGGACTGTAGCTCAAAGTAGAAAAGTCGCCAGTGTGAATCCCCGGAAGCACAGACGACTTCTAGGACGGCCAACTTTCCCACTAGACTCCCACAAGGTACCTGTTGGCCAGGGTCAGGGAGGTCTGGCTGATATTGACGTCTTCGCTGGGAGTCGTGCACGCGCCGACAAATTTTCATAGAAATTTTCACACAATCAATCAAACCTACCAGTATCACCAAACACCTCCAAGATGTCGTCCACAGTTATGGGATCATGGGCGGATGCCGGCGACGAGTTCGCAGCTCCAGATATCACCGTCAACCCAGACGGAACCAAGACCGTCATCACGTACAGAACAAACGCCGAAGGTAAGAAAGTCAAGATAACCCAGAAGATCAGAGAAGTCAAGGTTCAAGAAAAGGTGCATCCATTGATCGCTAGAAGAAAGAACTGGAAGAAGTTCGGCAAAGAAATAAATAGTCCACCCGGTCCCGATACTAGTACAACCCAACTAGGTGAAAAGGTGGAATTGAAATTGAATCTTTCATGGAAACAAATCGAAAAGGAAGAAGAAGAAAACAAACAGCAAAAGATGTCTGCCCAAGTCATGCAAACCGTTAGATGTAGAACTTGTGGAGGTGACCATTACACTACCAAGTGTCCATTCAAGGACACCTTGGGCTCCAACGTGGCCGAAGCCGATGCTGCTGCCGCTGCCGCCACCGAAGCTGCATCCACCACTGCCAGTGGTAAATATGTTCCAAGACACTTGCGTATGGATGCCAACGGTAACTTGCCAAGCAAGGAGTCTCGTGACGATTCTACTACATTGAAGATCTCCCAATTGAACACTTTCGTCGACGAAGAAATGTTGAGAGACGAATTACTCTCCTGGTTCGGCCCATTGCAAAGAGTCAACATTGTCAGAAACAGAGAAACTGGCGAATCCAGAGGATTTGCCTACGTTTCCTTTGCTACTGAAGAGCTTGCTCAACGTGCTTTAGATGCTTTGAACGGTAAGGGTTACCATTCATTGATTTTGCATTTGGAATGGTCGAAGAAGAGAAAGCCATGAGTCGGCACCATATAACTGTATAGGTATATTAGGGTAACGCATATATTGACAAGATGTAGAATCAATTGGAGCGCGGTGATGGGCGAGGAACGGCTGGATATGCCAACGGAGAGAAGTTACCTATTTGGGTTGCGGCCATATCTAGTCGATAGTGCACTGGTTTGAAGGTTAGAATCGAGTGCAGATCACACACTGGTTAGACAACTCAAGCGGGGATGGGCTTGTAGCAGGGTACTAAAAAGGATTGTTGGTTCCAGACAGATCGAACGAATGCGAGAAAGTGATAGTTTCCATCATTTATACATTAGAGCTGCACTCGTAAGATTATTTACCCAGTAATGTTTGGTCTCTGCAGCCGTGCTGTTTTCAAATAAATGGATTTAGAGGATATTCAATTTTACTAACAATAGTCAAGTATACAAGATTAGCAACAGGACATCGTGATATGCCTACTATAAGACTTTTCATCACAACGTGTTGAGAAGTATACAGTTACTGTCCAGGCCCTGTAGTCTAAGTGTGATTCTGGCTGACCAAGCCGAAGCCCCAACTGCAGGGGGGTGGGGCAGTTCCAATCGCTGAATACAACAAAGTCAAGCTGGAACGCTAGTAACGCATTAAGGTTTGCGAAATTTCAAGAATTCCACCCATACACCTTATTAGGTGGAGACGAACCATCTTTGTTCATGGGTTGCTACTGGGGTTGATCGAGCTATGAATCTCTACTGAATCTCTACTGAATCTCTGAGCTTCCTCTACTGCGATTTTCTGTTCCTGGTAAGCCTACCTCAGTCTGCGTGGCGCCAAACTGACACAGCATGAGTGTTGCATAAGGGATGATGTTTCACACTGATCATGCTCAAACTTGTATGTATCATGGTAGTGTTCAAACTACGTGTATGGTGTGTGTGTATGTCTCACTATACGGTCAAGGGTGTCCATCGACCTACCGCATATCCCGTCATTGCCGCATCGCCCAGAAATAGGCGGTGCTAGCGTACTCTAATGCAAATGCCGGTCACTCCGCGCTGGCTATTGTCATTCACCGTATTTGCCCTCTATTGTCTACCTGGCTACAATACCCCCGTACGGCTGACCACCAAGGCGGGGACGTGGTGGCAGTGGCTGCTGATAGCAGTGACTGCCACCTTGCACTAGCCAGCACCCTCCCAGCCGCCACCGCCACGTCAATTGCTACGCACTTGCCCTACAGTGCGTAGTCGCCGCCGCCACCGAGAAGTCTAAACCGCCGTTTTGACGCTATGCGCCGCCGGAATGGCTTCCACACAACGCCACTACCAGCTTCTGCCCGTCATTTCCCTCGCAGCCAAGATTTTCACCGAAGCAACATCGGTACGACCGCATCTGCCGCGCTTGCCGTCGTTCCGTTCCGTACCATCAGCAGCCGCCGTTCCATGCGTCATGTGATCGTGCCCTTACAGACGCCATTGTAGTCAGTAGCAAATTGCCATCAACGTCCTCCTGCATCTCCTGCTTCTGCCACTCCCTCCTCCGTCCCAGCGTGCAGCAGGCGTACTCACATCCGCACTTCTGACTCTTCCTCCAATTGCAACTTCCGCAACTGCCCTGGTGACGTACTAGCTTCTGCCATGTCCCTAGCATCTCCCGCCAGATCCAAGGAGGCACCCTCCACCCCCAAGAAGGGCTTTTTCAGCAAGATTCTCCGGCGAGGCTCCCAGAGATCGTCCAGACGGTCTCCCACGGCTGCCACACCCGAGTCGGTGGAAAGAGCTTCTAGAACATCCACCTCGCCGTCTCCCATCACCAACTTGAGCATCAGCAACAGAGAGGGAAGCGTGGTCAGCAGTGGGTCGAAGCGCCACAGCTACTTGGGTTTCATCGACGACGACTACTCCAGTCTCTACGACGATGACGTTGGCGATGTCAATATCGACTCCGATACTTCGTCCACCGCATCGTTCGGTTCTCCACGAGTAAGGAACAACTCGTTCGATAACGCTTTCGACGAGTACAATGAGAAAATCCGGTTTCCCACCTTGAACAACAGCTCCACCGACCAGATCGATATCACGGCCGTACCCTCTAACGAGGACTCGCCGTGGGCCGGGCTCAACCCCGACACTCTCGAGGCTCCGAAATATATCAAGATCACCAAGAAGAACAAGCACAGTCCGAAGGCCATCAACAATTTGTTTTTGGCCCAAGAACTCAATACCGAGACCGACGAGTCTACCGACAAACCCACGCTCGATCTTTCTTCCAGTGGTGAAGAAGACGATGCCGACACGCCTACCTCAGTGAATGGTAACGGCAATGCTCAAGAGCCTGTTCGCGAAGGCCAAGACCCTGGAAAGAGAAACCAAGGAGAGTTGTTCGTGCTTGAATTCAGCAGAGATGGAAAGTATATGGCAGCTGCTGGTAGAGACTCCACCATCAAAATCTGGAAAGTTATTTCTTCCCCATTAGGCAGACTCGAATCTAAAAGTACGTCTCCCACTGGTCACACCAAAAGCAAGAAATGCCGTGGTAAGAACAATAAGATCTATGACGCAGCACCGGTTTTTCATCAGAAGCCATACAAGATCTTGAAGGGACACACCCAGAGTATTCTCACTTTGGACTGGAGTAAAAACAATTTCCTCTTATCAGGAGGAATGGATAGAACGGTGAAATTATGGCACATTGAAAGAGAGGAGTGTCTTCAGACTTTCAACCACGAAGATTTTGTGACATGCGCTAAATTCCACCCTAACGACGACAGGTTCTTCTTGAGTGGGTCTCTTGACAATCAGGTGAGACTATGGTCTATTTTGGAGAGTAATATTGCCTACTACAAGAACTTAGGAGACAATATATTGATCACAGCATTGTCGGTGACTCCAGATGGAGAATTTGCTATCATCGGAGGATTTTATGGGACTGTGTTTGCTTTGGAAGTGAACGGGTTACATATCAGACAAAGAGTGGACATTAAGGATAGGTCAATTGTCCATCCATTCTTGCACAAAAATGGTAACAAAATCACCGGAATCAAAATTTACGAAACCCTGCTGTATAATGAGAAAGAGGAAACTGACCCCTTGGTGAAATGGGCATATCTTATTTCTACGAACGATTCAAAAATAAGATTGGTACGTCTGACCCAGAAGAAATTAGTGACACGGTTTAAGGGACATGCCAATAATTCGTCTTCCATAAACGCTTCAATAACCGATGACAATCGGTACATCTTGTCCGCCTCGGAAGATCATTGGTGCTATGTTTGGGAAAATAACAACAGTATCATCAATAATAAACTAAAGCAATCAGTGAAAGATCTTCTAGTCGAAGGGAAACACCATATCTCAGATCTACAACATAAGCACAAGAAGTATGCCAAGTTGATCCAAGACAACAAGTTAATGAAGAAGCTTTTAGAGTCTGATGAACAGGGAGAACATATTTCTAATGAAAATAACAGCTATTCGGCTTTTCATGCACATAGCTCTAAGATTAACGCTGCTATTTTCGCTCCTGAAAGTACAAAGAAGTTGTTAGAATTATCAGACGATGTGATATTCGACTTAGTAAAAAGATATAAAGCATGCATAGAGGGTTTATCTTCTTCTGAAGAGCATGATAGAAGATGTGGAGAAAAGAAAGGTTCCTTAAAGGGCTTGGTTGAAGAATCAAATGGTAATATTATCGTGACTACTGATGAATATGGTGCAATAAGAGTTTTCAGGCAAGATTCAGCTCATAGAATTAGGAAACGTTTGATAGGACTTAATTCTAGGAGCCAAAAGAATCATAGCACTGAAGACCTTAAGGGTATGAATTGTGATGGACACAAACCTTTGAAGTTGGAACTTCCTGCAGTGAAGAGATTGGCCAAACATGGGAAGAGCTTAAGTCCAAGCCATGATGGGTACTTCCACTTTAAGAATAAGCATCGGGGGAATTCCAAGTCTAGCGGATTTAGTAGTCAGGATAGTAAGTTTGGGTCTGTGAGAAGCGACAATACCTTGTCAAGTGACAGGAAAACACAACTGAGTCATACCCTGTCAACTTTGATCCTGGGTGATGAGTCAGTAGTTCCTTCGCGGAATTTAGGAGGTGAGATTAGACTAGATATGAAATGAAGGTGAATGCCTTCAGGATCCTTATCTTTGCATTCCCTGATTGCAAAGCACGAGAATTCACATAATTTATACCACTCAACAGAGACACTACTCTCTTATTTATGATTAATGTTAGGGAAACATAGGTTCAAATGTATGGACTAAGTTTACAATTGCGGCGAATGTAACATGGAGAACCGACCGATAATAGTACTTCACTACATCTAGTCTTCAAAGCCATGGATGATATCACGTAGCTATCAAACTATTAAAATTCAAGTTCTAGAAGAGTACAAGAAACGACAAGAAACCTTCAGTTTATTCTCATTTTTACATTTATTAAACATTATACAATACAATTAACCAGACCAATATTGGTAGCTCTTAGGTTTACTAACACTGATTGGCAATTTATCAATCTCACCTTGGTTCACTTTCTGACCTTCAGATTCAGAAGAGTCTCTATTCTTTTCTGACTTTAATGGGTTCAAAGACTTGTTGATTTCGTTCACTCTGACTGGTTTGATTAAATCATCCAAGACTTCTGTCAATTCAGGTCTTTGCTCCTTCAAGTTTTGGATTTTCTCATATTGTACCCATCTTTCAATCAATACTTGCTTTCTTTCCAAATTCAACTGGTTTTCAATTTTCAATAAGTTTTCCTGTAAAGTGTCCAACTTCTTTAATTTGTGACTGAACTTTTCTAAGGTCAACTCAGTGATTTGATTTATTAAGTTCGACTGTTCTAGTATGGATTCTTGCAAATTATCATGAGCGTTTGACTTCACAATGTTCCTTCCTTCTTGATCCTTGACGATCTTCTTGACTATGTCTGCTATCAAATTTTCATTCTTAATGACAGTTGTATCTTTCTTTTTGGCATCATCGACTATTCTGTTTAAGTATTTATCTTCAATAGGCAATTGAACGAATTTGATTAAGCATTGTTCTCTGGTTTTAGAACCAACATGTTCACTAATCTTTTCCCATTGACCGTTGGTATTTGTAAAGATTGACCCGTTGGCTGCATTTGCAGAAGAGTCCAACGTTCCAAACATTTCAATACCTTCAAGCAATAATAAAACTTCTTGTTCTGACCACTCAGCAGCTTCATCTGACTTCTGTAATCTGACAAAGTCTGACGCTTGAAAGTTCAGGGGAAACAAGCCCTGGTCGTAACATAAGTGACACAAGATGCTTGCGTTGTTTATAGTAGAACTCGAATTATGTGTGTATGTCTTGATTCTTAAGTTATGGTATCTTACCGTGGTTGCATCTTTTCCACAAATGTTACAGAAGTATTGGACGATAGTGTTGTTTTTGCCTGTGATTTTGCTGTTTGAAGTAGTGTAAATATTTCTTCTTACTTCCAAATTCAATGCATTTGAAGATGCTTCTTTTTTTGATTCTGATTCTGAAGGTGGGGGTAACTTGCTTTCTTTGTCATTTACTATTTTGGCATTTTCTGGAATTAATGGCAACAACCCAGTAGGGGTATCCAAAGTAATCTGGAAGTGACCAGTGTACTGCGGACCAACTATGGATGGTTTTGTCTTGGGATCAATTTGATAGTTGATTAAGCCCCACTTCTCCAAAAACTGATGGATTCTGATAATGGAGGCCACATCCCCAGCCAAATTTCTTCTTACTGCAGTGACAGTTAAGTATTCTATAGGGTTGATTCTGTAGGCGTTCACCATGAAATCTCTGATGTTCTTATAGATTTCAGGTGATTTATAGATTGATCTCGAACCACTGTCTCCAAAAAAGTCAGGGAAAGACTTCTCTTCAATAGAATGAACTTCGTCCAAATTGAACCACTTGGAGAAAGAAGGAATTATAACATGGGCGGCTTGTTCCACTAAATAGGCCCTTGCCTTCTCCTGGAATTCAGTCTTAACTTGTCCAAGGTCGACACTAGCTTCTTCTTCCATTTGCACGTCACCATTACCTCCTTGGCCATTGCCTTCAGTTGGGACAATCTTGGTCTCGTTTTCGGCACCATCCGCAACTGGCGGCTTTGTTTCTGGTTCTATAGATGCCATATTCGATTGATGGACCAGATAAGGTTGATGAATAGTTCAGATGTTTAGAAGTGAGTGTTTTTTCGTTGAAATGAGTTGTGCACGACATGACACTTTGTCGCTTTCGAGACTAATGTCGTACAAGAAACGACATCTCACTTTCACCTCAGACGCGTTATTTACAGCCACCGTGATCTAAGAAGCACAGTATTGAACTGGCATACCACACCATGACTTCTTCTAGGCTCAGAAGGCTGACCCGCAATGCTCTGAAATCAGAGATATACAAAGAGTTGAGCGACTCAGAGTCACAGTCAGAGGGAGAAGAAAGTGACTACGAAATCGTTGCCGCACCAAGGCCCATCAAGAGAAGTAAGAACTCAAAGGCAGGACCCCCTACTAAGCGGGCAAGAGTTCCTCGCGGAAAGAATGTTAATTTGGACCAATTGGAAGCAGGCTTGCCTGAGAACTACCTTTATCAAGCGTTAGCCCAGCCAGACATTGACACTCAGGATTTGGCGTTGGAATGGATTGAATCATATACAGAGGATGAGGAAGAAGCAAAAAATACTTCGTTGACTATATTAATAAACTTGTTGCTCCGCAGCTGTGGATCAGTGTACTTGTTCGAAGCACATGATTTAGTCAATCTCGAGTCAGCAGCAGAGACAGTTGGCGAACTAACAATTCTTTTTGGGAACCAAAAATCACACAGATATCCATTTAAGGCACTCCCAGCTTTCAAGAGTAATGTGTTGTCATTTTTTGAAGATTTGATCAAAATTGCCCATGAGAAGGGTTCCTTATACAAATACAATAAGGATGATCAAGAGGAAGATGATGCTGACACTTACTTGGCATCTCCCTTAATGAATCAGATATTGACTTGGATTTCATCCTTGAGCACATGTACAATAAGACCACTCAGATTTATTGCTACCCTGATTTTGCTCAGTATCCAAAATCAACTTTGTCATATCATCAATTCAGTTGTGATCAATTTGGAAAAGTCACAACGTCAATTAACCAGGGCTAACCAAAAAAATAAATCAAAAATTCAAACAATATCGAGAGCAGTGCAAAGTTACCAGAATCAGAAAGATACCATTTTAGAGTATTTTAGTGAAATAGGTGATATCACCTTGGGTCATAGGTATCGCGATATAGATCCTGTTATACGTCAAGAGTGTATTAAATACTTGGGGCAAGCTATGATGATTTTCCCTGATCATTTTTTTCAACCTACTTTCCTCCGATTCTATGGGTGGTTATTATCAGACCCTTCGAGCCTGGTCAGAATCGAGGTTACTAAAGTTTTATTGAGGCTCTATAAGAATTTTACTGGTTCAGGAAAATCAAGCTCTAATAACTTGAATATCGGGTTTAGACAGTTTACTGAGAGATATAAAGAACAACTCATCAAGATGAACAAACTCGATTCAGACGTCAATGTTCGCTTCAATACTTTAAGCATCTGTTGCGAATTGTTGAAGATTGGGTTCTTAAATGATTCTGAATGCTATGATATCATATCAATTTTCTTCTCAGTAAATGGAGGAGATGATTTTTATTCAAGAACCATGTCAAAAACTAATTACAATAAATTTAAAACAGAGATAGCCAAATTTGTTACTATCTTGAATGACTTAAAGTTGAAAGAACGTTTAGAGAAGTATGCTAGGATTCTTGATAGCTATCTGTCTCCGCAATTTGATGAGGGGGATGTTTTAAGTCTAAAATCCTGTTTAAGGCTCAAAGAATTGATTGACATTTTGCAAAATTGTGCTGATCATTACAAAGAAAATTTGCTGCCAGAAGTGCAAGATACATTCCTGCTCAAGAAGCAAATCTCGGCAGTTTTTGAATCTGTTTACGCTACACCAACTTTCGATAACACGTGGGAGGTATTAATCAAATACTTGACACTTGATATTCAACTGGTTGTTTTCATACCCCAGGATGACCAATTGAATGAAAATAATATAGACATTGACCAGTTAAAGAATGCTCTTGATTTATCGGAAGCAAAAGATAAAGACTATTTGTTATATTTTGTCGATGGTTCCATTGGCTCTATAATATCGAGGAAAGGGCCTGAACTTTCAAACATATTAACAAAGTTGGTCAACTACGTTCCAACTCTCCAATCTTTGGTGAAGTCAAAAGAGAGACTTTCTATATTTTTATCCATCTGGTACAAGTTGGTTCAATCTAACGAGGCTGCTTCTAACATTATTACTTCCTTCAATGAACTAGGGCATTTGCAACAGTACAACGACATTACGATTAAATTGTTGAAAGAATACCAAGCTTTTACGTTTACCGCTAATGAAACTAATTCGGAAGTATTGAGTGAATATGAGCTATTATTCGCAAAATTGTTCGAAAGCTATGACCAGGTCGTAACTACAGGATTAAGTATCCGAACACCAGAAATCAAAATTCAAGTTCAGAATACAATCGAGGAATTAGTGGGTGAATTGAAAGTGATTTTCAAAACAAGCAGACTTGATAATGCAAGTACAGATAATGAGTTGGGAACTCAAAAGAGAGTACTTCAAACTATTACGGAAGTATTAGTTCCATTTTCAAAGTTACAAAAATTGGGAGATTTTATTGATCTCAATGAATATTTGAATACCTCCAGTACATCCCAAGACTTATCAGTGTTTAGTTCAACAGTGCACACCATGAGAATTTTTAAGGTTCAGGTATTTTTGCAATCGTGGACTCAGAATTTTTTACAAGCATCCCCAAGACTTATTCAAAGCTTTAGAGCAGTTTTAGATTTGTTCCTAATAACCACTTCATGGAATCTTGAGAAAATTATCGCCTTGGAAGATGAATGTCTTCAAGCAAACTACGACATAGCCTTTTTATTTCAGAGATTGAATGAACTCATTCCCGTGTTAGTTGGCATTTTGGAGGATTCCAAACATCTGATCGAATTCATTATAGATCAGGATTTGAAATCAAGGTATTTTCTTATCAAAACAATTAATGAAATCCGGACCTTAGTGGCAGCTAAGTTGATTGATTTTATCACGTCGATCAAAGTGTTGTACGTCAAGTTCAAGTCAAAAAACGCATTCAAGAATTTTGATGACTTTTTTGGGAATAAGAATGGCATAGGGTTCCTATATGTGGTGAGATTAATACCCGAAGAACTTCAAAACCAACTCCTTGACCTCTTCTTGTACAAGGAAGCCCAGTTGGGCCGTGTGCTTGAAATCGAGTTAGACAGGAATGACATCGAGAATGTGAACATTGAGGACTTATTTTTGGGTGAAGAAGAAGGAAGCCCTGAAAGTGAAGAAGAAGCCTTACAGCGCAGTGTGTTTGATTCGGACGATGAATCTGATATCGAGGGTTCGGAAAATAAGCAATTGGTTCAACAACAAAGGTTGCGGAATCAAGAATTGAAACAGAAAGATGCGAAACAAAAGAAAGTTTGGGGTCTTGAAAAAGAGTTGTGTGTTTACACCTTGAAGATGTTCGCGTTGATTGATATGTCAATAATCGAGGAGAAGATTGACACCAGAGTTCAGCTCAATTCTGACAAGATTGGTGGGGTTTTTGCTAGACTCGTTAAGCAGCACAGTGCTCAAGATGGCGGTCCATCCGGCGGAACTGTTCCTCAAGTTCGAGTGGCTCCTAACGCCCATACTGAGGACGCAAACCATCAACGTCTACAAGAGTCACCTGAGCCGGAAGAACAGATTCAGGACCCAGAAACCGAGTTGGCCACCGATCTACCACCAGCCGAGCTTGAGCCTGTCCAAGCAGGATCGCCTTGAGTGTTCTACCTTGAAATACCTAATGCTAAATATGATCAAACCCCGTAAAGTCTCGTAACAACCCTTCGCGTTGGTTTCCCCGAAACAACAAGAATAGGCAACCCTACATGTGGTTGAGGCGCGCCTCAAAGTAACTCGGTTGAGTTTGAAGCTAGCGAACCCATTCAAATGACAATTTAGTAGCTGAGGCAAAGCGTTTGCCTGCTGGCTGAATGTCATCGTGGGCTCGGCAATAAGCCTCCCATTTGGATCTCGAGTGCGGAAAAAGAGCCAGGAGCACTGAAAATCAGGAGATGGGCTTGTCTTTGGATTCGTTGGTGCTCAGTTACAACAAAGGGGCCCTCTGCAGGTTTGTATCTTGCGGAACCACCCCATTGACCCGACTGATGTTTTTGATAAAAATCATGGCATTTCTGGGTATGCACCATGCACCATGAAAATTTCTCTTTGGTATATATCCGGAAAAGCCTCACCAGCCGTTCATCCTAAGCCCCACCGTCAACTGGAAATTTGAGCCCCGTCCCCCACGCCAACTGAGACCACCCAACGGTGCCTGTAACTCTCCGAACCGGCACCGTTCAGTGCCAGGACTTCTTGGCCTTCGCTGTGATAAGTTGGAGGGAGCCAAGACTCATTTCAAATTCTCGCAGGGCAGACGCATGTCTCGAGGTGCCGGCAATATTTTCGCCCATTTTCTGCACACCGTGCCTGGATTTCTTGGCAGATCCCAAAAAGTCCCCATTTTCAGAACAACGGGCGAAAAGTATAAATGCAGATGAGCCCGACCTACTTAATCAAAAAAATCAGACACATCTGATATTATCAACATGGTGAATGTTTTTAATGTTCAGATCTTCTTCGTGGTGTTCAGAGAGGCATTAGAAGCAGTGGTTATTGTTTCCGTGCTTCTTGCGTTCTTGAAACAAGGTCTTGGTGGTGCTGCCGAAGACCCTGTTGTTTACAAAAAACTCGTGAGACAGGTGTGGCTAGGGTCCATACTTGGGGTTTTGGTTTGTTTGATTCTCGGTGGTGCTTTCATTGGTGCCTTCTATGGCTTGGGTAAGGATATTTGGGCCAACTCGGAAGATTTGTGGGAGGGTATCTTCTGTATTATTGCTACTGTGTTGATTTCCTTGATGGGTATTGCTATGTTGCGTATTAACAAGATGAAGGAGAAGTGGAGAGTCAAGTTGGCTCAAGCTTTGGTCAAACAACCAGCCAACAAGAGGGACAGATTTAGAATCGGTCACATCACCAAGAAGTACGCCATGTTCATCTTGCCTTTCATCACTTGTTTGAGAGAAGGTTTGGAAGGTGTTGTCTTCGTTGGTGGTGTTGGTATCAACCAACCTGCCTCCTCTTTCCCCATCCCTGTCATTACCGGTTTGCTTGCTGGTGTCTTGGTTGGTGTCATTTTATACTACTCAGGTTCCACCATGTCCTTGCAAATTTTCTTGGTCATTTCCACCTGTATCTTGTACCTTATCGGTGCCGGTTTATTCTCCAGAGGTGTTTGGTTCTTTGAAAACTACAAATACGCCAAGCAAACTGGTGGTGATGCTGCTGAAAATGGTAGTGGTCCAGGTACTTACGACATCAGCAAGTCTGTCTGGCACGTCAACTGTTGTAACCCAATGACTGACAGTGGTTGGGATGTTTTCAACTCCTTGTTGGGATGGCAAAACTCTGCTACTTACGGCTCTGTCATTTCTTACAACATCTACTGGTTGGTTATCATTGCTGTTATCTCTTTGATGCTTTACGAGGAAAAGAACGGACACTTGCCATTCTGCAAGAACTTGACTTTGGTTGAATTGAACCCAATGTACCACATCAAGGGTAAGAAGAAGCAAAGATTGACCAAGGCCGAACAAGAGGAATTGTTCGAAAAGGTCAAATTGCAAAAACTTGGTGTTGATCACGAAGTTGTTTCTGAATCTTCTGGCGAAAAGAAGGTACACGATCCAACCCAAACTCACGAAATCACTAAATAAGCTGGTTAGATTGAGAATTTTGATGCACAAACACACACACACACACACACACATAGATGCATCAACTTTCTCAGGCTGTCAGCAAACACATGGAGTATCTTTCTTAGGGTTATGTATTAATTTAATAATAGGTAAAATTAAATTCGAGATGTAAGCTTCACTTTTGAACATTTATTTGACTATCCAAGAAGATGTAATACTTGATTACTAGTTGCATTGATAAAAAATAAACCCACGCCGGGAGTCGAACCCGGAATCTTTTGATTAGAAGTCAAACGCGTTAACCATTACGCTACGCAGGCGATTAGTTGCATTATTGGTATGCGCATGAGTATATATTAGACGTAACCTTAGAAAACGAAGAATTACAACCTGCCATAAAAGCCCAAATAAGGAATTTTTACCTATTTCAATAAATGTCCAGTATTAGTTTCCTAGCACTTCCCAAACTCCATGCAAATTTCTGTTCATTTAGATAGGTTGAGTTCTGCTATTTGTAAGTGTGATTCCGAAATACTGGAGTTACTTTTAAGAGTGCAACCCAACAAAATTCTTCTTCTCCAGCCATAGTTGTTAATTTCAAAGTATCCTCTAACATTGACTGCTCCATAATGGTGTTTCTTGTGGCCCACAAAGTTGCAAACTTCATCAAAAAGCAATTTTATTCGACTGCCAATTTATAAAGGTTGGATTCTCATTTGCAATAGGTATATAATCTGTAAATTTGTGTCTACTTAACATTAGCTAAAGAAAGGAGCTCAAATTCGCTAATATTACATTAAATTCTATGCTAACTATTAATTCTAATATACAAAATGTCTGTGCTACTGTTGATGACTCTTACCAGTAGAAGTCAAATAACTGTTATACAGCACTATGTTTCGATCACTTCATTTTTTTCTTGTAATCGGCAAATGATAACTTCTTGATTATCTTAGGGGCAGGTGCCTGGACTTCGACTTCTGGATTTGAATGTCCAGTCTTCTCGGGCACACTTTCTTGCTTAACAATATTAACATCGTTAGCTTTCTCCACTAGAGGCGATACTGTATCGCCAGGGATTTGAATCTCACTCTTAGACTCCACTGCAGCTTCGTCGGTGGATGTCACAATGTCTGCTAACAACTTGGTTTCCACTTCTTTCACAATAGGCTTCAACTGATTGTCAATAGACTGTTCAATTTTGACTATCATATCTGGAATGATTGGAATTGGCAAACTTCCACAAAGTGTTTGGTTTTCAACAAGCTCAGCTTCATTGCTATTTTTGGACCTTTCGAAATTTCTCACATACTCCTTGTTGCGTAAAAATAATTGTTGTTTGTTTGGAACTTGGAACAAAAGATTAGATTTGTCCTTGAGCTTCTCGACCTCGAAACCTTTTTCTTCGTCGGACCGCGCACTTTCGTCTATCGCACCTTGCCCTAAACTGTCAGTAGTTACTGATAAGTCCATTTGGATATGGTTGTCCCTTTCAATTAAACGCTGATTCCACGAAATATACTCCTTCTCCTTCTTCGGTAAAATTAACTCCTCTTTAGACTTCGTTAAATTGAGATTACTAATGGATGATGCCTTCCTGGTTGACCTCAATAAATAAGAGGTAGCCTTTTTAACCTTGAATATAGCACATGAAGAATATGATGATGAGGTGGAACATCCGCATTCTGTGAAATGCAACAAATTATCGATGCACGATATTAATGTAGACTTATCAATATTAGATAACTGCTCGAACTTTTCATTTCTATTGTCATACAATTTAAGAATTGGGTGGAACGAATCCCACTCCCAGTGCAACCTCAATTCTTCATCAGCTTGTTCTGATTTTAATGTGATTTCCTCGGAAGTAACCACTAAAAATCTAAAAGAGTTTGTTTCTGGGATATAAACTCGTTTAATCTTGCAATTTGATGTAGAAGGACACGACTTTCTGATAAATCTTGCTTCATTACCGACAAATCTTGAGTCAAGAACTACCCCTACCAGACGCTCGTCCAGGTCAATTTTTGGGATAGAAGTTTTGAGGACCTTGGGCTTTGTAGTACCCCAACCACGATACTGACTAGCGGCATCTTCAATGTAGTTTGAGAAAAAGTCAATCTCGCCAAGATACTCGATAACTGGAGTTCCTTCAGGAATGACAGTGTCCGTAGAACTGGAGATAAATAATGACAACTTCGAGATACCATTGAATTTCTGTTTCTGATTATCCGAATATGGTTTCACTTGAATTTTGGTCTTGTTGAACTTGTTCTTCTTAATAATGTTAATTTTATTTTCTTGATAATACTTCTGGTGATTAGGCAAAATTTTCTTACTGAACTTCAAAGACTTAAATTTGCTCAAGGACATTATCTCAGTATCCAAGTACTCTTTTTTCGATTGATCTGCTTTGGGCAAGTCCAAGTAACCCTTATAGAAATCTTCACCCAACTCCAACATTTGTGCTTTAACACTAGGTCGTTTGTAATCATTTGTTTGGAGATTGAAGTACACTGATTGGTATGATTCGGAAGTGAAGCCTTCTTCTAATAGTTGATTATCTTTGTTGGGTAAAATTTCTTTAGGTGGCGTTTTCTTGATGAGAACAGGGACAGTAACACTGCCAGCAGATTTTGCTGTCAACAGATCCGAATTGTGAGTTGCCAGTGAATCAGATCCTAGTTCTTTCTCTACCCTTCTTCTTTTATCAGCTCTCTCGGAACCCAGCAGTTTTCTTTTACCGCTTAATACCTCTTGTTGATGTGCAACCTCTTGCCCATGCTTTTTCCTATGTTCTTGATGAATCTGCTGTTGGTGATTGTACTCCTCACTACGTTGAGATAATTCTTGCTCATCATCTTTATCTTCTAAGGTCGTTCTGTCAATTTCTAATCGATTCAACGTATCTTCTCTGCACACTTCAGGATCAAATTTGCCCCACTTCCCTTCGTCACAGTAATAGCATTTGTATTCATCTTCAGGTACTTCATCGCTTGTCTTATAACCCATACACAAGCAATGCTGCCATCTATAACAGATATCACATTGAATAGTAAATCCATCATCATCTTCAATTCCACAAATACATCCAATGAGACCAGAGTCTGGATCAACTTTGTAAGACTCCAATGGAGGTGGTTTCAACTTAGTGGCGGGTTCGTTCACTGGGGACTTCGCAATTGTGTCAGTAGGAGCTGTCGAACTAATCACCTCCTCGGCTATTTCAGACCTTGATACTTCAAGCGAGCTTGAGGTTATGACTGGGGATTGTTGCTTTGATTGTTGCTTTGATTCTTCTTCGTTCTTCTTAATAGCAGGTGCAGTGTCTTCAACAGACTTTTCAGCCTTTTCCACTGGTGCAAGTTTAGCTGGGGTGGAATCTTTTGGGATTTGGGGAGCATCAGCTGCAGGTAAATCCGCTTGCTGTGGTAATTTTTGAATTGTTTCCTCGATTTTCGTTGCGGTCTTTTTTGATTCATCATCCGTCTTTTCATCATCAGTCTTGTCATCAATCTCGGGTTCTGTCATCTGCTCTTCTTCGATTGGTTGTGCACTTTTTGGAGTCATGCTGGCAGCTGCAGCCGGAGGTTGGATCGTTGCTGGCGATTCTAGTTTAACTCCAGTGTGTTCTTTATATTTCAAGGGCAAGGGAATGTCTGCAGCAGCTGCAAGTGCAGCAGCCGCTATGACAGCGTTGTTATTGTTCCTCTCACCAGTTTCGAGGTTAATACCTCTTGCCAAAGCAACATTTGCGGGCCCTGGTGAGTGATGCATACGAATGGACGATCTTTTATCGGCACTTTCGGGAGTTGACTTTGACCTTTTGTGGCCGAAACTACCTTGAACTGGGAAATTAGTTGATGGTGGAGATACTGATTTCTGATGCGCTAGTTGGACATTCGCCTTTGGAGGGGATGGCTTGGGCATGGGTAGTTCAGTTTTGCTAGTATCTTCAGCCACCGTATTGGTGGGGCCCAGAGGTTCTGGGCTGTTCATCAAGATGCTTATTGAGCTTTTTGTAGAAGACGGTAAACTTGGCTTTCTAGATTCGATCTGAGGAACAGATGGTTCCTTTGGGAGCGGACGTGGTGCTGGTTCCGGATTCATTATGGACCCAAAAGGATGGCTTGTAGCCATCTTTGGGACTTGAGCATGTGTCGCTTGTGAATTTGGAAAGGTTGGAAGGAGTTGTGGTACAGCCTGGGGTGTTGGAGGTGATTGGTGTACCTGGGGACCGGTTGGACCTATCTGAGGCTGTGTATGCGGGACATATGGATAACCATATCGAGAAACATTAGCCTGTGAATGTATTATTGGTGGCGATTTGAGTTGGGTAGGATTCCGGATGTATTGGGGGCTCGAGTATTGGGACATGGATGGCAAACTGTGTGGTTGTGAAGCTGGCACTGGCAAGGGACCAGGGCCATGGACAGTAGGGGGACGACCGCTAAAGGGCGTGGTGTGAACAGGATCCACCGCAGGTAAGTTCAATATCGATGACATGCTGGCATTAGCCGGGCTCCTCATGGCTTGGGAGTGTGGTTGTGGTTGTGGTTGTGGATGAGGAGGGGGTGAAGCTTTCTTTGGGGCAACGCCTTGTTCTGGGCTTTGGTGCTGCTGTTGCTGCTTTGCCGCTACGTTGGCGAACATCAACAACGTGGATGCATCTTGTAGAAGCTGCTCCTCTTCTTTCTTACTCATGGCTGTCAAGAGTCAGTCTCTGTTCAACTAATGTGTGACTGTACTAGCAGTAGACAAGTATATGTGAATGGAACTGGTGCGACTGGACACTTCACAGTGGGACTGTAACCTGGCTGGCAAGATACTAGATTGTTGGGTAGAAGCGTGTGGCTGGAAGAGAAACTGGTGTAACCGAGAGTTTTCTTTTTTGGTGTAAAGTTTGAGACATTATACGATCGTTTAGTGAGGGAGAGGAAACGAGATGGATAAACGAGTCAGACGGGTACATACACACCCATGGCATGATTATAATTAAGGCGGGCCTGCTACTTGGGCTGGTGATCCGATTTCGGAGCTCTACGGTGATTAAGGTCTAATATATATCAGTGTTGTTATGAAATACCTATTTACAGAGTGCAGACACCAAGTGCTAAAACAGAGAAAGGCAAGCCCAGGGACCAAAGAGCACAAGTGACTGGGCCCTAGCGAGCTCACCCACGAAGAACCACTTGTTGATGTCAGGTTTGAACGATATTAGTTTCATTTTTGTATGCTTAAATCACGGGAGTGGTTGTTTTGGAGGTGGAGGTATGGATGTTGGACGTCGAGTTAGATCTAACGAATCATTCGCTCGCCTTCTCCTGCTTCCGTTTCTGTAGATACTCTAGCTCCTTCTTTAAGGTGTCCATCGCATAATAGACTTTGCTCTGCAAGTAGAACGAGTTACCCTTTTCTTTGGAATTAACGTCAAACAAGTAGGTGTATTTCTCGTCGATCTTCTCCATGGTCAAGTCTTTCTTTTCCAAGTCCAAGATCTTCAATGCCTCTTCAACAGGCACACCACCAACTGAGTTGACCTTGGCAGCGCCACTGGCTCTAGCAGCACCGCCAGCGGCAGAAGCTTTGGCAGCCTGCTTGTAAGCTTCGGTGAACGCACGGCCAAACACGGCAGCACCGGTAAATATCACGTTAACTAATAATCTATGAGCCATGATGGGTGGCAGTTGATGTGCTAGAATCGAGAATTTTTTTTGGTATAGTGTTCGTCACGTGACGCTCTCTCACAGAGTGACCTCATCAGCCACGAGAACGAGGTAAGTGGAGAATGGGTTCCATGTCGAGGGGTAGGGCTTAATAAATCTACAGGTTTACATATGTAGCACCATGTTTTCATCTGAATAATCATAACCCTGCAAAGCAGCGCATTTACCAGAACTTTCATAAACACATGAATGCCGTCAACAAACGTAATAATCTAAAAGACCGAAACGAAACACTCGTTGTGGCCCAATTGTTAGTTAGGTCAACGAATGCTTAGCTATGGGTAGTTAAATGGTCAGCCTGCACACATCTATGATATGCATGCCTCCATCCAAGATCTTTATGAAATAATAGTTATATATATTAGATATAGTATAACCACTACTGATGATATCGAGAGAAACAAGGGGACGGGAGTTGGCCTGGTATTTATAGTCCAACCGCGACCTGCAGCCAGCCCGATGGCCTGAAAAAATTGAGAGTTACCCGGCCACTCACGTGATGTGATATCTAGCCCTAACTTTGGATCTAGGGCATATTCAGCCAGTTACAACATTCTCCGGAGGCATATATATTCACACAATGTCGAATACAGTCGCCCAAAATATCGACAGCCTCAAGGGATGGCTCGAAAAGAATGCATTTTGGAGAAATGAGTTGATAATAAGGCCTTCGAAGTATGGTGGAATAGGTGTATTTGCCCCAGATCAGATGGACTACGAAGATCCCCTCTTATTAAGAATTCCAAAGACAAGTGTACTTTCGGCAAAGAACTCATTGATATATAATCTTTTGGTTGATTATAAATACGAAGAAGTGGATATCTCAACTGGAATGTATGGAGTAATAATCTCTGTCATCTACGAACTTTCAGCAGGCACAAAATCGCCATGGTATGAGTACTTAAATTCAATTGACTTTGAAAACTCTTCCGTTCCAGTATGCCTATGGGATCAGGACGATAAGGACAACTTCAAAAATACCGAGGTTGACCTTTTAAATTTGTTGAACCCAGATGAGTTAATCCAATTTTACCAAGAGTGTATCAAGTTTGCTAAAGCGAGCAGCCAGTATGTCGCTATTCCAGCAATACTAAATGAAGACAAAGCGTCCAGCGCTGAGTTAGTGAAGCTGGCACAATTGCATAAGTTTGGCCAGGTTGTTCTGTCCGTCATTTCAAGAGCATTTAAAATTGATGATTACTACGACTTGGGAATGGTTCCTGGGGCTGACTTATTCAATCACATGGAACCACAACTTAATGGGAAGAACATTGTTGGCCATGAGAACATTCATTTTATATGTGATGGCAGTGTATGTGGAGAATGTGGAGAAGAGGACTGTGATCATGAAGAGGAACTGGAAATGGAGCTTGATAGTGATACCGAGGAAATTGAAGATGAAGAGGTTGATGAAGTGCAGGAAACTGAATTCGCTGATCAATTAAATGATGCCGATGCGGAAAGCATTGCACATGGGGAGGATGATGGCGATGACGAAGATGATGATGACGAAGATGATGAAGATGATGACGAAGACGAAGACGATGATGATGACAGTTCAAGTGAGCCTGATATCGAGTCTTCGCAGTATGATATGGATTTAGAATCCTCGGTAATTGAGGAGGAACCAATCAAAGAGATAACTATGGAATATATTAAACAAATGGAGTTGGAAATGGAAAATGACTCTGATGCAGACACAAACCAAGATCCCGATGAGGAATCGACTGTATCCTTAGAAGGTGATGAAGGGGAGGAAGGAGAAGATGAGGAGGAGGAGCAGGAAGGAGAAGTGGATCCTGAGCAAGATGAGCTTGCCAAAGAACTCTCCGATAGTTCCAAGTGTTGTGACGTTGTCCTCGTCAAACTTCCAGAGGAAATTCATGAGCACGAGATCTTCAATTCTTATGGAAACGAGCTCTCAAACCCCTACTTGCTTCAAAGGTATGGATTCATAACTGGCCAAAATGTCAATGACACATGTCTTCTTTCGGTCCAAGTGTTCAAGCATATCAAGCACATCAAAGCAGGATTATCTTCCGAAAAGCAGAAACAGCTCGAGCTCAAGTTTGAGTGGTTCGAAGGTATGGGTTTTGACATAGTGAACCAATTGATCGGGGAGCACATTCAAAAAGAGCAGAAAGCTACGAAGGCCTGTGGTGACAAATGTGAAGATAATTGCGATGGCTGCGAGGAGAAGGATGGCTGTGGTGCAGAATGTGAGGATGGTTGTGAAGACGGGTGTGGGGAGGAAGATGACGATGAGCTTGAACTTCCAGAAACCTGGCAGTTGTCTCCCAGGATCAATTTTACCGGAGAATGTACCTTGCAAACATATGCAATCCTAACACTCTTGGACCTCCCATTCAAGATTTTCAAGCACAAGCTCCTTCTAGTAAACAAAGAGAAAAAGTTGATCAGGATGATCAAAGAAATCTTCTTGGAAGACCAGTCCTCCAGAAGTGCTCACAATGCTATAATCAAGAACTGGTGTGTGCAAAGACTCAGTGGATATCCAGTTCTTAAACCAAGCAGCCACCATAGCTTAGTAAAAAGCATGGTTGAACAGGAGAAGGCAATCCTTCAGAAGTTCATAGATCAATAGGATACCACCATTGCATACCTTTCTGAGTACTGAGGTTGTTACAACCAACATATGCTAGAAGAGGGCATACGCTAACATAGTTAACTCATACATAATAGTATGTGAATTACACCCTCAAACGTTGTATAGATAATGCAATATGCTACTAATTTACACGTATCGTTCTTAAGCAGTTTTCCTGGATACTCCAAAGTACAATCCACTGCCCTAGTTTGTAAGTTCGCTACCGTACCGTAAGGCTACTAGTTTCTTCCTGCTAGTTTGGCATTTGCAACCTTGCTTGAAGGCCTTTTGCCTCCCTCCCACGTGACCACAATAAGTATACCATAGGTAAGGCAACTATCAGCTCTACTATCACGCCTACGCCATCGTGATCCAATAACATTGAATTAACCAATTCACCTCGCTGACCTTAGCCACTTCTCATCCTTATATTAAAGTGACCGCATCGTAACTTATCGTCTTCCGATACCTCCAGCAGATCAGCATGTCAGACTCCGATGACCATGATGAAGACCATGAGTACCAGAGCTTCGAGTTTGAGAGTGACTACGAAGACGAGTACTTTGACAATCAATCAGAAAACAGCAGCAGCTCCACCAGATCTCATAATGAACGTGTCTCGCCATCCAAAACTTCTACTTCATTCAACGAATGGACTTTACCCAAATTTATACTGACAGTCTTTCTCGACAAGTACCAAAAGCTCAAAGACAGCAAGCTTGGTGGTTGCACTGACGATGATCTCCTCATATTACTACACTATAAGCGTTGGCAAGCAGACGAAGTCATCAACGACTTTTTTGATAATCCAAAGAAACTATTCGAGCAGGCAGGATTGCCCGTACCTCCGCAAAAGTCTGCAAATCATTTGAAGAGTACAACAAGCTTTGACTGCTCCGTTTGCTGTGAATCATACAAGCAAGTCATGGTATACGAGTTATCTTGCTCGCATAGATACTGCTTGTTCTGCTACCACCATTACATTTACAATGAGCTTTCAACAGGAAAGCTAATACACTGCATTCAACCTGACTGTGCTTTGACAATACCGCATGGCGATATAGATAAAATTTTTGACATAGTTGAACATGATAGTTCCATTATCAAGATCACCAAGCCTTTGAATGAAAACAGACTTCTAGTTGCAAGTGCTAAGATCTTTGTGGATAGTCAAAGTACATACAAATGGTGTCCTGCTCCTGATTGCAAGGGCTTCACGGAATTAGTGAGTTCTGCCACTTTTGATGAAGCCACTCTGGATTATAAAGGTGAGCTTATCACTGCAATGAGGAAAACCACGCTAGATGATAAGTCAACAGATATATCGATCATTCCTATAGTTAGGTGTGCAGAAAGCCATGAGTTCTGCTTCAGCTGCAATTACGAAAATCACTTGCCGTGTCCTTGTTGGGTGGTCAAAAAATGGATAAAAAAGTGTCAAGATGATTCCGAGACGATTAATTGGATAGATGCAAATACCAGTGCATGTCCAAACTGTCTTTCTTCTATCGAAAAAAACGGAGGGTGCAACCATATGACTTGTAAAAAGTGCCACCACGAGTTCTGCTGGGTTTGTCTCGGAAATTGGAGTGAACACAATAACAGTTACTACAAGTGTAACAAATTCGAGCAAGATATGAGTGAGATTGAAATGAAAAAATCAAAGAGCAGATTGACTTTACAGCGCTATTTGCATTTCTACAAGCGTTTCACCATCCATGAAAGCTCCATGCAAGGAGACCTAAAGGTTTTGAAGCAAATCAACAACGTTGCTGTCATGTATCTTGAATCCAGAAGAAAAGACAGCTCGGTAACCAGCTTGGCCTGGAGTGATATCCAATTTTTGCCCGATGCCATCCGGGCATTGTCTAATGGTAGAAAGACCTTAAAGTGGACCTATTGTTTCGCATACTATTTGATGGATTCCAATTTCCAGGAAATCTTCGAGAGTAATCAAGATTACCTCAATCGCACGGTTGAGGATTTATCGGAGATATTCGAGAAGATCACCACCACCAGCACCAAGGGCGACTCCGACATTGTCAAGTTGATCATGAAGAATAAGACCAAGATCATCAACTTGAGCAATACCATCAGCTTGAGGCAGAAGACCTTGATCGACGGTGCATATCACAATTTGAAAGAGGGGCTCATGAAGTTTGATGCCTAGTCTGGGGCACTGCACTGCATATGTCTAATTTTCCACCAATGAATCTCGCGCACGGTGTATATAAGTTATCTAAACAGGTCACTACAGCCATAAATTACCCATAAAGTAGCCTATATGAGAGGATAGGAGGAGGATCTCAGAAGATAGTCATGCGTTCTATCTTAGTGGATCGCCCTACATCAGTTCCTGTGTCAGATCCTCAACGATCTTTTATCCCTGCCAATCTCTTATCTAAGTGATTTTGTGTCATGGCCGGACTGATAAGATGCTGCGTCGATTCCAATTGAACATCCATGCAATTTTATGCTCAACAAAGCTTGGACTTGAGGACTGTGCTTGTGCCAAATCCGCTTGTTGAACGCTTCTGAAGTGTAACCAACATTGCTAAACCACCACAAAGCTCACACACCCATCTCGATAGATACTGCGAAATACTTCACCTCCGCGGTAGTCTTGAAGCTATATTAGCATGATTTCGCCAGCAGTCAACGACCAGCAGCCCCATCTACCAAGTCGTCTCTCCGTTGAAATTTCTGATGAGAGGGGTAGAGAAACCCAAAGCCGACACGGGACTTCCCACCCACCATCAAGCCGGCACAGCAGTAGGGATACGATGGCACACGGACGTGCTCGTGAGATGAGTGGATCCAGACTAAGGCAGGACCCCAAGAAGCGATACTCCAAAGACCTGGACCTCCTTCACACGGCAATCAGCCAAAACCATCACCGCAAATCCAACTTGGCGAGATCAGTATCGTCCCAGAACCTCCTGAACAAGAACATCCCAATGACTGAACATGGCCCAGGGCCCGAGAGACCAGCTTTTCGCAAATGGCACTCGTTTCAGATGCACACGGCAAGCGAAGCCAAGGATGCCAAGGAAGGAAGCTCCAATCCACCCCGAATCTCTGTTGGTATTCATCCCTCCGACAATCTTCACACCCCTGCCCAAGAGCCCAGTATGCACGGCTCTCGTGTCATCCAAACAAGTACTGCCAACATTCCCCATGACGATAACAGTGTATCTCCACTAACAGTGCTAAAGGATCAGTACAACATCCGAAGACCCGACTTCCATATGCCAATGACCGCTACCCCAGCCACAGATAACTCTTTCAACAACTTGCTCGATCAAAATTCGCAAACCCACACGGAACTGACTACTGTGCTGGAGTCCAGGTCTTCCAAATCGGTCTTCAACCGAATGAGCCAGATCATGAATATGGCACACGCCAGTATGCACTCACTAGTGCCCATGTTGCCTGGAGGGGATCCCGAAAACGAGTCTCTATCAGGACATATGTCGTCTAGTAACATTTCCAATTACCAGAGTGAGTCCGATACAGAGGAAGAAGAGGACGACGGCGATGGTCTGTCACAAAACAAGCCCCAGGTGGACAACTGGAAATCCCCCGTGGGCAACACCCAAATGGATCTTTCCAATGATCTCAATAATTTCCAGGATATGTTGAATGAAATCAATGACTTCCAAAGTAATTTTGTGGATAAGTTCAGTCCTTCCTCGTCTAAGGGGGTTCGGCTGAATAGGACTCAGCAAAAGATCCTCGATTACAAAGAATTGCACTCGTTTGATTCTTCTTCCACTCTCAACAGTCTTGGACCTTTGAGCTCCGCTCTAAATCTGCCTGCCCCCTCCTCTGTATTGAACTCATACAGCATGAGGATACAAAGCGAGACGATCACATCCCAATACACATCGATTAGGCTCAGATTCGGAAGCAAAGTCAACTCCCATATGAGCACGATGAAGAAGTATATTGGAGCCAATACTGCTGTTTTGGGGTTCATCAATCGCTTGGAACTGGCCAAACTGAAGGGTTTTGGGTGGATAAGCCCCAACTCGGACTACAAGGAGAAACCACCCCTCAATTTTGAGAATAAGGACGAAATCATCAAGACTATGTGGGACTCGGAAATCAGTCAATTTTTCGGTTCTGCAGTGGCCGAACCATCGTCCCAAGGCAGCGAGAGCGGCACTAGTGGGATCAGAAGGACCAGTAATGAAGAATTAATGGACAATGTCGATTTTGCGGCAATTGCTCGGGGTGTCAAACTAAGAGGATAAAACTGTATATAATGTGCATAGCATAGGGATAAAAGCATAGACTAAATTAAGCCTGCATTTCGATGCAGGAAACATGGATTCTTGGCCTGGGTGGTTTGACACCAGTGAATCACCACGTAGTTGAATTCTGAAAAATAGCGCTATCATTGGTTCCGTAGGTACTGTGCACTCCTGAGTGCAACCCTAGAATTTGGTGCCAAAGTGGCTCCGGGAAGCAAAAAGTTCCAGAAACATCCTTACTACACTTAATATAGTGGAATAGTAGACGTCTAACGCTTGCGTTAGCACCAAAAGCAAGACCCGCGGGTGGGGTCTCACTACTTGGGTTCGTATCGTGAATGCAGAGGACGGATGGCGGCTTCGGATGCGGAAATAATGGGGCGGATGCGGAGACGGACCCACAAGTTATCCTCCACAGACCATTACCACATCCAAATCCCGGATGCCAAATTGTATCCGACCCGGGATGCATCCCAGAGTCCATAGTGTGATGGTCTGGTCTCCCTTTTAGTCATGTCCACCCCATCCACTCTGAATGTTTGCTAGTATTATGTGGACTTGTAGGAGTTATTTGGCCCCAAAATCGCTTCCAGATACTTTAATTTCATCCCAAAGAGGGCTCATCGGTGCTCTAAACGATCAATCTTCGCAACGGCCGGAGTTCTCCTACTATCTTCGCAAGGGCGTTGCGCCACATTGTTTAACTGGAGAGATGCTGCAGCCAAGATCGGTGACTCAGTTTGGTACTGGGTGCTAACTGCACCACCCAACTGGCCCGGAGCATCCATGCAAACCACATCCGTTCGTATACTGCCTACATAAATAGTGTGGGAGTTCCGTACGATCTTCCGCCCTCTGGTTATCGCTCACTCCGTATGTCTTACCCTGCTCCCCTGTTATCGTTCTCAGAAACAAAGCTGCTTTTGCACGGGCTTTGGGCTGCAAAGCCCACCTTCACCGAGAAGGACTATCCAACTTTCGATGGAAAGGTGGTGATCATCACTGGTGGAAATACCGGAGTAGGCTACGAGACTGCCAAGTCCTTAGCCGGCTCTACGAACGCTAAGGTGTACATCTTCTCCAGAAATGAAGAAAAAACGTTTGCTGCTATCAATAGGCTACAGGCTGAGGTCGAAAAGGAATACGGCAAGTCCGAGGCTGATGTGCACTTCATTCAAGCAGATTTGAGTGACTTGTCTACCATCAAACCAGCCGTGGAGAAGTTCCTCTCTCTTGAGGACAGATTGGATATTATTATCCACAATGCCGGTGTTATGCTGAGTATTTTGGGCCAAACCACTGCTCAGAACCACGAGCTTCACTGGGGGACAAACGCACTTGGACCACACCTTCTCCAGAAATTGTTAGACCCCATCTTGATCAAAACCTCGAAGACCAACAAGAAGGGTGAATCTAGAATCGTCTGGGTGTCGTCGTCAGCCCAATTTTGGGCCCCAAAAGGAGGGGTCAATTGGGACGATATTGATAACAAAGATTGCACCAATTCCCAGTATATCTACGGTCAAAGTAAAGCTATGACTATCATGCAATCGATTACCTGGCCTAAAAAGCATCCCGAGGCTACCAATGTTATCAGCTCGTCTCTTTGTCCGGGACTGCTAAAATCGGAGTTGCAAAGAGATTCCAGTTTCGCCGTCAAGCTAATGTCACATTTCTTTTCCCATCAAAGATATGGTGCTTACACCGAATTATATGCGGCATTCTCTTCGGAGATTACAAACGGGGCCCATTCTGTGGCTTTTGGCGTTCCTGGGATGATTAGAGAAGATATCAAAACAGACACAGCCAATCATGAAAGGGTTTGGGACTTACTAGAGCAGCACGTCCAGGACTTCATTTAGCCACAGAAAAAAATTAACCATCATTGACCTGCCCACGCTGGCTAGAGCAATGCCACGCTCAATTCTACTATATAGTCTAATTATTAAAATACTCCTTATCCAAGGGTTGTACGTATATCCGTCGTGTCGCTAAAAAATTAGTAATCTCAGGCTCAATCTTAGTAATAGCCGTTCAAACGCCCCGAAACAGGCTCTCTAAGGCGCCACATGAATACAAAGAGATGGCAAGGTTTAAACTTTTCTGCCACCACCTGTTAACACCACTTGCGCCGGAACACGGGTATCATGCAGCATCCGTTCCGAACTTCGTTTCCAACCAGGATGTTCATATCCTAGTTGCTTAAATAGCATAGTATTTTTCTTGATTCTCTAAAGCAATAAAGTATCTCCAATACTTATCTCATAATACCAATGCCATATCCAGCTCCTAAATTAACTCTCGCAGACAGAAAGGCGCTTTTCCACGGAATTTGGGCGCCAAAGCCAACCTTCACCGAGAAGGATTACCCACCATTTGATGGAAAGGTAGTGATCATTACCGGTGGAAGTTCTGGTGCAGGCTACGAGACAGCCAAGTCGTTGGCCGGTTCCACCAACGCCAAAATTTACATTTTCTCCAGAAATGAAGCTAAGACGCTCGCTGCCATCAAAAAGCTCAAGGAGGAGGTAGCAAAGGAATACAAGAAGAAGAGTACCGATGTCAGCTTTGTGCAGATTGACTTCAATGACTTGTCTACCATCAAGCCAGCCGTGGAGAAGTTCCTTTCTCTTGAAAATAGATTGGATATTATTATCCACAATGCCGGTTATATGCTGAAGGAGTTGGGTCAGACTACCGCCCAGGGTCATGAACTGCATTGGGGAATCAATGCCCTCGGTCCTCACCTTCTCCAGAAATTGTTAGATCCCATCTTGATCAAAACCTCGAAAACCAACAAGAAGGGTGAATCGAGAATCGTTTGGGTCGCGTCTTCCTCTCAATTCTGGGCTCCAAAGGGTGGTATCAACTGGGATGACGTTGATAACAAAGACAGTACTGATCCAATTTTACTTTACGCTCAAAGTAAATCCTTCAATATCATTCAATCGATAACCTGGCCAAAGAAACATCCTGAGGCCACCAATGTTATCAGCTCCTCTCTTTGCCCAGGGCTGCTTAAGTCTGACTTGCACAGAGACTCAGGCCTCTTTGTCAAGATCTTGTCGAAGTTGCTCTTCTATAATCAAAGATATGGTGCATACACCGAGTTGTACGCAGCTTTCTCACCAGATATTACTAACGGCACTCACTCTATTGCGTTTGGTGTTCCAGGCACGATCAGAGAAGACATCAAGTCTGATACTGCTAATCATGATAAGGCTTGGAAATTTTTAGAGGAGAACGTCAAGGAATTCACCTAGGACAGTAATTCCCGTTCTGTGCAACGTATCAGTGTACAATTATGATTGATTAATGTGAATTTTTGCCTAGGCAGACTATTTCATGAAGTTTCCACATACTGTACACATTTTAATAAATAATCTACTAATTAATTGAATTGCCCTATGATCCATAGGTATCCGTAAGAGTCTGTTCCTTAAAACACTCTGAATCTCTGGAATACCTTCGCAATGCAAAATACCATACTTCTAGCGGCCATCTCGTGAAGCAATCTTGCTGGAAATTTTCTGTGTATATGTAGCTAGCTTGAAATTGCAACTGCCTTGGGTATGTTTATATCTGAGCTGATATGTGTTGGGTGCAGTAGTTGAACACAGACTCTCCTAAAATGGCTGAGTCTAGAAGTTGTGGGACAAAGTCGTAGTAGATAATTGAGCTTCGTTAATATAGACACCTGCGAAGATAAGATCTTCCACGGTTGAATTGCTCCCTTTCATGATCTATGAGGTATCATTGCTTGCTGGAGCCTTGGACTTGTTGGCATAGTTGGGCTGCCTTTCATATGCATTTGGCTTTGACTTCTTGTCCTTCCTCTTCTTATGATGGTGTCCGTGGCTACAGACGTCCTCTGGCCTCGAAGCGGCATCCTCATCTTCTGAAGAGTCGCTGGAAGAGTCGCTTGAGGACTCATCAGACAGCTCACCAAACTCCTTCTGTGGGTGAAAGATGCAACATATCTTAGACTTCTTCTTGTCTAAATGTTCGTTATCAACCACATCATCATTCCACCTAACTCCAGGACGAGAACGAGAGCTGGGAGGGGATGTCTGTGAGGTGTTTTCAGGCTGGGTTCGTAACCTTAGTATGGGATGTACGTTTGTGGTTGTCTGAGTGGCACTGGTGGTGCCATTGCTAGGAGCTGACATAGTTGGATTGTAAGCGTAGGTTGCGTGATGGTTGGTTTTGTACGTGAGGCGATTACGTAATCAGGTTCTGTACATATTGCTACCACGGTAAATAGGTATAGTCTTCAACAAGAAGGCACTCTTACTTCCATTGGGCGAATTTTCTTCAAATAAGGAGCTTTTGAGAATAAAAATGTTTTGCTCAATGTCAAGGATACTTAATTGATTGTATGAATTAAATCCAAATTTTTGGTGATTTAAGACATGTCGAGAAAAATCACCAGTAATTACAAGACTCGCTGCTTTCCAATGCAGGCCATATCAGCACTTTCGTTGTGTTATTCCTTCATTTCGGACTTGAGGAGCACCCACTTATAAGTTATCTTGTCTGAATAGGTCACGTGATACGGTATTTTTAGTCTCCACAATCAACACCCTCGTATACCCATGGCCCCATGAATAGATCTTCCTTACCTTACAGTACACAAGACCTATTTCCACAGGTGAAGCCTCACGGAAGTCCTTCGCGAGGAGGCGGAGGTAGTACAGCTGGTGGAAGCATTGCAGGTGGCAGCTACACAGGCACAGCTGGTGGATCAAGTTTCGCTGGAGGTGCTCATGCCAACTACACTGGAAGCAGCTACTCTGGAAATCCAGCCACGAATGCTGCTCGCAAGATGCTCAAGAGACTATTCAAACCCACCACATTAGATTTTGAGACCGCAATTTGGGAGATCTTCCACCTCATCATCAACCCAAAGAAAATGTACCGTTCACACTATTACTACAAACAGCAAACGACCAATGGTGGAAAATTCAGTTACACCAGAGATGATCCTTCATTCTTGATTCTTCTCACTGTATTTTTGTGCATTAGTGCAATTGCATGGGGTATTGCATACTCTCCGACAGTCATAGATATCGTGAGATTGATTCTCTACATGGTTGTTGTGGATTTCTATCTAACCGGGATGGTTATTGCAACAGTATCCTGGTTCCTCACCAACAGGTTGTATAACAGTGACTTCTTGAGAAATAACCCATTCACCAGAGGAGGACTCGCAACTAGAGCCTCTGGCTCAAATGGGTACATTGAATGGGGCTTCTGCTTCGATATCCACTGCAACTCGTTCTTGATCATATGGTGTTTGCTCTACATGTTGCAATTCTTGTTGCTCCCATTGTTGAGAATAAAGGGTTCCATTATCTCCTTATTGTTGGGGAACACCTTATATTTTGCATCAATTGGATACTATTTCGTCATGAGTCTTTACGGTTTCAGCTCATTGCCCGGTCAAAGAAATGGTACTGATCCAGTTGGCTCACTCCAAACGGTGGTGCTTGCTGGTGTATTGCCATTGTTGGGAATTGCGTGGTTGATTACAGTGTGTTTCGGTTTCAATGTGGCAGATGCAATGGTGGATACTTATTTTAACTGAGACTTTTCAAATCATAGAACGACACTTAATCTGAACCTCCTGCCATTTTACACTTGGTGAGTAGTAGACTCCTACTAAACTTGAAAATCAGAGATGCAATTTTAGGTACATATATACTATCTAGGGTGTGCTTGGCACGTTTGTCTATCAATCGAAAGACCAATCAGAAGGTTGTAGTACTCGACAAAGAAAGGAGTTAAAATCGAAAACTAATGTTTATTTGCTTTTCGATCGATTTCATCCAAGCTATCCTCGGCAGCCTTAATTTTGAATCCAGTTCTATTACTCAATTCATAGTCTCCGTCTCCAACTTCACTTCCCTTTTTCAACCAATTCTTGCATTCCAGTAGGGCTTGTTTGATATCAAGCTCTCCGCCAATTGATGTTCTCAAAGTCCAAACAAACATAGCTCTTTCGCTCAATGCAGTGGGATATAAGTATGGACTATAAGTCATTTTAGTGAATCTAAACTGAGGATATTCAGAAATGACATACTTTCCAATTACTTCAGTGTCCAAAAGAGATAATCCCTCGGCCACCTTTCCGATTCCCCTCAAGGCAATACCCTGTAAGAATGCTCTAATCATAGCCTCGTCAAGGGTCTCGTCAATTTTGTAGTAGGTAGCACTATCAGAATTAGCAGAATATTCCTTTTCCTTTGGTGCAGAATAACCCAATAACTTCAATGAAATCTTCAATTCCCGTTCAGTCATTCTGTTGTACCCGTTCCAGAAATACATTAATTCATGGATAAGAGAAGTACCAATACAGTCAACAAATTGTAGGTCAGGATTAGCCTTTTGGTTGGCTTCGATATGTCTTAGTTTTCTGAGCAAGAACTTGTCGAATGGTAACTGTTTATTTCCACCACCAATTCCTCCCTTCTTTCCCGTTGCATTTATACCATGACCAGGAACATAAGTGGGGGCCAAGTCAAAATAAGTTTTGGCGAGATCGGCAAACTTCTGTAACATTTCAGGTTTCTCGCTTTCGCTGACTTCGATTAAACCCATTTTGATCATTCTGTACTGCTCCAAATAACAAGAAGCTGCCATGAAGAGGTAGACACCTTTAGACCAGGAGTTAATGTCAATCAAGTAGATAAAATCACGGGCAGCCTTTTCAAAATCATGGTGGAAAGCATACAACATAGCTCTATCGAAAACTAGTAACGCTTCGATCTGCTTCATTTGAATCTTGTTTTCTGGATTATCGGTGAAATCTTGCATAACCTGAATAGCTTGTTCGAGCTTTCCTTGACCTGCCAATGTTCTTCCTTCTTGCAAAATCCATAAAGCATTATGAGGGAAGAACTTTCTCACCTTAGTGAGTAATTGAGGGGTATAAAGAGTTGGATTTTGAAGAATCTTGTTAAGTTCCGAATCAGAAATAGTGGTCTTTTGCTCAATTGATAATACATTCTTGATGTTCTCGTCTCTTTGGCTAGGTAATTGGAACCCCAAATCAATAAATTGGACAGGGCCATCGTAGAAAAACAACAATGTCATTAATGCCAACTCACCATGAATATTTCTTGAAGTGATTGCTGTTCTCCAAAGCATTTTCAAACCTGCTTCTTTGTCACCTCTGAACCCAACTATAGAAAGGACTCTACCGATAGCTGGAGGAATTAACGAAAGAACAACTTGCAAAATACCAAAGCAGAGCTGAACACCTGAATGAATAAATTCGTCAATTGTAGAGACATGAAGATGATTGTCGTGCTTAGGAGCTGTTGAGGATGAGGAGGTAGAAATCATTGATGAGGTAGTTGATGGAAATGAATCTTTGGCAAGGCCAAGATCATTGGATGTGTCATTTGAAATTGTCGAATTTCCATGATCATATCCTCCATTAGAGCCATTAATGGAACCAGAATATGGATCTGAAAGGACGGATGTATTTAACAAAGTAGCATTATTACCGCGGAGATCAAGTTGGTGGATCTCGTTTGGAAGCTCCTCGACGGCATCAAGAAATTCATCGTCATCATCATCGTTATTGGACATGGGGCTCGATCTCAAAAGACTTGGTGTAATTTGAGCAGGAACCAGCATATTCAAATTGTCTTTGCTTTCCCTGGCAAACTGGGAGTTCTGACTGGAGAGCAAAGGACTAACTGGTCTAGGTCCGTTTCCAAGTCCAATTTCTGGTCTTGGGGAAGACCGGGCTGATTTTAAAGATTCGGATCCCGGCAAGTAACTCACTTTGTCTAAGAACTGACTACTCTTTTTAGACAAAGCACCACTTGAAGAATGATCTAATTGTTGAAACAAGTCAACCTGTCCTGTATGATTACCTAAGTTGGTTCCCTCGACTCTTGATTTTCTCATTTGATAGACCTTTTCCAATTCTTTCATCAACTTGAGGTCTTGGGGAAGTGATGCAGAAGATTCAGTATCTAACTTGTAACCAGGAAGATCAACTGTGCTAAGGTTGGCCGAGTTTGGGTTGGTCGCGGCCTCCTTACGAATTCTTTCCAAATTTTCATTGAACAAAGATTCCAGCTCTTTCACCTTGTTGAAAATATGATCCAAAGTTTGATATGCTTTTCTCAATTTATACAAGGCCTTTGCACTTTCCAAAACACCGTTATTTTCGGTCAAAAGCATGATCAACGCGTTCAACAAAGTCAGCTCGGCGTAAGTCACTTGAAATTCCGTGCCAGGGGGATAAATATTCGAGGTAGCTAACTGGTGCTTGGTGTTGTACTTTGAGTTGGCCAAACAAGCAGTTTCACTTGATGATAAAGTTTTATGGGCCCTTTCCATCAAATCGGCTTCGAAACCCAAGGTGGCCTCAATAAACTCCATGACACCCAAGGCCAAATTGTAGATGGAAGCAGGTTGATCGCTTGGATCCCTTGCACTCTTCTCGGAGCACTCCTTGAGGAGCTTTATTCCCTCGTCGGATCTGTCATCAAGCAAATAGTCCATGGCCTTGAGAGCAACCTCAAAATCCTGAACTTCTTTGAGAACTTTGGGATAGTTAGCGCCATCTTGCTGGGTGCTCTGGGTACTGGCAGAAGAGGTGGAAGACAATGATAGAATCGACGCCTTTTTGCGGAGACCTTTGAACATGGTGGTTGTGTGGGGCTATTCGAAGACGCGAGTGGACACTATTGGAGATAAATAACTGGCGTGTGAGGAGCCAGGGGAGCAGGAAGTGCTATATATGTAAATGCTGGTATAGCGTGGTGTTTTGAGAAGGAACAGTTAAGCAGATCAGATCAAACGAGGTATCCGACACGTCACTCGACAAGATGTTTTTGGAGCAACTCGAGTCTTCACGGCACAAACACGGTAGACTGGGCTTGGATCCAGCAGATAGGAACCACGGAGGTGTAGGTGTAGGTAGAGACCGATTTTTCAGCGGCGTGGACGGTGGTGAGCGATTTTCCACCGGTGTGTTGGTGTGCTTGTGGGAAGTGACGGTTCGTGTAATATAATTGGGGTAAGCTGCAAAATGATCTCCTATCTCTTACAGGTTACATCCAGGACAAGAGGGGAGCACTCTCGCCAGAACATGACGTAACCGAACCAATAGCGACGTGATACAACCAGCCGAGTGGGTCCGGTACGACCTTGCTAGCGTCCTCTAGGACACTGTGATCCCTCTGGGCCCCTACCACGGTAGACTTGAAGGTAATTGGTTTTAGATGCGGTCTGTGCATGAACGGTTTTGACGTTAGGGGTACGGATGCAAGGGAAGAAGTACCAACCAGAAGAGTGCAGCTGGCGCTGGCACAGATCTGCAACTTGGGGCAGCTGTTTCCGGCCTGCCACCAGCACTATCAAGTTGGACTGCCCAGGTGGGAGAGAACGGATCACGTGCGGGGCGTATCCTGCTAATTCCACATGATGGGGCTGGTCCGTTAGGAGCCAGTGGTGCCAGCGAATATCATCTAACACGTGACCTACCAGCCAGCCCAGACCGGACGAGGCTGCTGGGCTATCCCTTTCAGACGCCGCATCTGTGGGCCGTATTTTTTGAGCCAAGATTCTGCCCGTTGCGCTGCACGATTCTTGTCAAGCATAGGCCGGAGGCAGCGGCCGGCCTTAGTCAGCCTGCCCGGACCATCACCAGCAGGCTATCACCCTGCCAGCACTGCTGTAGCCCTCATCCAGCCTAGCCAACCAACTCCGCCCAACCACCTCTACCCAGCTACCTCCACCCCAACACTTCTACCCAACCATCAACTACCTCCGCCCCCTCCGGATTTAGATCTTAATCCATGTACTGTACTGCGCGGTGCCAATTGGTCCTAGAGAATATTTTCCTGCTCAAACTGGCTGCTCTCGGCCCAATTAGGAAGTGCAACATGGCTGGCCGCAAATCCATTGGACCTCACCAGCTGGTATATTCTAAAGCAGCAGACAATGTGCTGCAAGGCCAGAATTGCCGCTAAAATAATGCAGCGGACAATAGGAATCTTACTTGTGCTTGTAAGCACCTCTATCAGGCAATAGTTGGGTACGTCGCCGATCTAGCTCAGTAATTGTCTCCAGCCTCCACACTTTGTTATATAAGGGGAATCCCCGGCCCTTCAATGTTCATTTACGATATACCCTACCCATAGTCTTTCTTTCTCCGAGCCTCGCTTCTCCATCCTTTACTAGCCCGGCCTTGCCTTTCCTTCCTTCCTTACCTGCTAGCAGTCCCTCCTTAGTCCAAAGCTACCATCACACAACTCACAATGAAGCTCGTCCTTCCATTGCTCTTATCGTCCACTGCCATGGGTGCAGTTATAACCAGGACTCACACAGCTCCTGCTGTAACCCAAACAGTCACTACCAGCACAATCGTGGATGTCCACACAATTATTCAAACCGTGCAGGGCCCTCCTCCAGGCGTTCCTGAGTACGACCCAAGAACTGCCACCAGAACCAGTACAAACACCCAAACCTCCACCGCAACAACTCCAGCTAGTTCTCCTACCAGTGGACAAGCTGGTCCTTCGCAAGAAGTTCCAAGCTCTTCCGCTCAATCCACTCAATCTCCGGTCGCCTCGAGCTCCGCCCAACAGACTAGCTCTGCAGCTGCTCCATCTTCCGTCGCTACTTCTTCCACCGCTGTGGCAAGCTCCGCTTCTTCTTCGGCAGTTCCATCAAGCCAGAGTGCTCCTAGCTCTTCGGCTGGTACTACTTCGACAGCCTCGATTCCTTCCCCAAGTGTACCTACCACTTTGGTGACTTCAAGTGCTTCAAGTACCCCTGCCACTTCGACTAGATCGACCTCTTCTACTACCCCTGCCACTTCGACTAGATCGACTTCTTCTACTACCCCAACCACCTCCTCCACCTCTACAAGAACCACCCAATCCACCACACCAACCACTCCAGCCACTTCTACCAGAACTACTTCTGCCGCACCATCCAGTACTGGTGGTGCAAGCAACATCTACAACGATGGAGAGTTCAACAATGCTATTCTCAGGGAACACAACATTAAGAGAGCTCTCCATGGTGTTCCAAGCTTGGCTTGGGACGACAGCTTAGCCACTTTCGCCCACGACTACGCCGCAAGAGCATTCTCGTGTGACAACGTTCAGTTGATCCATTCCAATGGTCCATACGGTGAAAACTTGGCTGCTGGCTACGTTGGTGGTGCTGATCCTGTCGATGCTTGGTATGACGAAATTAAGGATTACAACTACAACAACCCAGTATTCGCTGAAGAAACCGGTCACTTCACCCAAGTGGTTTGGAAGGGCACCACCAAGGTGGGATGTGCCAGAGTCCAATGTAACAACATTTGGAGACAATACACCATTTGTGAATACAGTGAAACCAGAGGTAATATTGTGGGAACTGACCCAAGAACCGGCAAGTCCTTCTTTTCCGAAAACGTGCTACCATTAATCTAGCCAAATAATAATGACAATGTATAGTAGAATCTTGAAATTTGAAATTTGAAACTCAAAATATTCTTGTAAAATCTGCTGTGTATTACTCCACTTATTGGCTATTTCCGTTGGAATAACCTAAATAACCAACTGAGTCTTGAAATTCAAAATAGAGTTTCATCGGTATTTTACTCCGCAAGTACCGGTAGACAATACACGATTTGCGTCGCCGGTACGCGTTTTTACGAGACGCACCTCGCATTTTGGATTCAGATAAAAAATATGAAAAGCAATCACCAAATAGGCAAGCCAGCGCAAGTGATATTATTAAATGGGATGAAATATCTCCGAGTTAATAGCTTATCACTCAGCATAAAGTTGCTATTACTGTCAAAAAAGATTTATTTTTGCGGGAATAAGCAACAGCAAAGTTGTTGCAGTTTTACGTCCAGGTCTACATTACAATAGAATTATTTTTTAAGTTCAAAATTTGTAGATTCAATAGCGCAATACAAATTAGTGTGGTGGTATTAATCTTTGAAGATCAAATTTAGTTCTTCAAGACTTGGGAGAATTGACCCTTAGAAGGCTTGACGTTCTTTTGTTCAACCTTAGCAGAACCCAACTTTTCAGCAGCGAAGGTCTTGGCGTAAGGGTTTAATCTCAACAAAACTTGCTTGTTCTTCAATGGGTTCTTCTTCAAGACGTGAGTTCTCTTTTGGGTGGCTTGGCCAGCTGGTCTAACAACAGCTTGGATTTCAGCAGAGTTGATCAATCTGGAGACATCGGTGTTGGAGATGATGTTAGATGGCAAGGTGTAACCAGTCTTGATGGACTTGGTGGAGTCGGAACCGTAGACAGAGTCCAAGGATTCGAAAGCACCTTGGGTCCAGATGACGAATCTACCCAAGTGAGCACCTGGAGCCAATTGCAACAAACCCAAGTGCTTGACGTCGGAGGTTTCGACACCTGGGACGTTTCTCAAGGCCTTGACAATACCGTTGTCTTGGGAGTAGACAACCAATGGACCTCTTCTTTGGGTGAATCTTCTACCTCTCAACTTACCCTTACCGGCTCTCAACTTCTTGGACTTGATGACCTTGATGACATCCTTGTGAGCACCAACAGCCTTCAAGACAGCGACAGCGTCCTTGGTCTTGGTGACGGATTCGAATTCGTTAGAAACAACCAATGGCAATTCCTTGACTTGTTCGACTCTGTGACCTCTGGCTAAGACCAAAGAAGTGACAGCAGAAGCGGCAATGGCAGAGGCAGTGGCATAACGCTTTTCGTTATGGTTAACCTTGACGTGCCATTTTCTCCAGGTCTTGGTTGGAGCGAACATACGACCACCACGACACATGTTACCGAAAGCGGCTTGACCGGAACGGTGGGTACCACCACCACCAACTCTTGGGATTCTGGCAACAGCTCTACCGGTACCCCAGGATTCAGCGGAGGTTTGGTGACCGGCCTTTTCAGAGACAGCGTAAGCTTGTCTCTTGTTCTTGTTAACTCTGACGAAGACAGAGTGGACAAGGTCTGGTCTGACTGGAGCAGAGAAGACAGCTGGCAATGGGAGCTGGGTAGAGGTTTGTTCACCCTTAGCGGAGACAACGGAAACTTGTGGACGAGACATTGTGTGTATGATGAAGAAGAAAACTTCAGTGGTGAAAAATTTTTCTTTATATATCGAGACCGAAGCGAGTGCGCAGGGTGAAAAATTACCCGGATTCGAAAGGTGAGGCTGCAGTCTCGTGATGAGATGTGCTGTATACTGTATGCAGTCCCTTCTCTCGGTGCTAGACGGTAGAAGGGTGATGTGGTGGGCTTAAAAGGCAAGCCAGACTCTGTTTAAGGTTTCCAAGAGGCTTAAGTAAGATATTCAGCTGGTTTAACCTTGTAGTTACAGTTAATGTGCATTTGTAGTGGAACCAACACTTGCGAACTTAACACCTTACGAGGTTGACTCCATTCTACACTAGGCCGAACATGAGTACGAACATATCAGATGCGGAAAGTTGTATTATAAACAGCATATAACTTGTAGAGAGAGATCAGATAGGTGGAGGAGGGCGTAAATATAAACCAACAGCTGGTGGACATTCAAGCATTTATTCCACAATCAGTCTACCGCAAAGGTCTAGTATCAAGGACTTCATTAGTTACTCACCATTTGTAACTTATTCTCCTATTCAACCAATGTCAAACTGGGTGTCTTTTGGTTATTTTTATCAAAGTTTGCAAGTTCTTGTTTTGTACAAATGAAAGATTACAACCAAAAATATATAAAATCACAACGGTTGTTACTGTAAAACGTACAAACACAAGTGTTATTTTGCATCTGGTACCCATATCATTGAATGTAAGCATGAATTTGCTTCCTTATCATGACATCTCTTTCCAAATAAAATGACAATATCACCAGATGATGATGATAGGGCACGGGCACGAACAGATCCAATATGCGGAACCCCACTAATACATCCCTACTTTTGATAAACATTGATTAGTGAACTAAAGTATATAAATATGATGTCATTATATGAAAAGTGCAACAATTTGAGTAGGTAAAGGTATTGGAAAGGCCTATCCTACTCTAGGCTCAGTGAGGAGATGCATATGACCAATAAATGACCATAGGATGACTGGATAAGCCGGCTCAGTATGGATCGCTACACTGCCAGGAATAGGGAAAATGCTCAACAGCAACTAGAGCTTTGGGTCTGCTGTCTGTTTGTTCTGCCCAAGTCCACTCCACCGGGTCTTCTTCCTGCCTGTCTGGATCTGTTTCCCCCAACTGCCTCTTCAACGGGCAAAGCCCTGCCAATCTTATTAAAAATATCCAACACACCGTCACCAGTCTTTGCGGAGCATTCTGAGGTGATGATCACACTTCCATCCTCAGTCATTTGTCTAATGTATTCGTCAACTTCTCCCTCTTCGACCTCTCTATTCTCGGTCAAGTCGGATTTGTTACCCACCAACGAGATTACTATGCCCTCAGGAGCTTGCTTCTTTAATTCTTTAATCCAGTCTTGTGCCTTGATAAGGGATGCCTTGCTGGTTATGTCGTAAACACAAAGTGCAGCATTGGCGTTTCTGTAGTACATTGGGGCCAACGACTTGTATCTCTCCTGACCAGCTGTGTCCCATATCTCGAACTTAATGGTGGTTTTAGATTCGGGTAAGGTTATGGATTGGGTTAAGAAGGCGGCACCAATGGTTGATTCTCTCATGTCATCAAAGGTGTTCTTAACGAATCTATGGACTATAGAACTCTTTCCAACCGCACTTTCTCCCAAGAGAACAAGCTTGAATTGGGCAAAGTTTCCTTGACTCATGTTGACTCTTGCGTATGGTCCTATGTGTGGAGACTGTAGTTAAACAATGATGTGTAAGATAATGAGACTGATTAACCTCGCTTGGGTACTGCTAGTAAATCAATAGAGCTGGTATGCTGCTTTCTAGTGTAATGGCAATAGACCGATACAGATATAGCCGATTGTTGTATTACGGCTGTGATAGGTGTGGCCACGAATGGCCACTCGTTTTTATGACGGGGTTGTGTGCAGGAGACTACGATTAGGCATTATCAGCGTATATTTACAGGAAGGACAGAGAAGGATCAAGACCGGGCCCACTAATACAGGGGTTCTAATGGGAAGTATCGGGATAGATCATCTAGTTCTCGATCTTGGCCAAGATTTCCTTGTCGGTGTACAACAAGAATTCTTCTTCTCCGATCTTGACTGGGTTACCACCAAAAGCTGGCAACAAAACCTTGTCTCCGGCCTTGACAGAGGTAGGGATAACCTCACCAGTGGTGGTGTTGGTGATACCTGGACCAGAGGCAATGACGGTGGCTTGGTTCAACTTTTCCTGGTTCTTTTCTGGGATGTAGATACCAGAAGCAGTTTGGGTGGCTGGCTTCAATCTTTGGACCAAGACACGGTCAAACAATGGCTTTAAGGATTGGGCGGACTTTAAGAAGGACTAATGTTAGTATGATCTGAAAGATAGACCTTTTGGGGCAGAACGTGAACGAACTGTACGGAAGCAATCGGATGGAACGCAATTCACCCCCCTCAAGTATGTTCCACCAACACACCAGTAAGGAAGAAACGAACCCTAGCGGTGAACCTAGTGATACTCCTCAGGCTCCTGTTCATTTGACAAATGTCCCACTAATTCATACTCTGTCACTAATAAAGCATATCTAGTGAAGATTTCATATTGGGAGGTGAAATCGCATAGCTTTCTTTGCCGCCACTTCATCGTTCGAGCATACGTACCATTTCAGTTGTGGTTTGATAGTGGATATACTTTCGATGATATATAGGTTTTCGTTGAGTGGTAGAAGCACGTAGAATTTTCCACTATTAGGCGCGCACGACCTGGGGTATAGACCGTCCATTTGATTTGTGATTTCCACTGAAGGAACTGCCCTATTTCGGGCCCTTAACTTATAGTTGGTTTTTGCTTATTCTCAGGAAACCTACCATTTTATTTAGCTTATTGGGCTGCATTCTGTTGCTGCTTCATGGATAATTAATTTATTATTTGCTAATTTACATAGTTTAGTCAAGGTATCTATCGAGAGGTTCACCTAAGACATTTTCGATGACCTTAACAAGTCCACTTCTAACCTCCATTTCGACTGCTTCGTCGTCATCTTCTAATAATTCTGCAATGTATGGAATCAAAGTAGGCAAGTAGGTTAACCATTGCTCGCCCATCTTTTGGAAAATACTCTTCATAGTACGGATGGTCCAGATCTTAGATCTGGAAGTGGCATCTCCATCGTTGGAGATATGCTTGATCAAGCTATGGACCAATTTTTCATTGTACTCTTCAGAAGCAACATTGTTAACAAATGATGAAATAGACTTAACCAAGTATTTCCCAATACCTTCTTCGATATTGGCAAGTTGTGAAATCAATGGTTGACTTATGCTATCAAATCTACCTTGTTGCGACCAGTAGTCATCTTGGTCGTACTTGAAAGAAGATGTCAAAGAGTTCAAGATGATTCTTCTGAGGTTTGTTTCTTGCAATTTGTCTTCGGCAAACCTGGTCAAAATGGAGGATACAGGATCCAACAAGTACGAGTAGTAGGATGTCACGATACTCTTCAACTTTTCTTGTAACTTGTTGAAGAATCTAAAGAAGGCCAATAATCTAGACACCTCTGTGTTTTTCAAGTTCGAGCCTTCACCATCAACTGCCCATCTAACCAAATTGGCGAACAATGGGCGGAAGCTCTTGTCATTCAATTTCATCACGTAGCTGATACCACAAGTGGAGAACGAACTTTCAAGTCTGTGGATGGTATTGTTGTCGAACTTGTTGCCAGAAGACTCAGAATAATGTCTGAACTCAAAGGCCAGGATCAACCACTTCATAAACAAAGTAGATTGGTTGGAAGCTGACTTCTTATCAATCTTTTCAATGGTTAATTCCAATGTCTTCAAGTACAAACCAAGGTTGCCAGCATTGTGATTCTCATAAAAATTCTTCGAAATCCAGATGTTACATAAGGATTTCAAGACCGCAGATAAGTCCATATGGTCCACAACCAATCCCAAGACGTTGGATCTGATAGAAGAATCAATCAAGTCACTGGACAAAATTGTAATCAAAATGGAGTCCAAAGAACTGGCCATAAAGGCAGGGATTTTCTTGATCAAGCATGACAACAAGATCATAATAGAAGCTTGGATCAATCTAGCACCTTCCTCATCTTCACTGGTTACGGTAGACTTCCAAATCTTGAGTGCTGGTGGAACAATCTTTGGAAAGAATCCAATAGTCTTGACTCCAAGAGTGTTAACAACTGCGGTAATGGCGTTGACTGAAGAAATAATCAATTCTGGTTGTTCACTCAATAAACCATTCGAAGAAGTGATAGGATTCAAAGAATCAATCAAAACCTTAGAGTTGGTGGCATTGAACAATTCCTTAGTTGCAAGACCAAACTTGTTGACAATAACTGCGAAAGCATTCAAGTATGCTTGTTGCAACTCAATATCAGTGTTCTTTTTGATACCATGGATCAAAACTGGTAACAACTTCTCTAAAATACTGACTTGAAGAACCTCATCAATGTTGCTTCCGTTTAATTCGGATTCAAACTTAGTACCCGACAAGACAGCAAAATTACGAGCAACCTTAATAGCCAAAGAATCGGAAATCTTGTCAACATTCAATGAGTCGAGAATAGAATCCACGAAGTAATTCAATGGTAACAAGTCTAAGAAGTTAGCCAACAATTCGTACAAATTGGATGTAATTTGCTTGTCTGGGGTTGTGTTGGTGAAAGCATCCAAAGATGATAACAAGAAGGAAGTGACATTTCTGAATCCTGCCAAAACTCTAGTCTTCTCAACTTCATTGACCTTGTTATCTAACAACACAAGAGCAACCTTGATCTTGATAGATGAGGCACCGTTGTAGTTCAGGTTGTCCTTGGTCAAAACGGTTCCAATAAACTTCAAGAGTTGGCTCTTCATGACAGATAAGCCCTCGTCATTCAATGACAAGATAGAAAGTCCAAAAATACTTCTGGTACTTAACTTGGTATATTCGTCAGAGTTTGGATCAATTTGAGCACTTGGAATTTGATCCCATAATTCACAGAATCTCTCAATACCTTCTAATTGTTCGCCAGCGGAGAAACTCTTCAAGAATGAAGATGTGAATTCCAAAATAGCACCACATTCGGTAACCTTATTCTTGTTGTAGTTGTTAACGTATTGTTGACCAACCAAAAATAATAAAGCGTGCAACGATTTATCGTATCCAAGAGTCTTCGTCAAAGAAGTGAAGAGTTTGACCCTGCGATGTCTTGGGATATGCTGGAAAGCGGCCACGAAGCTCGTCAACAAAAATTCGATCTCGCTAGTTATGGAAGAGGAACCGTTAGCGGCCAAAGCAGGAATAACCTTTGCAATGGTTTGTTGCAATGCCGAGTTGGAGAACTCATCATCTTGTCTAACAGTATGAGCACCCATGAAGGTGAAAATTGGCATAACAGAATGAAGAATGATTTCAGGCGCAAGAGAGGCCAATTCCGCAATCACTAACAACAATCTATTCTGAACTTGAGGTGACTGGGAAGATCTAATTGAATTAACGATCAAATCGGCTCTGATTGAGTTGGAATCAAAGTTGTACTTTTGAGCACTTGCCTTCATCTTCACAATACTCAAGAACATACAAGAAGCCAATGTTTCCTGGGCATAAAGAACTGGTAAGTTACCATCATTGCCCAAGTAATCCAAATCGGTCAAAATCTTGAATAAAGCTTGCAATAATTTAGGACGAGCGATATCAGAAGCTTCGCTTCTCAAGTTCTTGTCCAAAACATCCAAAATAACAGTCAATTTCTTCAAGTGTGTGGATGCCATATTGTTGATATCATCTCTAGCCATGGCCTGCTTGGTAGAAGAGGAAGATCTTCTTCTCCGCTTAACCACTCCTTGTTCGGGCATTTGGGAGTTAAGCTGAACATTTCCTAAGGCAGCGATGAAAAGTTCGTGGTCAATTTCCAACGATTGCAAGGTTTCCATGGCATCAATCTCGATAGCGTCTTCGTTGGTCAACAACTCAATGAGTTTGTTGATAATGCTCATTCTGGATTCAATAGACTTGAAACAGGTGAAAACTTGCATCAATCTTTGGTTACTGGCAATTTGCAAGTTAGCAGATTGATTTTCCAACCCTTGAATTATCCAGGAAACTTCCTTGGTGGCATTCTTCTCTGAAGGATCACCTCCAACTAAGCCAACAATAGGCTTCTCAATTTCATCAAAAAATGAAATCTTGGCTTCATCTGCTTGTTCAATTAGTGACTGTCTCTTGTTGAAATACTCGCCCAAATCTTCGGCAAAGAAAAATCTATCATCGCCGCCCTTGGCATTTTCAGTAGCCATAATGCTCCAAATTTTCCACTTGAAAACTATTGGAAGAGTTTGCAATGACCATTGGTTTAAAATGAATGTTTTCAAAAGCAATTGGCCAATCTTCTTCAGTCCAGACTTGGAACTCTTGAAGACAACCAGGAATAAGATGTGGTTGATTCTCATGCTATCGAGTAGAACATCGTCTAATAAATCATCCTTAAAGAGAACCTCATTCAAGAATAAGGCGTCTTGTGGAGGAATGATAGCTCTCTTTCCTGGTTCGGTGGAACCGTAGATTTGGTCTTCGAGGTAAAGCGAAGTCTTGACCTTCTTTTTACCACTGTGGATCGCGATGGTGTGGTCTCTGATAACTTGTAACACTTCAATGTTGGCGCTTCTAATTTGTTTGTTGCTGTCAGCTAAGCCAAGAAGGAACATTGGAACCAAAAGATACAAGTCGGCAGACTTCGACACTTTACCTAATTGAGAAGCAATGTGCTTCAAAGTGGACACTCTGACAATTAAAGGAACGGATGGACTGAAAGCCACTCTGGAGTAAAACGAAATAGAAGCTTCTGAACTTGCAAAAACTTGGTCGAACTTGTCAAAGGAGTTCTTTTGCGAGTTCAAAAGAGCAACCAAAGCAAACGACAACTTGTTGAACTCTTCTTGACCAGCTACGAAAAAGTTGGCGGTGGTAGTTTTTAAGGATTCCAAGTCAATATCCACAGGTTGTTCATGAGCTTCTTCGTCTTCGTCGATCTCAATGTCCCCATCAAATACGATGTCGTCGGAATGAAGATCTGACGAGCCACCCAAGGTGGTCATTAACCTCATTTCCAAGTCATCAATCTTGAGATTGTTATCTTTTAAAGAAGCAGCAAAGAATGTGGAGTTGGACTTCAACAATGATTCTAAGATTTGGATTGCTGTAAGCCTAACTGATTCAGAGGTGCTGACAACAACTTTGTTGAAGATTATTCTGAATGAAGACTCGTTCAAGTCGATAAACTTGAAGACGTTGTATGATTCCTCGTGAGGGAAAGTGGCCATAAAGTATTGAATCAAGAACTTGTTCAATTTGTATTCTCCTGTTAAGGATGAGATTAATTCCTTGTTTGCTACCAAAGTCTCAGGGGTCAAATGCTTGAAACAATTTTCAGAGACATCTTGGTTGTTGAAGTTCCATAATTGCCCTAAAGCAATTAAAGTATGCTTGATGGTGTCCTGTTCGCAAGCCTTTGGATCAGCCAATACAGACTCAGTTATGCTAACAGTGACTTGGTGTGACAATGGTACAATCGATCCAAGAACAGCAATAATAGAGTAACTTGTCAACTTGATATCATGCCTGAGAGAGCTTGAAAACTTGAAGTCCTTAGGAGTCAACATGACTCCAATAACTTCTAAAACAACCGGCATGTATATTTCATTTAAAGTCTCCAACTTCTTTGACAAGGAAGCCAAGAGTTGAACAGTGAAGGTCAAGTAAAACACTAACTGTTCCTTGTAAATGGTGGAGTTCTTGATTTGCTCAATAAGGAACAAGGAATACAACTTGAAGATTTCGAAATCATTGTGGAATGCCTTTAATATGGAGCTTGAAGGTACCAACTTCAATAATTCCTTGTATCCCAACAACCAGTCAAAGATTTTTGGGAACAGCCCCTTAGGAATAACGTTTAATATTTTGACAAAGATACCTTGGCTGTGGTATGGTAATGCAACAATCAAGAAGAGTTCTGCATTATGGATGTTGATGTGAAATCTTCTAACCAACCATTCGAGAGCCTTGATAGCTGGTGACAATTGAAGATATGGTCCGATTAAAGTCAAGAATGCTTCAACATTCTTGTTGAGCTGATCGACTATATCTTTGGATTGGACGTTTCTATCCAAGTTGATAGAGGTCCCAGAGAAGAGGGTTTGTGTGAATTTGTTGAATCTAGAGTCTATTTGAGTAATCTCTTCGATACCTTCCAATCCCACCTGGTAAAGATAATCGTAGTCCTGAGTAGCAGCGACCTTTGGTTCGTAAATGAGCGACTTTGAGTGGATTTTAGACCTACTCTTTCTGTCAAGAGCAACGGAGGCGTTGCTCTCGTTAATCGCGTTAATCGCCTTAAGCTGTTGCGATAAACTAGACATGTTGGGATGTGTAGGTATAGTCTTGAAGAGATGAGTGAAAAATATTTGAGAAGATCTATCCAACTTATATGCAGTACGCGATGGGTGCAAATGTAGAATAGTGTAGGGATGTAGTACAGGATTGCCAACAGCCACTTATTTAACGAAAAAAAGATGCGGTTCACTTTGTAGAGGAGGCAGGATATTGCCTCTTGTGAAATTAGCTATGTCTCTATAAACGTAAACTGTTTGTTTGCTTTTCAGGCGGTATAGATTCTGGCTAGAATCCAGCCCATTTGAGGATGCCCATTCTCTGGAGAAAAATTGTGTATACGTTGTGTTTCTTGTCGACTAGATTACAATCGATCGCGTTAGTAAAATATATTTTTCTCATGAATAATTATGGAATTAGGCGATCCAGTACCAGATTCTTTCGACCCAGTTCTTTGGAATTGGATCAGGCTCTAATCTGTCTTCTTCTTCTATTATATCCAAGCCTGTTATCAAGTCAATGTCTTTGATTGGCTTTAACCAGTATTGAACGCCATTCACTTTCCAGGCATAGAACCTATGTGCAACATAAAGCACGACAACAATAGGAAAGGTAATGTAAGCAGCCAAGAAGTCACCTACCTTGAAATCAAAGAATACAGCATAACCGTTAGTTATGGTGACAAGTGAAATGAAGAAGATGACAAAGTAAGCGCCATATGGTTGGAATGGGGTTTTGAAGGTCACTCTCTCCGACAAGCCGTGGTAATTAATAGCCTTTCTCCATCTCAAGTAGGCGAAGGCTACCAAGATCCAAGAAATGAAACCACTGATGGTTGAAATATTGGAGAACCACGCGAAAACGTTTGCAGAAGAACTGGAGACATTCAAGTAAGACAAGAAGCCAAAAACAGAGGAGGCAGCCACACAGTAGTATGGAACTCCAAATCTATTGGTAGTCTTGAAAACGGCAGGAGCATTGCCTCTGCAAGCAACCGAGTACAAAGCTCTGGATGCAGAGTACAAGAAGGAGTTACCAGCAGATGCAGCGGAAGTCAAAATGACAGCGTTGATAATATGGTTTAAAACCTTAATACCGGCATTTTGAATACCAATCACGAATGGAGAGGCAGAAGCGTCACTTCCACCAGACAACAATCTCTTGTTATTGGAGCTGACAATGACACCAATGACCAAGACACCGATGACGTAGAAGAAGGCCAATCTGTAGATAAATCTACGGGCAGCCTTGGGGATGTTTCTTCTAGGCTTTTGACATTCACCGCCTGCGGTTGCCACAAGTTCAGGAGAACAAATAAACGAGAAACCAGATTTGATGATGGCAGTCCAAATTCCAAGGAATCTACCGGTAGATCCTTCAACCAAATGCTCTTTGAAAGGACTGTGTTTCCAGTATCTGAAACCCAAGCGGTCATGGTTGGGACCGCCTCCAAAGAACAACACAACACCAAGAATAATCAATCCGGTAAGAGCGATCAACTTCAAGGAAGCGAACCAAAATTCGGCTTCCCCAAAGAACTTCACCGACAGCATGTTAAGAGCGATGGTCAACGCAAGCAAGATTGAGATCCAAGCAGCGATGTTGACGCTTTCGGTCCAGTACTCCACCACGATTGCGGCAGCAGTCACCTCGGCAGCCACCAAAATACTGAAGGCGTACCAGTAATTGTAGCCGATTGCAAACCCAAACGAGTCCGACAAGTAGTCGTTAACGAAGGATTGGGCACCATTTCCTGGCAAGGGCAAGAATGTGGTCATTTCTCCCAACATTTGCATAACAAAATAGATGACAAAACTCATGATGAGATAGGCCACGAACAAACTGGCCGGTCCACAGGTGGACAAGATGGCACCAGACCCCACAAACAAACCGGTTCCGATAGCACCCCCGATAGCGATAAGCTGGACATGTCTGGACTTTAAGCCTCTTTCCAAACTATCCTCGTTGAAGGTCTCGAGCGTGCTGTGGGAGTTGGAGGGCGACATCATCTTGCCCTTCTCGTCCACATGGACCACTCTGGAGTTGGAGATGCCTAGGTCAAGAAACGAAGACTTGGACCTGTAAATGCTAGGCTTCAGCGCAGTTGGTTTAGAGTCGCTCATGATGACTGGGATGATAGTGGCTGACCTGAATTTTTGGCGGGTGCACCATTGATTTTATACACCCGCTCTTATCTATATCGATACACTAGATAAGCTAATTGCACAAGCTATGGCGTCTTACCTGTACGCTGCTGCAGGCCTATCTTAACGGACGGCGTACAGGCAGGCGGGGTGGTGATTTTCTTAACCTGGCCATACTAAGATAGCTCGATACGGCACAGTTGACAAAAGTGCCGAACGGCTATTCTCGCTGGGCAAATCCTAGCGAGATGGGCGCGACCTCCGGGCTGCACAAAACTTAATATTGTGCGGGATGGATCTTGAGTGGGGTCTCCAAGCACCGAGCAAATTGGGGGAATACCAAGCGAGAGGAGGCTATGTGCTGTGCATGCTATCTAGAGATATTTTTGGTTCCTGCCAAAGCTTCGATGCTGGGTTCCTATCGCTGGTCGTATCTTTATTGTGGACGCCGCATTTATCCACGCTGGCAATCTGATCGGCTCATCGCTACTTTTGCCCGATGGCTCCACCAGCCAATTTATTCCCACGCCACAGAGAAAAGTTTTCATCCTACAGGACCCTCTGTCTGTAGCAAACGGGGCAATGCCCCGCCTGCAGCGTTCACCGCATCACCACCGGTGGTCTAGTGCCGGTGGGAACGGTATGGGTGCGTGTGGGGAAGGCCACTTATCGCTGATATTGGCGCCTAAGATATGGGGTAATGGCTGATATCGTAACGTTCTTCACGGGTTCATAACAAGCCAAGCCCAGCAAAGACGGGGTAAGTGCGGTGGTGAGATAGCGCCTCGGGGTTGTTTTCGGAAGTGTTTAGCGATGCAAAAAAATGGTCCCTAGCAGGATCGAACTGCTGATCTCGGCGTTATTAGCACCGCGCCTTAACCAACTGGGCCAAGGGACCTCTTCGAGAAAATATATATCTATGCTTCATTATGCTCTGACATCAAACCTGAAACCACGTGACATGCTTCTCGCCGCACCACCAACCACAGGGTTCAATGCGTACCATGTTCACACACCGCTGGCTCCAAGGCTACCTTTTTCGCTTATACCTGCCATGTACTGGGCCAACCTTGGTTTGCAAACCCTCTGGTCACCCGCCACGTACTAGTTGGCACTTGTGTTGGACCATTGCAGCTTCCGTGACCTTTTACGATTTCTCCACATTTTCCTCTTAGTTAGGTAACGTACACATCTAATAGGTACATTTGGTAAAAAAAAAATAAAAAAAGAAAAAAACCCAGTGATGGATCTAGCCAACCTCGTAATTTCGAAACTCTCACAATGCTTGATTGGTTGGACCCGCTTAACGAATGTGTGGGGCAGTTACCGATTTGAATCCAAATCAAGTCATACGTTCGGTGGTTCCTCACCCATTGGAAAATTATCCGCAATCTTGGCACGACGAGCACTGGCCAATTTTCCTGTTCATGCTTTACCCCACCCCTCGGTAACTATCTCTGGTACTGCTTTTCGGATAACCACGTTTCGGTATACGTCGGGTCGTTAACAGTTTCTGTTTTTGATCCATACTAGCTCTGGTTTCAGAAAATGGGGTATTCACACGGCGCTAAACTTGCCTGATTTTCTGGTTTTCCGATAGCCGATAGTAAGAAGTGGAGTCGAATGTGGTGGTGCCTTTGGGGGAGCAATGTCGGGAAACTTTTGGGTATATTTCAATCAATGGAGGCACGTTCTTTCTGTTGGGTTATCTTCTGAGGGCCGCTATAATGTGCTGTTAATTAGAGACATTTCCGCTAATGCGGTGGTGAGATATTATTCTTGCCAGGCTTATCAGTGGACTTTCGAAAATACCATCACACCAAGAAAAAAGAGATCTCTCTGCATCAGATAGACCGAGGTTGCAGTGCTGATATGTGCACGATGATGAGCTGAGGAGGCTAAGTCTGGAGAAATCCAAAAGCTACGAATGTTCATCGTTTCAGCATCTTTCGCCATCACTAACGGCAACAGAATCAACTCCAAAGTTATCAACGTGACCTGGCCAATCTTGGTGAATTGGACTAATGTGCAAGTTTCAGTCAACCACTGCTTCTGAATCTACAAGTTGAAATTTTTCAGTCAGTCAGATACTCGTATAATGCAAACTATAAAACCGAGAAAACCCATCATTATCATTAACCGGAATTAATCCTTCTTCTTGAACAAAGGTTCACCGATGTTCTTACCTCTCAACTTCACACCCAAAGCTCTCTCTAACTTGGCTAAGAGTTGTTGGTTAGGAATGGCTCTACCGGCTTCGTAATCGTTAATGACGTTTGGCTTCTCGTTGACCTTGGTGGCCAAGTCTTTTTGAGTAAACTTCTTTTCTTGTCTGGCTTGTTGGATTGCCTTACCGACGTTCACGTCAAGCTTCTTGACCTGAACCACGTCGTCAGTGTCGTCCAACTTGGCCAATCTTTGGCCTTCTGGGTTGGACTTGGTGTTGGAAGTACCGTACTTCTTTTCGGTACCGACAACAGCACCGGTTCTTCTGGCTGCGTTCAATTGACCAGCAGTACGGGCAACCTGTTGTCTTGGACCACCGCCACCGACTCTGGCTTTTTGTCCAATGATTGTAACGTTATCCCAGTCAGACATTATGATTTATTTGGTATGTTTAGTGTTGAAAAAGGTATAGTAAACCTGGAGGCGTTGGATACTTAAGGGCTGAGATTGGTGTTAGTCACCGGATCAATCAGTCAGCGAATTTTTTTGGCACGCGCGCACGACCGGCCTCGAACTTTCTAGAATGATTGGCACCGCCAATTGCTAGTAGTCCAGTGACTGAGGTGGTGTCCTGCTGTCATACGGCTGCTTGATTATGTACTCTTGCAAGTGAGCGATAGCAATCAAGCCGGAGTTGCGGCCAAAAGCTGCCTGGTGCACTTTACCATCCGGAAGAGCAGGAAACTGTAATTCAGTGCCTATCCCTGGAGCTCTCTGGGTCTACGTAGGTGAGTGTAGTCATAGTCTTGAGATCATGTCCAAAGCACGATTTCGGTGAGCAGTTGCTCCAGTTTTCTCGATTGAAGACTGGTCACGTGTAACCTGGTGGGTGAAAATCATCTCCTCATAAACACTTCTCACACTACACAAGGATAGCAAAATGGTATCCATTGAAGTCAAGTCACGCTCAAAGTCCATCAAGGACTTATCCACAGATGACCTCACGGTTGAGTCCAAGGTCTCAGAGTTGATCCAATTGGTCAGCATGTCCAACAATGGAAAGTCCCAGTACAGAATCAGATTGAACAAGGTTGAAGGCGACAAGAAGATTGCTTTGGATGCCGACAAGACGTTTGTTGAGAACGGGTTCCCCAAGACCGCGTCTTCAATTAACCTCCAAGTCAAGGATTTGGGTCCTCAAATCGCCTGGAGAACCGTTTACATCGTGGAATACCTCGGACCCTTGATTTTGGTGCCATTGGTCTACCTGTTGTCCATCAACTGTGGGTTGAAGCCTACCCAGAGTCAGAGGTTTGCTGTGGTCTTGTCCACCTTGCATTACCTCAAGAGAGAGTACGAAACCGTGTTCGTGCACAAGTTCTCTTCCGCAACCATGCCTGCAACCTTCATCATCAGAAATTCTGCCCACTACTGGATCTTGTCTGGTCTCTTGATCTCCTTGTTCTCGTTGGCCCCACCTTTCGTGGTCCAGGCCGCTAGCAAGTATCCCTTGGGTTCGTACATCTTCCACGCCAACGACTTGCCTTGCACCGTCAACTGGGCCTTGGCTGGATTGTGGGCATTCTTTGAGTTGTCCAACTACAAGGCTCACGCCAACTTGGCCAACTTGAGAGCTAAGGACTCTAAGAAGTACGCCATTCCCTACGGCTACGGGTTCAACCTCGTCTCGTGCCCCAACTACTTGTTCGAGATTTTGGGCTGGTCCGTGTTCACGGTGTTGATTGGCAACTGGTCTTCGTTGGTGTTCACCATTGTGGGAGGTGCCACTATGACCACCTGGGCCATCAAGAGACACAAGAGATACTTGAAGACCTTCGGTGACGAGTACAAGAAGTTGAGAAGAAACGTCATTTTCCCAGGTATCCTTTAGAGGACGAACCCCCCTGTTAGTTTCAGAACATAATCATTATGGAACATTTTTCATCCAAGACTTATGAACTAACCTACTTCAAATCATGCTTTTACCACCCCGTTAGCGTCACATCCATTGTCCTGCGTTGACCTAACATATATAAGTAACTATGGATCCTCTTTGTCAAATTTAATCGATACGCTGTTCACACAGTGTCTTTCATCGGTAGGATTCTTGTACCCTTCGCCTCTGAAAATGTGCCCCAAGTGGCCATCGCAATTGGAGCACCTCATTTCCTCACGAACCATACCGAATGAGGTCTCACGGTTGATTGTGATTGCCCCAGGAAGGGCCTGATAGAACGCAGGCCAACCACAGTGGGCAATGAACTTGGTCAGTGACTTGTACAATGGCTGGTTGCACCCAGCACAAGCATAATGGCCAGTTTCGGTGGCTGGCGTTGAGGTGTACTCGCCAGTGTATGGGGCCTCGGTACCCTGCTTTCTCAAAACTTTGAACTGCTGGGGCGAAAGCACCGCTCTCCATTCTTCTTCGGACTTGGGGATGGTCGACATTTGAAGCAAGTTGTGGCGTGGGAATGGACTCTTGCGTGGAGTAGATCTCGTTAGTAAACGGAACATCAGTTGCCACTAGAAAATTAATGGGTGCGACATTAAAGCGAGCAGTGTGATCACATTTAGGGATCGAATTTTGGCCATTCCTCGTGAGGACACCAAAGCAACAGTCTTTGTGAGGTACGCAACTTGTTGACATCTTCCTTGTAGACACAGGAAGTGGAACAGAATTTATTGGTGGTAACGGGTTTAAATGTTGGCAATGTATCGAACGACCATACGCCCTGGAAATGCTTGTCTCCCGAAAAATGGATCTAGGTGACCCTGTCTAGTATTACGCTATGGAGCTATAGAGCCAGCTAAGTGGCTGGTGAGTGTGTGGAGTTGGCTGGCCCTGTGGAGCAGTAACAACCTTGAGAAAGCCTCAGAAAATCCTGAGAAAAGCTGAGAAAAGCTGAAAGCCTGAGAAAACTGGAGGAAATGATGGGGTGGCGATTATCTCATAAAGTAGTTGTACTTACCCTTCTTTTCTCTCAACTTGTCCTTGACTGCGAGGTCCCATTCGATCTCGATGTCGTATTCTCTTGGGTTCTTGTCGTTTGGTCTGGAAGCGATCTTACCCTTGATCACATCACCCTTCTTGAGGTCCAACACCTGGTCCATGTAGAACACGGTTTGCTTCCAGTGAGTGTACTGGTCCATTGGGCCAGTTGGCAAGGTGACCTTTTCGTCACCAGGGAAGATAGCATCCCACCAAACAATGTATGCGTGACACAAGTCGTTGTCAATGGCCTCCAATTGGAAGTCCTTGTGGAATTGCAAGCCATCTTTGGTGACAGTGTTAATATCGAACTCAAAGAACTTGTGAGGAGTGGTGATTAAAGAATTGTTGTTGACAGTGTCGACCAATGGTTCAACCATGGCAACGTTGATGAAAGGAGAGTAGTCGAACCCATAGACGTCCTCCCAGTAGTGAATTTTTTCGTCCTTGTATTGGCCGTCTTCAATACCAGCAATGTACATGTTACACTTGTCTGGCAAAATCAAACCACCTTCCACCAAGTACTTGTCTCTAGCGTATAAGACGGTGTCCAACATGCTCTCATACAACAAGAAGTAACCCATCCATTCCGAAACGATAATGTCAACCTTGTCCACTGGCAAGGTGATGTCCTCCAATTTGCCTTGCAAAAGGGTGATCTTGTCTTCGAATCCGTTCAAGCTGACAATTTCACGGGCCTTTTCGATGATGTTAGACATATCGACCGAGTACACGTGCTTGGCACCAGCCTTGGCAGCGAACATAGAAAGGATACCGGTACCACATCCAACATCTAACACAATTTTGTCCTTGAATAAGTGCTTGTTCTTGTACATGGCAGATCTGTAACTCAATGTTCTGGAGGTGTCCTTCAACATCTCTTCGTGTATACCGAAATGGTCATACGAAGAGAAGTAGTGCTGCTCGGTGAATGGCAATGTATCCTTGTTGGTAGCGGAGGACATGTTTGATGGATAAACAACAAATTATGTCTGCTTTATAAGGGCGAATTTTTGGAGTGAAAAAAGAAATCGCGATGAGCAGTGGAGATACGATGCGAGGTGTGGGGCTACCATAATCGATAAGAGGTACGGTTGTTGAAGTGATCTACTGGCAGCTTTCTTGGTCAACTTGGGATCTCCCAATATTGGTGGATTTGTTTCGTCTGTTGTTAGTGTGCAATCGGCACTTGCAACTAGCATGCATCAGCAAAAAACCGATAACCCAGTACCAACGTCTTTGATATGACGGAAAACGCGCGATCCTGCGTCAAAATGTGGTCCAGCTTCGACACTGGCAGGGTGTAAGAAAGCGACAGCGGCTTAGGCTCCCGTCTTGTAAAAAGCAAAAAAGAATGGACGAGTCCGGAGTCGAACCGGAGACCTTTCGCATGCTAAGCGAACGCGCTACCAACTACGCCACACGCCCTATCTCTTGTGATAAAGAGTGAGGATAAAATTCAAGTCGTCCAGCAATTTTATCACGTGATCCAGGTTTTTTGGGCTACCAACATCTACTGTTTCAAGAACCATAGTATAATAGTGATTATAAGTAAATGATTTCAAGCTACGATAAACTCTGAAATGCCCAATAAGATAGCTCAAGAAAAGAAATTTCTGTTTAGACTGCAAAAAGCTCAATTTGTCTCTTGTCGTTATTGCGAGAAGTTTCACAGACGGTTTCAAGAATTTATAGCTTTTTGACAAAATTGTTCAAAATTTGTTATGACCAATTCTACCCTACAGAGAACTACCAATAAATTGTCTTTCGTTAATATTGCATTATCGTAAATGTATACTTTCGCCTCTAGAGGCTTACTTAAGTAATCATGGTCTGAAAACAACCTTTTGGGCACTGACTCTGTTCTCGTAGACCAAAGCCAAAGCTTCGTTAGCAGATTCCAAACCGCTTTCCAAAACCTTTAAGTTTGGAGTCTTGATGGTCTTGATGAGGTCTGGCACAATATCGTTCCAGAATTGGTTGTAGTTCTTAAGACTTTCTGGAGTAGCAACAAAGTCATGTCCAAAGACATGGTGAGTTCTACCATCAGCGACATAGGCAAGAAGCTTGGAGAAAGTGACCTTTCTAGAGCTGTCAAGCTTGAGGAGGTCTTCACTCAAGTTCATCAAGTTCTCGAGGATGACATCTGGAGAGCCTTCGGTGGCATCGTAGGTTTGTTGGAAGGTCTCTTCGCTGGAAACAGTATCGTAGGCATAAGCGATGCTGCCATTGGCGGCCTTCTTGACGTCCTCAATGACATTACTGTCGTTGTAGTCAAAGACTTGGTCGGCACCCAAGCTAAGCAAGAACTCGTGGTTCTTCTTGGAAGCGGTGGCGATGACATTTAAGCCATAGATCTCCTTGGCGACTTGAATGGCAATGATACCGGTAGAGGTAGCACCACCCCAGATCAACACTGTCTTGTTAGCGTTCTTGGACTTGTCGTAGGAGACCTTGAAACTGTCAGCGAAGGTGAAAGCCACGGTAGTCAAACTCAAGGTGACAGAAGCAGCACCTTCGAATGTGTCGACGGTGCCGCTTGGAGTGACACCAACAGGCAATTGGGTGTTCTTGATTTGGGTTTTGTCGTATCTGATGGTGGTGACAGGGTCAGCAATGAAGTGCTGGGAGAAGGCACCTCTGGTGGTGGAGAAGTTACCGTGCATGAAGGAAGAGACAATGTCACCCACTTCAAAACCCTTGACGTTCTTACCGACTTGTTCGACGATACCACTGGCATCGGAACCAGCAATGTCACCCTCGTGTCCGATTTGGTACACAGCGTGCTTCCAGTCGGTGGGGTTAGCGGCGAAAGCAACAGCCTTGACGAGAATTTGGTCATCATCGATGACTGGGAAAGGTCTTTGGATCACCTTGGTGAATTTTCCGGACTCGAGGATTCCACTTAAGACAGCTTGGTTGGTAGACATTATTGTATAAGAATTGATGTTTAGAAAGGAATTGGATGCGGAGAACGTTCCCTTTTTATATACTGTGTATTTGAGGATAACCGTGGCAGATTTATATTGAGATTTGCATTAGTAAGGAAATATTACTAATTTCCTATTCTTGCATTATGAACCATGCAGAAGTGGGAATTCGCGATCCTTGGTGAATCACTGTTTTGCTCACCACGGTTGTTGGGATGCGTCAAGTTGCCGTCAATTGCCGCAACCTATTGGAAACTACAAGGAGCAGCTGGTAGCGCACTTCCCACAGTGGGCTCCGATGAGCACGGTGGAAGTTTCCAGAACTTAAAATGAGCGTTGGCCCGGGTTCCATGCAGTACAGCAATTGCAACTAGGGACGAGCAACCCCTCTTGTAGTTGATCGTAATTGTTATAGCACGGGTACACAACCGCTAGCAAGATTAGCTTTCGTACTGGAGCGATCTACGAGATTTGCGGAGTGTCGATGAAATGGCGGTGGTTGGGCCGGAAGAACTAAATACTGTATGACGAGATGAATGTAGTGGCCCAGTCAATGGCTGGATACGGGCAACGCGAGACTGGAGCAAATGCTGTGCTGAGAAGGAAGGAGACGGTCATCGAGGACGTACCGCAAGCTAGTGGACTGATGTCATAGTGCAACTGCCAGCAACTCGGGTCCTAACTGGGATCCATGGTGAATACTTGCCAGTCTTTGGAGCTCTGGTTGTTCAAGCGCACTGTGTTGGATTCCGTGGCAGCGTACGATGCTTGCTCCAACGGTATGTACTCGTTGGGGAAGATGATGGAGGTGCCTGGAAGAGGAGCCTCGCCCTCGAGGTGTTTCTGTAGACTGAATTTCGAGGAGGTGCCTGGCTCAAGGTTGGTGTAAGGCCTGACGTTCATCAACTGGGGCTGGGCACCGTCCTTTTTGTTCAACACATGGCTCTTGAACATGGGTGCTGGTTTGGCAGCCTCAAGCTCTAACACCTGCTCGTTGGTTGGCTTGTGCTGGAGGTAGCTCGGTGCCAACGCCACTGGGATCGAGTTGGGCCCCTCAAAGAGCCGTATTCCCGACATTTCTGGGTACTTGATGGACTCGGTCTTGGGGTTCACGTAGTTGACCCTCTTGTGGTCGATCTTGATGATGGATGTTCCCGGCACATTAGTCCTCTTTGCCATCAAGTCATTGTCCTTGCCTAAAGAGAAGACCAACGATTTGTGGGGTTCAGTAGCCCACTTGTGAATACCAACCTTGCTGGTCTTTTCGGCCTGGATGCCTTTCTGGTTGCCTAGCCTGGAGGATGCGGGGCTAGGTCTTCGCTTTTTGTCGATCTTGAACGAGGTTTGATACAGACTGACCCCTCCCATGTCTGTCGTAGTGTAGCAGCCCGCTGTAGGCGTAGTGAAACAATTGATGACGGTAAACGTCACGGGAAATGGGTCACGTGCAAGAACAGACCCCGGTGGGATCTTCCCCATTGGGAAACGGGCTTAGGGGATCTACATTGTGGATACGAAATTAATTAATTGTTCTTTTATGTAATTCGGGGTAGATCCGATCACGGGATCCACCTCAATCAAGTATTAGTAGCACAAACATTATGCTTTAGATTACGCAGCCATGAACTAGTTCTTGACTTGTCTGACTTTGTCCCTTAAGAAGTGGGTAACTCCAGAGGCAATAATACTGATTCCCAACATCAGCACCAAGATCATGTTGGAGTATTTGAATTGTCTCTTGATGTCAGCAGGCCATCCGGTGTACAAAGCGTAGGTGGCAGTGACGGAACCAAGGTTACCAAGACCACTGACCAAGGCAGCACTGACAGCAGTACCAACATCTCCGTATCTCTCTTGGAAAATTTCAGCAGACCAGGACATACAGATAGGAACAGTAGGGCCCAAACCGAAACCACTGATCAACAATCCACCGTACTTCTTCCAGGAACCGTGCGCGTAAGTCATCACACACAAACCACAAATGATGATACAACAGCCAAAGGAGAAGATGACTGGTCTCAACTTCTTGAATTTATCGGCAAATGGAGTCATGATCAAAATACCGGCCAAGTCGAACAACCAGATTGGAGCAACCAACAAACTGACCTGGATGTCAGTAAGGTGAGGGTTGTTGGTGGTGATGATGGTAGCAGCGAAGACACTGATACCGATACCACAACCGACGACACCGAAGTACATGATGATGATAGGCCAGATTCTCAAATCGGTGATGACTTGGACCACGTCCTTGAAAGTCCACTTCAAGAGCACATATCTGTGCTGGATGTCTCTGCGGTGAATTTCTCTTTCCTCTGCACTCAATGGGTGGGTTGGGGTGAAGAACCTGTTGTAAAATACCATCAACTTGTTGGTGGACTCATTTCCAGTCTTGAAAGGTCTGTCTGGCAACCACCACAATAAGGAGATACCGACAGCCATGGTAATAACACCGTAGATCAAGTACATCCATTGCCATCCAGTGTAGCCTCTGTTACCATCAATCTTTTGAACACCAGCACTGACCAAACCACCAACAGCGGCAGAAATTTGAGCGGCTGTGAAATAGTAACCAATTCTTCTAGTAGATCTGTCGTTAGGGTACCACAAGGAAACGTAGTAACTCATACCTGGCCAAGTACCAGCTCCAACCATACCGGAGATGAATCTCACGGCCTTTAAGCCACCAGGGTTACTCAAAGTAGAGTAACAGGTGTAAACGAGACCGACAGTGAGAACAATTCTGGCCAACCAAGATTGAGGACTAACCCTGGTCATGATCAAGTTCATTGGGACATCGAAAACAATGTAACCAACGTAGTAAAGAGCGGAGGCAGTGGAAAGATCCTTACGGGTCAACCCTAACTGTTGACGAAGGGAGTGTCCAGCAGTTCTGTTCATGGTCAAGGTGTTTCCGTATGCATTACCACCAAAGGATGTCAAGAAGTACATGCACCATAACGCAGGGATGATTCTTCTGTCTAACTTTCTGTAGATCTTGTCCAACTTCTTTGGATCCACATCGTGAGCATCGGAATTGATAGAGTTCTCATCGATGGAAGCAGTCTTGTCAGCTTTGCTAGAAGCAATCTCGTCACGGACTGGTGATTCTGACATGTCTGGTGAATAGTTAGACAGGGTTGCTTCTTCGCACTAAGGTCAGTCTAATAACGATTTACAATGCAGTATTTTATAGTTTATATATTTATTTTCGGTAGGATTGCGTGGGAATATCCGTGTGACTACGAGTCAAGTAATTGCGGCATCTCCCGAGTGAGTCAGATGACTCGCGCGCAAAATTATGAGTCTTTGGGTAGGAAAGATAAGCTGTTGGGTGTGCTGATGCAGGGACGGCTGGTTCTAAATGGCAGTTTCGGGTGGTATTCCGTCCAGACAAACCTGACGAGCGGAAATATGCCTTAGCTGCATTTTTTGTGAGCCAATCAGCTGAGGGTTTCCGCCTTCCAATTTCTTCCATTTCTCCGGCAGACCCTGTGAATCATCCGTGGACATTATGCACGGCATAGTATGCGCAGAGTAATAGGCCAACACGCATCATAGCCCTACGTCTACATTTATTAGACGCCCAACATTCTCTTAACAGAAATCACAAAAGGCACCGCCAATAAAATCGTACTACCAGCGTCTTCATTTCCAATCAAAACCCGTTGAACGCTTTATTTTGTAGGGCTTTAGGAGTATTAATTACACTTGGCAAATCATTGTTGAGTTGACCGGGTAAACCAGGATTTTCACTTCCTCACTCCCATTAATACATTTCCGTTCAGCAGTATTCCAAAGTCCGCATATCCATCGAACTGAAAAATTTGACAGGAAGAGGCTTTCTCTACACGCATCACCGAACGGCACAAACGCTCAAAATTATTTTTGCAACCCGATTTCTTCGCAGGCAGTCAATTGAGAATCTTGTACTTTGCCTCGATTCACTTAGATCATTAATATTGGTATTTGATCAGCATTGGGAAGCACTTTGGACAGCCCCTTCAAGCTAGTTTCGCTGATCGAAAATATTCTTGCGGCAATATGGGTGGGATGATTGAATGGAAATCATGGAATTTCAGGTATCGGAGTTTACATATTTAATATCCGTAAAGCATATGCGCGTCAGTGTATTTGGTCGTCTACGGTTATTATTTTCAAGCCAGTTGTAGACCGCCCTTCTCATCGCAGGTCGATCACCGGAGTGCCAGAAATTATACTTGGATATTAAGATCGAGGAAAGATATATTAAATTATTATGATGTCAAAATCATTGATGTAGATTATATATGTAAATTATTAGTTTCTATGAATTTTGGTCTCTCCCATTAGAGAGGACATCCATGCTGCAAACGTGCATCAAACATTGTGTTTTCTATTAAATTTTGTTTGCACGATTAGTTCTTGACTTGTCTGATTCTGTCCTTCAAGAAGTGAGTGACACCGGAAGCCATGATACTGACACCCAACAACATGACCAACATCATGTTGGAGTAGTGGAATTGTCTCTTGACATCAGCAGGCCATGAACTGTAGAAGGCACGGGTGACAGTAACGGAACCAAGAGAACCGAAACCACTGACCAAGGCAGCACTGACGGCAGAACCAACATCACCGTATCTCTTGGAGAAAATTTCGTTAGACCAGGACATACAGATAGGAACAGTTGGACCCAAACCGAAACCACTGATCAACATACCGGAGTACTTCTTCCATGGGCCGTGAGCGTAGGTCATAATGAACAAACCAGCCATAATGATACAACAACCGAAGGAAAAGATGACTGGTCTGAACTTCTTGAATTTATCAGCAAGTGGAGTCATGATCAAAATACCGGCCAAGTCGAACAACCAAATTGGAGCAACCAACAAGTTAACTTGGACATCTGTGAGCTTGGGGTTGTTGGTAGTGATGATGGTAGCAGCGAAGACATCGATACCGATACCACAACCGACGACACCGAAGTACATGATGATGATAGGCCAGATTCTCAAATCGGTGATGATTTCAAAGACTTCCTTGTAGCCCCACTTGACAACAACTTGCTTGTCTTTAATGTCCAATTGGTGGATTGCCTTTTCTTCTTCGTTCAATGGGTGGGAAGTAGTGAAGTAACGGTTGTAGAAAGTAGAGAGCTTGCCGGTTGATTCACTTTCAGTCTTGAAAGGTCTGTCTGGCAACCACCACAATAAGGAGACACCAACAGTCATGGTAATAACACCGTAGATCAAGTACATCCATTGCCATCCAGTGTAGCCTCTGTTACCATCAATGTGTTGGACACCAGCACCGACCAAACCACCGACAGCAACAGAAATTTGGGTAGCAGTGAAGTAGTAACCAATTCTTCTGGTAATTCTTTCGTTAGGGTACCACAAGGAGATGTAGTAACTCATACCTGGCCAAGTACCAGCACCAACCATACCGGAGATGAATCTCACGGCCTTTAAGCCACCAGGGTTGCTCAAGGAGGAGTAACAGGTGTAAACGAGACCGACAGTGATAACAATTCTGGCCAACCAAGATTGAGGACTGACCTTGGTCATGATCAAGTTCATTGGGACATCGAAAACAATGTAACCAACGTAGTAAAGAGCAGAAGCAGTGGAAAGATCCTTACGACTCAATCTCAAGTGTTGACTAAGCGAGTGACCTTTGTCTCTGTTCATGACCAAAGTGTTACCGTAAGCACCACCACCGAAGGAAGTCAAGAAGTACATACACCATAAGGCAGGGATGATTCTGTAATCCAACTTTCTGTAGATTCTGTCCAACTTCTTTTGATCAATATCTTGAGGGTCAGAAGTGATGGAGTTTTCATCAACGGAAGCAGAGTCGATGACTTTGCTGGAGTCAAGTTCGTCACGAATTGGAGCTTCAGCTTCAGGCATTTCTGCTGAGTATTTCTCGGACATCTCTGATGATTATTGCAATGAGAGAGGGAAATGCTGATCCTTATATACTTGAGTTTTCTTGAAGTGATGAGGCAGGAAAGCCAGATTCTGTTGAGTCAGTACGATGATTCGCAGTGACTATGAATCATGGATGCGCGGCTTTTACCGGGCGACTCAGATGACTACGCCATGACACAAAAATATTTGGCAGACGTTGGGACAGACATATACGGTGATTAGCGAGAAAAAGCATTTCTACAGACAAGACACGTACCCACAGATCCTTTTCCAGGCTTAGGTGCTTCACAGAAGTACCTGGACCATTGCCTCTTAGGGCAGGCTGGGGTCCTACCACCCGTGCTATCCAGTACTCAGTAGTCGAGGTTGGGCTTTTTCTGATCTCTCAGTCTTACATCCCTTAGAAGTATGCCGCCGTTATGCACGATTGTGCATAATAGGCACAATAGGCTCCCAATAATGGCCTTACATATACTGTATGCCCAACATTCTCGAAGCGGAAATAGGCGAGCCAATTATACTTGTGTCTTGTTACCATACTTATAAAATATCATAGCCAATCGTGATTAGATCTCCTCACCAGCGTGTGTAGGCGCCCGGTTTCTGAGTTCTCCTAGGGCATTGTTGGCGAGGGAACCCACCCCTTGTTGGGAACCGGGTTGCAAATCTGGAAATAACCTCCTTAATGAGTGGAAGGTAATGTTGGCAAACTCCACAGTTTGATCCACGCAAAAACTATGGGTGATTCCGTCTTCCAACTCATCCACATTGAATACTACATTTTTTTCGGGGTTGTGGTACCTCGAGAGAAGGTAGGATCTGCTGTGATCGTGCACCCAGTGGTCTTTAAGGGCGAAGAACGACCATAACTTCGTTCCCTGCAGCGGGAGCTCCTGGAAGTACCAATCGTTGAACTTGTCATCTCGCACTATATCCGTCATTTCCTCGCGGGCCAAATCAATGGCGTGCCTGATGATCTTCCCATCCCGGAATATGTTGTAACACCCGGTGATGGAGTTTGCCCAGGACTCCAACGACTTGTCGTCTTCAAGCTTGGGCTTCGACACCACAAACCTTCCTATGATCCTTCTGATCGTGTGCTCGGAAAGAACGAGTTGCAATAGCGTGCTGAAGAAGACTAATACGGGGACGATGGGTAGGTAACGGGTGAGTTTGGTAAACAAAACCCCCGAGTCAGATTGCGCTATGTCGATGATAGTTGGACAGATGAAGCCACCAAGCTTGATCTTGAACTTCCCTTTCAATTCCACATCTTCGTTCAACTTGACGATCAAGCGCTGAAGAACATACGACCCCATGGAATGTGACAAGAAGTAAAGGTCCACCTTTTTGCCATGGGAATGGTGGCGGAGAATGTGTTCCTTGAGGATCTCGTGCTTGTGCTGGGTCTGGAACTTCAAGCCGTAGTATTTGTAGGGCACTTCTTCTTCGTCCTTCGACTTGGTAGTTTGGTAGCCAGCATGGCTGGCACACACGATTTCGAGGGTGGGGAACTGCTCCTGAAGAAGGTCCAAGTAGGTGGTGTAGTACTCCACCAAGCCTGGGTTGCCAGGGATAAACATCAAAAGACGCGCTGTTTCTGCCGACTCTACTGCCAGCTTGTGATAGTAGCTGGTACAGGGCTGTGATGGATGTGTGGTTATCATGACAGTGCTAGAGTTCAATTGGGGTGGCGATCTGAATATATAGCAAGGGTCCAGACGATAGAATCCAGTGCTTTTCCAGATGCGCACGATTTTACCACATCACTCTAAGTGGTACAGTTCTAGAACGACGAATGGGGTAGGATACGAGGTTGCCATGGGGTGTAAAGGTCTGGAACATTGGAAGGGGTGGAACGTTGTTATGCGGTTGCATTTTCCCGCAGATGCATCCTATAGTGCTTGGAATAGCCAGATCATTTTGTATGAACTTATTTCTACAAAGAAGCCGATAAACTACGCATATGAAAGAAATGTAGAATTTTAATGAAAAAGCTTCAAAAGCCTGATGGTACTGTATATCTAGACGCAAGTTGAAAATTCTGGAAGAGTAATGCCCTAGTAGCTTTGGGAATTGGACAAGATGCAATACTAGCAACAACCAACGACGATTCCTGGATGGTGTGTATATCTTATTTAGCAATTGTGGAGTCTAGCTTGTATGACCAATTAATTAAGTATTCCACTTTTAGTTACTATGACTTGTGGGGTCTACTTGTTATAACCAACGACTCAACACTACTTGGTGGTTTGGATTGATCTAATAGGTGTAGAGACATTGTTAAACCAACAGCTGAACAGTATGGTTTAGTAGGCTGTGATTGTGAATCAATAAACCAACGACTGAACTGCATGGCTTCGTAGAATTTTCGTTTCTAGAAAGTGAGTCTTCTTGAATGTCTTGAGTCTAGACAGTAGGAATTATTGGTTTCTTGACTACAAACAGGAGATCTACGGGTATAACCCACCCCATGCCGGGCTTGCCAACTACATGCTTTAAAGGAGTATTTATTGCAGAATATTTCATATAATGGGCGAGCTACCTTACTCCTCAGCATTTTGTCAGCACCCGTTCATAGTACCATGAGTTCGTTTTGTCACTATCCTTTCGGATGGGTCAGTTTTTAGTTTTAATTTTATAGTGCTTGGTTCCAGTATCAGCACTTGGCTCACAGCTATCTTTATCAAAGAGATCCCGCTCGTAGTAATGTAAGTACCCGTACTGGTCTAGCAAGATGATAGTTTGAGTACGGGTCCCATAGTAATCGCCTGCAACGGAATTGACCTGCTCTGGTGCTAGGTGGGTTTTTAAAGGTGGAATGTATATCGAGTTCTGCAACTCCGCCAATTTGTTGACGAAACCCGTTTCTTCCTTTATTTTAGGATCATACGTATTTTGGCTCAAAATCCGAAAGCCTGCTTCCACAATTTGTTCCTGGCTGTATTCTTCAGCGAGGGAAGTCTGGACCATTCCCAGGAGTAGCGCCTCGCCCATCTTTACCTTTGTCCACGGATTGTAGTACAAGGAGTTCGAAATACCAATAGTTCTTTGTTTGCTGAAGTCTCCGTGTAGTTTCGACTCCCCATGCGAGTCAAAAAGGGTCCCTTTATCTCCTCGATTACTCAACACATTTAGATGGTTGAGTTTGGAGGAGTCATCGACCCCCAATTTGCCATAGATGAACGTAAACCCGCCTATTTTTCCTAAGTCAATTCGTTTCAGCAAATTGCTATGCCATTCTTCATCATCCTCTTCTGATATTAGATACTGTATGGGAAGAACACCTCGTGACACCTGACTAAGTGCAGCTAGTAGTTAGTATGAGTTAGTTTGGATACACTGTAACATATACTCACTGGTAGAATCAGGCTCTCTGTAGTTGACCAAAACAGCTATCTTACCATGGTTAGAGACGCCAATCCATGTTCCATGTTCTGGTCTGCCCAAGTCAAGCGGCGAAAGAATCTCAGTTGTATCATCAACCTTTCGGAATGTGGCCATTTGAGTGGGTCTTTTGAAGTATTCATCCCTGTTAGACAAGAGTATCAAGGGGAACTGAGGATGTTCTGTTGTAGCTATTACAATACACATTCTGGCTAGGGTTGACTGCTACAAAGTGTGGTATGATTATAGATATTTTAGATCGCACCTGCATTTTGGGTTTTGTGGGGAACCACTCCACCGAGTCAGTTTTTTTGGGCTAGCTGGGTGGGCTTTGTCAAACACGTAAGAAATAGAGAGTAGCTTGCGGATAACCGAAGCTCCAAGAATCAAGTTACAAGTTCTTGAACACTTCCAAATGAGATATCGGCTATATTTCCAAAATCTTCAACAGTGCTTTCTGCAGAGGAGGAACGTAATTTCAATACTCGGTTTGCTGCCTGGTCCCACTTGTACAAAGCTTCATTTTCCTCCTCCGGATTAGCGAAGCTCAGGCTCTTGATATTTGCCATCATGTTTGCAATCTCAGATGACTCGGGAAGTAACGGTTGGCTGCTCGCATCGAATGACTCATCTCCATCACCTTCCTCATTAATGATCTCTCCGTAGAAAGCATTCTCTTCATCTTCATTCTCTAGCTCCACTGGAACTTGTTCGATGTCGAAGTTTTCCTCGTAGACATTTTCTTTCAACTTGTCATTTGTGAATAGTTCCTTTATCGATTGGAATCCAGATTTCATTGTTGATGTTGCACCAAGTTTGTTAGCATTGAAGGAGAACTTGTTTCTGCTCCTTAACACGAATTTCATATCCTCTTCTTCAACGTCGGGGACCCTCGAAAATTCTCCCAAGATTGCCGAGTTTCTGAAGAAAGGCATCCGAGCGATCGCATCAACAGTGGGTCTAGAGTGAGGATCCCAAGAGAGGCACTCTTTGACAACATCTGCTAGTTCTTTGTTAGCTGATCCAGGGATCATCTGCCTTAATGTCACGCCTGGTTCAGCTGGAAAGACAAAACCAAGTTTTTGTGCTAAATCTTGAGCTTCGCCCCAGAATCCTCCTAAAGGAATGAATGTTTGTTGAGAAGTATCTGGCAAAACAGGAGAGCCCATTACTTTGAGGATTCGCCAAATCTGGTCTAGTTCATTTGAGCCCGGAAACAATGGCGTGAAATTTGCAATCTCGGCTGCAACACTCCCAAATGCCCAAATATCAATGGGGCGAGAATACCACTTCTGTCTCAACAAGATTTCTGGTGATCTATACCACCTTGTGGAAACGTAGGCGGTGTATTGTTTCAAGTTGTGGATATGGCGTGCTAATCCATAATCACCTAGCTTTACCACGAAATTGTCGTGCTTTCTGTGGGGAGGAATCGCTTCTTTCGAACCGTAGTACTGATGGGTAGGTATTACCAAAATGTTCTCAGGCTTCACATCCCTATGGAAGTAGTTATTGTTGTGGATGTGACCAATGGCGCACAACACCTGGCTCAAAATGCTTTTCAAGGTAGTCTGGGAAAAGCGGACAGATCTTCTTGCTTTCATCAACTGGTAGAGATTCTGGTTGAGCGACTCCATGACGATATGCAACTGATAGTTTTTGTCATCGATGAACATCTCGTAAACTTGCACAAGACAGGGATGGGAGGGGATCGCAAGGATAAACCGCACTTCCTTAACTCGGGTGTAGTCTTTCAACGTGTTCAATCTTTTCTTCATAGTTTTGATGGCGACAAGGCAGGTCAAATTGTGTTGAGCATCTTGCAATGGCTCGAGAAGGGTCCCTTTCTTATACTGACGTGGGCACAAGAGGCTGGAGCTTCTAAACCTGCACTTCGCCAATTCGACGGTGCCAAACGACCCGTTGCCCAAATTGCTGAGGGACTGGTAGTTCTCTTGGTGAGACTTCACGGGAAGTTGCGGAGGCGGGTTGTTGAAGTCGGGAGGCAAGCTCAGCATGGTTTACCTGGTGGGAACAAGAAGAGCACTAAACGCCAAAGGTGATGGATTTTGAGCGGGTGATTTGTGGTCGCAGTTTTTGCAACAATTGAATGCGAACTTTCATTCAGACCAGTATCAGGCACCAGCGATTACTACGCCAGACAATGGATTCATGGAAGCGTACAGCTCTTCTTGAATTCTACAGTGGACCACTCACACGGAGGATTTCGTTAGGTATGTATTATGACATGGACTAGAAGTGGATGTAATCCGCGTTGTCGCCCAAGTCGTCGCTTTCGCTTGAGGAGTCGTCCACTATCAAGAACGCCGAGTTCTCGTTGAAGGTAGAGGTGGATGCTGGGGACTGTTCTTTTGAAGTATCCACATACACATCATAGCGGCTATCGTCCAGACTCACAAAGAGCAGAGCGGGGTCCACAGTGTAGCTGTTGATGGTCACAGTGGAAGGGGTCTCGTCCTCATTGTCGCTTTCCACAAGCACCTCTTCCTCTTCTGTAGCCACGTACTTGTTGGCGGGCGTGACCATCAAGTCTTGGTGCCTTTTGGTGACCTGATGGGTCAACGAACAGGCCTTGCCCTTGGGACATGTTCCATCCTCCTCGAAGTCCGGACAGTTGAACACATGAAGAAGGGGGCACTTCTTGCCCCTGCCACACCAGCCTCCGATGACAAATGGCCGGCACACCCACACTTCGTGGTTTGGGTTGTCATAACAGGGGGGTTTCCAGTGCTGGAACCAGCACTGGCTATTGGTACACTTCTTTTCGAGAAAGTACCGACATATGGGTGTATTGTGTTCGTTGCAGTCATGCGAGAACAAACAGTTCTTGTCGTAACACCTGTTGAGTAAGTATTGGCGACAAATCCGTATTCTGGACTTGTCATGCTGATATGTACATGCTGAACCTTTCTGACATATGCCTGTATTTGAAAGATCCGAAAGAAATCTCAGTTAGTAGCGGTTTCCAAAAATCCAAGAATCTACTCACCTGTTCTTGTAAAGTATCGACACTGGTCCACGGGTATTCTAATGTTAGTATGATGCTGGTCTTCTTGCAATCGTCCACAGGGTACATACCTCTTCTTGCGTCCACCAAAGCATTTCAACACTCCATTATGCTTCCTTGTATACGTCCTGCCGTCCCACGTGGCACTCCGCGATTTATCACCTTCAGGAACTGTGATAGGGACGAGTCTGTTGCCCAAACGAGTGACCGCAAATTTATCTCCATCGACCTCCACCCTATCACAACCATCTGTCTTGCTTCTATACTTAGCCACCCGACTTCGCAAATTCACAAGACGACGCTGCTCCTTTAAGGTATTCTGAACAGCAAGTTGCGCCTGCTGTAATGCTTGATACTTCTGTTGATCCTGGTGATATATCGTGGAGTTGACAAGGGACATTCCTCCTTTGGACACACGAGAGACGTATGAAGAAGACTCAGCACGCCCATCCCCATTTCCATCACCGTTGAGCACATATGTCATGTTTCTATAAGTGGTTGGTCTTGCAGCTCTATAGCCGCCACGGTAACCTCCTCTGCCTCGACCTCTTCCTCCAAATAGTTGACCCGAAGGGTACGGCAGAACGGAAGCACCTCTTTTCTGCTCTTCAATGGCCTTCTTAAGAGCCGCGATCTCTGCGTATTTCTTCTTCACGTCTTCGCTGTCCGCCATTCCGAATAGTTGGTTATGTTTGGGATGGATCTCATTAGATATGTTGAAGCGTGATACAGAGTCACGTGATCAAATGTTATAGGTGGAGTCTAACTTTAAGGGAACGACAGCGGAGGTAAACGAGCTGACAACCCACATAGTGATTTATGGACATAAACCAGCTCAGCTGCGCTCTTTTATCGACATGAAAGTGCTTTCCTATTGATATAAGAGCAAAGCCAACTCGAGGCATCAATGATGCACGTGACCAAACATCGATTCCAGAAATGACTAATTGAATAATTGTTACTGATCTGAACAGATAATTACCCAACCATGAGTTACCTGAAGGTCAAGAAATACGCAGAGTCCGCGGTGGCCAATATCATCCCATTGGATCCGGATTCCTGCAAAGAACTCGTGGATTATGCTCTTACGTTGCCGTCAAACCAAGCGATTCAGAACCATTTCTTGAACATGCTAGGCGAAACTGAAGAGTCATTGAAGTTTATCACCAAATTCCTTCAATTGAAACAAGAAGAAGATGCTGCATCGAAACCACAGAAGCCGAAAAGACAGGAGGCTAAACCAAAGGCCACCAGTTCCGGTTCGAACGCTTGGATTTCCACACCTTCTCCTCCTAAGGAGCCAGTCAGAAAGGGAAGGCTCGATAGAAATAAATCCTCTCACAACACCTCAGAGCTTCTTGATCTAAAGCCTTCCAACCAATTGTCTTCTCAACAAGTCAAAAAGAACAAGAAGAAAAACCTCGATAATTTGAAGGATATAGAAGCTATACTAACGGAGCTCGAGTTGAAATCTTCCAACGAGACTAACAGAAGGTGCAATTGCATGGCTACAAGACATCCATTATTTGAAATGGCTCCCAACTGTCTAAACTGTGGAAAAATCATCTGTGTCAAAGAGGGTCTTCAACCATGTTCTTTCTGTGGACATGAATTATTAAATCATAAAGAGCGACTTGAAATCATGAATGTTTTAAGACAAGAAAAAGATGAACTTGAAAATAAGCAAGATAATTTGCAGAACAAGAAGATTCAAGAGCAGAAGACCACTCTTTCGAAACCCAAAAGCAAGAAAATCGTTGTCAGCATGAATGCCGGAGAAAACCTATGGAAGGCCCAAGATCGAGCGCTCAAACAGGCTGAATTGGAAGCAAAACGGGCCAAGGAACTTGAAGATAAAAAAGAAGCTGAGAGAAAAGAAGTGGAAGAACAAGAGGAAGAATTAAAGAAATACGAATTAAGTAAGCAGGTAAATCCCGACCTTTTGAAAGCACAAGAAAGGTTAGAAACCTTACTTAATTTCCAAAGCACTGGTGCTGAGAGAACTAAAATCATTGACAATGCTGCAGATTATCAATTGCCTAGCAGCGGAGGAAGTATGTGGTTATCGCCCGTTGAGCGAGCATTGCAATTGAAAAAGCAGCAGAAGATATTGAGAAAACATGAAGAGAGCATACAGGCCAGAAGTGGGAGAGGAAAAGTTACAGTCGAAATGGTTATCAAGAATGGCAAAGTTACAATGGTTGAAAAGCAGCACACCGGAAGAATTGTTGAAGATAAGGATGAAGAGATCAATGCATTGGAAGAAGAATTACAACAAGAAAAGCAGCTCCACGAACAAGATCTCAGCAAAAACATTTGGGATTATGAAAAGGATCAAAAGAAATGGGAAAGACCAGTGTACATGGGCAAGGCCCCAGGCAATGATAGTATTGAGGTCAAGCATGGAAGGGTCCAATTTGCATTTGATCCGGAAGAAAATGAGTTGTTATAAGCATTGAAGGTGGTTGAAATTTAGGTAGAACAATAGATAAGGGTGAAACATTGCAATATCAAGATCCTCACTCAGGATATTAATGATTTCAAAATCAATGTACTCTGGCAACTTGACTTGGAAAGTCATGCTAGGAACCAGTTTCTTTTCAATTAATTCGGAGAGAACTCTATGCATGTATGACACTACTATGTCATAAATTTCTTAACGTATCACGCTGATGTTCCATTCGCTTACGAGCCTGGTCAATTATCTGTTTCGCCCATTCGAATTCTCATTATCTACAATTCCATGTAAATGAGCATTTGTTAAGTTGCGTGAAGCAAATTACTCTTTTATTAGCTCTGGACGAATAAATTTTATCCGGATTCACCATGAGAAGGATTTTAGAAAGTTGCATGAAATATATTTACGTTGAGTAGGACAAAATTTGACTTTATATCATGCTATTACATATTCCTTGGGAGAAAGTATAGACTAGATGATGCTCAACCTAATTCTATAAATAACTTTAAAACAATAATCCGTAAGGCTCTTTGGCAATGGACAGTCATAGTAGCTATAAGTCCATGGATACATCATGGACATCACTAAGTGAACGATTATTATTAATAGACTTATTTCAGAAACCTAGTGCGTGCCCCAAATTGATGGCCAATGAATCCCATAAAACTGTATGCGACTGTGTAGTCTTAGTCTATTAACATCTTAAATAAATAAAGATATGAGATATACAGCATGGTTTCACAGGAAGTTAATTTATCTTCCCATTCTTCTTTTAAATGCCTTAGCCCTAGGATCATTAATCTTCAATCTCTGGTAATTCATACTGATTGGTTTGATCATACCCTTGGTGTTTTTTGGTTCTTTACTAACATATTCGTCATTATCATCTGAACTATCAGATTCTGCATTGTCAGAATCGATAAATGCTACTAATTGATCATGATCTTCTTTATTGATCTTCTCAATTTCCTTATGAATGTTCTTGCCCTTGAGTTCATCCTCTCCGACTTCAGCAAGCCTGGGCTTGATCTTCCATCTTCTTGTAGTTCTCTTTTGTGTGAACTTCTTTTTCTTTCTGGGTACTGCCGGGTCATTTGTGGATTCCTCTTCTTCAATTTCTTCTTCAATCTCCTCCTCCAGGTAATGGTTGTCTTCTTCCTGAATCGATTTAAAATCATTGAATACGTCAGAAAGTTTCTTCGATAAAAATCTATGGGATTTCAAGGGCGACGGTGAAACCAGAAAGTCTAATGTAGTGCTCCTCACTGGTGTTTTGGTAGGCGAGTTATTGAATGGCGATGAATTAATCTTGACCAACCGTGGGGTTTGAATGGGCGAAGCCTGGGATTTGACGGGAGTGTCTAAGGGGTTATTATTGAATGGAGAGACCTTTATGAAAGGTGAAGATCTCGATTTTCTTGGAGTGTTGACAGGCAGTTTGCCTGGTGTGAATGCAGGGTTGGACGATGATCTGGTTGGTGAATTCATATCCATTGGAGATGGGGAAGGTTTCAGAGGTGACAATGAAAACTCGAATTTGCGGTTATTCTTGGCCAAGTATTGGGGAGTTTCCAAACCCTTCAATGTGAACGAAGGTGGCAGTGGTTTTGTAGGCGTGGTTGAATTGGCAGCAGAGAGTAGTTTTTCGGCCAAGTTGGACTTTTGTTTGCTGGTGGAGCCACCATCAACTGGCTTCAACTTGGTGGGGGTTTTGAAGAGCTCGTTGCCAGTACTTGTTTCTTTTTGTTTCAAAGGTGACGAATCTGGAGGAGTGAAACGGAAGTCGAATATCGATAGCACCTTTCCGTTGGCCTGAGGGGTGGGTCCCAATTCCCCTTGCACATTTTGGTACTCGGGAGTCTCATCTTCAGCCTCAGGCTCCTGGTCAGACTGGACGTCGTTTACGTTGATGTTGATTTCGAGCTCTTTAGCCTTCACTGGCACCTGATTCTGCGTTTTAACTGTACGGTAGGTCTTATAGAGCTTGTAAATTTTTGGATCCAACTTGACATCTTGTTTCGAGGGAAGACGGTTATGTTGCTTCTGGAACTGGTGCTCCCAAGTCTTGATCTGGTGCTTTAGGGATGTAACGGAAGTCATGCTGGAGAACAGTAACGCGACGCGTTAATTATGGATTGGTGATAACGCGGCTGGCTCATCTGATGAGATCATCAGATAAGGTGTGCACGACCAGACAATAACTCGGAGTCGTAAATGTTGCCTGTACCAACAGTCATCTTGGAGTTCTAGACACTGTAGCGTGGGCTGGCTAGGGAGGTAAGGGAAAAATAGATTGCTGATTGGTAGATATGAACAAAGAGAACCTTTCCTCTGAAATCATCTTTTGCGTAAGTTAATAAATGAACGGAACAGAACAGCGCAATTATCCCAGAGGACCAACACAGGAACAATTTCAACCTTAACTTCTGGCGTATTACATCTGATAGCTTAGATCCGAAGAATATTATTTTCTGTCAGATTTTCTCCTATGGGTAAGGCTCTGGACTGGAGCTACAGTAATCCATTATTACAATATACAATATCAACTGTTAAAGGATGTTAATTAGTTTCTGACGGTACTACCATCATTGCCAGAGTAACAATGTCCCAAGCTGTTAGTCGGTCGTTCTGATCAGTGGTTCCTGTGAAAGTGTAACTGCAGTTCTCTCAGAATATCTCTGTTCTATACAGAAATCAATAATTCGCTTTAATGTGCTACTATACGCAGCTGGTGGTCCTATCCCGTGTATTAATATGTACAAGTAGTAGATTCTCGTATGTACAGCTTCGTCATGACATGGCTACAACCCCTCAATAAACTGCTTGATGTGGTTGAAGCTGGCGGACTTTTCGTATCCGTTCAAGTCTCTCAACATGGCGTTGATGGCCAGGGTGAAGGCATGGTGCTCTTGCTCGGAGCCAAAGCGACCCCCGTTGGCGTTGAAGTCGCCCATGAACGATCTTCCGTTGAGTGAGTGGTTCCAGTAGTTGTGGAGGAAGTGGATGGTTGCAGTCTTGGAGTGACGACACGACAAATACACAGCCAACCGCACCCAGTAGCCCAAGAGCGTCTTGGAATCAGTCTCGTTGTTCCACGAGCCCAAAGACGAGTCCCACTGCTTCCAGAACTGTTTCCAGTTGCCGTCGTTCCCATAAGTGAAGAGAATCAACTCCTTAAAAGAGGGAGTGGTGCAGGTGTTGGTGACCGAGTTGTGGTACTTGATGATCTCGAGGATATCCCTCGCTCTGTTCTTTGCCTGGTCAATGCTCGTGGTGGATTCGGAGGGTATCAGTTTGTCATTATAAATGATATCGTTGATGGTGTTGGAGCCAACAAATGGCCCAGACTCAACATAAGATAATCTCCACAACAAGGCAGTGAATTCGGGGTTGGACAAAAGGTCCACCTGTGAAGGTGAGTACAACAAGACTTTGGAGACGAATTTGGACAATGCATCATAGATGTAATCGCAATGCTCTCCCACCGTCTTGAACTGGATATTTTCACTTACTTCTGGAGAATCAACAAGCAATTTCATGTAGTCTATTATGTCCTGCTGCCTGTTCTCTTCCAACTGGTGACGTTCTGCCAAGGCGATCGGGAGCGAGGCGTACTTGCTCAACAACATCTGCTCGAGTTCCTCCAACGAAACAAATTCGGGTTTGACTAGGTGTAGAGCTCGGTAAAATTTGTACCTTACTCTGTGGTCCTCCAAGGAATCTTCTCTAAAAGTTTTCAAGAATTCCTTGCTGTACTTCTTGACGTCTTCGTTAGTGATCTGTTGATTCTCGTTGATCAATCTGGAGTAGATACTTTGGGAGGTGGTAGAATTAAATCTGGCTTGGTTGTGTCTTGCGAATGGCGTCATGGTATGCATTCTTCTGATACCGATAAAGATATCGTCCGAGTCGGCAAATTGCCCGTTGGAAGTCTCGTATTGCTCGAGCTCCTCTTCTGGACAGTAGAGACTCTCCAAATTCAACTCGTCTCTTCTTTGCTGGGTCAACATATGGATATACACCCCATCAACCTTGGTATCACACATAATCCAACTGTTTGGTAGTTTGCCATAGTCATTGTCGGTTGCTGGCGGGCCTTTTCTTGCTCTACGGAGGAGTCTTCTTCTCACCACCGGTTTGACTCCACCTGAGACCATGCCTTCCATTGGGGGAATAATGTTGTGAGTGTGCTTAATGTGGCTTCTCAACTCGGAGGCTGCCTTATATATGTGCTTCTCGGACTTTCCAGTTCCGATAATATAATAGTTAGTTGGTTGTTCTTTGGTGCTGTAGGGATGGTCTTCCTCCAAGGTGGAGGTGTCGAACAAAACCAAGTCTTGGATACCATAATCATAAGCCAAGAGATTCAAGAACTTGTTCAATGATTCGGGAGAGTTACCTGGAATGGTGGGAAGTTCTATTTCCTTTGCTTCCACCAATGGAGATGTGGCATCCTCACGAAGGTACCAAGGCGTCGAATCAGAGCTAGATTCTGGATATGCATCTGGCTTGGTTTCACTATCTTTCTCCTTGATCGGAGCAGTGTCTTCAAGTTTTGGAACTGTTGACTGGGATGAGTAAACTCTGAGCTGCCTAGATCTGGATAAGACAGATGAGAGGGCATTCCTCCTGGAATTCACGACTACTGTTCTAAACATGCTGTGGTAGTAGTCCAGACGGTGAAGAAATCGGCCTGAAAAAGTTTAGTGGTGTATCACGTGACGCGTGGTTGCAATCTCAGGATCTGGATTATGGTCAGCAGCGGAATGGAATACTAGCGAAAGCAGTACAAAGTGGTGCCAGAGTAGCACCAAAGTGGCTATTCTGTTGTATTATTAGGTAGTTCTGATCATTATTGACGAACTTGTTGGGTGTTATTTCAGTTGGAAGGAGAAATTCGAAAGGGTTTGGCTCAAAAGAAAGGATACAAACATGGAGAGGTATACAAGAAAAGAACATAGCCCCCAAGCCAAGGTAGGTCTTTTACTAGTCTCATATCCTGAATATCATAGCATTTAGTATGCTACGATGCTTCGACTGCAATAATGTCGCATGTCGCGGTGCACCTAAAATTTATCCATCTCATCTGAAGCATCACGATTAGCACCTCCACCCATAATGGCCAAATTAGTTCACAACGTCCAAAAGAAGCAACATAAGGAGCGTTCCCAACTCACAGAGAGGGCCAGATTTGGTCTCTTGGAGAAGAAGAAGGACTACCGTCTCAGAGCTGCCGATTATCACAAGAAGCAAAATGCATTAAAGGCTTTGAAGCTGAAAGCCCAAGCCTACAACCCCGATGAATACTATCATGCCATGACCAAGAAGTCCACTGACGAACGTGGTGTTCTTATAGCAGACAGAGGAAATGAGCTGATGTCTGTGGCGCAAGTCAAGTTGTTGAAGACACAGGATGTCAACTACGTGAGGACCTTGAGATTGAATGAGTTGAATAAGATTGAAAAATTGAAGAAGGACTTGGACTTCAAAGCTGGGGGACAGCACACTGTGTTCGTGGATTCCGTTTTGGAACAACAGAACTTGACCCCAGAAGAGTTCTTCAATACTGATTCCAGTTTGATAGATAGAAGAGAGAACAGATTGAGAATATCCCAATTGCAAAGTAACGAGAAGCTCATCAAGCAAGATACCTTGGACGACCAGAATTTGATAGACGACCAGAACAAAGAGAAGTTGAAGCAATTTAAGATATTGCAACAAAGGCTCAAGAGAGTGGAGGAGTTGAAGGAGGTCGAAGCCAAGTTGGAACTCACCAGAGAGTTGATGAAGAACGGCAACAAGAAGAAGGTTGTGGATGGAAATGGAAACGTTCAGTTTAAGTGGAAAAACGTGAGAAAGAGGTAATTGCATATAGGTTAATGTATATTAGATGTCTACAGAAATCAGTAGTGAGCTTTATTCGAGTAGAGATTTGAAGCGATTGGAGCCTAGAGATGGATTTTTAGGCGAAGGGTCTCAGTAAATGCATCCACACCCAATAGTATACATATACGATCTACAGTTTCGATTTCTATGGAAGGAAATCTATTAAAACATGAGCCAGTGCTCCCTATATATGTGGCCAGACCCTAGTGCTCAGTTTCAAGACTCTTGTTGACGTAGTCCACGAACAAGTTGGTGATACGGTCAACTTCGACCGTTCTCATTCTGTTCAATGTAATGTAACTTCTTCTTATTCTTTGCAATTGGGCCGTACTCACTGGCCACAGAGGCATTTCTATCTCCAAGTCTTTGTCGATGCGCACAGTTCCTCCGATTGCCATCAAGGCTTGGTGTTGGACGATTTTCCCCACCACGTCTCTGGTACGCCCATCAAGCTCTTGTAAGAAATTGTTACCACCGGTAGATTTAATCAAGGTGGCAGCATTGGGAGGTGGGGCTCTTTTCAACACCAAGGCGTCCCAGATGGCCTCGATGGGCAACTCTTCTCCTTCGTAGCCTGAAGCCACCGTGAACAACGGCGAGTCCCACCTACTATCACCGTTTGGCTCCTCGTATCTCATGTGCAATTGTTTCATCAACTCCTCGTCCCAGGGGTTGTCTTTCTTGGAGTTCCACTCGAGACACTTGTCCAACTGGTTGAGGACCTGGACCACACAGTGGGGAGTCACCACCCCTTTGGCCTCACAGAAGAGTTGGTATCTGAACCCTTTGATGTAGGCCAAGGAGTCGAGGATAACGAAATTGGTTCTGGAGAGGTCTCTTTTCACTGCGGACATCTGGGTGCCTCTAGCGTTCTTTTCTGGGTTGGATTCCTTGTAGGCATCATGGGATATGCCCAAGGTCTCATCGGAGTGGTATATGACGGAATAGTTGTGGCCCGGATCATTGGTTTTTTTGGCAGCCTCGATTTTGGCTTCCAAAGCTGCTTGGAGCTGCTTGGCCCATGTGGTTTTTCCCGAGGAAGGGAACCCTGTGAAGGTGATAAGAGGCATTGGTAAAGAGTGAAGAGATTGGTGAGCAAAAAAGTCGCGGTGGTGGGGTTGATTGTAGGAAGAGATGAGGCAGTGGTAGAAGGTGAAAATGTGCAGAGAGAACTATAGGAGGGTACCTGGAGGGTGAGGAGGAGCTTCGAAGTGACTTTTCGTTGCTCTTCGGGCTACATAGTATAAATTTTCATTAGGTAATGAAAACTGAAAATTTGGAGGATCTCACAAGTCTCCCTACCTTTCCCGCTAATTGGAAGTGGTCCTCGCTAGCGGCCTCGCTAGCTCGGACTGAATTTTTCACTACCCTCGCCATTCTCGCGCTTTGCTCTCGCTAGCACCGACCCCATCTCCTTATCATGTGACCAGATATAGAAACCACTCTATTCACATAGAATTACTGACCCACCATGTCGTTCATTCCCCGTCGAATATTCCCCAACTACAATATCCCCCTCTCCAACTTCAAGGGGCACCATCAAAAGGCGTTGACCAAGTTTGGCCATCTCGCCCCCCAAATCGACTTGGTGCTTGAAGTCAGAGACAGCAGGGCCCCCATATCCACCACCAACGTGCTCTTTGACAGAGTGCTAGCCCAGAAACAGAAGATCGTGTTGTACTCCAAGAAGGACTTATCGGTGATCAAAAAGGATCTCCTTGAAAAGTGGCACCTGTCAACCCTTGAAGACTACATGTTCATCGATAGCAGAAACAGAAAGGATGCCAGACTGATCATCGAGTTAGTGTCGAAGAAGTACTACGAGATGAGCCCTCCACCTCCGTTGGGGTTGCGTTTGATGATCATCGGGATGCCCAACGTGGGCAAATCTACCCTAGTCAATACCCTAAGAGAAGTAGGTTACGCTTCCGAATTGAGAGGAAGCGTGTCCACCAAAAGGAGAAAAGTGGCCAGGACAGGAGGCCAGCCAGGAGTGACCAAGAACACCAGTGAGATCATTCGCTTGAGCAAAGATCCAGACATCTTGGTTCATGATACTCCTGGGGTATTCTTGCCCACAGTAAAGGATAGCGAGACAATGTTGGCCCTTAGTTTGGTGGGGTGTGTTCACACCTCATTCATCGATCCAGTGATCCAGGCAGACTACTTACTCTATCTCTTGAATTTGCACGACGCAACGGGGTCCAAGTACTCGGAGTACATGGACCATCCCACCAATCTGATTGACGAACTATTGTACAATATCGCATCCAAGAGAGGCCAATTGGGCCCTGATGGCTCTTACGACGAGCTTGGAACCGCTTCCCATTGGGTCAGTCTCTGGAAACAGGGAAAGCTGGCCAAATATAGAGGTTTGTTTGACTTGGGCACCATCTTGGAGCTCAACGGAAGCGAGTTGAAAAAGCTATTTGCAGAAGAGAGAGAAAGAGTGAAGTCGATGGACGTGAGCACAAAGATCACCGATAGCTTGGGAGAAGACGGCACGGCAAGATCAAAGAAAAGAAAAAGAACTGCCAAAGATAGAGAATATGACTTGAAGAACCAGCTCTTCAAAATTTAAACAAACTAGTCTGGCTTCCACTATTTTGAGGGAGGTTTTCGAAGGATCTTTTGAGATTTGAACAAATTCCCAAAACCAATTCTTCTACTTGTTCGCTTTATCTCATCAGACTGACACGAAATGCATACATCGAATGAGCATCACATGAACCAAACACTCCTTACTACTTCTCGAGGGGGTTTGGCTGCGCCAGCTACCAGATTATTGTCTTCGCTTCCTGTCAATGCCTAGTCCGAAGATCGGTTTGCATGCCATAATTGCTAAGTTTCTATCGGAAGAAGAATTGACCCGATGATTGGAAATATACACTGGAGAAAATGGATCAAAATTCCTGTTCTGGCCATTAGCTTGAATTGTACAACATCAACATAATCACACGTTGTCCTGGCGTCTACAACGCATTTGTAAGTAGAATACTTCACGAACTCCTGTATATATCGTCTATTTAGAGTGTAATCAGTAATTATTACCGGTATTATATTGTCTATTTAGATTAAAGTCCTATGTTATATTTGTCACGTTAAAAAAAGTCTATATCTCAACTAGTAAGTAAACTTGAAATCCAATCTCTTGTTTCCTTCATCCGTTGTACCGGATAAATATTCTTCTTGCTGTTTAATGTCAAGCTCGTTCCAAGCACGTTCTTTCTGACTATTTCTCCACTTGTAGTAGAAACGAGAAATTATAGTCACGGCCAAGGCAGCGAAATTAATTCCAATTAAGGCGCTGTTACCTCTGTGATACAATGGCCTATCATCTTCACGGTAGATGTTAGCACCCACGATAGTTCCGGCCTGCGAAAACATATTGACGATGGCTGTTGAAACAGCTCTACTTCTCACCGAATTAGAGTTTGCTGATACCCAACTATTGGTCAAGGGGTTATCTGTGGGATGTCCTAGCAAGACCGTCAAAAGAGCAAATGTTCCCCATTTATCCTTTTGAGCGTTTGGCCAGAATCGTAATGGAATAAGACACGATAAAACCCATGTAGGAACGATTGCTAGTGTCAATGCTCTTGAATTGACTTTCTCTGAGAAGTAACCAATACTGAAAATACAAATGATGGTGATTATACTGTAAGGGATGGTCAAGGCATTGGTTTCAAACGTGGTAAATCCAATTCCCCGAAGCACGATCTGCAAGTAGGTAGCAATAGGATGGGTTCCCATATCAATCAAAAATCTAATAAGGTAAACTGGGAGGTGGTCATAATCCAAGATCGTCTTCAATAATTCGTTCGCATGAACAGGCTCTCTGTTATGCATGTCTCCCTTGCTAGGGTCGTCTCTCAACACTCTGTTGACCACGATTTTCTCCTCGTGATCGGTGAACCACCCGTTTGGTCTGTACCAAGCCTTGGTTTGAGCAGCAGAAGCAGGCATCAAGAAAAAGGACGCAAGGCCAATTACCAACGTGAGCAAACCCTCCACGATGAACAACCATCTCCAACTCTGGGAAATGGCCTCGGTTTTGATTTTCAACAATGCAAAGGCCAACAAACTGGAAATCACGATAGTAAACGAGTTCGACATGTAGAAGATGGACAAACGGAGAGGAAACTCGGAGGTAGTATAGAAGTAACTCATCCAGAGACCCACTTCACAAATAAACCCACCTTGTAATGCTCCCAAAAGGCATCTGGTGACGTAGAACCCAGCAGGGGTCGTGATGGACGATTGGGTGATGGAGACCACGCTCCACAACACGATTTGGGTGGGGATCCACACATCGGCACCTATCTTCTTGGAAATCAACTGCGAGGGCAATTCGGAGATCAAGAAAAATACCAAGTTGAGGGTGTTTCCAATATTAAGCTGGTTGGTGTTCATGTGGAGATCCTTGAGGAACGAAGTCGAGAGGGCCTGCGAGAGGTTGAATCTGTCGAAGTTCAAACTGGTGAACATGATAAAGGCCCACAAGGTGACTCTCCATTCAAGCTTCCATACCACCTTCTTCTCTTCCTCTTTAGTCCAAGTGTACTCGGGATCAAACAAGTGGCGACACTCGTACTCACACTTTTCGTAGACTCCACGGTAGTGTTCAGCGACCGCAGGGTCTCTGAATATATGATTGTAGGAGTATTCCTCAAAGCTGGAACCCTCTAAGTCGGAAGCATCCTGCACTTCCACCGAAGCTCCCTTTTCGTCGAACTTGCTCATTTTCCTTGGTGTAATGATTCTGTCAGCCCGGGATATCTCCTTGATGGTTATCTATCGAAAAGCTGCCATGCCAGTACTCTATATATGTAGATTCTAGGTTGTCTGAAACCTTCTCTACAGAGCGTCACATGTTCCAATAATTACAAGCTTGTAATTTTGCACCTAGAATGGTGAAATCGAACTGTGGCTGAGTGCAGGAATGGTGAATTATTGGGTGCCACATTTATTTATGTAGTAGTATCCGCAATAAGGACGGAATTCGCCGAGATTTCTGAAATACTAGTTATATAGCCGTGCCGGATTTAGTGGGCTAAACCTTGATTATTGCCAATTTCTCGCTGTCTGATTACAAATTAACAAATTTGACACGGAATTACAAAAGATCGGCATGAACAATAATGACGAATTTCCAGCATAATTGATTGGACTCTAAATGGCCTGATCGCGATTGCTCGTGATATCAGCAACCCAGGCAAATGTGTGGCCACCGCTGGCCCCCTAACTTAATATATCCTGTATATCGAAATATGGATCGAATGATTCCTTTGCTTTTCCGTCTTCCTTGTTGAAAAAAGCCTCGTAAGTAGAGTCCAGATACTTTCTTTTCTTGGCTTCGGGATTTCTTTTCAAGTACCTCGAGTCAAGCGTTGTGATGAGCTTCTTCACCAAGGGTGCTGATTTTGAATTCATTCCGGTGAGCCAATTTTCAGCACCTACGGTGTTTCCTGTCAATATATTGTTATAGTTGAAAAGGTTTGTCTCTCCCTCTTCCACCAAATATTTCTCCACAAACTTCTCTTCGTTGAGGAATGCTTCCAACGACTCCTTATTTACTGAGGTGCTCAATATCTGCTTTAGATATCTCTGGGTCTTCTTGGTGGCTGGACATGTTGGCATTAATTTAGTATCTGGATCGCCTTTAACGGTTTTAGGAAGGTTCAAAAACTCGGTATCAATGAGTCCGAGTTTTTGGTTATCAAGAACGTGAGTGAATGAATCTGCACCAGGCGCTTCATCCAAATCCCTCGCTTTGATGAACTCTTCCATCAATACGTTGGCTTCAGAGGATGGCAATGCTCTCTTTTTCTCGTTGGAGAATTTTGCTCCATCCTCTCCAGTTTCCTCCTCGTCTTCATCTTCCTTGTCGTCGTCGTCATTGTTTGCACTGGTGTAGTCCTTGGTCAATGATGGAAACCTTCCCATTTTCTCATCCTCTTTGAAAGCCAACCGGATAGAAACCAAACCATATCGAGAATTTTCTTTCAATTGGAATTTCAGAGGAAACAATGCACAAACCTGGACCTCGGAGTTCTCCTTAGAAACGTACCTTGCCAATGCAACACCATCCATATCAATCAACGACCGGACTAACGCATTGAATGACACCAGGTTGATATTCGAGCTGTTGCTGGGTGGTATAATGTATGAAGATTCATCAACAAGGTAGGCAAGGGAGATGTGTTGCTTCTTAACGAATCCAAGAATGTCCATTCCTGGCGAGGTAGGTAACTGGGACACTTCTGCCAACTCTTTATTGACAGCAATGATATCTCTTTTTGAGTACTTGAACCCCGGGACGTAATCAGAGATAACCTCTTTGTTGTAGTCCTCATTGTCAGAATCATTTTCTTCCCCCAATAAATCCTGGGGGCCATCGCGAGTGTACTTCTTAATGAAATGGGTAGTGGTTCTTTGTAGGCCCCGAATGGTCTTGGTTTCATCATCAAACACGTACTCGTGGGATGAAGACGTCTTTTCCACTTTGATGGCTGGGTACAGCTGAATGTCGATTTTTATAGCCGAGTTATCTTGGTTTAAGGTGTCTGCTTCAACGTCAACGGCAAATCTTAGACAGCCAGTGAATGTGGCTCTGGGTGCCACTTTCCGCAATGCTACAGACTGAGCAATGGTCCTGTGCAACTCTTTAGAATGCACGATCCGAGAGTGATCCCATTGGGCCAACAACCGTTTCCAGCCGTAGAATGTCTTGCTCGAATCGTCGAAATCCCCCGTAAAAATCACTTTAATGCCATACTGGTTGATGAGCTTGGTGGTCTCCTCCAAGTCTATGTCGAAGTCGAGTGAGTCTTTGGCATTGGTGATGACGATCAAGTGCCGTAAGTACTTGAGGTGGATTTTGTCTCTGAAAGTATCAATTGCAGCTACTAGAGCTTCGAGAAAATGGCCGCCAGCGCTTTGGTTCTCGAGGTGCTGGGAATACAGCTTGAATCTGTCATAAGTGAATTGGGCATCTTCATATAGTTTGGAGGAGGTGGTGACGAGGCCTAGCCTGTCAGTTTTGCGGTTTTTGAGGAGCAAAGCGGTACAGTGGTCGTACCAGAAGGCAAGAGGAGCGCAATTGTCCACCACGAAGAGGGAGAACTCTTTCTGGGAAGCCATGGTGATGGAGGTGTTGGAGTGTATATTTCACGTGATTACTGGAGATAGTTGATCACCAAAATGCGACACTGGAAATCGGCGACATGAGCGACAAAATGAAAGAAGGGATATGTAGGGATACAAACAGCGGATAAATAATATGTAAAGAGGTGGAAAATCACGTCGGAGTATACAGAATGAGAATGCAATACGGTTCCAAGCATATGCTTGAGTAATTTCTCAAGAATGTTTTTGGGCAAAATTAGTTTTGAATTCTCATTCTTAGGAGATGGTGCAGGAGAATATGTCAAACGTGAGTCGGACACCAAAATGGCATAGGAAAGGCGAAAGTTTAACAATTATTATTCTCGCTAAGGAAATAACTTACCTCAGACTATCAATTTCCTTCCAATAGTAGCACAATTGATATGTGTCATTAAGAAGTTTATGAATAGCCAGCTTGGTGAAAATTCGGGTCGCGCACCGAGAAATTATCCAGCTTAGTGCCAGGTAGGCTCACGAGCGGGTCTCGAGCGGCTGTACTTTGAGCGGACAAGACTAGCCTACAAGCAGTTTTACGGTACTATATCCGCCAAAATCGGTCCAATCAAATCCAGAAAGACCACGCCACTCTGCAAAATCCCTACTGCCATTAAGTACCAGTTTTTACCGCCCAATTACCCCCACCACCCTTTATCTTCACCATCAGTCCCCTATACGACCCTCGCCTGCACACCTAGAAAATAAGTCAATGCGCGGATGGAGAGTACCGGATCACGTGCCGGGACCTGGCAACGCCTCGCGGGGCACCTCCACCGCCAGGCACAGCGACGCCCTCTAAGCCTGTGGAGAGGTAGCCCCTGAGCCCCACCACCCGGGTAGGGGCCGCCTCGCCCCCTGCCCTTCGGCACGTGCCAGCCCCGTTCCCGTTCGGGATCTGCCCGCCTGTCGCTGTTCGCATCACAGAAACGGCAAACTTTGACACCTACATGAATAGTCGTACAAACACGTTTGCGTGGTGATTAGAGTTGGCTACCTCGCAACAGCCGCCACAAACTACACCACTAGCCATCAGCTTTACAGGAAGTGTCACCAGAATTACAGGAAAATCCCCACCAAACCACGCCAATTTGCGTTCCCCACCTATCCCCCACCCCGTGTCTTATCCAATAGCCAGGCGTATCCGCATCACCAACTGATCCGACGGATTTAGGCACCCAAAACAGCACACAAAAATCGCTGCTAGTGAGAAAAGAAACACCTTCCACCAGTGAGAAATCGTACCAGCCAGATCAATCCCAGCAGGCCAGGGCAGACATTGTTGATCCACGTTCCTACTTGTTGATCCTGCCATTGCCTCCACCATGAGCTTGCCTTACAACCATGGCTATCCATATCAACAGTATACCCCCCAGCACCCGAGCGACCAGACTGCCCCCCTGGCCCAGGCGTTCCAGCAGCTCCAGCAATCGCCTGGCGGCACGGTGATCAACCCTGCAGTGCCATTGGCAGGCCAGCCGTTTGCCCACGCAGGGTCCCACCCCATGGGAATGTTCCCCCAACCAGTGGCCATGGCCAGCCAGGGCCAACCACCCGAATTGTACAACGTGGACGAACACCTGCAGGCGTTCTTCCAACACCAGCAGCACCAGTATCTCCAACACCTCCAGCAGCATCCCCAGGCGCACCAGGACCCGGTAGGTGGGGCCAGCGCCGGCTCCCACCACATTTATCAACAAGTGCACCAACAACAGTCCCAGCGCCCCCATGACACTCCGGGAGTGGTGTACGAGCAGCAGATGGCGTCATCACAGGGTCCCCAGGCCCCCCAGGCCGTGGCTCCGTCGTTCAACACCATCAACTACCCTTCGTATGCTCCCTCCCAGTACACCCCGTTCCCCCTGCATCCGTACCCGTTGGGCCAACAGAACCTCCCGTTCCAGAGACACCCCAACTACGTGGACAAGTTCAAGGGCTCCGACGCCTACGCCCCAGAGGCCAGCGTAGGCCAAATGGGTATGAACCAGCGTCCACCGTTCCAGATGCCCCCCAAGTTCAAGAGCGAGCCTGTCATCACCCAGTCCCTCTACACAAACCCCCAGGTGCCGCCTTCCGTGCCCCACAACAACTACACCAATGCATTTCAAACCAGACCCCTGGTCTACTTCAAGCCCATCGAGACCAAGAAGAACTCCAAGCCCAGGATCAAAAAAATCATTAAGACCGAGGTGCCCCACAAGAAACCGTTCAAAGAGAAGAAGAGACCCACCACAGGTGCCATCGGTGAATTGTCGATCGACAACTTGTTCAGGCACTTCCAAGGAGTTATGAAGTTGGAAAACCCCCCAAACAAGACCCACATGCTTGCCTCCTACCAGCTCAAAATGAAAAACGACTTGGAGTGCCAGTTATTCGATTTGTTTATCAACAGTTTGTCCAAGTTCATTGACATTTTTTTGCCCCAGGAGGCGTTCAAAAAAATCGTGCCCGAACTTGCATTATACGATGAAACCAACATGATCTTGGACTCGATGTTCTGCTTGAGCTCGTTGATGTTGCAGAGAATAATGCCGGACCGAGTCGATCCTTCCATCCCCATCAAGTATTACCAGCAGTGCATCAAGTCCATTCGGTCATATCTCACGATTCCCGGGATCGAGACCAATGAAAAGGGCATCATTTCTCGGTGCTTGTTAAGCACCATTCTTTTGTGCATATACGAATTGTTTTTTGTTGCTATTGACAGCACTTATGTCAAGGGGGCCTCAAGCATTCTTGCCTCGATCTTGAGTAAGCACAATGTTCAGGGCAAAAGTCTTTTAAAAGACTCGCCGTTTCACCAAACGTGCTTCTGGGCGGTGTTTCTCTGCGATTTGATCTTGTCGTTGAAGTTTGACTTGCCGACCATGTACTCGCTCGAGACGTTCTGGAAACCACTAGATCCGGAGTACTTTGAGTTGTTCAATAAGTACGGGACCCAGTTCTTGTCCAACAACGTAAGGGATCGGGAAATCTTCATTTCCAACTCGATGTTGAATAAGGAGCACACCATGTGGTGGCTTCACAAGGCGGTTATTAACTACAGCTGCATCAACGAGTTCAAGAATCTGGTGACTGTGATTAGCCGCGAGGACTGCGAGGCCAACAAGCCGTTCCATGACTGGTTGAGGTTGAAGCAGTTGATGGACGAGTTTGAGTCCAACATGCCTATCAACCTCAAGCCCAACATCTACAAGCCTGCATCGGCCACACGGGTATTTCCGTTGATCTACTTCAAGGACGAAGTCACTGCCATCACTGGGCTCAACTTCAAGTTGTCCAAAATTGCATTATACGAGTCGTTGCTCCTGCGCACCGACACCAGGAACGAGTTGGTACAGCTTCAGCTTGAACAGTACCCTCGAGGCTATGCCAAAAAACTCACCAAGGACATCATTGGCATCATGAAGACCTACGACAGTAATTTGTACCTTTGGCCCGTGAATGTGCACACCTTGCGCCAGGTGGCACACTACGTGTTTGACGAGCCAGAGGCACACCGGATCTTGGAGGAGTTGGTGGAGCGGATCATCTCTGTGTGCAACTTGCGGCTCCAGGACAAAATTGTGCGGAGGTGAGGTTGCTGGAACGGCAAAACTGTCTTGGACGGCGAATACTACGCTGAAACGTCCATATTTCGTTACGATGAAATGAACTGAAGATACACGAAACAAAAAACCTGGACTGAAGTGTCCATTTGGGTGAAACTAATATCACGCAACCGTTGAATCAAATTATACAAATCGTATCAAGAATGGTTGGTGATGCAGTACAGCAGAGTTTTGAGTGTGAATCATTGCAATAATATTTCGAGTGTTTTCACGTCCAAAACTAACCAATGAAGAACGGCGCAAACCAGGTCCAAAAGCTTCAATGCTTCAAGCTTCCCCTGGATCAAAGCTTCCCCTGGATCAAAGCTTCACGGTTCTGAGCACTACTGTAAGTCTCATATAATCTCACAAACCTCACCGCACAGGCATCATCTGCAGATGCCGGGAGGGCCGAGAGGTCACTCGCGAGTGCGATGAGTTTCACGTCGTTTCACCCAAAAAGCCCGGAATCCGCAGCTTGGCCGCATCTGCTCCTTTTGTATCTAGTCCATACTCATTCAGGCGTCCAGCACTGAGCTTGAAGCATACACCCCCACCTCCGCTACATATCCCTGCATGTACTTAATCTGTTCCCTGCGATTGTAGCTTCCAGTGATGTCATGTGCGCTTCTAGAATCGCGCGGCAATCGGCGTGCATGTCCGCGCAGCCCTGGTGCAGGACACCAACCTATATAACTCAGGCGGAACCGGAGATGTGGGATTTTTCACCCAACCAACCGTCAGCTGCCATGGACGCCCATATCAAACAGCTCCGTGCCAATGGCAAGACACCCCAGTACTGTCGGCAGGTCACGTCTGCCCAGCTAGGCGACATCATTGAGCTTCTTCTCCACCAACATCTGCTCTCCCAGAGCCAGAAAGTGGACTTGATCGCGACCATCTCCAACATCCTCCTCCTCAACCGTCAATTGCACGCCAGCTTCACCTCCCAGTGGTCCATCAAGGTGTTGACATACTTGGACAGCTTTTTGGCCGAGGTGGTTCCGGAAATCGACCCTGCCGTCTCCCCCAATTTTCTGGCTCTTGTCATCGTCTACCGACTCGTGTTCCTCATCCTTTACGACGGCTTGCCCGTGGTCAAGCCCTACGTCGACGACACCAACCAGATCCTCACCCAGGGCCTTCGTCATCTGTTCAAGCACTACCAGACGTACAAGAACGAGCCCTACTACGAAAACGTCACCGTGGAGATCCTCAAGGGCCTCTACACCCTCAACCACAAGTATGCTGACCAATTGGATGCTAGTAACCGAATCAGCACCGAAGAGTGTATAGAATTCTTTGTCACGGTGGTCCCACTATCATGTTCGTCATTGGAACCCAGCGAGGTCATTTTGGTCAGATACTTCATCAATTTGATATTGGTGGTGTCCACCCAGCTGGCCCTCGACAAATCTCGCATTCTCGATCATCTCAAAACCTACCAGCAGTTCCTCACCATCGTCGTCCAGTTGCTTGCCACAAACCTCGAAGACCCCGACAGTGAAGAAGTGCTTTCCGACATTACCAACTTATTTATTATCCTCAACTTCATTACTGGCGAATGTAACAGACAAAACTCCCACGGCGACTTGGATCGACTTGTGGTCATATTGAAACACAATATCATACCCACAGGCTCCCCTGCCCATCTGCAGTCCTCCGCTCAACTCGTTGAAGACTCTTCTATATACCAGAAAGCTTTCAATCTAATTGGAAAATCTCAATCGTCCTTGACGCAAAGATCAATAGCAGACCAATTGTCGTTGTCCAACGTCACCAATGTGATTCTTCAGTGTTATTACAACCTCTGCTTTTCCGAAAACCAAACGCAGCTCTTCCTCGACTTGATAGGCTATGGATACGCCAAAGACTTCATGCAAACCAATAATATTGCCATACCTTCCGATATCGAGCTCGATTCGTACATCCAGCCAAATCCAAAATATTTGGGCAAGCCCAAGGATAAACCACCCATTCTTGACTTTACCGATTTCAACCACTCGCTCAGCTCAATCTTGCTGAACCACACTAAAGGTACCAGTTCTGAGCCCGAAGAAATGACGAAGCAAGAAAAGGAAATGGAAGCAGAAAAGTTATTTGGAATATTCGATAAAATGGAGAAGTCGAGTGTCTTTGAAGGCTTCAAGAATCCGGTTAGGGAGTGGCAGCAGTCGGGTAGATTTGAGGATCTTGATGCCAGCGACTCCGACAAGGATTAGGCCGAGTACAATATAGATTATTGTCAATCAAAAAGCTCAGTGCAAACGTCAAGACCTTACTTAACTCTGTTGGAACAACCACCTCGTCTGAAGCGCTGTTGGTATTCTACAATAAGTACGTACATAAAATCAAAGCATGGAGTAATTTATTGGCATTGCCAGTGCTGACACCAGCAGATCCAAATAATCACAGTAAGATGTAGAATTGAATGCTAGTTGTATATGAAGAACTAAAGATTAACGAAGGACTTTAGTCGTAAACCTTCTCTAGGTCGAAACTTGTTTTCTAGTGAAAAATAGTTCACCGAAACAGACACAGAACGGCTCTGCTAAACCTGAGCTAAGGCCAACACATCAGACCTTGTCTTTAAGCTGTAAAACAAGCGCGGTCCTGGATGGAATATAAACCATCAAAGAGTTTGATCTATCATTCCATCTTTCGTTGTTGGTGAAAAATTGAAGCTTCTCTCCCTTATCGTCAACTTCCAGAATTCTGTTGTGGCCTCCAAACTTATCATCATCTGAATTCAAGACGATCTGATAGACACCGGGGGTCTCAACACCAATCTTGTAGTCAGGGTAGGAGTTGGTAGGGTGGAAGTTGAACACAAACAAAAGTCCATTTCTTTCGAAAACTAAAACCTTATCACCCTCGTGTTTCAATGAAACATAAGCTTGTGGAGTGTCTAAAACACCATACTTAGTGTCCAAGTGCTGCATGGCACCATCAAAGTCAAACAAAAATTTGTATCTCAACAAATCATCGTCAATTAAGTTAAATTGACGTCTAGCGTAATGGTACGACTCCTGGTTTCCGGCTCTTGGGAAGTCCAACCATTCGGGGTGACCAAATTCATTACCTTCGAAGTTCAAGTAACCTTCACCTCCCAAGGAAAAGGTAACCAATCTGATCAATTTATGCAACGAAATACCCCTATCAACAACGGGAGTCAAAGGTGACAATTTCGACATGTTAGTGTACATCTCTTGGTCCATCAACCAGAAGGCAATGGTCTTATCTCCAACCAAGGCTTGATCGTGGGATTCACAGTAACTGATACACTTTTCACCATGTCTACGGTTGGTCAAAGTGAAGACAATGGATCCAAGATCCCACTCTTCATCGGACAAATGTTTCAAGATCTTGATCCACATATCGGGAATGGCCATGGAGAATCTGTAATCGAATCCAATACCACCTTGGCTAGTTGGAAGACACAAGGTTGGCATTCCACTGACATCTTCAGCAATGGAAAGAAACTTGAAGTCCTTTTCAGGGACCTCGATTTCTTCTAAAAGCTTGTGGGCCAACATCAAGTAAACGATAGCATCTTGATCGACCCACTCGGGGTTGAAGTATTCGTTATAGTCACCACTGAAACCGAAACCCATACCATGGTGAGTATAAAGCATACTTGTAACACCATCGAATCTGAAACCATCGAACTTGAACACATCAAGGAAGTACTTCAAGTTAGACAATAAGAACCTCAAGGTTTCATGGTTTGCATAGTTGAATAATCTGGAGTCCCACAAGTCATGGTTACCCTTGGCACCGCCATGGAACAAGTAATGGTCGGTTCCATTGAAATTGTTAATACCATCTTCCACGTTCTTGGAAGAATGTGAATGGACAATGTCCAACAAAACCTTGATACCCAATCTGTGAGCCTCGTCTATCAATTCCTTCAAGTCCTCTGGGGATCCGTAACGGGAAGAAATAGCAAAGAAATTGGTGATTTGGTAGCCAAACGAAGCGTAGTAGGCGTGCTCCATGACTGCCATCAATTGGATGGTGTTGTAGCCCAATTCGTGAATCAAAGGCAAGATGTTCTTGGTGAAGTTTTTGTAAGATCCGATTTCGGGCTTGGGGGTCGAAATCCCCACATGGGCCTCATACACCTTGATCCCCTCTTTTTTGTTGAAAGTGGGTCTCTTGTGCTTGAACTGGTAGGTGGTTGAAGGGTCCGGGTTCCAGAAGCGGCCCTCGTACAAGGTGTTTTCTGTGGATGGGGTTGCTCTCAACACCCAGGGGTCGAGTCTGTAGATGATCTCGCCGTCGGGCTTTTTCATGGCGATCTTGTACTTGGAATCGTGGGCAATGGCAAAGTCGCCGTTTACGGGGTCGATGGTGAGTTTCCACAAGCCAAAGTCGTTGGCCTTGTGGAGCTTGTGGGCATTGATGTCCCAGTTGTTGAACTCACCCACCAAGGAGACCTCGTCGACGTCAGGAATGTACTGCTGGACCACGATCTTCTTGGAGCTCCAGTCGCCATGTACTCCGTAGGACTGGTACGACGAGGCAAACTGGGCCAACGAGCCCTCGGATTGGGCCAAGTCGGCGTGCCACTTTCTGAACTGGAGCTGACGACTGATCAATGCCTGGGAGTAGGGTTCCAACCAAGGATCGAGGTCCAAGGCGCCCTTGATGAGGTCGATGTGGGACGAGTCGGTAGCTGCTGACATGGAGGGGGGTGAAACAGTCGAGACGCTTGTAGGGAAGATTCCACTAGTACTGAAATGTGGATGATGGGGGTGAAACAGGCGAGAATGTACCAATTGACCAAATTGGGGCCAATTAATGTGGGAATTGGGCCCTTTTATATGGGTATTGGCAATAGTCCGCCCCGCCCACTTTTGCTGCCATCACGTGAGGCCGGGGGTCACCACAAGGGGAAATTTGTGGGGACGGTGGGGGAACAGCTAGGGAAAAATGGGTCCATTGGACGGAGAGGGAGTGGTGGGTTGGTGGTGCAGTGATGGCAGTGCCACAAGGGTGGGGTGGTGAAGAGAATCTGGCGACACTGGCATCGGTAGAATGGCGGGAGAATTGACCAGCCGTGGTGGTGGTGGTGGTGGTGCGTATTCCGGCCAGTGTTCGTGGCAGCGGTGCGAGTGGTGGAGAATAGTGGTGCTACGTTTGGGAGAGGGTCGCTATTTGTGCGCGTGGTGCTACATTTGGGGAGACGATGCGTCGCTATTTTGTAGAATATTATACAGGAGAATACGGGACAACACCAGAGGCTGGGAGTCAAGTTGCAGAAATAGTCTGGGAGGTGGCCAGGGAGGCCCAGGGAGGTCCAGTTCTAAGAATACTGGCCACTCCTAGCAATAGCAGTGGCCAGTGCGAGGGGTTAGAATTCTCAGTTCTCGTTCCCGCCGCGCGGAGAAACTCCGCTGGCTCCGTGTGGCATTCATGTTGGGTCAATGTGTCAAGCTGCATACTTCCTCGGGTGGGTGTCACCCTGGAACGTCATTTCTGGTCTATAGCGGGAAAAGACATGTTTGCACTAGGAAGACTCGTCTGTAACAGGAGTAGGAGCTCCGCTCTAGGAATGGGGAGTCTCCTCTAGGAGTGAGTCCGACCTAGGAGTGCAGATTCCCCTCTAGTACGGAAAACTCCCTAAAGGTCAGGAAGTCGCCTCTAGTACCGAAGACTCATCCCTCCAGTCAGGAATACTAGTCAGCTCTGTCGTCCTCTACCTGAATCGCTGGTTCAAAATTCTCTCGGCTCCTGCCTCCTCGTACTCCTCCTTCGACACCCACATCTGGTGAAACGTCCCCAAGGACGCCAATACACTGCCTCCGATCCATGCCTGGTTGACTCTTTCTGACGAGTTTCCTGCCGCGTGGAGCCGGATTTTCAACCCCGGATTGGCAGTGCACAACTCATTGTAGAGCCTCTCAGTGAGCTGAGGAATCAACGACAGTCCACCCGTCACAATGATGTTGTGGGCCACTGAGGCACGGAGATCAATGTCGATGGTCGAGAGCGTGTGGGTGATCAACTGAGACAATCCCCGTGCTTCAGTAGTGGTGCTGGCACCAAAACCGGCTGGCGTGGGAGTCGACTGACTGGACTCGGCTTTGCGCATCCGCTTGATGGGCTTGTAGTCGTCGTAGAGGTTGGAGAACTTCAACTCACCGTTGTTGGCAGGATACTTGTCAGCCAACTCCTGGGTGTGGAATTTGTACGACACTGGGTCGAAAATGGACTCAGCCAACTGGAACCGCTCGAATCCCAACGGCACCGACTGGCCAGTGGGGAACTCGAACATGCGTCTGTGTACTTCCAGCGAGTAGAACTCCTTGAGGTTGGATGTCTGCGGGTTGGGACTGGTCAACGACTTTTCGGGAATCTCAAACACCGTTTCTTTGAACTCGTGCCACACCTTGGCCTGCTGGTACTCGTCGAAGGAGGTGGTCACCTGTGTCACGTCGCGCTCCTGGTACTGTGCTGCCTCGGGGTACACGGTCGGAGTCTTGCTGCGGACCTTATAGGTGCTCTGGACAGCCAAACCTTGCTTGGAGTCCACAAAATCCTTGACCTGGTCGGACAAGAACTGGCCTGCGTAATGTGTACGCATCGAGTTCTTCAACAACGAGATCCCGTCGATCACAGGCGTCACGCTGACCGAGTCGTGGCCAATGTCCACCACCAAACAGTTGGATCTCCCCTGCTGGAACGAGATGCATGTAGGAGCCTTAGCCAAGTAGAGCGCAGCAAAGTCGAAGTGCTCATAGAAGTTTTCCACCATGGTCTTGCGGTAGCTGTGCTCGGCCCACACCGGTTCTGTGACCAAAAGAGGGTGTTCTGGATACTCGATGTTGAGAATAGTCTTGAAGTAGTGGGAGTACTGGTCGACAGCAGCATCCCAGTCCTCGATGATCGAGTCTTTGAGGATAGGACTCACCTTGTAGTTGGCACGTGGCACGTTAATAGCCTCTCCAAAGATTCTGGATGAGCTTGTTGAGTCTGTCATGGCATCATCCGTAGGTGAGGCATAGCACGACGAGGTCACTACCTTGGGAAAGTCGTCTCCCGCATACCCGATTCTGGTATGAAAGGAACCTGGATCGAGGACGATAGCATTGATTTCGTCTCCGCCGTAGACGGTGGTGTTGTTGGAGCCAGACATGGTTGGAGAAATTGCAGTGGTGAAGATTTGTTGATGTAGAGGGTGGCACGTGATCGCGAGTATGGACTCTGGAGTGGAATGTCAAGTAAGGGAGGCGATTGGCACAGACTGCAAAGATTCGTTAGGGAAGTAGGCTTGATAGATATGGTTGATATTCGTCTAATAGCAGAATTCTTGAATTACTTGGAATCGAGCATTTTTAGTTTTACAAATATTACTGCATTGAGCTTAAGTCTTCGTAGTAGATTTTTCCAGAGCTATTTCTATAGGCTTACGTTTATCAGCTAATGTTCTATCTGATCACTTAATCATCGGTTCATTAATTTGACGAGGACATTATTTTATGATTTATCGGTAGTTTCATTCCTATTGTATACTGTTCAATCAAAAATGGTTCATTCAGGCCTGTGAAGGTTTCACGCTAATTAATAGAAGAACGGCCCTGTGTCAAATTAGGCAAGAACTCTATTGGTGAAATAAGTTATGTTAGCTCCAGAATAGAATATTATCAACTATTGTGGAATGACTTAAGTACTTCCAGAATAAATAAAGGTGGTTGTTATGAAGCGAATTAACTACTGATTACCTATGTTAGCCAGATAAGACACTTACCAAATTCTACTTTTGGACTAGGAAATTTCACACTCTTTAAAAGGAGGTCCAGGACAGCACCCAGCAGGGCTCAGTTGGCTCTATTTCACAGAATGAATAAGTTTGAACTAGCATAACCGTAATTCTACTCCATAGCATTGCTTATCAAATAGTACAACAGAACAGCAGAGTCTCCAGCTCTACCAGATCCAAACCTTCGTACATTATCACTCTTGGAAACACCCACAGCCTACCTACCCAGTAACGTTCTACAATCCAAAATAGCCAATAAATCAGAAAGATTATAATCGTATATGAGAGGAATACCAGATCTGATTATTATTGTATCAGTTAAAATACTTGGCCGTATATGAGGACAGATCCCTCCCGTTTGTTATTGATCAGTTAGAATAACTATTATCGTGTATGAGGAGAAATCTTCTGGTTATTATAAGTCGATAGTTTTCTTACCTATGCATATCGTCATTGTAATCCCCATTTCTACTCAACAGAACAACCTACAATGTGGGCAGGATCAAGGCCATTACGACCCGGCACTACACTCTCTCCCTTCTAGTTTTTCTCATCATTCACTCGGAACTTTTATATGTATTATAATCAAGTTATAACGTAATAAATACTTGAACGTCTATACATAGAGCCCAGTCCGGAGCTCTACTCGACTATTGCCCTCTTGTGGCCCAGGCGATCTATAATACCTTGGCTTCGGCTTCAATCAATCCAATCAAGAATTCGGCCTCCAATCTCTTTCTACCTTCAATGACCCAATCATCGGCCAACTTTCTTGACCATCCCTTCAAATTGGTTACTTCCTCAACTGCAACATCCAACTCACCCCTCACCAAGCTGGCTTCGACTCTACCAATCACGGATTCAATATCCTTACCATCAGGTCTGTTACCCTTGACTGGGAACAAAAACTTGGAGAACAAGGCAGAAGTTAAGTGGCCCAACAAACCAGCGTTTGGTGGTAATAAGGATGCAGATCTCAACTCTGGAACTAACAATTCCCAACGACCTAACAATTGAGAAGTAGTCAAAATCGATTGGGTGGATTCCTTTTCGAGTAACTTTTGTAAATCCTTCAATGCTAATTCTATCACTTCATCCTTAGAGTCTTGTGAAATCTTGGCCAAATTGTCAACATATGGCTTAACCAATTGTGGCTTTGCAGTTTCGTCGGATGTGAATAATACTGACTTCAACTTAGTTAAAGATTGGTTGATCAATGATTTTTGGTGGTTGGCTACCAATTGAGATTCTAAGCTTTCAGCGAAAGACTCCAATTCAGTCAATCTGTTGCTCAATTTGTCAAAGTTGGCTAATCTACCATCTCTTTCTTCATCGATTTTGTCCTTGATCAACTTTTCAAAGTTCTTGGTTTGCTCGATTCTGACCATAGAGACTGCGTTGACAGCGGCTTGAGAAATAGCCTCCTTGGTGGCCTGAATTTCTTGAGTCAATCTGTTGTTCAACTTTTGTTCCAATTTGGTCTTTTCAGTGTTGTATTGATGTAACATGTTTTCTGTTAATTCCAACTCCTTCTTGGTATATGAAGATAATAATTCAGTTTGAGAAACCTTCAACTTGCTTTGCACTTCATCATCGAAATCCTTGGTCAAAGCCTTCAACTTGTTAGATAATTGAGCAACGGATTGGTTGATGGTAGCAATCAAGTTCGAGTTGGAACCACCGGCAATCTTACTGGCATCGATGGACTTGATCAAGTTGTTGAAAGCAGCGACGGTTGACTTGACGGAATCATCCACAACATCACTACCCAATTGGATCAATGGCAATTGTTTGATGTCTTTCTTGACACTCTCAATTTCAACTGGCTTCTGCAATTGTTGGGCTGGAGTAGCATCACGGGAGTTGAAAGAAACACCCTCAGCAGTGGAAGCGATCTTTTCTTTTGTTTCCTTGATCAAATCTTCGCCCGACTTTTCCAACTTGTGGGTTATTTGGTCAATCTTGTCCTTGGAAGGCAATTCCAAGTTGGAGATCTTGGATTGCAAGCCTTCCAACTTCTTCTTCAAGTCATCAACCGATCCGTTTTCAATCAAGTCCAAGATTTCTTCGTAGTATGGAGGGTTCTTGTCAATGACGAAGTCCATCAAGTCATCATTTTTGGTGGCAGCATACAAGGTACCGACGTAAAGAATTGAGGTGATAAGAGTAGTTCTGAACAAGAACTTGGTCCACGAGGTCTTGGGAGGGGGTGGAGTATCAATGGTTGCCTTGATAGGAGGAGGAGTTGGAGCTTTGACAACAGGGACCTCCACGACGGGCTTTGGCTGGTTGAAAGCACGGGGTGTGTGCTTGATACCACGGACAGCGCGAGTCGAAGCTCTTTGAAGAGGAGCGGTTGCTCTGGTGGAAGCAGCTTTGATCATTGGTGAAGTTTGTGTTTGGCCAATCATTGGAATTTTATGTCGAGAAAAGGTGAGTGGTGCGACATTGCGACATGTGGGAGCACGCGACATCTTGTCCGTAGTCGGTGGTCCAGCACAGGAACAGCTGAACTGGTGGCCTATGGCAGGTGCTTGTGTGTGTTGGTGTATGAGGCACAGCGTATGTATTCCATCTCACTTTTGAACTGCATAAATTGGTCAAAATTGGCTTGCTGGCACCCCAAATAGTAATTCATAGACAACAGTGAATCGCGATTTAGCCAACATCTCCAAACCGGCGGTGAAACACTCTCATATTCGACTGCGTGGCCAGCTGATGGCACTATTGAACCGCTAGAGAGGTTATCCAGTGAGGTTTTCAGAGTGTTGCAGAAGCTCAAAGGTATCCACCAGCGCGTGTTTTGCAACCAAACAAAGATCAGTGCCACCCAGAGTCGCCACCGGCACCGTCCCGCCAGTACCATCCCTGCGGAGCTTTCCGCCAGCAACTCCCGTACTAGCTCCCGCTGGTGGCACTCTCCCCCGTAACCTGTCGTACCAGTCCTCGCTAGCCTGATACTGCCAGTACGCTGGCCTCGCTAGCAAATCGCACCGTCCCACGACAGTCGGCGCAGCCACACACTGCTAGTTCCGCACACCAATCCACCTTCTTCTTCCACACCACACCATGACTATCACTCCATCGGTCTTGTATCCTCCTCAGCCATCCACCACGCGTGCGCAGACTCTCCACCTCTCGTACGACCCCATCCACAACCGGATTGCCTATCCCAACGGCAAGTCGATTGTGGTCAGACTGGTGGACCCCGAATCTAGTGCTCCAGCCAAACAATTCACTAAACACATCCATGCCACCACGGTGGCGACGTTTGCCCCTTCAGGCAACTACATTGCCTCAGGAGACGAGTCAGGCCAGGTGAAGATCTGGGACGTCGCCGTTGTGGGAGGGCCAGGAGCCACAGACGTGTCGCCCTTTGAGCAGCCCAACATCAAGAGTGAGTTTCAGATCCTTTCGGGACCCATCAAGTCCATTGCCTGGGACGCTGACTCTGCTCGTATCATTGCCGTAGGCCAGGGTAAGGACAAGTTTGGCCATTGCTTCTCGTGGGATTCCGGTAATTCGATTGGTGAGATCCAAGGCCATTCGTCGTCTATCAATGCCGTGGCCATCAAGCCCCAGAGACCGTACCGTGCTGCCACTGTCAGTGATGACAAGGCATTGGTTTTCTTCCACGGACCTCCTTTCAAGTTCGAGAAGAGTGTCAGGGACAACCACACCAACACCATCAGAGACGTCAAGTTCTCCCCTGATGGCAAATGGTTGGTCAGTGCAGGCTCAGACAGGTCCATTGTCATCTATGATGGGAAGACTGCAGAATATCAGAACAAGATTGAAAACGCCCACCAGGGTGGAATCTTCAGCATTAGCTGGTTCAAGGACTCCAGTGGCTTTGTTACTGCTTCTGCCGACGGTACAATCAAGTCATGGGATGCCGAAACCTTGAAGGAAACCAACACCTATGTGGTCAATTCTCAAGGCGGTGTTGAAAACCAACAAGTTGGTGTGGTTGTTGCTAACGACTACATTATTTCCTTATCTTTCAACGGTAACCTCAACTACTTCGAAAAGGGCGCTGCCACTCCTTCAAAGGTTATCCCTGGACACCAAAGTGCATTGACTAGTTTAAAATTGATTGACTCCACCTTATACACTGGGGGATCTGATGGTTCTCTTTACCATTGGAATCTTGCAAAGGATACCGTGCCAACTCCTCTTGGAGACTCCAAAACTGGGCACTCCAATTATGTCGTGGATATTTTGAAGGATGGTGATGAAATAGTGACCACAGGCTGGGACGATACACTCAAGGTTTGGAAGAACAATGAAGTGATTAAAAGTGTCAAGTTATCCGGCCAACCCAAGCAGGTCGTGAACGGGAAGAACTTGGTGGTGTTGTACGAGTCCAAGATTCAAGTCTTTTCTTCAGAACTCCAAGAAATCTCCAGTGTTGATTTAGGTTTCAACTCCAATTCCTTGGCCCTTGTATCGGACAAAGTACTTGTCACCAACAATACCACAAACACCATCGAGGAATTTTTGGTTGATGGCCTCACCAAAGGCTCTGTCAAATACCCACAATTGCGCTCGCCTCCTAGCTTGATCAGAGTTTCGCCAGATGGAAAGTATGCTGCTGTTGCTGATACCACCGGTAAGTACACTGTCTACAACACCTCCGACGCTTCGGTGGTCACCACGCGTTGGGCATTCCATACCAGTAGAGTCTACGATTCTAAGTGGACTCCTGACTCCAAGTTTGTTATTAGTGGAGGTTTGGATGGTGGATTATTTTTGTACTCGATCAACAAGCCATCCAAGGTGTTGAAGTTCCCATTGGCTCATCAGACTGGTATTTCTGGTGTCGAGTGGACTAAGTATGACGAAGACAGTGGTGAGTTTGTCACCGTTGGTCTTGACGGGGTAGTCAAGACCTGGAAGGTCGATTTAAAGGCCTACAAGTAGACCATTCAAGTTAAGTGCTTGAGATAGATGTTCCTTCAAGTAGACTACATTCAAGTTATATACTTGTAATGAAAAGATGATGCATTCAAGTTCCTTAAATGCTTGTAATGAAAAATGATATACGCAACCGTATCTTCCCCTAGATGTGGCGAGATGTATCCACAACCGTATCTGCTTCTCCTAGATGTACCAGATAGCTCAGCCTTCTCTGCTGCTCTAGATTCAAGTATTAGCACGTCCCTACTCGAGAAAAGTCTTGTCTAATTGCACTTTGTGCCCCAACCACAAGGCGTGGGTGGTGTGGTCCAACAAATCGCCCTTTCCGCTTCTGGGATGAATCAACACCGATAACTTGCCGTGGTTCAATTGGAACCACGGCACAACCTTGGCAAAGATTTCGGGGCTCTTGAAGTCCAATTCCCACATGTTGATGGGATGGGGTCCAATTGGCTTATCCCAGAACTTGTAGACCCTAATGTCACCAGCCGCGATTTCCTGAGCGAACTCTTCTTGCACTCTTTCTCTCAAGTCTGAAGCGAACTTGGTCTCTTGGGGGTTGTTGTTGTTCCAGTAGGTGTGGACGTCGTAGGACTGAATGCCGCCGTAGAAAGACATGGTGTGGTGGAGTTTTAACTGTGGAGAACTCCGGCTTATATGCCAGTTATCAGATCGAACCAAATGCAGGCGATGTCAGCTTAGTGTAAATTAGTAATGTCACGTGCCGTGTGGGTTTCCAGGAAGCCATCACGATTACTCAGAAGGTGACGATTGTCAGCCGATGACAAATGGCAGGAGAGACAATCGGATGTGTGGGAGATTGGCGGTTCGTAGTGGAAAATCTGGCAAATGGCCAGATAGACCACAATCGAAGTGATTGGGTGGGAGTTTCTTTTAAGTATTTCCTCAAGTATTCTGTAAAGTATTTTGTTCAAGTACTCCTCTAAGAGAGAGTCTTGAAGTCTTCTGCTCAACTATTTCTTGTGTATTCTGTTCAAATGTTTCTGAAGTCTTGTGCTCAACTATTCTTAAGTATTCCTTCGAATATTTTGTTTAAAAATTGTTTTCAAGTTTCCCCAAGTATTCCTTGAAGTATTCTGTTAAAAAGTCTGTTCAATGACCGTAAGTACTCGTTCAATTGGTCCCCTCCAGGCCACTCAGACAGGCTCAGACAGCTCCCTTTCCGGATCCACGTCGCGCATCAGGATCTCCACGTAGTCGTCGTCGATATCAGATAGTGGTCGGTATGAGGGCCGTTCTCTCCACGAACTAACCACGCCGTAGACCACACACACCACAATGCCAACCACCAGCCCTGCCACGTTGTACACGATGTCGTAGACGTCAAACACCCGCGAGGGGTTGATCACCGACTGTGCGTACTCCAGCACCACACTGGCACTTGCAACAACCGCCACCACCACAAGGCGGATCTTTCTGCCTGCGCTCCTCTTACCGTCAAATACGAACCAGAGCTCGATGGTGAGTACCATGAACGTGACAAAGTGGATGAGCTTGTCGTGGGTGAGGTGGAACAGGCCAAACCCCAAAACTGCTGCTCCCATCAAGGAGACAATGAAGGCTGGCGATGTTAGTAGCGATTTTGGCGGAAACCACCTGGCTGGTGTGTCGTCAGTGAACTCTCAATGGTTCTGTACGTACCTATAAGCACTGGATACCGGATGGTAATCATGGCGAAGTGTGGTGTTCGGATAGGTTTGGTGTGCACAGATGTGGGTTGGCATCGCACAGTGGAGCGAGACTGGATATAGCAGATCAGCCAGGAGTCAAGTCCATAACGTCATACGCTTCAGAGTCGCAACAAGTCAGGTGTCAGAACGTCGCCTCAAGAAGCTCAACAAGTCTTTCAAGCCGCTTCTCTCCTTCAAGACTTCATAAATATCCATAGACTGAGACACAAGAACCTCATCAGCCAAATCACTTTTACTGAAGAGACTCAACCATAATCATAAACAGAAACGATTCACCGAGCCTCACCAAGTCCAAAGAGTCCACTTCATACTCCACAGAGCCTCTACAAGCCTTTCAAGTGTGATTTCCACCAAAGTCTCTTCAAGTCTGTCAAGTATCACACTATACGCTTGAGCTCTACAGTCTGTCAAGTTTGCATATCCTTTACAAGCAGTATTCAATTTCCTCTTCTAGCCTAGGCTGTTGCAATACCACTCTTGTCACTTCCTCCTCCCTATTGGCACTTCAAGTCATATGAGCACTTCCACTAAGCCATTCACCACCCAATCTTCCTAATGAGCTCTAAATTTCCAACAAGGTCCATCAGCTACTTGGTAGGTGCCTTGAACAAGACAAAGACCCAGCCTCAAGCCGTCAAGAATAATCCAAAGTCCAAGCCTCCAGCATTAGTGCGATCTCCTCCCATCCCAAGTAAGTCCATGCCACTACCTCCTGCCATCACTGCTGCTGACCTCAATAACCACTTCCGCCATCCTATCTACCCTCCTCCGTCACCCAAACAACTCACAGCCACTCAGTCGCTCTTCAACAGATGCAAAACCAACTTAGAATGGACCTACGCTGACTATTCTGACATCCCGGACATAAAGTACAAGCGTTTGCACCAAAAAAGACTCGATGCCTACGACCAGATGGACCCCTACAACAAGACTGAGTACGACGAAAATGTGGTGCATTCCAAGAAAACGTTCGGAATTAAACCAGAACTTCTTAACCCGTTGCCAGAAGTGCTCTTGTTGGGACACACCAATGTGGGCAAGTCGTCTTTGATCAACAACCTCCTCCTCACCAAGCTCGAATCCAAGTCGAAGGGTGCTTTTACCGAACACGCATATGTGTCCAAAAGGGCAGGCTACACCAAAACCTTGAACTGCTTCAATGTAGGTAACAAATTCAGATTGATCGACAGTCCAGGATACGGTGAGTTTGCCGACTTTGAGCAGGGTAAGTTCGTATTGGAGTATCTTGAGAAACGGGCATTGTTAAGAAGAGTGTTCTTGTTGATTGACAGCACCGAAGGATTCAGAGAGGAAGATATCCAACTTGTCAACCATTTGATCGAACTCGGAGTTCCATTCGAGGTCGTGTTCACCAAGGTAGATGTGGTGGTGTCCAAATCCATGCCCAAAAAGAACCCAGACCCAGAACTGATCCGGTTGGGAAATAGAAAAGTTATAGAGTATTTTGAAAGAATTATTGATGAGGTACAATTGAGAGATTTGGTGACCTTACCGAGATTGTTGTTCAACAACACCAGCGTCAACAAATACGTGAGCATGAGATATGGCTACAAAGAGTTGAGATGTGTGATGCTTGAGAGCTGTGGACTTATCGAGTCCCAAATTTCACTTGATGAGAACTTGAAGACAAAAGAAAAAGGTTTGAGAGTTGGAAAGAGAAACTAGCTAAGGGTTGCAGAGAAGTGACATGAAATTTCTCAACAAATGTACAAAGAAAACTACGCAAGCAGTCATAATGCTTGTAAATCCATAATTGCAAATCCAGGATAGCAAAGCTACTTTCGAAAAGATCGTATAGTATCATTTTCCGCAATGAATTTCAGCATTCGTTTTCGTAGAGTACTTTTGTAGATGAATAATTATACCATCGTTCCAAATAGTATTGGCATTCTAAACACAATTGCGTAGTGATCAATAAATCCTCTTTTGAGAATCCGTGCTCTAGATTACAGCTTAGTTAGCTAGGACTCGATGAGTCTATCTCTTTTAAACGTGCATAGAATTATACAAAGACGAAGTGCAAATAAATTTACATGAAAATGATTCGATTATATGATGGGTTAGAAACGGCCACCTCTTCCACCTCTGGATCCACCAAAACCACCTCTTCCACCACGGTCACCGCCGAAACCACCACGACCACCTCTGGCACCGCCGAAGCCACCTCTGGCACCACCTCTGGCACCACCGAAGCCACCTCTAGCACCACCACGGCCTCCACCGAAACCACCACGACCGCCTCTGGCACCACCGAAACCACCACGGCCACCTCTGGCACCGCCGAAGCCACCACGGCCACCGCCTGTGCTCTTCTTCTTTGGCTTAGGACCAACTGGGGCTGCCTTTGGCAAGAATCTTTCTAATGGTAACAACTTGTCTGGGGCAATGTAGAATTTGTCTCCGTCCTTGAAGGAGTCGGCCTTGACACCTTCGGAGGTCTTGATGGTGAAGTAGACCTCGTTTAAGGGGCCCAAGATCTCGTCGACCTTACCCACCTGAGTCTTGTTTTCCAAGTAGATAGGAGCGTTGAAGTATGGAATCTTGACGTTTATGGAACGACACACGATGTCGCCTTCACAGGCCTTGTTGAAAGCACCCATTTCTAAGACGGTGTCTGGTGGACCTTGTTGGAATTGGGAAGGGCCGGTTCTGCCACCGCGGCCTCCTCTGAATCCTCCTCTGCCTCTGTTCATTTTGGTTATGGAGGATGAGCAGAGAGGGAAATTTTTCATTGAGAAGTAGACCTCATCGAGTGCGTGTCGTGCGCGACACCCTCACTGCTGCGACATCCATCCTGTGACATCAGTGCGGATGGCGGGTTCTAGCTAAGGACACTTCGATAACGCTTCTAGGGGAGGCCAGCTCGTGGGACCAGAAGCTTGGGTTGGGAACTGATCTTTTCTGGATGAGGTTACTGTTCATTATCGATTATTGCTGTTTTTTTCTGGGTTGAAAATTCCCAGGCCTCAAGCTCAGACCACCATGTCACTTGTTGGAATATCCACCTTATGCCCTGGAATTTGGGCCTTGTCAAAGGGGTTCCTGTGGAATATTCCGACAACTGAGGCAGTTCTCCACCGTATTTTAGACTCGACTAGCGTTCCTGTCGTTTTGCGAAATGTTCCAATTTAGTGCGAGCTCCGGTTCTTCTATTAATGGCTACGTCTTTCACCACAACGCTCCGGAAGCGTCATTAATGGTGTGTGGTTGCCAAACGTCCGAAAATTAGAGGCTCACAAGCGTAGTTTAGATTTCGTAACTCCTTCCTTGCCGAATGTTTTACTATTGGGGCCATATTGTCTATTGATATTATGCCCCTTTTTCAGCACCCAATGGCCATATCAACGATTTCGTTAGTCAATAAATTCAGTGCTAATGAAAGCATAGTTTTATCTTCGGAATTAATATCTTTAGTCTGACTGGAACACACCTCTCCTCTGAAAACCCGATCATTTTTGTACTCGCCTTGCATTTCTATTTCGTCATTATCATTCCTACAACGCCTTCAATTCTAAACGTTATCAACTTTACTAAATCTGTCATTTCTAACCCGCTTTAATTGTTCCTCGCCATGCCTTCATTTCCAGTATACTTGTTTTTATTCCTTCACCACTAACCCGCTTTTATTCATCCACTAAATCACTCCTCCCAAACTGCTCATTTTTCTACACCAAAACTACTAACCCGCTGATTTTGCCTCTAGACCCCTCGTGAACCTATCGGAGTCGCTGTATCGCTTACATCCTTACCACTCTACACCTTGATCGCATGTAGTCTGCTGCTCTATCCACCCTGATGTAGCCCAGCCACAGCCCCTAATCGAGTTCCGCCAGTGTCGTGCGCGCGCCATCACCATCATGCCTCTCCAATCTCAAAGAATCCTACCCCAGTCCCCACTACCAATTCACCAAATCAAACATGAGTGTTTCTCTGAGTAAGTAGATCCATCAATCTGGAACCGCGGTGGTTGTGGCCGCCGCAATGGCTACCACTGACCTTGCCACGCCTTGTTTTTGCACTAGTACTAACTACAGATCCGCCTACTTTCAAAGTAGGCCTCACTTCGGATGAAAAACGGATATACTCCCAGCTCTTCAAGACGTTGGATCCGGAGAGCACCGGCATCATCACTGGCGAGAAAGCCAGATCCACGTTCGAAAAGTCGGGTTTGCCTCCAGCCATCTTGGGAGAGATCTGGCAACTCGCTGACCAAAACAACTTGGGATTCTTGACCCAGTTCGGCTTCTGCTACGCCATGCGTTTGATCGGATACACCCAGCTGGGCCAGCATCCAGTCCCCGGCTTGGCTGACCAGCCGGGACCACTCCCTAAGTTTGCCAACCTCCAGTTGACTGCCCCATCAGCGCCATTGCAGCCCCAGTCCACCAACAGCTCGTTCATGCAATCGCAGCCAAGCTCGTTGGTCCCCCAAAACACCACCACGCTCCAGTCCAAGCCCCAGGACCCCATCTCCTCGATCAGTCCTGCTGATTACCAAAAGTTCTCGCAATTGTTCATCAAGACCGTGGGCTCGCCCAACGGCGAATTGGCTGGCTCTCAAGCTAGGGACATCTTCTTGAAGGCCAAGTTGCCACATCCCACATTGGGCCAAATTTGGAGCTTGGTTGACAGATACAATGCTGGAAAATTGGACGTCGGTGCCTTCGTCATTGCCATGCACTTGATTCAAGGCTTATTGGGTGGCCAGATCAGACAATTGCCACCGTTTTTGCCAGAAAGTATCTGGCAATCTGTCTCCGGCCCCCAGTCCACTCAGAGATCCGTTGGCTCCCGCCAACCTTCGAACAACTCTATTAGCTCCCAGCAAACCACTCTTAGACATTCCTCCACTGGTCAAGGAATCACTCCAAGGGATGTTTCTGGTACTGGAGCTACCAGCGAGTGGGCTGTTACTCCTACTATGAAGCAACAATATGAAAACATTTTCAACAACTTGGACAAGTCCAAGGCAGGACAATTGAGCCCCGATCAAGTTGCCTCTTTCTTGATGACCTCCAAATTAAATCAGCAAGATTTGGCTGCTGTTTGGGATTTGTCAGATATCCAGAACACCGGTATTTTTACAAAATTAGAATTCTCAATTGCGTTATTTTTGGTCAACAAGAAGTTGGCTGGTGGTAACTTACCAAATATTGTTCCTGATGAATTGATCGACTCTCTTAAGTCCCAACTGAGTCACCCAAGCCATCCTCAACAAGTCCAACAGCCTCCTCAGCAATCTGTCCCCCCTCCTCCTCAACCACAGACTCGTGCTCCTCAGCAAATCCAGCCACAAAAGACTGCAATGGATGATTTAGTAGACATCTTTGGAACTTCAGAACCAAAGCCATCCTCCAATTTGGAGCCAAAGCCAGCTCTCCAACAGCGTGTCTCCAGCAGTGATTTAACCCCAGCAACTGAACTTCCAAAGGTCCGTAGTACTTTAACTGGTTCATTTAAGCCATCATCAACATTTGGACAAAGTTTAATGGTTAAGCAAGGATTGTCTCCAACCAAAGAACACGAACAAGCAGATTTGTTAGGTGAAGATCATGCTCCACAGAGTCCAGCAGCACCATCACCTGCCCCAACATCAACTCCTCCTGTAGAGAAGAAGAGCATCAATTATGATGCTTTGAGAAGTGTTCCTCCACCTCCTCCTAAAAAGACAGTGAGTAACCTTTCCCCAAACAGACCATCTTCCCAATCGTTTTCCAACTATCAACTGCCAGCTATGCTGCCTCAGTATGAGACCCCAAGGGAAGTTCCTCAACAACAAAATGATGATTTGTTAGCTGATCCTGAAATTTCTGGCCAATTGTCTCAGGCTACTTCTGATATTGCAAATGTTTCAAACCAAATCAAATCATTAGCAGTCCAAACTACGGGTTTGCATGAGAAGAAGATTAGAGCAGAACAGGAATTACAAAAGATCTTGAACACTAAGCAAGAGATTGAATCCAAGTTGAAGCGTTTGAGATCCTCTTATGAGAATGAAGTCAAGCAAGTGGATCAAGTCGAAGCCAACTTGGCCAGTGCAAAGGAAGAAACCGAAGCGTTGAGATCTGAAGCTTCCATTGCTGAGGCAAAGCTCAATTCGTTGTCTACTGAATTGAATGAAAAGCAGGTAGCTATGGAGGAGTTACAGAAGCAAAACAGCTCCTTCAAAGAAAAGTTGGGCTTTTACAATGCAGAAATCGGTGAACTTGAGAAACAACTCGCATCTAAGACTACTGAAAATGGACAGTTAGCAAACAACGTTGCTGTTAGAAAGTCCCAAGTTGAAGTTGCAATTGTCAAATCTCGTGATTTTAAAAACAAGATAGCTGAATTGGAAGAGTTGAATAGAAAGCATGAAGAGGAGTTGCGTCTCGCACATGAACTAGAATTGAAGTATCAAAAAGAGCAAGAAGAGCTTAGCATCAAGGCTGCTGAATTGAACCGTCAAAAGGAAGCTAATAAGGCTAAATTCTCCAAGTCTAAATTGGCAGCTGGTGCTGTGGCTGGTGCTGCTATTGGTGGTATTGCAGGAGTTGCAAAGCATTTGACCCATGACAAAGAATCCGAGTCCGATATTCCTAATAAGCAGAATTCCGACTTAAATGTTCCGGCTGTTGTGGAAGCAGCAAAGGAGCAAGATGCTGAGAAATTACCAGAATCTGTTAAGTCTTCTGCACCAGCTGACTCAAGCGTACAACCAACTGAGCCTTCATCCTATTCTGTTAGTGGATTGGTGGACGAAGTCAAAGAACATCCAAGCGCTGACCTTACTGGTGTGGATAACTTAGAAACCATCGAAAACGGTTCAACTTCCAGTGATTCTTCAGCTGGTTCGGTTGAAGAGGCCGAGGAAAAGCCAAGTGTTCGTAATTTGGATGACGTTGAAAAGACTCCATCTGCAATCACAACATCTGCACCCCCAGCTTTTAGCGTTCGTGGTTTAGTAGATGAAGTTCAAGAAACACCATCTGCCGACTACACTGGACTTGATGACACCAATGAAGTTCAAGAACCAACTGAAGCACCTACTGTCCCTTCAATAATTAGTAAGGAAGAAGAAGAGTTCAACAAGAGGTTTACTGAATTCCCTATTAATGAAACTGCTACTGAGTCTAACACCAATGCCACCGCTCCATCTTCCATTGCCACTGAGTATAAGAATGTTGAGGGCGAAACTCCCGTGACATCCCCAAGCAACTCAGAATTCCAGTTCCCTCAAGGTGCCAATGCTGGTATCGTTGGAGGATTGGTTGGAATGCCTGGTGTGTTGGTCGGGGTCCAAAGAACAGACTCGTTGACCTCAAGTGTCCAAAACAACGCCGCATTATCCGTACGTGATGACAATATTGATGAAATCAGTGATCGTGATACTTTGGATAACGAAGAGGTTGCTCACTCAAAGCAAGTTCCAAAGAGTGCTGGCACTGAAACCTATCACGAAAACCAAAGGACAGTTCCTGACGAATCTAGAGATAGTGATAATGATAAGGGATCATCCGGGGTTGAATCATTTGAAATGGTTAATGCCGAAGACGTAAGAGGCGACCTGAGTCATTCCGTTGGCTCAAATGGTAATGGCCAGATTGATTCAGAATTTCCACCAATCAAAGAATTGGACTATGACGACGATGAATCTTCATCGGATGAGCAATCACAAGAGTTTGATGATGCTGTTGACCATTTGAACAAGAAAGACTCCTTCGATGTCAGAACTCCAGAAGCTAAACTTGACGATTTTGACGACGCATTTAATGATTTGGAGCCAGCTGCTCCAGAAAATGACTTTTTTGCAGATGAATTCGATGATTTGGAAGTGGCAGGCGAAGATAATAACGAAGATTCTTTTGCTGAGCCTACCAGCGATGACTTTGGCTTCTCCCAAGGCTTCACAGAAAAAGCATCTAATGTCCCAGATTTCAGCTCTCCAACTAATGAAATCAGCAGTTCTGCAAATGATGAATGGGAGCAACTTTTTGCTGGGTTTGGAAACGCAGCATCTTCTGATTCGGCCCCAGCCCCAGTTCAAGCTCCAGTTCAAGCTCCAGTGCAAGCTCCAGTGGCACCTGCTGTTGCTAGCAATCCCAACAATGCTGGAGCCATCGAAGAGTTGGTAGGAATGGGATTTGAAGAAAGTACTGCTGTCCAAGCCTTAGAAAAGGAAAACTGGAACTTAGAGGCTGCTACTAATTACTTGTTAGATAACGCATAATTTTGTTTAATGTATGACTAAGAAAATTCTATGCTCAATGTAGTTACCTAGTTCTTACAAGCCATTATGTTCATACAACCATTTATTTTATTACTATTCAAATTAATTGATTAGTTAAATAATGCACGCTTCAATGCGTCAGCAACGTCTCCGACGTCGTATTCTTCCTTGTTCAAGTCCTCCAAGTTTTCGACTGGTCTTTCGGCCTGTGGAGTAATTCTGACTGCGTGTCTAGAAACAGGGGTGTCCCAGTCAACAATAGCAGTGTGAACCGAACGTCTGTTATCCCAGATAACCACTGACTTTGGTTCCCAGTTGGCTCTCAATTGCAAATCTTGTGATTGCTCGATGTGAGTGTACAAGAAGTTAAGCAAATAAGCAGATTCTTCTTCCTTCAATTCAACGATTCTTCTTGAGAATGGTCTGTTCAAGTAGATACTCTTCTCGCCAGTTGCTGGGTGAACTCTGATCAATGGGTGGATATTGGAGACTGGCTTTCTTCTTTCAATTCCACCTTCTCTTCTGGAATTGGAGGCCTGGTCAGCTGAAGTGTGCAAGACATGAAGACCTGCCAATCTCTGTTGTAAAGCTGGGGACAATCTCTTGTACGCTTCAGTGGTGTCAGCAAAGAGAGTGTCACCACCAGAGTCTGGGCCGTCAAGGACAGAGAAAAAGGTGGTTCCTGGGCCTTGGAGCTCGTAGGAGACGTCGGAGTGCCATCCCACATTGTTGGTTCTTTCCGAGAATCTTCTTTCGAACTCACCTTCGTCGGCTCTTCTGTAGGTGATGTGGAGCTCAGGGTAGCCTCTTGGAGCACCGGAAGTTGGGTGGATGTGAAGACGACCGAAATGCTCACCGTACTTCTTGATGAATTCAGGGCCTTGGTCAGTGAAGTCCTGGTCTCTGAAGATCACAACACCTCTTTGAGCAACAAACAAGGCAAGTTCGTCCTTGCCCTTGTCGTCAAGAGATGACAATTGCACACCCTCGATTTGAGACCCGAATTTGGGGGTGACTCTCTTCACAGTGTAGCTGTCGTTCTTTTCAAGCCCCTTAGGGAAAAGGTTTGGCAAAGAAGGGTCTGCTCTGGTTCCTGGGTCAGTGTGCTTGAAAAATTTCAAGGGTGGGTACTTTTGAGATGGGTCCCAGGTGGGAAGGTAGTCTGGGTGTTTGGCTTGGTCTCTGTTGAGCTTGTTGATGACCAACACTCCGTCAGCGTCAACTTCATCAATGCCGTTGGCAAAGTGAATATCGTGGTTAGCAAATTGGACGGCAGTCATGTTTGTGCAGTCAGATCCTTTTCAGTTTGATGGCTAGAAGGTGCTTGGCATGGTGTATGATTTATATAGTGTTGTGTGTCCACGCCACACCTGAGTAAGCACTGGATCGATTGCGAATCGAATGGGTGCAACTCGCGCTATCGTCACGTGGCGAAGGCTGCTTTTTGCAATCGATGGCAAACCGTGGCTCAAATCTACAGCAAGATCGAGCGATTCGGAGATGTGCTGAGGTATTATTGGCCAGCGGGAGCGGCTGCGGGCTTCTAGTCTGGCGAACGATTAGTCAGGAGCTGTATCTGCCAAATTTGAAGCCTTCAACGGATGCGTCTGCCGATACTATTGTTACCAGTGGAAATTTCAACTGTTGGGCTGAAGCTTCGTCACGGCGGAGAAACAGCTAGAAATCCCAGTTTAACCTCGTCGTGGTCGTTAGTATGACCCTTCCGATCCGCACAGTGAATACAGTGAAATTCATCCTCGTGGATGTGAATTGCTGAGTGGTTGCACTAGAATTTGGGTTCCCCGCGTTTTTTTGCTCGCTTTCTTATCGTCTGAAATTTAAATTTGGTTTCATTTATTCACGCTTACTCTGCCTCAAAAGGGGCTCCTACAAACTTGTTTCCGTCATCCTCGCGGAACACGTTCAAGTCCTTAAGATCGGCCACGGGTCTTTCCGCCTGGGTGGTCACTCTAAAGGCATGTCTGGCCACAGGCCCATCAAAATCGATACAGATACTGTGGTTGGTTCTGCGGTTGTCCCAGATCACTACCGTGTTTGGTTCCCAGCTGGCCCGCAACTGGAGATCGTGGGACCCCGAAATGTGCTTGAACAAAAAATCGAGCAACGCAGCCGATTCTTCCTCCTTGTACTCCACAATTCTCTTTGTAAATCCCTTACTGATGTAAATACTCTTTGCTCCGGTAACGGGATGCACTCTCACCAATGGGTGGTGATGAGTCACAGGGGTTCTTCTTTCGACGCCTCCTCTGTGTCTGGAATTTGTGGCCTGATCGTAGGACGAGTGCTCGACGTGGAGCCCCTCCAATCTCTTCTGGAAATCAGGCGACAACCGGTTGTAGGCCTCGGTGGTGTCTGCGTACAAGGTGTCACCACCAGCCTCAGGGCCTTCCACCACAGAAAAGAAAGTGTACCCAGGAGGCTGGTACTCATAAGCAACGTCCGAGTGCCAGCCAGTACTGGTGTTCTTCTTCTCGAGATACCTGCCAAATTCGCCCTGCTCTGGTCTCTTGTACACAATATGGAGCTCGGGAAATCCCTTGGGTGCTCCCGAGGTTGGATGAATATGGAGACGTCCAAAGTACTTTCCATAGTCAACCACAAACTGGGGACCTTTGGAGGCAAAGTCCTGGTCGCGAAGCACCACCACGCCTCTCTGGGCAATCAACAATGCCAATTCGTCTTTGGCTGCGTCACTTAAACTGCTCAACTGGATCCCGGAGATCTCAGAACCGAATTTGGGGGTAATTTTCTTGACAGTGTGCGAGCCCCCCTTTGGCAATAAGTTGGCAAACAGAGGGTCTGCTCTCGTACCTGGGTCGATGTACTCGACCTTGGCAATTGGTGGGTACTTCTGGCTGGGGTCCCAGGTGGGAAGAAATTCGGGATATTTCGCCTTCTCCCGGTTCTCTTTGCCGATGATTCGAACACCATCCTCGGTGATCTCATCGGATTTGGAGAAGAAGGGAAAATCAAAAGTTCTGGGTTGGGTAGCAGCAGTAGACATTTTCAGTAGAAGCAGCGCTTGCGTGTAGCAGCTAGATCCAGAGCCTGGGGGGTGTCTTATATAGTGTCCCAGGACCCTGAGCAGGGGCACACTGGCCCTGCCACACGACGTGCTCCATCAATATGGGTGCAAATCGTGGCGGGAAGTAGCACGTGTTTCTGTGCACGTGACCGTGCCGATAAGGCGCCACAGTGGGCCACATCCTGCGGGCGAAGGATCGCCCGTGGGGAAAATAACGCAAGGTGCACGTGACTGCGGTGCCACTGTTGCACGGCCTACATGGCAGGTGCACCCTCGCGTTCTCCTGCCGATAGGACTAAATAGCCGCAAATAAACCGTCTATCCCAAAAAACCTATACAAGAACTAAATACGTATCCACGCCGGAATACACGCTAACGCACCTGGCACAAGTCGTTGTGGGTGTTGAACGAGGTGATAATGAACTTGGCGGTTGGTTCCGGTTGTGGTGGCTGCTTTTTGTGGGCCAACGGAGGAAGCGCCAAAAACTTGACGTCTTCTGGCTCCTTCTTAGGCTCGGAGATGGGCGATGCAATAGGACTTGGGTATGGGTTGATAGGCGTGGCCAACATCGACTCGATAGTGCACTTGGCAGGTGGAGGAGTAGACACCTGGATGGGTGACAAAGGTGTAGGACTCACGGGACTCATTGGCGCCACCACAGGAGTGGCAAGAACAGATGGCTCTGCCTTGGGAGCCAACTCCTGTTCCGCTGGCCAGCAGCATTCCAAGAAGTTTCTGGTGCATCCCTGGCACTTTCCGTTGACCTTGTCTTCGTCACACTTCTTCTTTCTCTTGCGGCAGGTCAAGCATCCTGTTTTTGTTCTTCTTTTGATGTTGGCAGGCTGGGACTTTGGCTTGGTCACCTTTTTGGGCTTTGCGCCGGCTCTTTTGACACCGATACTGAGCACTTGCTGGTATGATTTGTAGTCTGTCATCGTGGTGATCAGGAAAAGAATGATGGATAATTTTTCATTCCTTTCACCATGTTATGTACGGACCCATCTGACTCAAATCGAATTATAGCAGCCATCCCTAACGGGGAACTAAGATCGAAGTAAGCGCGCAGCCATCCTCTGCCGGGCAAGTGGCCGCGGCGCGTGGTAGCAAAAGGCATTCGTGAAAACTTGAAAAAAGGAAGCTGGCCGCGAAAAAACGATTCTATGCGGGAATTCACACCGGGAATGTCTAAATATGGTGGTGAAAATCTTTGCTGAGGGATATTTGTGATCCACGTATTGGGGCGTTTTGGGTCACTGGTATGTGTCAGAAGAACGTCTAAGGAGTATCGTGAGCATCACATTAGCTCAGTCATACAAGTACAGTAGTTCGAAAATGGACCAATATGGAGCTTTAGGCTAGAACAAGCAAGATGGAGCCACAGGCTTGACGTGTCCCCTACTGTTTGTCTCTCCTAGTTCTGGCATTTGTGATAATGTGATTTTTATCGTTTAACACAAAATTCTGTAAATTCGTTTGTTTTTGTCGCACCAAAATTATAATCAAGTTTTGGCTAACCAAAAATTAGTATAACGATCGTTTGTCAATTTTGCAGCCGGCGAATTAGATTTCTTCAAAAGTCAAAAACTTTAGGATCCAAGTATGTGTTGTAGCCTGGTGTCCTCCACATTCGACTTTTCTACAAAAAAGCTTGTGATTTCTATCCCTTCTAATGTATTGGGTGCTAAATATTATTGATAGCGAGAGCGAAGTACCAAATGACGATTAAAGCGATGGTCAATACACCATTAAGCATATCGTGATTCTAGAGTACAATTGACGCAATATCCATAAAAGATGTGTGATTCCCCAGTTAGTAATAGCAGAATCATGTATTGTTAATTAGCAGTTTGTGAGCTTATCTATTGTTTTACGATTACAAACTACGGTATTCGGAATCCCTGCCCAGGTGGGGTAGCGGGCAGAAAGGATCTCAATTCATCAGATTCATCGGGACTGTTGCAATTCAGCAAATGTTCCCTAGCCGATTGCGTGAACTGCCACAGTGCGTAGTGAATCCACATTGACATTAATGTGGAGATGATGACAAACTTGTATTTAGTGGAGGCTAAATCAATGATCTATTCTCCAAGTAGCTCTCACAAGCAATAATCCATGACTGTGGGTGAGAGACCAGGAGTTTCCAAAAATTATTGATGTTGATACATTGAAAAAAATGGACGAGTCCGGAGTCGAACCGGAGACCTTTCGCATGCTAAGCGAACGCGCTACCAACTACGCCACACGCCCTTGGAAGAAATGGTCCCTAGCAGGATCGAACTGCTGATCTCGGCGTTATTAGCACCGCGCCTTAACCAACTGGGCCAAGGGACCTTTTTCTTGCTGTTGAAATTTTCCTTGGACTTAAACAGGGTAGGTAAGTAACACTATATGCAGACTAATATAAAAATCTGGTCTTCCTCATATAGTAAGTACAAAAGGGAATTACGCAAAAAGTAATAAAAAGTAAGTGCATTATTGTAAGTATAGATTACTAAGCTAGGATAGAAAAGATTAGAGTAGTCTGTGAAGCTTCACTGTCACTGTCATCCATCCACCGCAATATCATCGAAGCATAGTTCTCATTACTAGTCACTTCTGAGAATTTTGGTTTTGTCTTGAATATTATAGGTATCTAAGAAGTCTTCAAACTTGGAGACAAAGAAATATTTGAATGTGCTTTTAACTAGACTAAAAATCAATGGAGGAATTTAATAGCTCTTGAGTGGAGCTCAGTAATTCAGGATGTAATTTCTCGTTTCTGTATTTTTCACTTTAATCTATAAAGAAGAATAAGAATGAATACTTTCTTCCTTTAACTCTATGCAATTACAAAATAAATACGATCAACCAATGCATTTCAGACAAACCCAACTCCCCCTTTTGCTGGAATGGTCCAAAGAATATCACGAAAATTTTTAGTGTAAGATCCTAAATTCAAAGAGCAGACGATTATCAAAGTCCTAAATATATGATGTCCTTACTTACCGAATGTTTCATGCTTGGCCAACGAATTCATCTTCTATTCATATTATCCTCCTTTCATCTAAAATTTGTATTCGCACGACCAGTGTACATCAAAGAATTTTTTCAGAATCACAGTATCATCACCGACCAACATGCCAGTTAAAGCCATAGCCAAAACGTCGATAGCACGTAACGGAATAGGTGCATACATTGTGCCATGCCACAGAATCTCCTTACAATACTGTAACTGGGGTGGTTCTTCCACTGGACTTCGTGAGTTGTTGAAGACCGGAAGATTGGACAAATTAGCATCAGAAAAGAAGGGCATCTTCTTTGACATCAACAAGAAGAACGGCCACCCCACCGCTTCTTTCCACTACAACAATGATACCATCAAGACTGTGGAGATCGCCAACTTGAAGCCTTCAGAAATTCTTGCCAAGATAGATGAACACAGCCAGAGAAGTGGTAACGACTTGTTCAAGTTCAACCACAAGGTCTTATCGATCAACGACTCTGTCAGAGGTATCTGGTCTCCATTGCATACTCCAAAGTCTCACAGACACAAGATCTGAGTACTCCAAGGTCTCATAGACAAAAGATTGAGGTATATAATATTGTAAATAGACGAAGGGAACAAGCTTATTACTTGTCCACAATAAAAATAGATAATAGGAACGCTGTAGTATCGCAGTAGAAGCAATGGCCTACGTAAGGGTAGCCATAAATGTGAAGAGAACAAAATGCTTACCGTGGGCGTAGTTACGGTTTTGGTAGAATAATTACGAAAATCTGCTAGATTTCGAGAAAGTTTACAGAAAGGCGAAGCTATCCCGGTCTTGACTGTGGTGAGTTGTAATGGCCCAAAATAAGCTAGTTTTGTATTTTTGATATGATTTATTCATGTATTAACCAGTAGGAATGCTCAGCCAGACTTAACGACTCGTCACCAATATCCTAATTAGTTGATTAGTAATTTTTCCCCCGATCAACTAAGATGTGTTCTACAGGGGTTACGGATGGGCAATTGAGACTCGTGGATATCAGCAAACACCAAGACAATGTGTGTAGTGTTGGCCCTAAGTAAGGTAGGCTTGGGTATTCAAAAGCGCTTCAAATTAATTGTTCTTACACATGAACATATCGAAAGATCCCGAATTCTCGATTTGTTTCTAGTGAAGGCTACTAAAGTTCATAAATATTGTTTATTTTTAGAAGTGAATATCTGTTGAACACACACAGTGATTAGCTATGATTAGGGACACCAGCAGGTGTTGAAAAGTGTTGAGGTCCCTAAAATGGTCTATAAAATAGGAAATAAAGCACAAAGGACTTTTTAACTAGGAAAAAAAGTCATAAAAACCAAGAGAGAATCAAACATGGTAAGTTATACCTCTTTTTTTTTGGCTTGATGCATTTAGATATACTTCGGCTTGGTTGGGTCTTCATCGACGAGGTCTTCGTCTTGTACAGTGATTTCTGAATCAGAACCGTCATTGGAAATTTTGTAAATCTTGTTTCTCCAGAAACCGTCTTCACCAAGTACTTCCTTGACCACCAAACTGTAACCACCAATTCTTGGTAAGATCTTAACCCAGACGAGCCAGTAAGCGAAACCAACACCAAAGATACCCCAAGTCACAACTGCGTGAATCCAGTATGGCAAGCTGTTGTAGACCTTTTGGCCATGGACTGGAGGAATGTAAGGAGCAACAATCAAGTATAAGGACGAGAGGAAAAAGAAAATGATAACTGGGACAGTAGCCTTGAGAGGAGGATTCCATTCTCTCAAGCCCTTGTACTTTTGCCAGTGGACATACAATAATCCAGCAGCGATAACGGTGTTGACCACATTCAATGGGTAGGAAATCAAGTTCAAAATGAAGTTATAAGCATCACCTGGTGGAGGAGCAACGATGGTGATGACACAAACAACCCAATGTTGGAACAAACCCACGAATGGGGAGTTGAATGGTCTCGAGGTTGCAAAAAATCTGGAAAATGGCAAGGAGCCTTCTCTACCCAAAGATTGGATGATTCTACCTTGCGAGAAGATCACAGACATGACGTTACCCCAAGCAGATAAGGCAACGAACACAGAAGCAGCCTTTTCAGCAGTGTCACCAAAGGCGTACTTGAAGAAAGTGGCGGCCAAGATTCTCTTGGAAGTGAGGATATCTTCAGTAGGAACGACTGCGAAATAGGCAATGTTAACGAACATGTAGATGATGGCGAGGAAAATGAAGGCAGTGGGGGCAGCAACCTTCAAGACCTTGGCAGGGTTCTTGATTTCACCCAAGGCGTAGTTTGCGTTGGAGTAACCGACGTACGACCAGATGACGTTGTAAAGGGCATTGACAATACCGAAACCAGAAGGACTTTCTCCCTTGAAGGCATCGTTGAAGTTGTGGGTAGGTTCGAAGTACTTGCTGTGAATACCTCCACCCAAGGCCACCCACCCGGTGACGGTGATCAACAACACAATAGCCACCTTGAAGGTACCTAAGATGTTGGCCACAAACAAACCGGACTTGACATGGAGACCGTTGATAAGGAACGAGAAGGTGATGACAGCAATACCAATACCTCTGGAGTTCCACTGGGTGACCTCCTTGCCAGCAGCGTTCAAGATGAACTCACCGGTGACAATGGAGTTACCGGAAGCCCAACCCAAGAAAAACACGTAGGAGGCGTACATGGCAGTAACCAAAAACTTGGGCTTCTTGTAGATGTACTCGAGGTAGTTCTTTTCTCCACCGTTTCTGGGCAAAGCAGATCCCAATTCCATGTAGACCAACAAGCCGGAGAAGGCGATGATGGTACCGGCGAACCACATCATCAACGAGGTCCCCACAGATCCCGAAAGCGAGAAGATGGTGGAACCAGTCGAGAACACACCCGCACCCAACATACGGTTAAGCATGAGGAAGGTGGCCGAGACGTAGCCGATGTTCTTCTTGTTCTGGTCCAACTGGACCACAGCAGCCTCCTTGTCGGACGACAACGCCGACACGTTGTCGACGGTGTCCTCAGGCACCTTTTCAGACGAATTGTGTTTGTAGAAATCGGTGATACCCATGACTAGTGTGAGAGTGACTATTGAACACAGGGTCTGCAGGGTATATATAGTGTCGTTTCGCGGCCATCTCGTGCTAGTGGAAGCATCGCCGTTCGCCGGAGGAATTTCTTTTCGGGAACCACACTTAGTACAGGAAGGCGTTTTTGCGACGGTGGTGGGGGTCACCACCAGCTGGAGGGCTGGAGAGGTCTGGTGAGACAGGGAGAAGGCGAACACGACGGGCTAGAGGGTGCCGTCATGACCCTCGCCACTGTCGGTCTGGTTGCGGCCAGGGCTTGCTACACAGCCAGGGTCTCTGGCCAGTCAGGGACCTGTCAATGCTCACAGGCGCATGCCAGAAGGAAAAAAAAATTCAGTTGCAAAAGGTGATTTCACGTGATGCAATTATGCACCCGGCCTCCAACAACAATAATATGATCTGCTAGGCAAGCGGCGCTGGAACAAAGTCTGACAGCCACAGTAGAAAGCAGTAATTTAGAGCGGGATTTGGCGGGCCATCGGGAGGCGTTGCGGGCCATGGCTGAGGGGGGCATCTCGCGGGCCTCTCGTGAGCCGTTGGTGGGGGTAGTTGGTGGCGAGATTTCGCCGTCTAGGCTTATCAGATAAGCCGAGGACCAGCCTATAGGGCGTCCGGCGGCGGGGCCTGCATGGTTACCCTAGCAATTTCAGGCCACTGCCCAGACCACCGGGAAATGACTGTGGCGGGACCGCCTGGGCAGAATATCCGTGCTCCGGCGCGGAAAATCTAGGAGGAAATGTCGCGGGCCCGCGACATTGTCGCCCCCAGCAACCATCCTCCAGTCCTGGCCTTCTCCGCCAATCTCCCACCAGTCATCCACCAGTCGCTCTCCAGTGACTCACTCCACCCCTCCGCCAAGCACTCCGTAGTGAACCATTCCCCGTCGTGCTCTCCAACTGATCACACCATCGCCCAATTTACAACTGTGGTTCGCAAGGCACTCTCGCTTCCATCTCGCTTTGTATTACCCGCCCGATTTGCAACTATGCCATCACCAGCCAAGAAGCTACGCCTCGACCCAGCAGTCTACTCCAGCAAATGGTACCCCCACAATAACCATCTTCCGCTCAAATGGTTCACCAAGTACTTGGACGACGCCAACAAGCCGTTCTACCAGTTGCAGGCCTTGCGGGAACACCAGCACGCCAGGTTGGCTGAGGCCAACCGCCTGCTGCCCGGCTCGTCTTCGCAACCAGCAGTAGCTTACGTGCTTACCAGAGACTTCCGGCTTGCCGACAACCCAGCTCTCTACCACGCCAGCGAGCTCGCAGCTGCGCTCGAGGCACCACTCGTAGTAGTGTATCCCTACTCGCTAGAGTCACTTCAGGCCCATGGCACCAGTGCCTGGAGCCTCCTTCTCCAGTTCGACTTGTTGCAGCTTCTTTCCCGGGCGTTTTCCGCCAAAAACGTGCCATTGGTGGTGCTCAACGTCCCCGAGAAGAACAAGCTCGACTCGCTGTTGGTGTCGTTTTTGGCCTCCAACAATGTCGGCTACGTGTTTGCCAACATCGAGTACGAGGTGGACGAGCTCCGCCAGCACATCGCCCTCGCTTCATGCTCCAAATTCCAGTTTTTCTGCTTTCACCACCAGTGTGTGGTAGAACCTGGCAAGCTAGCCACCCAGAAGGGCACCCAATATTCGGTGTTCACCCCCTGGTACCGTTCGTGGAACGCCTACGTCAAGGCCAACAAAAACATTTTGCACCCATTGCCGGAACCCGATTTTGCGAACCAACCATCGTTCGACTTGTCTCGCTACTCCAAGCCGGAGTACCAGTTGCCCGAGTTTCCGTGGCAGTTCAAGGGCGAAGACTACTACAATGAGCACTACCGTGTCACAGACTTGAACCAGCCGTTGGAACATTTTCGGGATGCCATTCCAACCATTTTGGACTATGAAAACGTCAAATTGGACGTCAACAAGCCTACCAGTTCCATGTCCCACTATCTTGCAGTCGGTGCCATCACTACCAGAATCTTGATCGAGGAGCTCCACAAGGCTAAGGCCATCAAGACCATCGATTCGGGCAACAGCAACGCAGTGTCATATGTGAGACAGCTTGCATGGCGCGATTTCTATCGTCACATCCTTTGCAACTGGCCTCATGTCTGCATGAACCGTCCCTTCCAGTTGGACTACCTTGATGTGAAATGGGAGCAGCTGGACGAAACTGCGCTCTCGAAGTGGTGTGAAGGAAAAACAGGTTTCCCGATTGTGGATGCGCTGATGAGACAATTGAAACAGACTGGGTACATGAACAATCGTTCCAGAATGATTGTGGCAAGTTTCTTGAGCAAAAACTTGCTCTTGGACTGGAGACTTGGAGAGGCCCATTTTATGGAGAATCTCATTGATGGGGATTTCGCATCCAACAACGGAGGGTGGGGATTTTGCGCAAGCGTGGGCGTAGACCCCCAGCCCTATTTCAGAGTGTTCAACCCTTACTTGCAAAGCGAAAAGTTTGATAAAGAGGGGACTTTCATCAAGAAGTGGGTGCCCGAATTAAAAGATATTGAAGGAAAAAGTATCCATAATCCTTATGGATCCAAAATCTCTGCCAACGTGGCAAAAAAGAACGGATATCCAGAACCGATGATAGACTACAAGTCCTCCAGAGAGAGGGCTATTGAGAGGTATAAAGAAGCCAAGTAAAATTGGGATTCGAGTCGCTCTCACTAATGAATTATGCTCCATCTTACTGTCGTACTTAAATGTAGTTCTAATTAAAAATCAAACGAACCTTGTTATTAATGGTTTATATAATTTTCCAGGTATACACAGGTTATGCAAAGATGCAGCAGGTTTAATTCAACAACTTCTCAATTTCAGCACGGGCAATCTCTAAGTTTTCCACGGTACCAACCAAGTAGACGAAGTTACCGTTCTTGTCATTAGCCCTTGGGACAGTAATGAAAGTGCTGGACTTCTTTCTAATTTGGTTAACCTTTGAACCTTGAGGGCCAATGATCTTGGAAAATGCAGAAGGGTTTTTGGAGTATAACCATCCAATGCTGGTAGCGCCAGAGGCGTTGGCCAATCTTTCTTGGATGAATTTAGCTGCCTTTTCAGTGTCCTTCTCATCACCCTTTAATCTCCATGGAATGAACTGAGCAGATGCTTCAACAGCCTCATTGTCCACGATGGTGAACTTGGTCTTTTCATCATCTTGTGGGAATGCAGATTCTGGTGGAGTTGGAATGGAAGCACTGGACAACTTGGCAGCTTGTCTGGTCAAGTTACCGTGTTGAACTTCAACATTGAATTCCTTCTTCAACTTGTTGAAAATGGCACCTCTTTCACTGACCAAGGCGTGGAATTCTTGAGGAACATCAATGGAAACGTTCCAGTCGTCCTTGACTAATTCAGCGATCTTAGCCTTCAATGCCTCAACCTTTTCAGGCAAACCTTGAAGCTTAATGATGGTAGAGTCGTCATTTGGTCTTGGAATGTCAATCGTAGCATTGAATTCAGTTTGCAAAGCACGACGAATAGAACCACTTGGACCAACAATGAATCTGTGCTTTTCCTTAGGCAATTCGTATTCTTCAGTGATGGAAGCTTCCTTGAGACTAATGATATCCTTGATTTGTTTGATGACCTTGTCAACAATAGTCTTAGGACCTTCAGAGACGACCTCATCCGAACCAGTTCCTTCATTTGGTATGCTTAACAATCTGAAGTATTTGTTTCTTGGCAAGTCATCACCACCAGCCTTGGTGATGATTTCCTTCATAGCTGAACCTCCAGCACCAATTAATTCGCGGTGGTACTTAGGATCGACATTGATGGTAACGCTAGTGAAGTTTTCGATTTCTTCAATGATTTCTTGAATCTTTTTGATGGCCTCTTTCAAGCCGGACTTGGAACCAGTCAACTCAACCTCAGCGTAACCCAACTTTTCCTCGCTGTCGTTATCTCTCTTGAAGTTATATTCAACACCAGTGCCATCAGCGATATCATTGATAGTTTCACCTGCCTTACCAATGACTCTAGCGATAGCCTTAGTTGGGATCTTGATGTTTTCCTTGAATCCGTTTTCCTTTTCAAATTGAAGCAATTCCTTCAACTCTTCTTCTGCCTTAGTAACACCCTTAGAAGGACCCTTGATGGTGACTTCATCCTTGGACTTTGGTGCATCAGCAAAGGTGGAAGAACCGTCGAAGTCGATGCTTGGGAATCTGATCTTAACGTTATACTTATCTTGTAATCTGTTGATGTAAATTCTGTTTGGACCAATCATTCTTCTGTGGTATTGACTTTCAACTCTGAGTCTGACGAGGGTCTCGTCAGCCCACTTCTTTGTCAATTGTTGGACCTTAGTCTTTGCCAAGTCGACGTTCTTCTTGGATCCGGAAATGACAATTTCAGTCTTCTTTTCCTTATCATCACCTTCTTCAGCAACGTCAAGCTTGACACCGAACTCATCTCTTAATGCGTTCATGTTAGCACCATTCTTTCCGATCAATCTGGACAAGGAGATAGATGGAATTGGGATAGTGGTAGTGAATCCATCAGCGTACTCCTTGGCATCAGCTAAAACGCTTTCGATTTCCTTCTTAGCGGCTTCAACATCAGATTTGACACCATGTAAGTAAACTTCATCTTCAGAAGATTCATTACCGTTGGAATGCAACTTGATAACAAGAGAGTTTGGCTCAGCACCGGCGAGGATGTTCTTGAGGGTGGAACCCTTGTAACCTGAGATGTGAGTTTGCTCGTTAGATGGAACGCTCAAAACAACAGACTTCAAGTTGGCAGCAAGTTCCCTCAACTGGTTCAAGGCCTCGTTCACCTTAGCAAAACCGGAGTTGTCGGACTCGGAGAAATCGTCAAAGTCTTCGCTTTCTTCTGGTTCGGTAACCTGGTTGAATAAAGTGATATATTCGCCCAAAGTAACCCAAGAAATCTTGTTCTCACGAGCCACTTCCTTGATAGTTTCTGGGACCTTGTTGATCAAGAAGCTGTCAATGTCAGTGATAACCAAAGTTTGGTCAGGAGTGATTTTGTTAACCACGCTGACAATAGACTTCTTGGTGTTCTTGACCTTTTCAGCCTCGTCACCCTTGGAAACAATCTCAATAGGAATGGAGGTGATGTCTTTTTTGGCGAGGGTCTTGTTGTCTGGGATGTTGATGACGACGTCATTGGTGTTGGCAATTTCCTTCAAAACACCGTTGGTGTTCAAGTAGGAAGCGACGGCTCTGACGTGCTGCAAGTTACCCTTGTGGGCCTTGGACATGTCCAAAACCTCGACCTTGTACTGGGAAGTGATTTGCTTGGCTTTTTGTTGGGCACCAGCAATACGGCTTCTTTCACCAATGAACTTCACGGTGGTTTCACCTTCTTCTGGGAGCTTGATTAACACGTTGTCTTCGACCAAGATAGTTTCAATTGGCAAGAACTGGTGCTTCAACTTTGGAATAGGCACTTCTTCCACCACGACCTTGGCTTCCAAGGTGGACAACACCTGCTTGATCTCGGCTTTGGCGGCCTTAGCGGTCTCACGGTCACCAACAATAAGCACGTTGTTGCTGGCAGACTTGAAGTCAGGAATGGAGATATCCAAGCTGGAGTACTTGGAGACGACGTCGTTCAAAGCAGCAGGGACGAGAGGCTTGATCAACGCAGGGACCTGGATCTTGGTGGCGAGGTTCTTGGTTTCGTCCTTGATAATGGCAAGAATCTGGGCTTCGGCAGCAGCACAGCCTTCAGCGTAGCCTGTGACGGTGACGTTGACGTAGGTAGAGAACGAGTCGTCCTCGTCTTCGTCACCAGCAGTTTCGTCAGCAAATTCGTCGTTACCGATGTCGATCTTGACGTCGTTGGCCTGGATGATAGGCTTCAACACCTTACCCTGGGGTCCGATGATTCTGCTACGGAGCTTGGAAGGCACCTTGAAGGTGACAGTGAGAGGCTTGGACAACTTCATGATGACCAAACGCTTGGCCTGCTTGACGTCGTCAGCCTTACCTGTGATCAAGAAGGTTCTCTTCTTGATGTGCTGCGAGGTGGTACATTCAATGTTGGTCTTAGTTTCGGACTTGATGGCAGTGAGGATACGGATGAGCTCAGGCTTGGTTACGGAGACCTGGTCGTTGACGTCGAGCGAGAACGCTTCCTGGATGGTGGAGAACTTGAACTTAGGAGTGGACGAGCCGGAACGAGCGCCGTTGCTGGCGCCAGAGGCACCAAGCACCGGAGTGTTGCCACCAGCTGGCGACTTCATGGAAGGACCCCACGACACGGCACCAGTGGAGGTGCTGGCAGTGCCAGCCTTCTTCAAGGTGGGAAACGCAGCGTCGTCGGAGATGGAGGGAACAGCAGAGGAAACCGAAGAGACCAACGTGGAGTTGTCGTCGTCAAACGACGAGGACTCGGTGTCAGAAACACCGTACAACTCGTCGTAGGTGCCGTTGACACGGGCAGCGATGATTTCGGCAGGAGTGGGCATAGTCAGACAGAGGGCAATGCTTTGGAAGCAGCGGGAGGCAGGATCGGGGGATCAAACAAGGATGGCGGTTAATGAAAGGTGAAAAGTTGATTTGATCGGAGGGTCGGGTGCGGGTGAGGTGGCAGCGAGGCGGGGGAGAAGCAGAACAAAAGAACGAGGGAGAGGGAGGAGAGGTGGAGGGAAGGGGAGGACGAGAGAGGAAGAGAGAGATAGAGAGAGATAGGGAGGGAGAGATAGAGAGAGGGAGAGATAGAGAGAGGGAGAGAGATAGAGAGGGAGGGAGAGTGAAAAAATAGGACGAGATAGAGACGATGGCCACGTATCTCTGGATGGATGTGCGATTTCCGTAGACTCGTATTCTGTTAGCGAGGCCAGCTGACTAACGAGTATTAACCCAGGGGAATAGTGCACAAATATTATTATCAGGCGGAGTAACATATAATGTTATCTGCCACGAATACTGTAGTGCAAGCTGGACGAAGATTAATTGACAGATGAACAAACCAGTATAATCTGGCAGATGGGACTATTAACTAGATTAATGACTATAGTCTGCCAGCTTCGCTAATACTCATACTAACCATACTAACTCTAATTCTGTACTATTACCTGCCAACTGGACAAATACTCTTATTAACTCTTATGAAGTCTGATTGGCGTGCGATTCTATCGGATATCTGGACCTAGTACTTTTGCCAGCTGGAATAGTGAAGTAAGGTTTTTTAGTGTGACTATAATCTCCCAGCTGGACTAAGTACCATATTTGCCAGATGGACTAGGTACCATATTTGCCAGATGGAGAACTAGTCCTATTTTCTGTCAGACGGAGAACGAGTCCTATTTTCTGTCAGACGGAGAACGAGTCCTATTTTCTACCCGAAGGAGAGCGAACACAATTTTCTTCCAACACTGACACTTACTGACAATGCCCATGGCACATCGAGTTCCTTTTGGTGATATGTTCCTAGTGGGCTCAACATCCGATGCGTAGTGCATATGGACCAACAATACCCTCTCGTAACTGAAATCACTAGTGTATTGTTCGCTAGATCTGGACATTTCCGCTGATTTCCGCGCGCTACCAGACGGAAGTGAGAGCACACCAGAGTCGAGTATTCAGGTTAAATTCGACGAACAGTGGGCCAGAAGGTTGAACTGTTTAGTAAGCCTGTGTTAGCCGCCAAAAATTATCAGCAATTTATTGACAGAATTATTGTTTCTCCGAGGATGTAGGAGGAGCAACTCCTGAATTGTCGCCAACGACAGCTTTTGGGGATGAAATAATTTTTTGATGGTATTTTACTAGTGTTACCATTATTGTTCGTTTGTCTGAAAATCGCCTCTTCTCCTGCAGATATTTTTATTGAATCTGTTGAGATATTACAGCCATTCTACTTTCTTGTATTATTACATCGCCCAATTCTTCTTAAGCTTGGTATCTTTATTGAATAAGTAAGTGTGATTTGGTTAGTTGATGTTACTGGATAATAGCTGAATGGCTCGAATTCTTTTACTGTAAAAGAAGTCTTCGACAGTATCCAAAGCTCTCCGTGCTTCAATACTGTTTCCTAGAAGCATGAAGCAGAGGTTGTGCATGGGGTACTGTGTTTCCAACTAAATTTCGCCTTTGCTAAATTGATATACCACCTTCGATGCTTTTTTAACTTCATGAAGAAGGATAAACCAGTTAGTCTACAAAATGATTTGATTTTCTTTGTTTAACTATAACTCATAGTTTCATAAATTCTTATAATACATACCAAAATTTTTACTATTCTAATGTATTCTTAGTCGCAGTTCAATGCAATAAATACATGCTTCTGATATAAAAGTTTGCATTTGTTGATAAATGCTCCTCTTAGTATACAAAAGAAGTGGTACGGATGTGTTTTGAATTATCGAAAATTGCAATACAAGTTTACCGACATCAGGTTTTCTTTCTTACAGTGCTATTCCCAAAAATGCATTGAATTAAACTTGCTGGTGTTTTGATCATCGCCCCAAGATTCAGCTAAGATTTTTTGACAACATGGAAATAGAAATTTTGCTCAATTAGCAAGCACAGAGAAAATCAGATTACCGTAAGCCCAAGTGTACCAACAAAATAGATACTGGAGAAAGGTAGAACTGGGGTGACTAATTGACATTCCTTTTCCACGGTTTAATTATACATGCCTCTAGCAGTAAGTAACTATAGCTCAATTGAATTCTAATTTCAAGTTAAAATTTCTACTCCTTAGGTATTGTAATCTTGCGAAAGGAACCATTTCCGTCTGTAACAGCTCATAAATGATCAAATGGATGAACATTTCATTCAAGTTGTAATTACCAGTCTAATGGCCATATCCTATGACCCCCGTAAAGCTTTTTCCTTGATGATATATTCAACACGCTTAATTTGGGTGCAAAAAAATCGACATCTAATGGGACTCTACTACCTATCGAGCGAATCAATCCTAATGAGTTTTCATGACAGGGGCAAGCTGTAGCATTGCCAATGTTCTGTATTCTACGATTTACGAGATGATACGAGATGACTATGATTGATGTATATGACTATGATGAATGACTATGACTTGATAACTCGACCTTATTCGACTCCCACACTGACCAAACCGCCCGAGTGGATCAAGAAGGTGCGGCATGTGCCGCCCCGCTCCACCTGGGCCTTTTCGTACGTGTTGGCGTTTGCCATCAAGGTGGGATAGCCTATGAATAAGTCGTCCGAGGGCAGAGGCTGGGCCACCTTGCCCTTGGAGTGCTCCACGAACAGTTGGTAGTGGCTCAAGGTGAGGCTCTTGCCGTTCCACTTGTCGTAGGAGTTCAAGTCGGGGATGCAATTGGATATGTACTGTTTTTCTACCGTGGTGTGATGGGCGTCGTACGACACGAACTGGTGACCGAGGACGGTTATGGTGGTGTTCAGCGGCTTGGGCTCGGGGTCTGTGGCGGCGGTGACAGCAGTTGCGGTGCTGGTGGTGTCAAATACTGACTCAGACGACGAGGCAGATGAAATAGAAACCGGCAAATCGCTTCCCTTGGCCGCTACCAGCGCCAAAAACAGGCCCTCGGACGGCACCAACTGGCGGAGGCCCGCCTGCGGGCGGTCGCTGCTGCGGTAGCTCGCAGCAGCAGCTGTAGCCACCAATAAGGCGTTGTTGCGGGAGCTGGCACGCGAGGGAATGCTCTTCAACCGCAGCACCACACGAGCCTCCAACGGGTAGCTCAAGTCGCGGCCCACAGTCAACTGGCGGAACCAGTGCACCATGGCATGGAATGACCAGAACTGGAGCAACACTTGCTTGTACTCGATTCGCAACCGCAACACGTTTTGGTAGCGCACAAGGGTGGCGGCGTTGCTGCAGTCTTTTTCTTCTTTGTACATGGCGGAGATCAACTGATGGAGCGAAGGGGCCTCGCCGAGCTGGAGGTTACAGAGGGTGTACGACAGCACGAGATCGCCGGCGTAGTGGAGCTTGACGTGGTCAAACTGGCGGCGGGAAGTCGTGGGCTCGAAGAGGAGCCCGTTATTGCCGAGTATCAGCAGATACCGGCCAAGATCATGCAATGTGCGGGCCGAACGGTACTTCTTGTGCTTCATGCGGAGCCGGCCTAACCCTGACACCACCAGCTCGCGCACCGGCTCGTTGCCGTACGCGTCGCCGCCAATGTCGAGGTTGATGCTGCTGCGTGACGCATTGTCGTTGGGTGCATGGTCGTGGTTGACGTCATTTATGAGTTCGCTGAGCGAATTGAGATGGCTGTAAAGACATACCACCACCTCCAGCAACTTGCGGTCGCGGAGGGCGTAGATGTTGAGCTGGGTGGAGTTGATCTCGAGGAGCACCGCCTTCCAGCGGCGGTCATGGGTGTTGTAGTGATAGGGGGTGGTGAACTCGGTCTTGATAAGTGCTAGGCCGTAGTATTCGAGAGACGGCTTGTAGGGGGGAAGCGAGTCGTTAGGGGGAAGGTACGCGGGGAGCGCATCAGGGGCACAAGCGTATGGTGGTGGAGATGGCGGAGGGGACATCCGGGTGGTGCAATGGGCGTTGGTGGTGGTGCAACTGGCAGATGGTGCGTTCTTGGTGCAGTTCGCAGGTGTTGATGGTGTGCTGATGTTAGTATTTATGGACGGATGACCTACGCGTCATTTCTGGGGTAGCGCCCCGAGCACTGGTCCCGTGAGGGGACGCCCCCAGGCGCCCCGCCGGGGACCAACTCCAGTCAGTACTCACGTTTGCTAGTGGCGGAAACTGGCGGGGCACAAGTGGGAACAGCGTTATTATATAGCCCAGGAGGCTTCTGATCTTGGATTTGCACTGGTTGCATCACGCAGCCATCGCAGCTCGCCAGGTACATATCTCCACCCCTCCTGCATGACGCGGACCAATCACACGAGTCTTATTGCTAAGCAGTCCTGCCAGCGTCGCCTGGCGTGCCACGGGCCTCTTCTACATTCTAGTACTCTCATCCAGAACATGTCCGCGATCGCTCACACGCCTATTGCCAACCCCACCGCGAAAAGGCTCGACGGGGCTTTATCGGGGCTTTTCAGATGGTCACGATCGCCTCGCAAGTTTAATTGCTCACTGCCCACAATGAAGCCCACCCGGGGCAGTGGCCAGGTAGGCTCAGGACCAGCAAGGTAGCTTGGCTCACGAGACGGCCCGGCATTTCCAGGTGGTGCCAATCACTTGCCGGTGCCGATCGGTGTATGGCTGGATATACCGGTGTAATGATGCCGATCTCGTGCCAACGGTTCTAACCGAGCCGGGGATATCGGCATATGCACGTCATCTCGTAAATATGATTGTCGAAACTGCGAGCGTGAGTTATCGAGATTGTGAGTGCATTGACAAGTATGCGCCGATTGCATGCATCATTCGATGCAATGAACACCTCTGTGGTGCTGTCTAGGCTGGCACTGTGATGGCATCAACGAGATCGTCAGACGTGTATCCTTATCGTTTCACCACTGCGGCTCGTGATGGTGCGGGGGAGTTTCTGGGCACTGAAATTTCTTAGCATTCGGCAAAAAAAATCTCCTGGGGGTGAGTCGAACACCCGATCTCAAGATTACTTTGAGTTAACATTACAGTCTCGCGCCTTAGCCAGCTTGGCCACCAAGAGGATTTTATATGCATGTAACGGACCAAGAATGTCATACTAAGAGTACCATAAAGTTACGTAAGCACAATTGCGCTAGTAGTGGACTAGCATTAATGTTTTAACCACATAAACTTATTATGATGACCATAATAAGTACACAGGAGTGCATAAGCGAGATCGACCAATGAGAGGTCATCCAAGTAAGAAAGAGGTAAGTAGCTCAGTAGTTAAGATAAAAGGAGGATAGAGGTCGAGCATAAGAGGCCCCACAGGTCCACAGCTATCGGTTTTTAAATGATATTGCTTAAGTTACTGCCCAGTGGTTCTGTAACAAGGCATTCAATCCATACTATTGAAAAACCAAACTAAATTGAAGTTATCTCTATTGACCAAATGCGGCATATGCTTCTCCATGAGTTCGTTTCAAGTAATGTAAGTCAGATATACCTCCTATCCTTTCACTAGCACGGAAATACCACACCCAGTTGCTAATTTTGTCCCTCTTCAGTAGCTTGTTGGTATGAACATTAAGTAATATTGTTAGGGTTTGTCAATCTCGTCGTAGTGATTAGACCCTTCATTGCTCTCTGGGTATTTAATGACTTGACCAGCCAGCACACTTCCCCTGTCTTCATAAATCTCGAATGCAGTTTCAATTCTACCGCTGATTTAAGTGATAATTACGACAAGCTGAAGTGTATAAGTGATAAATAGTAAGCAATCATTTTGGTAGCCTATATTTAACGACTAGACATTCAACAGCAATAGATGAAGTTGGGAGGTCCAGTCAATTTTTGACATATATGTGAGTCCTGCGAATATTTAACAATGCCTGAGGGTTGCACCCTAAAATTATTTGCAGTAGGTTATACCTTTACGTGGAATCTTCTTAGTCTTGATTCTAGCTTCAGTCTCTTATATTGTACATTTCACTTGATGCTCGATGGCGGAAATGGGTTTTCTTCCTCTAGATCTCTCTGATAACTCCCTCACTATTTAATCTATGACCTTCACTATTTTGTATACCTCTTGTTTTGCGCTCTTACTAATTATACCTTTTTAGCTCTGTCTTCTGTTTCAGATTTGACTTTGCAAGGGAGCTTCATTGTTGAGGCGTTTGTACCATTTAGTCATAATCATCCCCTAGTACTGTCTCACTCGATAATATTACATCAGCTTAAGTGTAATCCCTATTGACAATCTTTAGCATAATCAACCTGAGTCTTCACGCTCCGTTACTATGGAAATGGGTATTTGTGATGAATATGCTCAGCGAAATCAGGAGAATTATTTCTAACGCAAACACTGGAGTTATCTAGAGAGTTTATCATAATATACCTCCTATTGGCAAAGAAATAAAAGACGCCACTGACATTCGGTTTGCAGTTATTGGGCTGTTTAGAAATATTGTTAGTATTTTTGGATTCGAATGCGTTTTCTAGACTTAAAAATGCCAACCTATCTTTGCTCCAGCGATAGGCATAGCTCTAATCAGATATGAAGGAAACAAATAAAGCTCCCTAGGAGCCTAAGAGTTTGTCTAGGATAGTGTTCTGTTATCCTAAAGCGTAAGTTCTGAATGAGTTGGAACTCCCCAGCTGAACCAGATGCGAACAAGTTATACTACGAACATAATTAATATCCTACCATAGGAAATATTCAACCTAGTGGCCAAAAGTAGTCAAAACATTAGCCAATAAACGCAAACCTAAAGATAAAAGGTAAATAAGGCTAAAAGAGAACAAAAATAATGAGAGTGGTTGAGAATGGGAGAGCCACGAGACAACACGAACTAACGGCAAGAAATAGCTAGATATGTAACATTAATACGTGGCTGGCTACAATCAATGGCCCCTCAACAAGTAAATACCAGGCCTATCACCATAACAGAGAGTATGCCTTTTAAATATCGTTCCGCATTCCTATTTGATTCTCTGCTGTAGAGATTCCTCAAGCACGAGCCCTTATGGAATTTGTGGGGAGCAAACTACCATGAAATTAGCTAGTGCTATTCATGAACGTTTACTTACAGAAGGCGTTGAAAATTCAAGCTATAGTGAGTATCTTCATATGGTGGTCCAGAAAGACTTGCCTATGCCATGGGTTTCCATGCGGGTCCGAATTATTGTCTCTTTGCTCTGTTATCTAAAAAGCTTTTAATGTTCTCAATAAGATCCGCCTTCTTTGTGGCTCCCTTGATTTCATCCTTATATGCTCTTTGAAATCCTTTTAGTTGGACTACGGTGAAGTGACCCCACTGGTCATTTTTCCAAGCAGTAAGAACTGCTCCTTCATCCAAAGCAGGCGCATCAACCTTGGGTCTCTTAGCAGCAGGCTCAACCACCTCTTTCTTGGGCAAAGTTTGCTCGAGCTCGTTCAAAGACTCATTGAGCTTAGCAATTAAATCGCCTCGTGGGCCCTCGTTCAAAAATGCTCGTAATTGTCCTAATTTCATGGAGGTAATATCATTTTTAAGAACAGACTTCTCACTTTCAGGAAGCGATATCTGCAAGAGATCGTGCTTGATCACTTTGTAGAAGTAATTCAAGGTGGGATTGCTGAAATCACGTGGATTGTAGTGCTTGTAAAAGAACTGGCTGAGAAGTTCCTTGTAGGAATTTATAAGAGATGCTGGCGCCTCTTGAACGGCGGACTCATCGTCATTGGCCTTTGTGCAATAGTAATTTGGCAATGATCTGACATCCTCCAACCATGGCAACCTTATGAGCAAAAACCCTTCTGGCAACTCGTCTTCTCCTGGAACGTTTCTAGATGCGTTGACAGTTTTGGTAGGATACAAGGCAAACAACGAAGGCTTGGAATTTTTTTTGGTGCATCCGAATACAATAGCCATCTTAGAGAGTTTAACGCAGGACTGGTATAGCGACGAAAATGTGCTAAACGAATTATTGTAGCCGGCAGAGCCAGATGATTTGAGACCATTGGTGAGGTCTGGGGTAATGAATATCGGTGGTGTAGAATTATAAGCCGGCTGAATCGAGGAAAGTGCCCGAAAGCCCAATAGTTTGAGATAAGGAGGATTGGAGATACTTGGTACAGGTTCGGCCTCTTCGTCACCAGAAGATTCATCTTCATCGACAACCACCTCGAGGTCTTCTTTCACTGCAATGTGCTTGGGTTCATGATCGAAAATATGTCCTTTGATGTAATTTTGCTGGTCTTCGTCCAAATAAAGCACCTGTCCTCCTCCAATTTCGTACCCTTTCCTGACGTTTTTATCCTCCACTGTGACCCCTCCTTGGCCTACCACTTTTGACTCTGTAAATACTCTTTTGAGGGTCTCTTCTCCGGTGTAGAGCAAGAGATCTTTTTTTATTTTCTCAGGAGAGTAAATGGTGTAGCCCTTGATGGTACAGCCAAGACCAGCTCCAGCAGGACCATCACTGAGAATCAAATCACATGCAAACTGCATTCTTCTGATTTCTTTCACCCTGTAGATATTGGTTCGAATCTGGCTCGCCAATGTGGTGGAAAAGACCTTGGACTGTGCACGGAAACCCCTTCCAGTGGCACTGAGTCCCAGACTCTTTGGCTCCTGGTTGTCGGCAGTATCACCGGCAGGGTTTTGTGACGCGGGAGAATGCTCAGTCAAGAAGTTCGTATTGATAAAGACGTCTCGATAACATTTCACATCGAAATTCTGCCCCAAAAACATCGGCAAGATAAAGTAGCCATAATTGTAGAAATCGTTGACAATCCGCCAAAGACTCTCCTTAGACGAAGTCTTGGTGAACGGCTTGTCGTTGGACGTGAGCCAGATGAGCTTCCTGCGGTTGAAGTACTTCTTATCCATGAATTCGTCGAGGGTTTTCGTGAGCACACTTGGAAGACTTGTGGGAGTTTGGGACGGCTCTGATGCCTTAAAAAAGTGACTGAGCGGCCTGACTCCCTGTGCTTCATCCGTGATCATATCGTTGAGTATCTTCATGTTGGTAAGGTTCAACTGGTTGAGTCTGAACAATTTCTGGAAGCCAGGCACCTTCATCAGCTTGAGTGGCTCAACTGCGGTTTCATCGCAATTGTAAAAATAAATTCCAACTCCTGTGCTTTTCATGGATATGATCAATTCAGACATGAGATCGTTGATGGATGAAAGGATCTCGAAGAGGATGGACTTTCCCAGGAGATCCGCCAGCGGCTCGAGAATGGTAGGGGTGAGCTCTATGAGGAAGATAATTCCTTCGCGAACTTCGTACTGGCTCATGTTGGGGGTAGAGCTACGTCTGATAGGGTTCAATTGGTGGTTTTAAGGATGGTTATGGTGGAGAGTTGTATTGGGTTTTCTGTATCATACTCGGTCACGTGCCATGTGTCATGTGATCAACGCTTTACCCGAATAACCCACGCCAAACCACGCCAGCTCGCCCACAAGTCTCTAGGAACGAACCAGCGGCTCTAGTGATATTCCTCCCACTACAGGCACCCTACACGAGCGAATACAGCATTAAGTCACGTGAAACATACGTATTTTCTAGCCTCATACACGTCCAGAAACTACCAGATCAGACTCTGTTCTCAGTAAGGCTGGCAGAAATCCCCCATCCAGCACGAACCACCTAGAATCCCGCACACTTAGCCGTGGTTTCCTGTTGCGACACACCTCGCAACTACTTCCCCTAGTTCCAAAGCTATTACTCAGAGTTTACGTTATAATTTCAACACCATGTCCATTCACTTTCTTCTAGTGCTCAATCGCCAGGGCAAAACACGGCTCATCAAATGGTTCAACGCCAACTATTCCACCCAAGAAAAACAGCGGTATGTCCAGGAGATCCACCGTCTTATTGCGTCCAGAGATACCAAAAACCAGTCCAATTTCGTGGAATACCAGCAGCTCAAATTGGTGTATCGTCGGTACGCTGGACTCTACTTCATTTCTGCGATTGACGGCTACGACAGCGAGTTGAGCTACCTCGAGTCACTCCACTTTTTTGTCGAGATCTTGGACACCTATTTCAACAACGTGTGTGAGTTGGACTTGGTGTTCAATTTTTACAAGTTGTACGCCATTTTGGACGAGGTGTACTTGGGAGGCGAGCTCCAGGAGATCCTGAAGGAGAAGGTGTTGGAACGGTTGGCATACTTGGATAAGCTTGATTAGTGTACAGCTGTGAGAGCATTGGATAATAAGAGTGAGATTTGGATCCAGTTAGAGCGTCCAGTATTCATTGTCTACGGAGTAATTGATAGTTTTGGATACTCTCTGGAGATCACACTCTCCAGTGTTTATTACTTATGGAGCTATTGATCTTCTCTGAAACAGAGAGTCATTGATTCATCATTTATGGAGTTATCATGGTTTGGAGTTCAGTCTCCGGTTTATTGTCAATGGTGTTATTGGTTTCCTCTGAAAATTGCAGTCCCCGTTTATTGTCTGTGGTCAATCTTCTGGAGTCTCCGGTTTATTGTCTATGAAGTCCTGTTTAACGCAAACTGTGGATGCTACATATCGCATTAAACACTCAGTCCAACTTTTGCACTGGCAGCTCCGTCAATTTGTCACACCCTGCTTCCACCACCACGTCCCATATCACCTGTTGCACCTCGTGGATGCTTTTGCCTTCCACGTTCACCAAATGCACGGTAGAGTCCTTGGATGGGTCCAAGATCCGAAGAAAGCACGACTTGACCTCCTTCTGGAATTGTTCCAACTCATAGCGTTCCTGGCCCCAACCCTTTCTCTTTCCGAGCTCCTCGATGGAAAGACTCAAGAAAAGGGTGAGATCGGGCTTGGGGAGGCCCTTGTCGGGCGAGTAGAGCCAGTCGACGTCTCCAAGCTCGCTGGAGGCATGCTTCAGGCTGGATTTGGCCAACGAGTAGGCGATTCCTGAATAAATATAACGATCCAAAACCACAAACTTTCCGTCATTGAGTGCCTGTAGCAACTCTGTGTAGAGCTCCCAGCGATTGGCCGAGAAGAGGAGATGAGCTGAGTGGTCGTCGAGCTGGAAGCTGGAGTCTGTGAGGTACTTGTTGATAAGAGCTCCGATGGGAGTGGATCTATCAGGGAACTTGTACAACTGGGACGAGTGAGCTTGAGCGAGACGTTCTGTGAGAAGACCAGCCTGGGTAGACTTGCCAGAACGGTCGAGGCCCTCTATGAGGATGAGCTGGCCACGCATGTTGATGGATGGATGTGGATATGGTGATGAATATAACGCGTGCGAAGACGTGTATGGATGGGAGATTGGGAGAGAATGGGAGAGTGGGAATAAAGAACTGGAGAATGCGAATATAATTGGATCTGGCACATCATTTGAATATCATACCGATGAATTATTCGTATGAGCAGATGAATTTGTACGAAGAGTGGAATATCTAGAGGATTAATACAATACGTGAAGTCGAAAAAGCATTCAATGGCAGAATTCCATAGAATGGGAAGAATGACAAGCAAGGAGGAGGTCGGGAGGAGTGAGGAGGCACTGGAGGCATGGAGGGACTACGCGAGAGGAAGGATGGTAGAGATTAGCCAGTAGTAACGTGAAGTAAGGATTAAGTTGATGCGATCCAGATAGAAGAAATGGTGGATCGACCTTTCTGGAAAGCCTCTGGATCGCAGAGCAGCGAGCCAGTGGTCAGTAGTAGCGTAGCCAAGTACAGCCGTGCCATTAATCCAGTGTGGAGAGTTTACTATAGTAGTGGGCTAAAAACCAAAGGAGATTATGAGTAAACGCTTTTTCCTTCAATTGTCTAAAGAAATCCGAGGTTTACTACTATAGTGGATAAATGCAGTTTATAGGTCCTTCCATCAACCCTAGTTCACCATCAGAGAGTACAAGAGGATTATTCTTGATGATTTGGGACATCTACCACCTCATTTTTCACAGAGGTCAATAGGAGTGTAAAGAGGCCGGATCCACCAAATGGTTCTCTTGCTTCACTGCCTTCCATGGCACTTCCAGAGTCACCGGGTTGTTCACGCAACAAAGCTCCACTAGGCGGATTCTACGCATGTGCAAGGGTTTATGACCGAAAGAGTCATCGTCTTCTCATCAAACGGAGATACACCCTCGAGTTGATCTGCACTCCATCAAACCCTTGGCGGCGCCTGAGACAAAAGATAACAGGGTAACCAACCAAGGACCAAGCCATCAAGCCGATCAACCGTGAAAAGCGACGACGTGGAATGGAGTGGTGAGTGAAAAATTTGGTGGTGGATGCTTTTATAGCCCGTGTCACGTGAAATACACATGACAAGAATCATGTGACGTGAAAACAATTTTAGGGTTACTACACAAGTGGTTCTAGTGCCGTGGAGGTTTACGTAGCCATTGTGCAATTGACTCAGCTTAAAGACGGCCAAAAATTACCATGTAATCTACGTTACTAATACCTCTGGAGGAATTTCACGAAGATTATTTCTAGGGCCTGATATATTACGAAGAATAATTCACAGGACTACGAGGACTATTTCAATATATCCCCCAAGGATATTTGATATTTCAAGGGCCGATTTCACAGTATTTCACACAATTCCACGATATTCCCGGGACCAAATCAATATATGGCTACAATTACCTGAATAGGACAAAAAATCCACTATTCAGTTGTACACTGAGACCTCCAAAAACCCTTAGTGCACTACTCAAGCCCATTCCAGCTCCAAAGGTATCTGTCATCTAACTGGTCATAATACTTAGGGAATAAAACTAGAAATGCTGGGCAAGTCCAAAAATTAGCGAGAGGAATTTCCATGATGTCTTAGCTATTTATATATATCTTTTATATAATATCTCCTTGAGCGGTTTAATACCCGTATTACGGGCTACAAGCGCGAAATCACCCGCTATTATTAGCCTGCCAAGCCCCGACGTTGAAAAGGATGGTCACCATGTGCGGAGGCGCCCAAGCCACGGCTACCAGGCCTGCCAGACCAGCCAGTGGCCAGGCTGTCAAGCACAGGCGCAGACACGTCGCAGCCGTTTGCGTAGCTCGCGCCGGGGGTGTTTGCGTGCCAGGCATGCGCAGGCCAGATCAGGGCCATACACAACTGCTCGCTGTTCACCACCAGCGATGGGCCTCCTGGCTGGCCTAGCCGGCACTCCCGGCACCAGCCCCATCCTGACAGCCGACAGCTCCACGTGACAGCCGGCTCCAGGGCCGCCGGTCACCACATACGAGCCGGCCCCGCGCCAACACCAGGGACGCCAGCTTACGTAAGCACACTGCCTCATGCGCAACTGCAAATCACCTCCAACTTTTTGTCTGTCTGTTTGCATAGGTGTCGTTCCAACCAGTCTTCCATCCACCACAGCTGTCTGACCAGCCGCGTGTGCTTTCCGACCGTTTCCTGCCCCCACACCCCCAGCCTGGCATCCTCCACGCTGCCTCCACGCTGCCTCCACCAGTCGTCTGTGAATTGCACTAGCCGCTGAGCTCACACAGTCAAATTTGCCAGAGACTGCCAGAACATCGCCATCTCCTACCAGAACAGCCTGCAAACATCCATACTTCTCCACGCCAGATCAACAGATCAGCCAGAAAACATCCACACTGTTGCAGTAAAGGTTTTCCCCCAGATCATCTGCCATTTCCCCAAGCACCCATACTTCCATGCTTCTCGTCGGAACCTCTCCCAACCTCGCCTTCTACGCCTGGAGACTCTCCTCGTTGACCACCCCGATGGTGGTCAACCCCTCGTTGGACCCAGCAGCCCCCGTCACGTTCACGTCGCCGTCCCTTGCGCCCAGAACGACGTCGTTCCACCCCCAGATCTATCCCTCCATCAAGGCCACGCCTCCTTCGTCCCACGACATCGTCATCATCGCTGCATCGTCCCTCCAGGACTTCCAGACCACCTGCACCGATCTCGTGCCCTTGGTCACGGAAAACACCCTCATCATCGTGGAAAGCTCGGGGTACATCAACTTGGAGCCGTTTGTGCAGATGAGCTTCCCTCCCAAGTTGCGCAACATCTACGTGGCGTCGATCATGAACGAGAGCGACGTGAGAATCACGGGACGTAACAGCTTCCACCACAGCTTGCGCAACTCCGGCGACTCCAGAATCTATCTTGGTACCACCATGGCGTCCTCCAAGGACACTTCGCGCAATATTGGCTTCCAGAAGATGTTCCAGATGCTCCAATCGGTACTGGAAGACTCGCAGGGCGCCATCAGTTTGTTGCGGTCGGTGAACCCCAAGGAGTTCATGACCTACCAGTGGAAATTGGCGTTGCCCAGAATCGCGTTCTGGTCGCTCTCCATCATCTTTGAGTCGGAGTTCCCGGAAAAATTGGCCACCCAGATCTTGTGCAAGCCCTTGATTTCAGGGATCATCAACGAGTGCTTCAAAATCATCAAAAAAATGGACTGCAAGTTGGTAAAGGGAAGTGAAAGTGAGGCCAACATTTTACGTGGTCAGCTGGAAAACTTTCCAGTCACCAAGAATAATGCAGACTTCATGAACTCGAACTCGTTACTCTACAACTTCAGCAATGGTTATGATCTAGAAGTCGACTTGTTGTTGTTGCAACCGATCTTGTTGGGTGACGATAACAGTATCAGAACCCCATATTTGGAGAATTTATACTCCATGTTATGTCAGTACGTCAAGGTCAACGATGGAAAATCCATCTTTTTCGAGAAGAAAGATGGACAAAAAAAGACTTCTAAAGATAGTGCACACGCTAGCGCAGTTAACAAAGATTTAGCTGACAAGATGCAACAGTTGAAACTCTTGAATGGAAATATTGCAGACAAGACCCAAGAAATCAAAGCATACGATTCCAACCTCAAGCAGCAGCAAGTAGTGAAGATCGAACTTGAAAACACTATAGTTCAAAACGAAATCAAGCTCCAAGAATTGAGCAAACAAGTCAAGGAAGCAGAGAGAAGCTTGAATGCAGTACAGATGACACATGCGTCTAAACTTAAGGAATTAGATACTCTCCAAAATTCAAAACCTGCTACTCCTCCTACTGTCAAACCGCAAGAAACACGCAATACTGCTAGTGTTAGTCCACCCAGGATCCGGAACAGCGTCCAGAAAAACAGAGAGTCGGTGCAGCCCAACGATAATTTGGAAGATTTGGCGGACATTGCCATGTACGGAGCTAACTTGAACAGTGACAGCTCATCCAAATCCAAGACTGCCAGCTCTAGGAGTACTCCTCAAGTAAGAGATAATTCATTCTCTCCAGTTGTACAACAACAAGCGCCTCAATCTTTGCATTCTGGCTCTCAAGGAGGTTCACAGCACAGCTCTCAGCAAGATTTCTCGTCCCAAGGTGTGAAGGGGTACGTGCCAAATGGCCCTCAACAAAACGGATACTTGCAAAATGATGACAGCCAGTTTCAGTCTAACCAAAACTATCCTCAGCCACATCAACAAGGGCAAAATCCAAATTCCTACTATAGGGGTCAAACGAGTCTCGGTCATCAACCTGCGCAATCCTACAGCGATGACCAAGGTGCTTACCCGTCAGCACCTGAAAACTTTGTCAACACTCAAGCTGCACAGAGACAATACCATCCATCGCAATATCCAAATGCTCCTCAACATGCTCCAGTTGGGTACCAGCAGTCGCCAATAGAGCAACTTCCGCCGCACGGTTTGCCTTCAAATGGCTTACCTTCAGGTCAATTTCCTCCAAATTTGCGTGGAAGTGGATCTATCGTGTCAAATGTGAATAGATACCAGCAATATCAAAACGGCATGAACCCTAACGGGCCGATTGGACAGTCAGGGCCACAAGCACCTGGAGGATATCAAGGTCATCGCCAAAGGGTTAGTTCCGGTCCCCAATCTGTCCATTCTTCCTATTATGAAGGAGCAAATGGCTTCAATCAACCAGTTAGTTTTAATAATGCCGCCCCTATTGACCCCATGGTCGAGCAAAGATTCAAAAACAATCCTAAGAGATCCAACCGTCGTTCAGCGTTCCCTCAAATGAACGGTAACTTGGATGGTTTGGATATGGGTGGCCGTGGAGGTATGCCAATGTCTGGAAGCATTACGAACCAGCAGAAGCACAAGTCAATGAGCCAATTGCCACCTGCAAACTTTGGGCATATGATGCAAAGAAAATCCATGAACAATTCAAACAACCTTGTGATTCCCCCACTTAATGGATCTTCTAGCCAGAATTTCCTTCAACCTCCTGTCATGAACGATTCTAATGCCTCCAGCAACTCCTCCACCAACAGTAACGACACTCCAAAAACTAGCAACAGCGGAGATCATAATGAAGTTTCCATTTCTATTCCAGTGCCACAAGTCGATGCTAAGCCCTTAGGGACGATTGGACCACAGGCTTCATTGACACCAGAAAAGAAAAAGAGAGGCTTCTTCGGAAAAAAGAAGTAATCAAATCAATGCTAGATACGACTGAACTCAATGTATACAGGCGTGCTTTCTATATTTATGTAATTATCGCCTCCTAGTTGTAGACGGACGTAGAACAAGAATTACTTAATTTATTACGTAATCAGACATTACTTCACTGTTCCATTCACTTCTTCGGTGCCGGTTGTCGCTTGTGCCAGTACTCGCCAATGCTTTAAAGACGATGCCTGCTACCAAGCGGCAATGGCAGAACGGTAAAGCGGCTCCAAAAGTCTTGTAGTACGGATTTCGGTTACCAATTCCTCTAACTTCGAAGTGCTGAGAAATATCCTGGAGGGACTTAAATGAATCCAAAATTCTCCTGGGCATATCATTATCCCACCATAACTTCTTTCTGTATCTAAACTGCCAAATTGCTGCTTCTCAATCACCATTTGCACTCCCCTTCGAGAACCAACCAACACCAATGATTATCGGTAGACGCACGCCCGACTATTTCACCACCAAAACTATGCTCAGTTATAGCTCAGATTCCAAATCACCATAATGGCCCGTTCCTTCTACGAAGACGACGAGCTCGTCATAAACAAGCCTGGATACAATGTCGAGATCTCGCTGGAACTCAAGGAGCAAGAATCGCTGCATGGCCCCATCTCGTTCATCCAGGGCATGGGAATAAGAAGCACTCCATACTTGGAGTCATGGGTTAACAAGGCTCGTCTCTTTGTCCACTCCAAGGCTGCCATCTACGAGGCCGAGCTTGGCACCCAGAAGTCGGCGTTTTTGAACGAAGTTGACACCCTCAAGTCCGAGGTCAAGGCCACCATCAAGGAGCCAGTCTTGCCAGGATTGATCTACATCTTGACTGCAACGTTGACTGGGTCCATTTTAGTCGGCAGAAAGTCATTGCCATTGAGATTCGTGAGTCCTGTTGTGTTTGCATCCGTGTCTACCTCCTACTTCATGCCCAACACCTGGGAGTCCTTGACCAACAAGTACCTCCATTTTGAACACCAGAAGGCCCCGGAATTGACCGAAAAGAGACATCAGGTTGTGTCTGCCTACCAGAGTACCAAGCAGGATGTTGACAGGGGAGTGCAGAGTGCAAAGGCCGAATTGCAAAGAGGAGTTAGACTGGCCAGATTGTGGTTAGACGAAATCTCCAAGTGAGCAGAGTTGCATTATGCTGGCGTCATTCGCCTGTTTATCGAGTGAATATCGAATGAATGTATTAGTATGGAGTGTGTGACCGTAGTTTTAGTAGAGTACAGAGAGTAGGTGGATATTTGAGTCCGAATAAGTCTGACTGCTTACTTCATAGCTTACTGTTCCGAGATTAAATTCTTTCGATGAAGTTATTGTTTACCCCAATACGATTCAAACAGTGCCGTACAGAGTATTGGATTCTTCAATAACAAGAAACGTCCATATACATTACCGGTAACCCAGATCTCGTTTCTGCCCTGAAGAGCCCGTTTAATTTCTTCTGAAACTTCAAGAAGTCGTTGGAAATATTAGCGAAGTAAAGGTCTGCTAATGTATAAAGTGCTATACATTTCGGGTATATTCAGAGGCATTTGAGCGGGGAGGGCGGATGTCCCCAAACAATTGAGTACGATAGATATCAAAAAAATGGGTAGGGAGTAGGAATTCTGGTGGTAATATGCATAAAGGGTAGGTGATAGGAAAGCAATAAGAATCGAGTCCAAGGATCAAGTCGTTGCGATATCACTTCGCAAGTATAGAGCGATATTCAGAGTAGAAAATGAGTGAAGAAGGTTCACTTATTAATATAAATCCATCAAGCATCAGTACAGGAAGATTTATCATATATTTTAACCCATGAAGTCCAGTATCGGTGTAGCTTACGACTAGAAGATTTATCATTATAATCTACGATCGTATATTTCTTGAAGATAATACAATAATACTGTCTACAAGTCAATATAGCATTGGTGTAACATGTGAGAAGATCTAACACTAATTATAGTTTACGGAGTCGAGCAGTGGTTTAGCATATGATTTGTCTATCATCTAAAATCTACCCTATAGTATTGTTGTAGCATATTAGAAGGTCAAGTATTCACGAATATGAAGTCATTCAGTCATAGTATTCATGATGAAGCTTTTTTAATCTATGAGTGTAGAATATGACTTGAAAATCTACCGTATAATCTCTTACGAGATTATTTCAAAATATCATATGTGGTGTAGACCATGGCCACGCCACCAATTGCAATCAATATGTAGTCCAACACCTTGAGCCAATACCTCTGGTTGATTTCCCCTTTGCTCAACCCTTCCTGCTCATTACAACAACTCTTGATATGCAAAATAGGAGGGTACATGTACACCAACGGAATACACGCGAAACATCCCACGAAAGAGATGAACCGGTCCAAGTTCTGGCCACCCACAAGTGCGATGTATGAGGTCAACAACACGAAGAAGAATCTGAAGCAATTTTTCAACCATTTAACCCGAGTGGAGTCCTTTCCAGTCTTTTTAATCAACTTCGATTCGACCAAACGAATTGCAGGAAACAATTGCAATGGTGTCGACAAGAGAATAGCAAACGAGTAGAGCAACTGGATGAGAATAATCATGATATCCCCCTGGGGAAGGTTCAATAAAATCACTGTCTGGATGGTGCTACCAAAAGTCAAGTATCCCAAGGTCCCCATGAATATGAAAACCGTCGAAATGGTAAGCATAACTTGTCCTAATACCTTTGGAAAATGGTTGGGGTGGATCATTGACTCCTGGATGGGAATGATAAGGCCTATGCCCTCGAATGCAAAAATGGCCACCCCAATAAACAACGAAAACTCGCCTGAATTGAAGATGTACTCGATCTGGGGCCCAAAAACGCCTTTGTTAGTGATCAACAATTCGTAGAACAAGTAGTAGATGATGGTAAGCAATCCGATTAGAATGAATCCGTTGGCCATCACCGAAGACAACGACAATTTAGTGATATCCCTGATCAATGACAACGGCACCAAGATGAAGAACTGGCCGGTGATCATCCACGCGATAGAGAGTTGCCAGCCAAACACCGTGCTTATGAATGCTCTCAAGTTTTCTGCGGTGAAAACAATATAGGCTGAAACAAAGCCTATCTGGGAGATTACAATGGAAAACAAGATAAGTTGCTGGAACCACCTGCCGTAGAGCTTAGCTCCGATCTCGCTGAAGCTGGATACTCTGGTGGCGATTTTGGAGAAGATCAACGTCAAGTAGCACCAGTAGCTGAGAAACCCAAAAAAGACCAAGGTTAAAACCGAGAAAAGCAAGCCACCGTTGGAGAACGACTTGGGTAAGAACAACACTCCCGTGCCGATGAAAGCCTTGATGAGAAGGAAATACGTTTTGGTGTCGTTTGCAGTGCCGTTGGGGTTGTAGTGGTCGTAGTCCGATCGCAAAAGCGGCGTTTCTTCGCCAGAAAACGTCTCCTCGTCGTACTTTGCTGGATGCTGGTAGTGGCAGGCAATGTTGTCCTCGTCCTCGAGGTCTTCGCCCGCAAAGTGGCCGTAGATGCTGAGAAACTCGATGAAGTTTTTGGTCAAAAAACTGGGCTGCACGGTCCGTAACGGCGAATTGTTCACTAAAAACGCTCTGCGAAAGCCTCCTGGCACGTTCAACGACGATGCGGTGGACCCTCTCCTCCTGGCGTCCATATCCTTGGAGGACCAGCTTCTGGATCTCCGAGGTTTGCGAAGGCCGTCCTGGTTGAGCTTGTGGATGTCCCAGGTGATGTCCGCGCCTTCGTGGGAGTAGTCCAACCCAGCAAGATGCTTGGCGACCTGGTTGATCATGCGAGGGTCGTCAATGCCTTGGGAGAAGTTGTCATCTAGGGCGTGTTCGTCTGGAACGGGAGAAGACGACCCAGAAACCGCGACAAAAGAGGCATTATTGGCTAGCAGGCCCATTCGGGACGGCAGTGATGCCATGGGCGACGATGACATCGGCGAACGGGTAAGTTTGGCGATGCTTTGGCGACGGTTGTGGTGATGTATGGGCTGGGGCAGACTCATGGGAAATGGCGAAGCAACTGTGGTGTTTTTTGGTATAGCAGATGGGGAATTGATCAAGGATCAATGGTAGCGAATTCTGGCGAGATTTGACCGAGAATAGCTTCAATAGCGTGGAGTTTGGCTAGCAGAGTGGAGCTGATTGGGGACGATCTGGCAGGTAAGTGCACGTGCAGAGGTGGTTCGCTGTTTAAGAGGGTAGGTGTAGGGTAGAATCTTTGGGTAGAGGTTTGGGTAGTGGTTTGGCAGTGTTTTGGTGGTGGGTTGGTGGTGGGTTGGTGGTAAAGTGATGCAGGTAGACGTTTCAATATCTGGCCTTATCAGAGATAGTAGTCAGGTGCAACTAGGCACGTGACAAGACAACATCGAGTCCTCCGATAAGCCCGGTAGGACAATGTCGCAACGGGTCCGAGAGATTTAAGCGTTCCACAGCGGTATGGGGTCGGTTGGATGAGGCGCCTTACGACAGATGTCTAGAAGCAGCACCCACACTGCAACATGGCTGCAGACGAGCTCAGCCTTCTTACAAACGACACGATGCGTGTCCTGCTACAAAAGGTGCAACCCTTAGTCAGTATAAAAATTGCATTAAATATTAGTTAATCAAGCAAAGCCCAACTTTGCAGATGCTTCCGGGTGGCCCATCTCGTAGGCCCGGGTGTACCATGGAGTGGGATCCCCGGGACAGACCCCCATTTCAGTCAATTCCCCCATGTAGAAAGCAGCATCGGCAGAACCAAACTCCTTAAAGGCCCTGTCACACCACATCACTGCCTTATCGGGATTTGGCATGGGCACATGTTTGGATACCCCCTGCGAGCCAATGACATTCCAACGACTCAACCCCAACATTGCGTCAGGATGGCGCTTGAATGGAAGTGGCGACGACGCCGCACGCAAATACCATTGGATGGATTTGTTGGCGTTCTGGGGACGGTTCAACTCTCCGAACTCGTAGATCAGCCCCAATTTGACCTGGGCAAGCAAGCAGTTCAATTTGGCAGACTTGTTGTAATACGTCAAACTCTTGGCGTAGTTGACAGGTGCCAATTCCAATGCACGCTGCACAAACTCGTCGTTGCTGGTTAAGTCGCCCGGATATATGCCCTCATAAACGCGACCCAACTGGTAGCACGCCAAACCGATGACTTCTTCCAAGTCCTCCTTATCCTCGGGGTCCAATCTGATGTCGAGTGGATCGATGTTGCTCAAGTCCTCGAGGTACCTCAAGAACTTGATGTTGCGGATTTCTGGCACATTCAAGTACAATAACGAGATCTTGTAGATGGCTCTGTTGTAGCCCTTGGCTGACTGCTTGTAGTACTCCAAGGCACGGTCGAACTGGTCCAACTCGTATTCGTAGATGTCTCCCAACTTGTACATGGTCTTGAAATCGGTAGGATGCAACTCCAAACACTTCTCGAAGTACTCCACGGCTCCAGGAATGTTTTTAGGGATGCCGAAGTCCTGGTTGTACGAGGTGTGGTAGTCGCTCTTCAAGAGACATGCGTAGATGAAGTACACTTCGTGCTTGACGTCCAAGTGTCTGTCCTTTCCAGCCTCAAACTCGCGAAGAAGCTTGACAAGATGTGTCACTGACGACTTGACAAAGAGCGTCTTGTTGAATGCTGCTTGTTCTGGAGGGATAGGTTCTCCTTTTATGTTGATGTAGGCGTAGAGTTTGAAGTTGGTGGCGGTCATGAGCATCTTGACCCATCTTAAGCGGTATTCAATGGATTTGTTACCGGATGCAATGATCTTGCGGAGTCTGGTGAACTCGGCTATCTTGGTGTTGATGATGGGGTCCTGTGACTTTGACGAGGGAACGCCAGCTCCTGCGACTCCGGGGTTCATCATCGAGAATCTGGGGTTGACCATGGGCTGTCTATCCTTGGCTTGTCTTGGAGAATATTCGGCATTGAAATTCATCATAGGATTGGCATAAGGCGAGTTCATCATAGGGTCCATAGGACCAAGCGTAGGGGTCAATGGAGGAGCAATCGTGGACATCCGAGGGTCCTGGAACGAGGTGGTGGACGACATTTTCTTCAATTCTCTTCTCATGACTGGTGATTGCGATCTCTGCTTGGGAGAGTTGCTGCGTTCCTTCTGAGGAGACGTGGATCTCTCCTTTTTCTTCTTCTTGGTCTTCTCTCCTGCTTTGCCTGCACTATCGTGAGCTCTGGGCCTGCCATCAGCTTCCTTGTCCTTCATGGCCTTGATGCGTTCGCTTCTTTCCTTGCCAGAGCCTACCACAAACTTGCTCGAGGCATCGCTGGCAATCGAGTTGAACGAGGCGTTGGAGTCGCTAGAGCCGCGTCTTCCGAGGCTTTCGTTGGTGGAGTTGGGAGTAGGAAGCTGGTTAGCTTTGGTGCTCTTTTTGGCCGACTCTGGAGACTCGAGCTGAGTTTCTTTCTCTTCGTCCTCGAACAAGAACTTGTTATAGTCAGAAATGTACCTGGCGCCAACATTGGCGTCGGCTGCAATGTCGTGCATGCCAGACTTTTCGTCCTCCAAGTTGAATGCTTTTGGCTTGAAATTAAGATCCAATGACGAAATTCTCGCATGCATGCTGGCCTTTCTCAAATCGGAGCTGGAACCCTTCTTGTTAAGAAGGGCCAACAGAGGCACCGAAGGATAACGGTTCGACTTGAGGGTGGACTTTCTGGAGGCAGACATAAGCTCGTTTGCACCTTCGTCGGAGTCGTTGGCACGGATCTTTCCGTAGGCCAAAGCGTCTTGTTCGTGGTGCTCTTTGGCTAACAGAAGATCTGGCTGCGACAGAGCCACCAAGTTCGTTTGTGAGCCTTGCATGTATGGGTTCATGGACTGCTGGGAGGCCAGGGAGGGGGGCATGAACTGTTGCTGGAACCCGTATGGGTTCATCTGCTGCATTTGCATCTGCTGCATTTGCATGTAGTTCATGGGCATCCCCTGCATTCCTTGCATCCCCTGCATTCCTGGCATTCCTTGCATTCCTTGCATTCCTTGCATACCTGGCATGCCTGGCATGCCTGGCATCCCGTATTGCATCATGGGGAACCCGCCGTACATGGATTGTCTGGACATGGCTGCCATGTACTGCTGCTGCATCTGCTGTTGTCTCTGGGCGGCAAGACTAGAGTAGTACTGTCTCCACTGGTCGAAGTACTCCTTGGTCAGCGGCTTGGCTGCCGTGCTTTTGTCGTCATCCTCCTCAGACGACGAGGTCTCTGAAGAAGTCGACTCGTAGTCGCTGGAGTCGGCATATCCGTCGGTGGCTTTGGGGGCAACTTGGACTGCAGGCGCAGGAGGCGCAGGAGGCGCCGATTGTGGGTCCTGATTGTAATTATAGTATGGATATTGTGCAGATGCATAGAACGAAGGCTGGAAGTTGAGATCGGTTTGGAGCGGGTCCGACGATATGGTGGACTCCTGGGGCGAAGTCGAGTCGGCACCGGCACCGGCACCGGCACTGGCGTGTGCTGGGCTGGGATCGATGCCACTGCTAGCATTGTTCAATGTAGACCCCGGATCGAGCGATCCCGGCACGTAGGCGGCACTGGCGCCACCCGCGTCACTCTCAGTAATTGTGCTAATGGTGGCAGCGCCCAATGCGTCGGTGGTTTCCGCAAGTAACGAGTCGTCCGACGTGAATTTCTGGGGGAATGGATGTGGCAACTTGTGGTCAAACTCCTTGATGGGCGACCTGGCCTCCTGGGAGGCAAAGTTGTACCCCGAAGGGCTTTTTCTCCGGGGCAACTTCTTATTTTTGGCCATGTCTCCCACCACAGGCTGGTGCTCTGCTCCCTGCAGACGGTTAGCGAAGGTGTGGGACTCGCCTGAGGTGTATGATGAGTCAGATCCTGTCGCCAGGAATTCGCTGCTGCCCACAGAAAGGTTGGAAACGTGCAGTTTCGGGTGGGTAGGCTCGGGTTTTTCGAGGGTGGCCAAGTTGGTACGGGTGGTAGCCGTGCCTGGGCCTGCTGGGCCCACCTGGGACGACTTGGACGAACCCAAGCTGGAGATACTGGAGCGGTCAGCCCGCAATCTCGTCAAAAGACCCATGTGTGTAGCGAATGTGTGGAGGACAGGTGTCTGGCGAGTGGTGCAGCAGACAGAAGCGAGTGACGGACAGGAAAGTGTACAGCAGACAGATGGTGTGCTGGTTGGCCCGTGGAAGCACTAAGCACAAGTAGGGATGAAAATTTTGAGGCACACCGCAGTAGTAATGTGGAGCCCAATCCGGATTATATATAGGTGTTTGTTCTATATATAAGTGAGCGATGGGGGCGGCAGGTGCGGATAACCACGGAAGGGCTTTAAGGGGACGAACGGTGGATGGGGCTGGGAGGTATGGTAGAAGCGACCCAGACAGAGAAACAAGTGCTGGTGGAGTGACGGAGAATTGAAGAGATTTCAAATAGAGGCGAGCTAGGAGACATTTAGGGATGGGTCATGGGCGTGAGACATGCGACACATCAGACATTGTGACAGTGATTGTGAAATTACAATGCAGACTCTCGGCTGGGGAATGCCTGTCGGCTGCGGACGGTGCTGCGGGTGCGGTTGCGCTGCGGGCGTCAGTCCTGGGGGTGCAGGAGGGTCCTGGCGACGACATGGCCAGGGCCTGCTGACGGAGGAGTCGCCAGGCCCAGCTTTGGCTGGAGGACCTTGCGTCGTTAGTCCATGCTGGTGTGGCTATAAATAATAGGATTTGGAACCACTGAGGCCGCATTAGGCAATTGCCAAACAGTGCGCAGGATGCATTAGATAATTGCCAAATCGGCGATCAGCGACATTTTCCGTGCAGAAGGAGTGGAAGGGGCGCGGATGACGTTTGGGCCCACAATGCCAGGCGTGGTATTGTTGGGGGGTCGAAGCCAGCTAAACCAGATCAATCAGGTAAGCCTGGGGCTCTCTGGCCCGAGTAGGCAATCCTCTTGGAACCAACCCTGTCCATGCATGAGAACGGCCCTGGGGCGCAGCTTGCAGGTGGGTGCATCGCGATGCTCGTCAAAATTTTGCGTGCTCCCGTGCCTGATTGGCGGGTTGGGACCTTCTCTCCCCTGGTGGTACTGGCTCCTGGCGGCTTCTGGCTTCGAGACATAGCCTCGTGGGGCGTGTGGCCCCAGACTGGAACCTTCCCGTTTCATTCCAGGGTTGCGCAAGTGCCCCCAATCCTCGTTCCACGCCACCGATGCATGTGCCATGCACTCCCCGACCCTGTCGGTCCCACATTGTGCAATTGTGGAATCCACCTCAGTTCTGGGCACGATGGTTGCTGCGTCGTAATGTGTCGTAAACTGGCAGGAGTCGCTTGCTGGTTGCTGGTAGGGGGCTACCCAAGCCACGCTTCAGGGTTCATGTCGGTTGGCAGTTGGTGCCTGAGGTGACTGGTTATGGTAAATTAGGAGCGTCTGCGGCGCATGGTGCCTGGTAGCGCTGCGTGCAGATTTCTCGGCCGCGGAGGCGAGATCACGTGTTTAATATGGGGTGAACACGTGCTAAGACTCATGTGATCACAGGGCCTTTCGAATATGTTTGTACATGTGAAATAATGCCAAAGCCAGGTGTAATTAACATAAAAGTCAGGCAACGAACCCTTTCTCATTCGGACGGATTGTGTGATCATTTGTTCCCTCCTGCAGCTGGCTTTGGGTCCCATATACCCTCATTTTAACATACAATTGGACTTGTGGATTCATTTGTTGGATTCCAGTTGCATACAGCTTTGACTTTTTGCATCCATATGTCTTGGCACATACTCAGAGGCAGTCTTCTGTTTCCAACTCGTAATAGCCATCTTTTCACAAATACAGGCAAGGAATGATCTGAGACACTCACGTGATATAGATCACAGGTAAGCTTCTCCCACGATTTTGCTCACGTGATTGAAATCCTGGAAACCATCGGAATTTCTCCCCCTCCTGCAGGTAACCCATTAGTAATCTCACTGTGGCGATCTCCGCCACCACCGTTGGAATCTACTATTAAGCAGCCTGTCTACCCCGAAACCTCAAGGAATCACTTTTCACCACTTCAAGAATCACTCTTCTGGGAACACAGCTAACCATCCAAACCGCAACGAATTTCTCCATGTCCATCGCAGCATCTGCAGTCACCTTTTTGGGCCAACAGGCCGACCTCTCCAACCTCAAGCTGGCCAACTATACCATCGATCCTTCGGCCATTGGCGCCAAAGAAGTCGTTCTCCGTGCCATTGCCGCTCCCATTAACCCCTCGGACGTGCTCCAGGCTCGTGGCGGCTACGTGCCCCCTCCCTACCTCCACGACTTAGACGCCAACACCAAACAAGTGTACGTGGGCGGCAACGAAGGTGTGTTTGAAGTCACTCACGTTGGATCAGACGTCACTTCCGTCCAGCCTGGTGATCGTGTTATTCCATCCCTCTCTGGCTTTGGTACTTGGAGAACTGCGCTAGTAGCAGCCATTGACGACCCCAGAAAAACCGCTGGCGGCAAGGTCGACGCTTTCGTCAAGGTGCCTGCTGACCTCAAGGAAGCTGAGGCTGCCACGTTGACCATCAATCCTGCCACTGCGTACCAGATCTTCCACAACTACCACAAGTTGGAGGCTGGCGACTGGATTGTCCAGAACGCAGGCACTTCGCAGGTCAGCCAGTATATCACACAATTGGCCAAGAGCAGAGGCGTCAAGACTTTGTCGGTGGTGCGGGACGGCAAATCTAAGGCAGAGTTGGACAAGCTCTACGAATTGGGTGCCACCAGCGTGATCGATGAGTCCACTTTGTTGAGCAGCGACTTTGCAGCCAAGTTGAAGGAAATCGTGGGTGACGGTCACGTGAGACTCGCTCTCAACAGTGTGGGAGGTGCCACTGCCTCGGCACTCTTTGGTGCCGTGGGCCAGGACGGGTACTTTATCAGCTACGGAGCCTCCTCCGGTGATCCCCAAGTCACTATCAACACCAGCCAGCAGTTGGTCAATAACATCTCGGTGGTTCCCTACTGGTTGACTGGTAACTCCAAGCGCGACCCCCAGTCGCGGATTGACACCGTCAAGGAGGTGATCAAGTTGTACGAGCAGGGCGTGTTCCGGATCCCCGATGTCCAGGAGATCAAGCTTGATGGTGATATCGCCAGCTTTTTCGTCAAGGCCATCCAGAGCCCTGGAAAGAAGGTGGTGCTCTTTGATTAGGTAATGGCTTACCAATAACGTGTGCCTCTGCTCTATATAAACTGAATATCTAATTCCTAACGCTCTGTAATGGACGATAAATTTGCTGAGATGACTTAGAAAAGGCCATTATCTGTAGAGAATACATAGCTGATCTTCAGCTATAAGCTGTCAAGTGGTATTATTGGCTAATAAGTGTAAATTGATATACAGCGACCTGATACTACACATGCCCTCAACTTGATGAAAAGCTGTTCACTCTAGAGTTAAGAAGTCCGTTTGCTCTTAGTTCAAAGAAAAATGTACGTATCATTGCTATCGTACAAGTTTTTAAGTCAGCTGCCTGAATCCGAAGATCTGTACATATTCTATCACAGCTACCGTTTTAATTAAGAAGTCCATTTGCTGACAACAATATCAAACTGCACATTTTCATAAAAACACTTTATAAGTCCTCTACATAATTATATGGAAAGTGTACATTAGCACACTATTACCCACCCAAAATCTCCATTCTAGTCCACCTGCATCAGTGATAGGATTATGGCAATCAATGCAAATAATTTAGTATTTCAAATAACAATTACAGCTGATGATTCACCAGCCAAATATTCGACAAAACTGCACATACTAGCAACACAACTACGGTATATAGTAAATTAGCCACAATCGCTCAATTAGATGTAAACTATAAACACGCATCCATGGTCACCCTAATTCATTGCAAAACTGTGCAATACATGCCAATTCTCAACTCTCCCACCGAAGTCCACATTAAAGAATAAAATGTTCATCAATGTTCATCCATTAATTTATAAAACTTACTTCGATATAATTGCCAACACTCTTGACCCAAAAATGGTGAAGCATGGATTCCAATGCCTGGCTATACTCCCGGAGCTAAGACGCACTCAGCAAGGACGAATATCTACCTCGCCACAAACCAGCCAGAATCCTCTGCTTATGAGTCACGTGACGGTCACCACCACAAACACCTCAAAACCATCACTCAATCTCCATTCCACCCACCACCATGGAGGAAAAGCAATTCAACCAGTTTCTCCAGGGGACTGACGTGCCCGACGAGCAAGTCATCGACTCCATCTTCCTGGAGAGAAAAACGCAGCACGCAGATGACGCGGTTGACTACGAAGACATCGACGAGTTGGCAGATGATGACGACCTTCCTGAAGAAGAAGAGCCTACGGGAGGTGCTGCTGGTGCAGACGACCTTGAAGGGTTTCTAGGCGACGAAGCCCAAATGGAAGCAGAGGCCGATCAGAAGTTCGACGACATGTTTGGTGATGATTATGACCAACAGGACACAGGCAACAACAACGACCTCTTCAACAGCATAGACGACAACCACCAGTACATGGACGACGATGGCTTGAATGGATTGAGCATGGGGGGTATATTTGGGGAAGAAAATGACACCAGCCAGCTCCACCAGGCTGGCGAACGTAACCAACCCAAGAAGAGAAAGTTCCTTCTGGAGGAACAAAGAGCAGCAAAGAGGCAAAAGCTCCAGAGGGTGGTCAAGCAATTGGAGGCAAGACGTTTGGCCAGAAACTTCAAGTATTACTACCCAGGATACTCCAAAGATAAGCCCTTCAACTTCCACCTATTCTTCCTCCCAGCCCCCAAGTACTATAGACATGCTCGTCCACTCATTGCCACCAAGGAAAACATCAAGCCCATGGTGCCTACCAAGTTATCTCTCCAGGTGGACGTGGACCAGCGCAAGTTATTCAAATCAAGAAAACAAATACCTCCAGCCCAGTCTTCGAAGGATACCAGCAAAGTGGTTTCTATTACACAACAAGACTTGGACTTCATACGAGAAATCGAGGAAAAGGGTACCTCCAAGGATGCTTTCTTGAAACAGATTTCTTTCCTTCACAAAGATTGGTCGGTCCATGATAAATTCTCGGAGTTTTCCAAAGACCTTATCCTTTCGACTACCGACTGGGATGACGACGCCATAATAAACACGGGTGATGCGAAGTATCCAGTGAAAAAAGTCAATGTGGAGCACAACGACATCATCGATATTGATGATTATGACGATGAGAATATTTTCAATGGCCAACTCAACAATGACACCTTCAAACTTGATATGAATGATCCTAACTTGTTGTTTGTTCCCGAAAAGAAGGTGGACACTTCGAGAGCATTAACTCCATCCACGGACAAACTCATGGAGCAAAGATTCAATTTCTCCAACGATAAGGAATATGAAGAGTTGAAGAAGAATTACAATACCAAGATAAGAAGTCAATTGAGTAACTTGAACATCGAGCACTCGTTGCCTGCATTGAAACTCCAGTCCCCCTACTACAAGGTCAAGCTTACCAAGGAGGATTGTAGGTCATTCCATAGACCTAAATTCTTGGTAAGACCAGGTACATTAATCAGTTTCTCGAAACTTAAACAAAGAAAAAAGAAGAAGGACAGAGGAAAATCGTTACAGGAGATATTCAGCAAGTCTACCGATTTGACTGCAGCAGACACTGCCAACCTTGTGGCCATGGAATACTCCGAAGAATATCCATTGGTTTTCTCTAATTTTGGTATGTGCTCCAAGATTATCAATTACTATAGAAAGGAGAGAGAAGATGACTCTTCTAGACCAAAAACACAAATCGGAGAAACCCAAGTTTTGGGAGTGGAAGACCGGTCTCCATTCTGGAATTTCGGTGAGGTGGGGCCAGGAGATTTCGTACCCACCTTGTACAATAACATGTTGAGAGCCCCTGTTTTCAAGCATGAGAATAGGAAGACAGACTTTTTGCTCGTAAAATCCCAAGGAGCAGGAAATCATCAAAAGTACTACTTGAGGAACATTAATTTTATGTTTGCGGTAGGTAACACCTTCCCAGCCATGGAAGTGCCAGCTCCACATTCCAGAAAAGTGACCAACACATCCAAGAATAGGCTTAAGATGGTCGTTTTCAGAGTGATGAACAATAACGGTGTGGCCAGAGTATCGGTGAAGGATGTGTCCAGGCATTTCCCAGATCAAAACGACATGCAAAACCGTCAAAGATTGAAGGAATTCATGGAATATCAAAGACAGGGTGATGATCAGGGATTCTGGAAGATCAAGAATCTTGATATTGTTCCAGCAGAGGAGGAAGTCAGAGCAATGATAACTCCTGAAGACTGTGCTGTGTTGGATGCTATGCAGCATGGTCAGCAGGCATTGGAAGACAACAATACATTGTTTGGAGATGAGACCAAAAAAGAAGAGAAAAAGGCAAAGGAAGATAACAAGGAGAAGGAAGAAACTACCGAAGACAAAGAACAGGAAAATAAACCCGACGAACAAAACCAAGAGGTCAAAAAGGAAAAGGAGAGAACTAGGAAACCAAGAGATCCCGATGCAGAAATTGATATTGATGAAGAGTTAACCCCCTGGAATTTGACCAGAAACTTTGTGAATGCCAACCTGACTAAAACCATGCTCCAGCTTAACGGAGATGGAGATCCAACCGGTATTGGTTTAGGGTTCTCATTTTTGCGTGCCACTCAAAAGAACGGATTTAAACCGCTTTTTGCACCTGTCAAAGAAAATGTGCCTAAGAACAACACTGCAGCATATCAGCAGAAATTGTACGAAGCTGAAATCAAGCGTATTTGGTACTCCCAAAGAAGTTCGTTGGTGGATCACGGTCCCGATTTCAATCTCCAAAGCATTTATGATGAGTACAAACCCATCGATCACAAGAAGTATGTGAAATCAAAGGTTAAGGAAGATGTGAAGCAAGGCAACGAGAGCAACGTATTGAGAATCACTAGGAGAGTGAGAGATGAAAATGGAATTGTCCAAAGAAAGGTTGAAACTTTAAGTGATCCAAGGCTCATCAAGGCCTATATTAGAAGAAGAAAGAGCATTGAGGATGAGCTCTTGAAGACAGCTGATGTTGGAGATATTCTTCCTACAAACGATAAGGAATTGAACAAGATCAGAAAGAAAGCATTGGAAGAAAAATTGGCTAACTTTATCAAGAGATCTAAACAAAGCAAAGCTAAGAAACCTATCAGAGACTCCATCCATGCTGCGGCTGCTGCTGGTGGTAAGATCATCGATGCCAATACCGTCATTTTGCCAGATGGTTCCTATGCTATCGGTGGTAAAGGTATAGGTAAGGGGAAGAGTAAGACCAGAAGATGTGCTTCTTGTGGAGCTTTTGGTCATATTAGAACGAACAAAACTTGTCCCTTGTACTTCCAAACCAATGGGGGTACACAACTACCAAAAAAGGGAGCTCCAGAAACTCCTAGTAGTGCTAGTTCTGCGGCTATCGAAACCCCTACGGCACCCGTCGATCCTAAGCCAGAAGGTTCGTGATTAAGCTGTACTAGGGTCCTAATTTTACGAAAGAACTATATTATACTCCCTGTGCGATCCACACAAACATGACCCGTTAGGAAGAAAGTAAATTTCGTAAAACTCATGATGATATGATAATATACACACATAATTAATTAATGTAGTAGAGCAGAAAACCCGCTGGATAATTTCATCATTAGAACATTTATGAGATAGATCCATCTATAAACCTTTTGCAAATATTAAGGCTGAGCTAAAAGCACAACAGGAACCACTCCTTATAATTCTTTTCCTGATAAAGCTTGAAAATCATTTATCTAATAATTCACCAGAATAAATCGAATAAATTAATTGGTACCAAACGAGTAGTCAGCTCTATAAAGGCGAATAGGAATTTCATGTTATGACTCATGAAACTAATGGAACTTGGAATACTATGAATTCTCACAGCAGAAACTCGATTGTCACTTTCAGGATATGCAATCCATTATGGTTTCATTGTATTCGGGGGTTAGAGATCGAAGGGGTCTTCTCATTCGGTATTTAAAAAGCCCAACCAAAATTGTTAATCAGTACTAATCTTGAAATCTACATTTTTGCTCATGTACATCAATTTATCTAATTTTAATACATATTTAATAAATAAACCAGCAGCATACCAGTATCCTGGTCACTCAACTGTTGGTTGCGGCAGGGCTGAAGTCCAACCAATTCCAGCTTGGGTCCCCATTATTACCTGTTCCTGGGGTATATGCGCTGATGGGATCGCCAAACAATATCTCGTCGTTGACACCATCCATTCCTGGAGCAATTCCAGTGTTGTCGTTACTATTGAAGAGTTGGTTTAGTTCGTTGAGTTGGTTATTTGCGGCCCCTTGAGAGTGGTTGTTTAGTTGTTGGTTTTGACGCATGTTATGGCTGTTCTGAGGCGGCTGCGATTGGTGGTTCCCATTATTCTCGACCTGGAAAGAGTCTGACTGGAACAAGTTCAAATTCAATAATTTGTCGATCTCGTCTATGTTGTTAACCGTGGTGTTCAGTATGCCTGAAGGTCCCATTGAGAATGCTGAAGGTGAGGTGTACTCTGTGTTGATGGTATTGCTGGTGGTGGTGTTTGTGGTGTTCGTGGTATTCGTGGTGCTAGTATTGGAAATTTCAAGAAAGGAGTCTAGATTCATCATGTCGTTGTTATTCCTTCCGTTGCTTCTGTTTTGGTATCCTGGGGCAAGGTTGTTCATGCGGTTGGCCGGGTTTGCTGTGTTGTTCTGTGGTGCCCTGTCGGTGGAGGTCTTGTTATTATTCAAGGGCCTCAAGATACCATGCAATTTGTAGAAGAGTCCGCAGGCGTTGCACAACAAGTCGCCATTGTTTGACTTTCTCCAGAGCGGGGTGGTCTTGGTGTGGCAGTTGATACACTGGAGAACCTTTTTGACCCCCGACACGCTGGAAGGCGATCTGGCGTCGGAGGCTGGCACCTTGGAGGTGCTGGAATGCAGGTACTCAGAGGTGATATCTGAGGGGTAGTTGTTGGACAAGGTGGACTCGAGCGAGGTGATGTAGGAGGACAAGAACTGGTTGTTTGAGGGAGGCTGGGACGGCTGGGAGCCGGTGGAGTGGGACTTAGCTAGGGCGTGGGAGAGTGGTGCCTGGTCCAAGAGCGAGGAAAGCTCGTTCTTGATCGAGGGCACAGGAGGCGCTCCGGGCTCGGAGGAGGCGCCAGGATTGGCCTGGATGAACTCCTCCTGGCTGATTCTGCGGATGTGGGCCACGTAGTCGAAGTCGTCCAAGTTGGGGTCGTTGAAGGTGGACTTTTTGAACGAGGGGGTGGGCTTGGAGATGGAGTGCGCTCGCTGCTTGGGCTTGGGCGCGGTGGAAACGTCTTTCGACACCATCTTGCGGTTCTGGATGCGCCAGGCGATGTTGGAGATGCGCTGGTTGTGGGGCAAGTAGTTCTTGTGGCGGTACATCTTGTAGATCTCGATGGACGAGTTGTCGGAGTCCGAGATGAGGTCCAGGATGCTCAAGTCCGCAGATGTGGCTGGCTTCATGATGTTGGGCTTGTAGGTGATTTTGGTGGTGGTGTTGACGGTGTTGACTGGCGGGGTGGCAGTGGGAGCAGTCATGGCGTCACGAAGGAGGTTGGCAAGGTTGAGGCTGGAAGATGCTGGGCGGCTATCGCTGGTGGACATGGACGGGCACGTGAGACGGGACCACGACGAGCAGGGAGGCGGTGAAGGAGCCAGAACGATAGGGCTGGGTGCCAGGAGAGGATGGACAGGTGCTGTAAAGTGTTGGAGGTAGGCGACAAAAGTTGGGTGGTTATGTAAGCCAGCCAGAGTGACCAGGCCGCTGGTTCCCCTAGGTAGGCGCACGCCGGTCAATTACGATGCAGAGGGGAGTGTGCGGGGCGCGCACGACCTGTCATCAAAACGGCTTCTCTGGTTAGTTAAACTAACCGACAATGGCGGACAAGGTCAAGGAGCAGAACCAGTACCACCAGCAGAAGGCGAAGTACCTCGGCCTCGGCAACCCCGACACCACGCGGGACGAGTTTTTGACCACCGTCCACCGCGACACCTACGCGTCGTTGGCACTTCACTCGCCTCTCTTGACCTACACGGCAGCAGCGGTGGGGCAACATCCGGAGGTGATGCGCCAGGCGATGGTGAAGAAGATGGTGGGGCCGAAGGCGAAGGGGAAGGAGTAGGGTTGATCGGTTGTGAAGTACAGTATGTTCATGCGGTGGTGGTGGATTGGTAAATCATTCATTAGTGTTCCCGGTGGTTTTTAGTAAGTCATTAAGTGATGACTGGTGGTTTCTCGGTAAGTCGTTAAGTGTTGTACTGGTACGGTATCAAACTACATTAAGTGGTCTTGGTGGTTTTAAATAAGTCATTAAGTGGTTCTGGTTGTTTGCGATTCCAAACTAGTCCCAAAGTGATCCTGGTGGTTTTTAGTAAGTTATCAAGTGATGACTGGTGGTTTCTCAGTCAGCCAATAGACTGTCCTAGCGGTTTTTAGTATGTCGTTCAGTGATGCACCGGTGGTTAGCGATTCCACTCTACTGTCCCTCCTAGATCCCGGTGGAAGTACATGCAGAAGTCCTGGATTGTGGTTTCACAGTCAGTCATTGAGGGATATTGGTGGATTTTGTGAATGCCAGTCACGAAGTGGACCTCCTAGTAATGGTTGATGTCATGTTTGAGAGTTTATAGTGGATGAGCCCAGGTTGCTAGGGGGAATTTCCGGTGTTCAATGGGGCTGTTGGGCGCCTAGGATGGTGATACTTGTGATTTACAGTCGTACATGTTGGATGTCCGCGAGGACGCTTATGTTTGACAAGTACGATTTGTGGTTACAAATAGAAACTTCTAGCCCGCTAGTGGATATAAACCATCTGCTACCAGCAAGACTCCATCAGTCATTGTCATAACAGTTATCTGAAACTTTCCTGCCTCAAATTGAGATCTCCCAACTCGGCCCTCATTTCCTACTTTTGGCAAGAAGGTGCGGTTGGTTTAATGAATCAAGACTTTAATAAGCCAGATAAAAGTGATTTCTGAGGATAGGTCTTATTTGTCGGTAAAGTCTTAATGTTAAGCTACTTTCGTAACTAATCTTAGTATATAATCACACGATTGGAATAATATACGCATTTCCTCTACAACCTACTGGAATCACGCGTAGCTATTAATTAAGTCTCAATACACCGTAAATGGCTCCGTCAAACGCAGCTATTAGTTTCGCTTTAATATAAATGCTGGCCCGAGCATTTACTCCAATAATGGGGCCTGCTCGCTGTCAGTGAGCTCGATGTTTCTTCTGCCCAAGTTGCCGTTGAAGGCAGCCACCAAGGACAACACCAACAAGATGGCAGAGATGACAAAGGCAAAGATCCATTGCAAGGCAAACACCTTGACCAACAATTGGCCCAAGCCCAATCCGAAGGTGAGGATACTGGAACTGAATCCAGTGGCCCAATCGTTGTAGACGACCAAGAAGAAGCCGGGAACAATCAAGAAGTCCCAGATCAACACGTTGGAAACCACTCTACCCACGAACTTGTGGACGTGGAACAACACGGCACCGTTCCAGAACACGGCGTACAACAACCACGACAACGGGAACGCCACAGTGCTAGCGTGGATCAACACGAGGTTGGACCATGGCTTGATGCTGTAGGTCTTGTGGTTGAAGTACAACGCCAAGATGTTGAACAAGTTGACGATCAAAATAAGCTCACTCCAGAAAAAGTGCTTTTTGGCGAACAAAATCGACCACACAAACGACAAGATGTTGAACACGGTGAAGTGCTTGCCCACATGCTTGGTGGCGTCGGAGCGCAGCGAGGACTCGAGGTTGGGGATGAAGATCTGGGCCACGAACGCGATCTGCAAGAGATAGAGCAAGCCCCAGTAGGTCAAGGTGACGATGATGTTGGCTGAGAACGGAGTGTTGGACACGTTAAAAGGGCTGTGGTGGTCGAAGGGCGATCTGCCCACCAAGTAGCGGATGTTGCCGTAGGCTGACAATGCCAACGAGACGATGGCAGTGACCTTGTGGGAGGTGATGTCGTTGACGGTTCCCTGGACTGAAGACATGATGGTGCGAGTTGCAGCAATAATTTTCGGGGACCTGGCGGTTTAAATAGTTGCTACGATTGCTATGAGCCACAAGAGGGGATGGCGCGGGTTGTTAGTTGATCCAGGGGGAGGGGAGCGGAGGGGTGGTGGTTGGCGTGACGGTGGTGGAGGGGTGGTGGTGATGCTGGTGATACTGGTGGAGGTGTTGGTGGTGGTGGTGGTAATGACGGTGGTGGGAGCTCGTGGTACTGGTAGTGAGAGCTCGTAGCACTGGCGCTGGTGCTGGTGGGGTCTCAAGTGTCAATCACTAGAGCCGCCATGGCCGTCATTCTTCTCCTACAATCACTATGCCACTGGCCTCTACCCTGACAGGGTCCTGCCGCTACAGTCAGACCAGCCAATTGGCGCCAGGCCTCGCAAATATCCGAGTCAGGATTTACGACTCGCGGGATGACCGTGAGGGGCTCATCTCACTAAAACCGTGGCACGCGGCGTTGCAACGGCACCACAACGGCGACGGTGGACTACTGTGGAGGTTAGGGTCGGTGCGCATCGGTTCAGGGGCTGGGCGACGGTGGCACCATTGCGGAAACTGGCCACTTCTAGCGAGACTGGTGCTACAATTGGGGTGGGTGGTGCGACACTGGCCCCGAGCCGTTCCGTGACTGGTGGTATTTCCAGGCGGACGTTTGGCGCGGGCTCAGAATGGGTGCAAAAAATGGAGGAAGTACGAATGTTAGAGGAGGGTGCAGCGGGAATCTCTACTGCCAGCCAAGGTATCGCTCTGATTGTGCCTTCTATGAACTATTTCCCAGTCTTCAAGTCGCAGTTTCTTTCTTGCCCACCATGACTCAACTGAACTTGAATATTCCCGGCCATAACTCTTTGACCCTGTTCATAATTCACCAGGCATTCCTGGAATACCCGAACACACAGACCTGACCCCACAGTCACCTCCCGCAGAATGAAGAAGACTTAGCTAAGGTTTCAACTCTGATACTCTCGCGCATTTTCGTGTATTTCTGCTCCTACATATCCTTTTCCCTGAATCAGTGTATAGGGTGCTTTTTTTCAATTTGGATAACGTGGGTTTTGGCCCAACTTCGTATTATTGATCTGATCTTCATGGATATTCCGCAGCAGTCTAAACTACTCTCTGGCTTCAAATCATGTTAAGTTGTCAAGAGTACTAGAAGGATACCGTTCTCTCTCGCAAATATCCTTGCATCATTATTTCTGCAATGAAGAAAATGTTACCATGAAAATTTTTGTCTAATTTGAATCATTCCCATGTGACGTTCTCCAACTGATTTGGTAATTATTCCCAGATATTTCAAGCTAAAGGAAAATAATCTTCTGGACCCTACTACTAATCTCCTCCCTTATGTATCAGTACCACTCAAAATACAATATTACAACCCATTTATGAAAACTCCAGTTGCACTAGGAGCTTGTCTTGGTTATACGACAGAACCATTCACATAGACATAACTAAAATGCAATACATTGAACTTCATAGCTAAATATTGACCACGCAGGCTCGAGTCTCAACATGGTCCTCTGTATGATCTCTTGTGTTTGCCGTGGCCGGTACCTGGTACATCCAACACTTCATGCTGGATCTGCTTGATATCCTCGGTACCACTCGAAGCAATGGAGAGCAACAATTTATAGATGTTGCTGGACCTCTCCTTTTCGGAACGATCTTCTTTCACAACATCTCTAACCACTGCACAAGACCTGATCAACAATTCGATCGACCGAACAATCTCTTGCATCAACTTGTCCAACAAGTTCAATGAAACGCTGTCACGCACAACTACTCTCAAAATTTCAACATCACCTTCGTCTGGAGGTAAGTGATAGTTGGGAATGATATACCCCTTGTTTCTCAATAACAAGCCGAAAATACTCTGGGGAATCTCTGGGTACTCTTTTCTGAGTTCCTTAGAGAACCGGAAGGCAACCACTGGTAATCCCGGCTGGAACTTTTGACTGGCAACGGCCTTATCGTGCTTAAGACCATGGTCCAAAGGGTAGAGCTTTTTCTCGGTGGCCGAGTCAACAGGCTTATGGATAACCGAAAGCACATCGAAATATTTAGATTCCTCAAGGAAGTTAGATAAAAGTCTCGCATTGGATAAGCAACTGTCAAAGATCTTAGTGTAACCCTCTCTTCCAAGAGTCAAAAAGTTGTAGTATTGATGGATGACTGGGAATCCTGGTCTAGAGAAATTCAAGCCAAAAGTCTCTTCCACACCTCCTAAGTAGTCAAGCGAGAATTTCAAAGTCTTAGGTAATAAGTCCTCGTGTTTCCAAATGACCCATCCTAACCCAGCACTTGTCAAGCCAAATTTGTGACCAGAAGTGTTAATGGAGTCAACTCTTGGGACAAGGAAATCCCACTTTAACCCTGGGAACACAAATGGGGCGACGAACCCTCCGGAGGCCCCATCGACATGGATTCTAACATCGTTGCCCGTCTTACTTTGAACCTTGTCTAGAAGGTTGGAGATCTCGGCAACTGGCTCAAAGGCACCAGTAAAGGTTGATCCGAGGATTACAAAGATACCAATGGTATTTTCATCCACCTTGGACTCAATCTGAGAGACGTCGATCAAGTGACCCGAGTTTTGGTTAATGTGCACCAAACGGTTTTCGATATCAAAGTATCTAGCAAACTTCTCCAATGCCACCTGAGCACAGGTGGCCATGATGATGTTGGGGTTATCGGTCGACTTCCCTTCGGCCTTGCGCTTCTCTTGCCATCTCTTCTTCAATGCCAAACCAGCCAACATGATGGCTTCAGACAGCCCGGTGGTGGCAGTACCAACAGATCTGGTTACTAATTTGCCATTCTCGTTCTCATACTTGGGAGCGTGCCACAAGTTGCCCAATATGGTAATACAACGCTGTTGAAACTCGATCAATGAGGGGTACTCGTCGTTGTCAGCTAAGTTCTTGACGATGTTGTCGGATATCAACTTCAATTGAGTCTCGTCCACCGTGGTGTTGACGAAGGAGGCCAAATTGAGTGTGGGGACCCCGTCCAACGACAATTCCTCGCTCAAGTACTGGTAGACCAAGTCTCCCGAGGACGACTCATCGGGAATCTCGTACTTGGGCACGGTGGAGTTGGACGAGTACTTGAAGATATACTCCTCGTGGGAGTTCAATTCCGTCTTGTGGTTCTTCTTCAAGATCTCGGACTCCAATGCCTCTGCATCGACGTGTTTGGAAAGTGTCATGGTGGTACAATAACTCCGAGCTGGGGATATTCTTGGCAAGATGGTCGAACAATTGCCTGGTTAAATATAGTTCACGTAGCAAGTGTAGAAGCCGGTGGCTGCACCAAGACCTAATCTCCCCTATTTATATCCCTGGGATTTGTGGCTTAACCTATGGTTGCTGTGAGCACGAGGGGGGCGGTAGCTGGGGCTGGTATGTGGTAATGAGTTTGGCAACACCGAGCCGGGGTCTGGTGGCCCTGGACTGGAAGAACCGGCTAGTGACGTTTCCAGGCTTAGGCTGGGGTGGCAGCATTGCGACGCCTCGCCAGGATTCGCCATAGAGACTTCTTTTAGCGAGAAACGGCCCATTCTTCTGCAACGGGCTAGACTGGGAGGGGGATGGTTCCCAGAATATTGGAGTATGGATGGATATGATTTTCAGAGTGGTGTAGTCGGTTTTACCTGCCTAGAATTTCACTACCCCAACTCTGAGACGCCCAGCAATTGGTCCACCACATCTTCTCCACAAATTCCAGGAGAGAGTACCTGGATGGGGTGATACGGTTCCAGGCCTAACTCCAGCTAGCCATTGTCGCCTGAACGGTGCCAGGGGAGCCTTTTGGATCTGCCAATGGCATAGTGTAGTTTATGTCGAATCCCCTTTACCAACCAATTCCATACCCTCTTTAAGTTTACTTTCACTTTTTGAATTACTCCGAACTGAGCTTTCCAGACATCTTTAGCTCGTTTACTTATTTGAATAGGTTTACATGGAGCAGCTAAAAGAGAAAGCGTCTGATAGTATATTAATATATACTGGCACTATTTGCAGCATTTTCGCGCCCAGGCCAACACTCCAAAGAATCCATACAACTAAACAAGTGGCCTGTGCCATTCTTTGGGGCACTATGGCACTAGTAGAGACAGGCAGTGGAGGCGCTGGGCGATGTTAAGTCGAAACAACGGCCATTGAAATCGTCAATTATGCTTTCTAGCCCCTTGGGCCAGATTCCGTCCCAGCAATCGATACCATCGAGCTTGTGATAATCCAACGATGGACACTCTTTGCTGGAATGCTGTGGTCTAGTCTCTGGATAGGCTCCTAGGGAAGGGATCAGCCGTAATGCACTCCACCGCCATGAATTGATTATCAATATCCGTGATTGAATCATCAGCAGATCATCCATGGATAACATTAAAGTATCTTCATCAGTGAATCTGTCCAACCATCAAGGGATCAGTATCCCCAATGAATCGGTCAATCCATAAAGGGACTCATCAATATCCATAGAGGGATCAATACCTCAATGCTTCAATATCCCCGACCCATCTCCATCAATGGATCCATATTATCCCTACATCTACACACAGCTAATGAATCATTATATTAACAAGTATCAGAATGTTCCAGGTACTATGGCGACTAGTGGCTACCATCGATTTACTCGACGTCGTCGAACTTTTGGTCAGTCAAGTCTGGAATGTCTTCATCGGCGTTCAACTCGGTTGGAGCTCTGCCGGCTTGGATTTGTTCAGCCAACTTTCTCAAGATTTCCAAGTTTTCAGCACCCAATTGTGGCAAGATTTGTGGGATCAATTGGGTAACATCCTTCTCTTGTGGGTAACCGGTGAAAGCAAAGGTGTTGTGGGCAGCAGCACCTTGGACACCGACTCTGTTGAAGTGCAAGACCTTGCCGTCTTCTCTGAAGAAGTTGGCTTCTTCAACACCTTCGACCTTAGTAGCCTTCAATTTGCCTAAGGCTTCAATCAATTTGGTGTCATCTTGTTCGGACTTGATGTTCTTTTTGGCCTTGACTCTGGATCCACCGACCTTCTTGGCGGTAGCTTTTTGTAACTTGGCTAACTTTTCTGGGTCAACTGGCATTTTTGGATGGTTGGGTGGGTTGGTGAAAAGTTGTCGACGTAAAATTTGTCAGTGGACGAGAACCGTATCACGTGATCCCAGTCCCAGTAAATTCACGTGACCAGGGCTCGCTTGTCCCGGGCTCGCAATCTAGCGGATATACCAAGCAGGACAGCACCACAATATTTACTTGGTTCCAATATCTGGACTCTGTGTTTTCCCATTTATAGACACGATTACTGTGAAATTTACGCTGCAATTCAAAGAATATGTTCAAATGGGTTAATACGTGAAAAAGAATAACCCATTAGTTGAGTTTAACCATAAATTTCCGAGTGCAGCAGCATTTCATTAATCATTCAGCGTCAACATCTATCACTGTTACACACCACAAGATTTATCTGCTTTCAACAAGTAGAATCACAGCAAATAATATTTCGCTCTCTGTTATGACACCATGTAAAATATTCAGGTGCCTTATTAAACAAAGCCAGTCCCAGAAATTTCGAGAGGGCTATATTGATCGTATGGTAGTGGTTAATTACAGTTCAATAATTGGAGAGAACTGGAGCTTGAAATGCAAGGGAGTTCTTTATTGCAATCTGAAGGTTTCGTTGTATCTAGCAGAATAATTGTGAAGGTATATCGTGAGTCTTAAAAACTGGAGAGATTTTTCTTTACTTCAGAAGGAAACTGAATTCAAATTAAGCGATATTGCAAACGGGAGGCTACTCTTGTACTGTAATAGAAATAGCTAGGTATAATCTTGGTATAGTGAAGCTAAATTAGTTATTCACTTCTCGAGTAGAGTAGAGAAGAAAAAGTTTGACAAAAGTCAAAAGAGAGGCTTCTTTCCTTGTATTTTTAGGATGCTCTGAATACTTCCTGCTCGTTCTCTGCCTCTTCTACTCCAAAAATCCATACCACAATAGCCGGGAACTTCAAGTGGGTCCCCTCTGACACCATATCCATTCCCCTCTAATTTTCATCTTGTGTACGACTTAATACATATGTCCACTTTGTTCACTAAAAGATATACATCATAAAGAGATGAAAATATGCTAGAATCTACTATGCTGGCTGCTAGTTTGATTATGTTACCCATAACTACTACTAAATAAATGATTTCCCACATCAACTTCAAGTCTCCCCACGACCCCAAATGGGCACGCGATTCTTCACTCACCGCCAAACAGTCACTCATCATCATGATTCGTAACGTCGTCCAGTACCTTAGAAGCAAGGACTTCGTCCGCTTCGGCCCAGACTGGATCTTGGCTGTGGGCTTGATCGTGTACTTCTTCTTCATTGCCGAACATGCCAACCCGTTCAACCGTCAGTTTACCATCAACGACTTGTCGATCTCCCATCCGTTCGCCGAGCACGAACGGGTCACAGGAATCAACTGTCTCTTGATAGGCTCGGTGATACCATCCACTGTCATCACTGTGGTCACCATCTTCAAACGCGGCCGTCACTCCACGCCTCAGCAGTGGCTTCACTTCCTCCAGATCTCGCTCTTGGCGTTGGTGCTCTCGTTCGTGTTGTCGGGCCTCATCACGGATATCCTCAAAAATTGGATCAGCAGACCCCGTCCTGACTTCTTGGCCAGGTGTGGTCCCAAGAAGGGTACTCCTGCCGACACTTTGGTGGATGTGGGCGTATGCACTGCCCCATTGGGATGGGCAGTTTTGACAGATGGGATGCGGTCCACTCCCTCGGGCCATTCTTCCATCAGTTTCGGCAGTCTTCTCTACTTGACGCTCTGGCTCTTGGGCCAGTTTCAGCTCGTATCACCTGCCACGCCCCAGCCTGTCTACAAGAGCTTGTTGTGTGGGCTTCCCGTGCTTTTAGCTACCTACGTGGGGTTGAGCCGCACCCAAGACTACAGACACCATTTCATGGACGTGTTTTTGGGGACCACCTTGGGTTGCACGGTGGCCGTGACGTTGTACAGACGGTACTTCGTGTCGTTGTGGAGCGAGGACTCCAGCAAGGCCAACGACGTCGAGGAGGACTTGTTGCCCCGGTAGCGGTAATGTCGCGGAAATGTCGCAACTACCCTAGACCTCCCTGCTACAGGCCTGTGACGGCTGCTGGGGCCTCCTCGCACTGCTCCCGGCCATTACCCAGTCATGCTACATATTAATCTCGCAATGCATAGAACTCACAAAAATCTCACATCTGTTTCACATCCGCACCAGCTTGGGTGCAAAAAACTCTAGCCCCGTATAAATAGTGCCACCGCCTCCAGGCCAACATCCTAAAGCCACGGCCTCTCTGCCCTCTTCCCACTATGTCGTCCAATGAAGACCTCACCATTCTTCTCACCATGACCTCGACCTACACCATCAGTACATCTCTGTCATCCACGCCTCCGGTGGGCATCACCACCATCACCAGCATCTACACCAAGCAGCTCGTGACCCTGGCCACCCGCACCTCCACCTCCACGCAGTCTCTCCCATCTCCATCACAAAGTACCAGCTATCTGGCAGGGCCTTCTGTGACAGCGTCCACCACGTCAAATTCCACGTCAAACACCATGTCAAACACCACGTCAAATGTGCCATCACCACTTGCCATGCCTGAGCCCAAAAAAGTCTCCAACTCGCTCACACTTGGGCTATCAATTGGCATCCCCGTAGCTATCGTGTCGCTCTTCGTGTTGGTACTGGTGGGGCTTTTTATGTACAAACGAACCAAATCAAGCCTGTTTTCTCCACAAAATGATAAAATGAAATCGGAAAATCCGTACCTCCAGATAGAGTCGTTGAAAAACCACACCACGCTGGAAAGCTCGCTAGACCACAAACCACAGCCCTTGAACTTAGTCCAGGACCCTTCTCGGAGCCTCAAACGCCAGTCAATCATGTACTACGTAAAAGATAGACTCAGTCGCCATTTTAAGGACGACGACTTGGAGTTGGGCTCGCTTCCCAAGGCCGGAATCTCTCCTATGCTCCTCAAGAAATTCAAGCTCCGTGCTCGAGAGAATGGCCTGGAGGGCTATGAAGATACTGGCCCGCTTTCCCGAAGTCACAAGCTCAATTTAGTTTCAATTGTGAGCGAAGAAAAGCCGTCGAAACAGTGCATGGTAAAAAGACCTTACACCAAAAAGCTTGCGGACGAACTCAGTGTGGAGGTGGGTGACTTTGCCGTGTTGCTAGCAGAGTATTCCGACGGATGGTGCCGGGTGCGTCGCGGGGATGTGGAGGGAATGGTGCCCCAAGTATGTTTGACAAGCTTATAATTCGCAGAACGTACATTATTTAGAATACATAATTTGTACAAATTGTAGCACCCAAATGGATGCCACAAAAAACAGGCACGATGGCCCATAGCATATGGAAGGTTGCGAAAATCAATGCGTCTTTTGAGCATTTTGTCAGTATTTCCCATAGAGTATTTCGCTCAATGAGATATCCCAGATGGGTATCTCTAATTGTACACCCTTCGTATCGATTTAACTGTTGCTAATCTCCTTCATTGATCTCTCGTCCTTCAACCTTCTTTTTTGGCACACCTCACTCTCTCACCTTATATGGCTAGTACTGTCTGGAAGAGCCTTCAGGGTGGCCCTGGGAGTAGTAGTTGCCAGATGGAGGAGCACCAGGCTGCTGTGGGTTATATTGGTACTGGTACTGGCCCTGCTTCGAGTTGTCATAACCTCTTAATGCTGCTGCACTCTGGGTGTTGGGGTGTGGATAGTGGCCGTTGCTTCTAGGAATTCCTCCAGATCTGTGCTGCTGTGGCGCTGGTCTTTGATTGGAATATCCGGTGGGTGGAACGCCAGTCACTGAGGGTGGAACTCCCACCGAATTGGGCTGCTGACGGTATTGTTGCGATGGAGGCGCCTGGGAAGAGCCTTGATGCTTCAGAAGAGGAGCCTGTGGCTGCTGCTGGCTACGGTACTGCTGTTGGGGCGGGTACTGTTGCTGCTGCAGTTGGGGTTGGGGTTGATACTGGGCTTGTGGCTGTGGAGGTGCTGGACCACGGGAATACTGCTGTGGTTGCTGCTGGCGAGTCTGTGACTGGGAATACCCAGCCTGGTTCTTTGGCTGTGGAGGGTATCCCCCTTGCTGCTGAGATTGCGAGTAGTTTCCAGAGTGAGGGTATCCTTGCTGAGGTGTGGCCTGGGGTTGCTGTTGGTATCCAGAGAACTGGCCCTGTTTGGCTTGCGATCCACTAAAGTTGGGCTGCTGAGGAGCTCCACTTCTCGACTGTGGAGGCAACGAAGGCATCTGTGCTGGCTTTCCCTGTTGGCCTAGCTTCTTTCTCTCGGGAGACCCAAAGCGAGGCAATTGGTTTTGCGAACTATTGGGCGAAGTAATGTACTTAGGTTTGTGACCAGTTTGCATGGGTGGTAACTGTGGATATGGTGATATCATACTGTCGTTTTTGGGCTCTTCCTCAGAGTAGGGAGACGAATTTGCACTAATCACGTTGCCACTTTCAGAGTGGATAGATAAGTGCTTGCTCTGGGTGCTCTTCTTGGGTGTGGTTGAGCCTTGGGGACCGTCGATGAACTTGGCATCATTTTCTTTGGACCTGTAGCCGTGCAAAGGTGGTGCTGGTGCATCGTCGTCCTCGCTGTCAGAAAATCCACTGAAGCTACTAGGGTTGATTGGCCGGTGGTATGACAGCGATAAAGGATGCTCGTGCTTCTCCACCGTCTTGGAGAATTGCTCGTTGAACTCGTGGTACTGGGTCATCGGAGAGTGCACTGAGGAGTAGCTGCTCGATCTGTCCCCGTATGAAGGCACCTTCAACACAGCACTGCCTACGTTTGATTGGGAAGAGCCGTTCTTGAGCAAGCCGATTTGTCTAGCGTCAACCTTTTCGGACGCATCAGAGTCGTTCTCTGGGTCGCTGAACAAATCGTCATCGTTCTTAGGATACACATTATCCAAAGACATCTGTCTGATATTCATAGGCATATCGTTCTCGTCGAACTCTTCGTGTGAGCCATTCAACAATTGATTTCTATCGGTATGGAACTGGTCTGAAGGAGTCTGGATGGTGGAGTATTTCTGGTAGATATCTGCCAATTGAACCGACTTGTGATGGTTCTTGATTTCCAGAGGGGATAAGGCACCCGATGCTGCAGCCGGAATATTTGAGTTGTCGGACACATTGATACTGGGCACTGTTTGCTCTTTGGGAACTTGGATAGACAAATCGTTGATGTTCTTGGATGATTTCTGGTGACTTCCCGAATATTGGCTGGCGGTTGGCTGGGCCAAGGGCTGGCCCACGGGCTGGGGGTTGTGGGCAGTGGCACGCTGATATGGGTTTGGATTTGGCTTTTGTTGTGCACTGGGGGGAGGAGGCCGTTTGTGAGGACTTGTGCTCTTCTGAACTGGGGGAGGGCGTTGGTGTAATTGTGGTTGAGATGCCGATGCTGATCTTGGAGTTGACATGTCGTTGTTTCTAGGGGAGTGGAGGCCATTGGGCGAGTTAGTGGTGGGACTGCTCAAGGAACTGATTGCACCCACCACGCCTCGCTGACTGCCACAACCCTCGTAACCACGGTCCAACTTGGACTTCATCACTCTCTTGATGTTGGTGGTCCAGGTCTTGACGTCCCAACTCAAATAGTCGGGAGAAGACGAGGTAATTTGGGTGATATCCGACACTTCCAAGTAGTGCACAAACGGCAAAGTAGGCAAACCAAACAACAAGGAGTCGGGGTCGACCCTGTCGGCCTTCAATCTTGTGGGTCTTCCGTAGAGACCAAACGAGTCCAACAAAGGCACCAAGAATCTGATCAAGGTATCAAACCCGGGGACAGACGAGTGCTGCTCTGGCATCAAAAAGATGGAGGTGTTCTGGAAGTCGTCCACGCTCTTCTTGGACACCTTGGTGGAGAGGGAAGGCGACTTGAAGTTGATAAAGGCGTCGAGCTTGAGCATGGTGCTGTGGTCGATCAACGAGTGGGACTGGGGGTAGATGGCGGAGACCGAACTGGCATTGGCCACCACGGCCATTAGTTGCTTCTTCTTCTTGGCCTCGTTCTCGTAGAACAACACCCGGCCAGGTAAGAAGTTCTTCTTCTTGTTCGTGCAAGGCTCGACCACGGCGTAGCACCGCTTCCAGGCCATACCACTGCCGTAACGTATACTGACCCAGTCCTCGTGGTCGAAGCGCTTTTCCGCCAAGATGGTTCTGATGTCCGAGAGCCGTGAGCCTCGTGCCGACAACAAGGCACCCGTGTAGGCCTCCTGCAACGACGAGTACTCGTAGTTGGCCAACCGAAGTGCGGAGTACCAAGTGGTCAAGTCGGTGTAGGACTTGAACTGGAGGATGTATCTGTTCTTGAGGGTGGTAGACACGATGACGACGTTATCCAAGTTCTGCTTGGCGGCCGGCAACGAGCGCATGGCGTTGTAGACCGAGTCTGTAAAGTTGATGTACTTGGGCTTGGACGATGTCTCGAGCAATGCCTCGGGGTTGTGTCTGTACTGGGCCAAGTTGGCGGCGTCCCAGTACGCGAGCTGGTTACCGGTTAAGATTCCGTAGACTTCGTGCCACTCACGGTCGCCCGGCTTGCCGTCACCATTCAAGTCATAGTACAACATGAAGATACCCTCATGGTAGCGTCGGTGGGACTGCGACAGGAGGAGGGTGACGATGGGAATCAACTCGGGTGACAACCCGTCGAGGTTTTCGGGGGGAAACGTCGGCGCTGGCGGCGGCTTGGGCGAGGACGCCAGCTGTTTCTTGGGGGAGGAATCGGACCCAAGACGTTTTATGGCGTTCATTGTGGGCCGGGAGGACGACTGGTGGAGCTGTTGAGGTTCGGGTGCAGACGACGCTGGGATAAAAGAACAGTGCAGTGTTTATGGGGAATAACGTAGATCTCGCCGAAGATGTGATTCCGGATGGGTAGTCACGTGCGCGGCTCACGGGGAGATCCACATTGTCCGTTATTATATATTTCAGATAGGTCTCTTTCAGACGAGCGCACGGTGTTTGGCGATCTGAACTGCCCTATTGTATGCGTGTCAGAGCCGGGCCCACAATGGCCTGTTTGAGGGTTACTGTTCTGGGGCAGTGGTGCCCTGCACACGGACGTCCGTTGCTGGCACAATCCCACCGTGGTGTGCGCAGCAGCCCTATGACATAACGTCTGTCCCGAATCGGTAATGCCTGATTTGGCGTGATCTGGCGATCACTAAGCCTGGGCTATGTGGCATGGCCACTGTGGTCGCGTGCCCCCGCTACAGCGTGCGGCTGGTGTTGGCTATAGTAGTGTGGTGGTCTTCTAGAGTATTGGTAGTGCCGGTGGTGTATTGTGCTGTATTGTGCTGTATTGTTAATTAGTGGTGTATCGTGGTATTGTGGTGCACTCTACGTAGGGCCCTACTGGGCCTGGCTCTTGAGACGTTGCAACAACGCCAAGCCCTGGGCCATCTCCTTCTCGGCAGTTTCGATGTCCTCGTAATTCAACGCCGATACCGCGAACTTGGCGTGTTTCTGGATCTTGGCAATCAGCTCGGTGCGGTCAATGATAGACGATACATCCTGCTTGGTTACCTGGTGGTGGCTGGTGGTATTGCGAGATCCTGGTGCCGGAGGACCACGGCGCACCAGCTCCTGGGGAGCCTCCTCCTTCTTCTCGGGTGGAAACACCTGGATGGAGGACGACTTGTTGATGTGACTCAAGTCGTCGTCGGGGAGGTACTTGGGAGCACCCGGCAACTTGACCTCGGCGTCCTCATCCGGGAGGAAGTGGGGTGCGCTGGGGAGCGACTCGTCGGGGCCGGAGGTGCCAATGTGCTTGGGGGCGGAGGGCAATTGCGGAGCATCGAGATCTTTAGGGGCAGATGGCAATTGCGGAGCATCGAGATCTTTAGGGGCAGAGGGGAGCACAGGAGATGCGTCATCACTGTGAAGGTCCGTGCGTGCTGAGGGAAGCACCAGCGCATCAGACGAGGCGTTGTGAAGGGTTGTAGGAGCAGACGGTAATTCAGGGGCGGTGTCAGGAGTGGGTTCTTCCTTTGCGTCTTCTAGTTGGTCCGATTGGTCGCCCTCACCCACTTCGAGGTCAGCCAACTCTTTGTTGAGCTCGTCTTCGAGCTCGTCGTCGTTTGCGTCCTTGAACTCAACCTCGTCTTTCAATAGCCTCGATAACTGGTACTTTAACACCTTTATCTTCTCCTTGTTGAGAGCTTCAAACTCGGAGCCAGTGGTGGCCTTGCCTCCGCTCAACTTCTCCCAGTCAACCTCGGGGTTCTGGACAAATACATCCAATAAGCTCAAGAACACCAACGTGGCCCGGAACTTGCCCACCAACGCCGCCTTGTTAGTGGTGCGGGAATACTGGGAGATGCCCTCGAGGCACGAGTTGAAGAGCTTGTATGCAAACGACAACACGATGCTGGCGGATATCGCCTTATCGTTCAATGCCTTGTTAACGCCCTCGTCTTCGTTGGAGTTCTTGATAGATTCAGTTTCGTCCAACAACTCAATGGTGAAGCGCTCGACTTCCTTGGACGTGGTGTGGAGCTTATTGGAGAGGATGTGTTCCAACACGTAGATCTTGCAGTAGTAAGACACCACGGCATTGACCGACTGGAGCTCGGTGGCACGAGCAATGTATGGAGCCACCGACTTGTTGGACTTGAGCTCTTCAGGGATAGATGACAACGTAATACTCATTGGGAAGATGTTCGGATGCCAGCACGACCAGGTCCTAAATACGAAACTGGGGGCGATAGATTAGTAGGGATAATTAGTAGGAGTGCGCTCGCCTTCAGTTGGTGATATTTGAAGAGCGTGTAGGGTCAGTGCGGGAGAGGCCCGTGGCACGAGACCTGGAAGACTGGCTATAAGTGCTGGCAACAGCAGGCAGGATGTATGGGTGATTTTCTGGCCGGGTGGTGGTTCAGGCGGCTGGCGTGGGAAAAAGCGGGCTATTTATACTTGCGGTATTAGTGGTGGGCTCAAAGGCTGCAAATTAGCCGCCATAGGGTGCACTGGAAGAGAAGTAAATAGAAACGATAGAGAGCTGGAGTCTATAGTGCTGGTAATGCTGTGGTAGGAAGTCGAATAAGTTTGGATGGATCAGTCTGGGACTATTGGAGGTTTTGGACGTTTTTGGAGATTTTTGACAAAAATAGGCATAGCTTGGAAACTTCTAAATAACGGTACTGAACAAGAGGCAATATCAAACACTCCAAGATAGTATTGACTAATATAGCTGTGTTCAAGTCGAGCACTCTAATGGATATATTACACACTGATCTGACGGCCTGTCAAACGCTTTTCTGAATTATATATATACTGGTCTGACAGTACATCAAGGACTCTTGTGAACTATCAAGTACTCGTATGAACTGTTAGCTATACTCATAGCTTGTGGAGCCAAAGACATCACTCTAATGCAACACCTAAGAGACTGGTCTGATACCAGGCTCTATACGGAATGCACTGATTAAGCTGATCCTCGTGAAGCTCTAATTATAGATGAACTGTTGTGATCCATGCTGAACTTGGATAACTACTCGTGACCAGAGTTTGGCTGATTGTAACAGGCCCAACAGATCCCCCTACCTCTGGCTGACTGCTATAGGGTGATTGCCAGAACTCTGCTGCCAGTGGTTCAAAATATGGAACTAGAATAAGGAAGCACGATTTCAGAAGCATCCCATATTCCTCCCGCATTATGGCTCCGAATACTGCCAGGAGGAAGGACATTCGATCAGATTAGTAGATGTTACCCACTTTGGCTCCTTTAAGTCACGTTGCTGTTCCACCACAGTAGTATGGATGCCCCTCTGATAGTATGTACATGTATTGTGGAGCTATAAATAAGGGTGGGGGTTCGGTTTGTCTTGATACTGACAACGCTACAAGAATAACCAGAGACCCAAGGCTACAAAGAACTGGACCAAGAGCATTACTAAAACTGGAAAAGAACTGGTCCAAACTGTCAGTTACCCAGCAACTGGACCAAGAGTCCCATTCCTGGACCATTACTCGTGCAACTCAGGCATTCTCATGATTTCCCTGTCCTTGTTCTGCGCATCCTCCTGCAACATCTTCAAGATCTTGCTGTCCTTCCACTTGTCAGGCAAAGGAGTCACGTCGAAGTTCTTGGTGGCCCAGTAGTAGATGTCCCAGTCTGCCTCGTCCAACAAGGTGTCGAACTCGTCCAAGTCCTCTTCACTCAACACTCCCAAGTACTTCTTGGCAAACCTCGACAACAACAAGTCGCTCTCCAAGATACCTCTCTTTCTGGACTGGTAGAGCAATCTGGCTCTCTTGACCTCCAAGGTCTCGCCCTCTCGCTTGATGGGCATGATTCTCATCTTGACAGTGTTGTCGATAGGAGGATTTTGGGGCTTTCCGTGGTTGAGAAGCGCTCTCGACGAGGTGCCGAAGCTTCTGGCTCTCACTCTGGACAACATGGTGATGGTGGCTCGGAACGTCGGATGGGTCGTTCTGTGTCCGCACCAGCTTCAGGCTCAAGTCTATGGTGACACCATCACGTGCACCAGTTTCTGACAGCTAACTACAACAACACTGCGAGGAACTCTACCAACAGCACGTTATGGGCAAAGCAGTATCGAAGCTTTCGAAGGACGACCTCAAGGCGCTCAGGCAGGCCACGTACTTCGACAAAAGAGAGCTCCAGCAATGGTACAAAGGGTTCCTTAGAGACTGTCCATCTGGGCAGCTTTCCGAGGAGGACTTCGTCAAGGTGTTCAAGCAGTTCTTTCCGTTTGGTGATCCCGAGGACTACTGCCACCTCCTTTTCCGGGTGTTCGACATGGACGGGTCCAAATACATCGACTTCAAGGAGTTCATCATAGCATTGTCCATCACCAGCCGAGGGTCGGAGGACCAAAAGCTCAACTGGGGCTATCGCATATACGACCACAAGAAAACAGGCTCCATTGCCTACAAGGACATGTTGATCGTGATCACGGCCATCTACAAGATGGTGGGCACCATGGTGGCACTTCCCGACGACGAGAAGACGCCTGAGCGAAGAACAGAGAAGTTTTTCAAGTTGTTGGGCAAGGACAAGGACAGCGACACCATCAACTTGGAGGAGTTCAAGCGGTTGCTGAAGTTGGATCCCTCCATTGTCAATGCATTGAGTTCGTACGAAGGGATGGTGTGAGTTGGGCGAGGTCTTCAAGGACGAGTTCAAGCCATAGCGACACCAATGATGCCTCGGGACTGTGCGAGGGTGAGGAAGTTGACCGTTGGATGCTCTATTTAACTACCCAAACCGACCCACTAGTTGATCATTGTGCTTGCTGACTGGCTAGATTGTGACAGTCGAATATCGCAACGACTCGCAGCGCTGGCGCCCAACCACTATGGTTGCTCCCTACATCCTGACTAGCCATATTACTTGTACACTAGTAGCTATAATAATACATAAGGAATCACATCCAGTGGTAGACCTCGCGCCCCACATTAACCAAACGGTGTGTCAACTAGCCCTCGAGTCAGATTCAAATAAAAATTGATAGGCTCAACAGGCTTGCATCAGACCTGAAAATATGACAGAATATCAGACAGAATATTAGACAGAATATCAGAAAGCATTAACATGACAGGATAACATTAGATAGATGTTTTTCAGACAGGGTTAACATGACAGGATTAAAATTAGACATATTTATTTCAGACAGATCACTTCAGACAGATCACTCAGACAGATTTACCAACTTAAAATTTAACAGATAGCCAGACTTCACATGACAGATCTAACATGGCAGACAAGGTTCAATCTGACAACTCTTAAACAACCAAAAGAAACCTCCGATCGTCAGACAGTTTCAAGTATAATTATGATAATGACAGTCAGTCATGCGACGCTGCCACTTTCGAGACCAAGCCCAAGACACATTCCGAGAGTATTCTTCATTCAAACAGCTAAAAATCCGTCAAAGCACCTCCATATTTCAGATACCATACCCAAGATACAATCTGAGAGTATCGTGATCTTCATTTGAAAAAACACCCTCCACATTTAAATCGTCCCCTACTGCTGGCCCTCTACTGCTTCCAACAAACCATCCAACAACTCGTCCACCTCGTTGATATCAACTCCAGTGCAGATACTTACCACCTTCTTGAATTTAGAGGTCAACTCGCTGTAGTCCAACAAGCTGGTTAATTCTGCCTCCAACTTCTGATTTACTTGTTTGTATGCATTGATTCTGGCGTTCAAAATGGGCACTGGCTGCAACTGGTTGTGGAGCTGGGGGTCGTTTTTCAAGTCATCTATGGGTTCGTCGGCGACCATGCGCTGGAAGAGTGGCTGGATGATGTACTGCTGTTCCTGGAGACCAGAATCGGAGGCCTCTTCGGCGCTTTCCGAGTTCAATTTGTCGTTGATGTTCGAGATCTGGAGCTTTAAGTTGTCCAAGAGCACGAGCTTTTCTGAGATCTTCTTGGTTGTGAATCTGTTGTTGGCAGTCACTATTACTGCGTCGTTGACTGCCTGATTGAGGTTCTTGATTTGCAGTCTCTTGGAATTCAATATGCTCTCGTACTCAAGATTTGTATTTTTGAGAAGGTTCTGGATGCTTTGGAAAATCTTGTTGGAAGACTTGGAGTCTTCGGGTTCCGTGGGCGAAGCGACATGCTCCTCGCTGGGCTTGAACTCGTCCAAGTCTTTGGGGTCTTCAATATCGTCGATGTTTCCGTTGATAGCCAATCTCTGATCCAAGAATTCGGTGCTGGTGGTGATCAACTCGAAAAAGTGCACGTCGTCCTCGTCTTCGTCCGTAGTCTTCTTTCCTGACACCGTCTCCTCAGGACCGACGATATCCTTGACTGCATCAAAATCGATGGGCTTGATGCCTCCATTATTGGCTATGTTCACGTCGGCTTTCAACAATACCAACACCTTGGTGAACCACTTCAACTCGTACTCGGCTGCAAGGTGCAAGCAGGTGTTTCCATTCTCTTCATCCTTGGAATTTATCAATTTTTCAATGAAGTCTTTGAGATGCTTTTCGTTCGACACCACGTATTCGATGATCTTCTTGAAGTAGAACTTGCTGCTGTCGAACTTCTTGGTGGCCTGGAATATCAAGTGATGGAAAATCGTCCATTTCTTATTGTCGAACAACCAGATGTTAGGAAACAACCAGTTGGTGAGAATCTCGTTGAAGTTGCCCTTTTCCAACGAGTTGGTGACTTGGATAGTGGAAACAAGCGGCGATTCTCCGTTCAGGTTGCCTCTGATGGGCGAGGTAATGCCTAGGTCAATGAAGGATGATATTAGGACCGAGGAGGCGAGCGTGGACGCGAAATGGAGCGCAGTCTGGCCCTTTTGGTCCAACGGAATGTCGAGTACCAACTTCGACGACGAAGTGAGCAATGGCTGAAACACTGCAGACACTTCCTTCAAGGTGAGTGCCGAGTTTTTTGCCTCGTCGAGCTTAAACAACTCGCCTAGCTTCAACTTCAAGTCGGTGGCTACCTCCTCGTTGTATTTGGTGATGGGAGGCAACGTGTAGGGGAAGTTGGGATTTTTGGAGCTCAATTTGATGCTCTTGTTACGGCTGGACGCGAACGCCTGGCCGTCATCGTGCGGGTCTGGCGTGCGCTTGGCGTCGTCCTTGACCTTCTGTCTCTTGGTGGGCGAGCCCATCAACGACGGAGACTGGTCGTCGTCGTCATCTTCGTCTTCGTACAACCGTTTAGCGGATCTGGGCGGCAACTTGTCGAAGTCGTGCACGTCTATGAGGAAGAGCTTCTTGACAAAGTCGTAGATGTCGAATTTCAACGCCAAACTGACGGCTTTGTCGTAGGGGATCCACAAGCCTTGGAGCTGCACATTGTCGTGGTTGCGGTAGTCGTTGTACTGGACGTTCCCAGCACCGGAGCCTGCGTATTGCATGTTGCTGAGGATCTCGTTGCGGAAGTAGTTCTCCACCTGGCCCGAGGTGAAGTGGCCCAACCTGATGAGGATCTGGAAGAGCTGGGACACATTGATGTAGGAGTCCTTGACTCGTCTCAAGATGACTAGGCTGGAGGCTCCAGGAGTGTTTCCTGCGCTGTTCTCCTTGGTGATCTGGAGATTCAACGTCAACTGGATCACCCGCTGGCCTGAATATATTGCTGAGTTGATAAGAGACGAACAGGTGGACCCCAAATGGGTTTCGCTCAATCGGTTCTGTATGGAGTTTGTGGTGATGTCTCCAACATTGAGGGGGGACTCCATGTTGGCTGCGCTAGATAGATGTGGAGTGGAGGCAGCGGATGGAGAGTCAAGGAATGGAGATGGGAGCTGGTGGTGGTGAATTTCATATTTCATTCGCATTAATATTCCTAAAACGGAGACGTGTCGCGCACGTGACCGGTCGGAGGTAAGTGGGAAGGAGTAGGAAAGAGTAGCCTACCGCTTGAGGTGGTGGTGATGGGTGGTGGGTGGTGTTGGGACTAGTTGTGGTTTTTCGGGTAGAGTATTATTCTAGTCATTTTTGCTAATGTGTATTTAAATGTGGTAATATTTCCCATTAGTCATAATCAAATACTTGCCAGAAGGCAGCTAGTATCAGAAATTTATATAGAGGAGTGGGGTCAATCGTGGGTATATTGGACTTTAGATTTTAGTGTAGTAAGTTAGCACTAATTAAATTGTCAATCTTCTACTTTTCCGTAGTCATAATCTCCAATTCTTGTCAGAAGGCATCTCATAATGTACATAGAGCGTTGAATAGTGGTGGATGAAGAACTAGGAGTCAAAATTCTGTTTCGGGGTTTAAGTAATTTAATCTGGTATTTTTTGCACCAATTAGAAATAAAGCCGGGTACTATTTCGCCAATTAGTCCATAATTACTTATTATTGTGTGTAAAAGACTTCCAGGCTTACATTATGTGCATCAATGTAGAATTTTTGAGAGTGGGTGGGAGGTGGGCTAATGCTGATTTCCAATTATTCAGTAAATTAATTTGGTACTGAGCATTAATTATATTTCAATCTTGTACCATTTCACCACTTAACCACTTGCTATTGCCAGCAATAGCTCATGCTTCTCATATTCGTACTCGCTATACACATTATCGGACACTAGGCTGCTACTGGAGTCATCAACTAAAACTACATCACATGGATCACGTGAGAAATATCACGTGTATAAGTACTCATCTCGCCATCTCCGCCATACTCCACCACCAACCATGGACTACTCCGGAAGAGTCAACGCCAAGAAAGGTGGCGGTGGTGTGGCCGGCACCGAAGAGACAAATGTTCACACTCGAAGGAGAATCAAAGAGCTTCTCGCCACGCAAGTCTTGGACTTGGAAAACGACCCATATGTGTTCAAGAACCAATTGGGTCTTCTTGAATGCAAATTGTGTCTCACGACCCATGTGAGTGAAGCGTCGTATATCTCCCATTTGGGAGGCAGAAAGCATCAGATGAATCTCGAAAAGAGAAAGGTTTTGGACGAGAAGTTGAACCACAAGCAGTCCAAGAACATCTCGGGACTCTCGATTACAAATACCCCCAAACGGAGCTGGGTCAAGATTGGCAAGCCGTCCTACAAGGTGACCAAGGTGAGGGATCCTGAGACGTTGAGGGTAGGATTGCTAGTCAATGTTAAATATCCCCAGATTGGAGAGTTGGAGCCACGGTTCCGTATCATGTCGTACTACGAGTTGACTTCCAAGAACCAGAACGTTGCCACGTCGTTCATCCACAGGGAGGCATCGAAGGCAGATGTCGAAAAGTGTCAGTATTTGGTGATATCTGGTGAGCCATATGAGAACTTGTGCTTTGTCATTCCAGGAGACAGGGAGATCAGCAAGCCTGACGACATGTTTGAGATGTCCGATACCTATTGGTGGTACTGGGACAAGGATACGAAGGAGTACTTTCTCCAGTTTATGTACGGCGTGAAGTAGGTGAAGTGGTACAATTCAGGATAAAATCCACGGGATCAAACTCGTGACTAAAGCCCTTGTTCCGGTGTTTTCATCAGCATGTGTCTACTTTCAAATGGCTATTTGTGGTTTCGATAAACAGATTGTACTAAGAACTTATGGATTTTGGGAACAATAAACTGATTCAAATGTTATTCCTGCTTATAATTCTGGTTTTATACCTGCAATGACTATTAAAGCTATTTGTTTCCTATGATATTGAAAACATGAGTATTCAGATTTTGTTTCTGAAACAGATTTCCGTTTGTTTAATTATGATCCGTTCCCGATTCACAGAGCTGCTACACAAGAAATACCAAGAGAGCTCTGGCAAGGCCAGGAAGAGATTCCGATAACTCTCCTATAGCAGAACCAGCTTTTCAGCTCAGTTACCTGTTAGCATGGATCAGCATTGAACTATCCTGAGAACAGGATATATAAGGAATCGCATGTAGTACCAGCGATTCGTTTGTACAAGCTACGCAAGAGGTCTCCCCAGCCAAGTCCTTGGGAGCGAACTATAATTCTACTTAAATATTAGACTCGCATTTAATAGAGAGACCGTTTCAGATCGTAGGTTTTCTACAATTTTAGTTCACTAACTGTTTTGCACCGTGACTTTTCACCTCCATAATGTAATATATCAGTGTCATTTTAGTCGTAGGGACAAACAAACTACCAGAAACACAATTTTGAATTAGTAAATTAATACTGATTTCTTCGAAACTGAAACTGAAAGAAAATTGAATTTAATTCAAATCAAAATAATAGGATTAAATTTCTGACAACCGTGGAATTGATCAACAACTAGTATTAAACTGAAAATTGACCGATATTGAAGCGCTTTCAGTTCACATTCTCTGTCGAAATTCAGAATACAATAGATGAAGGATTGAATAAATGCTCCCACACAAAACTTTTCAGGGACACTTGACTTTTGTACCATGAGGTTTAATCAACCGTGCGGATTTTGCACCCACTGAGTAATTCCCCATACAATCTCTTTCTAGCATAGTGTACTAAAACATACAATTTTTATACAGTTCAACGGTGAACAGCTCGTTCATTCTCTGCTTTAAACAGAAGGAACACAGCAGCACCTAAGACATTCACAGCCAAACACCACTAATCAGCGCAGCATTGGTACCCCTTACTACATCGCTAGACGCTTGTCTCTCTTTTCTTTTCGGTGTGTAGCCAATCGGATCCATCGCCAAATCGAAAAGTAACAAACAAAAAAGCCTCTGTGGAAACAGCACATCAGACACGACAAAGAAACCACAAGAAGGACCGGCCCATACCCATACCACCAATATGTGTATTACGCAATTGCTGACTCAGCAGCCCCGTCCTCGGGCTATCAGTTCCTGCACCAAGAAGCTCCACTTCACCACTCCTCCATGACCCACTCCAGCCAGCACAAGTTCCTCCAGCGGTGTGAGCAGGCGTACCTGTTGGTCCAGGGATTTCTAGAAGACACTTTGCCCTGGGGAAAAGTTCCAGAATCACGTCCGGATTATCGTTATGATCCACAGTTAAGATCACATGTCAAGACCAAGATTTCAGACAGTATGGAGAAGTTAGCAGCCTCAATCGACCGTCATGGGTATGTATGCATGCAGAAGGGCAGATAGGACCTTGGGAGCAAGAACGGAGCAAAAGCGACGAAAAATGGGCTTAATAGCCTGCTTTGTGGAGGCTAAGAAAGTGTCCAGCAAGAGTAAATAGACCAGAGAAGCCCGAAAGGGCCCAAAAGTGTCTGTGATGACCACCAAATGGCCACCAGCTGCCTGTTGCAAGAGTCTATCGGATCTCGCTTCTTTATCCCATAAAATAGTCCTGTTGGATCCTCGTCCCATCACCTTCACCACCATCAATGCCGCCACATACTAACGTCTAGCCTCCAGGAAATAGCCATCTCATACAACGGTGGAAAGGACTGCCTCGTGATGCTCATCCTACTCCTTGCCACCATCCATCAAAAGTTCACCAAGCAGCCATCAGCCATTCCCGAAGACTACAAGCTCGACTCGATCTACGTGAACTCAGAGACCCTCTTTCCGCAATTGACCCAGTTCATCCAGGAGTCGACCCAAACCTACCACCTCAACCCGATCATCATCCAGTCGTCGTTGAAAGAAGGCTTCGAAAAGTACTTGAACGAAATCAACACCAATATCAAGACCATAGTGGTGGGAGTCAGGCATCTGGACCCCTACGCAGGCAACCTCAGCTTCGAGCAGACCACAGACCATGACTGGCCCAAGTTCCTCCGCATCCATCCCATTTTGAACTGGAACTACGTGGATATATGGGACTTTCTCATTGGGTGCAACCTACAGTATTGCTCCATGTACGATGAGGGATACACCAGCTTGGGAGGCGTGAAAAACACGGTTCCCAACCCATTCTTGAAGGATGGAGACCGTTACCTTCCTGCGTATCGGTTAACCGAGGATGCTGATGCCCGAGAGAGGTTGGGCAGAATAAAGAAGTAGATAGAGGATAGTTGGAGAGAATAGAGAGAATGGGAATGGCTGAGAATAATGGAATGGGAATGACTGAGGAAAAATACGATGAAGGAGTTAGCTGAGAATATGATAGGAAGCATATGAAGGGGAAATGATGGAGTGGCTGAATTACAAGATACTGGAGCATATTAACAATTGTTCAGTCTTTCATTACTCCCAGCTTACACTTGGCTGTTAACCCAACAATGGAAATAGGTAAGGCTTGACCCCCGGACCTACTTCAATAATTTTATTAACCACGCCATTTCCAGACTCACGACCACCCTGAGTGAATGCCGACAGTAGCAGGCAAGCTTTTCTTACAACAAGAGCGCATAAAGCCTGGAAGTCTGTCAAAATGACCCTTGAGACTGGGACAATTAGCATTATTGGCATATTTAATACTTTTGGAGCTGATGAAGCCACTGATCGTGGCCCTGAAATTACTACTACACAGCTCTGAGCGAGTATTTGTTATATTGCTAGATTATACATTTCATTTAGATATGAATTACGGCACCACGCCTGAAAAACACTAGGTTCAATTACATACTGGATTCGTTTAGTAGCACGTATATAGCAAACAGTGAACACTAGCCTGATTTATGAGATTGAACGACCGTACGCCCTTTCGCAGTAAATCGTTTTAGAGTATAGACTAGTCTATAGCATAAAGGCAGGATTCCAGCCGATTTTAGCTCGTTTGAATCGGTGGTAAACTAATTGGGGCACGGAATTCGAAGTTGGAAAGTGTAGATAGACCAAGAACCGTTTCGTGGTCCAGTACTCCTTGAAAGAACAACGCAGGTGTGGCATTTCTGAGGGATACTAAGTGGTAAGTGAGCTCAGTCTTTATGACAATTTCAGTGTAGTCTAGTTCAGCCTTCGTGGAAGATTTGATGTGCTAGCCTGGCTCTTCTTTGGCCAAAGATGATGAGCTTGCCTCATAATATCTAGCTCACACTACCTCTTCTCTGGCCAGACTTATTTGTGTTGGCACTGTTCACCAAAACCATCTTGAAGTAATCGTCCGAAAGCGGTCCCACGCCGATCTTGCCCAAGGCCCTTTCAGCACTGGTGTGGCCCACCGAAATAGGTACATCTGCAGACTTGCCTTGCAGTTGCAACTCCAAACTTTTCAATTTCATGATGAGCTCCACCTCCTTGCGATTGTTCTCGTCGATCATGTTCTGCAAGTACTGAAGATACTCCACGGACTTAGTAAGGATTTGGCCCTTGTTGGGCTTGCCGTCTTTAGTACCTGAGTTCTTCACAGCAGCAGCTATTTCTGCTTCTTCAGATTTGTCATCCTTCGCCCTGCTGATTTCAGCAGCCGAGTCCTGGAAGAACTCGGCTGGTATCAACGTGAGAAGCTCCTGGATCTTGTCGTTGATGTTGTCTCTACGTTTTCTCTCGTTGCCCTGGCCATCGTCGTCATCGTCTTCGTTATCACTGCCGTGGTTGGACTTGATTGCCATCACCGAGTTCTTGCGGGACTGGGGTTTGGTTACACCTCCAAATGACCCACCACCACCGCCCTGGAACGACTGGGACAATTGTTTCTTGATATCAAGCGATTTGCTTAGGAGATTATCGACATTTTCGTTCTTGACGTTGATGCTGGGGATATGAAGTGACTGTTGCTTGGTGAGCTCGTTTGGTGGTGGGGACACCGAGTCTGAACCCGATAAGGTCTCTGATTCTGATTTGATGTACGATTCTCTGAAGCCAGCAAAATCGGACATTGTGAGGTCAGTTTTTAGTGGGAAGAAATGTAAATTGGACTAATTTAAAGAACGTATTGCAGTGGTGGTACGGAGATTGGAGTGATATGCGATTGTGGGAATCTGCGGGTGCTATTGGACAAATAGTGGGTAGTTGCAGAAGCCCAAATTGTTTGATTATTATGGTGGGAGGGAGGGTGCAGGACACGACCGGTTACGTAATCGCACAAGCCAAATAGATGTTGGGGGACCCTGTCACTTTTGTGAGGTTTATGGGAAAAGAGCCTAGTATTCTCGAATTGGGTATATATGCAAAAGATAGGTAGTGAAATTCGGGATATTTTAGCTGAAAAGTAGTTTCTATGAGCAGTTATAGACATTTAAAAAGGCGGTCACATTCTGAACTGATGCTTCTGGAAAGATTTTTTTCACCAAAATGTAAGAACAGGAGAAATATAACTAAATTCTACTGGTAATCCTTCATTGTTAGTTGCTATATATCTCTACTATCTTCCTCTGATATTCATTCCATTTTATTGAGAAAGAGTTTGATCTTGTGAACTGAGACATCTGGATAGATTCTCTGCAGTAGTACAGATATATTGTTGGAATTTTTAATTGCCAGTATCTTCTCTTCTATTTGGTATATACTATATTCTTCCAGCCAAGGATCATGTACTTAGACTATGATGAGAATGTACAACCAAAGAAACGAGAAATTAGATTGCAATGAGGAGAACCACAAATTACGCTTCTTTTTTGATTGAAGTTGTTTTGTGCTTAATTCATCCTCTTTGCCAGAACTCGGATACTACCTCTGGCAATTGGTGTTTATAGACCATCATTGCAGTTAAATCATATCTATCAAGGTGTACCCTTTCTGGGCCTTCGAAATCGACAAGCGTAATAGTATTAATTAATTATTATGTACAGGCGGTCGTGAGTAGTAGGCAGGAAATATATCTCCCTTTAAGATAACCACGTTATCTTCCCCGTATAGCGCGAAGAGGATAATCAATGAAGACTGGATTTCCTCTAAAACCAGTCACTAGTTGGAGTCATGTTCTGGTGCTCAATGGAAAGATTTAAAGATGTCCATAGTTAAGTACTTCATTTAATTCCTTTTCTAGTGATTCAGCAAAGAAACATCATCATGAATACTTAGTTTTTATGTGTGTTTGATTTGACTCAGCATTACAAAAGGAAGATGGTTTCAAAGAAACCCTGTCTATAATATCCTTGAGTATGACATTAATCCAGAAACTCTTGTTAATTTTGTCCCTCAAATAGTATGCAAAAACGAAAACAAATCAGTAGGCAGGTGTGGTATTGGCAGTTTCGCAGAAGTATATTCTAGCGTCCCAACGATTCGGCCAAACGACGCAACTTTCTCTCCAAGCCCTTTACCCTCTTGTCGTCTTCGTTGGACCAAATCGGCAAACCTGTGGTCTTGTTCACGTCCAACTTACCCATCTTCAAGTTGTGGTAGTCGATGATGATCTGCTTCAAGATGTTGAAAGTCACGAAATCGCCTTTGAAGCCGTTGTTCTTCATCTCCATGAACGCCATTTCAATGTTGTACAAGTTAGACTTTCCGTGGTAGATCCAGAGAACTCGCAACACCTCGTTATAAGTATCTTGGTTGCAGGCCACTGTGTAGAGCCCCACGTCCTTCTTGAGGAGGTTGAACAAGCTGTAGGCCAACTGACCATCGTGAAATTTGAAGGCACATGTCTTGATCATCTGGTTGACCAAGATGGGCAAGGTGATGACGTTCAACTTGGGACGCGACAGCTCATTGTGAACCTCCTGACGAATTAAATCCACATACTCCTGGTGCTGCAGCGAGAACTCGGTGGCATCCTTGAGCAACTGGTTCAAGTATAAAGACTCGTGATTTTCTTCCGTTTCCACTGCTTGCATCCACAGATCCACAATCTGGCCAAAGTACTCTGCCACCTGGGCCAGGGTGGTTAAGCCCTCAATATGCTCGATTGTGGGGCGTAAAGCATCCCTGGTCTTAGAGAACATCTCGTTTTTCAACCGGGTAGACACCTTGGAAAACTCTGTCTGCTGCTTGGTGTGCACAATTCGGTCCAACTTGTGCTTGGTGGAGTGCACCGAGTCCCGGATGTTCCACATGATCTTGTCCTTTGCGTTTTGGTCCTCCTGGGCCGGTTTCATGTACGACTCGAAGATGTTCTGGAAGAGCTGTTTCTCTTCCTCGATGGTCTTGCGCTCTTCCTTGGTGTTCTTGTCGATTCCAAGGAAGTCGAGGTCGAAGTGCGTCTCGTTAGACTCCTCCACAGGTGCAGCCTCGACGTCTTGGAGATCAAGCGTCTCGATGATTCCCTTGAATCCGGTATTTTGCTCATATTCCTGGTTGATGAAGTCGTTGAGGAGATCGAATTCGCTGGACTGGCTTTGATCCTTGGTTGCCTCGTCTTTGGTATCTTTGGTGGCATCTTTGGTGGCATCCTCCTTTGTTTCTGCGTCCTTTTTCACATCCTGAAAGAGTAGTTCGAGGTCCTTGTTGAACTGGTCTTTGAGCTCGCTTTCTTTGCTCGTTATATCGGAATAGCTTCTTAGTAAAGGTCTTGAGACCCGCATGAGGGCACCTGGCCGCAAGAATGGCCTCTTGAGGGCACAGCTTCCGATTCGTAGCATCTGGTAATGGAGTGAACTGAGCCAAAACTGGCAAAATTTGTATATCATATTCCTGCACACAGACGGGATGCTCTTTGCCAGTAGTAAATTCATAGATTATCATGATTGTACCAAGAAATCAGTATGCACGCTGGACAAGAGTGTGTATTTGGCAATTTCAGCACATTTGGGAGCAAATTGAAATATTATCCCTCAAGTTTCTGTAAATTTAAAAATGAAATCTTGTGTGCTGTTGCAGCTAACTTCAATGGGTTCCCAAAGAAAACTGCGCAACATGATCCGTCAGTAAAGCGACAAATACTGGCTGGAGCCAGATGCAACATTGGTGAAATTTGGGCGAAACAGGAGCAAGATTGAGGTATAAACTTCCGAAATCCAGAAGACTTTATGTGAATAAATTGTGGGCAACATCAACAATAAAGTTACACTGCCTGGAATGGCGTCGAGCGGGGTTGCAGCATCTCGAAGGTCGACAGTAGAGATTACATAATTTTTTCTTTCTTACCATGTGCTAGTATGTAGAAACAATATTTAGCCAAAAGTTGAGTCTTTGAAATTGTCATTGGGGCATGCCATGTATAGGAAGGCACTAGAAACCGCTTTTGAGTAGTCGTTGAATTCTATTTCTATGAGTGGATGGTAAGGTGGACAAGCTGTTTATTGCTCTTTGAATTCACTGATGCCCAGCACCTCATAAATATTATACACACCCATACGAATCAACTTACTATTTGCGTACTCAGTGTCTGTGTGCTCTATTACTATACACTAATATTACAGTGAGATCACTGGGATTTGGTATCCGAATCTAGGCGGAGGCCGTTTCTGGCAGTCCCTGTTCTTCAGGACTGTGAGGACGGACGGAGACTTGTCCACCAGATTCTGCACTATTTGATTCCTGCTCTTGGTTGTTCCCTACTAAACCGTCGGATTGACTAGTTACTTCCGTCAAGCTCGCCTGTTCTGTAGTTCGATTGACCACCTCATATTCCCTGTACTCTTCATCAACCAACGTCAACAGCAAGTTTGGATCCTCGGCAGACCCCCGGATGCTATCGAAGTCTTTGTGAGGAATATCCCAGCTCTTTCCAAGCCTGCTAGCAAGATAACTGGCCACATCGTCACAGTATCCAAGTAGACTGACGTCAAAGTTGCAGTGGTCAATAGGGTCCTTGTTAATCAAGATCTGAGGAACATGCTCAGGAATCTTATCTACTATATCTGCCACGGGCGCAACTTTAAGCGAGGTTCCCACGCTGATTAGTAAATCGCACTCTGACAAGTCCCGACGGATCAGATCGTGGAAGGTTTCTGGCAAGGGCTCGCCGAAAAAGGTGATATCCGGCTTTAATACCCCATAGCTATCGGGCACAAACGAATCCTCATCATTCTTCATGAGCTTTTTTCTCATCTTGGCACACTTGGGACAGTACGGTATTTCTCTATTCTTGATGTCTTCAAATATTTCTTCACCCTTGACGTGGTATTTACAAGTTACGCAAGTAGCTGTTGCGAACGACCCGTGACATTGAATCAATTTCTCCGGTGAGATACCAGCATAACTCTCCAAGTTATCTATATTCTGAGTGTAATTTCTCAAAAGTTTACCCTTTGATTGGATCACCTGGATAAACGAGTGGAGGGGACTGAATATTTTCTCTGGTGGTAATATCATGTGGGCAATGGAGTAGAACAAGCTCGGGTCAGTTAAGAAAATCTCCAAGTCGAAAACTTCCTGTGGGTCTGAAAGGCCCAAATGCTGCACTTGAGAGTAAAAACCTTTGGAGGAACGGAAATCGGGAATCCCCAAACTGGTAGAAATACCTGCGCCAGTAATAACCAAGATCTTTTGCGCTTTGTTGATTTGTTCCAATGCGTCGTCGATGGTTTTCACGGTGTCGAGCCTGGTTCTGATCGATCTTACTTTGACCATAGCGTAATTGAGGTACTTGATGAGCACCATGATGTTGCTGTTATCAGGCTTGGGGAGGTGACGAGGCACGAAGCCAAGTTGGACGATTAGTCTGACTATGTCCTCGCTCGAGGCTGCTGTAGGCAAGTATTTCTCGAGGAATTTCATGTTCCCGTGTTGTTTCAAGTACTTTCGAGTCTCGATGATCGTTTGCGGGGGAATCTGGTCGAAGTCCGATATAGATATGTGCTCGAGGTCCGAGCCCGAGTCCAAGGCATCGGCATCCGAGTCGCCAGCGTCCTCTGCGCTGTGTGGATGGTGTGGCTCGCTGGGATCGTCCAGGTTGTCTTCGTCACCCTCGCTATCCTTGGTGGCACTTATAGGGGCCAAATGCGACGGCAAAGAAAGGGCCTCGTCAGATAGATCCGACCCGTAGTCCTCGGCCTCGATGTTTCTTGTACTTTCATCTGACGACGCGTTCCCGCCGCCCGTCTGATCATCGTCACTATCCATCAAGTTGTTGGTGGTGCCAAAGCCTCGAGTGAACTTGGGCACCAGCGAATCCGTCTTCTGGCGCTTCACCACCGTGCCTTCGTCATCCGAGTCTATCAACACGATGTTGTTGTCTTTCATGGAGAGGTTGGAGGTGCCAGTGGTGACCCTTATGGGTGTTGATATTGCCGTGCGGGTGCACGTGACCTCCAGGTGCCAGAGGAGCTAGACAAAGTAGACTAGCTGGAGGGCTATTTGGGGGCCTTTGGACGTGGTCCAGTGGGTCAGAGGCGATCAGCTGAGTGCTAGAGCGTTTTTGTAGTGTGGGTGTTTCTTGACAGAAAATGAGCAGTAATGGTAAAGTACTCTACCGGGAGGGAGCCTTCGCTGCCAGCCAGTGCTAAGCCTGCTAAGTACCAGCAAGAGCGCCGAACTCAGCACCAAGAGGGTCTTATAAGATGGGAGATGCAAATGGCCAACAAATTGGGTGAATCAGACTATATCCCCTGAACAGTGTGCCCTTAGTTGTTCCACTACTTGGTGGCATGAAAGTGAAAAAAGAGTATTGTAGGTAGAAAGAGTGGTGGTGGTCAGTGGCGTGAATGGAATAGGGGCTGATACAGCAGCTGATACAGCAGCTGACGAGAAGGAAAGTTAGCATGACCAGGACCTGAAAGAGAGTTTCTGTTGTTGGTGTAAGTAACTCGTTGGCTGCAAATTGATTAGATTTATGAATGCGAAGAGTCAATGTTGAGTGTTAGTATAGCATAGGGAAGAGTAGATTAGAGGAGAGAGAAGTGTGAGAAGTAAAGAGAAGAGAGAGCTGCGAGGAGAGCAGTGAAGAAGATGGCTACAGTGGAGGCGTGAATGTGAGTTTACGAGCAGAATGGCTTAGCATCTTATATTTTGAACCCCAAACATAGCGACAATACTGGCATGAAGACAGAGGGAGAGGAGAGGAGAGGCAAAGAGACGAAGAGACGAAGAGACGAAGAGACGAAGAGAAGATAGAATGGGGAGAGGAGATGAAAAGGCGAAGAAATAAAGAGTGCCAGAGTGGAAGGGAAAGAAGAGACGAAGTAAAGAGGCGAACAGAGGAAACGAAAGATCATGAGATCAAGAGAATAGGAGAAGAGAGGAAGGGGAGAACTCCAGATAAAGAGAAGAAGTGAACAACTACTTTGCTGATAAGACACTCGTTCAACCAGTGCCAACCAACCAGACTTGTCCAGTCGTTCGAGGGAGTTCAAGGCCAGCTTCCTAAAGTGATCACTCACAGAATTAGAATACACACAGCAGTCAGCTCCTTGTCGAACCAGAACTGACAAGACGAGAGTATCCGAAGAAGAGAGGATGCATCATAGGGCTGTAAAGAGCCATATGGGCTGGCAAGAGCCAAGACTAATTTTGCCATTGTGGTAATGGTAAAGGGAATTAACCCTTCCTGCCACATCGAGAAGATGGCCAGAGTCAGGGTTAGTGTGGTAAGGTTCCCAGGAGTAGCCCTCTTAAGGCTCAGTCACCTGTTACTCCACCAATACAGCCTTTCCCCTCTCCTCCATGTGATTGCTGCATGGCCTGACCGTTGTAACTCGTCTAACTGCCAAATTGCTCCATCCTTGCCCCACCTGGAGCCGTCATATCCGATGATCCTACGCAGGACCGAATTGACCCCACAAGCTACAATTACATGCCAGATCACTGTCCTAGCCTTGCCCCTTGCGCTTGTCGCCTACACTTGCCCGAATGACGCGTCACTTCCTCCACATCAGATCACCCAGCCTCCACCAACGCGTTCAATGCCACCAGAAATCGAACACTGGCCCTAAAACCCTCTCACCCTGGCAGGACTGCGCCTGTCCTCGTCCACGCGTCGCTGCCAGCATTTCCCGCTCGCCGTCGTGATTCTCTTAACCTTTTCCATCTTGCCCCACCACTTGGCTTGTCCCGCGGCGTCGACGCACAAAAATCTTTCACTTCCACGTCAGCCACCACTTTCTTCTTCACCATGTTGAAAAACGTTGAATTCATCAAGACCCCCAAGGCAGGGCCTACTCCTCCGGCCACCGACAAGACGGGTGTGTTGACTTCTGCGTCTCCCTCCATCCACAATGCCCCATTGCCAGCAGATGGACCTGGTTCCAAGCACTTCAGCAACTTGGCCATGGCTGGTTTCACCGTGCTTATCCCATGGTTTGTCACCAGAAAGCTCGGAGGTGGGTTCAAGACCTGGTTGTTCTTCTTCTTGATCTTTGCCCTTCCCATCATGATGGCCTACTGGACCATCTTGTCGTCCTACTCTCCCCGTTTGAACGAAAAGGCTAAGTACCCAAACCGCCCCATTTCTTACTACTTGGAGTACCACACTGAAGAATTGAAGGCCAAGTACGAAACCTCTAACGGTGGCCAAGGAACCAAGATCCCAATTGAGACTTTCCAGGAGTTGTTCTTCGAAGGTAAGGTCAGCTTCAAGGGTGACTGCTTGGATGTCATGGAATACAAGCACGACTGGGCCAACTTCCGTTTCACTCTTTCTTTGTTCAGATACTTCTTGTTGGGAATGATTCCTGAAGTCATCATGCACTCTCAATCCCAAGACGAAGAGCAGGTCAGAGATCACTACGACAGAGGTGACGATTTCTACACCTGGTTCTTGGGTCCCCGTATGATCTACACTTCTGGTGTTATTAGTGATGTTACCAAGGAAGAATCCTTGGAAGAAATGCAAGACAACAAGTTAAAGATCGTTGCTGACAAGATTGACCTCCAAAAGGGTGAACACGTTTTGGACTTGGGTTGTGGCTGGGGTACCTGGGCCACCTACGCCTCTTCCCAATATGGTGCTCGTGTTACTGGTATCACTTTAGGTAAGAACCAAACCAAGTGGGGTACCCAATTGTTGAGAGACTACGGAGTTGAAGCCGACCAGTCCAAGATTGTCTGTGTTGATTACCGTGATGCTCCTAAGTCTGACAAGCCAAATGGATTGTACGACAAGATCACCTGTTTGGAAATGGCTGAGCACGTCGGTATCAGAAGATTCACCACTTTCTTGGATCAAGTTCACAACTCTTTGGAAGACGATGGTTTGTTCTTTTTGCAATACGCTGGTTTAAGAAAGAACTGGCAATACGAGGATTTGAACTGGGGTTTATTCATGAACAAGTACATTTTCCCAGGTGCCGATGCCTCCACCCCATTGAGTTTCGTTGCTTCCTGTTTGGAATCCGTTGGTTTTGAAATTGTTTCTGTTGACAACATTGGTGTCCACTACTCTGGTACTCTTTGGAGATGGTACAGAAACTGGATTGGTAACAAGGACAAGGTTGTCAACAAGTACGGTGTCAGATGGTACAGAATCTGGGAGTTCTTCTTGGCTTCCTCCACCATTGCCTCCAGAAACGGTACTGCCACCTGTTACCAGTTTGTGTTGAGAAAGAACATCAACTCATACCGTAGAGTCGAGTACATTCCTACTCAAAAGGGTTTGTTGGCTCCATTGAAGGAGGGTACTGCCTGGGCCAAGGCCTAAGCGGGCATGCATTTCGATCTTTTGACGATTGTCAATATGTCGTCTAAGTATCTAATGTATTTTCCTTTGTACGGAAGCTGGAAATCCACGCTAGATAGTGTGGTTCCGTTGATGGTAGTCTGGGACATACATCACTAGTAAATAGTAGAGGATACAAGCGAACCTCGTCGTCCTTCGTAGAAAACAGCAGGAGAATTATTTATTAATTGTTCACGTAATAAACCAATAAGATCGGAAAGAACCGAAAACCAGCTCAAGTTCCAGCCAGTGTTACAGAGTTTATGTCCAAAATACCTTTGGAGAATATTTCATTTCGACCGATTAGACTAGTCAATGGATCAAGAACTACAAACCTTTTCATTAAGAATCTCGATATTGCGTAGACAAGGCTATTGTCCGTTATTGTAAATTACCAACATTAAGTTGACTGCTTCTCTCTCTTATTCCCGCGCGGATTTATTTGAATGCCAACATGTATTCCATAGAAGCCTAATGTAAGCTGTATATGCCCGACACTAGTTTTTATGAAAGTTGAAGTATATATTGAATAGGATGAGTACTTTAAATAGGCCCTAGCTATGTAAGCACCATTGATCTGAAAATTTATCTTCCCATGCGGGGATATGCCTACCATTTTACCAGAAATAGATATCTTCCCGCTGATTCAAATCAAGGTATTTTCTATTTGGACTCATAGTAAATTTTAGGAATGAGTCCAGATCAATTTGTGCACTGTGTAAACCATTTATAGCAAAAACTTACTGACTGTAGGTTAATTACACTCCATAAAAACCTTCACTGGGCAATTATCTCACTCCATTTTACTTCGTAGTTCTGACTGATTTTAGTAGACTTACTAGCTAACAGTCCCAAACCCAGCAAGGAACTATTACAGTCTTCCATTCTACTTTTGTTAGCTAGGCCAGAACCTTTTCTGGCACAATTCCAATCTATTCCGTCTACTTCGTAGTTCCGACTGATAGATTTTATTGAATTTATTAGCTTTTGATATGTCCACAAGCATTCTGGGGTCAATTGTGCCAATCTAATTCTATCAGCGACTAGTCCAGGACCTTGTCTGGCTCAATTCTCCAATCTACCCATTTTGTTCGATTGAATACACGAATAGTTCATGTCTTTTCCCTGTGAAAATTCGGAGCGAGAACTCCGAACTAGCAGTCTATCCTACTAATCCCCCGACCTACACCCTTACCACAATACTTAGCTCCGCCCTACAGTAACTTCTGCGGTATGAAGGAGTCTCACTACGGGACGCCGTTCCGTGTGAGACCATTTTCATCTAGACTTATCCCTCCCGTGGTGTCATAACTCCGAGACTCCTCGGAAGCGGAGATTATGTGGGTTGCGGGTCCCGTGACGAAGGGTTCCGCTGCCCCGAGACCGATACCGACACTCACGTGCCGCGAGTGTCTGAACCCCTATTGACGGGCAACAACCACGGCCTCCAGACACCAATGGTCCCCTCCCAGACACTGCCACCACTCCCACCCCCCCTAGCCGTACCCATGCCACTCCCAGAACCTTCGCCAAAGCCCCCAGCCCTCCGTGGCCCTCCTCCAATTGGCTGCCCCCAGCCCGCCCTCCACCGCGTGGGGCCGAGGATCGCCCTCGGAGTCATCCGCAGGCCCGATAAGACGGAACCCCCTCCAATCACGCCGTCGGTGACTATCGGCCCCGATGACTCTTCACATGGGCCGTTGACTCGGACACCCGCTGGAACGGGAGCTAGAAATCCGGGGTAGTATAAAAGGCACCATTTCTCCCAATTGTTGCTGCCATCAACAAATATGTCTAGTCCATTTCCAAAAACCGCTGATAAGTTAAAGGGTGTCCAAATCTTGGCCCCCATCCCCGACAGAGCCAAGCACATCTTCAACCCCGATGCATTGGCTTTGGTTGCAACCTTACATCGTGCCTTCCAACCTCAAAGAAAGAAGTTGTTGGCCAACAGAAAGAAGCAGCAAGAATTGAGAGACCAGGGCGAGTTACCTGACTTCTTGCCAGAAACTGCCTACATCAGAGACGATCCTACCTGGACAGGTCCTCCATTGGCCAGAGGCTTGGAGGACAGAAGAGTGGAGATCACTGGTCCTACCGACCGTAAGATGGTTATCAACGCCTTGAACTCGGGTGTGGCCACCTACATGGCTGATTTCGAGGACTCGTTGACCCCAGCTTGGGCCAACCTCGTGGATGGTCAGGTCAACTTGTACGACGCTGTCAGAAGAAACTTGAGCTTCGAATCCAACGGCAAGAAGTACACCTTGGACCAAACCCCAGGCAGACACATCCCCACCTTGATTGTCAGACCAAGAGGCTGGCACTTGGACGAAAAGCACGTCTTGGTCGATGGTGAAGCCGTTTCTGGTGGTATCTTCGACTTTGCGCTCTACTTCTACAACAACGCCAGAGAAGCCATTGCCCAGGGCTTTGGTCCTTACTTCTACTTGCCCAAGATGGAGCACCACTTGGAGGCCAAGTTGTGGAACGACATCTTCAACCACTCGCAAGACTACATTGGACTTGCCAGAGGAACCATCAGAGGATCTGTCTTGATCGAAACCTTGCCAGCTGCCTTCCAGATGGACGAAATCATCTACCAGTTGAGACAACACATCGGAGGTTTGAACTGTGGTAGATGGGACTACATCTTCTCCTACATCAAGTCCTTGCGTAACCACCCCGAGTTCATCTTGCCAGACAGATCGCAGGTCACCATGCGTGCTCCATTCATGTCTTCATACGTCAAATTGTTGGTCCACACCACCCACAAGAGACAGGTGCATGCCTTGGGAGGTATGGCTGCCCAGATTCCTATCAAGGACGACCAGGAAAGAAACAGACTTGCCTTGGAAAACGTCGCCAAGGACAAGTTGAGAGAAGTGTCTCTCGGATGTGACTCCTGTTGGGTTGCCCACCCTGCTTTGGTTCCAGTCGTCTTGAAGGTTTTCAACGAGCACATGAAGGGACCAAACCAGATCAACGTTCCTCCAAAGACCGAATTCAAGGAAATCACCCAAAGAGACTTGTTGAGTCCTTTCATTCCCGATGCCAAGATCACCGAGGCTGGTATTAGAGCCAACATCATCATTGGTGTTTCTTACATCGAGGCCTGGTTGAGAAACATTGGTTGTGTTCCTATCAACTACTTGATGGAAGACGCTGCCACTGCCGAAGTCTCCAGAACCCAAATCTGGCAATGGGTCACTCACGGTGCCAAGACCGACAAGGGTGTCACCATCACCAAGCAATACGTCAAGAAGTTGTTGGAAGAAGAATACGCCAAGTTGGTTAAGGGTGCTAAGGCTGGCCACAAGTTCAAGCAAGCTTTGGACTACTTTGCCCCAGAAGCTGCTGCTGACAAGTACAGCGACTTCGTCACCACCTTGATCTACGACGACGTCACCACCATTGGCAGAGCCCAAGCTGCTGAGAAGTTGTAAGCTCTTTTGATAAGGGTATTTTATTTATTGTAATGTACGATATGAAAAAAAAATTGTAAGTTGCAAAGAAGCAATATGGAAGTGTAGTAGCCCATCAAACTACAACAATAATCATGGTGCAGAAGTATTTCAGAAGATTCATACGATTTGAAAAATTATTCATTAGAGAGCATTTTTCACTTCAAAAACCTCCTGATTTCTAAACACGGATTGAAGATCACGATAATAAGCCGTTCCGGGTGGGGATGTACGAAATGGCTGTGAAAACTCAATAGTGGGGTACCTCAAGTGGAGTTCTGCCTCGTTAACCAGAGTAACTGACGATCTGTCGTAGTTAGGAAACATCAACCCCTGAGTGATTCCTTGGGTCTGACTTTGACTCCGTGGCCATGAATCCAACATGACTATGACTTTGAATCAACCGAGGACCGAGCCATACCAGTTTTCCACACGTGATTTCCCCAAATGGATTTCTTTTAATATGTCTAATATTACCTTTACTACAGTGATTTTAGCTGTACCAAGACACAGTCTCCAACATTTAGCCCTTTTCAAGGCCGGAAAGAACATGCTCCCCGTATAGAAGTGTATTTTGCACCTTTCCAAACTCCACGACTGATGAATGGCCGCCTTACGTTGCCAAAAAAAACCTTGGGAAGTACAATGGAGCAAATTATCTTATCTTCAGAAGGGCAGAGATATAGAAATTTAGGATACTACTTCTGTATCTAAGTAACTATAGAATTTTTTTAATTTGCGCCTTGTCGTATGTATTCTCAATTTTCAAGCTTCTTTCCAGCGACTGCGCCAGTAATTTCCCCACTTTTCTAGTACAATTAAGCGTATTCCTTTTTGAACTTTCAACTCTTTCTCGTAACAGTTCTGGTACCTCTGATGAACCAAAAATTAATTCTTTGATAATAGGATTTTCGGATTATGTTACCACATATACTTCAAAGCTATGGCATTACTCTTCTTAGCATACTATCCGAGCTTCAATAAACCTCCATTTCAAATAGTTTGAGACTTGCAAACGTGTGGGCAAGTTAATCAGTGGCTAGCTAGGTCAAAATATGACTTTAGATCTGCGGCAGATGATCTTAAAAACTAGCTGCAAAATGCGTAAATTTCCTATCAAAGGTATTCGTTCTAAGAAGACTTATGTGGAGCGATGGGAGTGGGCTCCGAATAGGAATGTAGATTTTACTAGATAAAAGCATCTGCTGGTTAGTTTGTTTAGCACAAAGTTGGTGTTTTTGTTAGTGTTCTAACAAGCCACTGTCGGAGAGAGGGAACGAGCATCGTATCTGCAAGTTACCAGCTTCCTTAATAGGTGATCGATCCATTTCTTGACTACGTATCTGTTGCGTCAGCAGTTACTACCGATATCTGCTAAAATCCCTGAATCGCTCCGGAAAAATGGTAACAAAATTCCAACTACCAGTTAGTAACTCAATGGATTACATAGCATTTTTCCATTTGTTTCAAATTTGTATAATTCATTAGAATCTATTAGTTAACTATTATTTCTATCCTCAATTATGCGATTCTGGTCAACAACTTTCCGTTTGGCTTCTTAGAACCGAAAATCAAATCCAAGATCTCTGGGACCTTGGTCAATGGCTGTTCCGGAGATCTTCCACATAGTAGGAGCCCTCGTTCTTGATCTTACCAGTGGACAAACCTTCAATCAAGAACCCGAAAGCTTCTGGGAAGTGTTCAGCATAGTTGGTAACAATGAAACCTTCAACAGTCAAGTAGTTGAAGATAAGATTGGTCCAGTTGGTAAGCTTGTTCTTGTCGTCGTCGTTGTAACCGATGATGGAGCCACATGCGGCAATACGTCCGAACTTCTTGACTCTGGTAAACATGTGACTCAACATTTCACCACCAACGTTGTCGAAGTAGAGATCAATGTAGTCTGGTCCAATGGCCTTGTCAAGTTGTTCCTTGTAGTCAGCATCGTGGTAGTTGATACAGATGTCGGCACCGAGGCTTTCGACCCATCTACACTTGTCTTCAGTGCCAGCAAGACCAATGACCTTAGCAGATTTCAACATGTGCTTGGCGATTTGGACAGCAACGGAACCGGTGGCACCAGCAGCGGCAGAAATGACGATGGTTTGTCCTTCCTTCATTTTAAGGACGTGGGTCAAACCGAAATAAGCAGTAAGACCAGTGTGGCCCAAGTTAGAAAGTTGGGTTGGGATGTCGAAGGTCTTGTCATCGATCTTCATCCAGACGAAGGCTTCGTTGATGACTTGGTAGTCACTCCACGAGAAAGTTCCGTAAACAAGGTCACCAGGAGCGTATTTGTCGGACTTACTGAGAATGATTTCACTGATACCGAAGGCTCTCATTGGTTCACCTTCGAGAACTGGATCCATGTAGCATCTGCTTGGGACCGAGTCCTTTTGGATATAAACTCTTTGGGTTGGATCGTTGGAGAAGTACAAATGCTTGACAAAGACATCACCATCCTTCAACTCCGACTCCCCCGCGAATGGACGAGAGGTCAATTCAAAGTTTGAGTCTTCGAGGCCAACTTGTACTGGACTTCGTGGGATGGAGCAGTCTTTAATTTGATATAGTTGAGGGTGGTAGGAAGAGACATGTCAATTGATGGGTTGTAAAGAAAATATCGATTTCACGCCAGCAGAAGCGACTTTATATAGTCCCGCGCCATGACCCGAGCAGATCTGCTACCCAAAATCCGCCCTATATTTCCTCTTAGCTCAACTAAAGTTGACGGCGATGGCCTCAAATCTCAGGCCCAAAAAATAAACCTTCTTATCGTATCTGTCAGATCGAGTTTATGCACGCGGGGTAGTACTGTGCGAGTGAGATGACTTGAAGTGCCATTGGCGGGTGACAGTTTTGACACCTCACGAAGGTAGTTCAGCCTCTAAAATTGTAGAATAGCCACTAATTCTGCTTCTAGAACCTACAATCTACCCAGTAGTATGACAGTAATACTACGATTACTAAACAAGATTTACGGGGTACTGCACGTTTAGCGAATCCTTTATAGGCCCGCCGATCCCCAACACACATGCCCACCACGGATCGTGGAGAATTGCCTGTGCCAGATACCTACTTGGCGTCAACGGCTATACTTGCCGATTTTTCAATTTTAGACGTAACACTACAAACTGGCCAGTGCTTGTCTATGGGTGGAGGTTGACTCGGGCCTTCGATGTCTATTCCTTGACGGGCGGTAGGTTTCGCTGCCTGGCCAAACTCCTGGTGCAATACTAACCAACGTACCTACACTGAAAACATACTAAGTCAGCAAACGCCGAAAATTCAAAGACACCGTATTACCGCTAAATCCGCTTATTGTGGTGATCAAACTACATCTAGAGTGTAACACACTTTCGCCCACCAATTCCCGATCGGGGTTCGGTGTTCCATGAATAATCCCATGTGAGAACTTCAGTGGAACGCAAATCCCCACCAATAATGTGCAGATCTTTCAATGATCGCAAAATGAAAAATAGATCATCTCTGAGTACGGTATCAGAGCAGGCACCACAGACAATGTCTCTGAGGGGGAGGCGCAGGACTTGCGTTGGCGAATCTGTTAGTGAACTGAAATCTGTAACATTAAATAGATAATTACTTCCGTCTCTAAGTGTCCCATTCACTAGTATTTGTTGAGCTATCGCTTAATCTCCGCTAGATGCCACGCCTGTAACAAATAGTGGTGAATCACCTTTTCAAGGCTCATTTCTGGTTGGAAGATTCGAAATTATGCATGGCGAATTTGCAGGAATCCATGGGAAGTAATTCTGCATATATGTGCCCTGAGCAAGACCGTAATCTCAGATTCGGATCACTGGCACATAACCGATGGATACTTTTAGTGGAATCAGGTAGACAACATGATGGGGTAGTCTTCCGTTTCGAAGGAATAATGCTGATCACATCAAGTCTCCCTTCTTTAAGGCCACTACTCATACTACGTCGCATTACAGAGATGGAGCCCCCTGCCCCATTGGCAATGGTTCTCAAAATACATTTGTATTTGGCGGCTGGTAATACCCTCGATTATCCCGTTTTCCGGTTAAATTTGCATCTTGATCAGCCTTGCCTTTCCCTTTTGGGTGTTTCTTAGATCTGCCATCGCTTAATTCCAATGCAGCCAGTTGTTTCCATCCTACATTAGTAAAAACCTGAAGTCTTGACTGCTGCATTGTACCTCTAATCTGCTCGTTTGTATGGATGTTTTAGTAAATCAATTTGTAATCATAAGCACCCATCGCGATATGCAATCTGTATATATATATATACAGATCTCACAAGTAAATTAAACTGCCCCATAGTACGTACCTATAATCCACAATGCATTACAGGTTTATAAGAGATAGTTTCTTTGGACGTACGGTCTACCACTTGTCGGGTAAAAAGCTCTTCATACACAAGGAAGAAGCTGCGGACTACATAGTTCCTGAGAGATACCTTCTGGACTACAAGGAACCCACGAAGGAAGTCACTGAGGTTGCTGAACTGACACCAGCAACACCCGACGAAAAGGAACAGATACTAGATGGCTCCTCATCCACATCTACTGATACTGTTGAAAAGGACACCAATGTCTACGTCGGCTGGGACGGCGAAGATGATCCGGAAAATCCCAAAAACTGGCCATTCTATCAAAAGGCCTTCTTCATGTTCCAGATTGCATTCTTAACGGTATCTGTTTACATTGGTTCCGCGGTCTATACCCCTGGTATTAATGAAATTATGGAAGAATTTAGTATCAATCATACATTGGCTGCATTGCCATTGACAATGTTCGTCGTTGGATATGGTATCGGACCTATGATCTTCTCTCCCTTGACTGAGAACGCTGCTATCGGTAGAACTTCTATTTACATCATCACATTGTTCATCTTCTTCATCATACAAATTCCAACCGCCTTATCCAAGAACCTTGCCTCCTTGACTATTTTGAGATTCATAGGTGGTTTCTTTGCATCTCCTGCTTTAGCTACTGGTGGCGCCTCTGTCGTTGATGTTGTGTCTATGCCCTACGCCCCAATTGCAATTGCGACTTGGTCCATGGCTGGTGTCTGTGGCCCTTCTATTGGTCCATTAGTTGGATCTGTCTTGTCCGTAAAGGGTGGATGGAGATGGACTTTTTGGTTCATGGCTATAATCAGTGGTTCATCTTTCATTTCCCTTCTCTTTTTCTTGCCTGAATCCTACGAGAAGACTTTGCTCTTAAGAAAAGCCAAGAGATTGAGAGCTAAAACCGGTAACATGAACATCACCACTGAAGAGGAGGTTGCTAACTCCAAATTGACAACTAGTAGTATCCTTGTGGAGACCTTTTGGAGACCGATTGAAATTTCCATTGTTGAACCAGTTGTTCTCATGATCAACGTTTACATTGCATTGGTCTACTCCATTATGTATCTTTGGTTTGAAGCATACCCAATAGCCTACGTTGATGTCTACCATTTTACCACAGTTCAGATGGGTGTATCTTATATTTCTATTGTCTGCGGTATTGGCGCTGGTTGTATCGGCTACTTGACGTGGGTTAACAAGGCCTTCACTTCGAAGTTGATGGCTGGTGAGATGGTGGTTCCAGAAGTGTTTATTCCTGCTGCTATTTTAGGTGGTATTCTAATGCCAGTCGGTACATTTATTTTTGGATGGACTGTTACAGAAGATGTGCACTTTATTGTGTCTTTAATCGGAGCTGCTCTTTACTCAGCAGGAGCTTTTCTCATTTTCCAGACCTTGTTCAACTACTTGGGTATGTCTTTCTACAGATACGTTGCTTCAGTATTTGCCGGTAATGCGTTGTTCAGATCCGTTACAGCTGGTGTCTTCCCATTATTCGGAAATGCATTGTACAATAACTTGGCCACCAAGAAATTCAGAACCGGCTGGGGAACATCCATTTTGGGATTTCTTACCCTTGGTATGTTGAGCATTCCAATATTGTTCTACCTTAATGGTCCTAAGTTGAGAGCTAGATCCAAGTACGCCAACTAAAACTTTAATTCATAATATCTGCCAAAGCGGAGTGCTATATTAACATACAAACTTAATAATTTAATATGATATCATAAAACTATACTACTGGTGTAATGTAGTCTTTTCTACAAGTTAGCTGCTCGGTACAGTTAAGAAGGGGCTTTTCTCTAGTCAGTTTTGATGATACACTTGAGTCGGAATTAATCCAGGTTACATGCGTTTTGCAAGTTGTTCCGGGGCTCCTAATGCTTTCTCTTTTTGGTTCTCAATGTGCAGAAGATGCTATACGCAAATCTATACCACTTGCCCAAACGCAAATCTTCGATCAGCGTCGAAGGCAAGCAGTTTTACACCTTCTTGCGTCGGGGCTATTCTGAGAACTTTTGAATAAAACATGTCACACATTGGTAGTATGATCTCAATGTGAATAAGACACAAGTCACAAACATGTCACCCATTCTCTGACTGCGAAGAAGACACTTGAGAGCTGGAATCAAGTTTGAAGTCAGTTACCAAAACTCAAATAGAATTTGAAGAACCAAACTATCCATTCGCTAGAATGTTTTCGGAAATGAGGTCTAGTATAGCTTCTTACTTATCCCCGGTTTCCTCAAATTCATTTCACTTTACTTGCCTTAAATCCATCTCTCCGCCATGCCCTGATATGAAGCCGGAATGTATACGATGACGTGCGTTGCTGCCGAAGGCGACCTCCTACATGATTAGCTATCTATCTATCAAATGCAAGAATGAAGTATCAATTATTATTTTAGGTGCACGAATCATTTGCGTGATCCCTCGTAGATTCGGCTACCAAACCGCAAGAGTTAGACTAATCAGGAGTAATCACTTTGATGTACATTTTGCTTGCAGGTGAAGATCTAGGTCATATGCAACCCTTCTTCTCAAATTTAAAAAAGAATTCAATTTGGAAAGTTGGACCACTAAATTAATTTACTTTGTGATTCAACACCGTAAGTGCATTAGCCAGGTTCCCGTATATGCTTATCTGAGATAATTATGTTCTGACGCACGAACAATATTGACGGGTATTCCACTGGTACACTATGAGCGGTCCTAGACTATTCAGGAGTCAAAGTTAGACGATAGGTGACTTCACTGCAAGCTACAATGTAACATTAGCCTTTAAGTTAATTCATATCTGATAGTTACATGACAGGCGTCCAAAATAAGGGGAACACCACTCCTTCAATTGTCACTGTACTCCGTCCATCACAATCAGTCTAAAATATTTCTATTACTAAGAATTCCATGATCACATCGTAGTTTCTAACTCATCGGTGTTTAGCTAATGTATCTTTTCAAGCCGCAGTGTCGCTTGGCGTCTGCGTAATAAACATTACAATCTACGACCTTGAGTGCAGATCACAGTGCTATTTATGGAATGCTGTCAAAGTTTCTGTGAAGTCCGACTACACAATTTTAGATTTTGATGGCATGTGAACACGTAGAAGAGGAACTAGTTTCAGGTCAAATGCGGCCCTTGTAGAGTTGATACAGGCATTACGGCTAAATTCAGGGCACGAAGTAAACTCGTGCCTCACCAGCCCGATCCTTTTTCTTTCACAAAACCATGGTAAATCCCGGTCTTGTGGGGAATCATCAATGGTTTGAGGCCACACCACTCCGATGGGCGTATATAAGAAGAGTTGTCTTCGGCATGGTGGTCAAGACAATATTCATTCATCTTTTCCTTTTACTAATTGAAATCAACAGAAAATGGGTTTGCAAGACGTACTCTTTCCCATGGAAGTGACCGATGAGCAGCTCCACACGGTCGTTTTACTCATGGATGCTGCCATTCATGAGGTTAGTGCCGAGACAGTTGCTCCATACCTCGACAAGAACTTTCCGAGAGAGAAATTGGATAAATATCTCGAAGAATACTCAAGACCTTCCAAGTTGAAGGGTTTCAAGGAATTATTGAGAGAGGCCATCTCCTCAAACACCACCCCCACCCAAACCCAGAGAGACTTCAGATTTTTGGGGGCTTCATTAATGTCGAAATTGGCTGCTCCAATATTCACCAACTCTTTGAAAACTGTCCCGGAAATGACTTTGGAGGAGAGAGAAGATTTGTTGAAATCATGGAGAGACTCGTATCTTCCCATCAAGAGAAAATTGTTCGCTATCATCGTTACTTTGGGAATTGTTGGGTTCGTAAGACTTGCCACCGATTTGCATAATGCTGCCTGTGGCTATCCTGGAAGAGACACCAGAGAAAAGATGTACGAAGGCCATGAAAAGTCTGATTTCAGATACGAAATGATGAGTAAGCCTGAAGTGGAAGGTGAGGTATTATCGCTTCCAGATCTTGATGTTTTAATCGTTGGATCAGGTGCCGGATCTGGTGTGGTTGCACAAACCCTTTCCGAACAGGGTTACAAATGTCTTGTTTTGGAGAAGGGAAAATACTATCACCAATCTGAGTATTCCTTCAATGAATTGGAAGGAACAGCCTTGTACGAGAATAATGGTGCAGTTATTACAGCAGATGCGCTGTTAATTATTTTGGCAGGTTCTAACTTCGGTGGAGGAACCACTATTAATTGGTCTGCCTGCTTGAAGACCCCATTCAAGGTTCGTAAAGAGTGGTACGACGATTTTGGTCTAGAATGGGCCGCTACTGAAGATTACGACCAATGCATGCAATACGTGTGGGATAAGATGGGTGCTGCTACCAAGCACATTAACCACTCCCAATCCAATAAAGTCATTATGGAAGCAGGAAGCAAATTGGGGTATGCAGTTCGTGAAATCTACCAAAATACTGGTGGACACAAAGCTCACGACTGTGGTATGTGTCACTTGGGTTGTAAGCATGATATAAAGCAAGGTTCCCATGCTTTCTGGTTGCGTGATGCGCTGAAGAATGGATGTCAGTTCATGGACCAAGTTAGGGTGCTCAGAATTGTTCATAAGAACGGAAAGGCCACCGCAGCCATTTGTCAGAATACCCAGACCGGAATTAAGTTCACCATCACTGGACCTAAGAAATTTATTGTCAGTTCTGGTTCGTTGAATACTCCAGTTCTATTGCAAAATTCCGGCTTTAAAAACAAGCACATCGGTCAAAATTTGAAGTTGCACCCTGTCACAGTTGTTTTTGGCGACTTTGGAAAAGAAACTAAGTCAGAACCACACTATCGTGCAATTATGACCAGTGTTTGCACGGAGAAGGATGATATCGATGGCAAAGCACATGGTGCAAAAATTGAAACTATTGTCCATACCCCTACCATGCATCATGTATTCTTCCCTTGGGATGGCAGTGACAGGTCAAGAGTACACCTGTTGCGTTTTAACAGTATGTCTTCAATGTTGATCATGCATAGAGATACCACGAGCGGCAGTGTTCGTGCTGATCCTGACAGGCCTGAAGCCCTTATTGTTGACTACACTGCGAACAAATTTGATAGAGGTGCTATGCTAGAATCTGCTTTAATTGCTGCGGATATGTTGTACATTCAGGGAGCCGAAGAAATTGTTGCACCCCAGTCCCACACATTAACTTTCAAATCTCAAAAGCCAAAGGAGGAAAGAAGAGTTGATGATGAGGATTTCGTTGAATTTAGAAAAAGGATGGCTAACTGGCCTATCGAAATTTACGGAACCCGGATGGGATCTGCTCATCAAATGAGTACATGCAGAATGTCTGGTAAGGGTCCAGCCTATGGTGCTTGTGATACAAGAGGTAAACTTTTCGAGGCTGACAACATCTATGTTGCCGATGCTAGTACAATGCCAACCGCTAGTGGTTCAAACCCAATGATTACAACCATGACAATTGCAAGGCATATCGGATTGTGCATTGCTGAGGATTTAAAGTCTGGACTTTAAGATTCACCGCCTTTGGAGTGGTAATGAGTATATAAAAATGGAACGACCTATTCTACTTCACTAATTCAGCTAAAAGAGTCCGATATTTACTATTCATTACACAGATGACAACCCAATTAGTTTTGGATAATTAACGTAGTTTCGCGATGTGACATTTGTGAATATTCTCGATATTACTTGAAATCATAAGCGATAAGCAACAACGAGAGTTCTGAAGAACCAAAAAACTACTTTTTGGCAAAATCTTCGAATACTCTACTTTTGCAAAGGTCTTTGCTCTTAAAATAGAATTTTCTTTCTTAGTTCCCAGGAGGCTTTTTTCTCTTCTATAAGTAGCGATTTAAAATGCTAATTCTGAAAGTTTTACACGATACTTCAAGCAGCTCATGAGATACATCTGATGATTTAATGCATAAACGGTTGCCTTTTGATATGCAATAACGATGCAGGACCAACAATTGCAAAAACTGAGAATCAATATGAAGTCACTGTCCAGCATTTACCTCCAAAGCAATATTGATTCACTATAGGGCTACTTGCCCATTCAAAAGTAGGTACTCTTTCGTGAAATAGTCTACAAGATTGAAAGAAGCAAATTGGATAAAAGCTGACTCGGAATCTGGGGTCATCGGATTGCGAAAAGCTTAACAGAATGTTTTTCCTTGGTGCCTTATTTAGGGTTCTTATCCGAGTGCATAATCATAAACTCACGGTAAATTTTGCCCAATTTATGGCAGTATGTTCTTCTATTAGTAATTGGTATACTAAACAGCATTGTCTTACAGGCAAGGGGTGAGTAGACGTCCTGATTGGTGTTGTCCAGTTTATCACGAGTTTCTACTCCCACACTTATTTAAACCGTAATTGAGCCATCGCCAACAGTATTAGTAACCTGTGGAAAGGCCAAGCAACTCTTGGAACCTGGAATGGACCCTATTTGTTCTTGGAGTGCCTTACCTATCATTGGGGTGCATAATTGCATTCTTATTTCGCTTGCTCTATGCATGTTGAGGGTCAGTGAAAAGTCACCAATGTACCGGTTCAATTAGTGAGGCTAGTTTAGCGAACATATTTGAGGGGCAATCGCCGCAAGTGAGGTTAGCAAACACAATTGGTTTACTCGTAAATTTGCTCTACTATAAAAATGTGCACCGTTGTACATTTGAAAATATTAAGTCACTGGAATGGTCCATACATTCATAAGAGATAGTTTCTGGGGAAGAATCATCTATCATATTAGCAAAAGTAAATATTTCAATCACAAGGAGGAAAGAAATGACTATGTCTTACCGGAAAAATACCTTGCTAGGTGGAGGGAGAACCACGATCTGGTAGATTCGCTGGAGATGTACTCCTCAAATATCTCAGACAAGACACCTTTGCCCACTAATAAAATCTATGTTGACTGGGATGGCCCTGACGATCCAGAAAATCCATATAACTGGCCCCTCTTTCAGAAGACAATTTTTATTCTAGAAATTGCTTTCTTAACAACCTCGGTGTATATGGGTTCCGCCATATACACCCCTGGTATACAAGAGTTGATGGAAGAATATGAAATTTCACAGACTCTAGCAATGCTACCCTTAACGATGTTCGTTATTGGCTATGGAATTGCACCAATGGTATTATCCCCAATGTCAGAGAATGCTTACTTTGGAAGAACTTCTATTTATGTCATTACATTGTTCATATTCTTCATTTTACAAATTCCCACAGCATTGGCTAAAAACATAGCCTCTTTAAGTGTGTTAAGATTTCTTGGTGGAGTTTTCGCATCACCTGCCTTGGCCACAGGTGGAGCTTCAATCTGTGATGTTTTGAGTGTACCATATGCACCCTTAGGGTTGGCAGCTTGGGGAATTGGTGCTGTTTGTGGACCATCTATTGGGCCGTTAATTGGATCGGTTTTGACAGTTAAAGGTGGATGGAGATGGACGTTCTGGTTTATGGCAATTCTTAGTGGTTGCACCTTCTTGGTTTTGAGTTGGTTTTTGCCCGAAACATTTGCAGATACGCTACTATTGAGAAGAGCTAAAAGACTCAGGAAAGTTACTGGAAACTTAAACTACACTACAGAACCAGAACAAAAGAATAAAAACAGGAACTTTAATGAATTGGCTATTGAAACATTGTGGCGGCCAATCGAAATCTCCATCGTTGAGCCTGTGGTTTTTTTGATCAACATGTATATTGCCATGGTATATTCAATTATATACCTTTGGTTCGAGGCCTTTCCGATAGTATTTTTGGGTACTTACAATTTTACATTGGTGGAATTAGGTGTCAGTTTCTGTACCATAATTGTGGGTGTCCTTCTAGCATTCTTCTTCTACTTGATCTACATGGACAAGAAGTTCACGGTTAAGATTTTAGCTGGTGAAAACGTCCCTCCGGAACAGGTAATTCCACTTGCAATTTTTGGAGGTGCAATTATACCTATCGGTCTATTCATATTTGGTTGGACTGCCACAGAAGACCTTCACTGGATTGGACCGATCATGGGAGCTGGAGTTTTTACCTTTGGTGCGTTCTTCATCTTCCAGTCTTTGTTCAATTACCTTGGAGCTTCATTTCGTCGTTATTTGGCGTCAGTGTACGCTGGAAATGATTTGTTCAGATCCTGTATTGCGGGAGTCTTCCCGTTATTTGGGCATGCCCTTTTCAATAATTTGAGAACAGACAGATTTCCTGTCGGTTGGGGAAGTTCAGTATTGGGATTTATAACTGTGGCCATGGTTCTTATTCCAGTGTTGTTCTACATGAATGGGCCGAAATTGAGGGCTAGATCCAAGTATGCCAACTAAATATGCAGTCTGTCTGCTTTCAATCAATTTATGAATACAATTGTGACACTGTTAATGAATGCAGCGATACGAGCGGCCCACACCGTGTATGGAGTATCTAAGTCTAACCTCCTAGAAAACTATAAGTTGCGAAACTTGGTTTTCGCATTTCGCAATTCGCAATCCAGGGACCCGTTCCCTTCGGGCGAACTGCATCTCAGGGCTCCGTAATGGCAGAGGCGAAGCCACTCCAAATAATCACATATACTACACCAAAATCGAATACGCAGCCTTGCGGCCATAAATATATTAGTCTATAAAATTAACCAGAAGTGAACATTATTAAAGTAGTGGGAAGCTAAGCAGCAGGATTAGTTGGAGTTCTTGAGAACAGCGAAGCCAAAGAGCTCACCAAAGAAAGAACCCTCGAACTTAGGCTCGTACTTGAGGTTGTTGGCTCTAATTTCCTTCATGATTTGAGCTTCCTTTTCAGCGGCAGTCATCTTGATAATTGGTTGGGCAGGCATTGTAGTGTTGTGTGTATGTATGTGTGTTTATTGTAGTTCTGCTAGGATCTTGGGACGCCTATTTATATATTGCAAAAACTCTTCGGTTCGGGTTGATGGGCCGCCTTAAGTCCTGCGTGTGGCGGTGTTTTTCCGAGTCCTCTCCGCCGGAGTTGACTCATCCATGTCTCCGAATCGCAACCGCCTGACTCAGTGTTACTACCCACTTTGTGACCCTTCCCTTGGGCCGTCAGCGTGACTCCATGGAGGTACGGCCTGGAGCCTACACCTGGCCCCTGGCGGTGTTAGACCCTCTAGCTCCAGCGATTCCATCGCGGTGAGCTGGACTTAGGGCCTCAAAAAGAAATTCGCTTCGCAGATGCACGCGTGTAGTCTGCCCCACTTCGGCGCTACGCTGATTGGGCACACACGTTGTGGCGGGGTCTGGGAGGGGAACCACCGTTGACGGCAGTTGGAAGTGGATGTTGGGTTGGCAGGCCAGGCCAAGGCTGGTTGTTGCTAAACCCCAGTGATCATAGCACCGACCAGGAGATAAGCCTTGGCCAGCAAATGTTGACATTACCGGAAATGGCGGAGATTCATTGGCACTTCCCTTTGGCCGACGATGCTGGTAGAATTTTCCGATGCGCCGTTGGCGTTGGGCACGTGAGGCGAGCGTTTCGGAGTGGTGCTTCGGAGTAAGGCGTCCGGTTTGGGCGCAAGGTGGACGCGCGCCAGGTGCGCCGGACGAAAGGACGAGGGACTGGTCCGTCCCCAATAGGCAAGCCGCCGTTGAGTCACACGAGGGTGACCCCCCATAGACCCGTACAGAGGGCCTCTTGTGGAAGCTTGTGGTGTGTATGTTGAGAGTTCTGTGATACAGCAAGCAATTGCTTCTGCCATATGATCCAATTGAGCTGATCGATGCTCCTTCAATACTACACTTTTTTGCATATTTTCAGCATTTTTATGATTATTTCGCAGCCACTATAAACTGTATGAAAGTAGTTATCCATGGTGATTGTTTTCAAATGCAAGTGTTGCTTCCAAAACCCCCATTACGCTGTCATTGGTACCCTACGTACAAGCAATTCAAGCAAGAACCACATGGCACCTTAGTTCCCTGGAAAACTGCCTGCGTTATTTCAACAATTAATACATTAAGTGCAATACACCACTCTATGCGAGCTCGCTCCTGCTGAGCCTGATTTTTCCATCAAACCACCGAGAAATGCCATTTCTCGGCTCAATATTCGGTCCGTTGCACTCAAAAATGCATTGATTGATGCGGATGTACTCCAACTTTGGGTTGTACTGCAAGTACAATAACGCCACATGCTGGACCTTGAACCACTCGTCGTAGATGGTCGGGTGGACCATCCCCAAACCTAAGTTTGGCGCACCTCCAGCCTTGTTTCCGAAAATATCCAACATCACCAACAGTGGAAGTCGCTGTACCAAAAGCGCCACCTCCTCGACTTGCTCGCCGGGACTCACCCGTAGACACCTCAAGTGTGTCAATTGCTGGAGCTGGGTGTAGAAGGAAGTATGAGCTGGCACACACTGCAAGATGTTTAGGTTGTTGGTATCGTTATAGCCGTGTACCTCTTCTCTGACCTCAAACGAGAGCCTGGTGAGCGTATTTCTGAACAAACCGATTGCACGGGCGTAATCGTCGTAGTATTCACGTTCTCGGTCGCCGTGGTCCAAGTAGTCCTTGGTGGGGTTATTCCTGATAACCAAGTCCAATGACTCGAGTTTTCTCGCTGGAAGACACAGCAAAAACTCAGGCACGCTATCCACGAGAGCCTGTCGATGGTCTAGCGAAAGATGTTTGAGGCTGGTGAGGTGTTGGGCAATTTCAAGTAAAAACGGCTGGCAGCGATCGTTTCCTACCAGGTATTCCAGAATGCCTCGCAATACTAACGTGTCCAACCCCGCTAGATTCACGGACTCAATGAAGGTACGTGCCTCCCTTGGCGAGACAGACAAGTTGTCCAACGACAAGCAGGTTAAATTAGAGAGGTAGCGTAACCTGGAGCCTTTGAACAAGACAGTGATGTTCTCGTCCTTTGGACCCAGCGACCTCCCTGGGGCCATGAGCTCGTCGCAATTGGGCAGCGTCATGGTGGAGGTTGAGTCCCGCCGCTGGTACCTGGAGAGGACCAAAGTGTCGAGATTGTCACTGACGTTGGGGTTATTATTGACCAATAAATTATTGACTATTCTCACGAGCTTGCTGGAGTTTTGAAACGGCTGGATCTGAAAGTTGACCAAGTTGGGGAACACCAAGCCTTTGCAATCCTCGTGATAAGGAAGCGGCTCGAGTTCGCTCAAGTAGTTGGAAAACTTGATGTTCAACACGAGGGTGGATACGAGATGCTTGTGCGGCAACTGGTGGAGGTATTCGAGCCGGAAGTTGTCGTTCAGCCACACCAACTGGCTCAACAGGCACATGTGCTCGAAGAGACGGAGCAATTGGTCATGAAGTTGATGGTCGTAGAGGTTCAACGAGTCTGGGAGGTCCACGCAATCGAACCGTCGGATGAGAGAAGTGGTGTGGGCGTTGGTACTCTGCAAGAACCGCTTGAAAGCGAAGGCTGAGTTGATGTACGTGCAAGAGGAGGCCACTGGTTGGCCATCCTGCATGGTTATTTTCTTATAGCCGTATTCCTTCTCGTTATTGAACCGATCGAATTGCTGGTCGATAATGATGTGCTCGTACAACCGGGCAATGGTCGATGAATAAACAGTTTTTGATACCGTTAGAAGGCGAACACAGTCGTACTGTGAGAGCTCAGCAGCCACGCGGCTGCGCACCTCAAATGGGAGATCCTGGAAGTTGGTAGCTCGGTCATTATAGTCTTGAGGGGTTGAGTGATGTGAATAGTACGACTCCGACGTGTTGAGAGGGCTATCTGGAGCTGAAAACCGGGGAATGGCGAAATGTGGGCTAGATCCTCTGGGAACCTCGGCCAAAGCACTGGAGGAAGTACTTTGGGGGCTTTGTGTGGGGTTATATGGATTCTTGGAGTACCCAATTGGGGAGTTTAGCGAGTACTGGTTGATCATCGAGGGCAGACATGTAGCAGAAACGGAAGGTGAGTGCGATCGGTGACGGTACAGGCAACGGAGACGGGAGGATCAACGAGAAATTGGGAGAGGGGTTCCAGCAACCGACTGGGATTGCTAAGGGTGGTGCTTATCGGTCACGAGTATACCACCACGTGACTGCGAGTATGACCTTGGTGACTGTTAGTAGTCAGAGCTAGGTTAGTTTAAGACAGGGATGGATCTGATATTCTGTTCTTCTACGGTTCAGTACCTCGATGTTATACCTGTCAAATTATCAACCAGATTTGATGGATAGCCACCGTCGTCATTTAATATGCGATTTTTTGTGGGGCATTAGCCAGTGTATTTTTTGTTATTATTTGCAACTAGTCCCAGTTGATCTGCGGCATAGCGTTGAAACTCTAGAGTACATAAAACCAAAAAAATTAGATCAGATGATTTTTTTTTAGGATGTATAGCTTCGTGGTGATTCTTTACATTATAAGCGTCCAGTGACCTTCAAATTCAATTCATCGTGTTAATTCATCGTGGTTGTGTATAAGATAACATTGCAGTTGCTACAATCTACAATTATCCTAAGAAGATAGATCGATAACCAGTTAATTGACTTCATGTTCCAGACTATTTTTTTCAGAATGGTGAAGTACGAATTTTTGGTAACTTAAATTTCATCATGCTGTTCTTTAGTAGCATTGAATTTGCTTATTTATTCTTCACAAGAGCCTGGATTTTGCACATTTTCAATACCCTTCAAAGCTCGAATACTCGATGCCTTTCAGGGTGGTGAGTATAATTAACTTTCGAATTTCATTCATGGCGGTACTCGCATTGCATTTGCACTACGAAACCCAACGAATTAATATACCTAGGGTAGCGTTGGTTTTTCTACTATTTTCTAACAACAAGATAGAACTTCGAGCTCCTTCCAATTTACCGAATACTTCTATATGGTGTAAACCCTCTCTGATCTCTGAAATCCACCATTCCTTTATAGGCTATCGCGCGAACCCGAGATCTCACCAATTCGTTTTTTTCACCATTATCATATGAGTGAATCTCGTTCCAGCTTGACATACCAGGCTGCGACAGCCGAATTCAAGCACTGCTATAAACTAATTATTGAGAAAATAGAGTGATTTCTGGCAACTTTCAGCAACACCCACCACTTGGTCACCCAAAGCAGCCACACTCACCTCGGAATACCGCCACTCCTCCCCAACTTCCCCATCCTGCCTGATCCAGCCAGTCACGTGATACACACTCTCGCGACTAAACGACCACCCGCCTGACACCACCAACCAGTACACCGACCGAATAGTACGTGGACCCGTCCGAAGCAAGCCTTCTACCGCACCCCGCAAGCCCCTCAACCAACCACATATCACCACATCCTTTGCGCCGCTTCAACTGCCCCACCAACAATGGCAGACGAATCGCTTGACGCTCGCTTAACCCAGGAGGTGACCCTCCTCTCCACGAAATTGGTCACGGCGGTCGCCAAACAGCTGGAGTTGGAAGAAGCCACGTTACACCTCCACAAAGAAGTCAACCTGTTGAAAAATGCCAATGCAAAGTTGGTTCAGTACGAGGAATGGTACAAGCTCTTGCTACCAAAGTACAGCAAGGTCCAGGACGAATTGAGAACCACCCGCGAGGCCAAACGGGTCGCTGAAGCCGACAACGCCAAGTTGCAAGGAGAAGTGGAAGACTTGACGGCGTCGTTGTTCAACGAGGCCAACCAAATGGTCAGCAACGCATCCAGAGAGACTTACAACTTTAAGGTCAAGAACCGCAAGTTGTACGAGGAAATCGACGAGAAGAACACTATCATCAACGATCTCCAGGAGCAGTTGAAGGACTTGAAGGAATTGTTCTTCCGTATCGAAGAGCAGCAGAAACAGACGTCCGCATCCAACTCTAGAATAGGCACGCCAAAGATCGATGGTGAGTTCTCAGGAGCCATGCCCAAGCCAGAAACTGGCGCAGATGCTTCCCATGAAGACACCAAGGCCGAGGATGAGTTGCCTCCCCACTTGGAGCCCCAGGTCTCTGCCTACCACCTCCAACAATTGAATTCCTTCCTTTATTCTCCCAAGGTCAGCTCCATCAGATTGGACTTGAATAACTACAACCAAGAGTTCAAGGGCTTCATCTATGCATTATCCAGGCCAGACTTCCAGTTCGACTTGAACAACTTGAAGAGCTACGCATTTTTCAAGAAATTGTGGCTGGAAGAATTGGAACACTCGTTGGCATCAATTCCTGCCTTGCCAAACAACTCGCTAATTAATAGATGGCAAAAGGGAAAGAACTTCTGGAGTTGTGTGGTCGAAGGCCGTGCTATGATTGAGCCAGTGAAGGGAATCAACGAGGCATTCAAGACTAACTACAGAGGTGGTTTGAGAACTGGAGGAACCACAAGCACTGCCTCAGTTGCCCCTGTTGCAATCAAGTTCCCATGCAGCTTTTGTGGAGAGACACGAGAAGACATTTTGGAGCATTCTCGATTGTACTACTTCAAGTTGTTGCATGGCGGAAATACCTACATCACAGACTCAAACTCATCAGCCGACGATCTGATTGCAAGCTATCCATTGTGTAACTATTGTTTGATCAAGTTGAGGAATATCTGTGAATTCTTTGCGAAATTGAGGTCTATTCACTCCAACGTTTATAAGTTGAAGCCTACAACTGCATTTGAAGAATATGCACAGATAACAACCAATACGAGTGTGTTCAAGAGGAACTCAAGTTCTTTTACAGGGTTGTATCCACCCAAGGACGGCGCCACTTCCAGCGAGACCGACAGCAGTAGCGACTTGATGAACACCAACGTCAAGCAGATAAAATTGGATCTGGTTGAAGAATCCAAATTGATCAAAATCTATGTGATGTTGGCACTTATCAGGAGCAGAATATTTTGGAGCAAAGTAGGGATCTGGGATACTCCGGATAACGTTAGCGAGATCAATCTCGATGAGGTGTCGTATGAGGTGTTCGCAAACTTGATTGCCTCCAGCAATTCCAACGCTTCGGTCCGGAGTAGCTCTGCTGCCTCAACTCCAGTGGTACCTCCCAGCACTACAATACCTAGCGTGGAGGAACCTGCTGTGCTCCAGGAAACTGAGGAGAAACACAAGAAAAGAGAGGAAAAAATACAAAGCACAGTAGCAGAACTAGTCAGTAAGGTGGAGCAGAATTCTTTAGATGACGGAGGCGATGATACGAGCAGTATCAAGTCCGATTCCAGCGGAAAGGATCGTTTGAACCGTAAGGGGTCGAAGTCCAAGAAGTTCACTAAGAAAATGAACAATGACTTGGATGAGACGTTAGAAATGTTGAAGGAGAGTATTGGAGAGTGAACATAATTTGCACGGCCTGCCTGGAAACGCCATGCTGCAATAACTGTGGCGGGCCAGCACTTTGGAAGTGATTAGAAGAAGAGATGTCTTGGGCGATGGACTGGTCCGAATCATACCAAGAATTAGCGGGTTCCACCAGGAAACCACATAGACCACAGCGAGGGGCCCGCATCATTGTTAGAGTAATAGCCCATAATGATTCCGATTCTTTAGAGAATTGCAGTCTATATAACGAGAGGGAGTGATACGCGAGAGTAATATATTTGCCCAGGAAACGTGAATTATCTATTTCGAAAACCCAACCAGGAGTGTTGAATCCTTTGTAAATGAAGTGCTAACAGGGTTATAGTAGAAAATGCGCAATGATCCTGGGACAGTACCCACAGGTGTACAGCTTTCAGGAAAACCGATAGTTCCACGCAGAGGTGGATACCGTTTGCAGGGTATACGTGAAACAAGGTAGTTAAGGATGCTAACTAGGAACATTAATGTCCAAAGTATGCTCCTAAAACCACCATGGCAATAAGCACAAGAATAAATTTAATTCACATGATGCAATTACATACTGACGGGAAGGGGATGAAAACAAAAATATCTGGAGAAGTAGTAAATCCTCTTCTAACGATTAATAGTAGGAATGGTTAGAAAGACAGAGTTGATTAATATTGTACAAGGCTATGAAGGTACAGACAGCTTATCGGGGAACTATTTCGAGTCGAGCGGTCTAGAGATTTAGCTTTGGTATCGAACAAAAAATTAACTTTCGTATATAACTTAAAGACTGTTAGCAGAATATCAACAGATAGTCTGGTATTAGACTATTTGGCTAGGCTCGTCGGTGCTAGTATAGTGTCGGGGGTTTAGAGATGTATTAGAACAGCCGCAGGTCTATCTAGAGCCTGATATCACTAAAGAGGGTATTCGTAAAGACCGCAGGGCTTATCCATATCTAAGCCAGTTTCCTAAAGCGAGGAATAAATTGGATAGGCCTTTCATCAATCGAGAGAAAGGGCTGACCACCACGAACAGATCCCTGCACTCCGCTCGATCCCCACCTGTCACACGCTCGTAATTGCGCCAATCACAAGCCCAGGGCCCATTCGCTTGTGACGATTTAGTGGAGAGTGTCAGATTATAGTGCGTCAATTAGCGCACGCGTCTGACGCGTCAACCCACGCGCCAGACACTTTCTGGATGCTGGCTCTTGCCAATTGTAGGTTGGCAGCGCATTTCCAGGCGTTCGCGACATGCCACCGTGGAGATACCCGGAAGTGTAGGACCGCCAGCCAGCCATCAGCACATACATGGGCTCATTTGTGGGCTATTTTTGGCCAATTATGAGCTTTTTCGAGACTGGTGGGGGACTCATTTGCCCCGATTGGGCCTTGCAGTGTCGGAACTTTCCAATGCAGATCTGGAGGTGACACTTGCCTCTGACACCGCTAGTGCGACACTGACACTGTACTAGTGGCACCGGCGGCGTGCGGCGGCTCCTCCGCGCTGGGCTGACGAGCCGCCACCAGTCGTTCCGGCGAGCTAGTGAGCTCGGCCGATAGACGAGCGCTGAGCCACGAGAGACGGAAAGCAGACATCATGAATACAGACCCAGACACCAGGAATACCACGTAGACAGACACCTCAGAATGGTAGATGACACTACAGTATGGAAGGATTAGCAGTCAGGCATACAACCGTAGACCTGTCAGGAATAGCACCACCCTCCAGATACAACACCGTAGACCAGACACTGGCGCTAGACACAATAGAATGGTACCAGCCAGCACCATCGCACCACCGCACCGCGCTGCGCAGCGCTGCCCGCACTAGGCAGTCTCCCTCGCTACCGCCCCGTGATCCATCCCCCACTGTGTGCACTCCCCAAATCCCTCTACCGTTGTCGAGTACGAACCACATTCGTGGCCCCATCCGTCTCTGTTCATCCACCAGGCGTCCACAAGCCGTCAGCACACACGCCGCCACAACCACCACCAGCATCTCGGCTCACGCCTCCACCAGCATCGGCTCAAGCCCACAACCACACCATCAGCCTGGCCCTCTCTGCCACCATGAGGAGAAAGACTGAGCTCCCGCCACTCCCGTCGTCGTCGTCCTCGCTCAACTCCCACATCACCGATGAGCTCAACAACTCGCGTGCCTACAGCTCGTACCACACGTCCTCTGCCTCCCACAACCCACCAGTTCCCGACAAAAACAACCGAGTGTCGTCCAGCCTGATCTTCTCGTTGCGTAAGGCCAAGGAGCGCTACGGCCACGCCAACGACAGCTTCAGCGACGTGTCGTCGCTCGACTCGTCCGGAACTGCTACCTCGTCGTCAACAGGCCCCCACCAGTCGTCCCACAGCCTCCACCACGGCTCCAGAAGACACAACAGCATCGGCAATGCGTTGTCCAAGTCCGTGACGAACCGCTCCGTCTCATCTGCGTCCACCAACATCGTCCCTACGCCTGTCGTGACCAACTCCAACCACTCACGCCATGCCTCGGCTTACAGCATCTCCACCGTCAACGGCAGCTCAGGCTCCAAGAACCCCTACGACACCCCCACTGCCCTCAATTCTGCATCTGTCACCAAGTCCTCGTCGGTATCGTCGCGCACCAGCGCCTCCAATGGCTCGCGAAAGTCGTCGTCCATCCTGGGCCCCTCAGTGATATCCAAGCCGTCGTTGGCCCACAACAGTGCCAACGATCTGTTGACGTCTGGAGGCATGAACGGGTTCGTGCTCGAAAAACCAACCCTGGTGTACGAAATCGACCGTTTGTTCCGCAAGTTGATGGAAAAAAGAGACTTCAAGTCTTTACCCGCCCAGGCCAAACAGGAAATGTCTCACTACCACCCCGACAAAAAGTGGATGTTGATCTACCAGGACGCATTGACCGAGCACAAACGGCTGGAGTCGTCCAACAACTCCAACAAGTTGGAAAACACAAAAACTCCCGAGTTCTACACCCAGAAGTTGCTCAGCAAAACCATTCTGGCCGAGCAGTTGAAAAACTTGTGGGTGTCGCTCAGAACTGAGCCTATAGATTGGGTCCGGAACTTCATTTACGACTGCCAGGGCGACGCATTGTTGTCGTCCTACTTGCAAAAGGTCCAGGAGCAGATCTCCCTGGCCGAGACCAACGACATCAATAACGAAATCTTCGATAAGGAGTTCAACACCCTCAAGGCCCTCAAGTGCATGATGAACCAGAAATTGGGGGCTGAGAGGGTCAGAACTGACGCTAACCTCTACATCAGCGCAGTAGCTGGCTCCATCCTTTCTCCTCGTATCTTGACACGGAGAATTGCCCAAGAATCGCTTGTTTTCATGATTGCCTACTATACCGAAAATGATGGCGAGCATAAAGGGAAGTACCACAAGATTTTAAAGTCTTTGGACTCCATACCCAACAAGCCCTACTTTGAGTTCGAATCTGAACAAGTCCCCCAGTCCAGTCCAAATAAGAGAGCCTCCACTGCATCTGCCTATAATGTCAGCACCAACAAGAAACAATTAGTTCGTAAGCCTCCCGCTCCAGAACAGTACAAGAGGTTTGAACTTTGGTTGCGTTTAGTTGAAAAGACCTTGGATGGAAAAGGAAAGTATATGAATTCGCTTGTTGGCGCCAGTGATGAGCTTAAATACATCCATGCTGGGTCAGGAAACACGAACCCCGGAAATATGGAGAACCATCTTTTGGAGTACCTTCTTAGTACCATGTTGTTGGTTAATGCTATTATTGAATTTGGACTCGACTTAAGAGTCAGAGTGCATCTTCGTGCCCAATTGATGGCTGCAGGCCTCAGTCGTTTATTGCCTCGCTTCCAAGAGTTGGGGTACGAAAGCTTAAACCAGCAGTGCTTCAAATTCCTTCATATGCAAGAAAATGATGAAATGGAACTAAAGAGCCTTGAACAGGTGGATGAAAATCTTGATTTCAACAATCCTGTGGAGTTAATTGCATCGATATGGGAAAGTGTCAAGAGCAGCGAAGCTCAAGGACACTTTATTAGCGCCATTCAGCACTTGTATTTGAATCAAAGCGAGAAAAAGAACAATGCTGAGGATCTTACTCGAAGTTTGAGATTACTTGACGGGTTGATCCAAAACGTCGCAATGGTTCATACAACAAATGACGATTCAGCTGTTGGAGTTGCTATCGGTCGGTTGTATTCAACCCTTAGCACTGATGATCAGTATAGAAGAGCTCTTGACGAAGTTAAGAACTTCAAGAAAATAGCTGAAGAAGCCACTGCAGAACGTGATGAAATGTCTCGTCAATTATCTTTGGGAGCAGATGGATTGATAGCTAATTTGTCCAATGATATGAGAGAGCAAGAAAACATTCTTTTAAGAACAAGGAGATTGTACGAAGAAGTGAGCCAAGAATTGGAAGAATTGAAGAAGAAGCACTTGATTGAAAAACAGGAACAAGAGCTAGAAATGAGAGAATTGTTGGTAATGTTGAACAATTCTCAAATTGATACCAGGAGAAAGGATAATAAAACAACTGTTTCTATCCAAACCAACAACGAAAAGTTGATCAAAAAATTACAAAAGCAAATTCATAGAAAGAAAGCTGAGTACAGATTGGACAACCGTGAGTTTGGTACTCAGGTTGAACCATCGTCTAGGTTGAGAGCATTAAGAGATCAAATGGGTGACATCGAAAACATGGCCAGAGAGTTGGAAATGACGGATTTCGAGACATATGTTAGCCCAGTTGATGATAGCAAGCCCACCACGGAAGAAATTCCTTCAGAGCCGGAAGTTATAGAGAGTGTATCTGAATCGTCAGATGAAGATATTACTGCTACTGAAGAGCCAATTCCTCAGGGTCCACCTAGAGCTGCAAGGTTAGATGATTTGAGTAAGCTAGACTCTTTGAGAAAGAAATTAGCTTCGTTGCAAAGTGAGTCGAACGACATCATGAAGTTTAATAATAGCGCTATGTTCAGCAAGCAAAAACTTCTTGCAATGGAAAGATTGAGAGAGTTGGAAATGAATTTCAAAGATTTCAATATCAATTTCAATTGGGACGATGGTACTGCTAATGTATCTCCTAACTACAACATGAATGAGGAAGAAGTCGACCCTTCCATCAAGGCCAAGATTCAAGAAGAGCTTCAAGAAGTCCAAAAATTGAAGGAAGACTTGAAGAAGAAATTGGCTGACGTCGAGAAAGAAAAGGCTCGCTCCAAGAATGCTTCTAAAAGACATTCTGTTATTATGGATCGTATTGAAGCAAAATACATTCAAGGAAAGGTTGAGCCCCCTAGTAGTAATGAGATAGTCAAGGGTTCAATGACTGGAAGTTACAGAAACCATAGAAAAACTACAATTGGTGCTATGGATCCAAAGTTTTTGCAAGAACTAAGCTCAAAGGTAACGAAGGTAGAGCCTATAGATACCATCAGCGAAAAGACAGAGAACTCAGGGGGTGATCAGGACAAGGAAGTAGTATCTACGCCTACTACTTCACCCGTTAAAGAAGCATCAAAGGAACCCGAAAAAGTTGCACCAAAACCAACTGCACCACCACCACCTCCACCACCATTGCCATCTCTTTTGTCTGGTGGGGCACCACCACCACCGCCACCACCACCACCTCCACCACCGCCATTGCCATCTCTGTTGTCTGGTGGCGCTCCACCACCACCACCACCACCGCCACCATTCCCTGTTGGTAAGAATACACCTAAAATAATACCTGTCGAAAGAACTCCTAGTCCGTTTGATAATTTCCCAAGAGCTAAGAAGAAGTTGAAGCAGTTGCATTGGGAGAAATTTGACAATGGCTTGTCAAACTCATTCTGGCAGACAACTCAAACAGATTCGATTGCTTCTGATTTAATGTCGAAGGGTGTATTTGACGAAATTGAACTTATTTTCGCGGCCAAAGAGATCAAGAAGTTGGCCACGAAGAAAAAAGAGGATATTGATAAGGTTTCATTCTTATCGCGTGAAATGGCTCAACATTTCAGTATCAACTTACATGCATTCAATGGTAATTCAGATGAAGAATTGATTGCTAAGATATTAAGATGTGACAAGGATGTCATTCACAACAATGCAGTATTAGAATTTTTCGGTAGAGAAGATGTGGTTGAAATCTCCAATAGTTTGGCCAGAAACTTCGAACCATATTCTACTGATTATAAGGCAGAAGAGCCTTCAAAACCTGATAAGGATCCAAATGAGTTACAGAGACCGGATAGAATTTATTTGGAATTGATTTACAACTTACAACACTACTGGAAGTCGAGAATCAGAGCATTGAATGTTGTAGCTAATTTTGAAAAAGATTACGATGATTTGGTGAATAAATTGAGAGCTATTGATCAAACCGTCGAGGACATCAAGAATTCCAAGCATTTGAAAAGCGTTTTCGAGATTATTCTTACTGTTGGTAACTATATGAATGATTCAACAAAGCAGGCACAGGGTTTCAAATTAAGCTCATTGCAAAGATTGAGTTTTATGAAAGATGATAAGAATAGTATGACTTTCTTGCACTATGTTGAAAAGATTGTTAGACAGCAGTATCCTGAAGTATTGGGTTTTGTCGATGAGTTAGCTAAGTGTCTCGAAATATCCAAGTTTTCAATTGAAACCATCTCAAACGATTGCAGAGATTATGCAAACTCGATTAAAAACGTGCAAAGTTCCATTGATATTGGTAACTTAAGTGATTTATCTACATTCCATCCTAATGATAGAGTTCTTAAAGTCGTATTACCAACATTGCCCCGAGCCAAGAGAAAGAGTGAATTATTGCTTGATCAGTCTAATTACACTTTGAAAGAATTCGATAACTTGATGAAATATTTCGGTGAAGATCCAGGTGATTCATTTGTTAGAAATTCATTCATCAGCAAGTTCGCAAACTTTGTCAAAGATTTCAAGAGAGCACAGGCGGAAAATCTCAAGCGTGAGGAAGAGATCAGGATTTACGAACAACGTAAAAGGTTGCTCGAAGCACCAAAGAGACCAGCTACAAAGGAAGAGGGCGAAGAGGAAGAGGAATCTGACGATGCCAATGTTATGGATTCTTTATTGGAGAAGTTGAAGGCAGCAGGTCCAGCAAAGGGCGAACCTTCCTCTGCTCGCAAGCGGGCATTGATGAGAAAACACTTAATGGAAAATCTGAAAAAGGTAACATCTCCAACGGCCAACAAGGTCCAATTACCCGAATCCACTAGTCCCTCAACAGCCAGTTTCGAGGGACAGACATCGCCAATCGAGGATATGTTCCCAGCCAATAGCAGCGTTAGCTCCTCTACGGATTTGGAGGAAGAGGCCAATGAAGGTGACTTGGGCTCACGAGCCAGGAATCTTTTACAAGAGTTAAGGGGAAGTGGAGAAAATTCCTCGAACGAACGGATGAGTGCAGCTCAAAAATTCAGGCAAGAAAGATTGAAGAAGAAGATCTCCAGTGTTACCTTGAATGATGAAGACACTATTATAGAAGGAGCAGAAAGCAACGTTTCAATCGACTTGGAATGAGCAAGACTTGTGAATATATGCTGATGTATTTATAACTTATATAGAGTGGTTCAATGAATCATATGAGATTAGAGAGAAGTCAATGTAACTGTAAATAACACTATGTATCTTTGCTCCAAATAGATGGATTTGATCATAATCCAACATTCACCTCGCTTATTCTCGAGAGTTCTTCTAAGTCATAATCTATCAACACACCTTTGTTGTCCTTGAAATCAAAGCTTGGTTTGTTAATGGACAACAAACCAGTCCCACTTACTTTATTGACGAAGGGCCTTTCCAATTTTTCTATTTCGTCTTCCACCAGATGCCTGAACGTATTCGTTACATTTATGTCATCTGTGAGCTGAGTAAGCTCTTCAGAGTCTTCTTCTACGTCCCTGATAGAAGTGACCTCTCCATTCACCCCCACACATAAAACCATTCCACTCGCCATTGATGTTGCCCTTTCAGCATCATTAACACCTTTACGTATAGAATCAGTTTCATCCTGAATCCAACAACTCTGAAATTTAGAGGCATAAACCCTTGGAATATTGGACATTCTATAGGTTTTCCTCGTTGTCTTACTAAGGTTTTCGTTATCAATAATGCAAATGGAAGAATGCAACTTATCACCAGCAATGATTTTATTATTTAACTGTGCCTGATTCACGAAACTATTTGGTAAAGGATCGCTGTTGGAGAAATTGATGATAGGAGAAGATGAAGAGTCATCTTGAGACTTGTAATCGAAATGATAGATGGAATCAAGTTTGGTTGTTACCATAAGTCTATCATTCTTGTCATTTGTGGTCAAGTTTGTAATTTCGCTGGGTAAGGTCACCAACGTCAGGACCAGTTTAAGTCTCTTTTCATCCACATCATAGCTTGTACAATGAATAGAGTTTCCACTTGTAAAAACAATATCTGAACCCACCTGGACAATGTTCGTTATAGGCTCGGGATGCTCGAAAGTGGTTAGTTCAGTAACTTTAATGGAGGCATTGTTTCGTACTTTACTTATGTCTAGCACCTTAAAGAATCCCTTGGAAGGTGGTTCTTTCGGTATCCCATATTTATCTCTGATATTACCGACATTACCATCAACCAAGCTCGTACCAATTAACAATTTTTTAGAAACTCTGTTGTTCCTTTGAATAGACCATATGCATGCAGTCAAAGGGTATTCATAGGTTTCGAAGATTTGTGGAACAAAGACAGAGGACCTGAAGCTACCACCTTCGCTTGGGCACTCCTTGAACAACTTTCTGTCCACAAACTTCAACCTCTTTTCTTGATACTTAGACTTGCACAATACTATGAAAATTGACAAATATGGGAGATAGTGCACCTTTTTTGCGTTTTCCACAGTAAGTTGTCTCACATTGGCTTCCTTAAAAGTAGATATGTTACCTATCATCAACCCATCGTCTCTAACGAATGCAAATTGTAGGTCCAGAATACTGTTATCAACGGCACTGGTTGTAGGAATTTGAGACATGGAAATGATAGATCTTTCGTAAGTTTCATCAAAGTATACTTTCCGGGGAAACTTGGATTCGTACAAATTCAAGAGCCATAGACTCTTTGAATGAATGAAGAGAAGGTTTGGATCTTGTTGTACAGCTTTAAGCTTTATTGGAGTCTCACTCAATCTGAGAAATTTCACACACTCAACCACCGATGCTGTTCTTGGGACTACTTCAAAATTTATGAAATAACCGTCCAAAGTCCCCACATAGAGCTTGCCCCCAGCATAATGAAGATCACCCGGGATGAGTAATTCGTCATAGTGTTGACCATTTTTGTTGTATGGATTTAACTTTTTCAAATCAATGAGGTTCACCAAGGTTACATTTTTATCAAGCTGAAATATGTTAATGGTTCCGTGGTAAGTTGAAATAAGAAGATAGTTGGGCCCAGTAACAGAATTGCCCTGCGATTCTCCCTCAAATCGAATTAACTTGGTGATGCTGGGCTCTTCAACCTCAACAACTTTCCTTAACGTAAGAAAGTCTTCAAAAGAAGAGTTTCTATTGAGATCAAAATTCAAATCGAATAGTTCAACAACAACTCCAGAACTTTCACTCTCTGTCATGATGACTAGAGTAGATCCTTGAATGTCGCAACCAATGATACTTTTATTCTCAAGAACATGTGAAATTTGGAAGTTTGCAAGATCTGTTAATAAAATACCGCTTGAAGAAACTTGGAAAACTACCTCCTCTTCACCTAGTTTGAAATTAGACACATGAAAAGTTTTACCATTATTAATAAATGCTTCATTGGATTCAATTTCAATAAAGGCTTCAGGAGAGTTTGGTTGATATTCAAGCAAAATTGTCTCAAAAGTAAAAGAGCAAAAGAGATATGTCTTTTCCTCAAACTCGACAAACTGAATTCTTTCAGCCTTTCTGAGTTTATTATAGGAATTACTCTTTCTTTGCGCTGGATAACCGTATCTGAAATGATTAAGTTTGGTTTTCTTGCCAATTCCACTAATACCCCAGAGCTCTTGATTAGATTGATTGTCTGAAAGTCTGCTGTTCCACGAATCTACAATCAGAACATCTAAAAGAGGTGCCCATTTTTTGTAGTCTTTGATGAGTTTACCCTTTGTGTAATGAATCTTTGAATGGTCAGTTACAGAACCAGGTGATATCAATTCAGGGAGTAGTAAGTCTTTGTTCGAACCCGTATCGCTTCCATAAATCAAATTGAACCCATTTGGAACTCTTTCAAGAGAGAAAACGGATATGCAGTCATTCACTTTTGCGATAGGGTATATTTTGGCAGAGCTGTTGCTGAACTCAACCGAGTACACAGTTCCATTATCTGTAGCAATCAAAAGTTCAGAATCTTCTTCTATTGCGTGTTCACCCTTCAAGCTCTTTTCGGGCCTATATGAGCAGGTAGGGAATGAGATCCCTTTCCAGGGGGATTTGAATCTTCTGAAGTTGTACTCGGCTGACATGATATCGTGGATAGTAATAATTATCAACTCATCCTCGGTGACAAATAGGAAACCTCTGCCATCACTTAGCGAGACTATGAATATTGGTATGACGAAGGTATTATCTAAAGGCAAGGTTGACTTTGAAAAACTCTGGCCCAAGCCCTCCATGTTTGACCAAGAGAATAGGTTTATGACAAGTCTTCTGAACTCGGTGAAAACGAAGGTCAAGAAGAAGTTATGGTGGTTCAGCTTTGCATTGTTGAATGGTTCCGCAAAGCACGAATGGAGGATCAACCCGTCACAGTCCACATTCACGTGTTTCTTGAACATGATACCGTTGCTGGTCAATTGGGTGTTGTAGATGCGAAAGGTGTCACTGGCAGACGTGGAGATCACAGAAAGACCGGATCGATGCGAGAGGAGATGGTATCCCGAGGTCTTTAAGGTGGGAAGACTGCGTTTCTGATTGGTGTTCCACCACTGGACTATAAACGGCTTGTAGATGGAGTCTCCAGTCTGGGGAATATGCGATAGTGTCTGGTATTTGTAGTCCGAGTCTCGGTAATGTCTGGGGACATAGTACATCCTGACCAAGAGGAGAAAGCCTGTTTTCAACGAGAGCAAGAGCGAGTCCTCTCCCTGGGCGGAGACAGGCTCCTTGGTGTCGTCGGAGTCTGGGGAACTGGCTCGTTCAGTTTCGTCCTGGATACCTCGGATCAAGCATGAGGACCTGATCTCAGAGCTCGTAGGAAACTCGACGCCGTTGATTAACAATGACTTGGTCTTGACTATCACCTTGATGGCCCGGAGCTGGGCAGCACCCAGCAACGGCTCGTGTACCTGTCTGGCACTTGTGAGATGGAGCAACAACTCGTCGTCGCTGTCGTCGTCGCTGAATGCATCGAGCTGTGAGTCCTGCTCTGTTGCTACCAAGTTCTGGTACAGCTCGTCGTTGAACGACGTGCTGGCAACGCCCCTGAACGGCTTATTGATACGGACCTTGAACTGAGGAAACACATTGGTGAAGATGGGAGAGTAGAGGAGCGTCTGCTTGATGTACTTGGAAGGACGCTGGACTTGTGGCGTGGGAGTGTATTGGTCGAGATCGAATTCCTCGAAATCCACCGTGTCGATGTCCATGACTGGAGCTGGTGGTGGCAGTTTGGGTGCACTTTATTGAGTTGGTGGAAAAGAGAAGGGTGGACTTACATAATGATTGCAAAAAATGAGCGAGGGACCGAACTGGAAGAAGAAGTAATCATAGGTGGGGTTGCTGCCCTTAGACCTCAAACTGGGTGTGGGGAGGATTCTAGTGTCACATAGCTAGACCATTGAGAGAGCTAGGCATGTATTGTGGGTCAGATGGCGCAAGGGAGGTGACAAGCAGGTGTTCAGATCTGTGTATTGCTTCAGTAAAAGATACTATCTATACTCTGAGAAATTTGGGAGGCCGAAAGGCATAGGACCTGAAGTTTTCACAAGTTAACATCTTGTTCAGTAGTTGTACAGTTCTCTGTGGATTATTCACCATTCTGTTCCTATCAACTACATTACTTATCATTCCCTCAAAGTTTTACGAGCAACGTGTTCTAGCACAGTACACAGCATATGCTTATAGGATCAGAATAGTAGGCACATCATTCTGGGAGGAGTCCGTGGGGTTACATGGTCTTTTGATACTTGATCCTTTTCTGCTAATAATTACGGGAATTATGCAATTGCAACTATATGCTGGAATTATTTTGTCATTTACTATGTAATGAAACTGTACTTGATTAAAGTGCCATAGGGCAAAACGTCCTAGGAATTTATAGTTGATTTTGAAACTAACTTCCCTGATTATTAGATACACTTAGGTGAACTAATGGCAGTAATACGGATGGACTTGTGGCTAGGGATCGGTTCTGCTCTTCATCCATTCCACTTCATCAAGGTCGTCGTAGTTCTACAAAGCACCGCTACGTTTGTCTTCTACGGATGTGGGCCATTAGCTTGACCCCACACACAAAGGCTCCCGAAAATACACACACAAGCTCTTATTTTCCTCTCTACTTCGCTTCTTATTTTCAATTCAGTGACGAGCCCTACTAACTAGTGACAGTATACGGACACATTTAGAAGCAAATTTTTCTGATCCTCCCTATTAACGATGGGAGCCTACACTCCTATTGGATGGCTCCCAAGTATGGTTCACATCCAAGTTCTTGAGGTCCAAAGTAAGCAGCTACGGAAGTAAAAAATTAAGTGAAGGTCAACGATGACAAGATGACAACAACTTCAAGCTGGGTATATAGTCAATAAATAACAATGGAAATATATTTCATGTGATGCATAAGAATTGAAGGATAACATTCCATAGCTCAGTATGATTAGTCTTTGAATGCTAAAATAGTTGATAATCCGTAGAATAACCACGAAAACTTTTGCACCCAAAAGATCAAAACTACGAGTCCTGCTTTCATAAACTTCCAAAATGAGTCACAGTCCCCAAAAGTCCCCAAATAAAGGCATCCCAGCAAATGCAAACCCATTCAACCTCTCGCCAATGTATGAACTAGTATTCTAAGGAGATAAGGATGTTGGTGCGTGTGCACACCAACTATCACCAGCCAAATACGCTTTGAGAACAGGTGCTACACAACCCCATTTCTAGCCATACAATGTCCCACTCCTACGATAGAATACCAAGCAATGGAGCCGAAGACTCATTGATTGATCAGGATAACCTCATACAACCCGATGACATGGGCTCACAGCCCTACGTTGTGCCTAGCACCGCCCACGAAACCACACCAGCCCCACCAGTGATCAAACCCCAATTACCGTTGGACACAAACTCACACATGTTCCAGATCAACTTCTACAGAAGGTTCTTTGACTTGGATACCGAGACATTCTTCCAGAAGATCCAGCAAGCGGCAAATCCATTGAACACCTCATTCAGTAATAGTGCAGACGAAGGCAACGACTCCATCGAATTGTATGGATTCATCTGGATCACAGGAACCTTGATTTTCCTCATGTTCTTGAGCTCAACGGGAGCTAACATTTTGTCCCAATGGTTACACAGCGACAAAGGACTGCAATACGAGTACAGCTTTGAGTTGCTCACGTTGTCAATCAGCTTATTTTACGGGTACAACTTGATTGTGCCCGTGTTGTTATACTTGGGTACCCGGTTCATCACTAAATTTCCTGAACCATACACCTTGATCAACGTGATTTCGATTTTCGGCTACACCAACTTATTGTGGTTTCCGCTTACGGTGGTCAACTTCGTGATTGTCATATTTATTAATGGCCAGACCCACCAGTCCTTGTTGAACATCTTGGAATGGGTTGCAGTATTGATCACTGGTGCTCTTACTGGCCTCAACAACATCTCCAAGGTCCTCCCACTCACCAAGAAGAACTGCATGCTAATTAACGAGGGCAATCCCGAAGCTGCCAACAGGGCTGTCTACGTGATATTGGCCATGTTGGCGTTGGTGCACTTAAGCTTCACGGTGTTGGTCAAGATCACCTTTTTCGGCATCTCTGCCTAGCTAAATTAAGAATAGGCCCCCAAGTTCTACCCGTATTTATAAACTAAATACACCAACGACTTAGTAATCTCCACAGTCATCAAAGTCCAATATTCTGGTATATATAAGTATGGAAAATATAGATATACTTCGTCGGAAGCACTCCTGGTGTAGATGGAAATCTTAGCAGCCCAAGCCCTAACTGGTCACGGTCGTGCGCGGCCTAAACCCATCCTATATAAGGAGCAAAATTTTCCCTCTCACCTTCACCAACTAGACTATTGTGGTCAGATAAATGTGGGCTATTTGAATTGAAGTGAATGATATCTCACAGTGTCCAAGAAACATGGCTGGTTCGGCGGTGATTATTTGCATTTTACCAATTGTTCCAACTGAATGAACCGTGTTGACAACTGCATCTCGTTAAGTTTCAGCCTTGTATGAGCCACCAGTTTGTTTCTTGGGATGTGAGTACAGAAATGGTATGTGACACCCCGATTTCTTAGGAGGAAACTTGTGACCGGGCGGACATAAATCCGATGATTGCCCCTTCCTTGTACAATAGGGAAGGAGGCGTGGTTCTGTGTACAAATTTTGAGCTGCTGGCGATCACCGGTTGATGATAGGTCTTTACTGATGGAAATACTTGTGAGAACTTACTAACATCCAGCTTAGCATATGTCATTTCTTTCTTTCAAATAGCCAACGTTTGTCTCGTGTTTTTATGATGATTTTTTATATTCACACTGTACTAGAAGTAACCTTCTGTGACTACGAAAACAAAAACTGATTTAATGACTCTGAGAAACACGCCATAATACATGTCTAGCTAAAAATGCTGTAGAATCTTACCGAGTAGTCGGCCCCGCTGTGGTGGACGCCCTCCCTAATGGTGGCTCTAGCTCTCATGGTATGATCCCACTATTCCTCCCTAGCTCTCGCTAGCTGGCCCTCGCTAGCGCGTGCTTTTTGGTGCGGGCTCTGCTTCTTTAGCGAGAGCCCTGCGAGCGCTCAGTAATAGCTTCCTGGATCATGGGTCTGCTATCACTGCTACCAGTGGTTCATGAACCCTCAAAAACTTCCCCATAACAATATTCACACCTATACGTATCCACCATCTCCCGTAGCCCTTTTATACCTCGTTTACTCTTCCCACTGCTACACCTCCTGTCGTCCACTCATCGTCCTATGCTCGCTGCTGCCTGCACGCACCACCAAATTTTCAACCACACCACTAAAGATCACCATCGATGCCAAACACCCCAGCCGCCACCAACCATGAATAGTCGTTATCTTCTACGACCACGATGGCCCATACCGCCATCAACGCATCCATTGCTCGCCCCCAGAGTGCGGCCTGTCGCTGCAACCAAACGCATTCTAACACCATTGCATCACACCCGAGTACGATCCAACTACACATCTTCCAGCCACCAGCCGTCCAGCACCCATCCAACATCGCCCTACTCAGGCAATTCGACTCATCTGTACGTGAACCACGCGCTTCTAGACGCCTCGGTGCTTTTCGATAAAGAGTACTCACATGTATATAAGCTCATTGAAGACGCCGAGTTGCGGAACCGCTACTTCGAAGTGCTCCGCAAGAACCACGCCATATTCTCGGGATCTGAGATCTCCACCATCCACTCCACCTTCAGCAACCTCATCGACATCCAGTCGGGGTTTCCGTCACCCCAGGCGTTGGACATCTTGATCGACATGTGGGAGATGGTGTTTGCCAATGCTGCTGGAACTTTCACGCCCTTGCAGGCCCAGATCTTCCAAGAAAAGGACAAATTCATCCATATTCTCATCAACTCTCGGAACTACCGTGTGTACGAACGGCTGGTGCGACCTTTGTACAAGATATCCCCACAATTGACCTGGGCAGACCGGCTCGTCACCATGTTCGAATTGGAGGACGTCAACGGAGTTCTCTCCATGAATAGGAGTGCCATCGTCAAGTTTTTGAAGAGCGACCAGGACATCAAGTTGAAGAGAAAAGTCATATCCATATTAATTCACCGGGTGGTGCTAAATGCCACCGACGATTCCGAAAAGAATGAGCACTTCAAACTCTTTGTGGAATTGTGCCACATCGTGGGTGACGACCATTTCTTGTTCATCGATCCCGAGTATATCGAGTATGCCAAGGTGGTGCGACTTATGGCCATACCGCGAGACCCTCACCTCCGAGGAATCTCGGAGCCTGCGTCCCAAAACAGCCCCAATGCTGCTTTCATGGAGCATGTAACCAAGCTTCAAGATTTCTTCGAGGGCGCCACTCCCGCATATTTTAACTTCATCACTTCTTCCATGCATCACATTATTTCCTTCAGTCCCAACAACGTGCTCAATTACTGGAAATTCAAGGCAGACCATTCCAAGTCCCATTCTTCGGCACCCATTTTATCACATCACGATCTAAAAATCGCCATGTCTGCATTGTCCTCCTTGAAATTGTACCCAGAAGTACTTCACCTCTACAAATCATACCCGAACCTCCACCACGAGGACCAGATCGAGGTCCTCCTCCGTGTAAGTGAATTATCCAAGGACTGGAAACTTCTCCAGACCCAATTCGAGGAGATGTATGGTAAGGGAAAGCTTCCGTACGTAATCCACTACGCCATCGTTATGAAGGCATTGGCAGGAATAGGTGCACGGGACGAAGTGGATATGCTCTTTGACCAATTGAAAAAAAGAAAGTTGACCCCTACTGCTTCAATTTTCACGGCATTAATTTCTTCACGGTTGCACTACAATGATGTGGCATCTGCAAAGAAAAGTTTTGATCTTTATATGAGCTATGTGAACCTGGGAACCATTGAAAAATCCACCTCGGCCTATCTTTACCGTTTGCTTTTCAAAATGTACATAAAATCGAAGGATATTGAGCAAGTAAGAGCTTTCTTGGATGAAGCCTTGGAAGAACAAAAAGCCACAGGAATTCAACTCATTTCGTCAAGCTCCATTAATGATCTTATAGAATTTTCCAGCTCCAACTACGAGCTTGAGTTTATGGAGCATCTCAAGAACCTCGCCGAAGACCTTGAATTGACTAATATGCATACTTACCAAAATCTTATCAAAGGGTACACCAAGTTAGACCAGTACGAAAAGGCAAACGAATTGATATATAAGGCACATTCATCAAGCGAAGTTCCATTCGCCAATGTGGACATTTACACGGCTCAGCTCAAGACCTATAGACATTGGATACGGAGGATTCCCGACCCCGAGCAGAAGCTTTTCTATCAGATCAAGCAGGCATTTATTGTAAGCTTGGTGACATTGAATCATATGAATAATATTTCTATCAGAAACAACTCGGGCCTTCATGTGGAGGTAATTGAATACTTTTTGTCGAGACATGATATTGAAAACGCTCAGAAAATGATGAACTTAAGTCAAAAAAGGGAGTTTTTGGCTGAACGACACTTCTTACCTTTCATGAAGTACCATTTGAGACAAAATACATACGAGTCATACGGCGAAATCTTAAATTTATACAGAAAAATGGTGGATCAACGTATTCAAATATCTACCAAGACTTACGTCTACTTGATGAAGGCACTAATATACTTGGATGGAATGAACAATAATAACGGGGAAAACGCATACAAATTGCTCAAGTCCATTTTCGAGATGAACGGATTGTCCTTGAAACCACAGACCTTGAGCAACACCACATCTAAAGTTATGATGATTGACATGATTGACAGGGCCGAAGACTTATTTAAAATAGTGGCTTCGTACGTCAATGACTTGGGAACTCATCAAAATGACATTGATATGTTGGTACACTTCTTAAATGAGATCAAGAAGATTTTGGGTGGAAAATTGAGTTTGCAGTTCAGATTTTTGATCTATAGAGAGATGAGTAAAATCTACCAGAAACAGAACAACTACTCATTGGCCGAAAATTTGATCGATAATGGTATTGAGGACCTCAGTGCAGTTGTACAGAAGTACACTCTTAGGTATCCTTTTGAAGACCATTTGGAGCCAATCCTTCCAGTAATGCTCGTCAAAGATTTGAGAAACTTGCTCAATACCAAAATAATGCTATTGGAATATGGAAGAAAGAGCCCTGCTGCCTATCTTCATATTCTTCAGCAATCATCAGACCAAGGTGTGAGATTATCAGGAACACAGTTTAATAGACTCTTCAAAGAAGTTTTGAAGGATGATATTACCCTCGATACTCTAAAATTGATTCTTTCCACATGTGAAAATCATCTCATTTCTGGAAACTGGGTAGAAGTCAAAATCATGAGAAAGCTTCAATTCATGTACAAACTTACCATGCTTCATTTATCACTGGGATTAGGGAACGACTCGACAATTCACAAATATCACATTTTAAGTGAATATTATGATGTGCACGAGCTCGGTGCTCTTAAAAGGGAATTGGCCTTTATTGGTGATTCTTTGCAGGCACTCGAGTATCAATTTGAAGCAAACAGAAAGACCCTCGATGCCCGTGGCTGGGACTTGGATAAGCTTCTCGAGAATATTCCAAGGTTCTTTATACCCGAGAGAAGAATCCGTTCAGCAAATAAAATTTCCCCCACAAATTGTTACCAGATATGGCTAGCACTACATCGCCATATCGGAACTGACCAGAGCATAGCATTCAAACTCATGGATGAGTTTCCCGAGACTTTAGAATTCTTGATGTACAATGAACCAGCAAGAATCAGATTGGGATTTTTCAGATCCAAGATAGATAAAATTCTTCCTCCAAGGCTAGACTACCAGGAGACATTCACACAAAGATACCAAAGAACAGAGTTAGCATTAAACAGTTTGAGAGACGTGGAACAGTCAATGATGGACTAGAAAATTGCATAATATTGTACATAGACCTAGGCAAACTAGAATAGACATTACGAATTAGTTGGTGTAGAATAATCTATTGACGAATGTATTTTCCATATTTTTCTAATCCTTGAACTACTAAGAACTTGAACCACTGGTTTAATAGGATTTTTGCGTCCACTCAAGATGCAGCAACTTTCTGATCAATTTGATGCTTGACGCATATCAAATTGCAGCGGTTGAGACATGTGAGTCAAAATGAACCATGAGGGATTAGCCCTTTGATGTGTTGTATGGCCAAAGGGAGTCAGCAACATACTGTTAATGGTGTATATTGCATAATATTTTGGTGTAGCAGGAATAAATAATTATTACCAGCTTCAATTCAACCATCCTACAGCTGCCTGTTTGATCTAGCGTATATTACACTGTGTTAACCCTATGGTACCGATTGGAGAGTGGCTTATTGGGATATGAGGAACCAGTCCAAGCCAGCCAAACGAGTAATAGTTCTAAATAAAATTTCATCGCAAGTCCAGACAGTGAAGACTATCCCTGGGTAAACCGCGGCATACGCTCAGGATGTCCTAACCGTTCGTCTCTTTACCTATGTCCTCCTGTGTTCTCTTTGGATTTCTGGAAGAGACAGAATAAATGGTTTGTTGATGTTGTTTCGGATAGACAAAACTAGTCCTTCTTTTTGATTGGGGCAAACTTGAATTCGCCAACCCCAGTTTCGCCAAATAACAAGGGGCCAATGTATGGTTGGATGTTCCACTCGAGCCTAACGATGGCGTCCCTCTCTCTGAACGACTTCTCCACGTCCCACACCGAATACTTGGATCTCTGGTTCTTCAACGATATCACTGCGTTGTCCTTGCTGGTGATGATCTTGTCCCAGTAGGTGACTCTGTTGGAAGAGCCCTCGCTCTTGCCTGGGTATTCAGCAGTTAAGTACACAAACACCTGCTTGGTGTTCCAATTGAATAAGGGGCTCAAGTCAGCATCCAAGCTGAACTGGATCTTGGAGTTTTCCTTGGGCTTTCTGTTGACCGACCCGTAGTTGAATGAATGCTTTATGTTGGCCAGGGACTGGATGTTGGTTATGGAAGTGGTGTTGATGGACCACACGCTGTTGGCATACAATTGGCCAAGTGTAATGAGTACGATTATGCCTGACAACACCACGGCCGACGAGAGGGCCAGGTTGGCCGCGTTTTGGACTCTGGTGGCAAGATTAAACATGTTTGGGGTTGATGTGTTCTGGCAATGTGTTCATAAGTTGGGGTGGTCGTGCGCGGGGGCGCGGAGGTCTAGGGAGAAAGTCTCGCTACGCGTAGCGAGACTTTGTCGGTAGTCCCGCTAGAGTCGCGGGCTGTGAGGCTAGAGATAATGATCATGAATATGACAACCTACACTGTAGTACGATAGCATGCACCCATGATGATATGGGTAGATATCCAGCTATTTGAAAACGAGCCGTAGCAGACCATTCTCATCGGCTCGTTCTACTCGGAGGTAATCAATTGTGTAATTCATTGGCATGCCTACTTGGAACAATTATTAGTGTATATTCATAACTACTCAGTTACCTTCGCCCCCAAGCTTCAACCATTCCTGGTAGAGCTTCTCCTGCTGTTGATACTGCTTCAATAACTTCTTCTTCATACTCTTGGTCACCTCTTCGCCCGCCTTGTCCTTGGTAGGAAGCCCTGACTCGTCCCATTCCGAGTACAAGTCGTTCTTGAACAAGTCCTTGGGGTTGACCTTCATCTTTGCCAACCTCTCGGCCTCTTTCTTTGCGTTGGCAGCTTGTTGCTGTTGCTTCTTCTTTTCCTTTTCCGCCAAGCCACGTTCCTTTTCTTCCTGTTGTTGGATCAATTGCAACTTCTCCTGTTCGTTGAGAAACTTCACCAAGGCTGATCCGTTGGGTCTATCATCTAAAGACACCCCCAAGTTGACCAATTCTTGCCTGATGGCATCGGTGGCCTTCAAGAATTCGGATGTCTCCGACTTGTTGATAGCCAAAGTTCTGACATTGTCACGGAATTGCGAGAAAGCCTTGACGTATGGAAGAGCGACGTCCTCCTTCGAGCCAGCAGAATCTTCTCCGCCGTTGGAATCGACCCATCCTAACTTATCTGATCTAGTCTCAAATCCCAAGATGTTCAATATTTTGACAATCCAGTTGGTGACTTGCAATACAACTTCTATGCGCAATTCAGATTCTCCAGTAGAAGTCTCTTGTAAGTAGGTGTTGGTTTTGGTAACCAAATCTTGGATCACTCTCAAGGCTTGAGAAGTTGACAAATTGTCACTGAATGCAAGATGCACTGCAGTTTGCGAATCGCTCAAGTCATTGTAAAGCTGCTTTTCCTTGGGGCCAACCTTCTTGGACACGTACTGTCCTTCGCTGATTTTATGCTTGTAGTCGTTGTTCAACGCTCTAACGTTTGTGAAGAACTTCGAAAACGAGGATTCGAAAGACTTGACTTCGTGGATCAAACTGTCCTTGAAGTCGAGAGGCTTGTCCCAGGAACTCAAGGCGAAAACCAATCTCAACTGTCTGCTGGAGAAGTCTTTGAGGGCTTGTTCGATGGTGATAAAGTTCTTCAAGGACTTGGACATTTTTTGGCCTTGGATATGCAAATGGCCATTGTGAAGGAAGTAGTTCACCCACTGCTTGTTGTTGAAGTATGCCTCGGATTGCGCCAACTCGTTGTCGTGATGTGGGAAACACAAATCCACACCACCCGAATGAATATCCATGGTTTCTCCTGTTATGTCGGAAGCCATCACAGAGCATTCAATATGCCAGCCTGGTCTTCCGTCACCCCATTTGGAGCTCCACGAAGGCTCACCAGGCTTGGAGGCCTTCCACAACGCGAAATCGGCTGGATTCTTCTTGGTGGCCTGTCCACTGGACAACGAGCCTTCACCGTCGTTAATCAACGACATGTCGCCCTTGTTCCATGGCTGCAACTTGGCATAATCGTGGTTGGAGTCATTTTCGAACTTGGCGGTGTCGAAGTAGACAGAGCCGTCGCTGGTAACGTAGGCAAACCCGTTGGTGATGATTTTGTCGACGTACTCGATGATGTCTGGAATGTACTCAGAAACTCTAGTGGTAATGGTGGATGGCAACACGTTCAACTTGGCCATGTCCTCGTCGAACTTCCTCTCCCAGTAGTAGGGCAACTTTCTGAAAATGGAAGGATCAGTCACCGTGGAGCCGAACTCAGCGTCCAAAGCAGGCATAGCGATGTCTTTGATGCTAGCCAAGTACTTGTCAAGAGCAGGTTGGTTGCCGTAGATGGCTCCGTGGGCCAATCTTGCGGCAGCAATGTACATGGGGAACTTTGGCTTGTCCTTGGCAATGGCAGCAACGTCGACCTGGTCAGCCCATTGGACGAAGGTGTTGATGTCTCCAGTGAATTCTGGCAAGTTCTTGGCCAAGTACGCCTGCAAATACTGCACGGCGTTGGCAGCCAACTGCTCCGACACGCTAGAGAACTGGGACACGATCTTCTCTTCAAACAAGTACTCCTGACGAGCGGCAATGATGATCTTGTCGTCGATGTCAGTGACGTTCTGGATGAACTTGACATTGTAGCCGAAGTAGTCCTGCAAGATTCTTCTGCAGAGGTCCGACGACACGTAGTTTCTAGCGTGGCCCATATGGGAGTGGTCGTAGACGGTTGGCCCACAGCAGTACCATGAGATGTGGCCTGGGACGATGGGCACGAACTCAGTCTTGGTTCTGGTCAAGGAATTGTAGAGCTTCAACGGCGTTTTAGACGCAGGAGGCTGAGGAGCGTGCCACTGGGGCTGCTGGACGGATTTCTTGACGGTGGTCATGGCGAAGGAGCTTATGGAGAGGGCTTGCCGCTTTCCAATCATACGGTTGGTGTAGCGCGTAAAAGAGTCATAAGGTGGTGGGGCTCGCGCGGGAGGTAGTGGGGAGGTACTGAGAGCTAGTGAGAGATAGCGAGAGCCATTGAGGGCCAGTGAGCAGCTCAATTAGGCGGTGAAGAAGTAGCTAGGAACGACACAGCCAAGGGTACCAATGGATGGCCCTTACATCTCCATTGCCACCTGGCAGTCCATGACGACGCGCCCAGCGTACTGTGCTGTGGATTCATCTCGTGGGCCTGCCACAGTGCTGCGATCATTCCACCACGATCCCACTGCGAGTCTCGCTACTATCTCAGCACGGTGCCACTTCTACGAGAGCTCTGCCACACGAGACACAACGTCCAGGTTGGTCCATTGTGTCTTCCGTGTCAGACTTCAGCGACGTTCTACGTGCATCCACAGCCAGTGCTAGTGGCATGCCAATTCTAGCACATGCCAGTACTTGTACCAGTGCTGGTGCAATCTAATACTTTATTGGCGATGTGTGTTTCAGACGTCCTATACGGGCTTACTGTTAGTACGTATTTCAGATATAGGTTGGTCGCATGGCATGAGCCCACTTAATGAAACTAGGCGTGTTTCGTGTAGCCCCCTCTAGAACGCAAATTATTGGTCATCATTATACATACAATTGAGTGGTGGGTGGTGATAGCACCACCAGCCCGTGGCTTTTATACTAACAGTCGCATCGGGGCACCAGCCCTAACCCCATACCTCACTCACGTGCACAAATTCCTGCACCCGTCCCTCATCCTCACCACCCGTCCGGGTAAGGCGCACTTCCTGGCTCGCGCACCGATACTACCATGAAAAATTTGTAAAGATATATTTACTCAAACTTGTTACTAGTTGAATAACCAGAATAGTATACGATGTCTACATACACCACTGTTAAAGCTTCCAACTGGAGATTCGTTGAGTTGGGCCGTGTTGTTTTGATTAACAACAAGGACTTAGCCACTATCGTTGAAATCATCGACCAAAAGAGAGTATGTACCGATGGAGTCCTCCACGAAGTCAAGTCCTAGAGACCCTATCCCCATCCGTCCACACACAGTCAGAATCCGCTGGGTCTCTAGAACATGCCTGAATCACCCCCGAACATTACTAACAATATAGGTCTTAGTTGATGGTCCAAAGATCCAAAGACAAGCCATTGCCTTGGCCAAGGTTGTCTTGACCCCAATTGTCTTACCAAACTTACCAAGAGGTTCCAGAACCGCCACCGTCACCAAGAAGTGGGCTGCTGCTGACATTGACGCCAAGTGGGCTGCTTCCGCCTGGGCTAAGAAGTTGGCCTCCAAGGAAAGAAGATCCCAATTATCCGACTTCGAAAGATTCCAAGTCTTGGTCTTGAAGAAGCAAAGAAGATTTGCTGTCAAGAAGGCTGTCGCTAAGGCTTAAACATCTAAGAATATCCACTATCGATAAATTATCTTTTTCATATCTGCTTATATGTGTGTATTCTAGTTTCTAATAGGGTATCATAGTTAGGTCTTCTTTAATGTTCACGTCAATAATTATACGTTATAGAAGAGAGTAGAAGTGTCGAGCTTGTGTTAGGGTGCATATTGGTGTGTTCTTACTTTGGCTCGGTGTAGATCTGTGAAAAGGTTCCAAAAAACTCGCCCAGTTGGTCAAAATCACGTGACTTCAGGTTCAGGCGTCAATATCCAAGAATGGTTGACAAAGTAGACAGCAAGCCTGGGGTTGGACAGTGGCAATACTCTACTCAGTAATCTGCCAAGTAGCATCGATGGGATTTTTTTTGTACCACCTTTTCCCCCACTCTATTCTAGAACCTACAATAAAGCCTTATGAATGGATAACTAAATCCACCATGATCCGTAGTTATGGCCTCTAAAATGCTCCAACAGACACTACAACCTTCTGGCTGATAACATGTTGGCTGGTCTCCCAGCGAACTCTATTAGAGGAGCAACCCTCCCTTATTTACAAGAACTATATACCACTATTTTTTCGCAGCCAAACTCTTTTCATGCTCCTCGATCAATTGTCTTTGCAATTGTGGAGCACATTGAGCATACTTCAAGAACTCCAAGCTGAACTCTCCCTTACCTTGGGTACATGCTCTCAAGGCGGTTGAGAAACCAAACATAGAGTTCAAGGAACATTCAGCAATCACTGTGAAGTCATCGTTGGAGTTTAATGACTCGATGATCATTCCTCCTAACTTGTTGACCAAACCCATAACACTTCCTTGGAATTCAAGAGGAGCATTGACTTCAACAGACATGATAGGTTCCAAAATGACTGGTTGAGCATCCAAGAAGGCCTGTCTAAAAGCACCGTAGGTAGCGAGCTTGAACGCAAGTTCAGAAGAATCGACAGTATGGGTAGCACCATCATTGACGTGCATGTGAACACCCAAAACCTTGTGGCCAATCAAAGGACCCTTCTCCAAGCAGTCGTCGAACCCCTTGGAACAAGCCAACAAGTACTTCTCACTAATCTTACCCCCAATGATGTGTTGGGAGAACTTGTTTTGACCACCCTCAATTGGGGACATTTCACCCATAACTCTACCGAATTGACCAGCACCACCAGATTGCTTCTTGTGGGTGTAGTCAAAGGTGGTTGGAACGGTGATAGCTTCACGGTAAGAGACCTGGGGCTTACCAGTCACACACTCGATACCGTATTCTCTCTTGATTCTTTCGACGTAGATTTCCAAGTGCAATTCACCCATACCACTGATGACAGTTTCCTTTGACTCGTTATCGAACTTGACTCTGAAGGTAGGATCTTCCTTCTGGAATCTGTTCATGGCCTTGGAGAAAGCACCATTGTCCTTGGACTTTGGTGCAATACTCAACGAAATCACGGCTTCAGGGACGAACATACTACTCATAGCAATCTTCTTTTCACTGTTGGTACCGATGAAAGTGTCACCAGAGGCGCAATCAATTCCAAAAGTGGCACAAATCTCACCAGAACCAATTTCATCAACATCTTCCATATCGTTGGAGTGCATCTTCACTAATCTGGAGACCTTGACTTTCTTACCACTCTTCAAGTGGGTGATGTAGCCACCCTTCTTCAACTTACCTTGGTAAACTCTGATATAGGTTAATTGACCGTACTTTCCTTCTTCCAACTTGAAAGCCAAACCAACAAACGAGGAAGTAGAAGATGGAACCAAGTTAACTGGCTTTTCTTCGGCAGTTTCACCTTCAGTGACATCCAAACCCTTGTTGAGAATTTCGTTGGGCTTTGGAAGGTAATCCACAATAGCGTCCAACACAGGTTGAATACCCTTGTTGGCCAAAGCAGAACCCATCAACACAGGAGTGAACTTTCTGGCAATGGTAGATCTTCTAATGGCATCCTTAATTTGTTCAGTAGATGGTTCTTCTCCTTCCAAGTACAAGTCAGCGATTTCTTCATCAACATCTGCCAATGTCTCGATCAACAAAGCTCTCTTTTCCTCAACAATTTCTTCCAACTCTTGTGGAACCTTGTCCTGTCTGATAATTTCACCGTTGTCACCTTCGTTGTACAAGGCGACTCTGTCAATAATGTTGACGACACCCTTGTGGTTGTCTTCTAAACCGATAGGAACTTGGATGGCAGCAGCAGGGATCTTCAACTTTTGGTTGATCATGTCGATGACCTTGAATGGGTTGGATCCCATACGGTCCATCTTATTGATGAAGGTGATTCTTGGAATGTTGTATCTACGCATCTGTCTGTCAACAGTGACAGTTTGGGATTGCACACCAGAAACGGCACAAACAACCAAAACAGCACCATCCAAGACTCTCAAGGCTCTTTCGACTTCGATGGTGAAATCAATGTGTCCTGGAGTATCAATAAGATTGAAGCTGTAGTCCTGGTTGTCCTTGTTCCAAGAACAGTAAGTTGCAGCAGACTGGATGGTGATACCCTTTTCTCTTTCCAACTCCATATGGTCCATCTTGGCACCGACTGAATCACGTCCTCTGACTTCATGAATGGCCTTGATTCTACCGGTATAGTACAAGACTCTTTCGGTGAAAGTGGTTTTTCCCGAGTCAATATGGGCAGAGATACCGATGTTTCTCATTCTGTCAAGTTTGTTGACATCTTCGGGACTCAAGGTGGTGTTTATCTCATCGATGATGGCCTTTTCCTCTTCGTAGGTTTGGGGCAAAGTCTTCAAGATTTCGTTTCTTAAAAACGAGGTGGTATGAAAGTGGCTGATTTTGGAGCTAATCGGTCTGGCGACAGCCCGGTTGAATGCTCTGAGCCGGGGAAGATGAAGGAAACTCATTGCTTGACCAGAATAAGTTTGGGAAGCGAAATTTTTCAGTATCGAGAAAGTCACGTGGGGCTGATCCAGCCAACTAGCGGTAGCTGATTTACGACCACGCCACCTAAGCGGAACAGGCAGTGTACCGGGCCTACTAAGGATACGAGCACTACGATGGCGTGTCAATATTGTATGAACGTGTAGTGGGTGCTCAGAGCTTTGGGTATCCCTTTCTAGCGATGTGGTCACTTTATGGAACAGAACACCAGGTGTGCTACAACAGCGTATCGTCATTGTATTTACATAGCATGTCTAGGAATATTCTATTGAAGACCACAGTTCTATTCAAATGTCTAGCCCAAGGAATTAAATAAGGAAGTCAATTTTTTTTTGCTAATGGGAAGTGTATTCTAATCTACTTTCTGACAAACCAACCAGATATTTCATGCAAAAAATTCAGAATTAAAAGCAACAAAAGCAAACAAAGCGGACCTAATCTCTAGGCTTGACAGGACCAAGTCCATTGACGTTTCTGAACATCATGACGCCCTTGGCGTCGTCCTTGTCGTCGTCAACGAACTGACACATTCTCATGCACTTCCACAACGAGTACCACATGCTCTCACCCTCGTATCTGTAGTGATCGCCCATGACCTTTCTAATGGCATCGGTGGCCTCTCTTGCGTTGTAGAAGGGAATTCTGGAGACGTAATGGTGCAAGACGTGGGTCTCGATGATATCGTGGAAAATGTGCTGGCCAATGAAGCCAAAGTTTCGGTCGATAGTGGCAGCAGCACCTCTGGCAAATGTCCATTCGTTAGGCTTGTAGTGGGGCATGCTTGGGTCGGTGTGTTGCAAGAAGGTAACGAACACCAACCAGTGGTTGACCCAGCACCAAGGCATGAACCAGTTGACAAACATGTTGAAAAAGCCGAAGTTCTTGTACCATTGGTACACCATGGTGAAGGTCAAACCAATACCAATGTCACTCAAGATGATGTACCAGAAGTGGTGCTTGTCAAAAACAGGGGACTTTGGCGCGTAATGGGACTTGGCAATTCTAGAGTAACCACTGTAAGGCTGACCAGTGGCGTTGGTAGCCAAGTACAACTGCAAACCACCCAACTGCTGGAAGAGCAACACCAGGAAACTCCAGATGGGCGACTCCTCCATGACCTCAGAGATCTTGGACACGCCTCTGGCCTCGACGTACTCCTCCTTAGTGTAGGGAACGAACACCATGTCCTTGGTCATGTGGCCTGTGGCCTTGTGGTGCTTCGCGTGCGAGAACTTCCACGAGAAGTAGGGCACAATCAAGTACGAGTGCAACACCCAGCCAACGAAGTCGTTGATGTTCTGGTAGTCGGAGAACGCACCATGACCACACTCGTGGGCCAAGATCCACAATCCGAACCCGAACAATCCCAAGGCGTACGAGTAGCCCATCCACAACAACCCTCTGGCCACAGTGGAGGCGTCTTCGTGCCCGGCAAAATCGACCATGGGGATGTACTTCTGGCCCACGTACCCGATGGCAACCATCAGGACGATGTCACGAGCAACATAGCCGAGCGATCTGACCAACGATCTCTCGTAACAGTGCTTGGGGATCGAGGAAAGGATGTCCTTGATGGTGTAGTCTGGCACCTTGAACTCCCTTCCGTAGGTGTCCACGGTGGTGAGGTTGGACGAGGGAGAAGACACGGAGGTCTCTTTGGACACGGAAGTAACCGACACGCCGGTGGCTTCAACGACAGACATTACGGTGCAGAAGAAATGTCTAGAGGTGGATGGCCCGCACTTAAATCACACCAAAAAAGAAAAGTGAGCCATCGCGAAAATTGATCCAGAGTCCAGGGCACAAAGCGAAGCGAGGTGGTGGTGGGAGGCTGTGGAAGTGCACAGGCTCGGGTGGACGGGTACAGAAGGCGGAGGCACGCTGGGGGGGGGCTACTGCTGGTGGTGGTGCTACTGTGGTGCTTCTGGCAGGGGAGGGCCGGGAGAGCGGTGGTGCTACTGGGACCAGTTGGTGGTGGGGCCATGCGCCTGGCTGCGGACCAATGACTGGCAGGATAAGGTAAGTGCGCCGGGTGAACCAAAAATCCCGAGGCCTGAGCGAGTATGGGATTTAAGGGGGTAGGAACATGGGCTTGTAGAGGAAGGCGTGTACGTCCTCGGGCGGAATTGGCCAAAACCACTCGTGGGCTCTGACTCGTGTCCTGTGGCCTGGAAACGCCTGTGATTTTCGAGACGGAAAATCGCGAAAGACAATAGATGCTTAGCCAATAGCAGCATGCATCTCGCTATAGTGCGAGGCATGGGAACATCCTGGAGCAAGGGGATGCACTCTTGGGGTGCTCTGGAGCTGAAGGCTACCAGAAGAGGGTCGTAACGGTTTCTGGTAGTTTTTGCCATTTTTTTCTGCTTTTTTCCATAATTAAGCATGTAGACCACCGGGCTTTGACCGGGCCAGTTCGTGCAATTACAGGTTTTCACCACAAGTGTCAAACTTGGCACGAAGCAAGTACAACCAGCTAATATCCTATGGGCTTGTAGACAGATTCCCCTTCTATTGATTTCGGTGCTAGTTCTTTGTCGTTGGCTTGTAGATTTATGGGCTTGTAGAATACCAGTCTATAAGTTGAAATGGTGTAAGAACCCCTACAACCCCGCAACCCCTAAAACACCCTGGTGGTGGATGGCACTCATCCCTGTAGTGAAAAGTTAATCAGCATTTTGAATTTGGTGGTGGCATCAACTGACCATAATCTTAGACAGATGCCCCCCAAATGGATCTCACCACCGTTTATGCCTAATTAGGAGATTATTACACATGTCTCCACTACGCCAACCTTCAAAAAGGGAGTTGTCAAACAGGAATGTGGAGCTACCATAGTTGCAGAAAATATTGACATACGCCCTTCAAAAAGCATATGTTTCAAGCATCTTCAAGATGCCTGTACCTCTCTGTTTCACTCATCTTTCAAGGGGTAAGAATCTCGCTTCTGCGTTTCCCAATTGGAGATGGTATGCGCGTAAAAACTGCCCTTTAGAAAGCTCATTATCAGCTAGGCCAACTACTCTACCTGTTGTGCAAGAGAAGCATATCACCGCCGACTCATGCCATTGCCAGGGCTCCACAAAGAGATTCCTCAATAGCGTGGGGCGTTGACAGAACCTTTGTTAGTGCACGCTGGTGCTTTGTTTTACACCTACATCCGTACTTCTTTTACTCCTCTTTTGTCATTCCTAAATCCCAAACAGGTAAAATCGTCGATGTACCGGCTCGCTTCGCTGACACCAGGAATGCCAGGCTTCTAGACTTATCACACTAGCAAAGTGGGAAAGGATGTCCCCACGGAGTATCTGGGCTAGGAGTTACTACGCAATCCAGCTTGTCATACCTCTGGATGCTGCCAGATGATGCCAGTAATAGTCTCTTCTGGTTCAGTTGCACCAATTAGAATTAGAGCCTTGCTGCAATCAATTAACAGCCACAGCAAAGGAATGAATCCAACCTAATTATCCTAACCAAGTAACGTCAATTTTATGCATAGGCCCGGCTCCAGTCAAGGCATTTGTAAAGATTTACTCTCCCATTTCCCAATTTGCTTTTAAAACTTTCCGAAGGTCTATTTCAGTTGCATCCCCACATACCATCACGACTGCATCTCTCGTAAAAATATGGCGTTTGATGGTTTGGTTGGGGGAAGACTGTTATACTAATTAGGAAATGTATTCTGCATACTATTTTTATCTTCGCACCCCAATAGCTCCCAATAGTTAAGGTTGGTAGCATTGACGGTGCCAGCAGGGGCCAGTATGGCACGAGAACCTTCCTGGGCACCCAGTGTACCTGGACGCATCCTACGGCTGGGTTGCTGAGGCGGAGATAACTCCTTCGACCTGCGTTCTTGTGATGAAGCGATAAAAATATCATTCTCTGCTAGCAGTGAGGGGACTAATGCTTTTCAAACAGGCAAGTCGAGTGGAGAATCCAACGTCGGGGGATATTAATTCTAACAGCTATTGACCATGTCATGAGCTTGTTCAGTACTGTAGTCCTGATTGGGGGAGATGGTGGTCCCCTCGCAAGAGCCACCCCATCGCGTCCAGCCATAGTTTCACCTCCTTAAGCATCCTGCTCTTTACCATTTTAGGCACTGTAGGGGCATACTGCGGTTAAACATGCGCCAAACCTATAGTACTGAGGTCGTCATAGACAATTGCCCTTTTCCGCAAACAGTTCTTGGGCCCTCGCAGTAAAAGTGAGAACTTCCTAATTGGGAAAGGTTTTGGAACCCACTTACACTACCAAATCAGGAAATTGTATCTACGAGCATTTTGCGACCATACTACCCAACTTGGAGAGAAACAATAGGAACATTTCTTCACAAGTTTCCTAATCAAGTTATGACCATGGTCGAGCACAGAGAATACGGGCCCCAGATGGTCCTCGAGAGGATTATAAATATGTTACGATTTCTGCTCCTAGTTGTTCTTTTTTTCTATCATCAATCTACTCAGTTGTCTTTCAACACTAACACATCCAAACAAACACTACTCGCTATACAATGAAGTTCGCTCAAGCCACCTTAGTAGCCATCCTCGCTTCCTGCGCTGTCGTCGGCGCTGCCCCAGTTGCCCCAATTGCCTCCTCTGAAACCACCATGGTTAAGAGAGTTGACCTCAACGAAGTCCTCGACCTTTTGAGCGAACTTAAGAGCTTCAACACCAAGAGAGGTGAACTTTCCCCAGAAGAAGAATTGCAATTCATCTCCAAGAGAGACGGTGTCATCTCCAACTTGATCAGTGCCTTGGCCAACTCCGGTATCATCGGTGACGTTTTCAACACCTTGACTTCCGACCCACAAATCTCTGCATCTATTGGTGCTATCATCAAGGCCACCCTCCAAACCGCCATTGTCCAAGCTCCACAATTGTTGACTGCTATCTGGAACTCCGGTTTGTTGCAAAAGTTGTTCAACACCCTCCTTAACGACACTGACTTGAGAAACGCTTTGCTCGCTGCTGGTGAATCTCTTATCTCCTCCGTCATTGGTCTCCTCACCGGTTCCCTCGGTGGCTCTTCTACCCCAGCTCCAGCTCCATCTCCAGCTCCAGCTCCAGCTCCAGCCAAGAGAGAATTGACCGATGAAGAATACGTCAGCAAGAGAGACTTGGCCTCTATCATTGGCACTATTGTCTCTGAAATCAAGGACTCCGGTTACGTTCAAAACATCGTCCAAAACGCTTTGGCCAACCCAGAACAATCTATTGGTTTCTTGACCTCTGCCTTCAAGAACGGTGTTGTCATCTTCGAAGATGTCTACGACTGGGCCAAGCAATCCGGTTTGTTGAACTCCCTTATCAGCTCTTTGGCTTCTTCTAACAGCGGTATTCTTTCCGAATTGGCCTCTTTCGTTGGTGGTCAACTTGACAACTCCTCCTCTTCCGCATCTGCTGCCTCTGCTGCTTCCCCAGCTTCCGGTGCTTCTATCAACGCTTCCGGTGCTGCTGCCGTCCCAGTTGCCACTGCCCCAGCCTCTACTGGTGCTTCCAGTGCTGCTCCAGCCAACAACAACGACAACGATGTCTACGCTCAATTAGCTGCTCAATACGGTGGTTCTTCTTCTTCCAAGAAGAGAAGAAACTACTAAGCGTACCACTTACCATTTGAAGGATGGTTTGATGACTCGCTATGAACAACAAAATTATGAGCATGAACCTACTGCTTGACATTGCAACCAGAAAATACCCATTTACGACTTAGGATTTCCTTTTAATAGTTGATTTCCTATACTGGTTTGCGTTGGTGGTACTATTCGGCTTTCTTCGGCTCGTTTGCCAGATTATTTCGGTTGACCAGAGTCCAGACTCTGGTTATCTTTAGCTGTTTGATTTAATTCTCCACATTATTAATATTTTTATTTATTGAAATAAACGTTAGAAAGAAAAACCCGGCTTTGCCACTAGTAGAATCCTGATTGTGAATAGTAGAGTTATACTTGAGCATAATAATTACACTGTCATTTAAATTGCGAGGGGAAACAAAAAAATATCGCCAAAACTTAGCAACTTTTAGCAAAAAGGTTCAAGATCTACCGAGATAATGCAGCCGAAGTTTTATGAGCCTAACAAATTGATCTTATTTCTAAGGTCGGCTGCATGTGCATGTATCAAGAACTGAAAATACTTGTCTGTTCGGTTCTGGAGAAAGATCTTCCCTGAGAGGATTATTTATCAGCCAACCTGGATTAAGATCTTGTAAGTTGGTGGCTGTAAGGAAGTAAATTTTCAAAATGGAGATGAGGACAGTTTGCCAACAATCCCAGCCGCACGTCTCACCAGGACTGCATTCCATTGACAAAAGACAAATTTTCAGTGCCAATGGGATGGACTCCTGAACCCCAGACCCCGGCGAGAGAGTCTACAACAGACATCTAGACTAGTCTACGGGCGTGCTTATACGTGCAACTCAAAGGGAGTCAACCAGGTGTCTAGAACAAAGATAGGAAAAGAAGCTTCCACCACTCCTGTAGAAGTCTGAGAAAGGCTATTATGAGCTGATAAATTAACTCTAAGTATTGAGAGTTATGCCAAATTTGGCAGGTGCGATTCTTGTCAGCAAACAGACGAAAATATCTCGATGTCAACTGGTTGGAGCGTGTTGACGTTCTGGCAAAAGGCAAGTTGTTCCGACCCCATCGTGTGATGGTTCTTATCTTAAGAGTACCGGCAGCTTGTGCCAGCCTGTTTAGAGTTGCGATCGACTGACAAGTGCATCGACACCTTCTGGCTATAATCTGCAGAACATCTAGATTGGCACGTGCGACAACCAGTCCTCCAACGCGAGACATGTCCCGCCAGTGGGTGGGTAAGTGGCTAGGGCGAGGTGACCGGGGCGAAGGAACTGATAGCCAGAAGCCCAGGTCCGGTACGCCGTTACAGGAGAGGCATGCTTGGCAGCGATTTTTCTTCGTTTCCCGCGTTGCTCCTTCGGGGTCTGGAGTTGCGGTGCGTATTACCCAATTTCTTCTTTCGCGACACACAGCATCGCCTCGACGTCGCAGCACACCTCGAAATATGCGATCTGAAGCCATTATCACGGGAAGACAGTCATTAGAGCACGAATGTAACCAAAATTTCACTCATATTATATATTATCCACAGCGATAGACCCTGTGGGTGACGTAGGGGGGAGCACGAAGGGGCTCACCAAGATAGGTGAGGCCCAAAGCGCAAATTTCACATTGGTTCCGTAGCTGGTGGGACCACCAGGCCATTTTTCCCCTGTGAGCCCACCACCACCAGTCGCTTCGCTGCAGATGGCGAGATGCCTTCTCCGATACCACACCTCGTGGTACCCCTAGAGCCCACTATAGCCGGGAATCGGATCTACGATAGGGTGGTCGATTACTCACCCTACAGGTGCGAATTTCAGGTTATTTCACCGAACGCCGTCGGACCCTGAAACTCGGTGGACACGGCAGGGGTGGTCTAGCGACCCACGCAGCAGGATTCCACTGCTGTCTTCTGCGTCTGCCGTTGGTGCATGAGTCTGCGCCGGGTAGTGGCCCGAGAAGTGAGACGACCCGTTCTCTGGCGATGCCTCCTGGGCTCTTCGAGTCCCAGCCCGGTACCTTACCCTCTCCGCACACGATCCCCTGGCATCCGATTCCCGTGGCCACGGGCCCATAAACTGTTTACTGTTGAACAAAGGGCTGACTACTGCATGCATTGTGGGATTTTCTAAAAGTCAGAGGCGTATTATCCCGGTTTGTAACGGGTCTACATTTGTTGGCACAGGAGAATTTCACAATAGACACGACCGTAACGCTCGTAATATTTTCTGGCACGGGAGGTCGTCTAATTGGGTTCTATTGTTCGCGTAACGCACCTCGCATGTTCTATGCGTATACGTAGTAGATGTGGGAGGAACCCTCAAAGTGGGTTGATCAATATAAATAGTGGGGTGATCCTCATGGTTTCCAGCTATAACAAGTCCTCGCTCCCACCGCTCTCACCATGTTATACGCTTTAGCTACTCCCGGCTCCGCCTTCAAGCCTTCGCTCAAGAAAATGTCCAACACCTGGAGATTGCAGAAGTTCAAGACCATCTACCTCGAGAAGGGTGGTAGTCCCAACAGCTCGGGTGCCAGCTCGGCCAAGAGCACCGCTAGCATCGAAAGCTCGAGCTCCGAGTCCGTGCCCCACCTCAACTCCAAAGAGTACTTTGTGCTCTAGCTGCTTCGAGAATCACCGTGATTTCTTAATGCTGACCTCACCAAGCGAGTCTTGCTGGCGAGGCTCGCCTGCAAGGTTGATGTATGTCAACCCCACTCAATAGTATAACCTAATATAATATTCTTTCGTGTTCTGCCGTAGGCGTCACAATGTGGCAGTCCCCACGCTGGGCTAGGCGAGATAACTAAGCATCCTGCCACAAAATAGCCCAAGGAGCCGCAATTTTGCCCAGGCGAGGACGGGAGCCACCCCCGAATAACCGACGATACACCCGGTTCTATTTCTCGCCGTTGCAGGGGTATACTTGCCTCAGCACGCAGAATCTCCTAAGCAGTCTTCGCTGGACCTTCGCCAACGCCTTGGAATTATTGCTCTAATACAACGCCGTGTAACATCGAGTGCAGGCGTCTCTACACTTGAATTGCGTGCTGCGAGACCCGTTTCCAGAAAAATTTATGCATATGCGAGCAGTGACGCGGAACACCTAGCCAAAATAACGGGCATCCGAGCCTGTTTACGAAAATAGCTTGCACCAACGGGTGACGTGCGGTCAAAGAGGAATGCTATTATGCCGCGCTACTGCGGGTTTTATGTAGGTGCTATATAAATAATAACTATGGAGTTGAGCCAGAACCCTCGGAGTAGTCCTCGTCAACATGCTTTTCTGCGTTGGCAGGGTCCCATGCGGCGCTGGGAACACTTAAGCCACCGCCCATGCCAGAACCAGGACGCATGCCAAGTGCAGTCTCGTGGTTTCTGCGGTCTCTTTCGTATTCTCTCCATCTCTTCATGATAATGTGCGAGGAGTCAAAAACACCCTCGCTGGCTCCGTGGTTACCCTTGTCACCACCTTGGACAACTCTGGTTTCACCCCAACTGAAATCGTCGAATTTCCAGAATGCATAAACGGGCAACACAAAATTCCAGATGGGCAATGCAATAAGGTAGATAAAGAAGTAGACCACGTAGACAAACGAGGACACCGTGATCACAATCAAGAGACCAGGTAGACCGAACACAACAGCCAAGAGAACCAACGACATCACAGGGGTGGGTTTGGAAACAATTGCAACAATAATCACGTACAACGTGAAACAGATGGCGGCTGGTAACACCAAGGTACCAACCAAATCAATGAAGACAACAAACTGCATGGAGAAGCAGAATGTACCACACAAATCCTTAACCAATACTAACTCCATCAAGTTATGCACGGTAGAGTTGATCCAACGACGACGTTGCGATAACAACACCTTGAAGGTATCTGGTACAACAGTCTTACAAGCAGCCTTGGACACGAACACTTGCTTTCTCTTGGGGAAGGTTCTCAACATCAACGAAGAAAGGTAACGATCTTCACCCAACAACAACAAATTCTTTCTGTGCAAAGTATCAACAACATTATCCGAGTATCTTTCAACAATATCAGGGTTGGCCAAAATTGGAACCCAATAGCCGTTCTTACCCTTGGGTGCTTTGATACGGTACATACAGAAACAACCAGGCAAACATGTAACACCACCGAAAATTGACTCGAAAGCCTTGGATTGATGGTGTGAAATGTAATATTCAAAAACTTGAATAGCAGTGACCCAAGAACCTCTCTTGTTCGCAATCTTTGTTTCACCACACAAACCCATGATCAGAGGATCTTTAACCATTTCTGCAACCATGTGGGTCAAACTATCAGGGTAAACCTTAGAATCGGCATCAACCATAAGAACGATTTCATAGAACTCGGCCATCATTCCAGTAACTCTCCAAATATTGTTCAACAATGTGTATTCCATTTCAGTCATTCTTTCATCAAACATAACCTTCTGCAAGAAAGACATCAAAATGATCTGAGAATCACGCTTACCTCTGTTACCTGGTTTTGCGGATCCTGCTTCTTCTGGAGTACCACATTTAACGATAGTAATAACTGGAACTCTTTGTTGCTTTTCAGGGGGAACAGTGTTATCGTCATATTTATAGAATCCGGCGTAAACCTTGGCCATATTGTGACGTTTTGAACCTTGCGCAACTGCAACATAAGAGTGAGGTTGGACTTCATCAACAGGAATAGTAAAGTCGGACATCATACCTAAGGCAATATCAGGAGTGGTCCTATCGTTACCAGAACCTTTGATAATACCATCACAGACAATAAGCATTAACTTGTGGGAGTTTGGGAAATCAGTAGTGGCAACGGAGTCTAACGTGGTACGCAAACCCAGCTCATCTTCAGAATAACAGGTAACAAGACAGATTGTGTGTGCCAATGGGAAGGCAAAAGGTTGATATTCCACAGGAGGTTGAGGTACCACGTCTGGGTGAATAATATCTGGTGATAAACCGTTAACTTGATATGAGTCTTCATAAGTATTGAATGGATTGTAGGATGAAGTGGGTCTACCTAATAAGTCAGAAGAAGAACCGTGATCATTCAAATAAAGTGTGGATTGCCTAGTACCTGTTGACTTCATGGCATTTCTCTTCGAGTTAAGATTAGAACTTCCAAGCAAGGCGGCTTGTGTCGACATGGTGGTGTATTGAAACGATTTGGATAACTTTTCTGGATGGTCGTAGTACTGTGACAACTCTGGAGCATCCAACTTGATGTTGGATCTGACGAAAATACTCTGTCTATTGGTCTTGCTTGCCTTATAGTTGGCTCTAGCCTTAACTGGAACTTCTTTTATAGCACCGACGGGGTTTCCTGAATTTTCCAGCCAATCTTCAATTTGCTTGTTTCTCTTGGCCCATGACTTGGCGTCCATGGTGCTAACACCTTGTTTTCTAGCTACTACCCATCTGTAGTAACAGGCAAAAATAAATCTGACAAAGACAACGGCCAAGATGAAAATTAACGAGAAGTACAACACGACACTGGAAGCAAGACATCCAATGGTGTCTGAATCGATGGTACCAACCTTGACGATTTCAGTCAAACATCTAGCAGCTTGTCTTTGGGCAGAGTTAGTCAACACTAGGGAGATATCGTGACCCGAGAAGGTCTTGTCATCCTTCAATTGGTCAAACAATTCGGGGTAGTTGAGTTGATCTTTCGAAATCCAATCGATCAAATCAAGATCCAAAACATTACCAGAATAAACCACCAAGTTTCTAGAACTGTTTCTAATATCATCCCACGTGAAATACACATCACCGTGTGCTTTTAAATTGTAGTACGCAGATCTAGCCCTATCACTTGTGTGACATGCCCAACCATCGTAGTACACCTGGGAGGTGTTTGGGGAAGTGGAGCCGTCCTGGGCAAATGTACGACATGGCATGTACCAGGCCAAGTCATCGCCATCAGTGGGAATTCTGTTACCTTCCTTGGGGGTGATTAAGTTCTTGCAGTTACCGTTGACGTTTTGGAAGAGGAAAGAAGCATCACGTCCACCAGCATCGACTGGGGGGTATAAGATGTTGGTTCCTCCTTGGATACCTGCAGCAGCAGGGTGACTGGAACGGTCCAAATCGTAAGTCTTACCATTGATGATCAAAAAACCTTTGGGGACCCTGTTGTTTCTAGTACGAACTTGGCTGTCGTAACATACAGTTCTGGTGAAACCGAAACAAATATAGGCCACGATGGCTCCGAGGTATAGAATACAGGTGATTAAGCCTATTTTTTCTCTCCAGGCAAACTGTCTGTCCTTGGTTTTGAGGCCAAACAACTTGAGGAGCGGCGCAGGCGCCCAGAAGGTGATGGCGTAGCAGTAGGCCTTCCAGAAGTAAATGTCATGCTTTGGTTTTTCCTCAGCAACAGGCTTGGTGGGCTTGGAGATGACGTTTTTTCTGGCAGGCGTGTTGTAGCCGTACTCGTCGTTCAAGCCGTAGACCTCGCGGCCCTCAGCCTTGGCGCTGCTGTTGTGGGAAGTCTTGCTTCCGCCAGGAGAACCGTCATGGATATCCATCAACGGAATTCCCTCGTCGTCATCCTCGTCGCTATGGGGTATATTGGACTTTCTCTTGGAGTGGTACGAGTGCGAGGGGCTGAGGTGATTCTCGTGAGGCACCTGGGGGTCCAAACCTGTAGAAGACGGTTGGATCTTCAAGTGGTTGGCTTCCTGCTGGGCCACCTGGGTGTAGTGGTAGCGCGGGTGGTTGGCATCAATTCTGGATCTTTCTGGCTTGACAAGCGACTTCTTTCTCGAGAGGTCGCCCGACTCGGGATCGAACTCCGTGTACTTGTTGGAGTTAGCGCTGTTTCTGTAGGAAGAAGACATGGCGGGTGTGGGAGCGAAGGACAAATCGACGGCAGTCGAAGGAAAAACACGGCAGTAAACGGCTGGTGACGGTGTGGGGGTCTCTAGGCCAGTACGGGTGGTTTTTTGACTTTGGTGGGGATGTCCAGCGGACGGATCGGTAAAAGCTGGTGGGTGTAGCAGAAAAGTTTTGAGCGGTTAGATCATATATAAAAGGAAGGTTGCACAAAGCCGCACGGAAACATAAACAAAAAAGGAGATTTCCAGGGCGGAGCGGCAGGGGGGATGGCGCCCAGCGACAACAGCAACCGAAGGGTGCGGGAGCAGGTAGCGGGAGCTTGTAGCGGGAAATTGGCGCCAGAGGTAGTACGACAATAGCGGGGGCTAGCGGGAGAACTACACTGGTGGTGGGAATCTGTAGTGGAATCCCGATGCAGGGGGAGTAATTAGTGGCTTAACGCGCTGAGCCTCTAGTGGGGGAGTCGCAGGGAGATTGCGGGAGCACCAATCGCAGGAGGCGCTAGGGCCATGATCACCCTATTTCGCACCAGCAGTCGTGGTAGGAGGGACGATGGCCTCATCGATAGGGAGCGGTAACTCCCTATAATAACCACCCGCAGCCCGCACTTGACATTGCCAGGATCAGCGGGGCAAGATCCAGTGCGAGAGGCAGACGGGGCTTTGGGGTGGCGCCAACAGATGCGGTGGTGTAATCAGTGGCTTATGCACTGGATGGTCCCGAACGGCGGGACCTCTTGCCAGAGCCTCCACTTCTTCCATGCCTAGAATCTATCCACGGCATCCACCACCGGTTCGCAAACGCAGAACATGGCTGTAAATAGGGTGTGGGTAATGTTAACTGTGTGCAGGTCAAGATCCAGCTCAAAATAGAATGCCGGGATGCATGGAAGTAACTTGCAGTGGAAGTACAACCGGCTTGGTATTATAGTGGGTTCACTCTGAACCTTGACGTCTAGCTTTTGTAGATTACGTGTATTTTACTAATGACCAACAGTCAATTAACGGAACTGATTACTAATGCTTACATTCTGTGGGGCTTGGCCTGATACATTCCAGATGAAAAGTAAACAGTCAACGTGCTCTAGAAAGGGGACCAGGTGCAGGTCAATTTTAATCCCACCGATTGGATCCTGAGTGAAGTGTTCCAGTACGCCATAATTGCGACTTGCCACACAATTATGAAGAAAAGATCCAGAACCGATTAACAAAATAGTGAAACTTTTGTGTCTTCGTAAGCATGCCATGGGAAACTCACCCGCCCGCCAGCTGGATATCTCCAGAATAATGAAGTGATTATGTTCCAAAGCCAGGATTGAGTAACTTGTCCCAAACTAATCAGCTAAAAATATTCTAATTCAATCATTCACCTCTCGAATTCATATCTTGAGCCATTATTTGAGAGCCTTCTCCATCAACCCGTCCAATCCTCTGACTCGCGATGCAAAGCGCACCATTTGCACCAAGAGTCGGTGCAATTTGCGGGCATTGGCCCCATTCGCTTCAGTCCATTCGACACTTATCCACCCTCTTAGAACTGCGACCACCTCCTGCTCTTGTAGCCTGGAAATGGGACACAGAAATAAGAGTCTTTCCTCGCTGATGAACCTTCTCAAACAAAACGAAATGCGGCAGAGCAAGTACTTCTGACTAATTCCATTCAATGTCAGGTTCACGGGACTCACACTGTAGTGTATAAGCTCCTGGAGACACCGAAAACGCGTGTGCTGGTTGGAAAATCTTTCAATAGGTTTGGTGGACCCAAAAGAGTTGTTGAAATCATAGTTTGTAAGGCTTGTAATGACCCCGTCCCCGATGTACAACTCGGATCCTCCCAAGCTATCGATTATGGACTCGTCAACGTGATCAAACGCGTAGAGGAACGAGTTTTCGTAGACACTTTTCAAATAACCGTCGATCAATACCTCGTTGTTGGACTCCAACAATTTGGGCAACACCAAGTCAGTTAACTGGTTGTACTGCTCGATCTTTATATTTTCCACCTCCTCTAACTTGCCTTCCTCAATATTGGAACGGTCTTCAAGACAGATCACAACCGACTTCATGATCAAATTCCATAAGTCTTCATCTAGCACACTCTCTTTGGCCTGAGCAATTATTTGACGAATCAAGAGTACCAAGATCTCGTTGGCTTCAACCCATAATGGCTTGCTTTCGCTCACAATTCCAACAAACTTCTTGCTTATAATTTCAAGAAGAGACCTAATTATCTTGGCGGCTCCCTTATCCTTCAACAAGAGCCCAAAATCACTGAAGTTCTCTAACTTTTCTTTAAGCAATTGGGTACTGAGATGACTTATTGCGACAAAAGATGGAATCTTATACTTCGATATAATAGCCTTGTTGCCATCTAGCTTCTGTTCGATACGCTTTTTGATACCAAATGGATAGATAGTCATCCCACTCAACTGTTGAATAACTTGAGACTCGATTTCCTTGTCTGCAATTTGTATGAGCCGCAAATTATCAATAGTTGACTTTTGTAACTTGGTTGGTCTCTTGTCATCCAATTGGTTACCTTCAGGTAACAATGGATACCTAGCACATTTGTTGATTAATAAAATTATAATCTTGACGTCATCTTCAGACAATCTGTCGCTGGTTATTTTGTATAATGCAGGAAAGCATTCCATCAATGCAGCCGCAGAGTTTTGGTTTTGAGGGTTTATGAAATCGTACTCAACTGGGACATGTACCCAAAAATCGAACAACAACTTCTTAATTCTATCTTCATCTGTATTTTTAGTGTTCTCGCTTGCATCAAGCTTCGTAAAAGGAAGCAATAAGTCTTGAAATGATCTGAATATTTTCATGTTCAAATCCAACCACTTGAAGGATAACAAGTGGTCAAAGTATTTAATTAAAACTTCCCATTTGTCGTAGATATGACCAATGGAGTCAAAATCCATCATAAACTTATTGAAAATTGAGATTATTCCTGATAATATTAAACCAAAACTTTCTAACCATTCTTTCTTGTGATACTTTGCATCCTTCAAATCCACTTTCAAATCTAACAAAACTGGTTGAAGAACCACCTTATAGACCAAGTCCCACATCGATGACGAGGATAAGTAGGAGCCGTGAACATCTATAATCTGAAAAAACGTCTGGATTGATCCATCTCTCACTTGATCTCTCTGGTCTAATGATAATTTGACCAAAGTCGATAATAAGTAGATATCAAGTGCAATGTAATAAACATAATTCTCCTTATCCGTATCATCGTTGGTTGACCCAATTAGACTGATTAACTGAGATTCTGTGGCGACCTTGGAAAGTTTCTCTGCATGCAAAGTAGTCTCTCCAGCTTCGGTGATTCTCAGCTTCAAGCTATCACTAATCAACCAGAAGTAACTAACTGAACTAAAGGAGGTGTTCAAGTCGAATGTCTGAGAACAGAAGTTGTGTAAAGTATCAATTAACAATTTTAGTTGGCTGAATGGTAATGTGGACATAAATTCATCAAGAATCAATTTCAAAGTCCGGAACGATGAGTCTATAAGCAACCTCATTTTCTCCCTTAAGTTCTTGTCCTCGTTGTACCACGAAGTAGTTTTAAATGGGGTATCCAATATTTCAAAAACAATATTCCACGAGTTCTTGTAGTGAACCTCATATTTGTCAATCAACTCGTACAATGTTGAAAGGCATAAGTGATGGATCTCCGTTTCACAATTGAGCACCAAAAGTTCTTTTGGTACACCAAGATTCAAAATACCGTTCAAAAAGGAGTTTATACCATTCAAGGACTTGGATGCTGTCCTTGCTATTATCTCATTGATATCGGTGTTGAAACCCTGACTGGTAATATGCTGTATGAGGGTATTGAATGCCTGAACCACGTGTATTCTAGTATTATAGTTCATTGTTCTTTGAGTACCAAGCCTGATAATATATTCACACCACATTTTCCAAATCGAGTCATCATTGATGAGGTATTTGTTGGGATTAACGCTGCATACGCTTATGATATTGCTTAGATAAAAGCTTTTGTTGTATGGACATGGAACCAAAGTTGCTTCTTTTGAGCCAAACTTAATTTCTTGGCCACTGAGTACCTGATCAGATAATTCGATTAGGGAATTCAACAACTCTTTGAAAGATTCGGTTGGAAAATCATTCACGCTCTCAATTAGCTTCTTTTTTGAAGATTCCAAGTTGGCATAGTCTTGACTAGTTAATTTAGCGGTGGAATCATCCGTGGCTTTTGTTTTATTGCTGTTTAATGTATCTGCACCATACACAAAGAAATCACACCATTGAAAGGTCATCCATATGATTTTCCAGGAGTCACCTAAGGTTGATCCCAACGAAACACCCAAATTCGCCAAGGCTCTAACGCAAGTGATATGTCTAGAGTTGAAATTTCTTATATGAACAAGTGTACTTTCCATACTTTGCCTTGATGACTGAGGCTCGCCGTCGGTACCATGCGAGTTTTCCTGTCCGACAGGCTGTATTGAAGTCAAAGACTCCACTAAGGACTCACCAAATGCTAATAACTGTAAGCCTTGCTCTTGTAAAGAACTTCCATTTGCCCTGTCTTTAGACTCCTCGCTCTTAATAATAGCTTTCGAAATGATCATTAACAATCCGTCTCTGAGTTCCCCCAACCCTAACAAACCAGTTGAATGAGTGAATCGTTGCAACGATCTGACAAGCAAATGAAAGCTTTCGTTATCCATATCATAATATATAAATAATTCAAACAATGATGAGATATTGGGGTAGCTAGCCTCGATAAAGAAATTTGTGAACTCTACGTCTGCCTCCAATGTAGTTGGATTGGAGTTGCTGGATAAGTTTTGGACAAAATTGGCAATCCCCTCTGAATATAGCAACAAGATATTGAATGTGAGGTAAATGGGATATGTTGCTGGAATTGAATGAGGTGGTTCCATTTTGTCCAAATGATCGAGAATTGATATTTTCATGTGTGACGAAGATTTCGAAATGTATAATGGCCCCAGTGGTTGTTTGAGGGACTGATTGGGGGTAAGGATAGAATTGTTTTGAAGATAAGTAATAAGAATACTGTTCAATTCTTGGATGACATCCTTTTTCTTCTCGTCATTGTCGTACTTCTCAAAGATGGATTTTATGACATTGAAGTCAGAGAATAAACCCTTGTACAATTCAAGCACTAAGATCTTCTCCCAGGGGACATTTTCTTCTTCTGTTGGCTCGTTAAGAAGGATATGATTTAAAAACGACAATATGACTTCGCTCTCGATCTCCAAGTTGTTCAATTGAGACGACAAGAGCACCAAGATTACTCTCATTGTGCGAGTAACAAGCGGGAAACTCTTGATGGTGGAGCTCAAGATCCTCAATAACGAGGGAATAAGTTTGACTCTCAACAAATACGAAAGCTCTTCACGCTCATTGAAGAGTTTCTTATGCGTAGCAATGACGTTCTCGACGATTTCGAGGATAGATGTAGTCTTGATGTGCGCGAAATCTTTGAGGTAGGTAGGCTTTTCGTTTTCGATCAAATGGCACAAGTCTTGAAATATTTCAAACGACTCGTAGGAGGTCTGGGGAATCTCGAGAGTAGCACCCTCTGCCACGGTGACGGAGTGGGTGGATTCCTTCTCGGGATTTTCCTTGTTGTGATTGGCCCTTTCTTCGTCGAACACGTTGCTGAACACTTGCTGGAGCATGGCGGACGCGGTGTTGATCACCACGGTCGGTTTGTTGGAGGTGGTCAAGCTGGAACATATTCTGAGCAAATTGATCAATGTATCGCCTTTGACATGTGCTCCGTACGTCTGCATGAGTGTGGGCAAGCACTGGAGAATTCTCAATTGGATGTCGACGGCCAAGTTGGAAGCCTCTTTGAGGCCTTCCAACAACTCGTCGAGACGGTCTAGGGGCACCAGCCGAGTGACAATAAGCTGGTGGATCACAGGGATGGATATGGTGACGGCCTTGGCATTTCCTGTCTTCACAGCCTTGATGAACGGTATTATGAGGTCGTTACGGTGGTTGGGACTGATTTCACTAATGGACGCTGTGGGAGGGTACTGTTTGAGATTGGCCAACAAAGAGTCGCAATTGGTCTTAATGTCGGCATGCCTTCTCTTGGACTCTGTGGCGAGGTTGCTGAGGCCGCTCACAAGCTGGTTGACGGTGGCCATTGTTGGGTTATCATGGAGTAGGTGTTGAAGTATTGTCTGTGCGCTGGAGGAGTGCACACGGACTGGAGCTCTGGTAACGCCAAATCGACGGCAAACCTCCAGAGGGAAATGGAAATTGGGCAGAAACTAGCTCGATGATCTTGCTGAAGAGTTAAGGGATTGATGGAGCATAGTTAGGGGACTCGGCGAAGTAAGGATGTTTTGTAGTGAAAGGTGGTATGGGTTGGGACCTCAGTGGTTTGCGCTACCATATGAATATCTAGAGCCAGGACTACTGAGGGTCAATAATACTTCCCACCACCGATCAAAGAGGGTTTAAAAGGGCTGTAACCTGCAATGCTGATGGATGTAGTGAAGTAAGCTTTGTTATGGGGCTCTATATCAACTGGGATTTCTGGATCATTTATTGCTGATTCGCAATGAACGAGATGGTCGATTCGAATTAATTACTAAAATATCATTCTAGGGTCATCCTACTTGTGACACTTCCTAGCAGACCTGCTTCCTCTCATCCCGAAAACTCTCCCTCAACTGCTAAAATTTTACTGCTCCTTCTCTCTCATAGCTTACATCTTTCAGTCCAACCGGGTCTGTTTCCACTCATACATTGACCAATATCAGCTCAAAATTTGACCTAGTCCCTCTAAGTAAGTTTGCTGCATTCAGTCAAGCTTCAACCAGATCCAGCTCTTTCTATTATCACAACGTCCTGCTATAAATGCACTGCTACGCTCTCTCATATCTCATGTCTATTACTATTATACACTAGCACCAGGTGTGCAAGAACCTATAGCCCCAGCTTTGGGCTTTCCATCTCTCATCGTCCTCAATCTTTTCCTGTTGAGCCACGTCGGGGTCCACCACGCTTCTTCCGGTGGTGATATCGATCTTATCTGCTGGAATATATAACCTCCAGTTTTTGGTCCAGATCTTGTGCCCAACAAACATCACGGCCACAATAGGTGCCGACACATAGGCTTTGAAGAATCCATTTGCGTCCAATTGTGGGCCTCCTACCGGAAACAAAGCCACGTAGAACTGGGCCATCAAAATGATGATGCAGATGAAAATTGACAAGTAGGCCCCGTTGTCTCCACCCACAGCGTTGAAGGGCTTGTTGTCAAGAGCTATGCCTTGGACCTTGCAGGCGTAGTTCACTCTGACCTGTGCCAAAGAGATGGAGAGCCAAATGAAGATGGTGGACAAGCCACTGATGGCCAACAACCAGTCGAAAACCACCTGCTGCTTCGAAGAGGCACTGACAAAGCCAATGAGCCCAAATGCCAAGCAGATCAAGATCGAATAGATGGGTCTGCCTTTTCTGTCGATATACGACAAAAACTTGGGGCCGTGGCCTGCCTCTGACAACGCCACCAAAGGCTTGTAGGAAGCGAACACCGAGGCATTGGCCACTGACAACACTGCCAAAAGGATCACCGCATTGAATATAGAAGGCAACACCTTGACTCCCCCATTCTTGATGGCAATCACAAATGGCGATGCTGACGACGAGGAATTACCCAACAATGACGGATCGTTGTAGGGAACCAAGAAGCAGATTAAAGTGATCGAAAGCATGTAGAACACTGAAATTCTCCAGAAAATCTGCTTAATGGCATTGCTGAGAGCTCTTCTGGGGTTGGGAGCTGCTCCTGCAGCGATGGCTACCAACTCAGTACCGGCAAAACTGAATGCAGCGTTTACCAAAGTACCCAAGGTTCCTTTGAGCGAATGGGCAAAGGGACCTGGCTCGTGCCAGTGTTTGCCTCCGACGTAGCCCTGGGAGCCTCCACCAGCAATGAGAATAATGGCGAGAATACAGAACCCAACGATGGCCAACACCTTGATGATGGAAAAAAAAGACTCACCATATCCGTAGCCTTTCACTCCAAAAATGTTGATAGCGCAAACCAACACATAGAAAACTGCCACCCACACGGCAGGGTTGATACCTCCACCCCAGAATTCGATGGTTAAGGATGCAGACACCAACGAGAGTGGAATGGTGACAATCCACTGGAGGGCATAGTTCCAGTTCATGGCGAAGCCCCAGGATTCGTCGATAAAACGGGTGCTGTAGACAAGAAAATTTCCCTTAACGGGATATGTGCTGGTGAGCTCTCCCAAGGCCTGGACAATGAAGTAGATCAATATGGCAATCACCGAGTAGCCGATAAGACAACCAGCAGGACCCGCTTGGGCCAATGCTTGGGCACTACTGATGAATAAACCACTACCAATGGCACCACCAAGCGCAATCAATTTGACCTGGTATTCCTTGAGGTTATCCTCCATGGTGATGACATTGAAGCCGTCCAGACGCTTGAAAGAGTGTAAAAACGACTTGATGCGGGAGTCCAGCTCCTCAACAGAGGGAGGAGGGCTCTGGTCAATGCTTGCAATAGAGTATTCTTTGAGAGACATTGGTTGGACTATGTGGACAGGCAACTATGCTGAAAATGCTGTGCCAAGCTTAAAATGGACCAACGGTAAATCAATAAATTATGCTGAGCCAGGCTAATGGATGGACCACAGTAAAGCAGTGCTAAATATTCTGAGCCGAGCTTATGAATGGATAGTAAATACAATCCTTATCTTTGCTTGATCAACGACCGATTAATTTGCAACCGGTCAACAGGGCTATGAAATGCAGCTGGGATCGAGGCTTTGGATGTCCTTGATCGATTTTAATGCAAATAACGCCAACTTGTGCCCTGAATGTGGTAGATTAGCAGGCTGGTTTGGACAGTTTAAGTACCGAATGGTCCAGATAAATCTCGTCTTTCAGGAGAGGAGTGCTCGTGGGGCCTGGTGTTGTGTGGGGTACGGAACGGAGTATGGACGCAAACACTATCTGTGGAAGCACCTGGACGATGAGGAGATTAGCTGGCTAGCTTTTCCGGTATGAGCTGCCATTAGAGGAACTGGTGAATATTTAAGCCATAAGCGGTCATCGCACTTGCGTGCGATGCCCGGCATCGACCTCCTTGGAGATACATTGCGGGAGACAATCGCCGTGACGTGGTGTCAGAACAAGTAAGTCTAACAGAGTAGGTGCCCGAAAAAGAAATAATGGTTGCAGACTTTCCGTTTTGAAAATTTTTTTGCAATGGGCTGGGAACCGTGCGGCTGGACCCTGAGGCACTATACGGCCCTATCATCAGCTAAGGGCAAGAGTAACCTGACAAGGGACAGAGCAGTAGTACAGGGGTACAGCTACAGGGCTGGCAAGTCATAGGCCCCTAAATCATGGGTCCTGGGTGCAAACAGCAATGGTTCATGAACGGAACTGGAAGGCAATAATGGGTGGTGCGAGCCCTTCTGCCAAGCAGCGGACATTATTGACCGACCACCGCTGTGAGTGCCGTATGGATGTACTGCGGTACAATAGCAGATGATGGAGTGCTCAGGGCGGGACGGGACCCGGACTGCAGTACTGGGGATATTGACCAAGAGAATTATGGTACATCCCCACGAGAATTATGGTACATCCCCACGAGAATTATGGTAATTCACGTAATTATCGCGGATTCGGCTGGCCGTGACGAAACGAAGGGATCTTTCAAACTGGCGAGGGCTTTGTGGAGTGCCGAAGGGAAAAGCATGAAGCATGGATGCACGATTCACTCGTGCAGTAGTGACCTGTGGTGGCTTCCGTATTACAAACTGGTGAATATGTGTGAAGTCCCAAACAGGTCCAACTAGCATTAGTAGTGTGTTTGTATGTAATCCTTCTGTAATTCAAACGGTGAAAGCGTCATTGATCTATTGGATATATTCTACTGCTGCAGTAGTGACGTGCAATGTGGTTTTTCGTAATATCAGAGTACCCAACTTGGTGGAAACTTCGTGGAGTTCCATAAGTACAGCATTGATCCAATTTTCAGTTATCCAGTAACCTGCAGTGTGGTTTTCGTAATACGAAACGTCGTGAATCTGAAGTGCCGATGCATTTTACTCCTGCAGAAGTGACGTGCAGTAGTGACGTGAGTGGTTGGGTGAAACGGTACCTCCAGGCATAGAGCCTGCAGTGCCGTGGTCAGCATTCGCCATGCACTGTGCTGGTGATGTTGTGACCACCAGGTTATTTTACTACGGCATTCTCCTGTGTTTGACTCTATGCATTCTTGTAATTGGTCTATGGACTCACTCCTGGCGATCTCATTAATTACTTGCCGTTCTCCTGGCTACTCGGTGGTGCCTCCGTGCCTCAAGATCTGATTCTTGAGCGCAGTGTTTTCAGCCATAAGCTGTCTCAGCTTCTTCTGCAACAATAGAATATATTCCGTAGCCTTCTCCAATATGGCCGACTTGTTGAGTCTTTGGCATCCGTGTTCGGCATTTTCTGGTGTCACCGTCTCGAACCCCACCAGTTCGTTAGCAACTGCAGGGATAATTTTTTGCAATCCTGCTATTTTCTCGTTGATGTTAATTCTGTACTTCTTTTCGATCTTGTTGTGGGCCTGTTTCTGGGACGCTGTCAACTTCTTGCGGGGGCCGCGAGGTACGCTTCTCCTTCTGGACATGGACACTGTGGTCAGGGGTGACACCTCGGTAGAGGCTGTGAACTGGCTGGCTTGGTCGTCCCTGGCCCCGCTGTTCGACAAGTCGTATCCCGGCTCCTGTTTGATCACCGGACTGCAGCACTGCGACGCCTGCAAGGATGTGTTCGTGGAAGGTTGGGCTTCGATGCCCGCATAAATTGTGTCAAGTGGCTTTGACTTGTTCAAGAATTCGTTGACCCAGGCCTGGTCCTCGTACTCCAACGAGGATGCTGGCGACAACGGCACAACGCCGATCAAGTGGGCCATCGAAACGTCATAGGTAAATCCGTTCATGGTAGATTATTGTGGTATGAATGTCTGGATAGGGGAACAGGACCGGAGCACCACGTCAATATATACCCCTGGCTAACTCCGAATTGTGCCGATACTACACAGGACGAATACGGCTGCAACCGTGCTCTCGAGAGTGACTTGCTTCCACATAGGGAAAATCATCCCACTATGTGCGCTGGACCCTGAAGCGGATGCCAACGGTTTTTTCGCGAATATTCGGATCAGCCCATTTGACGATCTTTCATCAGGAACACCTGATCCAAGTCAGGCATGGCGTTTCCGGCTTCCCCCGTAGGTGATCGAAGCCCTATGCGGGCCATGTGGCCCACTCAAGTGTCTAGGAACTGGCTCCACCCCTGACTGTTCCCACTATGACATAGCCGCAGACAAATTGGCCCCGTGCGCGATCTCCACATGGCTGGGTTCAGAGGCAGTTGGACCGGAAATGGGCTGCCAGGCAGGAATTGCCGACCCACAGTTGCTGTGGCCAGGGCTGAAACATAAAGCTTCGCTAGCCTGGGTGTCTCACGGAGCTATACCACTATCTCGTACCATTGCCTGCCATCAGCCATGACCTCCGTCAGCACTGTAGCTGCGAGATGTGGGGAGGCCAGTTGTGAAACAGCGATGACGCTGGAATAGCCTCCAGTACAGCAGGGTGCCCCTAGAAGATTCTGGTGATCTAGCTTCTAGTGATGCAGGCGGTCACATGGCCGAATACGGCGCGGGTGTCAACTCAAACCTAAAACAATGCTCATCATGCCATGCACATAAGCCACCTAATGCCGGCGAGATGGAATTTCCAACGCAAAACGGTCACTCTTGAAGTATTATGGGTCTAACAAGCACCAGGTCTCGTACCACCGGTGTCGGGAGCAGGTTGTTTCCGTCTCCGGGAGTGCGGTTCAGTGCATGGCCAGGTCATTTGCAGCCACCACCCTCCACCACAACTGCGGATTGCCGTGGCTCTCCCCAGGCGGTATGGAAATTAAGCCTCCTTCAGTATAACTCCGTTCCAGACATGCCGGAAATGCCCATTACGGAAGCCGACCGGCGAACAAACCAGGGCCACCGGCGAATTACCGCATATGGACACGCATATGCACCAATTGATAACGAACTCCTTATCAATCACCGGCCTGGGCGTCGCCAGTCTGGTCCCATACTCAAACCGCGGCCTCTCGTTCAAAACCGCGCCTATTTCCGTGGGTGTCCCCTCTGGCCCCTCTCTGGTTCTGGCCCAGCCAGAAGCGTGCGGCATGCTCGTAAAACCATCGCGAAAATCTCGGAATCGCTGACTCCACACTACATCCACAATCATGGCCAAACAGTCTCCTTTCGCACAATATCTCACTCCCAAGCTCGTCAAGGACATCAAGTTCGGAATCGTCACCTTCGTGGTGATGGTAGTTCTCATTTTCCACTACGCGTGGATCATGAGACAGTTGGTGATCCTGCCTGAGCTCCCCAACTCCACGCTTGGGCTCTACTTCGGACTCTTCTTCATCGACGTGGGAGTTTTGGGGTACCTTCTTCTTGGTAAGTACTACTACCACGTATATGCTGAGGAGATCGCTCAGGAGAAGAAGGAGTTGGAAGAGGCCAAGGCCAAGAAGTCTCGCTAAGCACACAACCAAAATGTTTAATTCTCATTCAATTCTGCAGTAGTATATAGGCGAATAGCATGTCCGATTTCATTTGAATAAGCTGATGTTCTTCATTCTTGGCAAGAATACCTGTAGACGAGTAGAATCAAGTTACGAGTGAGTTGAATTTAGTAAGAGAGCTACCAAATAATTTAGTATAGAATCAAGTTCCCAATAGTGATTAATTTCCGGAAATTGGTGGTGGCAATACCACATCTGCTGGGTTTGTAGACTTCCTGGCAAGCAGGAACCGCAGAACCTCTTGGAATCCTCAAGTCCTGTCTTGGATAGGCAAATCCGATAATTCTGTCGAAGCACACCGGCCCGTTGCTCTCTCTCGTACCCACGTCTCTACTGAGTCTATTCACAAGTACATTCAAACAATAATCTATTCACAAGAGTGGCGTGCCAGCAGGCTGGTCTGTCTAGATACGCTTGGCCAACACCAAGCCGTAGACACCAAGCGACAAAATGGACACTATGTTGACCAAGGTGGAGATTCCGTGGTAGGCACCAAACTGCTTGGTGAGCTTTTTGAACTCCTCGCTGGCTTCTCCGTTGGCATCCTTGTCCAACTTGTCAGCAATCAACTTCTTTCTTTGCACCTTCAAGTCGGCACAGACAGGCAACAAGTACAAGTAGTTGAGGGCACCAGCCAACGACGATAAAGCCAAGAGGCCTCCAGTGAATGGACAGATTCTCAATGGGGACGTCAACCCCAAAATAATAGGAGAAATCGTCTGCCCAAGGAAGTAGGTAGGGAAGACCTGGGACTGCAAGTTGGAGAACTCTTCACGAGGCAACTTCTTGAACACGATGGGGGACACGATGAACGAGTAGAAGGATGCCCCGCCAAAGGCAAGCGAGTAGAAGAGAAAGTGGTATGGGGTTCTGGTGTTTAATCCTAATCTAGAAAACATGGTGGGTGGTGGTTGGTGGTTGGGTGACAGTTCTGTGGCGAGGTTTTATGGTGTGTGATTACGTAATCTGGGGATCAAGGGTCCTTCACGGAGGAGGCCAGAGAGCTTCTGGATGCATACAGCCAGCAGTGTATCGTTCTACCCTACTCCTCGAGCGAAGTAACAGTAAATGCTGATCTTGCAATTCTGGAACATAAAACGTATATGGATGTGATTGCGGATCGAGAGGCGATTGGGCTAAACCACCACGCTACAAAGTATGTGATTTCTGAATCGCGGGACTTCTGAGCTTTGTAAAGCATTAGGAATAAATTCTTCATATTCGATCTATCCCTGCTAAAGTTATTAAATATGTCAGAGCACTATAGGTTTCTTTGAAAACAGCCCTAAGTAACAATCAGTACACATAATGAGCTTAGAAATCCTTGAATATGATACTAGTAAAATCTAAGCTGACCGTTTATCCCCGCTGAAATATCTATGGGTTTGCCATTTCATATTAATCTTATTGTTCTATTTTACAAAAATGATATACAGATCTTGAAGATGCACGCCTAATCCACCATACGGAAGAGTGTCTCCAATGCTCTTTGTTTGACCATCTCGTTGTAGTCCAACACATCGTGTTCCAAGGTCTTGATCTTATCACCGGCAAACCAAGCAAAATCACTCTGAACACCCAAAGACAATTTGGCTACCTTGTCTTCATCCGCTCTTCTTCTTAATTTGGAAGTCTGTTCGTACTCGGTGGCTGCAACTTCTGCTTTGGATACTATGTCTTCGGATATTCCACACATTGAAGCCACGTTCATACCAAACGAGCCCGACGCTGCACCTTCTTCCAATTTATATAAGAAAGTGATGTTTCTGGAATTGTTATCGATGAGAATACCCATTCTCAAGGGCTTAATCTGTGGATGGTTTTTGAACGCATCTCCCAATGTACCATAATGAGTTGCGAAAAAGCCCAAGGGTTGTACATGAGTAGAAAGGTGATACAACACAGATTCAGCGATGGCATAGCCATCACTTGAGGAACCACCTCTTCCTAATTCATCAAGAATAACAAGAGATTTGGTGGTAGCATTGCTCAATATCTTCTTGGTTTCGGACAATTCGACAAAGAAGGTTGATTTTCCTTGCATGATATTATCATTAGCACCCAATCTTGTCATGATTCTATCGATTGGACTTAACTTGGCCAGCGAAGCAGGAATGTAACATCCCAATTGGCTTAGAATTATTGCTAAAGCCGTTGTTCTCATTATAGTAGATTTACCAGCTGCATTGGCACCAGTCAAAAGGCCAAAATTGGCATTTGACTCTCCTCCCAAACAGATATCATTAGGAATAAATTCCTTGGTGGTACCCACAAAACATGGATGTCTCAATTCTTTAAAGTCCACCAAGCCATGCTCCGAATCGACAAATTCTGGTCTACAGGATGGATATCCCATAGTTTCTGAAGTTCTTGTCAATGCCAACAAACAATCTATCGAGCTGATTGATTTAATTGTGCTCATCCAGACAGAATAATGCTTATCAAATCTTTCATACATCCTGAACTTCAATGTGTCACATACAGTTTTATGTAACTCCTTTTGTTCTAATAATTCCTTGACCAATGTACGCACTTCTGGAGACCAGAACCTTTTGACCTTGGAAGTTGATCCCATTTGTTGCCAGTCATGAGGTACCTTTTTTTCAAGTTTGTTTGGGAACTCAATTAAGTAAATTTCTTTACCTGAATCCCTGAAGACGATCTCATTGGATTTGAAGGTCCTTTTATATTCTTTGAGATGTTCATTCAATGTAGATTCATAGGATTGTATTTTTCCGTAAGATTCATCAAATGTCTCGTCAATACCCTTGTTTGGAATGATGACATCATTTTTAGCTTGGGCTCTGTCAAAGGCATCTTCCCATTCGCCGATAATTGATTTAAGCTCGGATGGAAACTTCTTAATATACTTGAACAAGACTCCCGATTCTTCATTAGTAAATTCTTCAACTTGATTGATTAAGGTGGAAATCCTTTCGAATGCTTCAATGACCTTTAAGAAATCCTTAAATCTCAAAGTTTTGGAGTGGACTCTACTGATCAATCTTTCTAAATCAGGCAAACCTGTAAAGCTCTGTTCTAGGATAGTTCTCAATTCCAAGCCATCGTTCATCAAGTATTCAATAGAATCATAACGGTCATTAATATCCTTGATTTGCATCAACGGATGCAACACCCAGTGTTTCAATGTCCTTTTTCCAAATGGAGTGATGGCCTTATTAATCAATTTGAACAAAGTACCCCTATCTCCACCATCAAAAGAATTGTTCAATATCTCCAAATTATTAAGGGTAATTCCATCTAGGATTAAATTGGACGTTTTACTCTTTGAGATACTATACTGGTTCATGTTGGCTAAGGTCATTATGCTTTCATCGAGTTTCAATACTTTCAAGTAGCTCAACAATCCACCAAATGCATTGAAGCAGACCTTGTGAGACTCGATCGCTTCTTTAAGTGCTGGTGGGAACTTGGAATAATCATCCAAATCTGCGGCCTCATAGTACTTCGACTTGACAAGAGTTTCCAACGTGATATCATAGTCCCAAAATTCACTAATGGGGTTCATACTGTTCCAAATTTGGTTCTGGGCATTGAATTTTAAGATTTTGGTAGCAATGGAACTTAAGTTTCCCTTCTCACAAATGACTTCCTTAGGTTTCACCTGAGTAACTAATGTTTCAAGCTTTGTACACTCGGGGTCATCTTGGAACTCAATAAGGTTCAATTCACCAGTAGAAGTATCCACAAATGCTACACCAAACACCTTAGAACCATCGTCCAGAGTCTCTTCTTTAATACTCAAACAATAGATGGACATATCGTCACTGATCATATTAAGATCAGTGAGCGTACCACCAGTGAGAATACTGGTAAGCTCTCTCTTTATGATCTTTTCCTCTTTAACTCCACTGCCTCCTCTCATTTCCTTAGCTAAAAGGGTCTCCTTTTGATCTACTTTGGCAACCTTATAACCGTGACTGATGAACTCCTTGGCCCAGTATTCGAAGGACATTTCGGGTATTCCGGCCAATTTCATGTTGGCTCTTCCACCGCCAGCGATCTTGAGATCGAATTCCTTATTGGCAATCATAGCATCATTTTCATATAATTCGTAAAACTTTCCTTTCTTGAAAAACACTACTGTGTTCCACATTTGGCATTTAATTTCCCAGTACTGTTTTTCAAAAGCAGTGAACTTTGACCAGGCAGATTGAGGAATATACAAGGTCCGTGGATCATAGTCCGGATGATCCTTGGGTCTTTTTTCAGAGTCCTTTATATTCACTAGCCATTGGTATCTTTCCTCATTTTCTTTGGCGAAATTCTTCTTAGCAGGTGCTGCTGCTGCAGTCTTAACAGCAAGGCTGGGAGCATTCTCGCCGGTTGCTTGGTACGACGAGCCCGACTTGAACTTGTTGCCTAGCGAGCTACTTGAGGAGCCCCCGGATTTCGTACGTGGAGGCAGGCTTGGCTTGGGTGCCTTCTTCTTTTCCTTCTTGGGCCTGGTCACTTCTTCTTCCTCATCGTCTTCTTCTACCTCGGGTTCGCTCTCCTTGTCATCCTCCACTATGAAATCGCTCATATCATCCTCGTCGTCATCTTCAGCTGGAGGAACAAATTCGTCTTCCTCGTCCTCGTCTTCACTATCCAGCACCTTGGTTCTCTTGCTGCTTCGGGTGGTAATCTCTTCATCGTCTGATTCGGCGTAACTGACGGATCTCGATCTGTTTCTGCGCTTGGATGGCGAACTCGAGTTGTGACTACGGTTGTCATCAAATTCAGACAATGGTTTCTTGGCTGTCAGTCTTTCTTCGTGGTATGGCGACGATTTGGGGAGTGGCGCACGGTCGACGCTCTTCTTGGGGGTAGCCTCGCTCTCGGAGGTGAGAGGGGTGTCAGTCAATCTCGTGTCGTCCTGGAGAATGCTGTTGTCATTTTCCTTGTCACTAGAAGGATCGTGGGAGAAGGATTTGGTCTTCAAAGGTGACGATGGCACTTTGGGGGTCATGGATGGTGACAGGGTTGCAGGCTTGAAAAACGACATCAACGACAGCTGCTTCTTTTTGGTTCCAGAGGACCCGAGACTGGCTCGGGCTGCCTTGCTTGGAGTGGCGGGTTTGGTTGATCTGGCCATTGTGGATGAAGAAAACGACGGATGGGTGTCGTCTATATATATAAGAACGCGGTAGGCGCGTCGCGGTGCGCGTTTTTGGGATGATCGCACACGTGACTGCACTTTTTGCAGCCCCTTCAAGTTGCCCTGGTATGGATCGAATTGTTGTTGGGAGGAGGAAGATCAGGTTGTCTTCACAGTATTACAGGTAGTAGTGCCTAGTAAGCCTTATCTAGATCATTTTGAGTGAATTCCTTGGCATGTGATTTCAAATGCTGGCGATGGAAGGTAGTGGATTGTTCAATAGCAGGTAAGAAATCTAAAACGTGATTTGGGTGCCGCTTAGGGTGGTAGACTTTTCTAATCTAACCGCAAGTCAGGCCTGACCATCTATTTAGCCAGCTAATATATGATCAGTTGGTGATGCTCTCGAATTAGTATTATTAGCAGTATCTTTATTGTCTGTTTGCATTATGTCAGAAAATAGGAAATTAGTGAAAATTCGCTGAGAATACGGAATGATGGTGAATTTGTCCTAGTGCAGCATCACCTCTATGAAAATACTCTCATAGATAGTATTTCAATTTCAGAATAAAGCTGACTTTAACGAGCTGCCAAGAACCGACTTGAAACTGACCTAAATGTCTTGTCCGGTAAGTTCTTTCCAACCGTTAGCAATGAACTATCGATGAAAACAGATCCGGGTAAGCAACAGTGGAGTAGATTTCGAGGATCCTTTTATGGCTATACAGGTGCTACCAGCCTAGAAATAAAGAACTAATTATCGTATGGCTATTTTCATACAAGCAGAATTAACGGAAACCTCTCGATATAGCAGAAAAGGGATTCTACCTGCTCAACTTAAATGAACCGAACGACTCGATTTCATGAAGGTATGTATGTGGTTCTCTGGAATTCTGTTTAGGGCTCTTAGTGTTGTGTTGGTCTACACGCCTTCAGATCAAGTTTGAAACTCGACCAGGACTTCGTCTTTAACGGAGTATATTATTTAGTGGTTATGTTAAAGATTCTTAAAGATATAAGAAAATAAAAAGCTTCTTGCTATTGATGAGTGGTTGGAATGGCAACAAAATGATTTATTCCAGTTCTACTGTACCCTTGTTGTTCATTTACTATGTAATGAGCATAACCTATTCAGCGGAAATGCATAAATGTTCCCACCAACTAACTATCTCGTTTTGCATCCAAGTTGATAAAGTACTTGACTATATCAATGGCCGCAATAGAATCCTCTCTGCTGTCATGCTCTCCTGTCTGAATATTTCTGCTCAAGTAGCTGAATGCCAAATCTTTCAAGCTGAACCGGAAAGTTGGCGATGCCTTGAATTTGGGGTACAAGATGGCTGTGTCCACTATTTGTTCATGAATTAGCCGCATAGCATTCATATCGTTTTCCAAACCATGGCCAATGAGCACAGTATCCTTGTCAATGTACTGGCGAACAAAATGCATCAGCTCCTCGAAAGTGAGAGCTCCTTCAATGATTTCGGCAACACCAGAATATCTTGTGTTCAAATCCACTACCGTTCCTATGGGTTGTACGAATATATCGAACACATCTTCCCCTGTAAGATAGTCGATAGCTGTGATTCTGAGTAGTTCGAAACCTAAAGTGGTGTATCCCATCTCACAATCAATCCCTACCGCCTTGACAGCAGTTTTCGACGAATGGTCTATTTTTTTGAAGGGGATTGCAGAATGCATTTCTTCCACATCGTTCCAATAGAAAATATGATGTGATGCTACAGAACAAGTCTCGTTTTCACTTCCGACCTCTGATCCACAGCAGTCGTAAAATCGAGTCCGCTTGTCCTTTCTTCTGATCTTCCCCGCATGAAATTGGCATGTAACTGGATTGAGCTGTTCTTCCTTTGTGAAGTCAGCACCGCATCGTCTACAGTTTCTTCTGGTCTCCAAAGCCTTTGTCTTTGGCGGCTCCATCACATAACCGAATTTTTGCAATTTCGGCTTTGGTATTACTAATTCCTTTAGTTTGCTGAGCAAATCAGCGTTGGACAACACCTTTTCCTTCCTTTGATACTTCTCGGGGTTGGCGATCTGGTGGATTTTTTTCTTTATTGATTGGTTATATGTCACAGGTGTTGTCGTTGATGCAACGGTATATTCTTCTTCGATAGATTTTAAGATGGGCGTCCTGACATTAGGTTGCGCCTTTTTGAAGGCGTCTACCATGAACTGGATAAACCGCTTCCTTTCAGGCAAGCCTGCAGGGGCCTTGGGTTTCACTTCCTTGGGTAAAATATATGCTGGGTCAGATATCACCTTGATTTCCTTACCCAGCAACATCAACTCAATGTTGGAATTATACTCGTCCTTTGACTGGCTCAAGTCTGCAAAACTGAATTCCTCCTCGAGTGCATCCTGCTCAGATTTTTTGAGCTCCTCATCTCCGTAATACTCGAGAATACGCTGGATGTTAGCATGTCTGATTTCAAAGGGAATGTCAAGATGAGTAATTGGTTTGGGTACAAGACGGTAGCCCTCCTCGTCCTCTGAATCATCTTCGTGGTGGTTTTGGTTGATAACTCGTTGTTCTTGCAAAATTGAACCTTTGGCTTCCGTCTCTGCCCTTTTTGGGGCTGGAAGTTCTGGATCGCCATCTAGTGGCCTCTTCAAGTCATCAATTCTGTGGCTAAAAAGACAATTCAAAATGGTACATGGCTTCTCCTCGCTATTATTTGGGCACTTAGTATCTCCGAAGTAGTTCCCATCGAGCTTGAACATGCCTGTGCCTGTCTGCTGGTCTTTTTGCAAGCATTCCGTAGTTAGGGTTAGCTCCAGATATGGGACAGGTTACCCGGACAAGCACCTCTGAGAAGTGATGGGCACACACGCACGCCCGCTGGAAAACTATAAAAGGAGCTCGATCCCGCCGCCATTACTGGTTTTCTTTTTTTTCTTTGTCGACGTACTTCATAGGATCATTTCTATAGGTCACGTCCCTCTTTGACTCTTCAAAAGAGCCACTGAATCCAACTTGGTTGATGAGTGAGATACCCTTATGCCCTCAAAGTGAGAATGATCTTTAGCTTGTCCGTGACTCTTAGCAGTCCGGTCATCTACATTTTGTTTGCCTTTTAGTCTGACAAAGATATTTGGCTTCATGTCATAGTCTATGTCTTGAAAGGAGCGATGATCTTGACCCTCTATCTTGTGCTTTCTCGGAAGAAAAGGTTTAGGGTGGGCATAAGTGGCAGTCTGACAAGTTACTTAAACGTTGTTTAAGGTGACTATAGCCTTGTTGTCGTCGACCGTGTGCACATCAGTGATGATGTGTGAGTGTGCAGTAACTGCCAACATTCTTTTAGATGATTCCTAGGAGGGAATCATTTAGTAGAATGTCAGTTATTGAACTGTTGAGAGGTGCATGCTTTATTGATCTGATAAGAATGTAGTTTTAATCTTCCCTAAGTGGTCCCTTGTCGTACTTCGAAAATGATACTCATCACTAATAAATTTCTGTCGCTGCATATTATCTATATTAGATGTGCTCCTGCTAGCTAATTCTATACAAGCTCTCCCTCGGACTTGGCTGGATATTCATACAACTTGTAGTAGTCCACAGTCTTCCCGTTCAAATTGTTCTCTCCCTCGATAGGCAAGTAGAACACATTTCTGAAGGTAATATCACCCAAGACCCAGAAATCGAACCAATTTTGCTTCATTCCGTAGTCGGTAGGAATATTCACGGAGTTGAATGTATCCTGTGCTTGGTTGCTAGTAACTGCGGAGGATGAAATAAAAGGCAAACTGGCCAAACTCAACTTGATGGTCATGAAGAATTGGTCCAATCCAATTAATCTAATGCACATTTTGAAATCATTATTGCCGTGGTGGTGGTGGCCAGATCTAGATGGCGTAGGTGCTTCAGGAGAACCCTCAGATTGATTCTCTGTATTTAAATCTGATGTGAAATCCCTTGGTAAGGTGGCATGATTGAATTTGTTTCTTTCTATCCTCTTGTTCAATGTGCTGAACTCTCTGGTAGTCAATCCCTTTAAGATCTGGAAAGTTTGCACTGCACCCAAGAACACAACCCATACATATTGAAGAAGACACCACATGACGATATTGTAATGGAAATGCTTGTTTCTGTACCCGTAGCAGAGCTCATCAGATAAAAGAAAACACTCGCCCTCCAGGTCAGTGTCATAACCGTCGGATAGCTTGTCAAAGTAACCAATTGACAATCTAGTAAACAATAAAATGGCCAAATTAAGCGTATACACGAAGACCATAAACAATTTATGGTTTCTAACTCCAATATCGTTGTAAACCCATGGACAATAGTGATCGAATCTTGCAACAAGTTTCTTGGATTGTCTTGAATATTTAGATCTCAATGGTTTTCTTACCATGGAATCAAAGCAGAAGTGGTCGGTATCAAATTTGCCAATTTGAATAAGATCTTTAACTTGGTTCAAAGTCACAGTCTTATCTGAGGGCACTGGAACATACCCTGGGTTGATAAACATGCTCTTGAAGAAGGACCATATACAAAGTGCAAACACTCCTCCCAATAATATGTTTGAGAAGAAGTATCTGAAAAAGGTCAGAGGCAAAATCTTGAAGAACCAAATAGAACCTGCCCAAAAAGCGGTTGCTGAGAAGATTCCTGATAAAATAGGGGATCTTGCCAATGCCTTGTCATCAACCAAATATATGGGCACAATTGTCTTTGCAACCAACGCTATACCACCAACAAAAACGACTAATGCAAAGAATAATTTCGGAATGAAAAATCCTTCTGAGAATGAACAGATGCGTAAAGCTACGGGCAAAAGCACGTATGGGGAAAAAAAGGTAATCAACTTTGCCAATTTGGGTTCCATAAGCTTTCTTCTCTTAGCCCAGTTGTTGCTGGCATCTCTATCATCCTCGGCCAAGACCTGATTCCACGTAGAAACACAGTTCATGTCTTTTGCGATCTCGAAAGAGTCTTTTCCCTGGTCATTCTTAGCGTGTATATCTGATCCGGCCTCCAAGAGCACCTTGAGAACATACTTATAGCCCTTCATGAATGCCCAGTGAAGAGGAATAAATAAGGTGTTATCGACCTTGGTGACATCTGCACCGAATTGCAACAATGTATTGATGGTCAAGATGTCACCTTGGTAAGCTGCCCAATGCAAACCAGTTCTGTTGAATCCGTCTGGTTCATCCACATAAATGGGATTCGTGGAATGAGGGGTGCAACAAGTCAACAAGAGATAGGTGACCAATGGAATATTGGAGCTGTGAATAGCCAAATGCAAGGAGTTGTAGGATTGGACGTCGCGGATGGAAGGGTCGGCGTTGGTATTGGTAAGCAAGTAGTCCACAATGTAGACCAAACCGTTCCGACAAGCCCAATGGAGAGGAGTTGCCTTCAAGTCACCACCCAACTGATTGGGGTCGGCCTTGGAGTACTCGTTGGATGTTAAATACTTGACCAAGGAAAGACGGTTGTTGATACAGGCCCAGTGGAGTCCAGTGACCCCGTCAGAAAAGGTGTCATTAGCACCTACAGTTTTCGAGGAAATCAAGTCCTTGACGATGGTCAAATTGCCCTCCTGACAAGCAAACATGAACTTAGCCAAGTCTGGATTCAAGTCCTGCTCAGTAGGCTGGTCTTCGTTGCGTCCTACCGTGCTCAAATCGTCCTTGTTTGCCTCCAAAACTGCGTCTGTGGACTTTATGGACGACTGCTCCTCGGCCATGGTTGTCAAATCAACGTTGTCGCTTTCACCATCCTGGATATGGCTCTCGTTTACCGAGGGCAATTCTTCGTCAGTTGGTTGATTCAAGCCCAGATTTTCGACATCTGGTTTTCTCTCGGTGTTTTCGGGTCCATTGGTGCTACCGGCTATTTCAGGGCTCTTGGGGTTGGTGTTTTGTGATGCCTCTTGGTTCTGTAGTAAACTCTTCTTTTCCTCAGATGAGGTCTTCTTGTTCTTCCTAGCCATGTCTGGGGTGGATTGTAGAAGGTACGCTTTGTAGCTCTTATAATGTACGAGCGTATATGTCACTGACACTCACGGGTAAAGTTGCAGATGACCGGCTGGAGGCTTCGCCAGTCATACTGTGAGATCAAATCGGCTGTACCAACGGTGCGGTGTGCGCACGCCCCAATATGAAATGCCGGATTTTGAGAAGAGAAGGTGGGTCGTGGGCCTTGTGTGCCGAGTGGTACAATGCCGGGAGCTCTTCATAATTGCCTGCTAGTAAGCAAGCTCAGAATATATAATGCATCATATTTTTTATAGAAACTATCAACCACGAAGATAGAAAAGATGGACTAGATCTAATGTATGGTTAAATCCAATGAAGTTATCTATAATGCTTCCATATATCTAATGGACTTTGAAAGACTAGGCTTGAAGGATTATGCCTCTGCTAGTAATTGTGCATTAATTAATTCTTACAAAGGATTACTATATTGACTACTATTTTATTTCTGTTGCTCTGCTAGTATTCTGCGTCAACAATTATTTCTTTCGGAAAATCCTCTTAATAATAGTGTTAATTTATACTTGTACTTAATATACATCACCAATTTCTCCATCGACTGCTCCGTGAATTCGTTGCATAGGTAGCGATTGTTCTTAAATTATTTCTTTCCAAGTACTACCGGCTACACGAATTGTGTTGTCTGTATTATTCCACGCAGCGGTTTTATTCTCACCTACTCCTTCCCAAGAAGCGAATTCAAGCTCTGGATGCTCCTCACCGACCTCTTATCAGACTCAGCCTGATCGCGCGAGGACAACCCCGAAGCTGTGGACTCGAAATCATCATCCAACAACCTCTTGGTGTCCGAGGACGACGAGGTGGTTGGGGTGGATTTGGTGGCCTGGTCGATGAGAGACTTCAAGTGTTCTCCGGCCTTGAGTGCGCCAGGCTTGACGTTTTCGTCCACAAACGGCTGGATCTTGTCATTGATAAAGCCAGGTCTGACCTCCTCCTTGGAGATCAAACCCTTGTTCTTTTCGCCCACTCTGATCAAGTGCTTTTCCAACAAAAGGTAGTTTCTGGAGTTGGACTTGTATCCGATTTCAATGAGATCTCCCACTATTGGGATCAACCCCAAGCAGAAATCAACCAAGATATTGAACACGAAGAGCAACTGGAGGTCCAACGGGAAGCCGTCGTCCAACCGTCTCGCCAACACCAATAGTCCAAGCGACCAGTAGGTGGATATGATGGTGCCCACCACTGGCACCACTCCTACAATGTTGGTCCAGCCGAACTTGACGCCCAAAAATCCAAACCACATGTCGTAGCGGTACGCCTTCTTCTTGAACTGGTTCAACACGCCAATGTCGTTGGCAGAAAGGCCCTCGGGAATTCTACGGGGAATTTTCTTGAGCTTGCCACGGCCAGAGGCATCGGAAGGAATGTACTCGTGGTAGGGGTCCTCGACACCAAAGCGGTTCAATTGGTTGTCCTTGAGGATGCGGTTTGTAAAGTACTTTAGAATGAAGGAAGCCATGGCTGTGGCCAGCAATGACGGGGGGTTGGCCAGCCTTTATACTGTGACAGGGAATTCCATGCGTCTGCTTGTGCGGAGGATGATGCAAGGAACATTGCTGCTGCAAGTGGTATTGCGCACGTGACCGGACCAACATCCCGCATGTGATATCCTGGCAGATGATCAACATTTATATTACTTCTTTATTACACCACACATTCTCCTCACAACACATCCACAGTATGTCCTAAGATGGTGGTCCGTTCTCTCCTCAGAAACACGCTTGCAAGAGTGCCCTACTCCGACCACGTTCCCCAGTTCGTCTCAGATATCCTCTCGGAAGACCCCAGCCCCCCAACAACCCCCACGGTCCCTGACCTCTCCAAGAACCCCTACGAGTGTGAGTCCGACGACCCGCTTGCTGTTTCCCCCAAGGTCAAGATCCACGCCAAAATCTTGAAGAACAGGCATAGAGATCCCGTGGACACATTTCCCATCATCGAAGAGCAAGACGAAGACTCGTCCAGTTACGACGAGGAGCTCACCTACTTGAACCACTGCGATACCTGCGACGATATTCCGGTAGGTATTAGCCGCATGGGCCTGAAAATACCCCTGTACGCGGAAAATGTGCTAGACTCACCTGCACCGTCCCTCTTCTCGGGAAGCACCATCAGGGGAGGCCTCAGCAGCGAGGATGCTGGACGGGCCAAAGAAGTAGCCGAGTCGTTACAGCGAGAGATACGAACGAAGCAGTACCTCAACGAGCAGAACGAGAAGTTTGACAAGCTCATCAGCAAGAACATCGATGTGTTCTTCAAGCAGCAGAACAGCTACAACGAGAAGGACTCCATCATGCACAAAATTGAGAAGGAAAAGCGCCAGAACAACTTTGTGCGGCGCATCATCGGCGACGTGATGGAATCATGCATGAGCAAAGTGGGATTGTCATCCCAAACCGCCCCAAACTCCCCCAACATCAAGATTAACCGGCTGGACGAGCTGCTCAGCAACGCGTCCACCGTCAAAGAGAAGCCCGATTCGCGAGACTCAAGGTTCAGCGAGCTTTTGCGTGGCCTAGACCACAATGCAAAAATGGACTTGTACACCCAGTTGCATAACGAGTTGGGTGGAGACACCCCCCGTGTGGCAGACCCTACTGGCGAAACCACCGAGTTGGACAAGCTCCAGACATTCTTGATCCTCTCGATCAAGTTGTCCATAACCAGCATGAAGCTCGCGATCCCAGTGGCCCAGTACCTCTACCAGAAGTACATAAACAACCAGATCTACCTCGTCAACAACAAGAACGCCCACTCGTTGGCAGACTTCGTGTTGAAGATGATGAAGGGCTTGGAGTCCCAGTTGAGCCACAAGGAAGAGTGGATCTCGCGAACCTACTCCAAGGAGTCGCCAAAACCCGAGCAAGTGGGCAAGAACCAGCAAGAAGAAGGTCTCGACGAGAAATTGGACAGTTTCTACGAGGACTTCACCATGGGTGCCACCAACGCATTGCGCCAGCAGTTGCTCAACGGAGTCGGGGGCAACGACGAGTCCTGGAGACGCGCAGCCACCGAGTACGTGCTCAACAAGTGTCTGGCTGGCTCAGGCAAGAAGGAAGACTACTCAAATGCCAAGTACGGCATATACTACTCGTCGAGGCGCAACCAGGACGTGGACGACGCCAATTGCAGCGCCAGCTCGTCGTCGTCGTCACCAGTGTCGTTCAAATCGGTGCCAGTAACCAGGCAGACGTCCTCAGACAATTTGGAGGCTCTTTCCGTATTCCACATTGCAGAAAAGTTTGCTGGCGGAATTGGCCCCTAGGTGAAGTTGGTGGCTGTGAGGGTGGCTGGTGGCTGTGCTTCCATGGTACTTTGCCCTGGTATCTAGATATTAGAGGTGTCTATATCCGGGCAGACGGACTAGGGAGTCGATTCTAGCTGCCAATGCTGCTGACTACATATTTATTAAGTACATTATCTGATTGTAATTCAATGCATACCAATTTACTGATGTGTAATCTTGCAAGTTCACTGGGCACATTTTGCAGTTGATAGAGATCAGTACTTGTAGTTATTTGCATTTCCGCGCTATCATTTCTTGTAGTTGGTAAGGATTAGTAGAACCAAAGTCTTTATTTTACCCCTGGGGGTTGGTTAAATTAAGCATTTTGACAAAAATTTTGCGATTTAGCAGAATAAAGTCAAATTTTCAGAAAGTTAGGTTTAAACGGAGGAGAAAGGATATCCCGTGACATATGGAGACTACTGCTACAACCACAGGGAACGGGGAACAATCTACAATAGGCTATCCCCCAATTGGCAGGTTGTTCTACTGGGGTAGCTGCAAATCCTGAAAAATCAGCGCTGATCGTTATCTTATCTGCAGCTATTCTGTTCCATGCATTGTGAATAAACCCGTTCTATCCATAAGGTTGCTGCTGGTGCTGTCAGACAGGAAAGCGCGGGGAATAGATGGTGGCCCAAGTATTGCTGGAGGAGGCTGGTTAGAAGCGGTGAGATGGGAGCAAGGTACGGTGGAGGAGAGGGACGGCCTAGGAGAGAATGTACGATGTAAGTGTTTTGGTGCAAGTAGTCAATTGGCTTGACGAGTTCAGGTAAGGAAGGGTGCTGGATCGTGTTTTCCAGCAAACATGTGTCTGATTAATTTTGCCCAATTCAGATAGGGGAGAGGTTTTGCTATTTTGCCCGTTTGAGACAATCATCTGGGACATGCACAGCGTCCCGATCGTGGCCCCCTCCTAGTGGCAATAGGAGTTATTCCGGGTAACCCCTGCTGCATGGGGGTTACCCGGCCACAACCTGGCGCTCGTCCAATCAGCAGCCGGCGCGCGCAAAAAAGAAACCTCCCGTCAGGACAGCGTGTGCGCGCCCAGGTTTTTTTTTCAGGAAGTCCTTCCTATTAAAAGTGCCCTACCCCCTTTCTAAATAAATTTCACGCACTAATTATTTTGCATTCCAGAGGCCCTCAAAAAGAAAGAATTAATTTTCACTTCCCTTTTTTTTTTCTCTCTTTTTTCCTTGTGTTAAAAGTATCCCTTTTTTTCCCTCAGTGTGTGAAATACACTAACAACTTACAACCACCCCCTCACACACCTGGTCCACTTGGTTATATAGAGAGTGCTCTATTATACACAAGCTAGCCACCAAATCTCAAGTCCAGCTCAAGTCTACCACACCGCTTCCGGCTCCCGCTAGTGCTGTGCTCTTTGCTGTCTCCCTGCTGTATCCCTTGCCGCTTACAAAAGTTAACAGGGTGTCCTTTTCGTCGGTCATCCCTTTTTTGAGTGCTACGGTTACCCGCAACTGCTCGACTTTCTGACGCCTTGATTGGTTGAGTTCAGAAAATTTTTCCCGTCGTCCGCCCACCACATTCTCGCACCAGCAGAAAAAAGGTCGACCACCATGGCTTTATGTTCCCAGGCCTTCACCTCTAACAACAAGCGTAGCTGCACGTTTAACAGCCCCTACCACCAGGCTCCTGCACCCAAGAGAATATGTTTGTCTGACATTGCGTCCTACAAATACCCCACTAAGAAGTCGGTATGTATATACACATCTTCGGAAGAGGACAACGACTCCGAAGACGAACAATCCTGTTACAATGCTGACCAGATAAGGGCTAAAAGAAGAGCCTCCACCAGAGTCTCGTTCTCGTTGAATTCCGAGTTGTCCAGAGCCATCTCCCAGTACAGCGATGAAGACGAGGAATTGGTTGCTGAAGACGACAACGAAGTCGTGGAGGGCACCTCTCGTCCTTCGCTCATGCGCTGTCGCCGCGAATCTGGTATCTACACTGGTGCTGGCACTGGTCAAATCCCGGAATTGGGTGTCTCCACCCCTAAACCCGCAGTGAACTTGGAAAATCTTGATTGCAAATTGGCCAGTAGTCCTGTGAACTCGAGCCTTGCCCTCAATTTCTACAACAATAGCTTTGCTTCCGACAATAGCACCAAGAACGTCAACACTGTTTCCACCCCTGCAAAACACTATATTCCTGCCACCGACAAGTCGGCAAGATCGCGTTGTTTTGAATACTTGGTTGGTGCCATTGACGAGGCATGGGCTAGATACTGTGATGCTGCTACCAACGTGGAAGACGAAGTGTATGGTTACAACACACCTGCCTCAGTCGCTACCGATGACGAAGAGTACTTTGATAACACCACCGATATCACTGATTACGACGAATCTGACTTTGATGATGGCAAGGGTCCAAAACACACCGTGCAATCGTTCAGACCAAGATTATCGTCGTCGGCTTCTTGCTCGTCGCTCAACTCCACAAAAGAAGATCCTTCCTCGTGTCAGCTCCAAGCTTTAAAGGATCGTCTCACCAAAGCCAAGTACTACTTACAGGACTTGGTTGACTCCGACGTGATGTCAGATGTTAACTCATTCTGGAAGCGTTGGGATATGATTAAGTACGCCACCATCGAGCTCGTCGAGGATGATGACGACGACGAGATTGTCGAAACCACCATCGACGAGTTGGAAAGCGGCCGCTTATTCGCTCACTAAACCACAGGAGAAACACAAATTTTCATTTCAAATATACTTTTTGCAAGAACAGGTACTTTTCATGTTGCTACTTTTGCTTTTCTTGTTCTATTTAATTATTACTGCTCCATGGGTTGCGTTTCTTTTGAAAGGGTTGTTGTTTTTAGTTGGGATGTCGTACCGGGCATCCAGTTATGGGTATGAATCATATTTATGTAAATTACGAAGAATGAAACGGCCACCACGGCTGTTTCTGTATAGTTTAGGCTTTTTATACATGTACAATAGCTCAATAACCTGTAAATCTCCCATTTTATCGCTAGCCCACAAGTGTGCGATTCTGCAAGTTGAGGCCAACAATCACTTTCTTCATCATGAAGTTCTCATCAATCGCTACCATTGCAACTGTTTTGTTATCCCTGGCCACCTCTGTGGCCGCTTCTGCCGGTGGCTTGGTCATTGGTATGTATGGGATTGTTTAGAATGGACAAATGCCTTGAAAACGGGCCGAAAACGGCTTCTGGAACCGCCAGACATCAAATACAAGCATGCCAACAGACACCCCATCCAGGGATTGGCAATCACCGCCATCACGGCCACAATAAGACGATAGAATAGTTCCAGAGGACCCAGAAGACCCACGAGCCCCACGAGCCCCAATCCGTACTAACATCCGCAGACGTCACCAAGGAAATCCCAGCCGCCGAGTGTAAGGCCAAGGTCAAAAAGGGCGACAAGGTCAGCGTCCACTACGAGGGTAGACTCGAGGACGGTACCATCTTCGACTCGTCCTACAACCGTGGCAGTCCTCTCGTTTTCCAGGTCGGCGTGGGCCAGGTCATCCAGGGCTGGGACCAAGGCTTGGAAGACATGTGTATTGGCGAGATCAGAGAATTGATCATTCCTGCCGACTTGGCGTACGGAGACCGTGGTATCGGTCCCATTCCTCCCAAGGCCACATTATGTGAGTATATCATCATCACCCGCCTGTACAAGGCACTACTAACATCCAGACTTCACCACCGAATTGGTCGACATCGCCGGGGCCAAAACCCACCACGACGACGAGTTGTAAGTGTATAGCCAATAGACACGCCACGAGGCACTTCTAGTTATATTGCTGTGGGCCGCCAGGGGCTGCAACATCAGATGATTGATTACGTAAGCGAGGTCTTGCGGTCTCCGCAGCCCCACTATAAAGTGGAGGAGTCATCCTGATTTTGCAATCGTAGCTCTCTGGCCCAGCAACCGTTCTGCAACTATCACATCTGACCCACAACTGCCAGATCCAGCAACCTGCTCTCCCATCACCCATACGAGTTCTAACCTGCCAATTCCCCGTCCATGTCTGTCCGTCGTCTCTACAAACCGCTCCAGGACTTTCTCAGTTCTCTGGCCGACTTCCGAGTCATCTACAACTCGTCAGGCAGCCAATTCATCACGCCAAATACCTCACGAATCTTCATTCTTGACTCGTCCTTCAATCCTCCCCACTTGGGCCACTACGCGTTGATCAAAGAGTCCCTTTCTGGCAAGTACTTCACCCACGACGAGAAGCCAGACGAGAGAGTCATCTTGCTCCTTCTATCCGTCAACAACGCTGATAAGCAGCACGCTCCAGAATCATTCGAGAATAGGCTTGAAATGATGTACCTCATGGCCCAGGACTTGTCCAAGAAGTACCCCCAGACCCACAACATTAGCATCGGCTTGACCAAGCACGCCAAGTTCGTGGACAAATCGGTATCCATACTACGCAGCTTGGATGTTTCGGCTATCAGACTCACGTTTTTGGTGGGCTACGACACCTTAATCCGCATCTTCAATCCTAAGTACTACTTACCAGACAAGATTTCGTCCTCATTGGAGGACTTCATGACCTCTACGGACCTTTTCTGCTTGACCAGAAATGACGGCGAACTGCACCACTCAGAACAATCGAGCTACTTGGAAAACATCAGATCCGGCAAAAATGAACACATTCCTACCCACTGGTCGAACAACATCTTCTTGCACGAGAATTTCGGCGATGAGGTGGGTATGATCAGCTCTTCCAAAGTCAGACACAGCATCCAGAATGGTGGAGACTGGAAGGACCACTTGATACCCGAAGTCTCAGACCTTATCGTGCAAGACAAATTATACCAAAGCAGTTAGGGTAAGTGGAATTGACTTTCTTTGGGGGAATGGAAAGTAAAAAAAAAACATAGTTTTCAATAAAACATGCTTACTGCACTGTTACGACTACTCAATCGTTGTAGCTTCTAAAGCTGTCATGCTACACCATCACTACTCTAGCTAATGAATAATACGTAATAACCATCGAAAATCTCACATCAGTATAGCCTCATTGACGTTTATTAGCGAATTATAGACAATTTGTATGCTTTTAATTAAGGAGCATCACTAAAATTATCTCAACCAACAATTCCAAGACGGTGGCTCTGATTTTGTTTCCAATTGAGCTATGCTTGATCTTTGAAAACGAGCCTGAGTCATTGGTGGAGATTTCCGTAGGAGTGTCGGAGACGATCTTATCATTGTTCCCATTAGTACACTCAATCTTTCCTCCTCTAATCACTGAACCAATTTCACTTCTAGTCCATTTGTTGCAATCAAAAGAAGTTGACAGAGTGAGAATCTTTGCACTGCCCTTGACCAATCTTAACAGTTTCATGCTAGTTTCTTTGATATTGCCCACAAGTTTAAGGGCACCACCAATCACGCTCAACTCGGGTAAGAAATCGATTGTATCAAGATTAGTATTATTGACGATCATTAGTCCACCCCCAATATCGGTAGTGACAGGAAATTCGATTTGGCTCAATTTTTCATTTTTAAGAAGACTGAGAGTGCCGCCGATCAGTTTTAGCTTGGGAAACTTGACTTGCGAGAAGTAATTATTGATGATATTCATGCTTTGTCCAATTTCCTCCAACAGCGTCAAGTTCAATTCGGCCACTTCATGAATGCTAACGTTGTTTACGCTCCGTAGCTGAGATAAGTCGACAGTAATAGAAGCGGAATTAGCAGCAACATGAAGCTTTTCGTTTATCTTCTCAACATCGCAACTAATGGAGTCCAAGAACCGGTTATTGTTGATATCTAAGGTTTCTAGTTCATCGGTCAAGAATCCAGAGAAGCTGGTCAAAGAGGTATCTGCAACGGTGATGCTGTCGAAAGCAGCGATTTCGTTGTCGAAGTGTACATTACTCAAGATGGGCAACACTTTCCAATTGAGTGAATGGACCGACTTCAAATGAGGAAACGAGATTAGTGCGAGCGAGGTCAATTCCTGCAACGAGAATAACTGAGAGATGGATTCAACGCGAGGGGCTTCGATTCTGACAAGCTCAGGCGAGTTTCTTACGATCAAGCTGCCAGTGATTCTCTCAACGTTGTTCAACACCAAGATGGCGTCAGTGTACTCATTGACATGGATATCACCAGCGATCACCTTGCACCGCTCCAAATGAAGCATGTCAGACTGGCTTTTAATTTCGAGGCCATTGGTTCTGCAGATATCTGGAACATCTTCTTCCCACAAGGGTAGCGGCTCAAGAGATGGGTAGGACTCGGAAGGGTCTGTTGTGGTTAGGGGGATATTCTTCTAAAATACCCGTACCCGCTCAGTGCGGACTTGCTCTGACAGCGAAATCCTACTGGGGGAAACTGTTACATACCGGTGCTACTAGAATTAGCTGAATTGTGGCCGTCAGCACACGAAAGCCCAAGCGAAACTCCAAAGATAATAATAGTTGGAACAGAAAACTTCATACTGGTAGTTACAGTGAGTGCACAAATAGAACAATTTATTGGCACGGTTGCAAAATTGCAACCGCGAAAAAATATAGACGCAATCAAAACCTGAAAAAAAAAACTCAGGAAAAACATGTCTGGCAAGAGCCAACATAGAAACCTGCTATGAGAGCCAGCTAGGGATCCCGGCAGAAGCCGAGGAAACTTAGACCTTGTTTTCCTTACTATCGATGGAAGCGTTTTCGGCAAACTCGTGGCTTGGCTTGTCCTTGCCTTCGTTGTGAACCTCTTCGATGCTGTATCTGCGGTTGTAGTTGATCTTGTTGACCTCGGAGGTATCTGGGCACAAAGTGGCACCCCTTCTTCCGATAAGGTACCATGGCAAGTTGAACACTTCTTCCATACTTTCAAGGGATCTACCCGAGATTTCTGGGATGAAGAACCAGGACCAGAAGAGAGCCATGGCACAGACTGTGGTAAAGAAGTAGAAGGCACCGAAGTTGTCCATGGCCAACAACATCTTGGGCACGGCCTTGGAGTTACCGAACTGGTTGGCAAAGTGCAACACCATGATCAACGATTGTCCGAAAGAACGGAGACCCAAGGGGAAGATCTCCGAACCCAACAAGTATTGAACCGAGTTGAAACCCATGGTCCATCCAACACCAGAAAGATACAATGCAGCCATAGCACCCTTACTGGCAGCCTTTTGCGACTTGGTCAAAACCGAGTCTGGGTCGGTGGCTTGTGGAACAATGTGGAGGAAAATGGCAAAGAACAAGATGGTAAGCATCTGGAGGGAGATACCGATGTACAAGGCCTTTCTTCTACCAAGGAAATCGATAATGAAGAAGGCAGAGAAGTAGGCACCCACGAACTTGACAACACCCAAAATCACGGTCATCTTCATGGTTTCGATTCCCTTGACTCCGATGAAACTGAACAAGTCGTTGGCGTAGATGGTGATGGCATTGGCACCACTCCATTGTCCCAAAACCTGGGACATGGCACCAATCATGAAGAAACGGTATCTAACGGACTTGACCACGAAGATGTCTCTCATTTTTTGCCACAAGGAGTAGTCTTCGTTGGCAATCTTCTCGGCCAAAACGGCTTCGTTGATGTCACTCAATTCACCAACAATGTATGGGTGGTCTGGGGGCAAACGTCTTAACTTGCACAAGTTTTGCAATGCCTTGTCGTTCTTTCTGACCTTGACCAACCATCTGGGGGACTCGACACAGAAGAAGGAACCGATGAGCACCAAGCCAGCCAACGCGATTTTCATGGAGGTTGGGATGATCCACTGGTTGTGCGAGTCAGACGAGATGTGCTTAGCAGAGCCGTAGTTGGCAGCGTAAGAAGTGAAGATTCCGAAGTAGACGGCACCCGAGAAGAGACATCCGAACAATCCACGGTAGGCAGGAGGAGACACTTCCGACATGAAGGTAGGACCAATGGTGGTGGTCTGGCCAATGGCGAAACCTTCAAGCAATCTTCCGACGTACAACTGGCCAACGGTTCTGGCGGTGATCTGGATGATGGCACCGGCAATCCAAATAACACACACCTCTTGCAAGGCTCTGACTCTACCGAGGTAGTCGACGGACCACATGGCGAGAAGCGCACCACCAACCGAGCCCAATTGCACCATGGAGGTGATGTTGGACTTCAAGTCTGCGATCTGGTGCTTATCCTTTTTGGGGTCCGAGAGCCCAAACAACTTCTTGAACGACTTCTGGTTGGTTGCACCCGAAATACAACCTTCGTCGTAGCCTCTGGCAGCACCCAAAATTCCGAACACGAACACGGTGAAGTACAAGGTGAAGTTGTAGATCTCTTTGGGCGAGTGGTCGTCGACCACTCTCCATCTGAACCTCTTGGTGGGTTCAGGCTCCTTGTCCTCGGTGACTGTGACCGTGTTGTTGTACTTTTCTTGCAAACTCATTGCTGATGAGGACGACTGGACTGGAGAGGTTGCAAGGTTTATATACTGCGATTTGTATACTTGGTTTACGTGCTGGTGGTGCAGCTGATGCAGATGGTTCCACTAGCGGCAACCCCACCCACCGATCCTCCGGGGTAGTTGCACAATACCCCTCACGGTTTATTAGTTTGGAGATGGCATGGTTTGGGTGGAGCCCCCACTACGTCAAATGTGCCTAATCAGTTGCAACCACCGGTGTCGGAGCCGGAGCGCGAGGGGCAGTGGGGGAGGGACGTGGGGGTGGGGCGGTGGTTGTGGTAGTGGTGGTCAGTGGTCGGTGGTGGATGGGTGCAAATTGGACGGTTTGGAGTGGTTCCAGCTGGGAGCTGGCCACAGAGCCCGGTGCGGCAATTCATCTTGTGGAGTCCACACAACACCTGTTCCTCCGTGGTGGCTTACTGCCTGAGTGTAGGTAGTGCTGCAAGTGTAACCCGATTCTCCCCCACAATCGAAGCATGTCCCACAAACCCGTTTTCTGGGCAGCAAATGCATGTCAACGGAGGGTGCCAACTCCGATGGGTGCCACGAAAGCTGGGATCGAGCCCGCGCCACCCACTCCACGCGAGGCTGGCCAATAGGGTGCCGCAGAGCACCGATAGCCACCGCAAAAGGGGCCGTCCCCTCCCAACATGGTCCTGGAGCGTCCCCTCGATGTTTATTAGCCCGGAGAGCTAAGAAATTTGCGGCCAAATGTTTTCTTAGCATGAGGGGTGCGGGGCACAAACCGGCAGCTAGCGCGGAAATTCTGCAGGCGAGTGCATACCCGCGAACCAACAACTGGCCAGGGAGAGTAAGCTGGGAGGCTATTCCGCCGTGGGAGCAACACTTCTAACCATAATAGGAACAAGAGCGACTGTGCCGTGGTTCTCATGCACTCCCCAGATCCGCCGTTGTAGCGGTCTATTGTTCGATGATTCACCATGGGGAAAAACTGCGCCCTGTGCCGGTGGGTTCTTCAGTGGTGATGGCTTCCTGTGATGGCTCCCTGTGACGGATGTGTCTTCGCACGTTGGCAGACGGATAATGCAACCCGCCAAGGGCGCCAAGGGAGTCAAACACGTCAGTGCCAGATGGCAAGACTTTTTTTGCACGACTAAATGTCCGGGACATGCTGAAAATGCTGGGCACGGCTGACAGTTGCGAAAAGGCGCAAATCCTGGAATGATGATGGTGCTGGTGTCGGGGCAACACGAAGTTTCGGGGACTGAAGAGGACCCAGCAGGCGGTGGCAATTGTGGTGGTAAATGTGGAGTTGTTATCGTGATGGAAATGGCCAAGGTGCCAGGCGAGGGAAAGCATGCTTCAGCCACGCCGGGCGCAGTGATGCAGGACCCTGGTGGGGTGGATAGTAAGTGCAGGTGTCAAATGGATATTTGCTGAAAACGGGCTCGCATACTGTATAGAGCAGGCGATGGTCCGTGTTAAGACCAGTTGTCAAATCCCGTGAGTGTCCATGATGAGTGTCGTCAAATCCATTACTCAGTTCACTCCACGAACTCCGAGAACCTCCTGGATGTCGATCCCCAGTCGTCTACACACTTCTAGCACCTCGTATCTCAATAGACCCACTTCGGACTCAAGCTGAAATACCGTGTGGGGATGGCCAAAGCCTAAAGTTAGAATCGGAGTTTTTGTAAGTGTTGGGGCTTTCCTCTCTCCAGTAATTCGTTGGAGCAATACAAATGGAACTTGCTTATCGGCACACGGGGCATTAATCCACCCGTGGCCTCCGACGGCCCTTTCTCTCAACCATTGTCGAACTACATGCGGCTGGTGAGAGAATCGACTCCAAGGGCATTTTCTCAGCCGAGTATAAGCCTGGCCTAAGCCACTTCCCACACAACGGGAAAAACTCACTCCGGCGCCGGCCACAAGCCGTGCCAACAACATTATTTTCGGCCGTTTCTAAAGAATTCATCTGGCAAATGAAAACATAATGTGTTCTGTGTATGGAGCTGTGCATTTAGAAAGCTCCTCTTCCTCAACAGCTGCGACTCGGCTTTACCAGTCACTGGGTATTTCCCCCCAAATCATCAAGTTGTGCTCTTATCGCATTAATCTCGCTCCAAAGTCACTAATCTGGGCCAATTCTGCACTACACTCTACGCAACACCTCTCACAGCGTTGTACTCTTGCATCTATCTGTCATCTCTCACAGCGTATATTCCAGCAATCTACTGGTCTTGTTCGTAAAAAAAGTCGTTTTGCTTTCTGATGGTGTCAAGTACCCACATGATCTTTCTGCTTTCATCCCACGACATGAGCTCACTTTGCTTACCACCCTTGGCCAAAACCTCTCCAACCTCGACGGCCTCGTACCAGAAACCCTCACCACCGTTCAAGTCGGCAAAGAAATCCTTCTCGATCACACTGCCATCCTTCAACACGATCTTGTAGCCTTGTGGAGATGGAGTGTCGCCAATGGCCTTGACGTAGGCTCTACCCAAAGTACCTTCAATAGAAACGATGTTGCCGTCAGACTCGGTATGGAAACTGGCGCTGATGGACGCTTGTTGCTTGCGGGTCTTGTCGTTGAAGATGGCGCTGGCAACGAAGTCGACTTCGTCCGCCTTGTTTCCGGTCAACGATTCCATGATCAACTCGGAGGAAATAGACCAGTCCTTGGTTGGGTCTGCGGATGGGTCCAAGAATGTTCTGGCGTAGGTGATTGGGTAGATTCCAATGTCCAACAAAGCACCTCCTCCGAGCTTCTTGTTGGCGGCACGGTGTTCAGGGGTGATTGGGAACTCCTTGGAGTCGGTGTTGAAGGTACATTGGACCTTCTTGATGTCACCGATAACCTTGTCGTCGTAGAGCTTCTTTTGCAACTCGAGGAAGGTTGGGAAGTATCTGGACCACATGGCTTCCATGAAGAAGACGTTGTGCTTCTTGGCAGCAGCCAAAATGTCTTCCAACTCCCTGGCGTTGATGGTGATGGGCTTTTCACAGAGAATGTTCTTCTTACCTTCTTCGATGGCACGCACCACGAATGGAGCGTGGAGGGTGTGTGGCAAACCGATGTACAACACATCGATTGAGGGGTCGTTGATCACTTCATCGTAACCAACGGCTTTGGTGCCATAACCGTCACCAATGAACTCGTTGATAAACTTTTCTGCCTTTTCGATCTGGGTGGATGCAACAGCTCCGATAGTGTGCTTGATCTTGTTTGGGCCAGCAGGATTGGCAATCAAAACCTTCAAGTCAGCAACGAATCTGGAGGAGATCCCTCCAGCTCCAACAATACCCCAGTTAACCATCTAACGTTAGTACGGCTATTGATTACTATACCCCCGCAGTGGGTACTAATGAGCAGTTGGCACAATTCTGAGGTGGTACATACTTTTGAATAATATTACTAGTTGTGTCGAGCGTATGACAGCCGAAAGGGTTCCTCATATAGTCCGTGGATATTTTGAGGTTGCATTTCCCCAGAATGTCGTGGCTGCGGCGCGACATTCTATCGGGATTCACCTAGCAGGTCGACCCGGTTGGGGTGAAATTACTAAGCAGGAGGACGTGTTACCGGTAATTCCGTGCACTGGAGGGCACGTTACGGTGTATGTAAGAAGGTGGAGGCGAAACTACCCGAGTGGGGGCGATACTGCCAGAAAGGTAGCGATTTTTCAAAATGGCAGTATTGGGCAATGATAATGCACGATGTTGCATCAGCGTAAAATTTATGCTAGCTCTGGAGAAGCCAAGGCGAAACCCCCCACACTCCTAAATTGGCAGGATATAGATAAAGCCTACATGGCCAACCACAAAGGCTTAAAACGTTTATCCAGTCTTCAGCTTCCTCCGCACTAAATTGACCCATTCATCTACAAGTCCACCTGATTGTCGAGTTTATTTAGCAGCTCTAATTCGAGCCCCAGAAGCCAACAGTCGTTGCAGCCACGCAACCGAGACAATTTGGGTTAAAGTTGTCCCGATTTGGTTCACCGATGTCAACGCCTATAACGTGCAGATTCTCTTCTCAGAATGGATAACACCTTTGCTGGTTGACCAACCTGTTTACCCGGTCAAGTGAAGCATACCACCACCAGGGTCCACAGAGGCTCAGCTGGTCTGATGTAACGTCACAATGTCGTGGGTGGGGCCGGGCAGAAAGGCCAAAACAGGGCCAACCCGCGAAGCCAACAGAAGGCTAACCGGCAAAAGCTCTCATATGGTGTCAACCTGCAAACTGGGACCCAAGCCCAACCCGCGAATTGAGCCCAACCCGCAAACCACTTCCAACCAGCAAACTGCTTCACCCAACCAGCAAACTGCTTCACCCAACCAGCAAACTGCTTCACCCAACCCGCAATCCGCCAACCTACCGTCGCTCATTCTTCAACTCGAACTACCGCCCATCAATCTCCATCTTCCATCACGCCCCACATCCATACTCCAACCATGTCTGTGGCAAAGTCGCTTCTCTTGGCGTCCTTATTGACCGTCGGCGGCTACATGTTGTTCAACAACTCCGGTGAGGTCTTCAATGTCGGTCGCTTCTTGGAGTCCACCTCTCCTTATCTTTGGGCAAACTTGGGAATTGCCAGTTGCATTGGTCTTTCTGTCGTGGGTGCTGCGTGGGGTATCTTCATCACTGGCTCCTCCATCATCGGTGCTGGTGTCAAGGTCCCCAGAATCACCACCAAAAACTTGATTTCCATCATTTTCTGTGAGGTGGTGGCTATCTACGGGTTGATTATGGCCATTGTGTTCTCGGCCAAGTTGGCCAACGTGCCTGAGGATGCGCTCTACTCGCCTTCCAACTTGTACACTGGATACTCGCTTTTCTGGGCTGGGTTGACCGTTGGTGTCACCAACTTGATTTGTGGTGTCGCCGTGGGTGTTACTGGATCCACCGCCGCCATCAGTGACGCTGCTGACACCTCGCTTTTCGTCAAGATCTTGGTGGTTGAGATTTTCGGCTCGGTATTGGGGTTGTTTGGGTTGATTGTCGGGTTGTTGATGGCCGGTAAGGCAGAAGAATTCCTGTAGACTGCCGGTCACGTGCTACGCCAGCATCGGTCTATCGATGGCAACCTCATTGGTAGCTCAACTTTACTTCCCCCAACTCATTGAATAGTCACGTAATTTATTATCTAAACGAATCTCCAGTTTACTGTTTTCAATAGTCACGTAATTTATGATCTAATTTTACTGGTTACGAACTGAATTCTGCCCACCGGTTCACTGAATAGGCACGTAATTGGTGTTCGAGTTTGTTGTTTTCCATAATCGTCACCTCATTTACTACTAAACGAAGCTTCTTTACTTTTTCAATAGTCTCGTAATTATTAGCGTATTCAACTGTTCTCCACCAACCGAATCTCTAAGCTTACTTTCCACCAACTCATAGATAATAATTTTTACCCCTAGTATCTCCAAGCTTTCTTTACATTTGTCACTCAATTATCTCCACTGTTTCCTCCTCACCTATTTATTATCTGAGCGAATTTCACTAATTCTAACTACATTCATTAGGCACGTAATTTATTATCTAAACGAATCTCCAATTTAACTGTTTTCCACCTCCATGTAGTCGGGGTTTTTCTTCAAAATTACCACCCCCTCCAACGAGTTGCTCAAGCTGATCCACTCGTCAGACTCCAACTCGGCCCTTTCGCCGTAGTTCAACAACACAGGAGTGGACTGGGTCACCCATCCAGTGATGGTTTTAGGCTTACCAGCTTGTCCAACAACATCCACAGCCTGACCTACTCTGACGTTGACCTTGATTGGGTTCAATTGCTCGTCAACAGTGACCAACATTCTGGTCTTGATGGCAGGCGTCAAGTAGTACAATAATTGGTGGGTGGTTTCGGTGGTGGAATCACTCAAGATGAAACTCTTTGGATCCAAGAGAGCAATGGAAATGGTCAACAAGGAGGCCAAAGAAACCTTCGACAAGATAGTTCTCTCAGAGTTGAATGGAGTCAAAGTCAAGGTTCCCTTACCCAAGTGTAAAATACCCTGGGCAATTCTAACCATGAACAATGAATCGGGAGACTTGATGTAGTAAGAGGCCAATTGTCTCAACAACTGGGCCAATCTAGCATTGTTGGTTCCGGCACCAACCAAACCCATGGAGTAGATGGCATTTTGGGCAACTTCCAAGTCAGGGTCATGCGAGTAACGAGATAAGGTGTCGAAGACCTTCATTTGTGGGTTAGAGGCAGAAACCAAACCCATCGCCAAAGGAACAGCCCTACGTATCAACGAGTTTCCGTAATGCATCAAGTGCGAGAAGTGACGCAACGACATGTCTTGACCAATGTCTTCACCTAAGGCAATCAAGGCTAAACCTAGCACGGCAATACCTTGGTATAATTCTTCGTCACTTTCGTTGTCGTCCGAGTCCTCACCATCAAGTTCTTCCTCTTCTGCTTCCTCAGGCTTTTCCTTTTCTTCTGGCTTCTTGTCACTGGACTCGGTATCTTCCATCTCCACATCCTTGTTTTCTTCCTTGACTTCTGTCTTCTTTTGGTCCTCTTCACTTTGTTCCAACTTCTTTTCTTCAGCTAAAACATCCTTTGGCTTAGCGGTACACATTTGCAACAAAGACTGGATCTGTAACACATTACCAGTACCGGCATAAGCACAGATATTAACCAAAACCTTCAAAGTCTTGTTGATTGGATGCTCAATGGCTTCAATGGTTTCCAACACGTATTCCACTTGATCGGTCTTGCCCATGTATAATAAACCCAAACCTAAGGACATGAACTTAACAAACTTATTGGTTAATTGAGAGAAGTCCTTTTCTAGCAAACTTTGTAAGATGGTTGATGTGATGTCACCGTGGCAAGTTCCTACGAAAACATGACCCAAAGCCAAGGCAGCCAAGGACGAGATTTCCATAGATACATCGGAATCAGACACCAATGGTGATAATAAGTTTAAAACCTCTTCGTTGCTAGAGCCAGCAAACGCAATTCCGAGACCGTTAATAGCGGATGCTTGCAAAAGCTTGTTTGGATCAGAGACGTATTCTTGCAATAAAGCCAAGGCAGCGTCAACATCGTCGTGGACGTTGGAAGACACAATACCAATACCCAACAAGGCACCAGCTTTGATTTCGTCGTCTGAGGAATAAGTGTACTTATCCAAGTGTTGCAAACCATCGTTGATATTCCACTGGTGAATAGAACCCAAAGACGCGGTGGTGGAAATCATACCAGGGCCCTTGGTCTTGTAGATCCAGGATTTGTTGTCCTCTTCAGTTTGGATCAATTTATCGGTACCGTAACCCAAGTTGATGAAGGAATTTACAAATGCAGTAGCCAAGTTCTGCTTGGCCGAGTCAATTGAGCCAGAAGTTCCCAAACCGAATTTAGCATTTTCCAAGTGGGACTTGTAGATATCTTCCGGAACCTTGGGGTCCAATAAATTAAGTTCCTTCACGAGGTAGGCGTAGTATTCGTGTAATTTGGAGTTGGAGATGGTTTCTTGGACCTCGGGGTTGTCACCAGGGTATTTGAAGTTACTGTATTGGTGGGACAAGATGAACCCCAATTGTTTGTGGACCAAGTCGTCGTTGGTAACCTCGAACACCTGTTTGATCAAGCTTTCGTCGTCCAACTTGATGGCCAAGGTCAAGGCCTGGGGCAATTGGTTGTAGGATAAGTAGATAGCAAACGCGGTCTCCAAGAAGGAGGTGTCATCTGGGGGAGATAACAACGGAACACAGCTGACCATGTAGAGACACACTCTGGCGAAGGTGCTCTCGTCCATGTATTGGGGCAACTTATCGATGCTTTCGATCTCGAGCAACAAGTCGACAGCGTCGGCCTCGGCGTTGTGTTTCAAGAAGAATGGCACGATCTTCAACGCCAACTGGATCAAACGGTCGGTGGTGTTGTCCTCAGACCCCAACGATTCCTGGTAGGCCTCGCCGATCTCCAAGGCCAAGTGGCGCATGTATTCGTGGCCCCAGTCTGATATGGGCTCTTCGAACGACAACAAGCGGTATTTCAAGGAGTCCTTCTTGCCGTCGTCGGAGTATGTCATAGCCAACACCGATAACACATCCGCAAGCTTGATGATGATGGCGGCGTAGGAGGAGTCGGACTTGTCATTCCAGCGGGTGTACAATTCGGTCAAGTTGGGGTAGTGGGGCCTCAAGAACTTCAATGGCTTGGGCACCGCGGTCATGGAGGTGGTGGAGTCCTTGATGAACGTCTTCAAAGTGGTCAAGCACTGTTGGTAGAAATCCACCTTGTGGTCGGCTTCGTTCAATCTTTCCACGAGCAATTCCAATTCATCTTTCAAGTGTTGGTCTTCTTCAGACAACTCTTCTTCCTTGGGTGCCTTGGGAGGCTGTTTCTTGGCGTGTTCGGAGGTCACTTCTTCTTTTGCAGGAGACATTGTGCTGGAAGAGTGAAGTGGTGGGTGGTGGTGGATTGGATGGCAAATGTTGAATGAGCGACGAGCGCGCGGTCGCGGGGGCGAGGGCGAGGGAGGCTAGCGAGAGGTTAGGGACTGGAGGGCGAGAATTAGTGTGGGTCCGGTGCGAAAAAGCAACCATGGAGAAAAATGGGGACCATTTTAGGGACCTGGTGCGACGCTACGGTGCGAGCACAGCGAGCGGATGGGGAGGATAGAGACTGAACTTGTCATACCATTCAGAAGGAAGTAAGCAAGAGCAGCTGGAGTATTAGCTGGATTAATGAGCTACAGTAGTGGATTACTCTAAAGAACTAGAATAACTAGCTACAATGACTTTAAATAAGCTATAGTTAGTGCAGTCTCGCTGGCATACTCTGTCAGTATCTTGCTGGGTTTGCGGGAAGGATTGTGGTGCGACATTGATCCTCGTGCGAAGTCTCGCTAGATTTGACAGCCTCGCGCTAGGACTAGGGAAAGCGTCGCGAAGACTGTCAGGGTTGTGGTAAATCAACAGGACAATTTGGACTACCACTACGACAGAACAGCTACTAACGCTATAGCCAGTTCTATTATCCAACACGATATCAGTACTGCTAGGAGCCTAAGTCCTCCCGACCGTAAACTGTACAGACACACACCTTCGTCGCTCCTTTCCACCTGGCACCATGTCGCGCCAGTGTCGCTATTCGCGTGTGTTTATTATTTGCCCACTGAGTTCCCACAACCCCATTTATCCTGCTCCACCTTGCAAGAACCACCACGCGATTTCGGGTCTTACGGTCGGTCAGATCGCTCAATAAGCCCAACTCAGGAACCAGCCACATCCTCAATTTCCCCCCAAAAAACCCGTCCCAAATAGACCAAAATCCATCCAGTTATACCCATTTTTGTGTCTAGCGTGTTCAGAATGGACAGAATCTTGTACAAATCGGACATCTTGGACCCCACCTCGGGGTTCCCTGTCTACATCTTTGATACCTCGTTCTTGCCCTCCACAGAGTCCATAAATTACGAGGAATTCATTCCTACTTTGATGACAGGTCTCCCCACCAGTCCATACGTGTTAATCATGTTCAGTTGTGGGCTCAACAAGATCAGCTGGATCTGGGGCATCAAGTTCCTCAAGAAGTTTTTGGCCGACTCCTCCAATTTGGATAACTTGCTCAAGATCATCACTGTGCACGATAGTTGGTTCGTCAAGTCCATCACCCAGATCTTTGCCAACTACAACATGACCAAGAAGAACTTTGCCCAGTTGAACAAGCTCATCGACACCTTCACCATCACTACTCTTGGCGACTTGTTGACCTCAGGGGTCGAGACTGGTCCCTCCAGTAGCGTCACCAAAAATGTCATTATACACTGTTCTAGCATATCGCAATTGAGCAACTACGTCGATATCACAAAGCTCAAGATCTCCTTGAACGTCTACAAGCATAATCTCTTGATTGAAAACGAGATCAAGCTCGCAATGAGATACACTCCCTTGCTCAACCCATATACCAAGCTCCACCCTCAGACCAACCCGGTATTTTACCATCATTTCTATCAAATATTCAATATCATCAACAATTACGGAGACAAGGTGGAATTGTTGTTCCATAAGCCGGGAAACAAAATCAACACAGACGTGTTTTACCAGTGCATCGATAGAAATCAATTGATCTGGATTAATGATTGGGACCTTTATTGTATTTCGACTGGTTTTAAGAGGATATTGATGGAACTATCGAGCCCACTTATATCATCGAGCATAATTCCACTACCAATCAAAGACGACTTCACATACACATTCAACACATTCCAAAAAATTTTCTCTGTTCATTCCCAAGATGCATCCAACGAGTTTGGTCAATTATTGGTCCAGATCTGTGATTTGTGCCATAAAATACTTAAGAACAATGATATCACAAAGCATACCCCACTCACACTTTCGAAGAGCTTGTGTTACAGTCTCAGTCACGAGCTTATATCGTCCCACAATAAGGACAGCATATCGATTGTCATCAGGTTCTTTAAGAATACCTTGGAATACTGGGATGATTTGAGCAAGAAATTTAGTTACACCACTGTGAAGCAAATTGTGAATGGCGACAACAACCAAAAACTCGATGATTCCTACGATTTAAGTTATGATTTGACAGTGGATGAAGCCCAGGCGATTGAAGCCGACGAGGAGGAAGAAAATTACCGCGTCAGTTTCATCACCACCAATATTCTCAACTCTAGTGAAAGGCCCTTGCCGTATCATGCCAAAACACAGTCTTTTAGTACAGACAATGCTTATCCACATACTCCCAAATCAGTGACTTCACACAGATCTGCATCCCCGACCAGAGGTCATGAGGGTTCTGACTCGATGTTTTCGGGCTACAGCTCAAACTCGTCGGCCTCTTCAGCGTTCACGCTCACGTCGTCCACGAATTCGAGTGCAAACGTACCCAATCCAAGTCCGTACCCCAAGAAAAAGCTCTCGGACGTATCAAATTTGTTCCTTCAACATCCTCCCCAGAAGTACAAATTTGAAAGCACATTAAAAACAGGGACCATTAATAGCCAGCATTCAAGATCGAAGTCATTACCGCCACAGCTCAACATGGAATCTACGGTGCCAGTAAAAAAACCCGTTATCAGAGGGAGAAAGGTTGGCGAGTTGGCCAAATTATTTGAAGAAAGAACACAAGGATTGGAGCTCTTGAGCAGTATGTGAATCTTGGTTCTGATTTTTCTATTGCATTATTTTTATCAGCATTTGTTTATTTCATTTTCCATCGTATGGAGTCAGGTTTTTTTAGCGAATTAGATAGCGTTCACAAAATATATAAAGGAAAGAGGTATCAGTGTCTAACTCCGGTTTAGTACAATGAAGATCCTGCTCAATCTAGACCTGACTAGATGGGCTAGTTTAAGTTCATAAACCCTACCACGGGAGGATTGAAATCGGACACACTTCGTTGTGCTCTACATTATTCATGGAAGACGTTTTCAGAAATTAACTAGTGTACAAAACAAATACATGTAAGAAAGAAGGAACTAAACAACTTGGTTACTCGCCAACCAATCTACTATCAATATTGTCCATGGACAAGTCACCCGAGTCGTTGTGATGGTGGTGGTGGTGCAGGCGGGCCACGTTTGCCACGGCAGCAATTGCAGCAGCCGCAGTACTGTCGTTATCCTGGAGGCCATGTTCCTGGAGGTGTTGCTGGTATTGTTGGTAGTGATGGTCGTCCAAATGCTGTTGTTGGGCCGCTTCCACCGCTGCCTGGTTGAACTGTCTTTGGAATTCTTCTTGCTGGTGCTGGTTGTGTTGGTGTTGCATTTCGTACTGTAAGACATGGGCGTCTGTGGATTGGCCGTCGTTGGTGTCGTCGTCATTGGCACCGTTCAAGAACGCAGCAGCAGCTACCGCAGCCTCGTCTTCTTCACCTGGTCTCTTTTTGTACTGGGCAAGTCTGCCGGCATGGGAGCCGAATCTGGACGACTGCTTCTTGATCTTGCGCTTGTAACCTCTAATTTCGTTATAGATGTCTTCTCTCTTAATAAGCACGTCGGGGTACTGCTCCTTGATTTTGGACTCGATGTGCGATGGCTTGGTGCCGACTTTGTACAAGTCCAAGATCAACAAGTTGAGCTCGTCCGACCGCTTTCTCAACATGGGGTGGTTAGACAATGGATCCAACTGCGGATGGTTGTGTTCGTTGCAGGTGGTTCTCAACGTCCACACGCTGGTGGACTTCTTGTAGCTGGCAGTCATCGAGAACGGACACTTCAACTTCTTGGTTTTTGTGTTGGGGTCCAACAAATACCCGTTACCCACGTCGACCTTGGGCTCCTCGCCGTCCTTCTTGGACTTCTTGTGTCTGTAGCGCCCTCCGAGCTCGCAAGTGTAGTAAATGGCCTTCTTGTTGGAGTGTGCGATCACCACCCCAAATCCGTTGTCTCGCGCAAACTCCTGGATGAACTCGTTCAAGTCCTCGCGGTTGTGGAACACCTGCTCAGGATAGGGTCTGGTGATGAGGTTGCCCTCGGCAGTGATGGTGTTTTCCGTCACGGGATAGATCCGCAGCTTGGAGTCGATGATGGGTTCTGGGATCTGGATGTTGTACTCGGACTCGTCCACCTCCTGCTGGCCGTAGTGATGAAGATGGGCCTCGGAGGCGATTTGTTGTTGTTGTTGTGCGTGTTGTTGGGCTTGTTGTTGCTGGAATTGCTTGTTCATATTGGCGCCAGCGATCCGTGTGCTGGCTCCAAGCTCCTTGTCCTTAGAGCCGTGATGGCTACCACCTCCTGGCTGTACCAGCAGTGGCCGTTCGGACAAGGCTGCGGCATGGGCTATCTGCTCGAGTTTTGCCCTGGTGACGTCCAATTCGGAGTGGGACACGCCTGCCTCCTGCTTGACGGCGGTGAGGAGCTGGTCGTCGATGTTGCTGGCGTACTCTTCATCTTCAACTGTTGAGGACATGACGATCGGAAACTGATGGTGGGTCGTGTTATTTGGTAGTAGTGTAGGTGTTAAAAGACTGGCGGAAGTTGTCGATGTAGGGGCGGGAACACGTGACGCTGTTTACGGATGTGCATCACGTGCGCAATATCACATGATTGATTATGGCCGGTGGTCCTTTCCTTTATCAAGTGGACAATTTTGCTACACGCAATTTAAAGGCTTGTCTAGATTCGTAATGTTCAATTCACAGCTTTGAATTTCCTTATATGCTTTGAGCATTCACCCGGAAACTGTTTCCCATCCGTTCTTCAGTACTTAACAATTGCTCGTTATTGAATTTCTAGGGACACAAGATATTCGCTTTAACCTTTGGAATCCTTATCGATATCTCATATTCTCTGTTTTCGTGGTAGAAGTGTATCTTATTAGGATGTCTGCAAAATTTTAAATAGCAGTCATAGAGCAAGAACAGGGATTGAGGAACGTTTTATTGTTCGAAAAGGTTCAAACTTCTTTGATAATTTATACAACAACCCCTGCGTTGCAATCTTCAGCAATATTTACTTCATACCAAGCAATTTTCTACGTTAAATCAATGTCATTTTTTTTATCCACCAGCGTATGTCTTTATGTCAGAAGAGTATATGTGGTGTCGAACTGCGTTAATTAAATCAACTTACAAGACAAAATAAGTAGAAATCTAGGTATGTATAACGATAATTAACGAAACTACTTCAAATATGGAGGCACAATATGAGAGAAACCCCCATCGGATCCCTTCGCTGTGGCACCATTCTAGTTAGACTCCATGCGACTGGATTTTTTGATTGGATCCACACCACAAAACTACATCGCGATCACCAATAGAAGTATAAAGGCTTGCTTAGTTGATCTTGAAAGTCTTCTCGAGACCGATGGCTGGCCATGCTTGGCCTGCAGAGGAAGCAAATTTGCACGGATTGGGCACTTAAAACGAACATCACGTGATAAATAACCACCCGACTACGCTTTACAGCTTCCAGCAGTTCCGGTTGTGATCAGCTCCAGTGGACGCATGGCTGGCTCTCCTCAGACTGTCCAGCTAGTGGTAGGCCTACTATTACTGGAAGTAAGGAAACATTCCCACCAGGCCACGTGAATATAAAGGCGCGGCAATGCATTGATCAACCCACAATAGACAATAGCGGTTGCTACATGCCGGGATTACGGCGAATTCCACCCTTGCATGCCTGGGCGGATGTTTGCCTAAATAGGGGCATTGGCATGTGGGAGACCAACAATAGAGGACGTGGTATCACGTGATCATCAATCACGCGATTTATTTCTTCACCACACCTTGAATGTATGGACCCCAGAAGAGTTCTTTTGGCGGCATAGAGAAGCTTATTGACAGTAACCAGAGCTATTGCCGATCTGTCGACTATACTGAAAAATAAGAGTATATATCATCTACCTCCGGTCGCCCACCGCGCTGGTTTCTGGAAGGGATTTCATTTCAATCCACTGTAAATTAATTTGTTCATCGACTATCTTTCGGTTAACGAAGAAGATAAGTGCTCTATTGTTTTTTTTTGACTACAATAATAGCAAAGAAATTAAATTGACTACAACGAGAGCTATCTGGAACCAATTAGGTGCTTCATATCAGTGTCAACACTCTGTGGGTCTACAATAACGCATTGCGTGCTGTGCATCGGTGGGGGCATTCATGCGGGTCTACAAATAGAGTTGATTGTGGTGTATATCACATGTGAATATTCATGTGGTCCATATACAGTGTTTATTGTTGTACTTCGCTAGTCAGTTCGCGTCTCCGAACCAGGATATCTTGTTGCACCCAATTAATAAGATTACTGTGAAATGTGCTCCATAAATATTATACGAGACCATACGAAAGAATAATTATGCTCCATCAGTATGAATAATACGTGTTAAGCATCCAGCCTTGCCATCTCTTTCTCTTTCTCTAATACTTCTTCTGTTTTAACACTTGTCGGGAAGCCTTTGGCTTATAGTTATGAATCTATGTAAAATGATGATGTGACCTATTATGCAATTCAACCTCACAAATTGTGGTAGTGAAAGAAGGGTTACTGTGGTTCTACCTGGAGCTACTAGTGATACATTCTTTTTGAGTAAGTGTGATATCAGCTTGGCAAATGCTGTGAAAGTTAATTAAGAGTTAAGACTAAGACGTTTCCAGGTAAATGCCAGAAGCTACTATGAAGCATGGACGGTTATTTGTAAAGGATTACTAATAAATATATTCAAGTACGACATCAGTTTAACGTGGAACGTTAGTGCACGCTAAAAGAGCTAATCAGGCAATTCACTCAATTTAGTAGGAGTGCTACTTTACTCCTGGAGCACACTCAGAAAGTGTTAACCCACCAGCCGGATATCTGCTGAACTTGCTGTATCATACGGTCTATATTAATTACAGTGCATCACATGATCCAAATCACGTGTTCAGATATCTCCCCAACACTTCCTTGGCCCAAGTGGGCATCACAAACGACACCCGGTGCACGTCTGCGCTGTAGTACTTGAACAACGCGCGTTCCTTCTGCTCGTCGAACGTCCGCAATGGCTGGCTCAACCGCTTGGAGGTGTCGTTGGTGGCAATCACAAGCCCCAACTGTCCCGAAGTGTAAGAGGGCATGTAGCACTGGCAGTAGTCCACGTTGGCAAACACAGCCTTGGCCTTGACGAGAAGCCCACGGAGGTACTCGATGTTGAGCCAGATGTTCTCGCTGCTTTGCATAATCACCACTCCCTCAGGAGCAAGCGCATTCTGAAGCAACTGGAAATAGGACTCCTGAAAAAACTCCTCGGCTGGGCCCTCGGGGTCCGAGGAGTCGGTGATGATGACGTCGTACTTGGCAGTGGTTTCCTTCAAGAACTTGAAGCCATCTTCGATGCGGAGATCTACTGAGGGGTGGTTGTGGAACCGTGCCATGTTGGGCAAGAACTGCGTCAGCAACTTGATGACCATGTCGTCGATTTCCACCATGGTTATGGACTCGACTGTGCCGTCGTCCACGTGCTTGACAAGCTCACGAAGTACACCACAGTCGCCTCCTCCAATCACCAACACCTTTTTGGGGGCTGGATGGGCCATGATGGGCAAATGGGTGATGAGCTCTTGGTAGGCAAACTCGTCACGCTCTGTGCACTGAACTATGCCGTTGAGCACCAACACGTTGCCGTACGACGTCGAATGGAAGATGAGGATGTCCTGGAAAGGCGACTGGGTGTGGTACAAGATGGAGTCGATCTGGAGTCCAAAAGACTGGCCTGGAAACGCGTCTGGTGAAACTTCGTGGAACCAGAACTGGTCACCCATGCGGTGGACCAGCGGGTGCGTGAATGTGGCCAAGTCTATGGGGGTGGCAGCTGTCATGGTGGTGGAATGGAGTGAAGAAGAGATGGAACGGCACGTGATGAGTGAACAAGAGATGGTTGGCAGGGCTTGTGTGCAGGCGAGGCTAGGATTATGAGAATAATCGAATTCGTTTCTTGTACATCGTTTTCAAACAATTAAGTGAGCTAAGGGCACGTTTGGATTCAACGATACATCACAGTGATTTGCTGGGTATTTATGGAGAAGTTTCTAGCCCAATTTCAACTCGCACTCCAATATTTGTCGAGTCTAGTGTGGGTAATTTTATAAATAGTGGGCTTGCGCCGAACTGACTGGCTTCATGAGAACTCTAGGAAGAAATCCTTAGCAGTTGACCATTTCAGACTGGCTAGCGTCTCTTTAATTGCTTAAAATTTCTCTTAAAGCAGCTGGTAGAAACTTCTACAAACCATTTAATCGTGTCCAGCTCAATATTATCTTCACGGTCGCAGTAAGGTTCATGCTCTAACTATGGGATCGGTGCAGGCAGTGGATTCTAGGCCGTTTTCGAGAGTTGGGGAGTCTGTTGGGAGGTGCGGCATACTGAAAATACAAATGTCACCCGTTCAGTCAGGTACATAATTTCCAGGTTCGGTTAATTTCACATATTGGCTCCAACCCCTGTTGTAATGATAAGTAGAACAAGATATCAGCACATTAAATAAATAGTAGGTGGAAGAAGAAGAAAAATTCAAATTAAGAAATATTGGGATTGACAGAATAGCAGAGATATAGTCTGGTAAAATTAGGAAGCTTTGAGGAAGTCTAAGAGTAGGTATATGAGAGGTCGAATGAAATTGACTATTGCGTTGAAGCAATTGATAAAGAAGTATGCATACTGAGGCTCTCGCGTACCGGTCTAGTTCCAGACAAGCCATTTCGACTCTCTGCTGATTTCTGCCGCTTAATTATTTCACCGTTCCGAGCGCACTCAGGCGGAATAGTTTCATTTTAACTTTCTTTATTGTACTGTAGTTTTCTCTACGCCTAAAGGGGATCGACTAAACGGCAAATTTGATATAAATTCCTCCCCTTTGTTATTAAAAGGAACCTACTAGCTTGAAGGAAAATGTTACTCTTTTAAAGGAAGAATTGAGGCTTGAGCGTAACTAATTGCATGTATAGTTGGAAGACTAGAAGATTTCGCTGTGATAAGATATCTCATCAGTATCTTATCAGTAGATATCTCCAATCAGTAGATATCTTAACTCGATACAAATACCGTGTTATCACCTAGTGGAGTCTGAGGATGCGCTTCTCACTAAGATCGTTGTAGTAAAATAGGGACTAATTAATTTATTAAAAACACTAAAAGTGTCATCGTTGTGGGCTCTGGTGGTCCGTGGTAGACTGCCCACCTGGCAGTCTAGAAGCAACCACGGAATTTACAAGGATGGAATGTGCTTGTTGATATGTGAAAAACACCGCCTCCCATTGGCCGAGACAGCCACGGCAACCTCCAGCTTGCGCTGGGCTATGCGTCGCAGTAGAACACCGGAAGCGGGCTTGGTGAGAGCAACCTGGCGTGGGTTCGCCTCATAAGGATGGCAAGTCACGTGATCACAACCCACCAGGCGCTTCCAGGATGTAGTCATGTGACCACGTACTCGCAGGTATCCGGGGCGTCCTGGCCCCTGCACGG